GTTTGCTAGTGTGCGGTGGAGTGTCTAAAGTATAGTGTAGTATCACAAGGTGAGGCCCATCCGAGTGTCCTTTATACCGTTCAGAGTGCAAAGGTATATTCCGCGATCTACGCCTAATTACTGCTGTCGGTACATGTTGCACTGCCGAGCTGGGGGACACCCAACGTCATCGGAGAGCAGAGCTATGAAACTAACATTGCACGGCCAAACAAATCAAGACGAGTATCATTGTACAATAAACAAGGGCACCAGTGATATTGGTGCGGAAAGTGTTTAGGGAACAATGCTTGAGTCTCGGCTGAGGAGGAGAGGGTAGGCTGGGTTCAAGGATAGGTAAAGGACCGGGTGGCAAAGCGGTTGTTCCGAGATACAGTGGGGAAGGTTTTAAGACGTACTAGACAAGGCAAAAATGGAAGGCTGCCAAGGCAAAGAGTACAGACTAGTCGCTGAAACTACCAACCTACTACTGTCATCCGCGGATGCTGGTAGGTATATGCAGATAAACTGGCGGCATCATCTCCAACCGGCATTTGCGTAGAGACGAAAGATGATCATGGCTAAACTGGTGTTATCACTGGCTCATGGCTCGAACACCGCTGGGTCAGGACCCGGGTCACTGTGATTCATGACAAGCAACGCACTATACATGAATTGGCTTGTGATCTCATTGTCATTCAGTGTCGGGGAGGGGGGTAAAAATTTCTCATACGGAGTGAAATTGGAGGCTTACAAGCTTGTCAACCCCGTGTATTGGACAAATTGTTCAAGCTAGCCTACCTGTAATACAGAGAGCCATTGCTTATCCTTTCACAGCTAGTCTGGCGTATTTGCAAATGTCAAAGCAGTGGAGAGTAGCATTGCGGTGACATTCAAGCATTGGGTTAGGGAGTGCTCCGCGTTCAGGGCACCTGAATCCTTAAAAACATTCTTTGTATTTTACTTTAGTAAGTTTTCATATTTTCTTTTTGATTCTCATTTGTGGGATATAGTTTTCATGGCCTCTGATACAAACTCTTCTACTGGCAGTGCTGACCCTACCAGTAGTGATTTAACTTCAAACAAGCAGGTAGAGATGGATGAAGCATACTCGGCATTTGCTACGGAGTACGATGACTTTCATCGTGGATCTCTTCTACTTACTCTTGCAAAAAAGGAATGCATGAGACTTATTTCGCCAAAGCCAGGCGCAAAGTTCCTTGACATGGCAGCTGGAACTGGCGATGCGACTGAGCAGTTCTTCGAGTACCAAGATGGTGTCAACCACGACACGGATTCAACCGCTACACTTGTTGACCTAAACTCGGATATGCTTGCTATTGCCAAGAAGCGACTCAGTGATACCAAATGGGCCAAGGATGGCCGCATCGAGTTTATTGAAGGAAATGCCGACCACATCCCAGGGATGCCAGAGGACACATTCGACACCTATTGCTGCTATTTAGGAATGCACAATATGCCGAACCACGACAAAGTGCTGAGAGAGGCAATGCGCGTACTTAAGCCGGGAGGGAAGATTTACATCTTTGAGGTAGATACCGGAACCTGGTACATTGGGCGGCTTTTTAGAAGCCTGCTCTTCCATTTTCGTCACTACATTTTAATGATGCGTGTAAAAAACTGGGCCATGGCATCGCGTATAATTAACAGTGGCCGAGAGTTCCCGTCGCCACCAGACTTTGTGCAAGAGATGAAGGACGCAGGATTCGCAATTGAGGATACTGGTTACCATAGCATGTATTATGGTATATTCGCTCTTTTCATAGGAACGAAGCCAACTAAGTAACTGGAATACATGTTGCCATGTGCTCTGATAGTTTCTTATTTTCAGATTGAGATCTGGCATTATGCCCTATGATGATACTTGAACTTTTAAATCATGTGCGTCCGAGAACTTCGATGACTAAATGTTGTTGGTCTAGATCACACGGAGGGTTGTGTAAGGTGAGAAAAGGAAAGGAATAAGACAAACAACGTGAAATATCTTACAAGTGAATATGTGTATTTTTCATATAACGTGGATTCCGAATGAACTGTAAAGCAGTGATATCCCAGTCCAGAAAGGCGCTAGTAGTGTGAGCGTAATACTAACAGAAAGTGGCAGAGTCAAGGATCATGTTGATGTGTAAAAATATAAAGAGAAATGAAAAGGAAAGCTGAGCATAAAGGTTTTATACCATCGCTTAGGTGGCACAGCCAAAAAGGAAAAGGAAAGAAAACAAAAAGAACAGGATGAAAAACTATGTAGTTCACAGTAATCGGATCTTGAGATTCTAACAGGTTACGCGCTATTTGAGCACTCTCCTGCGGACTACGGGAAAGACCGACTGGCCAGGCAGGCAGGTTCATGCGAACGAGTGCCATGAGATTGTGGCAGAGAAAGCCCAATCCGGCCTTTTACAGCGCACTATCCTACCCAGGTTGATTTGTCCAAGAGTAGACATAAAAACCAGCCTAGCAGCAGCAGTAGCAGCAACAACAAAGGACTCCACTAGCTCTTCAAACCAATCCAAGTCTTCTTATCGCCACCTTTCTCAATCGCTTGTTGATACGATATCAAACACAGCTGCATACCATTACTCTTATTTGAAGTGCATCTCACGCCTTGAATCAATCATCAACTATTTTCTATCTCTTAATCCTTTACTGTTGCTATTCAAATTCATCCTACTAACAATGCCTGTTGACTCACGAACACTCAGAGTTACAAAGTACCAAATCTTCTGCACCGTCTTGGCTGCCCTGCGTAGTTTCAACTTTGGCTGGAACAACGGCTCGGTGAACATCCCTGGCGATGACCTGCAGAACTGTGTCACCGGCCACAAGTATTATGGTTCTTTCCTATCATGTATCGACATGACATCAAGTCAGAAGCTATTTGGGTTATCATCATCGGCTGCTTCGCTCTTGGTGCCATCATCGGTGCCGTCATCTCCAACCCAGTCATCAACCGCAAGGGATACAAGTTTGTCCTGTGCTGGTTCGCTCTGCTCAATGTCATCGGTGCCCTCCTGCTGTCGCTGACCACAAAGGTCCCGCAGTTCACCATCGGCGGTCTTGTCGTTGGTGTTGCCGCTGGTGCTGAAAACAACACCATGGCGACCTATATTTCCGATATGGCGACCCTGCGTAGCCGTGCAATTCTCAGCAGTGCGCTGAAGTTTGACTGTAGCTTTGGTATTATGCTAGACAACGCCTGCGCCCTGGGTCTTGCCCCTCCTCTCGCTGGAGAACCCTGTTCGCTCTCACGGACGTCTTTGGCCTAATCAATTTTGCGCTGTTCCCGTTCGCCCCTGAGTCACCCAAGTAGCTAGTCAAGAACAGCCGTATTGACGAGGCGCGCATTCATGTAGGTACCACAGTGATAGCGACTAAAACACACAGGGTGAAAGCCCACTGAAAAGTACACCTTCGAGGGTAGGAATGGTCAGGACACCACTGTAGTTCCTGACGCCCAGGTTACATACGCTGAGAACCCCTGAGAATAGGAACATAGCTTACACCAACCTTGCGGAACAGTAGGTTGAATGGGAACTGAAACACAATGTACAGCGTGTTGTATTGTGTTTTGTACATGTTCCGCTGTTTCTCCATGGTTTCAATCTTGGCGTAACTCGCAATGCTCCAGTTGCGAAATGTAGAAATGTAGCCCAGGCAGATGAATACAGCCAAACGTATATCGGCCTTGCGAATGTACTCTTCTTCAGCACTTGCTTCTCGCGAGGCGTGCACTGATAGCTGCCATATTGCTTGCCCTTTTCTGCATCAGAGTTGATAGATACACTGGCCGGCATTAAAAACAAGTTGGACAAAGCAAAATATGGTGAGAAGGCAATATTCCTGTAGTTGCTACCAATACCTTGTTATCGCCCATCTCCATCGGTGGATCTCTTGTGTATCACGTGGCACCAGCTTGATTATTTCTTTCTCCAATACTCTGGTCGATGCATTTGTACGCAGATGGGCGTGAAAGCTTGGGTGCAAGAAGAGACAAGGTATACAGATCAGCGGTCAATTATGTGTCTATCCGAGAAAAGCTGAAAAATACATCTATGGCCCTACATCTTAGTGCTTTTGCTCGTAAGCGATGCGGTAGCACGAGTCTGAGCCCCAAGGGGCGACAGGGTAGTAGTCGTCACGACCGCGCACTTTAAACCACAGCCAGACCTCTTGCAGGCGCCGCCCACGGCACTTGACATTTGGCTCGACACCCCACGCATCCTTCAGTGCCTGCCTTGAACTGCGCCAGCGTGTACGTGTTCTTGGGTCGGCGGCCAGCTTCAGGTTTGGTAGGCGTGATTCCTGAGGCCGCCAGTGCCTTGTAGATATCGTACTTGGCGCGTAGCTTCAGAATTGTGCTAAAGTAGTCGACGACTTCTTCCTGCGATGTGTAGCCGGCGCCGTAGCAGCGCGGCTCCAACGTTGAGACGCAGGTGCCATGCTTGACCCATTCATGGGTCCAGAACCAGTTGTTATCACCCTTGTTCGACGGCCAGTATGTGTTCATATTGTCGTGCAGTTCCATGCTGTCGGCGCGGATGATGCTGGATATGTTTGTGTACGCACGCTGCGGGTCGCAGCCATTGCTCGGGAGCATCTTGCCGTCGCATGTGTCGGGCCACAGGCCGTGGACCGTGAAGGCATCGCTGGGTCCCCAGCGAGTGTCCCACTGCTGAGCAAACACCAGCAGGCCGTTCTTGGGGCTGCAGCAGGAGTCAACGTCAGTGCGCGTGCACGAGATAGTATCGATTGGGCACGTATCCGCTGGCGCATTGACAGCGCTGCCATCCTGAACAAGCACACGGAAGGCGGCTGCGCTTGATGCAGCGAAAAGGAAAAGAGTATGGAAAATGTTCATTGTTTGCGAGTGGTAAATGGAAATGCGAAGCAAAAGTCGGTCACGGGAGGACAGCGTCATTTTATCAGGCTGCCAAAGCAGCCGACTCACGTGATGGGATGTGTCATAATTCCAATTTGGCGCTCTCAGAATCAACGCACTTTAAGCAATCGTCAAGACGATCATGAAGCGTAGAGCCGCTTTTCCAGCTTTTTGCTCTGGTGTTTTTTCCTGCCATTCTATTTTCGTCTTCATTTTATTCCACACCCTGGCTCATCTGCATTTGCCTTTATAATCAGTTCAGCAGATTACCAAATAGAGAAGGCGCAGTTTAAATGGCAGGTACGTCCCGGCGGGGGGTTTCCACATTCTATGCACACATTTCGGGGCTTTGGCCGAGGTACTTATGCTTGAAGGGCTGCCGTCGATATAGATTTTGGATATGACTGGGGCTCCGACGAGGAGGACGAGGAGGGTTCCGATCCTAACGTTGAGCTTGAGACGTTGGCCGACGAGACAACACAGACAGCACAGACAGCACAGATAGCACAGACAGAACAAACAGCAGAGGAGGCATCAGAGCAAATAGCCGGCAGCCTACCACCAGGAGTGGTAGTAAACCGTGTCGCAGCATCAGACAAGAAGGCGAATCCACATGGCACAACAGAAAGCGAGCTGCTGGAGCCCATGATTGAGGACAAGGCCAAGCAGCTCGAGGTGACCAAGCTGGAGCACGGCGAGGAGAACCTGAGCCCGCTCGAGGTGTTTTGCAAGCGCGCATCGAGCGTGTTCATATTCCAGCGTGTGTGGGCGGCAAAGGAGGTTGGGCGGCTGCTGGGGCGTGAGAGCAAAGAGATAGCCATGGGTCTGCTGGTGCCAATTGCTATGCGGTTGTCTGACGATCGCGAGCTGTTTGTTCGCGAGACCATGGCCCAGAACCTGCTGCCGGTTCTGCACTATTATTTTGACAACAAAGGGTTTGTCCCTGCCCCACCATCGCCGCCACCAAAAGACGAACCGACCGAACACAGCTGAACACCAGCAGCAGCAAGCAGCAGCAGCAACAGACAACAGCAGCAGCAGCAACAACAACAACAGCAGGAGGAAAGCACAGCTCGCACCAGTGAAGAGACACAGGCTGCCTCCGACACAGGGTCGACAAAGTCTAGGATAGTGCCAGATATCGCAGTGCCATCGGACGAGGACTTTGGTACATGGCTGCACCGCCTGCTGCTGACACCGCATCCATCAGTATCGCTGCCTGCGCAGCGCGCCACGGTGGCCCTTGGGCACCGCCTGAAATTCGAAAAGTACCATACGGAAATTGTGCACGGAGTCATTCTTAGCTTGGTGCAGAACCCGTTCCACCAGCATCTGCTGCAGCAGGCGCAGCGGTCAAAGGACATGATTGTCAAATCGCGACCTTCTAGTGTCCAATCAGCACCAGGCGGCGACACGACACACCATGACAGCCGCGCAACGAACCGGCTGAGCTCGGGGCTTGCGTCTCTGTTTGGCCGGCGCAGCTGGACGAGCGAAAAGACGGCGGGCGTAGACAGCTCGCCAGAGGAGGACGACGAAAAGGGCCGCGATCGCTCAAATACAACGCCAAGCATGCCGCAGGAGCGACCAGTTTGTCGATGCCGGGGATATGGCAGGCGCCGCCAAGCCTGGCAACGGGTTCTTTGTGTCTCCTGCAGACGAGGAGGCACGGTTAGAGCGTACCAGACGGAAACTGCTGATGCTGCATATGGTGCATCTGGTCGCGGTCGAGTTTGGCGCCAGCATGCGGCCGGCAGTGTTTGTACCTGTCGTGGAACGGGCCACGCAGGACAAGGCATTTGAGGTGCGGCGTGACGCGGCGGCTGTGCTGGGCTCGCTGGCCAAAGCAGTGTCGGTGGACCTGGCGCTAGATGTTCTGTTCCAGTGCTTCCTGAACCTTTCGCAGGACCCTATTTGGCAAGTCAGGCAGAGTGCAGCCCGCCATGCGCTTCCTGGCCTGGCGCTTGTGTTGGCGGTTAGAAGCGAGCGCAGCACAGGGGTCGCTGCGAGGAAGGCAGAGCACCAGCGCAAACACTCGCTGCAGTGGTTCGCCAAGTCGCCACCAATGGCCCCTACAAGTAGCACCGGACAGGCCGACATGTCGCTCGCCATCATACCGCCGCTGGACAACCGCCAACCGTCGGATCCCATCGCAGGAATTCATGTTTAAGAACACGCCAGCGCGCTCGGTTCCCGACAAGCAATGGCTGCAGCTGGTAGATCGACTCGCGGGCCCGCGCGAGCCCTCGCACCATGTCCGTGCAGCGGTGTTTGAGTCGATAGGGAAGCTGGCGCTGGCGCTGGTTGATTGTCCTCGCACACGCGATGCGCTGGTGACACTGGCAGTCAACGATGTGCAGCGAGTCAGCGGCGACCAGGGCTCGGGAAAGTTTGGGCTTTTTGGCTCGCACCATAGCCTACAGGATCTTGATGACGAAGACGAGGAGCTTGACGAGGAGACGGCAGCAGCTGAGGAGGAGAGCATGGTCATGTCGCGGGCGCTAGGCGAAATCCACGGGTCGCCGTCAATGCGAAACCGAGGCAGCGGCTCAATCGGCCGCGGGGCCAGTCTGGTTGGTGGGCCTCAGACAGCAGTCAATGGGCGGGTGGCCAAGTTCCGCGCGCAGCGAGCTGTCACCAAGGACGTCATTTACCAGTGTGCCTACAACCTCCCGGCCCTTCTGGCAGCTCTGGGCCCGCAGGGCTGGGACCGTCTGCGCGACGTGTATATGCAGCTGAGCAAGGCTGAGCACTATGAGGCACGGCGCTCACTGGCGTGCTCGCTGCATGAGGTGGCCAGAATCCTGGCTGCTGAGTCGCAACCCTCGACATCAGCACCGTCGGATCAGCAGCAGCCGCCTGCCGCCGCAACATCAGCATCAGCCGGCATTCAGCGCCGACCTGGAAAGCGTGCTGTGTTTGTTTTTGATCGACGGCACCGAGATAAAAGATGGGAGCACTGGCGCATCTGGGCGACACGCTTACCTGGCTCACGCCGACCAGCCGCATCCGATGCCTTCCGATGATCATGCAGGTATTCAAGCACGACGGCAAGCAGTGGCGGACACGCGAGCTGATGGCAACGCAGCTGGTCAAGCTGTGCCATCTGTTCCCGGCCTCGGTCGTCGTCGGCAGCCTGCTGCCACAGGCCGTCGAGTGGGCCCACGACCCGGTAGCCGGTGTGCGCGCAGCAGTGGCCCCAGCATTCCCTATCATGTTTGAGCTGACCAAGCTGGATCCAACCACGCAGGTCAAGTTCTTCGAGACTGTCATTTCCTTCTCGCATGCCAGCACGTTCCGCGGCCGTCTGTTCTTTATTGAGATTTGCTTCGGCTCTGCTGGCCCACGACCAGGATCCGAATGCCGACCCGGTTGATTTCGACCAGTTCTTCCTGCCCTCGCTGGCGGCCTTGGCTGCTGACCGCGTCGCCAACGTGCGCATTGCATTGGCACGGCTTGTTCGCAGGATGCTAGAGAACCGCATGCGCCGGCAGAGCATCTCGACGACACTGGCTGATATGTGGATATCGTCCTGCTCATCCAGATGGCAAAAGCTTCGGCGACCACCAGCCGCTCCATAAACTGCCTGCAGTTGCCGATGCGCCCTCTGAGGAGGAAGCGGCCGCCGGCCCTGTGTCAGACTGGATTGATGAGGATCCAAAGCCAGACACGCCGGCAGCGGGAGCGCGCCGGAAATCCAGCGGCTCCAGCGGCATGCATGGCATTCAGAAGCGGCCCTCGCGCAAACGGTCGTCGGCTTCGCGGCACCGCAGTCTGAGCCGCGGTGACCAGAGCAATACGTCACCGCAGATCCCATCGCCGACTGCAAGCAAGTTCTACTCGCACCGCTCCCTGGGCTCAGTCGCACGGCGGAGACGCAATACCACGCCCATGCGCGCCCACCTGCTGGCTACAATAGTCCAGCAGCTAGCCAAGGACAAGGACCGGGATGTCCTGGAATTGGTGCGCGACCTGCCTGGGACTGCCGCTAGTGCACAGTGACTCGCCACGCCAGTCTGTGGCCAACACGCCGACCGCCAGTTCGTTTGCAAGCAGTGGGGCCAGGCTCGCCTGCCCCATCAAATCCGAACCTTGAAAAAGTTCCCGGTGCCGCCGCCGTCGCCGCCGCTGCAGCCTTCCGAGCAAGGTGGCCAGGACCTGGATGTGTCGGCAATGAGCCAGCCAGTGACAGCCATAGAGCCGGACCCAGAGCACTAAACCCCTAGACATAGCATTTTCGTCTTTATTGATACCCCGCCCTCCCCGCACATTGTTTGGCTAGAAATCTAATCGAAGAGTGCCTCGAGCTGCTTGCTCTCGAGAGCTTGCTCGCCAATCCCGCTGCAGCTATCGTCCGATGAGATAACGACTGTGATTGCTGGCGACTGCTCACGGTCAACAAGGGGCATCACAAATGTGTTGAAGACATGCCGCAAGTCGTCTAGCGTCACTGCGCGCAGATGCTCGTTGGCCCACCGGTGCTTGGCTGTTGATATCGGCAAACCCTTGAAGACATGCCTCGGCTGCAGTTACAAGCAGCCTGCTTGGCTTAGACACGCTGCTCACCTGCTTGAACAGGGCAACTGACCTTGCCACCTCGAGCTTGAACCTATCAATTCTGCTGGTCCCAGCTGCTCCTGATTTCCAGCAGCGCAGTCTTTCAGCACATCATATGCTTCGCCTATATTTGAGGTCTTGTTGCACACCAGGGTGCACGTCTGCATCGTACTATCATACAGCAGCTTTGGCGAGTAACCCAGGCCCTTGTCACGGATTGCATTGCTCAAGAGTCCTTCATTGGCTCCAAGGATACGTGCCAAAAGTACCATCGCGTAGTGGTCTTTTGCAGGAAGTGGCAGAGGCAGTGCATCCACATCCAAACTGCCAATGTCGCCCGTGTACCTGGCAACAACACACGGCACTGTGATGCGCCAATATGCCGATTTCTCGCTCTTGACAATCGCATGCACTGGCCACTGACTCCTGAAGCTTGGGCATATTGGCATGCACCTGCTTCAAGAGACTCAATGGATGCTCGCTGGAAACAAATGGTGGCAATAGTAGCAGACGATGAGACACTGGACGCCGCAGCCATGGCATCCCACTCGGCAACAAAGCTATCTGCGCTGAAACCAATATCATAACCGCTTGGGATGCCGAGGGTGACGATTCCGCTGTGAAGGCCTCTACCAGCGCATCCCTTGAGTCAAATGCCTCTTTATGCGATTCAACTTGTCCAGAATTTCGCTCTTGCTGGGCTGCGCTGCTTTGGCCAGCTCCTCGTATATTTTATCCAAAACCTGCCTTCTTTTCGTGGTCAGACCCGTTGGTCAGCGTGTTAATGATAGCATCCTTCTGGGAGCGGATTCTGTTGGCCAACATGTCCAGCTGTCCGCCCTTGCCGTCCGCAACACTGCAGACCAGCTTTTCCAGAATCTTGCTCTGCCTTTCCTGGTCTCCTTTCAGTCAGATTCTGCAGAATGCGGATCCTTCTCGCCACTGGACCCAAGAGCAAGCTTCCTGCCCACGTCCTTGAGCACTGCTTGCTGGTGGAAAATGTCTACATGCATGCGAGCAGACCTTGCCCTACTGTGCAATATGCTGCTGGAAATGTCGCGAATTAGATGCGTCGTGCTGAAGTTTGCGGATGAGCAATGATCGACTTCATCTGGTTTACCATGTTCAGCGTGTTATCCTCGGTGAATCTGGCAAAGAATAGCGACAGCAGCAGTGACTTGACCATCTGGCCTGCATTTTCTGCGGGTGATACGCCTGTGATAACCATATAGTCGCCGAAGCCATCCGAGCTCAAAGCCGTCATCTGTAAATCCAATGCGGACATCAGTCTCTACGCTGTTGTTCTTCTGATAGCTACGCAGCTGTATCTCTGAAGTAGCACCGTTTGAATCTGGGACCAGTGCTGGATCAATGGTGCTGGCGATAGCACCAGGAATAACAAGGTCCGATGTAAGGAGGGTCCATTCAAAGATTGGAACATATGGCCACAGGTCAAGCGGCAGCTCAGCCATCGAAAGCTGCATGTGCACTCGCGCCATGTATGAATCATATCCGACTGACTTGGATATAGTTAAAAGGCCGCGGATTACTCGCATGTGGGCATGCTACATAGCTCGTGGCAGCCGGAATTTCTGAAATGTCTGGGGATGATTGATAGGCATCCATTTGCTCGCAGATTTCCGAGGAGATACGCGTGTCGGTCGGACTCTGTCCAACCGCCACGTATACATCCCGTACTCTGGAATACTACATGTCTCGCTGGAAGTGATACTTGTGTCTTCGTCGTCGTCCTTTTTGATGTCTGGGATCAGTTTAACCTCGCACATTTCATCATCTGCGAGCACTCCGATTAGATTGATCCAAAAATCGCTGTCCTTATCTGCAAGCTCATCCAAAACACTAAACGTCCTCATGCTCGAGCCAACGGGTCCGCCCGACCAGTGCGCACTGACAATATCATAACGCACCAGCTGCTTTAATTCCTCATGCGGCGTATCCTCAAACTTCTGCAAAGTGCCTGGCACGTACTGACTTGATTGCGACATGGATATCGTCAAGCAGCGACGAGCTGTGATGGGCGCTGCGTAGTGCTCCCCTCACAATACTCTTAAGGGTGCTATCGTCAGCCGCCAGCAGGTTAAAGTTGGGCTTCTGGATGCCTTGGAGCGACAAGTAGAGGCAGGTGGGCAGAGCATCATAGACGCCCATGAAGACGCTTGCAGCTACTGGATTTGTGCCTCCAGCAAGTCGCGTACTCAGTGGGCCAGATCCCCTCTGAGTCAAATACTCTCCAAGCACATTGTAGGCGTTGCAGTGAAGCTCATCCTCGAACTGTGGGCCTCTCCAGCCGTAGTACACCTGGCCCTGGGCATCGTCACCTGCCGCATACGCTACTTGAGTGAACGGGGCGATTTCCCCCGATGCTGGAGGCAGTGACGTCCCCAGGTACTCTTGCACTGAGTTGTAAACCTATCAGGGGGAATCTTTTCCAGCACCTCGCTGATGATGTGCTCCTCTGTGACACTGCCAGCAATGACCACTGTAATGTTGCAAGGATCGTAAAACTCGGAATGGAAGTCTACTATCTCTTTGTGAGTAATGGTGGAAAGGAGTCCAGTATATCCACCTGGATAGTGGGCGTAAGGCGAGTGGTCAGGATATAGCTTCTTTAGCATCGTGTGAATAACAATATCATCAGGCTTGTCTTCTCTGGAGAGCATTTCGTTGTACACAACGCCGCCTTCATGGCCCTGGTCATTAATCTGATAGACCTGCGTGGGCAGCTGCTGCGGGTCAAGCAGTGGGTTGATAACATGGTCGAGATATACAGGCAAAAGCCTGCCAATGGCCTTTTCACTGATTGCACTGGCAACATAGACGGTGTGGTCGGCACAAGTCATTCCATTGCGACCGGCACAATAGTTGCGCTGCATGAATGCCGTTAGGTAGCCGCAGTGGGGGTAGTGCTTGGAGCCACGCAGAACCAGGTGCTCAAGTGCATGTGCGGTGCCCTTGTCGTCGGTGGCCAGCGTCGGTACGATTATCTCCAGCGAACACATTGCCCCAGGAATTTTGCAGAGGACAACGCGCAGGCCACAGCGGTTATTCTCATACATGGTGACGATGTGGCCGGCACCGCCATCTTTTTTGCCATTCTCGTAGACGACCGAGTCGAGTTTGGTGTACTGCTTGCCTGCACACATGGTCAAGTAAGGGTGTTGAATATATATTGATGCAGGGTGGCTTGCTTGGTAGGGTGATATTGTCAAAAGTGGAGAGGCGGAATAGCGCGCATAAGGGATGCCATGAAAGTGAACAGCGGGCGAGCAGCGAAGGGAAGAGGGGTCTATTTATTCGCATGGTTTATGAGCACATTGACTTTGACTCCTTGCCCGAGAAAGCTGCCAGCTTGATTGCAAAGCTTGCTAAAGCGGCAAGTCAAATGAATGTGGGGAGGCAGCAGGCTATGCTTGGTAAAAGAGCGGTGTGATCAAAGTCTATTATGACATGGGAAAACCTCAAAGTCTGGGTCTGGATGTGCAAAAAGCAAACAATATGAAACTCGTAACGACATTGGCAGGAGCCATGTGTATTACTTGGCATAGCCGACCTCGTAGGCAAAGGCAACCGCAAGCTTTGAGAACTCGAGCATGTGGTCAAAGTCCAGAGTCTCGACAGTATCGCGCGGCGAGTGGACGTTTGTGTTGGCCTCCAACTCGGCAGACTCAAAGGCCATGGCAGACCGGTACCCAGCCTTATTCCAGCTAGCGTGGTCAGAGCAGCCGTATCCACAGGCAAACTCCTGGGTCTTGAACTTGGTATAGGTCTCGGCCAGCAGCTTGGTCAGCTTGCGCGTCTCGGCGTCAGTGCGGTCAGACACCAGGCCAATGACTTCGGAGCCCCTCCAGAAGCCAGTCATGTCAAAGTGCAGGTTGGCGACGACCTTGCGCTTGGCCTTTTGGTACGACAGCGCAATGTCCTGCGAGCCCAGCAGGCCGCCCTCCTCGCCGGCGTACCAGTGGAACTCGACAGAGCGCGAGGGCGCAAAGCCGCGCTTCAGCAGCACACGGAAGGCCTCGAGGATGGTGACAGTGCCCGAGCCGTCGTCGTCGGCGCCGTTGGCCCGGCCGAACCACGGAATCCACTGGTTGACAGAGTCCTGGTGGGCCGAAAGAACCACGGTCTCATCGGCATTGGCGCCCGTGCCCTCAACGCGCGCGATGATCGATGACTGCGGGAAGCGGTGGGGGAACGCACGGACAGTGACGTTTGCCTTGGACGCCTCAACCAGCGCCGAAACCTGGCCCTGGAGCCACTCGGACGACTTGCGGCCATTCTCCGAGTCGTAGTACCGGTTGTGGAAGGCTGTGAAGGGCGTCAGCACGTCGCCGTACAGCTGTGTGGTCAGGTCCGCCGTGGCCTTCTTGACCTCGGACCCGTGGGCCAGCGAGTCGGGCAGCTTCGAGATGTAGCTGGCGCCGCTAAAGTCCGACTTGGGCTCGTACAGCTCCTGGACGTCGGTGATGTCGACAAACTTGACGCCGGTGCGGCGCAGAACCAGGATATCGTCGATGCTGACCCAGCGCGGTTTGGCGCCCTCGCTGACCTTGATAAGGCGCTGCGACTCGTACAGACTGCCGGGCTGGAAGTCGCTGGTCGTCTTGAGGTCGTGGGCGGGCTGGTGGTGGAACAGGTGCTGGCGCTCGGCCAGGACAGAGCCGGCGAACAGGCCAAGGGCAACGAAGGAAATGCGCATTGGTAACAGTAGAAAAGAAAGCGTTGTTGGAAGGAAAAAATAAGAAGCGATTAGTGTGAGAAGAAGAGAAGAGCAAAGCAACGCAAGGCGGTGGTCCCTTTTTTTTTTTTTCTAGGCGGGGCGGGCTGTGCCGGTTGCGCAATTTTTCGGCAAGCGTGCGTAAACATCATCCTCGGTCAAGCAAGCAATAGTGGTCATGTGAGCGCGGCTCTCTATGCTGGGCGGTCCTAGATGCGGATCTCGTAGCTGCCAGCCTTGGTCATGTACCGCACCCACTTGACGGACTGGTAGTTTGACTTTTCAAAGACCTTGAGGAAGCGCACCAGCAGACCCGACGCGGTGAACATGAGCACCTGGAAGTCCAGCGAGATGGGTGGGCGCGACCACGCGACCTGCTTGGACATGGGCGCCAGATCGACGATGGCAGTCAGCGACGACTCCTGCAGCCCCTGGAACCGCGAGATCTTCCACACAATGGCGTTTTGCTCGGGCTGGTACTTTGCCTTGCCGGGGCCGAAGACCTTGATGCGGCACTTTGTCGCGCTGGGCGGTGTGGGCACTTTGATCATGACGTTGGTGGCCGACAGCTTCGAGTTGAAGTTGGACTTGACCAGGATCTCGTACTCGATGCGGCTCTTGCCCATTTCGCGCACGACCGGCAGCACCTTGAATGGCAGGTTGACGTTCTCGGTGGTGCGGTATCGCATCAGCTCGAAACTCGCCGTCGGGCGGGATGAACGAGATTGTGCGGTCCGTGTCAAAGCGGCCCAGCCGCACGCACTGATGGAACTGGCAGTCGGCGATCTCGACGCTCTCGCCGTCGCCCACGCCGCTCATGCCGCCCTGCCGCGTGCCCAGCCGCCGCGGCCCATTCTGCGCTCCCTGGCCCACATCCTTGTCAAGAACCAGCTTGTCGTTGAGGCCAAACTTGCACTCGGGCATGCCCGACAGGAACGAGCGCATGACGATCTGGCCCTGCACGTCTGCGCGCAGCACAGTGCCCTTGGCCGACAGAATGAGGTTGACAGACTCGATGACATCGACGAATGCCTCGTTCTTCTTGTACTGGATGTCATTGCGCCGCCACGTTGTCGCGCCTGTCGCCTGCATTGTGATGTTCTGCGGCGGCTCCGGGATGGTCTTGGACCGGATGCTCTCGGTGGTCACATACAGCTTCAGTGTGTCTACCTCAATGTTCTGCGGATACCCGTAGTCCAGCACCTCGTCCAGCAGCTCGTAGATGAGCACAAAGTTGTTCTTCACTGCCTCCTCGTCGAACCGCCCAAAGTACGAGAAGCCGAGGCCCAGCAGCCGGTACAGGAACTCGAACACCAGCGCCGCATTGGCGTTGTTTTTTGTTACTGCGCAGAGCCACAGGTTCTCGTAGCGGATGTGGAAGAAGGACGTGCTGCCCAGGGTCGTTACTGGACTCCGCACAGGCGTGGGCGACGAAATTACGTGAATGCGGAAGACATCTGCGACTGACCGCTTAACGTCGTGCCGGTACAGACGCGAAATGAGCACCTCGCCCTTTTGATTGTAGATGAAGACTGCCGAGAGCATAATGGAGAACTGGAGGGTTGTGGAAAGCGGTGGTAAGAAGAGGCGGCCTGGCCGAGGACCTAGAATCCCAGGCGGATAAAGTTTGCGGTTGGGAAGGTTCCCAGTTTCAGGGCTAGTCAACAATGAGCCGCGTCACGTGGGTAGCGGCGAAATTGGCCACAACATATGGCCCAGATGGTTCGGGGAAACAGGTAATTTTATGCACAAAAATTATGACAAAAACAGAGTTGGAGATTGAGTACAGGGAAGAAGGAAGAAAAATGGACATGGTTACGATGTCAGGGTGGATCCAAGGCCAGTGAGGATCGGATACGTTGATGCCCAGCTTCTCAATGTCGGAAATCGGGCAGGCGAACTTTATGCTGTCAGAGATGGTGGGCTTGATCCCGAGCCACGAGATGGCCTTGATGATGATCTTGGCCTTGTAGTAAAAGTTGAGGTTGGGACCACCGGCGGTGCACGCCCTCTGGACGATGCTGGCAGGCGTTGAAGGTAGTCCGAGTTGTTGGTGTCGAGGCGGAAGTTGAACCAGATGGGCATGTCGTTGCCCTCGCTCTTCTTGGGCATCGTGAACGGCGTCTTCAGGCCGCCGCTGCCAACGGGGAAGTTGGAGCCGCCCGCAGTCGTGTTCTTCAGGAACCCGTCGACAGTGACGTTGTGGATGGTCCACGGGATAAAGTTCGGGTTGGTCACGTTGAGGTGGATAACCAGCGGCACCTGTAACGACGCCCTGGCGGTTCACAGTGGTGCTGTCGAGCAGCTGCTCGACGGCGTTGTCGGAGCTGGTGGTACCATCGCGCTGCGACGGAACAGTGACATTGGTGAACTCGACGCTCGGGATGCGCGGCCAGACAAAGTACAGCGTGACGCCTAGCCCAATAAGAATGACAATGAGGATGGGGATGAAGATGCAGCAGCACTTTTTCGAGCAAGCAGCAAAAGTACCCGCCTCCGCAACACCGCCGCTTGCGCCTGGCCGGTGTCTTGTCCATCATCATTGGCTCGATCTAGATACGAGGCCTTTGGGTAGTCGCCCGCTGGCAGCGACGGGCTGTTCTCGTAGCGGTCGTATCCGCGGCATGTAGTATTCGGATGTTGGAGACACCGGGCCGGCCGCGCCATTCATGCATTGTCGGGGTGTGTGCCATTTGCTCGTTGTTCGTGTCGTGTCCGGCGTATTGATGGGAGTGGCGATGTCACCGATGTGTTGAGGTATTCGCGCGGCTGTGAAGGATAACCGGTATTGGATGTGTGAGAAGGAAGAGCAAAGTGGCTATCATCGCTGGCGCCGTGGTGATAAGGAGGGGGGTACGAGCCAGACGAGCGCGAGCCACGCCGGTTGTTGTCCTGATAATAGTGGGCCATGCTGGGAATCTATCGCGGTCGGTATTGTAATGTTGTTTTTCCACCCCCGCGCTCTGAAAATAAGAAAGTTTGGCACGTCTAAAGGAAAGAAGTAAAAAAACAAAGAATGGAACAGCGTAGGAGAAGACGCGGAATGTGGATGCCCCTGGGCCAGCGCTACTTTATTTTCCTTTTGAGCGAGAATGCGCGGCGAACGATGCCAAAACGCTAAAGCGAAAAGGGAAAAAGTCTCCATTGCGATCGCCGTTTGCTGGTGCCCGCCACTCTTTAAGCGGCTGGCGCAAACGGTGGTTCTGCACGCCAAGCATGGGGGTTGGGCGGACTGTGGGACATGATTTCGTTTCTCCACACTCGACATGGACCTATAAATAGGCTGTTTTTCGCTCTGCCATCACCAGGCATTTCCCATTGGCAAAGGCACAACATAAAATCATTGCGAAAATAGGTCTTTCGGTGCAGAGCGCAAATGAAACCAGGTCACCGGCCGGCTTTCTTCTTGGTGTGGCTGCAGGGTGTCATCCGGTCGCGGCTTGGCGCCCAAGCCCAGCAGACCCGGGCGTGGTGACGATGCCACCGGAATCGGGATCGACCTGGTTCTTGTACCGTCCAATAGAGCTGCCCTCAGGTCCAGCCCATGCCGCGCAGCATCGCCAGCCCGAACTCCTCGATCGGCACGCGCTCATAGGCGTCCTCGCTGGCCTCGTCGGCACACTCGCCAATGTCGTCGTCGAATGCCTGGCGCTCGCGCTCCTTGGCTTCAATCACCAGCTCCTCTGCTGTCGCCTGTGAGGTGACGGATGGCCTCGTCACGCAGCGATTCGGGCTCCCTGGAGGCAGATCCATCGGCATGAAAAGACATGCGTCGCTTTGACATCATCTGCAGCCCATGCTGCTCCTCGTTGTCGGCTGCTGCTGGACTGGCTGGTGTCGCTCGCCTTTGCCTGCTTTTGACTTGCGCGCGTGCTCCATCCAGTTCGCATTGCGCTTGACGGGGATCACCAGCGGGCCAAGCTTCTGCTCGCCCTCGCCGACTATTGTGTCGCCCTGCGCTGCGACAATCTGCATTACTTTTGGCGCTTCGTCAGCCAGCTTCTCGAAGCCCTTTGGCTTGGCGCCATTAGCCACTGCTGGCTTGGCTAGCGGCGAGGATGCAGAGGCAGCGAGCTTGAATCCCTTGAATCCGGTGCCGCCGCCGATCTGCTGTTTGGATCCGCCGCCCAGTGCTTTTTTCTGCGCCGGCTTGGTGTGGTGTTTGCGCATAACGTAGTTTAAAAATATACAACGAGTAATATGTCTCGGCCTGTCGCTAATCCTGCAATAGCATTCCATAGTCGCAAATATTGCAATGCGCCGATTTTGGGCACAGCGTGCCGGTGATGACTTTGGCATGACACAAACACGCAGCACACCTTTTTTCCCTCCGCATTCGTCAATGAAGACACTATTGCAGCTCATTCTAGGTCCGCTCTCTTACCTCTGGGGGTCTATAATTAGATACCACCAGCTGCCGCCAAAGGTAACTACAAACTACCTGTCCCACTATGGCCATTTTGCTAACGCCGCATACCACCGCTTCGAGAGCTGGAGCGACTGTGCGCCATGCCAGGAGTTCGACGATATTGCGCAGTTTAACCTGACCGCCGCCTGGTCGACGACGACAATGCCGGCATTCAGCCGCGGCTTTGTCGGCGTCCATTCACAGCGCCAGGAGGTTGTGGTTGTCTATCGCGGAACCACGCACCCAATGGACGTGCTTGCGGATTCGCAGGTGATTCAGGTACAGTGGCCGGCGGATATCGGGGGGTCGCGCGTACATGCTGGATTTGTAGCCGCGATACATGGCGTCCCGGGAGATTATGAAAGATGCGCTGGGCAAACTGGTGATGGAGTATCCCACGTACGATGTCCACTTTGTGGGCCATTCGCTGGGCGGTGCGCAGGCGACGCTGGCCTTTTTGGAAGCCGTCTCAGACACCTCGTCCTTTGGGGATATACGCCTGGTAACGTTCGGCGCGCCCCGGGTCGGCAATGCCGTGTTTGCGCAGTACGCCAATGCCCAGCTGTCGTCCAAGCACAGCGCGCTGCGAGTCACGCATGAAAGCGATATCATACCGCACTTGCCGTCGTCGCTGCTTCCCAAGCACTACATGCACAGCGACCAAGAGTTCTGGATCCACGGACGACGAGCTCATCCAATGCCGGCCTCCACGACGGACGGACCAGGCGAGGACCCCGAGTGCGCTGCCAGCACATTCCCGCTGCTCCGGAACCTGCACGACCACATGCACTATCCCCGGCCTGGCACTGACCGTCCCCGAATACATCAGACAGTCAGAATGAACATGTATCTTTTAAACAACAATAGTACAGAATAATAAGAATCCCCCTCCTTTCTTTAGCCCTCCAGCGGCATGCGGCGGTTGCCGGCAGCGTTGACATAGTAGTCCTGGATCTGCTCCATATCGCTGCGCTTGCCACGGGTCATCTCAATGCGCTCCTTCAGCCCGTACCCAAAGTTGGCCAGACACACGACCGACTGGAACAGCGTGGCAGCGACCACAAACAGCGCAATGATGGTAAAGTATGTCATCATCGGCCGCTGCTTCTGGTACTTGGCCTCTTGCTTCGGGTCGTACATGCGCGCGCACTTGAACACAAAGTACGCTGTGCTGCCGCACAGACAAAAGATGAACACCCACATGGTCACCGCCGACTCGCGACGCAGCCCCCAGAACGCCAGCACCAGCACCAGCAGCGTCAGCGGGAACAGCGCTATGGTGATGCCAAACTCGGCGTCGCTGCTCTTCAGGATCAGGATGATGTAGGTGACCGCGAACCCGCTGAACGCAAAAAAGTCTATCTTCAGCAGCAGCACCAGCAGCCGGTATGCAACGTACATCCGCCGGATCTTCATGTCCGCGCCCACGCGCTTGAAGATTTCCCAGCCATATGCATGGTAGACAAAGTAGGCCAAAACAGCAAACGCCACCGACACCCCGGCCAGAACGCCAACCGACCCCAGCATCATCGGGTGGATGCGGTCGTAGATATCGAAATAGTAGTTGGACTGCAGCCAGGCGCGCACCTGGAAGTACTGGAATATCGCCAGCGTCATGACAAACACGTTGAAGAAGCAGAACCCGATAATTTGGATCGTGTCGCCCGACAGCACTCCGCCAATGACCAGGAACATGCTGAACACCTGCGCAATGGATAAGCAGCATAAAGTAGATGGCCACGCCCTTGTCCGTGGACCACCTGTTGAAGACGTTGTTGTCGACCTCCTGCAGGACAATGACCAGAATGGACGTCTCGAGGCTGATAATTGCCAGGGCCTGCAGGCAGACCAGCCAGGTCGCCAGCTTGCCAGACCAAGGCATTTTGTGGAAGCTCTCGCTGATTGCCATTGCAAGGAAATAATAATAAATGCCTGTGCAAAAAATGAAGGAAAAGTAACGAACGAAGGAGAAATTGGCGAGGCGGAAAGCGAGGGAGGCGCAAAAAAAGACCGTTCATTGACCTGCCGCTTGGTCACCTGGTTGGCTCATCCCAGGCCGGTTGGGGGCAGGCAATACACAAGTGACGCGCACTGGCTTGGCGCACAGGGAGACTTGTCTCCTTCTCGCTCTATTGCCCCACACCCTTTCTGTATTTCTAAACTATGGACACCGAAGTCAAGCTATTCAACTCGTCGACCGAGCGCGAGCGGTACGAGAACCTGGCGGACCTCTACGCCATCATTGTGTCGCTGGAGAACCTCGAGCGGTCGTTCATTCGCGACTCGGTCACACAATCCGAATACACAACCGAATGCTCCAAGCTCCTGTCGCAGTACAAGACGGTGTCGCAGATAGTGAACAAGCCGGACCTGAAGGAGTTTGCGCACACATACAAGCTCAGCTGCGCGGCGGCATTGCACCGGCTCGACGTCGGCGTGCCCAGCACGATCGAGCACGAGACGGTCGATGTGTCGGGCAACAACGTCAAGCACGTGGCCAAGATCGTGCAGGACTTTATCACGGTGCTGGATGCGCTGAACCTGAACATGCTGGCAGTCGACAAGCTGCACCCGCTGCTGACCGACCTGGTGAAGGACCTGAACAGCGCGTCGTTCCTGCCGGCGGACTACAAATGGCGCAGCACGCTCAAGGACTGGCTGATTACGCTGAACAAGATGAAGGCGAGCGATGAGCTGGACGCTGACCAGTCGCGCCAGCTGATATTTGATCTGGAAAAGGCATACGCCGATTTCCACAAAGCACTGGACTCGAAGGAATAGATGGGGAGGACCGATGGCATGGAGCGTGGTTGGCAGGCATGCAGCGCGAGGTTGGCCTTTTGCTAGATTTCCAGCCAGAACAGTCAAAACAATCATCGCCCATATGCCCATGATTGGCGTAGAAGCTTTCACTCACCCATCCGTATGCGTGGATCTGCCATGCGCTACGCAGCGAATATTCCCTGGTGGCCATATTTAGATGTGCGCTGGTCTGCTGGAGGCAGTAGCGGCTGTGCAGGGGCTAAATGTGCTCATACGTGTGGACGTATGCGAATGACGAGCTATTCTGCGTGCTCTTTGCTTCACAGCAGGAGCCTGTTCAGGATTCTTAAAAGGCAGGGACCGCGGTCTGCGTGCGCTTCTTTTGAAGACAGATTCTTTGGTTTCCAACTCAAACTCTCTCCCTCCCCCTTCCCTCGCTTCACTCTGTACACTTTCAAGGCTGGTTCCTTAAAGCGCAAACTACATCCCCTTCCTAAACATATACATTTCATCGCATTTCCATTCCTCCTCCCCCCTTTACCCACTTCGATATGATGTTGAGCATTACCCGCCTTGTTGCCCTTACCCTCGCAGCTGTTGCCTGCTCCCTGGTGCGCGCAGCCCCCATCAGCCAGCCAGCCTACTCGACGCTCCCCATGAGGTCGTTTGAGCCGGTGACGACCACGTATCACTCGGACTGGATCTACGATTCCACCACGCCGGTGCCATCGGACACGACCAACTACGACACGGTGTCGATTCCGCTGAGCAACTTTGAGACGCCGCCGGCCGGGTACACCACATATCCCGTGAGCTCAGCGACTCCGACGGCCTCTTCCTCGGTCGTGCCTTCGGACACGACCAACTACGACACGGTTTCGATTCCACTGAGCAACTTTGAGACGCCGCCAGCCGGGTATACCACGTATCCGGTGAGCTCCTCTGCGGTTGCGTCCGAGGCTACAACCAACTACGGCACGGCTGTCCCCACTGCTACCTCCGCTCCGGTGGACCGTTGCCCGGCAAACTAGAGCAGCCTGCGTTCCTAGATGCTGTTTTTGTTTTGAAGTGACAACTGAAAAATTAATGATATTCCAACCAGAAACTACATGGCATTGACGAGTACCTTCAGCAGCCGCTCCTCGAACCCCTTCTTCCCCTGGCTGGCCGTGTCTTTGAGCTCGCTGGCAGGCGGGAAGCTGGCAACCCAGGGGCCCGTGGCTGTATGGTCGGATGCAGTTGGATGCTTGGGGCCGAAATAAAGCCTGAGGTTCCAGTCCTCCCACTTGGCCACGGCAACAATCTGTCGGTGCCTGGCGCCCTCCCACCACTCGCCGACAACACACAGCTGCGACTGGTGGACATGCCACTGTCCCATCTGACACTGCTTGCCCAGCCTCTGGTAGCTGCACCTTGACAATGCCGCTGCAACCCGCAGCAGCAGCAGGCTCTGCAGCTCGCGACGGAGCTGATCGGCAAACTCGGGCAGGCCGTTGAGCGGGACCACGCGGAATACGCGGTTAATGTACAGCTGCTCACTCGAGTTGCCCATGTCGTCGTTGATGATGGGGTGCGGCGGGAAAAAGCCCTTGACAAACATCAGTGTGCCTTGGCTGTCGATGCGGAATGCCATCACAGTGCCGCCCTGGAACCGCAGGCGGATCACATACATTGTGTTGCCGCATGGTAGGTCCTTCGCATCGCGTCGCAAGAGGCGCATGTCATCGAGAGCTCCTTTGTGCGGGACCGCGTGTGTGCGGCCAAAGTGTGAGACGACCTCTATAGGTTCGTCAACCAGACGGCGCCATGCCGAGCATGCGTACCGCGTGTATGTGGCCAGGATATGCTGCCAGCGCACAAACTGGATGTTCTCGATGACTGGCGAAAGGATGAGCAGTTCGGGTTTGGCAACAGTCACAGACGACCCCCCACTGCCGTTGTTGCCGCTGCCGCTGCTGCCGCTGCTGCTGGCCGCATGGTCAGTCTCTGGGCTGATGCCTGTGGTGAAGGGGTCGGGGATAGCGCCGCGTGCAGAGCTGGCAATAGCACGGCTTCCCATGCCTGTGCCCAGCATGAATTGCTTGACGGCACGGTGCTGGCGGCGCTGGTAGAACGCAGCCATCACTAGGGCGAGCTCCGAATAGTATGCGCTCTGCCACTCGTTAAAGCTGCGGTGAAGTCGCAGCCAGGTGCTTGGGCGCATCGCTCATCAGCCATTCGAACCGTACAGAGACGTTATCGCGGCTCAGAGGCACAACCAGCACATCGCTCATCTTGCCAGACTCGGTGGCAATAGAACGCACCGAGCCCAGCTCCAGCACTCTAGCCTCCTTGCTGAGCCGGTAATACAACTCGCGGTCAAACATAACCATCCGCGCGTTGAGCAGGCGTGTGTGTGCATCCGCACCGTCCAGGAGATCGTTGCTAGTATATGTGCTCGGCTGTTTGGCCGACGTCAAGCGCACCGACAGGCGGCGGTTCTCCTGCTTGGGGATAGCTAGCGGCACGTCATCGTCTTCGGCATCGACGTCCTCGCGAATGAGCTCGGCAACGCCATCCTCTGGGAACGTCGAGCCAGCGTCAGAGTACCCGTAGCGGAATAAAGAAGCGGTCGCCAAACACCTTCCGGTTGCGCTGCATGACCGTCCAATTGCGCCTGCGCATCTCAAAGGCCCCGCGCCAGAACCGGTTCTCGCTGTTGGCGACGTTCTGCAGGCGCTGGGCGCTCTCGCTGAGGATATCGGCAGCCTCCTTCAGCTGCTGCTGCTTGGCGCCCAGCACAAATTTCATGCGGTCTACCTTTTGCTGCTCGGCCAGGCGGACCTTGTCGGTGCGCGTTGTGCCTAGGGCGCCCACCGGCAGAGGCATTGGGTGGTCGGGGACGACACTGGCCACGGCCGTGGCCGCTACACGCGAGACGTGCACGTCATCGTGCTTCTTTTTGACTCCGCCTGCATTGCCCAGGGCCTCGGTCAGCTTCTGCCTCTCGTTGGCCAGCAGCAGCTGGACCACATCCAGCGCAACCATGATCTCGCTCTGCGCATGGGCCAGCCTCTCGTGCACCTGTGCGCGCACCGCGTATGCGTCCAGCTCGGGCTCATTCGAGGCGGGGTTTTTGTCAGCAACAGCTGTGTCTTGCTCTGAGGCGTCGCTTTCTGACAGTCCATCGAAATTGGCATGGGCCGCCCACAGCTGGGCGATTTGCTTGGCCATTTGGTCCTGTGCACTCAGCTCGGGCTGGGGAATGGCAGCGCCCGAGTCCTGCAGCTCGTATGCGAGCAGGTCGTCGCTGGTCTCGGCAGCCACCCGCAGCTTCTGCGATTCGTCCATTAGAAAGAGAGCGTGTTTTAAGAAACGAAAGACGAGGTTGAAGGGAACAAAAAAAGACTGCACTGCCTTGGATCACTTGCTCGGAAAGTTGGCAGCTCGCCGGCTTGTAGCTCGGCCCTAAATATGAAAATTGGATGAAAACGCGCGTACAACCGAGAAGAGAAAGGTTTTTTAGGACCAACAAATGCGAAATGCACGCTCCTTATTTTTTCCCTTGACGCTTTGCTTACATTTAGTCATTTCGCTTCCTGTATTTACTCATATTTAATGGTGTACGTTCCGAGCACGCGATACGAGGACGCGTACCGGCGGATCCAGGAGAGCTCCCTGGGCGGCGGGTGCACGGTCCTTCTGTTTGTGTCCATGGACGCCGACGCTCTCTGTGCTGCGCGTATCCTCATATCGCTGCTGAAGACCGACACGATCGCACACAAAGTCGTCCCGGTGTCAAACTACTCAGACATCACCCACGCCAACCAGACGCTGATTGAGTCCAGCATGCAGATAAAATCAGTCGTCTTTGTCAACTGCGGCGGCATGGTGGATATCCAGGACTACGTGACGCTACGCGACGACCTGGCAGTAGTGGTTATAGATAGCCATCGGCCATTCAACCTGTATAACATGTACTGGAACGACCAGGTGCTGTGTCTGGACGACGGCGACATCGACAAGAACTCTGAGCTGCGCGATGCATTTGAGGAGATTGAGTTTGGGGACAACCCTGACGAAGACGCAGCAGACAGCGATGGCAGCCGGAAGCGCGGGTCCGATGCGCTCTCGGACGACGAAGACGACTATGATGATCTTGGCCGCAAGCGCAACAAGACCGGCATGGACCCTGACGAGTTCATTCGCGTGCAGAAGGAAAAGGCCGAGATGCGCGATAAGCGCCGACACTACCAGGCAGTAATTCAGGCGTACTATGCGCAGGGCTCGTACTATGGCGAGTCGTGTGCCGTCAGCGTATTCCGCCTGGCCGAGCAGCTGGGCCGCCCGGTAACGCTGGACTTGGCGTGGTGGGCAATTGTAGGAACCACCAGCCAGTTCCTGCTGCAGCAAATCGACGCTGAGGGGTATGCTCTAGTTGTCAAAAAGATGAACGAGACTGTCCGCCGGATCTCGACCACCGCGCCAGCCGAGGACACTGCCCAGAGCTCGGAGCAATTGCGCTCAGAAGCATCCATGCTCGATTCACAGCTCGACAATGCATTCAACCCGCACCTCGAGAGCGTGCCTGAGGAGGACGACCTTGCATACCAGATGGCGCTTGCCGGCGCCGACAATGCTGCGCAGCTTGGCAAGCTCACGAGCTCCACGCACATAGCCCAGCGCAAAGCCATCAGCGAGTCAAAGGAGCTGCGGTTTGTTTTGCTCCGGCACTGGTCGCTTGACAGCGCCATGCGGTTCAGCCCATACGTCGCCACCAGGCTCGGGACGTGGTCCAGCAGGGGACGGTCGCGGTTCGATCTTTTGCTGGCCCGCCTGGGACTGTCCAAGGCCGAGGCACGCGAGCCATATGTGCATTTAGACCCCGAGCTCAAAAAGCAGCTGTACCGGAGGATTGGCCAAGTGGGTGCAGACTACGACATGGCAGATGCGACATACTCTGGGTTCGTGCGCGACTACGGATGGCGCAAGGCGCCGGTGTCTGCAGCGGACATGGTGCTGGCAGTGCTTGCCTTGCTGCAATGTGGGCCGAGCGAGCTGACCGAGGAAGCATCGACTACCGAGGGCTTCTATGCAGCCTACGACTCGCTCTCGCAGTTCCCGCTGCTGAAGCGCGGCATCGAGCACGCGCAGTCACTGCAGCGGCTGATCATCTCCCAAGGCGTGTCAATGCTGGAGCGGCGGTCGGTGAAAACACTGCGGACGTTTCGCCTTGCGGTTCTGAGCGACAGCGACCCAGTGTTCTCGCACCCGTTCGCGCTGCGCCAGCTGGCATTGTTTCTGATGCAGACTTTGCGCGAGCGCAGCAAAACTGCACACGCACGCCTGCCGTTTGTCATTGCCGCGCCAGTGCCAAAGACAAGCGAAGACGCCGATCGGCTGCTGGTGCTGGGGATTACGCCGCTTGACTATTCTACCGGCAAGGAGAGAGGCAGCTTGTATTCGGGCGACTCAAGGAACCACTTTGGGATGGTGTTTGAGGAGATTGCTGCCGAGGTCAAGGCCGAGGTCAGGATGGGGTTCTTTGACTCGAGCGCCTTGGAGATTCGGCGAGGCGACATGTCCGCGTTTGCTGAGCGGCTGAGGAGGCATTTATGAGAGGAGGATTAGAACGCATAGTGGGGGCTTGACGCAACGGACATTTCTCTGTGTAACCAATTCCATTTCATTCCAAAAAAGATGACTAATGTGGTAGCTGCAAATACATTACATGCCGCTATATCAAGAGAGACATGTGTGCAGCCTGCTACAAGCACCACACGACAAAACCTGTAATATCTAGTGATCTCGCATGTGGTTTGGGCGAAAAAATGCAGTGGATAAAACCGGCGTGTTTCCTATGCTATTAAGCCAAAATATAGGCAAAACGGCCGTGATCAGCATCAAATAATTATATCCCGGGAATCCTCCGTGGCCGAGTCGACAAGTGCTCATAAAGCTGCAGCCCGAGAAGTGTGAACAGCTCCTCTCTTGAGTCCCGCTTACATTCGCATTAAACCTTCACTCCTTTTTTTTTTCCTCTCCCAACTTGCACCACCTTTTCTCCCTTTCTTTTTTTCTTTTCCTTCTGCACAATGAACTTTCGGCTTCGGTAAGTTTAGGACGGGCGGAGGCATTGGGCGTGTATGCATTGCACGGGGTGGAAGAAACACTAAGCTGAATTGGACTTTTCTTACGCTAATAGCGACAATACAGTGACCACGGGGTCAGCAGCCTCGTCAGCAGCAGTTCCGGCTCAGCAGCAGCAGCCAGGACCTCTGCCTTCACCGCTTGAGACGCAGAAGCCGGCGCCGACGCATAAGCAGCTAAGCAGCCGACCTTTGCCGACGCTCTCAACACAGACAGTTACGACGACGACAGTTACAACAACAACAGTTACGACATACCCGCCGTTGAAGATCCCTCGGGTGGATAAGCAGAAGGAGGTGAATGCCAGGATGTACCCGCTGGCGCGGGCGAAGGCACCGGCGGCGCTGGAGCAGTTTGCGCTGGAGTCAATGGGGCAGCAGTTGTACTTTGAGTACAAGGATTTGGCGGACGCTCAGAATGAGGTACAGTGAATAGTGTGTTTATTGTTTTGTAACTGCACTCCCCTCTCTCCCCCAAGAAGGCGAGTTTTTTCCCATGGCCAGTGCCATGAATACTGGGCATCAAACCTTTGACCGGCCGCTGCTTGTTGTGAAGCTTTATGGATATTCAGCTCAGCGCCATTTGCAAAAAACCCTAAAAACGGATGCACTTTGGGGGGGGAATGCGAATCCGCTTGTGCGTGTTCATAGAACGTACTTTTTTTTATGTTTTTGTTGTTGCCCCTCTGTCTCTTTTATTTCAGAGCTGGGAAGCGAAAATAGGTGATTATCTGGCCTAAAACGCAGCCTTGTGGATACTTTTATTTATAGGATGTTTTGGCGTCAATCTCGACAAACAGGTCGGCAGTGACGACGACACAGCTGACTGGGGGTGGTGGCGCCACATCCCATCCAGAGATGACCACAACAACAACCAGCAACATTGGCGAATACCCACGTGCAATGACCCCGCTGTACACACAGGAAGATGCCACCGGCCCCTCTGGCTGGAACAGCAGCAGCAGCCATCGGAATGGCGGCGAGTTCAGCACATTCCGGCACCGAGAGGCCACAGGCAGCAACACGTACCGGCACCGGCGGAGCAGCAGCCCACCGTCGCCAGGAGACCACCACAGTCCGACTGCTGCATCAGCGGAGCTTGCGGTCACCCTCACCTTTGAAGCAGCGCGATCAACACCACCACCACCATCACCGACAAAGTGCGGCGGGATCATCGCCAGCACAGGTGCTGAGCCTCGGCCCAACCAGCGAGCTGATAGAGGATGCTGGCGTAATAGTTTCAGACGACATGGGCGAGGCCATGATGACAGACCGGCACAGCGAGAACGGCGATGAGATGATGGCGATGGACGACTCGTCAGGCGTCCTGCCGCTGCCGTCGCCGCTGCTGTCGCCACGCGCGCACCCGGAATCCATGGACACTGACGAGGAAAGCGACGGAGAGAGGCTGCAGGCGGACATGGACATGTCGCCGCCCGAGACGGCGACGGAGGGGCGGTTCCTGCAGCACGAGTTCGAGATGGGGCCAGGCACGTCATCGACGAAGGAGTCGCGGGTGGTGACGCAGGAACGCATGTCGCAGGAGATGGCAGCGCTGTACTCGATGCCGTCGATTCTGACGACGTATGACCAGCTGCCAGCAAACATGCAGTCGTTTCTGCTGTACCAGCTGCTGCGACGGACGCCGCGGCCGATCCTGCAGTTTGCCACGCAGACGATGTTGCCGGTGCTGCAGCGGGACTTTGTCTCGGAGCTGCCGGTGGAGGTGTCGCACCACATCCTGAAGTTCATGGACACGCGGTCGCTGTGTCGCGCGTCGTGTGTGTCGCGGCGGTGGCAGGACGTGGTCAACGGTGACGCGAAGGTGTGGCGGGCGCGGCTCAGCGACGCGCGGTATGTGCCGGACCACGAGCGCACACACCCGCTGGGCCACGCGTACTTTGGGCTGGGCAACGGCCCGGCTCGCCCGGTGACGGCTCCGCGGCCGACCCGCCAGGAGCTGGACACAGGGTCCTTCCCCCCGCGCAAATGCAATGTCGACGAGCTGACGGCGCATGTGATGGAGCAGGCGGGCGAGTCGCGGCGCACGGGCCGGTGCCGGTGCCGACGAACGCTTTCAAGGAGGAGTTTGCACGTGATTATGTGCTGGACCGCAACTGGCATGAGGGCAAATGTCGACACATCAGCTTTGTGAGCGAGGGCGGCAGCGTGGTCACGTGCGTGCAGCTGACAGACGACTACATCATTGCAGGCTTCGACACCAAGAACATTTACGTGTACGACATCACCACGGGTGCGACGGTGCGGCAGCTGGTGGGCCATGAGGGTGGCGTGTGGGCGCTGGCGGTGGTGGGCAACACAGTGATCAGCGGTAGCACCGACCGCACCGTGCGTATCTGGGATCTGGAGACCGGTCGCTGCACGCACGTGTTTGCGGGCCACTCGAGCACCGTGCGGTGCCTGCAGGTGCTGCTGCCGACCGACACGCGTACGCCGCTGGAGCGCGCACGCAACGAGCCAGTGCGGTACGAGCCGAGCGAGCCGCTGATTGTCACGGGCTCGCGCGACACCACGCTGCGCGTCTGGAAGCTGCCCAGCCCGACCAAAGACACGCCGTATGTTCCACGAACCGGCGTTGCAGCCAAGCCCGCAGCAGCAACTGGCGGTTCTACTACGACAGGTGCTGCGTCTGTGGAGGCGGGCGCGGCTATGGCGGTTGATGTTGGCCCGGATGCTCCCCCGCCTGGTGCCACCTCACCTGCGGCCATCCTGGCGCAGGCGCGTACGCAGGCCACCGGCCGGGTTGCTGCTGCTGTTGCTGCCACTGTTGCTGCTGCTGCCGCCAACACCACTAACACTGCTGCTGCCAACACTACTAATACTGCTGCTGCCACCACCGCTGCCGCTGCCTCTGTGCGAACCCCTACTGGGTCGCTGCGGGTCTCGGGCCCTATGGCTCCAAGCGTATTTGGCCGCCACATGCAGGCAGTAGCACGCAATGCCGACGGGACATCACGACCATTCAGCCTTCCGCAAGCAGCAACCACCGGTGACACGCCCGCGCGGCGGATCGCTGCCCTGCCGCAGGCGGAAATGCCGCCGCCGCCACGGACGAACCCGTATTTCATGCGAGTGCTGGAGGGCCATACCGACAGCGTACGGGCGGTGGCCGGGTTCGGCAATCTGGTTGTGAGCGGATCATACGATTTTGCCATCCGCGTGTGGAATGTGGTGACGGGCCAGTGCCTGCACGTGCTGGAGGGCCACACTGCCAAGGTCTACACGCTGGCGCTGGACACTAATCTGCATCTGGTGATCTCGGGCAGCCTGGACGGCACCATCCGCGTGTGGGACTGGGACACAGGCGCCTGCGTGCGCATTTTGCGCGGCCACCTGACGCTGGTGGGCCTTTTGGCGCTGGACCACAACACGCTGGTGTCTGCGGGCGCCGACGCGACCCTGCGTGTATGGGATCACCCGATGCAGCAGCCAATGCCGACGTGCCCGACGCAGCGGCCGTTCAGCAACATCGACGGGGACGTATTGCTTGGCGGGCCGCGCGAGACCGTGCGGCCGTCAGCAGCAGCAGTGCGGGCAGTAAGCGCGGCGCAGCAACAGCAACAGCTGCAGCAACTGCACCTTTTGCAACACCTGCAGATCCAGCAGCGGGCCAACGACCAGGTGCACCAGCAGCAGATTGCCAATATGGCTGGCGAGGACCTGGTCCGGACCGAGCGGTTTGTGCTGAGACACCATACCAATGCCATTACGTGCTTCCAGCACGACGGCACCAAGATTGTCAGCGGCGCCGACGGTACCGTCAAACTGTGGGATGTGCGCACCGGCGCCTTTGTCCGTGACCTGCTCAGCGGCCTGTCGGGTGTCTGGCAGGTGAGGTTTGACCGCAGGCGCTGTGTCGCCGCTGTCCACCGCAACGACGTGTCGTTCTTTGAGGTCATGGATTTCGGTGCTGAGCCAGAGTGCTAAAGCTCCCTTTATATACTAGCCTACACTATACATTATCAAGCAACATGCAGATATTTATTGTTTAGTGGAGAGCTCTAGACCCCCTGAAAGTGTCCGAGTGGATCAGGTGCCTCAGTGTGCTTGTGGAGAATGTGTACGCCGCGCTTCTGGCTTGTGGAGAATCGCCCGCCGCATTTTATGCACTTTTGACATCCTTCTCATGGAACGGCAATTGGCATGGTATATTTTTGGAATTGGCATTCTGTCTAATATTTATTAGGCGATGTCGGTAAAGAAGAAAAATGTGGTTTTGTATATGATGTGCTTCACTACTTTGCCTTGCTACTTTTATTGTTCAGGAAACAGGCAGCGGGTGTGTTTGGTGTGAAGAGTTTGTATATATGACTTCATGCTAAAGGTATATTTCTTTCATGACTTGAATTCAATAAACCTACTTGTGTTTGCGTATATGTGACTAGAAGAATGCATCATAGTCACAATATCTGAATAAATGTTCTGTATATATATTGGTGGTGCATTCAAGCATTTTTGTATATTTTTGACAAGGGTATAGTGTTACTTTTATTTGTTCATTACTCAACTACGTAAAGTTTGTGCCAACCCTAGTACATCGCATGTGTTACCTTAGATGATGAGTGGCTATCGGGTATATGGAGAAATAGTTTTTCAAAAATATGACTGCGGGGAACTCCGGACCCTGAATGTCAACATGTTCTTGATCTTGGGACCCATTTAAATGCGGCAATTATTTGTGAATTGCCACTAGTAAATGAATGCATCTAATTTAACATCCACTTTGTTCTTTGACATAAACTAGCATCAGTAGTTGTTGCTCAAGCTGGAATAAATACATCATTGCGCACTCAGCGAGTTGCTGTATATCACCTAATTATCTCTGAAGATACGCTTTCTTTGTCGACACACTCCTGCCTGCGCGATTCTTCATCTGGGAAACCCAGCCATGTGCCTGACGAATGATGCGCCGTTATGTGCTGAGCGATCTCAACTCCATTCTCACATGTAAAGTCGCAATGCGGGCATTCACAATTATTCTTATGAAGATATTGCACAACTGTGCTTCTATTCACCAGAGCGGTGTTGAAGTATGATGATCATGTAGTTAGGCACATGCTGGGGCTCTGACTCAAAACAAGCTTCCTATGCTCGCATAGAATATGTTTGAGTACTCGTGGACTGGGAGTGTATTAGCAATAGCCACATGCAGACAAATAAAACACAATATCAAGACTAGTACTACATTTGCAAAGTCACATCCTCCAATGTCTCTTCCAAGTCGGACTCCCACTGCAGCCACTCCTCCTTAGCAACCTCCCCTCCACAGCTGCTACTACTGCCCAGCGGCATCTTCTCGATTGATATGTCCCTGGCTGGTGATGGCAACACAGTGGATAGCTCCTGCGCCTGCCTCATCAGCGACGGGAACAACGAAGGGTCATCGGGCAGCTTCAGGGTCAATGCCGACATATGGTAGAAATGCAACAACCTGATCAGCTCGACATGCCTGTGCATCTCAATATGCGGATCCAGCGAGTAATCTGCCAGCCAAAACGTATCCGCCAACGCCACAGGCGCATACATGTAAACAGCAGCGATGTTGTTCAAGTACGCCTGCTTTTGCTTTTTCGATATCACCTGCATGACGTCGCGGTACAGCTCGGCGCCGACCTGGCGGACAGGCAGCGACGGGAATTTGAGCAGGCGGTTGTAGAAATGCAGCGCTTTGTTCTTGTACAGGAGTCCACGGCGCAGGCCGTTGCGGTAGGTGGTCAGCCGCAGGAAGCGCATGCACAAATGGATTCCCTGAAGAGCCGGCGTCCACACAGTAGTTTCGGTGTCCGAATCGTCGCCGAAACTCGAACCAAACCCCGCTGCTCCCTTCTCCAGAGACCTCCTCGTACTCCTTGTCGTTGCCGCCTCAGCATCATCCATGCTGTCAACAGTGCTCGGTGGTCCCGAGTCTCTGCCTAGCTCCATCATCATAGCGTCGATGTCTGGCTCGTCCACCATCGCTTGCTCGCTCATAGCAGCCTCATACGCCTCTGAGAACGTGTGCTGGATGACTGATAGAGGAAGGTCGACGCAGATGTCGAGGTTGGCTGTCCCAATCCACCAGAACAGCGCCGGAATCAAGTTGCAGTTCATCAAGAGCTGCGACAGGTAGTCTGCCTGCAAAGCGTGATTGGCACGGAAGCTTGTGCTGATGTTCAACATGAGCGAGCCGACAGCCTGCCACTGTGCGTACTGCGCAATCAATCGGGCAGCTAGCTCCACCGGCACATCTCTCGATGACGGCTGCTCAGCTGCATCGGGCTTCTTCTTGTCTGTGTCGGAAGGCACCTTGCGCTCGTTAGCGACTGGATTCCCGCTGTCGCTGCTGTTGGACTCTGATGCGCTCTTCTCATCCGCCTTCCCATGAGCTTCTTTAGTAATATCGCTACGCGGGTACTTCACAATGCCAAAGCAGGTGTGCTCGGATACCTGCGGCGGTCCGACATTGATCAGAAACTGGCGGGTCGGCAGCTCCTTCTCGGTTGGCGCCCAGTTGGCAATGGTGGTGATAATGGCGCGACAAAAGTGGCCTAGCAATGGGAACAGAGTCTTGTATAATACGTCGTATGCATCCTGTGCCTCGGGTGGCTCTGTGTGTGCAGGCCATTTGACTTCAGACTGACGTCCATCCAGCTGCTGCTCGAGAGCAGGAAGGTCCTCAGTCTCAATAATACCACGGAACTCAAATACGTCCATTTTACGTGAGCTGCCGTCGCCCGGGTCTGAGGGCAGCCGGTTGTCAGATCGTGACGAGCTACGGCGGTGACGGGCAGCAGGGTCACCAGACTTGTAGTTGATGGTGACATCGTTGGTCGTGCCCTTCCTTGTGGCAGTGTTCAGCGTCAGGCCTAGCGGCATTCCACGCTCATGTATCAGCCGTCTCCACCACTCTGCGTACTCGCGCTCAGTGCGATCCATGCGCGCACTCTCAACATACGTGCGTATGGCGTCCCTAGCGGCTCTCGGTGGCTCTGCAAACCACGGCTTGCGGTCTATAAAGAAATTCGGTGGCATATCCTGCTGGTGCTGCTGGCGCTCCGGCATATCGCCCACAGGTTGGTCCAGAAGGTTGTTCAGCTGTTGGGCGACTGGCAGCGGCTGCTGTGGCATTGGTGGTACGTGCGTCTTTTTGCGCATCGGGCCGAACCTGCCCAATTGCGCGGTCCGTGTACCGTGGCCATCAAAGGGATGGACAAATAGGCGCAGGCTGTCAACTGTCTCTTGGACTTCTCCTTTCAGCAAGGGGTACTTTTCGACAGACTCGGCAATCTGCCGCAGGGCGTCGCGCGCCAGTCCTGTTTTCTGCAGCCCACGCACTGTCTCTTCGTCATCGCTCTCGTCTTCGCCCTGCGCGCTGTCATGGATGCTGCTGCTGCTGCTGCTGCGACGGCGAGTACTGCGTCGCGGCTTTCCAGCAATTCGCCTTTTGGCATCGTGCTCGTCGCCGACAAGGAGCCGCCACGTGACCTCCAACAGCATCAGCGCCTTATGCCCAACCCTGACTCTCTGCATTTCGCTGCCGCGCTTACCTGCCCACGCGTGTTTGCAAAACAGCTGCATTGCCAAGCCGACTCTCTGCGACTCCCTGGTACTCGGTGCCCCGCGGCCATTGTCGGCAATGCTCCAGCTGGAGAATATGAACAGAATCTCGACGGCCAGCTCGGTGTCGTTGGTGGTTATATTGCTGTTGCTGGACAGATGGCCGTGGATCATCCGCCACAGGCCGTTTGGCATCTTTGACGCCCAGAACCTGTGGCTTAGGTCGCTACTTGTTATCTCCATCTGCACATCGTGTTCGGCTGCTAGCTGGACAGCGATGCTATCCGCTAGTATGGCCTCCAGGGACTCCTGCTCCCACTTGACCTTGGTCAGCTCACTACGGATGCTTTCGGCACATGCGTGAACGTCCTTTTTGGCCTGACTTGCCAGGTGGTGAACGTAGCGCACGCCATACGAGTCCTCGGCTGCAGCAGAGGGCATCTGTCCGTTGCGGGCACGTTGGCACGGCGGCAGGAAATCCGCAGCGAAAAAATTGTCGAGCAAATGCTGGGTGGGCTTAGCACCTGCTTCAATTGGGACTAGGTGGTCGTGCTTCTGTTCGCGCGACGATGGGAACAGTCGTGCTAATGTCTTCGTTGTGTCTATACTAATTGGCGCAATTTCGACGTTCATCGTGAAGGAATAACAGCAAAAAAGGGGCCCGAAAAAGATATGCGGAAACAAAGAGTGACAAGTGCCCTCATTGCTCCTAGTGAGGATAAAATGGGTAAAGCGCCTTTTTCGCTCATGACCACATGTTATTTACCCTTGGGCAAGTTCCAGCGATGCTCTGGGAAGAGAGTGCGTCAAGACTGAATGGGACAGACTGGCCGCCCTCCCTCCCTCCGATTTCTTTCTCGGCCTCGAAGCAAGATATAGAGAGGGGACCAACTGAAACGAGCACTGGTCCCTGTCTTGGAGCAGATCTCAAACCTAAAGTTATTATGTCTTTTCAATGGCATATCACTTCATTTCCATTCCTTATGTCTTTTGAAGCTTGTATTCTATGAAATAACATACCTAGCAAGACCCACTCGAATCTCGACACATAAATTTATTTAATAGATGACTTCTGCCATATCCATCCAAAAACCGTTCTTCAAGATTCGCTCCATAACTGGCGACTGAACACTGATGTTGACAAGAACATCTGTGCTCGGCGGGGGCGATTGAAGAATTACAAATGTCCCTGGACCGAAGTCTGGGTGTATTGTAACCATCGTCTGCACCCCGTTACCAAAATCCGTCCGATACATATTGCGACTGACCATATTTGTTGTGACTGACACAAGCTTGTACCCCATGGATGCAGCAATGATATCAGCAGTATATACGTCGTCTGACTCTGTCATTTCGATGAGCTGTCCAATATACGGCGGAGTTAGACTAGATACTAGTGACCGAACCTGGGCTGCAACTGCAGCAATAGACTCCATGGTGATTGGCGAATGAGCCTGGTCCATCGGGGTGACAACATATTCACCGCTAATCGGGTTGCCTATAAAGTTCAGCTCGGCCATCCCAAGCCGACCACGAAGGTCGCAAGCGACCACCATGCAATGTTCGCCTGAAATGGCGTTTGCTCGGCCTGTCAACTTTGCAATCCACCCTCGATTACCCTTTGCCACGTCTGCTGCTGCCTGCTCGTGAACCTTGTTGAAGGCTGCAGAGAGAACATCGTTGGTGGATAGCCGTGACTCGGGCGGCAGACACTCGAGCACCTTGTTATGGAACTCGTCGAGCTTTGCACGCGGAATCCGGAATAGATGCCCGCGAGTCGGGGCCTTGCGTGCCAGGTGATTCAGCAGCTTCCCCCGCTTGTTGGGCGATAGCCACATTATGAAATCTCCTAATCGGGATTTCTTCGAAAGCACTGCGCGGGCCGTCTCGCCGAGTGGAGAGCGCTCGGTAGGCAGGTGCTCCATGAGAGTATCGACACCAAAGCAGAAGCTTGCATCCGCCACTTTCTCGCCAGATACGAGCGCACGCGTCTCTTCTGCCCAACGGTTGAGGAAAAGGACAGCACTGGTACCGTCCGCGACACCATGGTTGAAGCTTGCTGCAATGACTATTCCGCTGTTGTCCTTCAGGCGCACGATATGGATACTCACGAGCTTTATCTTTCTTGTCTCCTTGTCAGGGCATGGAATATGACCGACAGAGAATATATCGCCGGGCAAAGTCGTAGGGTTGAACTTGGCCGATTGGATTTCCCGGAAATGTTTATCAGACTGCGACTCGCGGTACTCGGGCAGGTTGAGGCTGTTTCGGTCGACAACCACATTCAGCCCTCCCTTTCTTGACTGTTTGTAATACCCGGCAAACCAGGGGAATTGGGCGAGTGTCCGGTAGAATGCCTCCTGGAGTTTGTCACTAGGCATGAAGTCCTTGGCAGCAGTGGAATTGGCATAGAAATATATGGGTCGTATGTTCATAGTAGAATACGACAACTCGACCTTTCTACATCTGTATGTCGTCGACACTACGCTAGTAATAAAGTGATCCATTTGAGAGTGAGGTGTGAAAGCTGAAATTATTGAATACAAAGGTGACAATCCTAGAGTTCCTCGTCAATAATTTATACGGGAGGCGAGATTGTGCGGTAAACGAGGATGTGCTTACAGATGGGAGCTACCATTGAATAAGTGTCGATGGGTTTGTATATTTTCATTTATATTGCCATTATTTAATATCTAGTGGCTGTGCTGCTGTTGTTGTTTGCATGTTTTAGGTGTTAGGTAATTGTATGCGTGATGTAATATCTTGGCCAGGCATTGTGTACGGGTTGGAGTGGCTGCAGATTACAAATATATTAATTGCCGCGAGTGCGTTTACATAATTTCAACATTCCTTTTTAGCCATTCAGGTTTCAAAGGCTGGAGCTGCGAGAAACAGCATTTTGCAACCTGGTTTGGGAATTGCAAGGGACTGGCAGGCAGCCCACCGATACCTAATACTCATGTTCAGACAGTGTGTTCTGACTGGCAGGCCACTAGGATTAGATTCTTATTTCAAGTATATCCTTTGAACACGGTATATATTAGTAGACATGTTCAGCTAAACCCATCCAGAATCTGCTTTTCAAAACGTTTTCCATCTCTCGTGGCGCAAGATAGACAGTGACGAGGATGCCAGTACTAGGCGGAGGGGAGTAGAGAAATATAGACGGCCCCGGGCCAAGCTGAGGATGCACAGTTGAGAACGCCTGAAAACCGCTGCCGAAATCTGCATCATACATACTCGCATGCACCAAATTGCTTGGGGCAGTCATATGCCTGTGCACATTGCCAATGGCCATGAAATTCATGGTATACATATCATCCGACTCCAGCATATCAATGCACTGACCGATGTATGGCAGTGTTAGTTCAGATATTATCGCCATGCAATAGTCGCCTGCGGTGGTATTCGCTCTGCCTGTCAGCTTTGCCAGCCACCCCTGACTTTCCTTTGCCATACTGATCACAGCCTGTCCGTAGACCTTGTGCACAACAGCAGAAAGGACTACATTGGTACATGGCCGTGTCCCAGGTGGCAAATACTCAAGCGCCAAAGAGCTCGTGTAAGAGGGACTATGTGGCTGGACGCTAGGCAAAAGGGTATAGAACAATCAATGGCGATTACGGCCAGATCAGGGGATTCTAGCTCACTCTGACCTAGCTTATTGGCTGAGGCACTGTGGCAGCTATCCGCAGCTGGTTATAACCACCGGTTTGCCAGTTAGCTCCGGTCTCCGTAACAAGCCTGTTTGAACCGGAGGTCCGTTCCTGGATAAAGCTGACCCTTCGTTCTGTTGTGCGCAATGGACAACCTTTATCCCCCTGCATGTTTTACTTTTGTATTTGCTGGACCTTTAGTTCTGCTACCTTTTAAATGAGTGAATTCAGCGAGTTCTTTGTGCCCTCGTCGGATAACATCAAGTTGCATGCGCGTCTGCGGACACCGAGCAACCCGCGGCGTATGCCCTCGGGTGAGGTGGGGGTATTTCTAATCTGCCATGGCCTGCTCGACACGAAACACGCAACACTGTTCCAGGGCCTGCAGCGCATGCTTCCGTATGTGTCGATTGCGTTTGATTTCCGCGGCAGCGGACACAGCACCGGAACGACCAACTACGGCAACTACCTGGAGGAGGCCGAGGACATCCGTCACATGGTCGACCACATCAATGGACAGGACGAGCAGCGTGTAATTGGGATAATCGGGCACTCGAAGGGCGGCTCGAGCATGTTTTTGTTTGCGCAAAAGTACCCAGCAATGTGTCCGCAGTTGCTGATAAACTTGTCGGCGCGGTACTGGCTGGACCAGGAGATTGCGGGCCGCTGGAAACCCCACCATCTGGAGGCACTGGAGAAGGAAGGGGTGTTTATGTGGCGCAAGTTTGGTGGGACACCGGCGGCAAAAGCCCCCATGGTAGATGACGGGTATGCAGGGCTGGCGTCGGTGGATGATGTGCCGATGCGCGAGTACTGGGTGACGGCGGACCATTTGCGTATGCGCAATGCTACAGATATGTCGGTGGTGCAGCGGCTGCCGTTCCAGCACTGCTATGTATTGAATATCATGGGCAGCAAGGACAAGGTGGTGCCGGAGCGCGACGTGTGGGAGTACGACCGGGTGATGCGGCTCGGGGCGCCGGACTCTCACCGCGTCGTGACCCAGGTAGTCGAGGGCGCGTCGCATTTCTGGAGCAAGCAATTCGAGCTCGCGGCCATTGAGGATATCATTAGCAGTTGGCTTAGCAAGGTCCTGCCATTAGCAAAGCTTTAATAAATATAGTTTCAGTACGAAGTAGTAGCCCACAGCTTGACGGCATCCCGGAACGCCTCCTGCAAGGACGCTAATTTCTGCTGGACATCCAGTATACGGGTTTCGTCTTCGGCCAGGTGGCGACGCGACATCACGAGCATGCGCTCATCATTGGCAGTCAGGTCAATGTCGCCGTGCAGATACTTTTCGCGTATCTTGGTCTGCAATTTAATCTGAGTGTGGGTTTCGGCCTGCAGGCGGGCGAGCTCCTTCAGACGCAGCTCGAGTTCGGGCCGCTGGCGCTCCAGGGAGTCGTGGGCCAGGGCAGCCAGGTATAAAAGGGCCTTTTCGCGTGCGTTGTGGGTCGAGCGGAGGCGGTCGCTGATGAGCTTGTAGAGGAGTTGGTCGGGTGTTGCGTGAGGCGGCATGAGTGGGGGAAAAATACAGGTGCAAATGAGTTGCCTGGGGAGATGTACCAGGGAGGGGAGGGTATATATAGGGGTTTATTGTGTGGCGGGTTACAATAGCATCAAGGAGAGATGCCAGAAGTCTCGAGATTTGCAGAGTAGATGCTTTGGAGAATAATAGGGTATGGTGGCACCTTTTGAATCTGCTGCGTCTGAATACAGCCATTCCCAGACATGCTTGCAATTGGAAATACCTGTAAAAATATATGTCCTGCATGTCCTGCAGGCTGGGACGGGATTTGCTGGGTTCGGCTGAACCACAAAAACGCAAGAGGCTCAGCAGGTGGTATTTGTCCATGTGAGGTATAGTAGAGGCGTACATGTCACCGAAGACAAAAAAGAAAAATCGTTGTAAACAGCAGCTGCCTCGCGAATTACTTTTTTTCCTTCTCCAGTCAATTTTTATTATTTTTACACTAATTTAGACAGCCAATGTACACGGTGGTGGATGCAGTGCGGGTGGTTCTCGGGTACGCGATATTCGTGCCAGTGGTGGCAGTGGCAGTGGTGGTGACTCTGCTGGTGGCGAACATCATGACATCATACCTGTTCCAGCGGCGACACAGACAGGCAAAGCACGGCCCATTACGGCCGCCGGTGCAGCGCATACAGCGACTGGGGTTCTGGAAAACACTCAATGCGCAGTCACTCTACAAAACGCAATACAACGAGACGTGGGCCGAGCCCCATGTGCGGCTTGCTGGCTTGCCGCAGACAGAGACAGCACTGGCGCAGATAGTCGGCCTGGTGGTGCGGGATTTTGTGCATGGGTGGTTCCGCGGGATCTCGGCCGACCCGTCGTTCCCGCGCTGCGTGCAGACGCAGATAGTGCAGTGCAGCGAGGGCATCGTGGAAAGGGCGCGGGGGCTGGATGTGGCGGAGTTCCTGGTCGGCCAGGTGGTGCCGATAGCGACCCGGCATCTGAAGGCCCTACGGCAGAAGACAAGCAAATGGCATGCGGCGGCCGAGGGCAAGCAGCAGGTGATGGCACATATGCGGCATGTAGTGGATCTAGTGGTGCCGCTGGTGTTGCCGGTCGACCAGGCGTCGTTTCTGCCGCACCGGGTGCTGGTGCGCGAATTGCTGGTGGGTGCGCTCCTAGCGCCCATAGTGATGAGCCTGGCGGAGCCCGACACGCTGAACCAGCTGCTGGATGGGCAGTTGGCGCGGCTGATCCGCGAGCAGCATATGGTCAGCGAGCTTCGCGAGGCACTGGAGATGCAAGCGGACGAGCATGTGGCCACGTACCAGGAGTTCATGGAGACCATTGAGGCGTGCGGGGACGCAAACGAGCTTGTACGCATCCATGAGGATGTGGTCGCGCAGATCCGCAAGAAGCGCATTCTGATCATGGGTCTGGGCAAGGACGACATTGTGCATGGTGAGCGGGTGCGGGACATATTGGTGTATGTGAACCGGCTCTACGTGGCGAAAAAGAAGGCCGAGCGGCGGCTTGAGCTGCTTCGTAAAGATGCGCCTCCGGCGTTCGGCACGCCTAATACACGCATGTCAACCTACTACGCGCACCGCGATGAGCCCGAGACGCTGGGCCTGCCGCAATTCACACTGCGCGAAATCCTGACCAACGTGTCCAGCCTGTCAGCGTTCGCTGAGCACCTGGACCCCTCGAGCCGCGCTCTGCTGGAATTCTGGCTGAACATCGAGGGCGTCAAATCACAGCCCACCAGTGCGGTGATGGGGGTTTTGTGGAAGACGTATTTCACACGACGTGCCGATGAGCTGGCAGCGCTGGGCCCCGAGACCGCCGCTGCAGTATCGGATGTGCAAAAGTACCTGAAGCCGTGGCGGGCGCCCGGCGAAATGGCGCTGGGTGAGGTGCCCGAGCAGGAATGCCGGGAAGCGTTTCGCATGATTAGCGAGGTGCAGGGCCAGGTGTTCAGTTACCTCAAGCAAAAGGAGCTGCCTTCGTTCCTGCACGGCCCGCTCTACAAACGGTTCCTGCGCTCCTATGTAGTCACCCCGCGCCAGGAGCAGGTCGACGGTGCGTTGTTTGCTGAGAGACCGGAGATGCCAGAGATACCAGAGATACCAGAGATACCAGAGAGACGCCGGTCGGTGGCCGAGTCGGTTGGGTCGACAGGACGGTCTGAAACCTCGTCGCGACGGATGTCGGAGCGCTGGAGCTTTGCGCCTTCCAAGCCTCGCCCAGCGCCCATGGCTGTGGAGACTGCAGCGGCAGTGGTTGTGCATCGCAACGAGAGCGCATCCAGTATCATGCATATGGAGCCAGCCATTGATCTGCCAAACGACTTATCGGGATCGGTACCAGAAGAGCCGTCACCAGCAGACCATCTGGAGGAGCCGTCCGAGTATCTGCAGCCAGTGCGCCGCCGTGTCGACCGGTCGGAGGTACGGCGGCTCAGCGCGTCGTTGCGGTCAATCAGTCTGCATGATGCCGGCAAAGTCGACAGCGCGCTGGCCGAGCCCCTGGAGCCCCTGCTCTCTGACAGTGAAGAGGAGGAGGAGGAGGAGGCGACGTCCGAGACCGACTCTGACCCGTCGTCGCTGGTATTGGCGCGCGCACTAACGAATCCAGCGCCCGGCGACCTCTTCCTTGACCTGCGGCTCACGCAGCTGACCGAAGCACTGGCGCGCAAGGCCCACCAGATGGCGATTGTCAAGGCGCTGATGAAGCAGGCGATGACCCGCCACAAGCCGCACGAGCAGCGCATCTTGCAGGCGTCGTACCGGGATTTGCGCCGGGAGCTTCTGGCCGGCGTCGAGCAGCAGAAGCTGTATGAAATGTGTCTGCGCGAGCACACGCTGTCGGAACGCACGCTGCTGCACATTCCGCGCGCCATGGCCACCGACGACGCAGAACCGCATACCGTCTATCTGATTGAGCTGCAGCAGACCCAGGACTCCCATGCCCTAGCTGGCTGGGTTGTAGCCAGGCGGTACCGCGAATTCCACGCATTGCACCGCGAGCTGAAGCTGCAGGAGCCGCAGGAAATGCGCAGGCACGAGCTGCCTGCCCGTGCCCCACTCCCCTGGCTGCAGAAAAAGGACGTTGAGCAGCGCCGCCTGCTGCTGGAGCGCTACCTGTCTGGGCTGCTGCGTGTGCCGCGGCTCTGCCAGACCCATGCCCTGAAGCTGTTCCTGTCGGCGCTGCCGCCGCCCGACAACGAGCAGCCGCTGGGATGGATGGCACGCATCCACGCCACGGTCAACCAAGACCTGGAGGGGATTACTGGCGCCGAGTCCATGCTCGATATGATTGTCAAGGAGCTGGCCGGCCAAGTCACCATGCAGAGTGCGAGGCCCGAGGAGCCCACGCTGTTCACCGATCCCTTATCTGACGTGTTTGTCGAACTGTTCGGCCTGGCCAGCCGCCGCAACTGGCTGCGCAAGCAAGCAATTTCCATTCTCCTGAGGCATATTCTCGGCGGCACCGTCGAGCGCCGTGTCCGCGATGCCACCCAGTCCCTACTGAAGGACCAGCTGCTCTCTGGCCTTCTGGAGAATCTGCGCGCCACGCTGTGGCCCGACAATGGCTCTGGCGGGTTCTTGCATTTCCAGGGCTTCAAGCAGCGGACCGAGTTGCAGAAAAAGGAGTGTCGCGAGAGCGCGCGCACCCAGATGCTGTGGTATGTGCCCAGGCTTCTGGGCGCCATGGTGGGCAGGAAAAATGCCGTCACCGGGGCGACCCGTTTGGTCGATGCTGTGCAATTGCCCAAGGCCAATCTGAGCCTGGCGCTGATGCTATTCGATGCTGTTGTTGTGGCAGTGTTTCCCGAGATCAGGTACCAGATGGAGCAGTAGCGGGGGGTTTGACTTTTGATGTTTATTGTGCGCCAAATGCAGCTAGGGTTTCCCTGGACTTCTCCTGCAGCTGGTGTCCCTTTGCAATGGTATTTTTCCTAGTGAGTCTGTTGCTGTCTGAATATCTTTGCTTGGGGAGATGTGCAGACTTCAGGAGCAAAAAAAAATACCAAACAGACTCGCACTGTCAAAGTCTTCTGAACATGGTACTAAACACTATAAATACCCACCATTTCTCCCAGGCTAATTTGTTCTGCGACAATTATCCTTTCATTAATATTGCAAAAAAAGTACTATGTATCCTTATATGCAGCCCGTCCAGTCAACCGGTGAAGAGTACAGTGCTGGCTATGGCAGCTATGACTATTGTGATGGATATTCCGATCGTCCTGCGGACCACTATGGCCATCTGGTGGAAGTGCATGGTTTTAATTCCACGAATAATCGAGCCGCGATAGAGCGCAAACCTAGGCTTTCCCAGATCAGAGCGATTGCGCAAAACACTTTGCCTGCTGTTTACTCCACTGCTGCCAGTCTGCAAACTAGCCCATTTGCTCCTAATCAGTTTATTCCTCAGCCTCCTCCTCTCGCTCCTGGCCAGCCAAACTCTGTCTCATTGGCTCACTACCATTATTCCAATTACTAGTCTGCTGCCTGTGGTTTACCACGTCTTTTATGGCTGGAATACCCCATGAGTTTTCGCTGACGAATGTTTAGGTATATCATTCCTAGAGGACATGTTTCCATTTGTACGTTTGGTGTCGATAAATGCATAGGAACACACTCAGTGTTTATCAGGTAGATATTGTTTAACATGAATAGCCTATTGCTCTTATTACTGCTATTTAGTAATGCTAGTCTTTTCACTCTACTAGTCAGTAAGGGATGCTTTTCCAGGCATTTGATATATTCACCGGCATTTGTCGAATGAGTACTCGGTATCTATCAGTCTCTAGAGAAGCTCCATTGGTGCCTATTGTGTGTGCTTGAGATACGTGATAAAGTTTATGGAACGTCATGAGATCCTTGTGGCGCTGAATATTATTTGAGTACATTCTAACCTGAGTCTGCAATGGTTTGTACTCAAACACAATAGGGAATTTATTTTTATCCCAGAGGACCTGTGACTCACAGGTACAGCAATATATGGCTATTCAAGTGCATATCCAAGGAAAAAATACGTAGTATCTCGAGTTTATGGAATACTGCTGATAGCCTCCTGCAACTGAAAGATAATGCTCACTTTCGGTGCACTGTTCCACAACGTAATATTAAACATGGAAGCATGCTATGGAAAGAAGGAAGAATCTCAAAATGAATAGCCGTATCTCTGTTTATACAGGTAGTCAGTGCCCACACGAGGACATCTAGAGCCATTGCTGACCGTGGGGCAGGAAATGTGTTCTCAGAAATGGTGACGATGTGAGTGAGAGCCACACCGATCACTGTCTGGATTGGCACAGCTAATCAAAAGCACATGTTTACAATAACCAGTTCTGTGTATTCTCCATTACCCAAAGCGCCAGAAGTTATATAATGTATATACTTGTCACAAATGATGAGCATTTATTTATCATCACATGAAATACATGTCGCCCTCCAGATTCCGGTGCACTGGAACCAACGCCACATCATCGGTACGCTTACCTGTGAACTTGGATAGCTGATCAAATGGAATGTTTGTGTGGAATCTCCCCTGACCCGTTAGCCTATGTGCATAGTAGACAGGGGCTGGCATGGTGGCAGCCTTGGGCACAATAGGATACAAGTAGCTGAGATTGTATGTGAGTCGCTGGATGTCCTCAACCGAAAACTGGCTGTCATCGTGTAGCACCATATAATATGCTGGTCGTGCAGTGCCGATAGTCGATGCATGCGCCAGCAGGTAAAAGTCAAACAAGCATGGGTTGACTACGCCCTGCTCAAGCACGGTTCCCGGTAGACAGTTACCGTTCCCCCCAGCCTCGGTGCATAGATCCTGCCCTGGTGCGGGCAGTATGCGTGTGTGGTGCCGCTTTCGCACAATTACCATTGTCACCTTGGGCCGGTACCCGGGCTCGATCAATTCACACCCCTTGTAAATCCCATCGAGCTCAAGCTGCTTGACTGTCTGCAGCACTGAGTCGCCAATGCCATCGCGATAGTAGATGATGCGCTTGGGCTTTTGCTTTGTCTTGCTGTAAAAAATCCGCAGACAATGGCGCACGATGACGTCAAAGTTTTCGATAAACTCCATCTTCTTCGGGTGCTGTAGCACAGTGCCGGCGAACCGCCGGCACTCCAAGTCTACTGAGCTCAGGATCGCTGCTACTGACATATTGCCAGCCTCTGTAGTGTGATTGACGTCCGCTGATATCACCATTGTCGAGTCGATGCCAGGCATGTCATGGGTCTGCAAGCCCGCAGTGAAGCCGCCAAGCTTTGTGTTGATCTTCAGGCCCACTAGTGTCGTGTACTTTGGGTTGTTGCCCTGCCGAACGTTGTTTGCCAGCAGACACTGTGTCATAACTCCGACGACGGTGGTGCCAACACGCTTGATCTCGCCGTACCGTGCCAGGCTGTTTGCTGGTAGGACGCACATCACGAGCTGGACAGGCACCTTCGACTGTGTTTCGGCCGCCTGGCACGCGCTGCGGATTTCTGACTCGATAGAGCAGTTCATCGGCGCGTACCTGATGGGCGGTGCAGTGCATGCGATCTGGACGCCGATCTTACTGCATGTCTTGGCCAGCTGGTTCACAAATGTACTGACCATCGCTTGTGGCACCATGCGCTGGTTAGTAAAGCATATGATGGCCCATGATACGAGTTGCTTGCCCTCGATGACTTTTTGTCTGTCTGCCTGCCAGTGTGCGTGCGACGGAGTTATGGCTTGATCGTCTCGGAACTTTAGCTGCGGTGTCTGTAAAACGCGGGCGTCAAACTTTTCGAGCTGCTGGCTGACAGTGATACCGAACGCCTTCAGATCCGGATTATTAGCTGTGTCCAAAAGCTCGATTCCATGCTCGGTGATCCTCTGTCGCGCCTGTGGGCTGAGGCTACCAAACCGAAACACCTGCGACTGCTGATACCCACTGACTTTGGGCAGCATCTGACCAGGCACCACCTCGCACAGCTCCACGGGCACCATGGTTCCCAGAGCAGTCTTTGCACAAGGCAAGCGGGTGTCTATATCTGCCTTGTAGAACTGAGCGATAGGCACGCCGTCAATTCTCACTCTGCTGGCGGGCACTGGTGAGAACCCCGAGATCCACGCCGTGGCATCCGATCCAGGTATTCTGAATTTTACATTTTTTAGCACCGGTGCCATCCTCCGCCAGTCGTCGATCTGCAGGTCCTCAAGTGACTGCACCCGCTTGGAGCGGAAGAAATCCATCGCCATGTCCTGCAGTGTGCGGCCGCTGATTACAGGCACTGGCTTTGTGTGAATGCTCAGAAACAGCGAGCCCTGGCCTGCCTTGACGGTCTGCCGGAACCCCCACCAGATATCGAACCCGGCGTCGGTCCTAATCTTCTCAAACTCCGTCACGCAAGTATTCCCCAGAACACCCAGCTGGATCATAGGGTAAACCCGGAATATCCGATCCAGCACAAACAGCAAGTCGTGGATGTATGTCTCTGGAATCGATCGATCACCATCGCAGTACCTTTTCAGCGCCTTCGTCTCATAGCGCCGATGCATGCTAATGGTCACCTCGAACTGGTGCATAGTCTCGGGCCGCCCAAACAGCCGCGGAATGGTCTTCTTCAGTTCATCGCCGATAGAGTCCTTCTTGCCAATGATCGATTTGGGCGTAAATATGAACTCGCCACCATCATAGACAAAGTACCTGTCTGTCGCTCCGATTGCCGCCTTCACCAGTTCACTTTTGATTGCTACGGGAACGCGTTTGGCGCCAACCACTGTAGCCTTGTATGCGTAAATGTGCCTGCATTTAATTTCCGAAATGCGGAACGCATTCAGCAACACCTCGGTCGCTGTGCCAGCTGCACTTGGCTTTTCCGGTGGCTTAGGTAGTCCCTGCCACTGGTCGGCAACCTCTTTGCTCTTTTTGCCCATGTAGTCTACGGGAAGTTCGAATGAGTAGAGGAAAACAGTCGCAGAGCACCAAAGTTCGAATTGCTGTGAAAAGAATGTCAATTGGAAGAGCTGCACGCTGCTGTGTATTTTTCTGTCGATTGCCTGAAAATTTTAGGGTTGGGAACGGCTCGAGCCGCGGTTTGCCTTCTATAAATCTGTGAAGACGAGCCCAAACTCGCTTCTGACCAACATTGCCTGCAGCTTCAGCCGCTTCATTTCGCTTATGTGCTTCCTCATAGCCTCTGACGAGTTGAATAGTTTCTCGCAACACTGGCAAAACACATATTCGCTGGTGTCATGAGATGGCATTAGTAAAAATAGAGAGTTGGAGGAAAATAATGGAGAGATGAAGTGGCTCTTGGCTTTTGTTGGGAGGCAAATGGCGTTTATATAGAACCATTGTCTGATAGTACAACTGCAAAGCCTGCGAGTCACACTTTTAGCACATTGCTGGTAATGTGCTTATTGGCAATACAGCACATGGCTTTAGGAGTACCGATTTATTATAGTCACTTTTCAAAATCCAGCCATCACCTTTATATGGAATCCTGTGAACGCTCTTTAGATGCGTCCCATGGCGATTGTATCTGGTAAACAGCATCTTATGGATGGGACATAATAGTACAAGGTCGTGTCGTACCTTGTCGGGTGATGAACTTCTTGGAATCCCAAACATTATTTTGGAAAAGCAGATATCGAGAGCAAGGGTGTAAATGAGAGCAAAGTAAAGACGGTCAACAGACACTTGCAGGCAGCACTGCGTTTTATATCTGCCAGCTAATACCGCTATTTTGTTTAGTTAGCCATCTAAAACCAGCCATTAGGTATTGCCAACCAAATTCGTGATCGGGTAGGGTTTCTATATTGACTGTGGAATGGCACATTGCAGGGCAAATAATTTGGACATTCGGAAACAGCCATTGTGAAGCTGCCCCCAATATAAGTGCAGCGATATATATCAGCCCCATTGATGTACACAATCCTGGTCTGGCTTTGAATCGGTTAGTATATATTACTCTAGTTATCAGCTCTCCTCCAAATTCGAAGTCGCATAAAGGGGGAGAAGTAGGACGAGAATGCTGACATCTTGAGTTTAAGTTCTAAAAACGCTATTCACCAGATAGCATGATGGTTTGTGTTGTCCAAGTTGTATCAAGGCTACTAATAGAGAAAAATATCACAATTTTGTATTTGACATGGAGGTAAAAAATCAATTTTACATGCATTATTGAAGTATGTGCCTCCTGCGGTTCCGATTTAGCAACTGATAATTCGCCATGCCAAACCATGCTTGTCAACAGAACCCGTGGGTATTTTTTCGGTGCCTACTGAGGTCCAAGTACGTGTAAAACGGTTCATTGCACTGCCAACACATGTGGTTAAATTCGAAATCCCAATTGAAGACGAGCATACTACGTGCTTTTCTGCGCATTGCTAAATCAAATGGTGAAGCACCTTAGTTTGATAGCTGATAAGAGGAGAGAAGCGACGCTTGACAGTTCTCTGACCAATCTACTGATAGTTTTATATCCTCTTTAACACGTAATGACGAAACCAGATTGCGATCAACCCTTCAGAAAATATACAGATGGAGGTACCAACAAGCAAAAGTCGGTGTTATCTTTTAGGGCCACCGGTGTTGTATCACCAATACCATTTTGTGGTGCTATCATTATGCAGGTCTGAATATGGAAATGAGATTTTGATAAATACTGAAGACTGATGAAAACTGGCTGCCTTGGTGCCGAGTGATCGCACCAGGTTTTATAAAAGCCTATACACACCGCACAAGCTTGGTGGGTGGCTGCGAAGAGCCAAAATCATGACGCCAGAGTCATGGTGAAGAGAGGCGAGTCTGATGGCTACCGATAAGAAATACCAGTCTGGAAGGCTGTCGAGTACTTGGTATGTAGTCGCAGGATAATGCTGGTTCCTTTCAGCAAGTATAATAAGTATAATGGTAGTGTTGTTGTATAACTGATCCTGATCCTTAGATCCACGCCACAGTGCATACGCAAGAGTATAGTGGCCCCACTATATAGTTCAGCACATGCCAGCCCATCAGCAGCCCTCCTTAGTTTCTGTACTGTCACTAGTTATATACCACGTAAATCACCAGTATCCCAACAAGTGTTGTGTCTCGGGTACGATACACCTAGATAGACAGCCTTCTGCAACTGTCTAGAACACGTTTACTCTCCAAGCATCTTTCCACGACGTATATTGAACGTATGAAATATTCTGTATGAAAGAAGGAAGGAGGGATCACCAGGTGAAAGGGGTGGGTGCCCATCTAAGTAGAGGCGCCAGCTGCCTGGAATAGTATGGCCGGCCATTGTGGCCTAAAGGTCTTGATCCATGGGTTCCTAAGATCATAAGGATTTGGAACCACAGGTAGCAGATATGGCCAAGAGGAACTAGCGAATAGATGTTTTTGTTTCGTTCTTCACTCTGGCTTCGGTTTTAGCTGAAGCCTGGGCCAGATTCCAATGTTTTTTTGACTTGAATTATTCTGCGATAGTCTCTCAGCTTTTTGAGACAAGCACTGCAAATAGAGGTTTGAGTGCATAAACAATTTTGTGTTTTGGTATTATTCTGCAGGCTCATTTAGGCTTATTCGCTATTTTGTGATGGTGCGTAGTATATATTCAAGGGTGGAACGAAATAAAACGGGATTAGATATAGGAGCCAGCTCTGGATTGATGGTGCGAGATTCGCTATTTGTACGTGTGTAGAATGAGACTAAGCACCGAGTTTCGACTCCTTGTACTGTATTGTGAGTATCACGAATGGCTGACATGCTATTATGTAGTAGATATAGAGTTAAGTTTATTGTTTCCTGGATCATAAGAGTGGCTATAATAGCGACTTCGCACATATGCTGCATTCTGCCATTATGTAACAATACGTTACAGATCTTGCTAAGAATTACATGAATGATGCATGTAATCACTATACTTATGAAATATCCGATTACAAAAATAGCACATACGTGCCCTACCGGTATTGTTTTGCGGCAACATCCCAATTGCTTAATAATTACTTTAACTGTAAAGAGGGGAGAATAGTAGCGACTTGACTTTTGCTTCAAGTCTGTCTGCTATATTTATATTCACCGCCTCATTTACCCGCAAGTCACTGCCCTATATATCACGATGTGATCCGTCTTGATGGCAGAGTAGATACACATCAGTTGCCAACAATTGATGCAGCTGTGATGTTGCTACCCGCGAGGGGTGTGCTGGTGGCAGGCAGGTCTCAGCACAACCACTGGATGGGGCTATAAATATGGACACCCAGATCGGCCTTCATAGTGTGGTTCCAAATTCATAGTTTCAGTAACCCATGGATCAAAATCCTTAGGCCACAGTGGCCATTCATACTATCTCAGGCGACTAGCGCCACTATTTAAACGGGCACACGCCCCTTCACTTGATAATTCTTTCTTTCTTCCTTCCTTCCTTCATATAGCATATTTCATATATTCAATATACGTCGTGGAAAGGTGCTTGGAGAGTAAACGTATTTCAGACGGTTGCAGGAGGCTGTTTATCCAAGCTTACCGTACCCGAGGCATCACACATAGGATCCATGCTCAGTTGTGACCCTCATTCCTGATCAGCACATTTTCACATGCTTCCGTATTCTTGCATGCTAACTGCTTTCGTTGATGACAGATGACCTTCACTATTGCTGCTCATTAAAAATATTGCAAAAGTCGTCACATCTATGAGACTCATGCCTGCTGGCAGGTTGCAGTGCTGTTGAACGCCAAACTTTGCAGGTTCCTCAGAACGTGACAGCGGCAATGGCTGAGGTATTGAGGAGGAAAGAATGCTATCAAATTTTGGGGTGGTTGGTTGTGAGCACTAGAGCCTCCCTATACAGACATGCTACTGCTGTGCGCTTTTGCTCCAAAATTCTCATTACAACACAGTATCAACATGTGCAGTAAATAAGCTACCCAACCGACTGAAATGGTGTAGATATTCACACCTGTTGACGTATGTTGTTCTGGCGCTACTTCGCCGTGTCCATACCGATTTGCAGTCCGGTCTATGTGCGCACTGGTAGTTGGGGCTGACTGCTGTGCGACCACGCCATTGCCCTTCACATGATGGCAAAAGACATAAACATGCGGATTTGCGACCATGCAATGGTGCAATTTCATGGCGGCGGCGAATGAGATGCAGTACACGCTTTTAGTGGCACCACTGTCACCTGCGGATAAGTATGTATATATTCGAGGGTGATCCACAGCAGCTGCATGCAATCCAGGTCGTGCATGTGTGGAGTCCTATTTTTGTCCGCCCCAACAGTGCATGTTTTCAGCACGACGAAACTGGTCAGCCAAGGGGGGCAATCCCGGGTGTGCCGATGCAAATCTTGGCTAGTCGCCTGTGCCGCCTGGAGCTGTTCAGCCAGTCAGCAGTGGTAACGGGACTGAGGGCGCAAAAAGCGAATGGGGCGAAGCATATTCAGAAACAACCTAGAAAAGCTACGGTGAACAATACCGCAAACTTGATACGCTTCAAGGGGCCAGTGTTGTTGACACTACATTGCTTGGTGCGCAGGCAATAACAATGGGAGGAGAAAATAGCGCAAAAAGAGAAGAAACAACGCATATCGGCCTTTTTACAGACCCTTTCCGCATGGCAGTGAGCAATAATTGGCGGGTGCCCCCTGCCGCGAGATCGCCTTCTCCGCCGGGCAAATCATGCAAGTCTTGATGTCCATTGGCAGGAGACATGGCTTTTTTATGCGCTCTCAGAGCAATACCCTATCTTTTTCATTGACATACATGACTTTGCGCTGGCCATGGTGTACTCTTATACGTGTACGTGTACGTGTAAGTGTACGCGTACAAGGCCACATTGCACACCTTTGGTACTGGCTACCATTGTCTGCACTTAAGCAACAAGCGGGCGCCACTGCCAGTTAGCCGCCATCAAATCGTCATTCTGCATCTCTCGGACAAACACCGATAAACAATGGTCTGCATTCGCACCATCAGCTCTGGATTCATTGCATTCTTGTCGCTTGTCACCGCTGCGCCTGTCTTGGGCGCATGCTGGAGAACTGAAGTGCTGGCCATGATTAGCTGTGTGCCCGGGTCCAACGGTGTAGGCCCGCTGGTACTCGGCGACCGCATGAGCGAAATTGCAGAGCCATTCGGGCTACCAGGCCAAGGTGAAAAAGCCGACGCACAAAGGGGAGGACGGACAATGCAGTGCCCAGCGCTACACATCAGCGGGTATCAAGTGGACAAGTGCTGGTGAAAGCATCGCATGAAGCACACCCACCGTTAATGATGCCGTTACAGCGTGGATACACAGTGCCGGGCACTTCAAAACGGTGATCGGCGACTTCGATATTGTTGGTTTCGGCGTGCATTTCCCTTACTGGACAATGGGCGTTGCAAAGACCGCATCAAAAGCAGTGTGAACTGGTTGCATGGTCCAGCGTATTTGGCCGAGGGGGGCCGTGTGCGGACCAGCTAAATTTGGGAACAATGCTTTTCTTTTTGCGCGCAGATCGCTCTACACATTTACTTCCCTGCCTTCCAGCGCAAAGCTGATAGGCGCTCTTTGGGACCTATAGTGTGGAAAAAACCGTAGCCCGATTCCTGTGATTTATTCAATGGCCACCCAGTCTCGTATAAATAGTCTGGCAGAAGTCTCGCAAAATGCAGCAGGGAACCTTAGTTTTCTTCATAAGCTCAAGTCCATTCACAACCTCTTCCTTCACCTGCTCCCTCTTTTGCACACCCGTTGATCGGCGTTGCCAAACAGCTCACTCCCTACACATTCCGCCCTACCGCTTACTGCGCAGACACGACTTGCTCCCCCTACGTAACCATGGTTAGCTTTGCATCGACTCTCGTTCTTGCCTCGACCCTCATGTGCTCCCTGGTCAGCACTGCGCCTATCGCTGCCGTTGACGGCCTCGCTCTGCGCAACTACCAGGAGTACAACACGGCCCGCTACCACCCTGCTCCCGTGACTGTGACTAAGTATGTCACCGTCGACAACTGTGCCCCCACCGCCTACCAGACCTCGCCTGCCCCCGCGACTAGCATCTACGCAACCTCGCCTGCCGCCCCGTCCCCTGTCTACACTGACAGCGGTGACTCCAGCTCTCCCTCGACCTCGTTCTCCAGCAGCGGCTGGCACAACGAGATGCTCAAGCAGGTCAACGCTGTGCGTGCCAGGAACGGCAAGGGACCGCTTGCGATTGACGAGAGACTGAACACCATGGCGCAGAAGCACTCGGACTACCAGAACTCGGTCAGCCAGATGACTCACGACGACTCGGCTGGATCTCTGGGCCAGCGCTGCAGTGCTGTTGGCATCACCTGGACTGGCGTCGCTGAGAACGTTGCCTGGAACTACCCGGACGTCACTGCTGTCATGAACGGATGGATCGACAGCCCGGGCCACTTCAGGAACCTCATTGGCGACTATACCCTGGTTGGTTTCGGATACAACAATGGTTATGCTACGCAGGACTTTGCCTGCACATAAGCCATGCTGGTCATGTTTTATGATGGCACCGCTCCTCTTTAAATATGCACAAACCATTTGATCATGATAAATATATAGCTTTTTGCCCAATGTCCGTAAATGCGCCATCGACGTGGTGTGAGAATGACCAAACCTCTTGAAGAAACATGAAGAAACTAGCAAGCGCCGGCGCCGGCGCCGCTCACTGACTCATAACAAACAGATCCGGCTACTGCATGTCATGGCTTACATAGTGGCATCCCAAATGAGCCTCTCCACATTCTCCAGGACCTGCATCGCTGCATTCTCTGTAGAGGGACTAGTTTTCTCATCTGCATCGTCCGGATGGCCGTAGTTGTTTTTCCCATCTGTATTTGTTTCGTTGTTAAAATAAGGTATGCGTCAACTATTCATAATACTATCGCTTGTGCTCAGTCTATCGGCCTTTGCGGTGGCAGCACCAATCCAGATCATCCAGATCGTGCATAACCTTGCCAGCCTACGCCCCCTAAGGCCAGCAAACGCGCTCCCGGACGACTGGCGTAGCCATATGCTTGCCCTTGTTAACGCCGAGCGCGCAAGGTTTGGCAAGAGCCCGCTTCAGCTCGATTCCCGCCTCAACGCGGCTGCCCAAGAGCATTCAAACTACCAGTACAATATTCGCCAGGTGACACACTACGATTCCAGCGGGCCGCTTCTTCTACGTATCGCCAGACATATTCCTGGAATGCTCAGTGCTGCAGAGAATGTAGCCTATGGATATTCTGACGTGCAACGAGCAGTCGATGGGTGGATCAAAAGCGACGGCCACCACATAAATATACTGGGTGACTATAAGAAAGTCGGATTCGGCGAGGCCAACAGGTACTGGACACAGATGTTTTCGAAATAACACTTCTGCACAACGGTGCTGGCCATCCAAATAAATTAATAAGCGATATATCCACATTGCTGCACTTGTCTTGGCAGTGTAGTGGGGCTGATAGCTGTATACCAGTTGACAGTGCGATTGTTGATCCGCCCTAAGAAAACGAGGTTTGCCAAGAAATTCTAAAGATATCCCAGGAGCAAAACCTGGAATTTTCGAGGAGTCCTCAAGGCTAATCGCTGCCTACTACTATCTCAGCGGTGCTGCTTTTCTTTGCTCACTTGCAGCTGGGAGTTTCCGAGGACTAGGAGGGAAGAGCCATGAGATCCCCCACGTTGCGAGCTTGCGTGTGTTGGTCTAGACCATGGGCAGTTTTTACAAAGGCAGTTTCCACAAAGGCAGTTTCCACAAAGGCATGCACTAGGTTGTGGACAATCCCTGCAATAAAAATAGCTTGGTAGACCATCTTCTCGAGATCGCGAGGTTGGCGATTAACAAGTGTAAATGGTCGACCATACATGAGGACAATGACGTCCAGCGTTCTTGGCAAGAGGTCGTTTGAATACAGATGGTCAGTATAAAAGGATAAGCCGGATCTTACTGGTGCTTTCTTCACTACACAGCACCAATTCCATCTTGCATCTCAATCGCATCACCAGCCATGAAGATTTCATTTGTCTCGGTAGTTACAACTCTGGTCACTGTGGCCCAGGCTCATACCTATCTCAGCCATCTGACTATTGCCGGCACCAGACACCCGGAGGGAGAGTGTCTTGAGCCCTACCCCAAGCTACGCAATCGTCCAGTCCTGTTCGTTGACTCGCCTGATCTGACTTGCGGTCTGAACCGGACCAAGAGCGCCTCTGTCAAGTCGTGCCCTGTCCAGGCGGGTACTGATGTGATTGCTGAGTGGCATCATAACAATGATTCGCCTTCAGACGATGTGATTTCGGCCTCTCACAAAGGCCCTTGCATCTTCTACATGGCGCCAGCCGCGTCAGAAGGCAAGGGCGACGTGTGGTTCAAGATTTTTGAGGATGGCTACGATCCGAGCACCAAGACCTGGTGCATCAACAAGCTTCGTGACAACAAGGGCAAGATTGCTGTCAAGATTCCCCCAAGCCTGAAGCCCGGCGACTACCTTCTGCGCGGTGAGGTCATCGCCCTGCATAATGCCGACGCTATCCACACGGAAAACCCGAAACGGGGAGCACAGTTCTATGTCCACTGTGGTCATATCACTGTCACTGGTGGCGGATCTGAGGTTCCCAAGGGGTATGCGATCCCTGGCGTCTACAAGTACACTGATCCGGGAGTCCACTTCAACGTCCACAAGCCCTTCTCCGAGTATGTGATTCCAGGTCCGCCTGTTTGCGCTGGTGGAACCTCGAACTCTAAGGGGACTACTGGCCAGACCAAGCCCCCAAAGTCTCAGGCGTCGTCCGCGCCCAAGAGCGCCTCCTATGCCACATCTAGCGCCCCGGTCAAGACTAGCGAGGCTAAGACAAAGACTAGGACCAAGACCAAGCACTCAAAGACACGTAGTCCCTCATCATACCAGACTGTGTAGATGTGGCAGTGGAAAACAAGCAATTTACCGTTGGTGCTCAGTTTCTGCAATAAGCTCATATATCGCTGTTAACTTGAATGTGGCCAAGTATACTGCAGAAAGACCAACTGAACGTTACGTGCTTTGCATATCTCGTGAAAATGAGGTATAGGCAAAACGCAAATACGGGTCTGACTCTGTGCTATTTCAGTGTACAGGACACTGTTTACCGATAGCTCCGCTCACTGGGTTGTGAATATGCAGCGATGGTAACACAAAATACCGGGTCGTTCTGCAAGTGTAGGGTGCTTTCGTCACCTTGTTTCATGTTTGAGGACACGCGCTGCTGGCGACACGGTTCAGATTCTAGACCTCTGTAGAATAAATAGACTCGGGAAAGTATAAAATGCCCTGGCTTTTCTACCTACTTGGGCTCGTCACTCTAATTCAGAATATCCACCATTTACACACCAAACTCCTCGCTTCTAACAAACCGTTTTTCTGCACCTACAGCGAACAGATACCTACAAGTTTCGGTAGCCATGTCTGACAGCAACAAGAACTCCAACGTCGCTAACCGAGTGACCGAGGAAATCAACTCTGGAATTGACCAGTTCTTCGATGCACGCATCGCCAATCGAACGGATAATGAGATTCGTGCTGCCATTGACGATTTTGAACGCAAACAAGCTGCCAACAGGACCCACAAGGAAACCAACACCGGAAGTGACAAATTTATGTCTCAGAATATCGCTGGCAAGGCCGACCGCGAGACCAACGCAGCCATGGACTCGGCTGGCAGCAAGAGGTCGGGCCGCCAGCGCCACATGCACTAGACATGCACTGACCATCCTCAGTCTTGAGAGGGCGTATTTAGATTGCCAAATACTTCAAGAATAAAAATATAAAAAAAGGACTACGGGTGAAGCTAGCATACATATCGTCAATTTCTGCGCGGTGGTATGCTGCTGCGCCCGGTGAATCCCGTTCCGCTGGCCAAAATCCCATCATGTAACGCACTGCAAGACGCCTGTATGTAGTGGCCTGGTCATAATCTATCAGGGTATTTATGTTGAAATTCGGGAAAGGTATAGAGCAGACCTAGCGCTTGTTCACCTTGTAAATCTTGATCATGAACGTGGTGAAGGCAATGTTGAATGCCAGGTACGCGAAAAGGAGGCCAAAGTTTCTCCAGCGGTGGTCAAAGTTCCACGACAGCGCCGAGTAGTAGTCGTCACCAACCTTGTACGGGCAGTACTGGCAGCTGGAGGTGGCGTTCGGGTTGTTCAGGTATCCAATGTAGTTCTGGACGAATCCACCGGCGTACTCACTGCACGACATGCCCTTGGGCGGCTGGAACATATAGAGCTCCTCGTTGCGGCACCTGACTTCGGCGCCATGCAGGTCGTTGGTCAGAGTGCCCTCAAGGAAGTACGTGAACGGCGACAGCCTGTACATGAACTTCCAGAACTTGGGCATGAGGGGGTACGGGATTGTGACACCACAGAACAGGATGACCATCGAGGTGAAGATCGGGTTGAGCATGGCTGCAATGATGTCGTTCGGCGAGAACGAGGCGATTGCCTGGCCGAGGGTGATCGAGAAGATGCCGAGCACAATGTACATGATGTAGAAGTAGCCGATACGGTCGCTGCCAGAGTTCAGTCCAACCAGCCAGTACATGATCACAAAGTACATCGTGTTGGCAAAGACCGAGAACGGCCATTCGGTGACGATGATCGCGACAGAGAACGCGCGCCAGCCGTACTGGTTGGACGACGCCTCACGGCCATAGTACAGGCGCTGGCGCAGGAAGGCCGGCTGGACCTGGTTGATGATCAGAATCGAGATAATCGCGGTCTGGAACAGGGCAAAGACCTTGTTCTGAAGATCAGTGGCGCTGGACGAGAGGCGGAGGAAGGCGATACCGATGACAATGGCACTGACAACCTGCAGAGCAACACGCGTCAGGCTGTACTCGAGGTCACGCCAGTAGGTGCGGAACATGCGCTTGGTGACAAGCTTGATCTGGTACGAGTAGTCGCGAGCAAACATGTTCTTGTCGTCCTCGCTAACCTGGTCGTTGCCGTGCAGGTGCTCGAGCTCGTTGATGCGGTCAATCTCAGCCAGAATGCTGGTCTTCTCCTTCGACTGGTTCCAGGTCTGCGGCCAGTCAACAGTCGCGTTGCGGCTGCCGACGACGTCGAGAATGTACTCGGCGGGGTTGGCCGACGGCGGGCACTGGGGTCCGCCGTTCTTCTCAAAGTAGTTGATCAGGGTCTGGGCATCATGGCCGATGTCGCCAAAGTACACGGTGTGGCCACCGCGCACAAGCAGCAGCAGGCGGTCAAACTGCTCGAACAGCATCGACGACGGCTGGTGGATGGTGCAGAGGATGGTCTGGCCCTCGGCAGCAAGGCGGCGCAGGAAAGTGACGATGGTGAACGAGGCCTGGGCATCGAGGCCCGAGGTGGGCTCGTCGAGGAACAGAATCTTGGGCTTAGCCACCAGCTCAACACCGATGGTCAGGCGCTTGCGCTCCTCAAGCGAGATACCCTCGCCGCTCTCGGGCAGACCGATCATGCAGTCAGCGATGTCAGTCATGCCAAGCAGGAAGATGACATGCTCGACGTAGTCGTTCTTCTCCTCATCGGACACCGAGGCGGGCTGGCGCAGGTAGGCCGAGAAGCGCAGAGCCTCGCGCACGGTCGCATGCGGGTTGTGCACGTCAAGCTGCTCACAGTAGCCAGTGATGCGACGGAAGCTGGCAGGCTGCGGCGCGCCGTTCATCAGAATGTCGCCCTCAAGCTTGCCGATGGTCTTGCGCTGCGACAGCGAATCAAGCAGGGTGGTCTTACCAGCGCCAGACGAGCCCATGAGCGCAGTCATGGTTCCAGGCTTGATATAGCCAGAGACATCATCCAGCAGCTGCTTGTCGCCGCCCTTGACCGGAACCGTGTAGCTGATGCTCTTCCAGGTGAAGGCAGTGCCCTTCAGGATCTGCTCGTCAGTGGGGCCGCTGGACGAGACCTTGCCGAACTCCTCAGCACCCTTGTCGCTGGAAGCGTCATTCTCGGTGTACAGGTTGACCTTGGGGCGGTAGCGCTTGTAGACGTTGATCGAGTAGCCGGTGTTTCCAAACTCGACGTACTCCATGACCAGGGCGATCAGGATAACGTAGAGGAGCCAGAAGCCGACAACAGCGCCAAAGTCCTTCCACATATCATCGACATAGAACGAGTAGCCAACCTCGATGTGGTCGCGGCCAAGGACGTAGTTCTGGCCAGGCACAGCGCCCTGGAGCGTGCACACCTGGTTCTCGATTCCGTAACCAGGGACCTGCGGGATGAGCTGGGGACCGCCGCACATGAGCTTGAGGTTGCGGAACTCGTTGGCCATGAGCGCCTTGTAGCCATACGCAAGGCTGTTTGCCCAGTACACCCAGACAAGGTAGCCGTGCATCGACTTTTGCGGGATAATGTAGCCCATGTGCAGGATCATGAAGAGCAGCGAGATACCGGACAGCGTGTGGGAGATGTCGACGTTGGGCGAGACGTTACCAATCAGACGGAAGAAGGCGGTCAGGCAAAGGCATCCAACAAACAGGAACAGGACGAAGGCGAAGAACTGGCCGGCGGTGCGCGACAGACCAGTGGCAAAGTACAGGATGCAGCTGAAAACTACAATCTGCAGTATGATGATTGGAATGTCGACGACGGTCTGGGCCAGCGACAACGCAGCAGGGTGGTACATGGCGAACGACTTGTGCTTGTAGACGACCTCTCGGCCAGTGATGGCCTTGGGGAGCTCGGCCTGGGCGGACAGAGAGTTGAACAGAAGAGCGAAGAACAAAACACCACCACGGGTAAAGGCACCCATGGTCGTCTCGGGCAGGTTAAGGAACAGGGTACCGACAATGATGGCAAACGCAGCGTTGTAAGCGATTTTGAAGATCTGCTGGCCAATGCTGCCCATCATGATCTCCCACTCGCGCTTAAACAGCTTGCCGAGCTGGTAGGTGAAGGTGGTCGTGTACGGCGACTTGCGACGCAGCTTGCTCTTCTCGGTGCCCATCTTGGTCTGGTCAACGAAATCGCGGATCTCTGCGCTACGGTTGTCAGTCTCGATGCGCTGCTCGAAGGCCTGGATGTCGCTCTTGAGCTTGTGGTACTGCTGCGACTCGACCCAGCAGCGCTCAAAGTCCTCGGCAGTCTTGGGCGCCTTGTCCTCCCAGCCAGGCAGAACCGTGCGCTCGTGCAGCTGGGTGACACCGGTCAGGAAATCCGACGTGGTCTGGCGAGGCGGCTTGTAGATACCGATCGAGGCAAAGTACTCGACGGCCCTGTTGGCCGGACCAAAGTACAGCTCGCGGCCCTGGTCGACGACCATGACCTTGTCGAAGAGCTCGTAGATGTTCTCCGAAGCCTGGTAGATGGTGACGATAGTCGACTTTTGCAGGACATCGGTGGTGATGCGCAGCGAGCGCACGTAGTCGAGCGCGGAGCTCGAATCGAGACCACGGGTGGAGCCGTCCCAGATATCAATCGAGGCGCCAGAGGCGACCTGCTCGGCGATCGAGACACGCTTGCGCTCGCCACCAGACACACCGCGCAGGAAGGCGTTACCGACAATGGTGTCGGCGCATCCCGACAGACCGTACATGTCAAGCAGGGTGTCCAGGAACTCCTTCTCGTAGCCCTCGCGGTCAGCAAGCATGCGCTTGCTGGGCGTTTTGCACTTGATGGCAAAGTCCAGGGTCTTGCGCACAGTCAGGGTGGGGAAGTGCACGTCGTCCTCCTGGTTGTAGGCGACCTCGCCACGGTAGCGCTTCTCGACCTCCTCGGGCGTCAGGCCACCATAAGAGACATTGCCCTCAATCTTGCGGTAGGTGCCGCGGCGGTTGCCCAGCACGCGCAGCAGCGTCGAGCAGCCGGCACCGGGCTGGCCAAGAACCAGCAGCATCTCGCCATCCTCGACGAGACCGGTCATCTTGTTCAGCAGCTTCTTGTTATCGTTGCCGCGGTTGAACAGCTTGGCGACGCCAAAGCCGTGGGCAGCGCTCTTGACGATCTTGTAGAACGGCGTGATCATGGTCTCAATGTGGCGGTTCGCGACATTGTCGCCATAGACATCGAGATCGTCAAACACAAGGCCAATGCGCTTGGCAAACGGCGGGCCCTGCAGCTGCTGGCGGCCCGAGAGCCAGGTCGTCAGGTCGAAGCCGCCCGGGTTGCCGGCCTCGGCAACGCCTGTGAGCTCCTCCTCGTCGGCCACGCTCTTCGACTTGCTGAAGGTGCGCTGGATCGACTTGAAGCGCGATGTGGCGCGGGTCACGCTGACATGCAGGGGCTCTCCAAACGAAATATCGGCCTCGGCGTCCATTGTGTTTCTCCGCTCCTTCTGGCCTATCGTCTCTGTGCTCATCTGCCTATCGTCACCAGTGGATGACGCGCCAGACGACATGGACGATGGGTTGGCGTGTTGCTCCATCGTTCGGATATGAAATATTATCTACACGTCGTCATAGGTATTTTTTTAGCCAAGGGAGATGCGTGTACAAATGCCAGATGTTTTCGCTCAGGTGGCAAAGCCTTGCGAGGGAAAACCTAACAAAACTTACGCTTTAGTGAAATCTATATGAAAATTTGCTAGGAAATAATATGAAAAGCAGGAAGTAGGAAGTGAAGCCAGCACAGAAAATATATAAGGAAGCTGTTTGGTTCGTATCAAGATGCCCAGCAGAGCTCGGAGGCGGTCTTTTATAAACAGGTGCCAAGAATCAGCGGTCAAGAGCTGGGGCTGCTCCTCCAGCACACCCAGGCGTCATTGCTAAGAGTGAAAGACCGAAATGATTTTTCCTCTATTCATTCACTGGGCTGTTGCGTCGCCGCCCGCTGGGATTATTTTGTGACAAACAGACAAAAATCCGCGCGACCTTCCCGTTTCGCGCAATCAGAACACAATCTCAAAATATTGGGGACACTCTGCTGAAACAGCGGGCCCGATCCTGGGTGCGCACTTTGCCGAGGGAAATCGCTTGGTAGAATTCTGCTCTAGATCCAGCTTCACGAGGGCAAGAGGGCTGATGGCCTGCGGAAAGGGGAGCAGATACGACAGTAGTATCCTTTTTCTGTTGGTCATGGCAACTCCGAGAAAAGTCCATGCAAGCAAAACGGTAAGCGTATTAATAAAGGGAGAGGATTTGGGGAGGTGGAGTATGAGCCACAATCGGCGTGCAGGGCCAAGCCATTTCGCGGTTACCGCCTCTTGCCTGTGCGTTTTCCGTCGGCATTCCCCCTTGGCTCAGGTGGGTGGGGACGAGCAGGGTGCGAATAAACCTTCTTCCCTCACCCCAATTCAAACCTATCCACATCGCTCTCCTGTACCGCAGCGCCCCTGCCATGTGCTACGGTGAGCGGTTCAGCAACGGCTCCTGTAGTCGCACATCCAATGGTTCTATTTATAAGCTGCTCCAGCTCGGATGCGAGCCCAGAGCCGCCACCAATGAATGATCAGCATTCCCCATCTGAAAGGAGGAGCCAAAACAAAATCTACGTGTTTTTCCTTGATTATCCGTCAGATACGCGATGTCGCTGATTTCGCGACAATGGCATCTTTGTAGAACGTATTGGCCGAATCCCGAGCTTCGTTTGGCACCACCATGTGCTAGATGCCATCTATAGGGAAACTGCCTTTTCAGGGCGGATGAAAGCAAGCGGAGGCGCCCGCGTCCGGAAAGCAAATAAACATGCGTGGTGGAGGAGTCACGAAGCCGCCCTGGCGCCTTTTTTTAGTGTGCTCCTCATTCGCATCATATATCGCACAAAGTGGGGGCACTGGGAACAGCCGAAGGTCGGAATACTGAGTTTGTCAGCATGGAAATTACAGTGTGGAAAAATCACAGGGGTGGCTAACACGGAGACTCCGTGGCCAATTGCGAGTCGAACCAGGCCGGGACCGGGATCAGTCTAGTTTTCCGGCTCAGGGCTATGGCCTTTTGGGGCGGGCATGGTGGAAAGGGACTTTTCTTTGACGCACAAACCCGACAACGGTGAACGGAAATCTGATGTGCATCTTTGTTTTATTGTCACGGCGCATACGCCTGGCTGCCTCTCAGAGTGGTGGGGGCGAAACTCGGGGGAGGGGCAGTGGGTCGCCAAGGATATGCCAACAATCGCAACTCTTCTATTCCAGATCATGTGGCGGAAATGATCTGTAGCCTGCTATTTAGAGGCTTTGCGTGTCAATTTCTAATTTGCTTCACAAATCAAGGATCATGGCAGAGTTCTGCTGGAAGCGAGATTGGGGAAAGGCATATGTTGAGCATTTCAAGATGAGTGATGGCTAGTGATGTGGTAGGTCGGAGAGGTCGGTAGTCAGGATTCAAGTACCAGCGCAATGTAAATGGGGAGGGGGTAAGATGGCGGCATTGGGTGTTTCGAACATGCACATAGCCAGCAGAAAACGTTTCTGATGACTAAATATGGAAGTAACAAGGGCACTCACTATATACGCTAACCATTTAGCGAAACGTTTTTGCCGCACCACATTACTGCCCAAAGAAAAGAATTACAAAAAGACATATAAATGGGCAAAGCTCCGAGCAGGGTTAGAACAGTTCGCTTGAAACCCAATATTCGTCACCCTTGTCCTCCACCATCTAAAAGCATTTTCCGATAGAATGAACATTTTCTTTTCGCTCGTCGCCCTTGCCACCACTGCGTCGGCGGCACTTCCGCTGCTTGACAGCGTGCCGCTGGTGGGCGGCGTCACAGACAGTTTGCCTTTGGTCGGCGATGTAGCCAAGACACTTCCAGTGGTCGGCAACTCCCCAGGGCTGCCTCTGGGCGGTGTTCCGGTGGTTGGCGGGGTTGCGCACCAACTGCCAGTGGTTGGCGATGCAGCAGGCCAAGTTGTCGGTGCACCAGCAGGCGGCCAGGTGCATAGCCCGGCGATTGGCGCGCCTTTTGTCAGCAGCATTGCACCGAAGCCGCTGGTGGGCAAGCCGGCAGTGCCCACGGTCATAGCGCCTGCAGTGCCTACGCTTTTGGCACCCCCCGCGCCCAGCCTGCCAGCCAAGAGCCTGCCGGTGGTGGGCGGTGCCAAGCCGACCGTGCGCGTACCCACGCACTGATGATCTACAAAAACATGACCTTAGCGAAAATGTTCGATATTTATATATAACTGGCATATTTTTTATTCGGTGATCTCCTGGATATACACGTTGTGCAGGTGGGCGATGTACGGGGCGATGTGGGTGTCGTGCAGATGCATGGTGATGGTTTCGCGGATGGCATGGGTATAGTGGTCCTGCAGGCCATTCAACGACATACATTCGAGGCTGGGCAGGCCCGCCATCAGACACACCAACTGCTCAACAAACCCCTCGCAGTCCTCAATCTCGGGCTGGTACCCGGTGATGTCCAGGCGCGTAATCCCCGGGTGCACCGGCGCATAGCGGCCATCGGCTATGAAATCGTCAATAGTCGCCAGCTCATCAACTGTGGAGATCCTGTCGTAGCACAGCAAGTGCAGGTATGTGAGTCGCTGCAGTCCGCGCGAACGCAATGTCTGGACACTGCAGGTGCGCAGAGTAAACAGAGTCAACGCGCGCAGACCGGGGGGAGCATCCAGAAACGGATGCACAAAGGTAGGAAGTTCCAGCATCCGCTCGAGCTCCTTGTTGTGCCAATCATTCAACACCAATGTCTGCAGACCGACGAATGGGAGGATGTCGACCTGGCCGCCAGTGCTCTTCTCCATGACCTTCAGATGGCGGATCTGGGCCCGCGGGAATATGGCCAGAAGCCCGTTGATGGAGAACTTGTAGTTGCTGATTGCCAGATCACGCAGCCTGGGAAACACAGCGTGGGCAAGCAGCGGCCGGCCCAGGGGCACGGTGGGACGCGGTGAGATAAAGTTCAGCTCTAGCGTCTGCAGATTGGCAAACTCCAGCGCATGTCCATCGAAATAAAACCGGCTCCAAAAGTCCGCCGGCTGCAGCCCAGCAATGGCCAGATGTTCAAGGGTGCGCGCACACACCTTGGGCAGCTCGCTGGCAGCCAGTCCGCGGTAGGCCGAAATCCGCAGGAATGTCAGCCCGGGCCGGAACATGTTCAGGGAAAACATACTCAGCTCGGTGGTCTCCAGATGCACTGACTGCAAACACCTCCTGCTGCCACGGACAAACTTGCCCAGCATGCGCTTCAGATAGTGCTCGCGCGCATGGCCCTGGTACCGCAGCGCAATGGCATTGGGCAGGGATTTCAGTAGCAGCCCGGCCAGCTGCATGCTGTGGATTTCGGGATACTGCTTAGGTGTGTCGCGGAACACCCCGCGGTAGTCAATCACTAGGGAGCGCACCGACGGCCACCGCCGCTGCAGAAGCCCGGCCGAATGCAACGCCGAGGTTACGGTCACGGGGCTCGGGTGGTCACTGAGCTTTAGTACCACGCGCTGCACAAGATGCGTGCGCTGCTTGCGCGTTATGCTGTTGATGTTGGATGAAGTAGATGAATCCGGACACGGAATGCGTCGCCGCATCCACCGCATACAGCCCGTACCGGGCCTCCACCACATCGTCGATGTCATTGGCTACCTTGACGAAGGCGCGCCGGCACAATGCCGATTCGCCCAGCTCGTAGAGCCGCCGGCTCAGCATGGCTGTCTCCAGAAAGGCTTTTTCGTTGCTGTCGCCGATCGGATACTCGTTCGGGTCGACAGTCGGGTCGCTGGTCTCATCAAAGAGCACCTGCAGGATGCGTGCCAGAATCTCATCGGGCAGCTGGTCAAGCCGTGGCATACGTTGAATACAAAAAGGTGGAAAAGAAATAAATATGTAGTTGCTGAGAAGAACTAGGGAGATAGGGATAGCGTGGCGTAAGCCATTGCCAATTCCTTTCCCACTTCCTTATTCTGTACAATCGCCCACTATGCCGTTGTGAGGGTTTCGGCGCCCACGGCACGTCAGGTAGATGACGTCGGCAAAGGACCGCCCGACTAGCGCTTCGCGAACATGTCCGTACCGCACAACATCCGGCAAAGCCCGCTTGGCCGCCTGGGCAATCACCTCTTGCTCCCTTTTATCCAGCCCCTTGACGTTTCTTTCCTTGCATAGCGCCGCCCAGTATCTTGTAGTACTTTTGCTGCACCGCACTTAGCGACCTCTGGTGCCTCTCCAAAAACTCCTTTATATTGCGCTGATTCGGCGCCGAATACAGCGGACATGTATCCTCCAAGTCCCGCATTTCCCGCTCATCCCACGGCCGCTTCTTTCCGAGGTCCACCAGGGGCTCGGCAATAAGTGCCTTTTCGTGCGTCTGGGTGAGCTTGCAAAGCCACCCACTGGTCTCCTTGTCGCACTGCCAAGTGCCTGAAACAAGCTGCTCGGCGCTGATCCCGGCGTCGGTGGTGCGCAGCATATAAGGCGTCAATTTTTTGTGGTGCCGCCAGTTGGTCAGAATGAAATCGTAGGTGAATTTGCATTCGCTGGCCGTCCGCCCCAGGCTTTTGCCAATGTGGTCGAAGCTGGGACGGGTGCGGCGGTGCGCCGTGATCGCTCGCACATACAGAAACAGCGCCCGCCGCTCGGCCAATGTCCATGGCCGGTTCAGCGATGGTGATGGGTCGTAGGGCGCGTGCGGGTTGATGTTTGGCCGCAGAAACGTCACGCGCTGTGAGCTGTACTGGCGCGCACACACACCAGGCTTCAGGAACCGCCAGATCATCTGTGGGTATTACATAAAGAAGAAAAAGCTACAGAAATCCTAGGCAAAAAAAAAAGCCCACAAAGGCTGATAAAGTCCCTGCTTGCAGGGCGAAACCTTATGGTTTCTCCGCGGGCCTGTGGGCGCGGCAGAACACGCGGCATGTGCTCCAGTCCAGCAGCTTCAGGTCATTGACAGCCGCACACATGGGGTGGAACACCCTCAGGCACTTTTTCTGCGCACATTTCACCACCGCGCCAAACGCGGGCAGCCCGCGCTCTTTGCAGAACTCGCAGTCCATCTGCCAGACATTCGCAGGGACGTTCTCCAGGCCGCACACCACAGCCGACTGCTGGCGCGCGGCGCTTCGCGTCACCACTCCAGCCGCGGGCATTTCAAAGAACGTCTGGCGGACAAAGTTGGCACACAGGAAATGCGCATGGCTGCCCTGGCGCACCGGCAGTAAAAGGCCGTTCTGGTATGCACACAGGGCACAGGACACTTCGTCTGTGTCCAGAACGCAGTTGGTGCACCGGTACCGCCCGTCGTCCTCTGGCAACCCCGAGCACGGCACGTGCAACGTCAGCCCACACTGCTGGCACTCCACCGGCGCTCCGTCGGAGATCGGCTGCAAGCATGCGCCGCACACGCCTGCCGGAGTGTTCAGCGACGCCAGCCGCCGCACCGGATCCACTGCTGAGATCTTGGCGCGCTTATTGTCGGAAACCTGCTGCTCCTGGTGGCAATCCGCGGGTTTTCGCTTCCGCGGCCGGCCCCTGGGCCGTTTCTGCTGCGGCTTCTCAGACCCTGCGCCAATCGTTCGGATCCGGTCGATCAGCCTGCGATCATCCTCGTCCTCCTGGAACCACTCCTGGATGTCAATCGTCACCGAGTCCCCGACACACTGGCAGTGCTTGGCCACGCGCGCCAGCTCCAGCCACCGCGGCAAGGCAAAATTCACGCTCTCAGCGCAGTTGAACCCGTGGTTGAACCCGGCATGGTAGCCCATTGGGAACGTCAGCACGATTTCGCCCGCCCGCTGCACCACCTTGTTGCACGGAATCCCCTGCTGCGCCAACAGCCGTGGCGACAGAAGGAACGCCTTGTGACGAAGAAACTGCGAGCATTTTTGGTACTCGCTGGCAAACACGCCCTGCATTGCGGTCTCGAACCGCCCGTGCGCCGAAATCGGCACCGCAAACCACGCCTTGGGCGCTCCGAAATGAATGTAGTTGATCGAATACAGATCCATATCTTCCACGTGCCACGCAAACGTTGCCTTCCACATCCCCAGGTACAGATACGGGTCGTTCACCCCGGGCACCCGCTGCCGCATCCGCCGCAAAAGCCCTGGCAATGCCCGCACGTTCCAGTGCGGAAACTGCGCAGGCTCCGGAAACAGCGTCCCCAGCACGTCCGCCCCGTACAATGGCCGGTTGAACGTCAGGTTCTTCCAGTACACGCGCTCCAGCTCCTCATTCTCCATGTACTCGCGCGCACTGACAAACAGCGCCCGCCCGTCTTTTGTAAACCCGTGTCCACTGCCCTCCATAGCCTCTGACGTGTCTGGTTGTGCCCTGTACTTGGCTCCGCGCCGCCCGGTACTTTGCCCGTCCCGACTCCGACCGGATCTCTGCCCGCAGCGCTGCAGCTGCCGCCTCTGTCAGCTGCACCTCGCCATTCTCATAGTCCACCGCAATCCCCACGCTTTCCGACCCATACACTATGGTCTGTGTCTTCCTCTGGCTTTGTGCCCTCCGTCTCCTCTCTATCTCCTCCGTCTCTCTTATCTCCTTGTCTTCTGTCTTCTTTGTCTCTTTGTCTCTTTTGTCTCTTTTGTCTCCACCTCAACCTTCACCACCGGAGTCCGGTAGTCCTGCTCCTGCGACTTTTGGAAAAACTGCGCCAGCCGCAGCTTGCGGTGGAAATCCACATTATACTGGTGGAACGTTCCGCTGTTCCCGTTAAAATACTGCTGCAATGGGCGCATCGTCGGAAACCCGTCCTCTGATACCTCCCGCCACCGCTTACTCTCCAGCTGCTCCCGCCAGGCCCGCGGCGGAATGATCTTGCACACCCCGCCGCGCTGCGCCAACGGCTCTATCGCTGCCACCAGTCCTTCAAAGTCCTCGAACTGCTCCATCGTCGGGCAGAAAACGGGCACCTGTGAGTTCGGGTAAAAGTAGTACTCGATGGGCTGCGACCGCAGCTGGGGCGCAAACAAGGGGTCTGTCATTTGTTTGTGTTTATAAAAAGAATAGAATATAAAAAATTTCGAAAGCAGAGACAAGGAAATGTTTTTCAGAAGGAAGCTAGAATTTTTTGTTTTTTTGGAACAAAAAGCCTTTGCTCATCCTCCACGTGACTGCCTACTGAACCCACTGCAGCGCATAGCTGTCCGCCTGCACCTTGGTCTTGTTGTCCAGCACCCACGCCACCTTCTCCTTGACGCCGATCTTGCGCTTGCGCTGCACCTCAAAGAACTGGATCACCTGCTCGCGTGTCATTCCCAGGCTGCCGGCCTGCGGGTCCTCGCCACGCACGATTGCCCGGATCTCCGCCTCGCTTGGCAGCACGTACTTGTGCGGATACTCGTTGAAATCCGCCGCCATCACAAACGGCACTTTGTAGTTGACACCCGTCTCAAAGTACTCCTTGTGCAGCTCCCGCATATCCACTCCCGCCAGGCTTGCCGGCTCCCACTTGGCCTTCTCCTTGCGCACAAGCAGCGCATCAATGCCCTCGTGCATGTCGTGCGACTGCAGCCGGTGGTGCGCCAGCTGCAATTCCAGATCAAAGGCGCTGCGGATTCCCAAATGCCGCCCGTTGCGCAGCTGCTCCAGCGTCACCTTCAACGCGCTCGGCGACATCTTGCGCAGCGTCGCCAAAGTGCTCTGAGCCCACTCGCTGCCCTCCTGCTCAAGCGCCTCCTCGATCGCCTCCACTGTGTTGTGCTTGAAGCACCGGTCAATCGCCGCCCGCACATCCCGCAGCCCATAGTCGAACTCGGCCGGCTGCTCGACAAACTCCTCGATCGCGTCGTTCACCGCATCGTAGTCCTGGGTGCCCAGCTCCTGCAGCCGCTGCTCTAGCAGCGGAATCCGCGCATTCGGCACATAGTGCGTGGCAATGCCCGCATACACAACGTCCCGCCCGCGCAGCCAGTGCCCAGTCATGCCCAGGAACGTGCCCGTCTGGCCGTCCAGCCGAGGCAAAAAGAACGTCGCCCCGACATCCGGGAAAAACCCAATCTTCGTCTCCGGCATCGCAAACACCGTCGACTCCGTGGCCACCCGGAACGGCGCATGCACCGACAGCCCCACGCCGCCGCCCATAGTGAACCCGCCCATCAATGCCACCACCGGCTTCGGATACGCTGCCAGCATGTGGTTCACCTGGTACTCGTCCTGGAAGAACGACAGCGCCTTGGCCATCCCCTCCGTCTTGAACGTCGACGACACCTTCACTACATCGCCACCCGCGCAGAACGCCTTCGTGCTGTTCGACCGCAGCATCACCACGTCGCACAGGTCTGACCGCTGCCACTCCGCCAGGTGCCGCTTGATCGACTTGACCATTTCGTGCGTCAGCGAGTTCAGCGCCTGCGGCCGGTTCAGGACCAGCGTGCGCCCCGTCAGGTTGCTCGATGTAAGCACCTCCTTGTCGCCCGAGCTCGTCGCCTGCGTCCCCAGTGTCCGCTGAATGTTGTCCAGCCGTCTTGCCGCTGCCGCCATTCTAAATCCGCCGCTCAATTTGTGAAGCGAAGAAACCTTTGAAGCAAACATGAATAAAGAAAGTAAAGACTCCTTTTTTGCTCTGTCGAGTATTTATATGCGTTGTATGGAAAAGAAGACAAAAAGGAGAAGAAAATTGAGGCGCTTTGTTATCGGAGCATAGAGGAAGAGATAGCCGAGCCCCCCGGATCCCGTAAAAAAGTTCCTGCGGGTGCAGCGGAAGATCGGTTCTCCCACCATCCATGCATAATCCGTGGGTAACAATTTTTAATCCTTCTCAGGCGCTAATCTGATTTATTTTGATCGCTGCCCTCGCCGACCAAGCTCGCGTCGGCCAGCGCTGCCTCGTCGATCTGCGACAGCGACCAGTTGTTCGTATCCGGGATCTTGTCCACCACCATCCACACGCATGCCAGCGACACCACCAGGATCCCGCACCCCACATACAGCGGCGTCTGCGTGTACTCTCCGCTAATGCTCCGCCCGCCCACCAGCCCGCCCACCATCTGCACTGCAAGCAGCAAGCCTAGGAACCGCACCGTCGCATCGAAGTGGTTCGTCAGAGTCCCGATAATCCACAGCGTAAATAGCAATGTACACGTCGCTCCCATGCCGCTGAAAAACGACGCCGCATAATACAGCCCCTCGTGGTGTTCGATCCGGTACTTGTTGATTGCCTCCAGACCCGCAATCCCCCCATTGCCCTCGGCGTGCTTGGCCACCAGCGCAATCAGCAGCGCCAAAGTGACCACCACCAGAAGCACGTAAAAGAAAAACCCGTACAGACCGCGCCGCCGCCGCGTCACCGACCCGGTATCCAAAACCGAGCCCAAGGCCAATGCTGCCAGTGACCCCAAGGTCCGTCACCACCGCCGACAGCTTTGTCGCCGCTACCATCCCCGCCGTCGCCTGTGACGAACGGGAACGAAAATATAAACGGCACAAGGAGCCACAGCCAGACGCTGCCCAGAACCTCCAGCACCTTGCCTATCTCTGTCTGGGCCTTTGGCTGGCACCGCCAGCACATATACGCCGGTGTCCCGCACCACCTGCTCCGCAGGGCTCAGAAGCAGCGTCAGGGGCGTCCCAATGCATATAAACACTAGCTGCACCACCGCCGAGTTCCAGTTGCGCCCCTCGCCGCCCTCAGGATTTGAACATAACGTCGCCCAATGTCAGGAACAGCTCCAGGCTGATCAGAAACACTGCCACTGCGCGCGCCTTCTGCTGCTCCCGCGGATACGTCAGCACCATTGTGTTCACTGCCAGCATCGCCATTGCATACCCAATGCTGTTTAGAATCGTGCCTGCAAGGTAAAAGCCCGTGTATAGAGTACTTGTGCACACATATAATCCCCGCTGCATACAGGATGCCGCAGAGCCCGCCAAAAAACAGCACCACACGCGCGCCCAGCAGGTTCACTGCAAAGATCCCTGCTATAAAGGACAGCCCGTATGTCATTTGCTGCTTCCACGTCCCTGCGTACTCAAGCCTGTGCTCTGGTGATACAATTCCCGTTGCGCTCCGCACTGTTAGTGCCGGTATACACCCGTTTATCAAGAAAACCCCGTACAAAATCAGTAGCTGTGCCTGTGGACTGCGATATCTCATATTAACGTGGATATAATTTTAAAATGGCCCCCGAAATAGATGCTACTGCGACTTGTAGAAAAAGAGAAATGGTATCGAAATAGTCAACGAGTGCATTGCCGTCCCATCCAGCCAAGGGAGGAAACCCCGCTCACACAAGCGTCCTCCTTTCCACAGGACTAGCAATATAAAAAAGCTATCCGGTACTCGCGCTGCAGCAGCCATCGCGCTTCGCGACAATGGAGACAAGCTAGGTCTCAATTTCCGGCAACAAGAGCTGAAATAAAACAAAACACCACCAGCATGTGGTTCAGCCACCAACCTCACTACACAATAGCCGAACTCAATACCACGTCCCTCTTCCCACGTAGAGTGCAATGTATTACTTTAGCTTCAAGTCAACTAGGCGCTCCAGCTCGCGCACCCGCATGCTCAGCTCCTCGTTCCGCTGGTTCGCCACCGCCAGCTGCATCTTCAGCACGGTCACCTCCTTGCGCAGCTGCGCCGACTCCAGCGTTGGCACGTCAATCAAATCGCTCATCAGAATCTCCTTCGCTGCCGGCCGCTTCTCGGGGTCCTCCGACATCAGCCATAGGATAAATGCCGCTTCCTTTGGCCACATCTGCACAAACGGCTGCGGAAACACCCCCCGCCGCAGATCCTTAATCACCAGCATCCGCTCCATTGCCGTCGCAAACGGATAATACAGCTCAAAGAAGATAATCCCCAGCGAGTAGATATCTGCCTTTTCGTTGTACTCGCTGGTCTGCGTCGTCAGTTGCTCCGGCGCCGCATACGTGATCGTCCCCACATTCGACGTGTGCGTCGCATCCCGCGTCCCCGTCGAAGCAGCTCCCTGCCCGCGACTCCCGCCCACGGCTGCTCCCCTGGCTCCTCTGGCTGTTTGTGACGAAGGCGTATTCGTCGGTGGTCGACCGGATCTCCAGCGTTGATTTTGTCGCTAATCCGAAATCACCGATCCGCGGAATAAACGTCACCAGCAGGCGACTTGCCAGTCCCGCTCGCCCGACGCACAGGCGCCCCAGCTGCATGCCGCATTCCCGCAAGCCGCGCCTTGCTCGCTCCCACTGGCCGCTCATACATGCCACCGGCGCCCTCATGCATGCTGGCTCCTGGCGAGCACAAGGGTGTGCCCTGCGAGTCGCTGTTCTGGCTGGCAAGGATCGAGTCAAACACGACATCCCAGTCGATCTTGCGGCTACCAGTGCCGCACGCCACACTGTGCTTCTCCCTTAGGTTGCCGCCGTCAAAGGCATCCCACACATCCGAATGCGACTCGAACAGGGGGCTGCTCACCGACATTGTCCCAGTCGATACAGTCCGCGACAGCATATCAGGCCGCCCGAACCCGCTGCCGCTGCGACTCAGCGCGCTGCCTGCGGTTGTCTGTAAACATCATGTCCAAAAATACATTGGCACCCTTCAGGTCTCGGTGGATCACGCCACGGATCATGGAAGTACTTTACGCCCTCCACTATCGCTCGGAACAGCCGGATGTTCAGAATCGGGTCAATAAGCCTGTCATGCTCCAGCACGCTGATCCACGGACTCGCCATCGATTGTATGCTCATCGCCCGCTCGTGCCGCTCAGCTATGCGCTAGATTGCGCTGGCTCAGGTACTCTTGCAGTGTCGTCTGGCACAGCTGCATCTGCACAAACAATGTTGTCTCCACCACGAAATTTTGCGCGAAATCCAGCCCGCCGCTCTGGCTCGGCATCGACCGTGGGATCACCCCGGGTCCCATGCTGTAGTTCGAGTCCACATCTAGAAGCGGCTGCCCCTGCGGATTACTCAGCCGCGATCCCTGCCGCCGATGCTGCCGGCCGATACTCCTGCGAGCGGCCGCTTGATCGGAATTGGCTGCGGCGCTTGATGATGCTTGCCGGCCCAATATCTTCCTGGCCCCGACTGCAGTGAGCTGAACTGCCATGCCCCTTGTTGCTTGGACAAGTGTCCAGATGAGCTGCTCTCGGGCCATTGCATCTTAAACACAGACTCGTCCTCCTCGAATGAGACAATATCAAGCTCAGACTCGGCGCAGTCGCACCCGGCGTCATCAGCAAACACGACTCCATCGCTGCAGCTGCTCAGACTGTAGTTGCTTTAGCTCCTCATCGCCATTGCCATCGCTGCTGTTGCTCGAGTCGCTGCTGTGGTCCTCAAGCACATTGGCAACTAGCACACTGTCGCATGACACGTCATCAATTCCCTCGATCTCCACTGTATCATCAGGCCACCGCTGCAATACATATATCTTTGCCGCCTGACCGCTCAAACACAATCTTCATCTGCCTCCTGCTGCCACGTAGTCCTTGCCATTGGTGTGGCCAAGGCTCACCTCAAGCATCACTGCCTCCTCGCCAGTGTAAAACTTGTCGCCAGAAAAGCCCATGCCGCTGATTGCAGTAAGCAGTGACCGGCTCCGACGCTGTGTTCAATCCGACCGCTCTGCCATTGGCTGCTGGCAGAACCGAGCCACGCCGGCGGCCAAACGGATTGCGCAAAGGCTGCATATGCGTGCCAGAAGCAAGCTCTGAATCCGATTCTGATTCGTTTGAAGATACAGTCAGCTCCTGATGGCGCCGCTGACTGTCTGGCGTAGCAGATCGGTCAAGCCCTCCGCTCATCGCAGCGTGGGCACCGAATGGCATGCCATACATAGCCGCCAGCGGCGATGTCGAGTGAGCTAGCCGGTGGTTCCCAAACGACGACTTTTGGCTGGACCCCTTGCGCCGGATCTTGGTGACCTCAATCCAGCTGCTATAGTATCTGACGATATTCGGGTGGTCCAAGTTCGCCAATGTCTTGATCTCCCGCAGCGTCTTCTCTGCTGTGATCTCGCCTTTGATCCGGATCTGCTTCACCGCATAGCGACGCCCATCAAGCTTATTGCGCACCTCATACACCTTGCCGAATCCACCCTTGCCAAGGCACCGCAGCTGGATAAAGTCATCATGGTACCGGGACCGGTGCATGTCCATCACCATATTTTCAAACGTTGTTGCAGATGAGGCCTGACACGCGGCTGCTACGCCGCATCCACATTGTCTCGTGCATGCTACTGTTGGCTGCACTGGCGCTACGCGCCCGACCTGACGTAGGCCGCGAGCCCTCTGATACTCTGCTGCTCCGCGTGGCCATGCGTGGCAAATCAATGCTGTCAAACTGGTTCTCCGAATCAGATTCAGACGACGATGGATGAACGAGTCGCCAGTCTACCACCATTGTCGTTGCTCCATGACCACTCATCGCCTATTGCCTTCGCTATCACTGTTGTCGTCGTCATCGTCGTCCGCTGTTGTCGTCATCGTTGGTTAGCGAAATGTCAAATGCAAACGAATCGTCATCATCGTCGCCCAGCCCAGTGGTCAGCGACCGGATTCCTGTCTCAATGTCCCGCTGCTCATACGATGCCAGCGACTCCTGCGCCTTCACCACCAGCTGCCGGAATGCGTCAGAATAGGTAGCTCTGACTGACGCAACCTCATCAACATACTCTTTGCCAATAATCCCCATTGAGTACAGCGTACGGCAGATTGTGAAAAACAGCCGCCGGTTACGCAGAGGGTCGTCGTCGTACGTGCGGCAGTAGTTTTCCAGCAACGATACAAACAGCATCCGGCTCTGCACATCCCGTCCCATCGTCCCCGAGATTTCCGGCGGCAGACTCATCCCCGGGAGGAGACTGCCCATCCCTGGTGGCAGTGCCTTGCCGAATCCCATTGAGTTCTGCCGCACCAGCATTTTGGCTATGCGCTGCCATCAAGTCCGGCAGCTGCTGCATCGGAGACACATCGTTGTTCGCTCCAGGCACCGGCAATTGCGATGGAGATCGTGTTGCCCAGAATCGCTGCGAACTGCCCGTCTCGCTGCTATTGCCTTCATCCCCGCTGCTATTGCCCTCCCCGCTGCTATTGCCCTCGTCGCTGCTGTCAGCTCAGCTGCCGGAACCGCCCTGTGGCACCTTGCTGGTACTTTGAACTGTCCGACTTGGATCGCTCGGCGTCGCTGCCGTCATCATCGACATTTTGTATTTCTGTTGCGCGGCTGCTGGCTTTCGTGTCGCTGCTGGATCGATCAGCCATTGAAATGAATAGGCAAAAGTTGTGTGTATGTGTAAATACCGACAGGTGGGAGAAATATTTACAAAACGGGAGGACTGCGGTCTGTGCTTTTATGCCAGCCTATTATGCATATGCCCGGGACAATAAATTATGCAATGGTGCCTGCACTTTTGTTGACGTTGAGAAATTTAGTGACGATTTGGAAAAGAAGGCGGTGGAAAGCACGGAACATGGAGGAAGAAAAGGAGTCTGCAAAAAAAAAGTGTCAAGGCCTGCGCCCGCCTAGGTGAAAAAAAAATAAACCGATGGAGCACCGCGATTGGCCGCAGTACCGGAACAAGCTACGTGGCCGGTGCAACAAGGCAAATCGGTGTGATATGCAACGAGGCAAACCCAGACCCACCAACGCACAGTGTAGCATTGATGTATGAGTGCTTAATACATATCTCGCCATGGGTCATCGTATTGACCTAGGTAGCTGCTATTCAAACGAACTCAACATCATAAAAACAAAAAGCCACATTAGGACTGCATGTCCAGCAGTCTCAATATAATGGACCCCTCAAGCATCGTTGAAGAAGATGGATACTGTAATGCGTAGGTGACAAGTGCGACCATGGAAAACATCGGATGAAAACACTCTGGCCATATCGTTGGCTGGCTGCGCTCAGCTTCAACACTGCGTCGCACCCACCGTGTAATTCATCATCGTACAGAAGCATTGGACTCCGCACTCTAATAAACCACTCCTTTGACTCTTTCCCAGTGACGCACGTCCGATTTACCAAGGTCAAATGGGCCATGGGATATCTTCTTGGTGCCCACGCTCAATGTATATGCGGATTGTGTCTCCTAACTGTTAGAGAATAGCTGTTGGGTCTGTCTGAAATGTCATCGAAATATGACCAGCTGGCATCCTTTTCCATTAGAGGCAATTGAGCATGGACCAGAGCTAGGCTGAGGCAGCAAGCAGCTGTCCTTTCCACGAGCCTGGAAATCATGTTGAGTCGAGTGACAAGGCGGACCTCCAAGTAGCGAGCCTCAGCGCTCTTCACAAGATTTATAGCTAAGACACAAAGCTTGGACAGCTTTTCAGCGATTTCCGCGCACCATAAAAGCATTTACTGGTCATCGCCATCCCTAGTCACAGAAGTTATAGTGCGCAGGGAATTGCTGCGTTCAGTCAAAGCCTTCTTGAGTTTGTTTAGCCAGCGCAGCAAAATCCCAAGCGTGGTCGCAACGGAGACAAGCAGCACCTTCCGCTCATCGCTAGCCTCTGCGTTGGCCTGCCTCCTATAGTCCTCAAATAGCTGGTGATAGCGAGAGAAACGACAATCCATTGCAGCAGATTTTAGAGATAGAAACCAGCTAAAGGAACATTGAACTCAGTCTTAGCATGAAGTGTGCTCGGAGTTTATATGTACAGAAACAAACCGAATACTAACCAGAGTCCGGGTGGTGCTGTATATAGTGCACTAGGCAAAGCTACATTAGCTTTCGATATTATTTTAAATCGCCCAAGTAAACTCCAGATGTCAGCTCAGTTCAGCTGTCCATGCACGCTTGGGATCATTGAATAATCTTTGTCAAGCTGGTATTGTCTCAATAGTTCGTAAACAAGGTGTGTAACATCACACTGCATCCCAGAGACCTGGCGTTCTCTTTTAGAAGCCTCATAGCAGGGAAATCAATGTGTCTGCCAGGTGTCGCATGTAGTGAATATAGTGCGCGAATATCATCCGCATATGCGGACTTTTTGGACAATAAGCAAACACTGGAAATCAAAGCCAGTTCAGCCACGCTGTGTCTATGTTTAAAAGCAGCAGACAGATCTGTTTTGTCCGTGGTCACAAACTCACCTCACTGCACCAATCTACACACTTTATATTTGCCATGGACTCTGGTCAAGTGTTCACTTTCTTTGATGCCCGGACACTGACAAGTCTGCAGTAGTTTACCGCGGCTACTTTAAGAAAAAGCCGATTGCCTCTGACCAGCCGATTGCTTACTCGGTCCGAATCGACGGGCGCGACCTCTCTGTAATCGCCAATCCATCAGCAAGGAGCCATGTCCTCGTGTCGGGGTCGCGAGAAGGCATGTCCAAGAGTCGAGCATCAATGAGGGGATTTGGTGGTGTCGCATCAGCAAAGAAGGAAGGTCTCATTAAGGGAGCTTGGTCGTTCACGGATTTCAAGGGAAATGCGTACAAGTGGGATGTCAAGTTTAGTGGCAGCAAGTGGTGGCTGTATGACGCGGTGAACCAAGAGGTTGCTTTCTTTGAGCGAAAGCCATGGAGAGTTGAGATCGAAGGGTTCCTGTTCATCCGACAGCGCGTCTCAGAGGAGCTCCTTTCCCTGATTCTTCTAACAAACAAGCTTGTGCACAATCGTGTCAAAAGTAGCGAGCATCCCAATGGATAAAAGGCGCAGTTTCCTTGGACTATCTTATGTTCTGGCTGGTGGAATTGTCCTATATCTCAGCAAACTGCAATACGTGATTCTATGCAAGCCCCATGAAACGAAATATCTATTCGCAGCAGTGCAATTTTTACGCGCAGCCTAGTCTACAGTTATCAATAAAAATATTAAACCTGATTCGCACATCTGATTGAATGGGTGTGCTTTGCGGTGCTGCCCACCTGGAGAAGCTACACGATAACCCCGTATCATGCTGCTATAAAACCTGTACGGCCATAATCCACTACTCCGTATGAAGCTGCTATTGTTCTGACTCCATAGGTGCTACTAGTTTGCAGATTCTCTAGTATCTCTAAATATTATTCAAATGGCATCTAATCTTTCCTCTTCATCAAACACTGTACCAAAGAAGGCATTGACAGTAAACACCCCCAGCGGCTCGTCTTCTCAGCAGAATTTAATGGTGGAAATAGCGCGTGCTCCAACCTCATTGCAGCGGGTAATGAATGCTACCGATCCAGCCAGCTTCGGAGTGCTGGATCAGTGGAACCAGCAACTAGCAGAGATTGCAATTGGGTTGCAGCAACAACTGGTGGGTCTACTTGCCCACCAGCAATCTGGCTACACACAGTCGCCGCTGCCGCGTTTACCAGCTGGGCAGATATCTGCGTCACATGTAGACATCGCCCATGTCGATATCCTTCAGCTTATTCCACGTAGCGTGTGTCGAAGCGATGTCATTTATGGAATACGTCGAGTATACACTCTGGATTGCTCAAGAAACAAAAAATGCTCGCTAAAGGGCCACCTACAAAAGTTTGACATCAACAAGTCCATGATAATCAATTCGCACCCGGTCAGTACCCGGATCGACGAGTTCTTTATTGAGAGTAGCTACGCGGAGACATTCATCCAAAAGATGATTGATGGCAAGGCTGCTTCGTCTATCGGCATCGATCCGGCCAGTATAATCTGTCAGGAAATCAGGCAGAGTGGACAGAAACCGTCTTCACCATACTACCGCGGGATGCTTCAAAGTGCATACTTCGTCATCAAAAATGCTAGGCACACCAGGGCCCTAGAGTACATCGCAGCCTACACAAAAGAGATTGGTGTTGGGATACCAGTGCACGAGAAATAGCTGGCCAAGACGGACTGGCCCGATGCACTCTATCCTATGGGTCCATTGCGGTATTACTCACCTGCCGCAATAGCTGCACAGCAGGGGCTGGTGTAGTATTAGTCCCCCTCCCCATAAAGTCACACTCATCACGCTACTATCAAAGACAGTATTGGCGTTTGCCGGTGCATCATTTTTATATTCGCTTTTGCACATACTCATATCTCATTGTATTGATCAACAAATATGGCTAATGATTTCACCAACGACCCCACCTACCCTTTTTCCCAGAAAGGCGAAGCTGTTGACCCGAGAAAGAGATCTGCAGATACCCTTTACGTGTATAGCGAGGGAACGAAGAGGCGCAATATTTCGGTTTCATTGCGACCCCCAGCCACACCGTTTTCCGATATACTAAACACCACCAGCCCGTCTTCCATCGTGCAACTGGATCAGTGGAACCAGCAGCTCGCCGAGATGGTCATTGGGATGCAGCAGCGACTGGCAGAGCTCATTGCTAACCAGCATGCGAAGTCTGCGCTCTCTCCACCTCAACTTACAACGTCAAAGGCGCCGGCGGCTCTAGATATGGACAAGGCTGGCATTGATATCTCCACAGCAGTGCCTCAATGCGACTGTCCAAGCGATATCAAATACAGAGTTCGAAGGATCTACACAGTTGACTGTGTCAAAGACCGCTCAATTTCAGTCAAACGACACCTACAAAAGTACGGTATTACCAGCTCGATGATCATATATTCTCACCCGATTAACGACCGCTTCGACGAGTTCATTGTTGAGAGCACTTACGCGGACACGTTTGTACATGCTCTGTACGATGCGCATGCCGTCGCAGTTATCGGCTATAATCTTTCCGGTGTTGTCAGTCAGGCGATATCGCTGGGCGCGCCGGTGCCAACCTATAGCCAGTACTGCCGCAGCCTAGTCAGTGCTTACAAAATTGCGCGAGGAACGAAGCAGTTCCGAAGCAAAGAGTTTCTGCAGGAGTACGCCGCTGAGATTGGCATCAGGCTGCTGTAGTGCTGACTGGTCATTTATGCCACTTGAGTACTGGCCACTTTCGCTTGGCTCCTCCACCCCCATAAATATATTAATTCGGTCATCGCTGCTATAACGGACGGCTGTGTGGAGGGCAAACATCACAACGTACCAGCTCCGCACGTCAATAACTTGTTTGCTTCCAACATTGTACGCCATGTCGCTTAGCTTACCAAATGCTGCTTTTGACCATTTCTCTCAAACAGGCGAAGAAAATGCAACAAAAAAGCGGCTAGCAGAGCCCAGCTACGGCGGTGCTAAGGGTCAGAAGCGGCAAATGTACACTGTCGTTCTACAGTCTGCGCAAGCACCATTCCTCGGTGTGCTGAATACAGTTGACCCCTCCGGCATCATGCAGCTGGATGAGTGGAACCGACAGCTGGCAGAGCTAGTGGTACATTTCCAAACCAGGATCTCTGAGCTTACCCTACCTCCAGCTGACGAGCCGCAGCAATTGTCAGATCCTGCCCGCTCCATGGAAATATTCAGCCCGAAAAAGAGTCAGGCTGCCAATCACGCAGAGTCATGTGCCTATATTTTCATTCCTTCTAATGCATGCCCCAGCGATAAGAAGCACAGCGTTCGGCGGGTTTATATATTGGACTTTCCAAGAATCAGCGGGAAGAAAGCTAAGCCTAAAAAGCGCCTGAGTACCCATGGTGTTAATACTGCCAAGATTCTCCTTTCCCACCCAATCTGCCCGCGGGTCGACGAGTTTTTTGTTGAAAGCAGCTATGTAAACGAATTCGTCACCAAAGTTCGCAGTTCAGGGCTGACTACGCTCTGCACTACCGATGCCAGCAAGGCACTGTGCATTGCTCAGCGCACATCCAAGCCAATACTGTCCTTTCAGAGATATTGCAGCAAATTCAGGACCGCATATATCACTCTCCCGAAAGCGGCTAAAGGCCGATGCACCAGGTATCTTCAAGACTATGCAATAGAGGTTGGGATTAAACTCTGATGTACTTTAGTTAAATAAACAGACCCATATATGGCAATGGTACGGTGCCTCTCAGATAATGCATGGTGTCTTGTATTCTTCCATAAACATGCCGTTTGATGCCATTTTGTTATAGCAATATGGCCATGAGTGAGTAGGCACATCATTAAGTAATATATCACGCAATGCCCCCAATATTTCCTACCGCCATTTATCTCGGAGTGCTGACACAGTTGACAGCAAGAAGAGGCCAGCGGATTCCAATAAGTTTGGCGTCGTGATTCAGAAGCGGTAGCAGTATTTTGTCCTACAATTTGCGCAAGCACCATTCCTCAGGATGCCAAATGCCGTTGACCCATCCAGCGTCATGCAGCTGGATGAGCGGAGCTGACAGCTGACGGACCTAGTGATAAACCTCCGAACCAGGATCTCTGACCTTGTCCTGTCTGCAGTTGCAGGCTGCAGCAATTGGCAGATCCTGCCCGCTCCTTGGAGACATTCAAGTCGAAAGCAGCCCCTGGTTCCAGGCTCGGTAAAGCCGATCTACCCTGGCTTATTCATCCTTGCGGGTGTCCCAGAGATAAGAAGCACAGCGCTAGGTGAGTCTATATGCTGGAACTCCTCAGAGCTATTGGGTAGAAAGCAATGGTTAAGGAACTCTTGAGGGCCTGTGGCACGAGTACTGTCAGGATCCTCTTTTACTGCCCAAACTGCCTGCTGGTCAATGAAATTTTTGCTGAAGGCGGTTAAGCAAACGAATTAGTTACCAAGACTGGCAGCTCAGGGCTGACTACGCCATGCACTACCGATGCCACTGAAGTACTTTGCATTGCTCAGCGTGAAAGCAGCCCATCGCTACCCTGTCAGGAATATGGCAACAAATTTAGGATAACATATTTTAATGCCAAACAGCAAGACAGCAGCCAGTCCATTGAGTATTTTGCGCAGTATGCTGCGGAGGTCGGGATGGATGCTGTCAAGCAGCTGGCGTAATTGACGCATTTCTGGCAGCAGAGTGGTGTATAGCAGTCACAGTTGAGCTACTGTCCTTTTAGCATTTGTTGTGTCCCAACATGAATGCTCTCTCGTTACACTGGTGATAACTATTGAAGCTAGAGTCACTCAGCGTTTCTGTTCCCAGCTGGCATTCCGCAGGCACTGATCAAGGATATCCGATCATAATTATCTCATTCTGGCCATTTTATTTCGCCACAACACACTGCAGACAGAGCTAGCCTTTTGTTCCACTTGCCTGCAATTTTTCCTCGTTTCAAGTATTTTGCAAGTTGCTGGAATGTCTTTTACTCAGCTAACAGTGTCGCGGCCAGCGTTTGTCGGAGATGGGTCAAATAGCGGCGACAGTGCAAAGCGAGTGAAGCTCGAATTCCCTACGAAAGCACGGACCGAGAGAAATTCAGTTGTCCTGCTGCAACCTGTCTCGGTTGTAATCCCCCACGGGATGCAGCCCGAGGACGCTGCTGGTCTTGTGCGCATGTGTCAGTGGAACCAGGAGCTGTCAGCAATGGTGATGCATCTGCAGAACCGGGTAGCTGAGCTCCGCCAGGCGCAACAGCATGCACCAGGCCAGATGCCATCAGATTCGCCCATGAGTTCTGCATCGACACTCGCTCCAACGAGCCCGCTGAACCAGCAGCCAGACAGGCCATACCAATCACTACGGCACTGCGACTTCAAATACGGGGTTCGGCGCATATACATATTGAAACTTCGTGCAACCAAAGCGAATATGGCGCAGAAGCTTAGTGACATAGGGATTGACTCTGACTGGGCAGTGCATGTCCAGTTTTTGACGCTGAGTGTGGTTGAGGCCTTCGTCAAAGCAGAGTTTTCCAAGCAGTTCTTCGATAAGCTCATGGAAGCTGGTATTCAGGTGCTTGATGGGTATGAGCCGATGACAAAGGCCCACCCAGGCCTTACAGATGGCGAGGCGACGCATATAGCAGCGTCATACGGTACGGTGCTGAGAAAAACACTCAAAAAGTTGTCCGCGCCGACTTGCTCTGTAGAGGAAAAGTTCCTTCATTACCTCCGAGAATATGCCAAGGAGATTGGCGCTCCGCTTAAGGCCACCGTCGTCCAAATGGTGTCACGGCCAGCCCAGCAGACACATTGATAAACTTTAGCAATCAGCCCAGCAGAGCTGCACGATCGGCTAAGATCTGTTGTTTTAAATTGCCAGCTGTGACACAGCCCTCGTCTCACCTCTCTTCTCCACTCTGCCTCCAATCGACTTTTTTTTTCTCTCTTTACACTACTCGTATTCTAGCAATATTTGATGCTTCCATCGCCTAGCCACTCGCCAGATCAGCTGCAGCACCACGCAGACCAGTCGCCACACACCGTGTTGCCGCCAAAAGAATTTACAGTGTACAGGCCGAGGCTGTCCGATTTTTCATCGCCGCAAATGTCTAGCCCATGCGCTTCACTTGAACCCGTTAAGGTTAAGATAGCACCAGAAACCCCACCAGAAGAGGCGAAAGAGATCGCAAAAATGTGCGAGTACAACAACGAGCTCCGGCTGATAGCCGAACTGCTTCAGAAAAGGATCACAATATACGAGCAGCAACAACAACAGCGGAATCAACAGATACAAGAATACAAAGCAGTAAACCAGGAAACAACGCCAACCAATTCTGATAAAGCCAGCACACAAAGCCGCTCTCTCAACCCTTCCCCCGAACGACACAGCTACGCCAAGAAGGATTCTTGTGGAGTTTGCACACACGGCCTGCCTGAGCCATCACCTGTCGAGGCCAAGTATGCCATCCGCACGCTGTACATAAAAGGCATGCGTGTCTTTCCATACCCCTACATGGACAAGGTCCTGCGGCACTACGATATCGACGATCTGGAGATCTACCATGTCAACTATGTGCTTCCTGATGTCTGTGAGATATTTGTTTCTCAGCGAGATGCTGAGGTTTTGGTGCGGAGACTACGGCGATACGACAAGGCTATTTTTAAGGGCTTTCACCCACTGCATATTTCGCTCAGGAGCAAGATGTCGCTGGAGACAAAGAAAACCGAGTACAGAAAGCGCTTGCTGACCAGCTATCACAGATGTGACAATGGGAATTTCCGCCGGTTCGTGAAGAACTACTCCTACAGCTTGGGAATTCCACTAGGCTCTACGATATAGATCAGGGGCAGGGCGTATGTGTCCTGACAGACACGCGGACAGCCGGGATGTGCATCTGCACGTCGTTTGTGCTGTGCATCGTTGCCTGGGGATTGTGTTACAGGAAGTCTGCTTCCTTCTTCTTGCACATCCTGCCTCCCGCTGATATTTTCAACCATGCTGCCACCTGTTATTTCACAAGGGTGAGACGATGCCTTCAGCAGTGGCACAAAGAGACAGCGGGTTGAGGAGCACGCGCATAGGGTCGTTTTGAAGACCTCACCAGTGCAAATAATGGACCTGGGAACCGGTGGCGGTCCGAGCCAGCTCGCACAGTGGAACGACCAGCCCTCTAGCCTACTTTATGGTCTCCAAGGAGAGCTGTACTTGCTATTGCCGATGCTCCCAACTGGTCACCTGTCATCATCGACCGCGCCCGGGCCGCTGTCACCATTTCTGCTGCTTGGTCCCTCCACCGACCATGTGTCTGATGACTGCACTGAGGAATTTGCTTCCTGTGACCAACACCTGCACCCACACTCACCCTTGCCCTCGCCTCTCTCACGCAAACTTGGCACATACACTGTCGACATCCGTCCCTCACACACCTGTCGCAGCGATAAGCGGCACAGCATGCATCGCATCTACACGCTCGGCTTGATGCGACCGCAAAACTCATCCATGCGAACTCAACAGAGGAAGATGGGTATTGACTCTTCATATGTTGTACATTCGCATAATGTTGTGTGTGGTGTGAACAAGTTTGTCGTTGAAGCGTCGTATGGGCGTATGTTTGTCAGGCATTTGAATAGCATCAAAGGTGTCAAGGTCATACGGTTTTTTGACCTGCTGCACCCGACCTACAGTGAGCTGTCCCCGGCGCAGTGGGCAGCACCCCCTGGCATGTACAAGCAACGAGTGAGGACGACATTTTGCGATTCCAAGCCTAGCAGACCCGGATTTATGGCGTACGCGAGGGATTACAAGAGAGAAATCGGGCTCTAGCCAGCTTCCACAAAGCGGATGCAGGAGTGAGATCTGCAAAGCAGACATAGGCACTTGCTGCGCCTGATATCAAACGTCGGGAGATGTGGTGCGGGCTGTAAACTCTTTCCTCTCTGTATTCCAAATATCTTGAAATAAACTCATTTTCTCTACCTCACCAGTCATGTCATCTAGCCTAAGTGTGGGCCAAGAACAGCAGCAAGAACAGCACCAGTTGCACCAGCAGTGTGAAGCAAATATTTCGATGCCACCACAGAATCAAGCACAGCAAACGGCACCGCTACAGTCACTGCACCTGGTAGAGGCGTTGCAGCAATCTCTGCTTGCAGAGCAGGTATCTCAACAACCACTGTCAGAGGAACCTGCGCTAGTGGAAGCAACTTCTGAGCGAGGGCAGCTACTGGGGCTAACGCAAAAATCGCCTGTGCACCAGCAGCTCCACCAACAGCTCCAGCGACAGAAGCTCCATCAACAGCTCCAGCAGCAGCGCCAGCAACAGAAGCGCCAGCAGCAGTTACCAAGGCCTTTTCTTGAACAGGATAGTATGGAACCAGCCGCTGCTGTTACCTCACTGACAATTGACCCACCACTCTCCGCAGTAGCATCGTTTGCGCAGCTACCTATCTATTCACCATCGCCAATCTACCCACCACCACCCATGCTAACGGTGTACCAGCCAGTATTTCCATCATTCGATAGTAGCAGCTTCAGTCCAAAGAAAGTGAAGTTTAGCATCGACACTATGCAAGACGTGCTGCCAGCATCAGCGTGCCAGGTCGAGCTTGTTCCCATCACCGTTCCCATCCTGCCTACTATGACGATGCAGGATGTCACAAACATAGTGCAAATGGGGGAACGCAACCGCGAGCTGGTCTCAGCGCTGTTGGCTACTCAAGACAATGTCCTGGCTCTTGAGCATGGCCAGCTCCAGAAGCGAATCCTCGCCCTGCAGTCGCCAATCCTACCAGCTAAGATTGGCAGTGCTGCAGCGACATTTGGCTCCGTGTCAAGCCTGCAGAACTTTGCTGTGTCAGCAGCCAACTCAGGGACAACAGCAACAGTCGAAAAACTGTCGGCAGGTCTTTCCCAAAGCCATGTGACTCTAGCTGCACAGCCCAGGTCACGCGCGCGTGTGGTCAGAAAGAATGTACGCACACTCAAGTATGGCATGCCCAAGCAAAGTGCGGCCGAGGAGAAGTACTGCATGTGGCGCATCTATGCCAAGGGCCTGCGCGAGTACGGGTCGGAGCACGAAGGGAATTTCCTGGCGCATTATGACATCGGCGACCTTGACATATTCCACGTGTACTTTTCTCCATCAGGCACCTGTGAGTTTATTGTAGCTGAACGTGATGCCTACAAGCTTGTTAAGAGGCTACGCAAGCTGAACAAGACAATTTTGGACGGGTATGGCCCGCTTCGGGATGTGGGGAAAGCAGAGGACACTGAGCTTGTCCGGACGCAGTACACAAAGCAGCTGGCTGCTAGCCTCGCCAAGTGCCACAATCGAGACTTTAAACATTACGTCGACAGATATGCGCGAGATGTCAATCTCAGCCTGCCAGCCAATCAGTCGGGGAGCTAGGCGACTGTGGGATGTCGATATCTATTATTGTACTTATTGAGCATTGTTTCCGACATGTGTAGTTCGACCCAAGTCTTGCCACAGTGTGTTTCTGGCATGTCTGGCTGCAGCTTGCTGGCTTGAATAAGGACACGCAGCGCTAGCGGTAAAAGAGAGTGAGGCATGTTGGCCACTTGTCCTTTTCCACTAACTTTCTAATTCAATCAAACATGTCTTTTGTTAGCAAGCAGCCTTTTATGTATGCCTCTCACCAGGACAATCTAAGCAGCGGTATGAAGCGACAGAGAAATGGGAACCCAGCACGATACTCAGTCTCTCTGAAGAGTGAAACGGGTGCTGTTGCAACGACGGTTCATGGCGACGCTGCTGTGAGTGTGGGCCAAATTTCGCAATGGAGTGAGCAGCTTTCCAGCCTTGTTTCCAACGCCCAGGACTATTTGAGTGAGCGCACTGTAACCGAGGCAACCCACATCCATCCTGAATACTCTGCTATTTCTCCGTCCCTTATGCTGGTGGAGTCACTGAGTGAATCCAGCAGCAATGTGACACCAGCCACGCTCTCCAACCCTTCAGACATTCCTGTCATTTATGTGTCAGACTTTCCAAAGGAGCCAAGTGTCTCTGACAAGCGAAAGCCGCGTATCCCGATTTCACAGCGGCTGGGCCCCAGAATAAGTAAACCAACTAATAGCAGGGCATACACAGCCGACAACTTGAAAAGGCGCAGAAAACACTCAGTTGTATGCAAAAGTGACTTCGTTCACAATATCAGACGTGTCTATATCTATGGGCTCATGAAGCCCCCAAATATCTCGATGCGAGCTTGCCTCAGCAACAGCTACGGTGTTGACCCAACGGGCATCATATTTTCACACTACATCGCCTATCAAGTAACTGAACTATTTGTTCATGGCCAGCACACGCAAAGACTAACCAACGGGCTATCCAAATTGAATAGCGTATTGCATCTGAAGGGGTTTAAACCATTGGAGCCGAATGTCCTACCACACTATATACTTTCATTGGCGCAACTAGATGCTTTTCCAGGCATATACAAAGAGAGCATTAGGGCCACGTTTGGGAATCCACATATGTTGAGGGGAACGTTTGAGAGATACGCGCAAGAGTATATGGTGGAAATTGGAGCCGTGGCTCTCGACAACACCATGGCCGCTCCTGGAAGACACATTCTCTAGCTCATGGCCAATAGTGACCCCTGTACGCCTCTGTTTGGGCGCTACCCACCTATATAAGCAGGTTTTACGGCTAGTCACCTCAATATTCCTCCTTCCTTATTTCATATAGCATGTTATCATACATTGCAACATACTTCATGGAAAAGTACTCGGAAAGCCACCTTATTACGAACTGCTGCAGGAGGTTGTTTGCTAGGTACATTGCATACGAGATACTACAGGAGCCTTCAACTGAGCGCCATCAAGTCGATGCCGCTATGCGATATTGAAGAGCTGCACACATATTTGATACAATTTGCTGTGTCTCGCGTACGAACTACCCAGGGGATAGCCCTCTGCAACTGTTTAGATATGTTTGCAAACACCTTTCCACAACGTATGTCAGCATTTAATGATGTTAGACGAAGGAATGAAGGAGGAACCCTTAGGCTGTTGCAAAGCCGAGTTAATTTCTGCAAACCATGCTGAATCGGAGGGGCAACGAGCCTATGTCCAGGACCTTGATATGCAGCCTGCCGGCACGTTGTCACAAGACAAACTCTGATAAGAGCTTGAGGTATTTGGTGGGATATGGTGGGATATGGCCACCTCTCACATTAATCTCATCTTTGGTTCATTTGTATTCAAATAAAATACTGTTAATGTATGTGGCATATATTGTTGATATTATCCCACTCGTGACAGTGCAGAGCAGGGTGTATATATACCATGACGTCAGAATCTGCAGCTTGCTTTTCTAACAAACGTGTACGAGAGAATTGCTTCATGTGCGTGTGCGAGAGAGTGCTTGTGTAGAGACAGCAAGTATTGTGTGCTTGCAGGGCGACCCATGCATTCCCATGGTGAAGCCTGGAGAAGCATATGTCCCTTCAACCACTCAGGAGCGCTCTAGCGGGCAGACGGACACTTTTGGACAACTGTAGTGTATGGGCACGTGAGACTAGCCACGAGGGAACAAAGCACACCCCCAGGACGCACAGATAAAAGGCCGTATGTGACAGAGATACAGATTGTTTCCACAGGTTTATTCTTTTACTCAAAATACAAACACGTCACAACAAAATCGTATGTGCCATAAATTCGGTCAAACAGGCTCGGGTGTGATTATGACAAGCCATCCTTTTTTCATTTTTCATTCTCAACCATTTTGGTTCTTTTGTTGTATCAATGCCATTCGATAGCCAGCATTCGTTTCTATCTGTCTCAGACGGCAGCGGTCAGAGTAGCAGCACTAAGCGTGTCAGAGAAGATGAGCCGGTGCGGTATGCAGTTTCGCTGCAAGAGACACCGGGGGCTGTCATGCAGGTCCTGAACTTGGACACATCGGCAAACATCGGCCATATTTCGCAATGGAACGAACAGCTGGCCAGCCTGATTTGTAACGTCCAGGAGCGTATCAGTGCTCTCTCAGCAGCGCCTGGGCCGATTGAGCAGCAACCCACAGCTACAATAATCTCGCAACCGCATATTTCAAGAGAGCAAGCGAGCAGCTGCACCAGCACATTGGCACTGGCTGAATCACATGACACCAAGCAGTTTTCAAGCGGCTACGAGCCAGATCAGCGGTATAAATCCGATTCAGACGAATCGTACTTGTCAGATAAAGCACCGCGCATTCCGATCTCGCAACGGCTTGGTTACACGGCCGAATTGCAATTAGCGACTGGCCATGCGTCACTGACAAGGAGTATTACTGGCGTGTTTACGACAAAGTCTGGGCGACGCTCAACTACATGCAAAAGCGATAGAGAGCACGGCCTTCGTCGGGTGTACACGATGGGTCTAATGAAACCAAAGAACTGCTCACTCCGTCAGTACTTGGCGGGAATTGGTATCGATCCAGCTGGTATCGTGTTCTCGCACCATGTTGCGTACACGGTCAATGAACTCATAGTTAAAGTCGACTCAGTGCAGGCGTTATGCAGAGAGTTAGGCAGGGCTGACGGCGTAAAGGTCCTCAAATTCTTTGACCCACTGAGACCCATGCATTCGGAATTATCGTATGAACAAAAACAGGCTTTTCCGGGAATATACAAGAAGAGGCTAAGGGCAACGTTCTCTCCCACCTATTCATCGAGAATTGGATTTGGTGACTACGCACGTTCTTATACACGGGAAATCGGGATAGACGTCTGAGTGCATGTTTGAAGCTGCAGCCACCCACGGCGTGTTTGCTGGAGGGCTTTGGCAAATACACTCAAAGTAGAAGCACAAGCGAAGCTGTAGGTCGAGTGGGCACTAGCCCGCCAACTAATCTATCTAGAGGGCCGCATATGGAGCGGCGGTTGGCCATAAGTCTTATGCAATCGGTGTGAAGATATCCATTCTCTATACCCCCTCGTCAAAACAGCGCATATGACTATCCTTTTATTTTTCTCGCATTTACCATGGTCCTTGGCACTCAGCATACAGATCTTTCAGCCCCATGCGATGCTAGCCAGAGCAGGAATGCAAAACGACAGAGGACGGAGCAACCCACGCAGTATTCTGTCTCACTGCAAGAAGTTTCGGGCGCTATAACGCATATGCTTAATGCCGATACAAGTATGAGCATGGGCTATATCTCTCAGTGGAACGAGCAGCTGATGAGTCTAGTATGCAGCTTCCAGAATAGAATCGACGATATGTCTGCAGCCCCTGAGCCAACCGAGAGCCAGCCCATTTCCACACGAGTATCGCAGCTGTATGTGGCACCACCAGGGTTGGCCAGCGAGACTATCGGTACTTTGGCGCAAAGCGATCCAGATAGCTCGACTACTACTTCTCCTGCAGCATCCCCTTCAGACGATTCATCGCGGCATATTCCGATCTCACAACGACTCGGCAGCCGAGTGACAGAAACAGCTAGTCCACTGGCAAAAACAAGAGTGGTAGTAACAAAATCAGGGCTGCGCTCGACGACATGCGAGAGTGACTATAAGCATCGAGTCCGCCGTATATACACGATGGGTCTGATGCGACCCAGAGACACCTCCATGCGCCAGTACTTGGCAGACCACGGGATTGATTCTACCTGTGTCATGTACTCGCACCATATCGCCTATACGGTCAATGAGTTTATTGTCAGGGTCAAGTATGTGCCGACACTATGTAGAGCGCTAGACAGGATCGAGGGCGTAGCAGTACTCCGGTTTTTCGATCCGCTGAATCCAGACCACCGGGGGCTATCGTATGAGCAGCGGCAATCGTTTCCAATACTGTACCGCAACTGTGTGAAAGGGAGATACGACACAGCCATCACAGCAAGACGGGGCTTCATCGAGTACGCACTGGACTATTTAAAGGAGATTGGTATTTGAGCAGCAGTGTAGAACCGACTACCATATCTGTATCTTACAATTGATTCTATAAATAAGAGGCCTTCATACTGCCATTTTATCTTCGCAAGGTGGGTAGCTGCATGGTGTTTTCCACGTTTCATGGGCTAGTGATGTCGCATATACACCGAAATGCCATGGCAGTGTGGTATTGTGGAAGGGAGAGCAGACACCGAGGAATACTGAGGGGCTGTCATTGAGCAGGCTAAAGAGGATAGTAGCTCCATATATGAGACTTCCGAGTCATCCAGCTGCCGAGAGACTCATACTGCGTTTACTGCCAACGAGTTTGTAGTCAACATCGGCTATATGCAAATGTTTATCAGTGGGCTGGTGTGGAGTCCTAAAGTGCTAGTTCTGAATATCTTTGATCTCTTGAACCTTGCTCACACTCCACTTGCAAAAGCTCAGCAGTTCGGCGTTGCATCATTTCAGGTGCAATGCATAAGGAATACGTGCACATCCAGGTATACGTCGACCGACAAGTGCAGAAAATAGGTGCACGACAGCATGCACGAGCATCGTGTGCTGATAGTGGCCGGTGCAGCGTGATCGGCAGCACTGAAATGTACCGCGCTCAAATTTATCTGGGGTACTATCGTGCAGATTTTGTAGCGACTTTTTTGACACCTTTTCACCTCCACAAAATTGCACTTTTCATTTCCTATAATTATGCTTCCGTTCAATGCGTCCACAGCGAACCTGACGACGAGTCCGATGTACTTGTCAACTTCACCGGCTCTATCTCCTGTACAGCAGCAGCAGCAGCAGCAGCAGCACCAGCAGCAGCACCAGCACCAGCAGCAGGGGCAGGAGCAGGAGCAGCAATTCCCGTACGAGACATACCAGCAGCAGCAGCAGCATGGGCAGCAGCTTAGGCAGCAACCCTATTCAGAGCCAGCACAGTTAGCCACACCCCCAGCTGTCATGGCAACGCCTGCAACAGGACCCCCAGCCACTCCATCTGTATTGACGGTTTATCGACCAGTATTCAAAGAAGTGACAGAATCCTCGCAATATGGCGAGCCCAGCGCAAAGCGAGCGAAGCTGGGTGCTGGTTCGAGCCAGTGCTTTCGGACGCAGCAGGTTGTAATTGAGCCAATAAGTGTGCCCATTCTACCAACAATGCCTATAGAAGACATGGACGGACTGGTGCGGATGAGTGAGTATAACCGCGAGCTAGTATCGGTCTTAATGTTGTCGCAAGACAAGCTTGCCAGCATGGAACGGGAGCAGCTGCAGAAGCGGATTTTAGCCCTGCAGGCACCCATCATGGCATCGAGCGTTTCTGCGAATCCGGCACCACTGGGCTTCCCGGCGGCACCAGCCCTAACGCCTGTGTCGAAACCTGTGCTGGTGATGGCGTCAACGCCAGCAGTCAAAATGTCACCGACAAGTACACCTACACCCAAGCCTGCGGAGTCACCTCAGCATAAAATAGCGTCAAAGCCTGAAACCAAGCCTGTCGGAATAACCATAAAGTCAGCCAGCAGCGCAGCTTTGACACATGGTTCGCGTACATCCTCAGTCCATTCTGCACAGAAAAACGGCCACGAATGCAGACACACGATGCCTTGGCAGTCGAAGACAGAGCAAAAGCACTACGTCTGGCGCGTGTATGTCAAGGGCCTGGTGGAATACAAACCCGAGCAGTCACGCGAATTTCTCAGCCACTATGACATCGACGACCTCGATGTCTACCACTTCTACTTTTGCACCTCAGATGTGTGCGAGCTTATCACCACCAACCATGATGCGCCGCGGCTCGTGCGGCGACTGCGCAAACGCGGCAAAATCATACTCGATGGATTCGACCCACTGATGTTCCGCGACTCCGATGGCGAGTGGCGGAAGGTGAACCAGTGGATGAGGAGCCGCTATGCGAAGCGCCTCCTGAGCAGCTACTCTAAAAGCAGCCACCGCGACTTCCGACGCTATATCCACGCCTATGCGCGGGACATTGGCTTGGAGCTCCCGTTTGATGATATACAGCCGTGAGGAATGCAGCTGCCAGCACACTATTCTCTTCTCCGCTCCTTTTCGCCAATACAGCTTCCATGGCAGCACATTCCCGAAACCAGAATGAGGGGGGCTCGGAGACCACCAACAGTACCCCTGCAATAGTCTCAGGAAACGCCGACACAATGAGAAGGCTGGGCACCTGGAACGATCAGCTTGCAAGTACCGTGTTGCAGCTCCAGCAGAGAGTGGCGAGGTTTTCTGCTGACCAGCTTGCGTCAGAGGCGACGAGGGAGCCTCCCAGGCTGCCACAAAGGCGAGCGAAGAGCCCATCTTCAACATGACCGATGAGCCGGTCGCCAGGGCCACATGGGGGCCGTTCATCGAGAGCACGGAGGAGCGAGTCGCCAGCATCATCAAAACCCCTATCTCGGAACATTGCGCATAGCTACTCCACGTCAGAGCCCGGCAGAGCGCCAAGGGCCAGTGCTAGTTGCACTAGTGACTTTAAGCGCCGGATCCGACGCGTGTACACCCGTGGCCTGTTCAGACCAGATCAGCGCTACAAGGTCGTCTTTTGGCACAGGGTCTGCTCTGACATTTGCGAGTTCTTCGTCGACAAGGACTACGTGAGACAATTTGTGGACAGGCTTCATGAGAAAAAAATCGGGACTATTCGGTCCTTCATGCCTCTGCGTCCCACGCATCTGTCGCTGTCAGTCGACGAGCAGAGCCTACGCCAGTCATATAGAGATTGCCAGGAAAGGCGGTTCCAGGCACTCCTTCAGAACTATGCCAGCGAATTTGATATCAGGCTCTGCTGAATCCAGGGCTTTCAGCTTGGCTAATTACGCCACAGCCGGGCCAGCCCCACTGTTTTTTTGGCTTTCTTGGCTCCACTTGTAAAAAAAATTCTTTGCATAGCTCACATTCTGAAATGCTACCTTCCACACTCAGCAACGGGGCGAGGAAGCACAACACGCAAGATAACGCGCCAGCACATGTGTCTGTACAGCTGGGGCAGCCGTCAAAGCTGGAGCCAACGCTGTTCCCTGGCCAGGACATGGGCGAGTCAGCAGCGAAGTTGAGCGACTGGAACAACGAGCTTGTGACGCTGGCGCTGCACTTGCAGGAGCAGCTCAATGATCTGCTTGCTGCACAGCAGCGGCAACCATCGTTATTAATTGCCCAGCCTTTCACGTATCCGCTGCCTCCTGAATCTCACAAGCAGGAGATGCCAGTACTGCCACCAGCAAAGCTGGACCTGTCCCGACCATGTCGCAGCGACTACAAGCATGGCGTTCGGCGTGTGTATACTAAAGGGCTGGAGAAAGCACAGAACATGACAATGAAGAAGAAGCTTGCTTCCCTCGGCGTTGATGCCGAAAAGGTCATCTTCTCGCACACCCTCCCCTTCCAGACACGCGAGTTTATAGTCGTTAGCGACTATGTAAAAGATTTCTGCGCAAAGATTCAGCAGTCTGGGTTCGAAATACTCGATAAATTTGACCCCCTGGATCCACAGCACCCGCTTCTCACCAGTAAACAGCAGAAGCAGTATCCTTCGCGATACCGTGCGTCTCTAGCTCCTGTGCTCAAGGCCTGTGTCGGAAAGGTGTACAGTCGATTCAAATCCTATGCCAGGGACTATGCAAAGGACATCGGGTACAAGGTGTAACCTGGAGTCTTTGGACACCCAGCGTGGTTGAGGTTTAGGAATCCTTGCAGCCGTTTCTTGCAAATAACAAGCTCGTACTGCGCCCAGCAGCTGACAATTGCCGCGTATTGCCCAGGATCCCTGGCAAGGACGCCGACAAAAAGTGCGCGTGCAGCCCAGCTTTTTGCTGGTGCTGATCAGCACCGTGCTAAGCGCCAAGGGCGGCGGAGGCTGTCTTCATCGCGGTGGCCCCATTTAGGCCTCCCTGCATTGGTGCAGAATTTTCTCGTCACTCTGCTCTGCTTTGTTGCGTCTTTGCTGTCTTTTTCTTACTCTCGCTCACCTCGAATGCGCTGCTTTACGTAATGTCGCAAACACGAACGCGAAATGCGCAGCTTGCTACAGAGCTATCGTCTAGCCCGCCGACCCTTTCTCAGGTTCTGCGGCTGACACCAGAACTTGGCCCGCAGCAGCAGGCGCAGTCTGCAGAGCAACCAGAGCAGGAGCCGCTGAACCAGCTAGCGCGCAGCGACTCTGCAGCAGGCACAGGAGCGGAGGGCATTGTCACCGAATCAGCAGAGCAGCCCACAAACCAGGCTGGCACCAGCACACTACGCGCTAGCGAACTGGAAAGCCAAGCTCAGCAGCAGCAGCCTCCAGTGCTCGGCCGCCAGCGCTCAGGCAGCTCGGAAGGTAGGGAAGATACACAGCCGACTGATGTTGCCTGGCAGCCCAAGCGGATATGTGTGCGTCCAGAAGGAGTGAGCCCAGCCTTCACCGGCAGTCAGCAATCGAGGTTCTTTCCGCGCCAGGTGACTGATGCGCCTGGCAATGCGCAAACGACTGATGATTTCCAGTTGCCTAGGGTTCGTTTGAATGAGGACCAAGTGGGCACAGAAGCGGTGCAGGTCGAAAGCAGCCCAGTGGTATTGGTCCACGATCCCTCGGGTGATGCTGGCGAACCAGCAGCACATGGACAGGAGGAACATCCAGACCACAGCAATGAAGATGACGACGACTTTGCCAGGCCACCAATTCCGCCACATTCGTTGGCTGAGAGAGCATATGCACGGCCAGCGCTACACCGTGCGTCCATGTCGGCAGCGAGCTCAATCGGTGATATGTGCACTGACAGCGGCACTGCCACGCCCAAACTAGACGACGCTGCTGCAGCTGCTGACGATATTGAAGCTGAGGAGAGCAACACATGTATAATCTGCTACGAGCGCTGGACGCATCGCGGCAACCATCAGCTGGTGTCGCTGAAGTGCGGACATCTGTTTGGTTACAGCTGCATTAAACGATGGATCGTGCGCGGTCCTAGCGGCCGAGGACGCCAGAGTGGCTACAACAAGGACAAAGCAGGATGCCCTGTTTGCAAGCAAAAAACAGCAGTCAAGGATATCCGTAAGCTAGTGGCCACGGCTATTACAGCGGTCGATGGCGAAAAGCTGGAGAATGCGCGTGCAGAGATTAAGCAGCTGCAAGACAAGTGTGCTAAGCTCGAGGGTGACGCCTCCCACTACCAATTCGAGTACCACCGTATGTTCAATGAGGTCCAGAAGCTGCGCAACCAACTCGATGAGGCCGTACAGCAGAAGCAATGGATCCTGATGGAGAAGGAGAACCTCGAGAAGCACCTGGCAGAGACTCTCACCTGTAGGCCAGCCAGCGAACCAAAGCCGAGTTTGCCACAGGCAGTCAGCATGGAGGAGAGCACGCTGGCTAATGGAGAAAAGCTAGCGGTGCGTGCGGCCAGTCTCGGCAACATTCCGGCGCGGGTTGATGATAGCCAGCTGGACTTTAATATCGGCGATATCGACATTGATTTCGGTGCCGCCATTCCCAGTTCACCAGGAGCCACCGACAACGACACAAAGGGTGCTCCTACACTGCTCCTACATCCACACTCACGCCCACAGATGCAGAGCTTTTATTTGCCACGGATGCGGCTAGCTGCAACAGTGCCAATCGCAAAGAGATCCGGAGACTCGGCACGTCTGCTGGCGTTTCACCCACATGAGCCAGTACTCTATGTGAGCCATTCCAATGCCAAGACACGCAAGCACACAATGGCACAGGTCAATGTGCATGACCCGGCAGCACCGCCCTTCTTCATGCAGCCACTGCACAGCGAAGAAATCCGCGGCGCAGAAGTCAGTCCACATATGTCAGGTGTGCGGTATCTGCTGACGGCAAGCATGGACCACACGGCTGCCCTGACAAGCTTAGGGTCGGGAGTCGGTGGAAGCAGATCGCCGCCCATGGTGGCCAATCGGTTTAAGCTGGGCGAGCGCGGGTGGTCGTGTGCGTGGGATCCGATCGATCCAAATGTGTGTTATGTTGGAACTGCCAAGGGCCTTGTCCAGATGTTTGACATACGCAAGCCCAGTTTGGCGGTTCATGTCTGGGATGGCCCAGCCAGTGGGGCCCGCCTGCTGAGGCCAGCGGTGAATTCGAATGGTAAAATCATCACTGGATGCTCGCCGATCCACAGCATTGCCGTCGTACCGTCGTCCCGGTGCAGTCGGTTGCTGGTGGCGAATTCGCTGCACGTGTACTCGCTGCCTACCCCTGAATTCAAGCTTGGCCTCGCTGATTCCAGCACTGCAAAGACCTCAAACGAGTGGATACGCCTGACTGATAGCGAAGCACACAACAACCCATGCTACTCGGTGTCGTTTGATCCGCGACAGAGTTTGGCCGCTGCATCGTTTAGATCGCCTGGCGGGTCGTCACGGCGGCAAGAGACAATACACGAGATGTTTGATGTCGAATTCGGCAAAGACAACCAGGTGTCATGGAATCGGCGCCATCAGATCAACGTCGAGTCGTGGCAGAGCAAAATGACACGGTCGACAATCTTTTCCTACTACGCAGAGCCACCGTACAACCGCTGGCAGTCTCTGATGTGTGCTGGCATCGAGAGGTCGCGCCAGGTCAAAGTGTGGGACGGTAGTGCTGCGCAGGCCAAAGAGCTCGTTTCGCTGAGCGATGTTCCGGCCACCGAGTACGTGGTCGACATCAAAGGGTGCCAGTGGGGGCTGTCGGATACGGGTAACCAAAAGACCACTCTGGCAACCCTGACAAACTCCACGGTCCGGTTGTACGATATTCGATAAGCATACGCAACTATGAAATAAAGAGCTTTTTTGTTTTTAGTTTAGCAAGCACAGTGGCTCCTGGCTGAGTAAACAAGTGTATCTAGAAAAAGTCCGCAAAATCGTCGGCATGCCGGGTTGGAACGGCGTCGTCACTGTCGTCGTCTCCATCATCGCCAAACAGATCCTCGGCGACAGCGCTCTTCTTCTTCTTGCCACTCATCTCAGCCTTCTTGAACACCGCGTCATAGCTGCGCGCTTCCTTTTCACTCTTGCGCTCTTTAATAATCTTGAGCTCCTCTGCACGCTTCTTCTCATACACCCTCTTCAGCTCGCGCTTCTCATCCTTGTCCCTGTCAGCCCTTTGCTGACGCAGATCTGGGTGCTCCTCGCGCTTGGTCTTGTTTAACCGGTTCACAATCGCGTTCTCGCGCTGCTTTACGTGCACACGCTTCACCTGCCGCGGGTTGTGGAAGCTCACCTGGCCGGTCGCCATATCACCGCGCTTCAGCAGGTTTGCCCAGGGCGTGTAGATAACTGTAATGTCGTTCTTTTTGTTGCCCTCGATACTGTTCGCCTTTACGAGCTGCGCCATGTCGTCGAGCAGCTCCTGCGGGATCGTTTCCCAGGATTGGCCATGGCTAAGACGCAGATATACGTGGGCAGAGGAGAGCTTGTCGACGTGGAACCAGACATCCTCAGGCCATCCGTACTTTATCAGGTCCTCGTTCTCAAACTTATCCTTGCCCATGTATACCATGGCGGGCGGGTCGACGACATTGGACGTAAAGTACAAGACCATTTTTTTTTAAAAAAAAAAAAAAGAACGAATTCAGAGCGTGAATTGAAAAGAGCAAAGGTAAAGAGGGCAAAAATCGGCGAGCCGATAATTTTTGGGGACAAGAAAAACTCTTGTATGAACAGTGCGCCCTGCAATGGCAGGGCAGTGAAACAGCACCAAACCCGGGCTAGTTGCCGTAGAGCGAATAAATGCAGCCATCACTACCACTACATCATCACATCAGGCATGTGTACACAGTGTTTGACATGAGTGGACGATGAGTGTATCGGCCAGTAACACAGATCGTTCTACAAGCAGGCATACCAGTAGCATTGGGTCTGTTAGAGAGGCGATTGATGGAAATGTATGTATCAGATGTGGATGATATAGTTATTATTTCTTTAGCACTTGACAGTGGTGGTCTTGCCGTCGTTGTCCAGAGCCTTGATCGAGCTGCCCCACTTGTACTGCTTCTGGGCAACCACGTACTGGTACGACTTGACGCGGGTGATGCTGTCTGCCCACTCCTCCTGCGTCTCCTTGTTGTGCGGGTTCTTCAGGTCATCCATGCGCACCTGCAGGAACTTTGTCAGCCAGACGATTTCATCGACATTGTGGCCGTTGATCTTGAGCGTGCTGCCCGACGAGCCCTTGGCATCGGCCTTGAACGACGCGCTGGTCTTCTTGATCAGTGCACCGACCGAATCGGGATCCGAGCCATCGCCGTGCTGGATTGTTGTGTCGTACAGCTGGGCGCGGGTCACGTCGAGCTGCGCACCCAGCTTATCCGCCAGCTTCTGCGACGGGTCAAAGTACATCTCGTCGCGCACCTTGTCCTGCGCCGCGCGGAACTTTGCGTCCGACTTGCCCAGCTTGCCCCACACCGAGCAGTAGCCGTCCAGCCCGCTGACCGAGCCGCTGTTCGACTGGTCCAGCTTCTTCATGACCGCGTCGTACTTGCTGAATGCGTCCTTGCCGCCGGTCATCTTGTGGTACTCCTGCAGGACGACCCAGGCGTCCGAGGTGCCGGTGCAGAACCCAGCAATGCCGGCTGTGTAGCCGCGCCCGTCCTTGAGGTTCTCGCAGTAGTCGTAGTGGAAGGCGGTGTCGCCGTTCTCGTAGATGTTGGTCAGACCCAGAGCGATCTTCTTGGAGCAGGCAGACATGGCGGCGTTGGTCGTGGCGATGGTGGCAAGGAGGCCAAGAGCGGTGGCAGTGAACTTCATGGCTTATTAGTGCTGTTGCTGGAGTGGAATGGGTGTGTGAGGTGGTTGCTGGTGTTGTGCTGGTGTTGTGATGATGTAGTGGTAGTTGCAGCCAGCAACCTGCCTTTTATATCTAGCGATTCAGACTGCGTTTTCGAAACACGGCTTGAGTGCACCGCCGGTAGCCAAGAACCGACTCAAAGACCAGGACGGGCTTTCTGGCACCAACTACCAAGAAACTCGGTTTCTGGAAACGGCTGGGATATCCTGCTGAGCAGACCTTGGCTGCACGGATTTGCCACACAGCCAGGTTTTGCACCTGCCTTATTTTCCAGGCAGCGGCGATCCTTCTGTCTGGCCAGCTAAAAATAGGAGCGTGTCCGCCAGGAGACCTCCCGGACCGGCGCTTGGCATACCTTGGCGGTCCTAAAGACGAAGGATACGCCTGGTGTTGTTCCGCGGTATCCTGAACAGGCAAGTGGATCTGTTCTGGATTCAGTTAGCGGGCATGTGCTGCAGCCGACACCAGCTATAGGCTCCTGCCGTAGCAACGCCAAGCGGATCTGGTTCAAGAGATCCAGGCAATGTGTTTTTAGGACTCACAATCTGCGAATCAAGCGTACCGGCATTTTAGGCTCGTCCACTTGCTACTACACTGTCTCGAACACCTAGTGGCAGTAAGGGATGCGGTGGTGCCAATCCACTCATTCACTGGTGGTAAAAGTGGCATAATCGACCAGCTTTGTAGGTGCATCCTCAGCCCATTCTCTCGAGAGAAAAAGAGGTTTGGGCTATCCTAGTGATAAGCTTATGAGCAAAGCTGTCTGGGATATCGAGCTCGCTTGCTGCTTTAGCTGCAGTCACTCTATGCGCAAACGTCCTTCCAGCAATTTCGTCTTTGGCAATCCACATGTAATTCGATACAGCAATAAAATTGAGCAGCAGCATATTTGGGAAGTGCTTTTCGATGAAGCTGCGCATCCTGCTGGGAAGGTCTCATGTAGACGTTCGGTGATTGTATGTCTGATGCTGCTTCCCCTTGTCACATGCATTGCACTCCAAAAATTCAGGCCCCAGCAGCTCCCACCAGCTTTGCAATGGCTGCCCAGTCGACACACGATCTTGGCTCCAGTTGTTTTACTTCAGACAACATGTATGTGTGGATCCTCAGCCTCATGTGGACCAGTAATATGGTTAATCGTATGAACGCGAGTTTTACATTGCACTAGAAAACGGCCAACCTGTTCAACAGCAGCCATCCAATCAAAGCTATTGCCGTGTTCGTGAAGGCGAGCCAGTCAAGCGGGCTCTGTATCTGTACCTGTATCATCTGTCCAGTCGTTCGTTTCTGACCCAGCTTGTTCCATGTCCAACATCCCACCAACTACTTCAGTATTGGCCATGCGTAACACCCCATCCACATTGACTATTTAGCTTCCATGGGTCGCAGCCATATTTCGACTGGAGGATCGAGAGCCCCATCCACGCAGAGGTTGTATGGGACGTATTCTGCGTTGATGGACTATGAAGTCTATAGCTAGATAGGGATCTGCTGAAAGTGTCAAGGAAAGAAAGACACGGCCTATGTGAAATACGAAATGCTCATTTATACATAGCGGCATGCTGCTTCTGATTTCTGGACGAGCGTGAGATGCTTACTGATTCGCAATTGTCGTATTCGTCGCAGAGCAGCACTGTCCTTTGCTAGCATCAATGTTCTAGCTGGTTTAGTAGAGCACAAAAGATAACTCCTATGCCATGGGAAAGACGTTAGTTCTACATAGATTCGCATATAGTATATATCCACTTCAGGAAAATAGTCTCCATTATACAACACTTGAACCTATGTGTATTAGGAGGTTTCTAATTTTATTGTTGCTTAATTTGTTTAAAATTTCACCGCGATCCAAGAACCGCATTTGGTTTCGAAGGCCATCATATTTCGACTATTTTTCTTACGATTCAGTGCATAATCGGTAGAATGATCGGTTCATAATAAAGGCGCTGGTATCCCAGAGGTTTGCCTACATACACAGCTGGCGACATAGCACCTGAAGAACACAAATGATGGACTGTCGATTCGTTATTGAGTCTTTGGGAAGAAATATACTGATGATGAAAAGTAAGGAATACTCCAAAAGCCTAGTTGCTGTCGGTACTCAAACGAGTAGCAAGCTCAACGAAATGCTTGACTCTCATGAGGTCTGAGCGCGATATGACAATATCAATACAGGAAAATGAGCGAAAAGTACGGACTGTTGGGCACCGTAACGCTAGACTGATTATCAGCCGTGCAGACTGTACATATCCTTCACACTCGCTGGGAAAGATGGTAATACTTTGCAGAGTCTTAGAGATGGGAGAACCAGGTAGAGCTGCACTGCTAGCACTGGTCATAGCCCGGCAAATGTGGCCAATGAGATTGACGGCGTCGTTTTTTGTCAAGCCCACCTGCACCAGAGATTTGACCATGTCTGGTAGATCTGCTGTGTCCCCCAAAGCAGCATTTCTGCGACAAGTCACTGAAAGCTCGCGAAGGAATGGCAGTGAGCCAATCAAGTGAAGAACTTGCTCAGAAGTACATTTCACTCCAGGGATCTTCAGAGAACGGAGGGTTGGGGCGAAGCTATCGATATGTGGCTGAAGAACGGCGTAGTCAAAATAAAAACCATTGCTGACCTCGATCACTGGTGTCCGGTGAAAAGCACAGAGTATGACCGGAATATGATCTTCAGTAATTGTGCTGGGGCTAGAATCTGGAGTCCTTAGTCTCAAAAACTCCAATGCCCTAAACTGTCCCTTGTCCAGTAAATTGGCCCGGATGAGTGTCTCGATAGTACTGTTCCATACATGCATATCCAGGAACGTAAGCGAATCTTCTGATCCACGGAGAATGGAGTCGTCCAAAAATGAATTCCGCCCATGGATAACCAAAGTTTTAAGTGCCGGGAATGGCACGCCCGCAGATGAAGAGCGTGCTGCCACATTCCTGGAATTGTCCATAGTACATAAACGAAGATCATGGAGTTTGGGGTACACAACCACTGAACCGTCGCTGTCAGCCACGATGCGCCTGATCAGAACAGCCTCACTCAGCCTTAGGCGTAGTTGTTGTAGAGACTGCGAGTTTTGACGGATAAGTGCAAAAGTATTTTCCATTTTACCACAAGCAGAGGTGACGAAGCTCTGCAAGGGAGTGGTATCTACAGGGAATGGAAGTACATAGGACAGACAATTCCCGCCAGCAGTAATGGCAGCTCTTCCAGCGAGCAGACATTTTAAGAGATCAACTATATAAGAAGGAAGAATATAACGTGAGAGATCCCAGCTGTACTTCACTACAATGTGCGTAATGGATGGAAATATGCGGAATAGCTCATCACCGAATTGGTGTGAATGTAGTTTGGCCAGTTGGGGGTTTACCCTGTTAGACGTTCCGTTAAAGATGAAAGTGAGACTTCTAATGCTTGGCAGCGTGAGGTCGCTTGGTACATGCTGCCTTAACAGGGCTGCTTCTGGATTCTGGAATATGTTGTTCGTTTGAAGTTTAATCGTGATTCCTTTAATCAGGTCACAAGCACCAAGTTTATGAGCCCAGTTAAGTGACGGCTGGGTATTGGTGCCTACATAAACACAACGGAATATATGGCCGAGGGAAGTCTGTCTCCATGACTGGCAAACATGAGACACTGGCATTAGGATCGCATATGCCGGTTTCAGACCATGCTGACCAACACGTATGGATTTTCCGGGCTTAAGGTAATAAATAATACGGTCCAAAATGATAATAGGAGGGCGTTGTGCAATAGACTCCATTGCAGGAAAATGAAGAAATGAGGGTTGAAACGAAAAAGTGGGAGCTTGAATAAACCAATATGCTTGAGGTGAGACACAGGAGATATTGGAAGAAAGGCGACTAGAGCAGAAGAAAAGTGGTGTCGGGAGGAGGAGCCGAGGCATTTCGCTGAATCTAGCAGGTTTATAAACACACTCGTTGGTGGCATTAGGAACAGGTGCATTCCTAAGTTGCCATCTTCGGCAGCAGCTCTAGCATGCTGCTTTTGCCAGTTCCTGGCCTGGCTGCGTATGGTTCAGTATCTGGCCATCTTTGAGAGCGTGAGTGTGAGGGTGAGTGAGAAAGCCTCTTGTTTCAAATCCACATGGTGAGCTGCGTACCCCCTGTTGGGGCACAGTCATGGCAAACAATGGCCATCGTATCTTTTTATCAGAGCCAAATATATTGCTAAAAACCACCTACATTCCATATTTGTAAACATTTTGCTGCAGCATATATTGCCGTGCGATGTGTTGCCATTGTTCATGGCAGCTCCAAAATATATTTTTAGGTTTTCCTCATCGGCACAGATTCTTGTCATGAGCCGCCTACAGTGGAACTTTGGCCCCGCGAGAGTGAGGAGAAACAGGGGGAAGAAAACCCACTCCTGGCTCATAAAAGCAGGCCAGATTTCGCCCTCTCCAAAACCCTTTCTCCTCGTCCTGCAAATAAAATCTCACTACATGTAATTCTCCCTCTATTCGCATATTTGCACACCCTCTCTTTCGTGGTATTCACCTGTTGCATCAGTCGTGCAAACTCACCAACTATTCTTCTCACAATACTGCTGCTCCACCACTCGCTGCTCCGTACCACTCTCTGAACAGGCAAGTACTCGATCACAGCTGTTTGCTTCGTATTCTGCGCTAACCATTTTTATTGTCGTTTTCTGCTAACGCACGCTTGTCAATATAATGGAGCTTTGTTTATTGCTTTTGCTCCACTTGTAATTCGCAACACCGCTACACATTTGCACATCATGTTTTGGACCTGCCCTTGCAGGTTTCTGGTCGCTGTTCGATCTCTCCTCTCTCTTGCCTTTGTCTTCACTCTGACTCGCAAGTCTGTTCTAGTCGATATGTGGTGTTTGAACCGATCCGGCTTTCCATGCTCGTACACTCACCCACGAAAGTATTGTCCCGTGCTGTCCGGTGCTGGGTAATGGGGGATCGTCACCTGGTGGTGTCCCGGGAAGGTGGTGATGGTTGGGATTCCATCAGGCCCGGTTTAAGGGGTGCTGTGAGGCCCACGTGGCAATGGCCGTAGTGCAGGAGTTGCATGAGTTTGGTAGGTCTGGTAAGTCATTCATTTTCGCTCAGCTGAACTTTCTAGTGGGCCAGTACTGCATTTGGAATATTAAAGGCGAACCAGGGACTGAGAGGCAGTGGCGACTAGAGATCTGCAAGCGCTGGTGCAAAATATGCTGTACAATTGTTGGCGAAAATGGTGTTACTCCTTCGACCCAAGACATACGTAGACACTTCAAGAGCCTATTCAAGACAGCAGACGGTTTCTGGCAGCGCTACCCTGCGTATAGACTAGAGGAATAGCGAGGTTCAGTACGTTAGTCTCTGAAGGTGTAGTTTTCGAATAATCTGTAATCGGATATATTGCACAATTTTCAATGGACATGGCGAGACACAGATAATAAGTATGCCATATACACTTCAAACACGTGGTGAACCGCATGGAAGTGTATCATAAAACTACATGGTAGCCTAAGTTGTCCAGCACTTGACAGTGGAGGATGCCCTTTATACACCAGATTTGGGTCTGAACTAGTTCTCTATTTGACAAAGTGATTCCTTTTCCGCATGACGCTTACAGAACTCACTGTGCGTAGACATTATCTAGCTGCAAAATCACATGAGAGAGTAGTAAGTGAAGCAATTCATGGTGCCGAGAAATTACATGGCCGTTTTTTGATAGCCATTCACCGCAATGCGAGACACTGCCACAAGCAACGCTGCCGGCATTAGAATATAGCATAGAGAGACGCAGTGTATCTGGGCTGTCGTATTGGCAACAGTTGATATCGCTGTACAGGTATTTCGATACTGCCTTACTTGAATCTCCAGTGTCAGATTTGGCGATTTGCAGGTCGGATAAGCACATTCGTTACATTGGCTCCTTCTCCAGTTGGTATGGGCAAACAGAAACACAGGAGGGCTGAGTATCAACATCTTGCGTGGCTGAAAGAGGCAAAGTCTAACGGAGCTACCTATATCTATTCAATCTCAGGAATGATAACGATATGCAATCAAGGTAGCTGAAGTTATTGCAAAGGACGAACCGATATTGTACTAATAGTTAAGGCAAATAGGCATACTTTAAAGGTTCCCATCAACCATAGTAAAGTAATATCATTTCTAGATATCCTGATCAGGGAAGAACACTTTGCGCGTGTTCTCAAACACCTGGTCAGCAAGATCCTGCTCGCTAATGCCATGCAGCGATGCAAGAACCTGGAGAACCTGGCGTATCATGCACGGCTCATTGCGGCTTTTGACCATGCACTCGGGAGTCCACCGCTCCTTCTTCTTCGCCTCAGGTGCCTTCCAACCGTCGGAGTTCTCAGGCTTCAGCAATTTGTGACTCGCATGGGTCGGTCTAATTTCACAATACGGGCAGTCAGTTTCAATCATCAGCCGGTCCACTGGAATCTGCTTGGCAACTTCCAGGTTCTCCTCGGTCTTGAGCGAGCAGCCATTGAGGCCAATGTACAAGCCCATTTCAAGCAGCTCTTTGGCTTCGTCGATTGGGCCAGTATACGAGTGGACAACGCCTGTCGAGAACCTGTGCCGGTTCTCCTTAATCATCTTGGCAAAGTCGCCTCCCGTATTGCGGTTGTGCAGAAACATAGGCAGCTTGGTAGCTTCAGCCAGCGCAAATTGACGTGCAAAATACTTGTGCTGTGGTTCCTTGTCCGAGAAATGCAGGCGGTCATAGTCTAGCCCACATTCACCAATAGCCACCACCTTATCGCGGTTCTTCTCAGCAAGGTCTTGCAGCTCCGCAAAATACGCATCTGCTCCTGCGCTATGCTTGTCGACCTCGCTGGTCCGTGTTGGGTGACACCCAACGGTTGCATAGAGACCAGGGAACTCGCGCGCCAGTGCAATCGCTTCTTTGCTCTCGTGGAGGTTTCCACCTGTAACCATCATGGCGACAACTCCAGCTGCCCTTGCCCGGTCCAATATCTGCTGCATGTCGTCCGGATGCGACTGTTTGCCCCGGTAGAGGCCGCGGAACACGGGGTCTGTGAGGTTGGCTCCAATGTCGATCAGTTTCATGCCTTGCCTGGTTAGTTGCGTGCGCAAGTGGTTCATAAAGTGAAGGAGTGCAAAAATTATTTCCAAAACGACCTTGCATGCCATGTTTCACACTCAAGCTGCTCGGGTCTCTGATTTTCTTGCAATCTACAGCGGTTATGGATGAATTCAAACCCCGCCAATTGTCATGTGCTTGGCCTACACCGTATATTTAAAATGGCTAATATTATGTAAAGCTGTTTAGAGTTTGCATGTTGGGAACATCGCCTTGGCCGTCGAACTGCCCACCATTCCGAGCGCCCTCTCGATGTGCCCCTTGGTTGGGTTAGGGATCAAATCGTCAAAGTAACCAACAATCATATGGTAAATACCCTTGCCGTCTTTGCTGAGCGTGGGATATCTCTTATCAAGCTTGGTGCGCAAGTTACGCTGCTGATCTGGCCACTGACCAAGTACACATTCAAACCGAGCATTTGTAATTGCCATGCGCAGTTGCTCACTTGCATGAACAAGCAGGGCAAATATGGCGAGGAGGATGAGAGTCAATTTCAGCATATTCTAGAGATATTGGGTGTTTTCACATCAGTATGGAGACAGGATGCAATGGAAATAGACAGGGGTAAATATTGTTACATGATGCCAGTGTCGGTGCGGTCAGCTACTAGAGACATAGTACCGCTACAAGCGGGGTATAGGTGTCACCCATATATAGGTTAAAAATAGATCCCAGCCTCTTGTTTTCAGCCTGGCCAGGTAGAATGTAATGCTGACAGAGTACCGCCCTACTGCAAGCGTCACTTGGCAAAGTGACAGTACTCGGCAAATACAGCACTGGGGATTTTGATGGTTTATATATTTGATATTAGTGTTGGCGAGCAGGTGGTGTGCTTAGTTCTCCAGAGCCTTAGCCAGATCAGCCAGGGCCTCCAGCTTCTTGTACTTGGAGTCAGCGACGGCGGCCTCCGAGCCCACCGAGCTGAAATCAGACGACCACTGGACAAAGGTCGAGTCATCGGCCGACACGCGGAACACACGGATGGTGTGCTGGGCAGAGAGCACGGGGACAGCGGGCTCCGAGTCGACAATCTCGTAGGTCAGGGTGTTGTGCAGCTCGGAGAACTCAACCAGACGGTAGTCCTGGACGGTGCCGTCGGTGAAGGTCACCTTGCGGGTGCTGCCGACCTCGGTAGCAGAGGCGGTCTGCTCGACGGTCTTGACCAGCGACCAGAACTTGAAATCCTGGGCACGCAGAGCGGACCACACCTTCTGGACGGGAGCGTTGATGACACGGGACTCGGTGTTCTGGGACGACATGGCGACAAAAGAAAAAGTACGGTGGAAAAGGTTTTGGTTATCGGAGACGATGGAGAGGGGAAAAAGATGTTTGTTTGCGCCGATTTTTTTTGGCTGAAGTTCAATACGAAAAGCTGAAAATTTTTGTTAAGGAAAACAAGGGTTGGGGGAGGCAGTCTTGGAGAAAAATTTTCCTTTGCTCTCAACGCATCGTCGACTATGCTAACGTCTGCCTCAATATGCAAGAAATTCGTTTGGGCCGAGTGGGTGAATAGGGATTGTGTATTGTGAACACGGCGCTTTGATGGCATCAGGAAAGTCTCATTTTGCAGCTCGCTAAAAAGGACTTTCAATATCCAAATGCTTAGTCACAAAGTCTGCATTGGTAATCTCTAGTCTTACATGCCATTTAATAAAGCTGTATGTGGGAAACGGTCAGCAGCGGGCTGCTATAAATGCGCCTGGCCTTGGTTCTCGACACCAGCTCTGGTTTTGCACATTTTCCCGACATTTTCCTGACGTCTGCTTTCATTGTCATGCATTTTTCACTCATACTTGCTACAGCTGCATTTGCATACCTCCATTTCACATACGGTGCCGCTGTCCCTGCTCGCCCCATCCGTATGACACCGCTGGGCGGGGAAACTATAGGCACCGCCAATCCAGCGGCCATGCAGAAGCTCACAAGTGCCAGATTCATTGCTGGCCTGTTCTGGGTGACCACATCCGGAGTAGCATACCGCCGGTGTGCGGCAACAATCATCACAGACAGCGTGCTGGTGACCAGTGCAGTTTGTGTCGATAGTGCAGATGTTGCAGCCAGGCACGGTGCTGGCAGTTGGCTGGTCACTGCAGGCAGCATTGACCGATACATGCAGAACATTAGCGGCAATCTGACGGGCAATCGGCTTAGCCATATCGATATCAACGATGATACAAATATGGCAGTCATCAAGCTGCAGATGCCGCTAGCAGTCGATGGCAATAACATCAAGACCATCTCCGTGTCATCCAAAGTGCCAATCCCAGATGGTACCTCGTTGACGCTTTTCAACACCACCGACACGACTGACGGACCAATGCTGATTGTTACGCAAGGCAGAGACGATGCGTGCAGGCTAGCCGTTGCTGACTACGCAAGCCGGCACCTGATGTGCACACAGCCTGTCCAAAACCAGTACGTGTACGCCGATGCTCTGGGCGGTGACCCCATCATCGGCTATGCCTTGAGCAACGCAAAAGGCGAGCCGCCAAAGGTGACGCTGGCCGGGGTCTCTGGGATGTACTACACCAGCAAGCAGGCAACGCTCTCGGGCGCGGAGAACGACAAGGCTGCGTTCCGCTTTCATAGCATCATCGGATACCATATTGACCACATCGTGCGGGTCGCCGGCGTGGATGCGCGCTCCATCGTCAATGATAGCGAACTAGTCTTACTATGACAAAAATACTTGCATTTTTTGTTTAGAACTCTGTCTTGTGTGCCTGCATGTACTGCTCGATCGAATTCCACAGACCGACTACGGTCGCACGGTCCGTATGGCGCTTGGACCGCTCAATGTTGAGCATGTTGATGCCCCATGTACGCGTCGAGTCCTTTGGCCGCTCGTCCTGGTACTTTGGATAGAACCCAAGGCAGTTCTTGAAGACCTCTTCTGGCGACTTCCACGTCCAATTCTTGAACTGCCAGGCAGCGCCCTGGGTGAATACGCAGACGATCGCTGCCCAGTCATTGTCGGTAAAGTCCTGCACCGAATCAATTACCCTGAAGCGCATCTGTGAGCCATCAGCCAAAGTGTGCTCGATGTGCACTTCGCGCGGCTTGGGCCCGCCCTTCTCCATGACTTCGCGGCTTTCGACAAACTTGTGATCCTGCAGCAGATCCTTGATGTTGTACATGTTGAACATGGCTGTGGTGGCTGCGGGAACGACAATGATCGGGTCACGGCGCTTGCGACTGGCGCCGTGCTTGCGCGTTCCAGCGCTGTGCGATTTGCTGCCGGCACCGTTGACGCCCAGCTGCTTCGACGGAAACACCTCCTTGATCAGGTCTGGCACGCGCGCAAAGCTCTTGTTGCTGCTTAGCGCCGACGACGTGGTGACGATAAGCCGCTCGCGCCTTATAATATCCCTCGCTAGATCGTTAGCTGCCGTACCACTGCCTGTATCGTCGCCGCCCGCAGCAGTCTTGGGCCGTTTGCGCCTGCCATCGCCAGTGCTGGAGTCCTCTACTGCGTGCTTGCTGCTTGTATGTGCTGTGCTCTCCGCAGCCTGTGCCGTCTCCGATGTCTTTCCGGTCAAGTAGTTTAGCAGATTGATACGGTCGCTAAATGACACTGTCTGCAGGCCCACCGAGTTCGCTGTTTTCATGTACTCATAAAAGCTCTGCTCGCGGTGGTCCAGAAAGTGCAGGAGCGCCGAGAGAGTGTATTGATCTGATTCGTTGTTGCCGCGGGCGTAGCTGGTCGGCGTGTCGCGTGGAAATGACGCGTCTTCGCCAAACCTGACGGTCTCGGCTTGTAGCAGCTCTTTGGTTGGATTGCCATCTTTGTCGAGGAATTCAACGCTCTTGTGCTGAATTGTGTAGTCGCGCAGCAGTTTGAGCGGGTCGGCGGTGGCGGCAGCTGACATAATTGAACACGCGAAAATATAGACTAGAGGGTATGGTGACGAGGAACGAAAAAAAAAGGTGTGTATTGCATTTGCGTGGAATTGAATGGCCTATTCTATGGAGATGGAATCACTGGATTGGCTCAACAGATCAACTCTGCTGCTGAGGATGGAAAAAAATTAACACAGATCGGTGCGGCCAGAAAAAATGGCAGCGAGAAAAAAAAAAGTTTGAGCCCTGGCCTGGCTGCATGCGCTTTTATTTCATTTTACACTACTTTCTAAAGTCAACCAAAAAAATACTGCAATTGCCTCAACTGAACAATGGCAGTTATCAAAGACCAACCCGCGCGCGGCGTGAACATGGTCGAGCATGGGATCGAGAAGCTGACCATTGCTGCACACGGCGCAACTGCTGATGGCGATGATACAGCGATGGACACAGACGAGCACCCCAGCGAGGCTGCAGACGCCAGAAAGCCCACCATTGACTCGTGCATTCAAGTAGTGGACGTTGATCCGCTCAGCGCCGACCTGCCCAAGGCCATCCGGCACCTTTGTGCGCTAGTAGACAGCCAGGGGGCACCGGAGCTGGGCCAAACGCTACTGCAAAAGCTGCGCACATGGGCGAATGCCCCGAGCAAGGACTCGGTGCCACAGATATTGAATGTGATCTCTGCGCTGCTACTGGTGGAGGGGGCATCGATGGACAGCGTGCGTCTAGGTGAGGGTGTCGAGTGGACAGACGGACAGTTCACGATCCTGGTGGCAATGGTGTTTAGGCCAATTCTGGTCGACCTGGTAGCGCGGTGGACGCTGGCAGAGGCACCGGTGTCGGTGTTCCACCAGATCTCGACGCACATGGATAAGCAGCAAGCACAGGTCTGCGTTGCATATGCTGCTGGCATTCTTCTGGCAACCGCTCCGCAAGTAAAGAGGTAAGTGGCGATTTTCGGCGACATGTGTCGCAAAGCGGACATGCAACTAAAAACTTTTGCCGGTTAACGTAGTTTGGTGATGGCGTACTTTCAGAATTCCACAGCAGCCAGCATACTTGATCACGGCGCAGCTTCACAGAATACCAGCACGATCCAGCAGAGCCTGGTGGTGGTGTTCCGGCTGCTCCGCCGGCTGCCTGAGGTGATTAGCGGCATTGATTTGTGGGACTGGGCCACGCCACTTACAGCGCTGATGGCGCCCGAATACCCGCAGATGATCCGCCTCTTGGCGTGCGAGTGCCTATGCCTTGTCAGCGCGTACTCTGACCATGGTCGTGCCGAGCTGCTCGGAAAGCTCAATTTAGACAGCGAGTTTGTTGCGCAGATACTGACACATCTGGTTTACGGCGAGAATCAGTTTGACAGAAAGGCAGCTAACGATATGGTGGCTCACAACAAGGAGAACCTGGATCTGGGGCTTTGGCAGCCAATTCCCAGTACCGAGCACCCGTGGATCGACGATTCAGCGCTCAGTTCGTGTGTGGCCAACGTGGGCGGGGTGTTCCTGCACTCGCAAAAGTCAGCTAGACTCTCTGCCGACCTGGTTCTGACGCCCACGGTCACGCAAAACATCCACGGAATGGCCCTGGCGACCTCGCGTGGCGAGCCAGTTCTGCTGCAGGGCCCGATCGGCAGCGGCAAAACGTCCCTGGTCGAATGGGTAGCCAAGCGCACCGGCAACGAGCTAGTGACGATCCACCTGAGCAGCAACATGGACGCCAAGGTCCTGCTAGGAAACTACGTGACGACGCAGAAGGCTGGCGATTTCGAGTGGCGGTCGGGACTTTTGACGACGGCGGTCAGCGAGGGCAAGTGGATCTTGATTGAGGACATTGATCTGGCTCCGTCCGATGTGATCCAGACGCTGGTGCCGCTGCTTGAATCGCGCACGCTGTTTGTTGCGAACCGTGGCGAGAGCATTCCAGCGCATATCCAGTTCCGGCTGTTTGCGACTCTTTCGACGCATGGGCGTGCGTCGCAGCGCGCTGGCATGGACGGTCTGCTTGGCAGCAGCATCTGGACGCGCCTGGAGATCAGCTCGTTGGAGTCCGAGATGCCGCAGATTATTGAGGGTGTGTTCCCGAATCTGGCTCAGCATGCCGGGCTCCTTGCGCAGTCGTTCAACCAGGTGGCCGAAATTATCTCGGGCCAAGGGAGCGTGTCATCGGCAAGCCGGTCGGCAATGGCACTGAGCATGAGCGATCTGATCAAGTGGTGCACGCGGCTGAGCAAGTTCTTTGACAGCGACAAGTTCTTGCTGTTCCACGAGGCCGTCGATACGTTTACGATGAAGGAGAGTGACTACGACAAATGGCGGGTGCTGGTGCACCGCATTGGGTCTGTGTTTGGCATTTCGAAGCAGCGTGTTGATCTGTATATCGACCAGCACAACCCGGGTGTCACTGCTACGGGCAAGACGCTGAAGGTCGGCAGGGCAACCTTGGAGATCGACACGTCGGCGTCCATGGACCGCATGCCGTTTGCCGATACGCACCATTCGCGCTGCTTGATCGAACGCATCGCCACCTGCGTGCAGTTGGCTGAGCCCGCATTGCTGTCTGGTGAAACCGGCACAGGCAAGACCACTGTGGTGCAGCACCTGGCCACCCTGGCGGGCCGCTCCCTAGCTGTATTCAACCTGTCGCAGCAGAGCGACTCATCCGACCTGCTTGGCGGATTCCGTCCCGTCGACATCTCGTTGCTGGCGCTGCGTTTGCGCGAGTCATTCGACAGTCTGTTTGGTCGCACAGTGTCTGTGCGCAAGAACGCCGCATTCCTGGACAAGCTGCGCATGGCGCATGGTAAGAAGGAGTGGAAGCGGCTGGTGACCATGTACAAGTCGGCGATCAAGATGGCTCGCCAGGTCATTGCAAAGGCGAGGGAGGCGGGGAGCGGCGATGACGACTCGGCGCCCAAGAAGCGCCAGAAGCTGTCGGCTGACAATGTGCGGCAGCTGGACCAGGAGTGGACCGAATTTGAGACCAGCGTCGAGGACTTCAACGGCCTCAAGAGCGCCCGCATGGTGTTCAGCTTTGTCGAAGGCGCGCTGGTCAAGGCCGCACGCACAGGCGGCTGGATCCTGCTCGATGAGATCAATCTTGCCACTGCCGAGACGCTGGCGTGCCTGGGCGGTCTTTTGCAGAAGGAAAAGTACCTGCTGCTGGCTGAGACCGGCACCCGCATTCCGTGCCACCCTGGGTTCCGCCTGTTTGCCTGCATGAACCCGTCCAACGACGTCGGTAAGCGTGATCTGCCGCCGGGCTTGCGCAGCAGCTTCACCGAGTTCTTTGTGCATCCGCCAGACAACAACAACGACGACCTGATGTCGATTATCCGCACGCACCTGCCGAACAACGTGCCCCCGATGGTCTGCCACCGCGTGATCGACTTTTACCGGTCTGCAAAGAAACTCGCCGCAGAGCACAAGCTCGTCGACGGAGCAAACCAGAAGCCGCACTACAGCCTGCGTACGCTGACTCGTAGTCTGACGTATGCACGCCAAAATGCGCTGGCGTACTCGCTGAAGCGGGCGCTCTTCGATGGTCTGTTCATGACGTTTGTGACGCAGCTCGAGAACACTACGCAGGCGCTGCTGACGGCCGAGCTGTTCAAAGTATTTTCGGGCGACAACATGAAGCAGCTACTGAACCAGGTGCCGCAGGCCCGGTCTTCGGATGCTGTGCTGGTGCAGAGCTTCTGGCTGCCGACTCTGGATTCCGACAAGTGCGAGGAGGACACGTCGTATGTATTGACATCGTCGGTGGTCACCAAGATCAAGTCGTTGGCGCGTGCAGTCATGTGTGGCCGCTACCCAGTGCTGATCCAGGGCCCGACCTCGGCCGGAAAGACCAGTATGGTGCAGTATCTGGCCCGAAAGACCGGGCACAAGTTTGTGCGCATCAACAACCACGAGCACACGGACCTGCAGGAGTATCTGGGCTCGTACACATCTGTCGACGGCAAGCTTGTGTTCGAGGAAGGGCTGCTTGTCAAGGCGCTGCGTCACGGGCACTGGCTGGTACTGGACGAGCTCAACCTGGCGCCATCTGATGTTCTGGAGGCTCTGAACCGTCTGCTCGACGATAACCGCGAGCTGGTGATCCCCGAGACCCAGGAGGTCGTGCGTCCGCACCCGCACTTTATGCTGTTTGCGACGCAGAACCCGGCAGGCCTATACGGCGGTCGCAAGGCGTTGTCTAGGGCGTTCCGTAACCGCTTCGTGGAACTGCACTTTGACGACATCCCCGAAAAGGAGCTGCAGCAGATCATCGTTGATTCGTGCAAGGTGCCACCCACGCACGCCAAGCTGCTGGTTGACGTGTATCGTAATCTGACGCAGGTGCGTGCCCAGACCCGTATCTTCGAAGCCAGCCACGGGTTCATCACCCTGCGCGACCTGTTCCGCTGGGCCAACCGCCACGCTACCACCAAGCAAGAGCTGGCCGAGCATGGGTACATGCTGATTGCCGAGCGTGTGCGCAATGACGAGGAAAAGTCTGTGGTCAGGCGTGCGATCGAGAAGGCGTTCTATTCGAAGCTGTCCGACGAGCCATCGCATGCCAATGTGCATCGTGGCATTGATGTCGAGGGGCTTTACTCGGAAAAGCGGCTGAGGGAAATGCCCGAGTTCCAGATGTACGAGAAAGTGAAGGGCATGTCGACGATCGCGTGGACTAAGGCTATGCGCCGGCTGTTCATCCTGACGGCGCTCTGTCTGCGGTTCCACGAGCCTGTGCTGCTTGTGGGCGAGACCGGGTGCGGCAAAACCACCGTGTGCCAGATGCTGGCCGAGGCCAAATCGCAGCTCCTGCACATTGTCAACTGCCACCAGAACACCGAGTCGTCGGATATCCTCGGTGGCCAGCGGCCCGTGCGCAACCGCAACGCACTGATCACGTCTGCCCACGAAATCCTAGCCCAGGTGCTTGGCCAGGAAGCCCTAGCTAACCGCAAGATCGATACGCCCGAGCTTTTGAAGGAGTTCATCGAGCAGTGGCAGGCCAATGCTCCGGAGGCCCAGCAGATCATCGAGGCTCAGGGCGGCAGACTAGAGGAGGCATATGAGCTGATGACGCGGTCCCAGGACTTGTTTGCGTGGCACGACGGCCCGCTGGTCCAGGCGATGAAGCAGGGCGACATGTTCCTGATGGACGAGCTTAATCTGGCTGACGACTCGGTGCTCGAGCGCCTGAACAGCGTTCTGGAGCCCTCACGCACGCTGGTTCTGGCCGAGCAGATCGGCGCGGCGGCCCTGGTAGGCGCCGATGGGTTCGAGTTTGTCGCAACCATGAATCCGGGCGGCGACTACGGTAAGCGTGAGCTCAGCCCGGCACTCCGCAACCGCTTCACCGAGCTCTGGGCCCCAACCACCACCGATTCTGACGACCTGGCGATGATCCTCGACAAGCGTTTGGCGGGAGTGCCTGACGCCGCAGCCTGCACCCGGGTCATCCTGGAGTTTGTAAAATACCTGGACAGCGAGCTCAGGGTCCTGCAGCACCCGCTCAGTCTGCGCGACTACTTGTTCTGGGCAGAGTTCATCTCCAAGACCCACAGTCTGATGGACTCGCGCAGCAGCGTTGTCCACGGCGCCTGCCTGGTGCTCCTAGACAGTGTTGGCACCCAGGGGTCAATCTTCAACACTACCACGCGCTCGCCAGCGGCAATCAAGGCCGAGTGCGTCGACAGGCTCCGTGAGATGGTCGAGTGGGGTGCGGCCAGCGGCGGGTATGAGCTTGGCGTGGTGCCGGCCCGCACGCTGATTGCAGACCACGGGTTAGACCTGATGTCGATGGTCACGCACACGACCTCCCCGCATCCATCGGTCGGTGTCGCGCCGTTCCTTGTCGCTGAGGGCTCGCTAGAGTCCTCGTCGGGCGGATTTGCACTGCACGCGCCGACCACGTTCGACAATCTTGTCAAGATACTGCGCGCCATGCAAGTCGGCAAGCCCCTATTGCTCGAGGGCAGCCCAGGAGTCGGCAAAACCACGCTGGTTAGCACGCTGGCCAAGCTTGCTGGCCACCGCCTTGTGCGTATCAATCTGTCAGACCAGACAGACCTGATAGATCTGTTTGGCACCGACCTTCCGGTTGACGACGGATTCGCGTGGTGTGATGCGCCGTTCCTGCAGGCGCTGAAGCAGGGCGACTGGGTGCTGCTCGACGAGATCAACCTGGCATCGCAGAGCGTCCTGGAGGGCCTGAACTCGTGTCTTGACCACCGCGGCACCGTGTATATCTCGGAGCTTGACCGCGAATTCACCCTGTCGCCTGGGTTCCGCCTGTTTGCCGCGCAGAACCCGCTTGGCCAAGGTGGCGGCCGCAAGGGGCTTCCGCGGTCATTCGTGAACCGTTTCACGCAAGTGTACATGGACGAGCTAACGCGCGACGACCTGCAGATTATCTGTGACAACATCTACAATCACCATGCGAGCATCGAGCGCGTGCTCGAGTTCAACTGGCGGATGCACTCAGCGACCATGGTTAAGCGCCTGTTTGGCTCATCGGGTTCGCCCTGGGAGTTCAACCTGCGTGATGTCAGCCGGTTCATGGAGCTAGCGCTGGCCAGATCGCCACTGGAGCAGAGCCCCAAGCCTGTCGATGAGTTCATCGAAATGCTGTATGTCCATCGTATGCGCACACACCAGGACCGCGTGCAGGTTATTGATTTGTACAACGATGTGTTTGGCGCCAAGCTGGCTCTGTCGACGCCGTCATTGCATATCACCGAGCAGATGCTGCAGGTTGGCAATGCGGTTTTGCCGCGCCGCACCGAGAACGCACGCATTACGCGTCTGCGCAGTCTGCACTCGCAGTTGCCCTATATGGAGTCGCTGATGAAGTGCATTGAGATGCGCTGGATGGCGATCATGGTTGGCCCAGCAGGCTCGGGCAAGACCTCGCTGGTGCGCTGGCTGGCCAATGCCACCGGTAACAAGCTGGTCGAGTTCTCGATGAACTCAGGCGTAGATACGAGCGAGATTCTCGGTGGATTCGAGCAAGTCGACATGCAGCGTCACCATTTGGCGCTGGTACGCAAGATCGGCAAGCTCGTGAACCTGGCCGTGTTTGCTTCCAGCTACCAGAACACCAAGCAGCTGGCGCAGCTGTGCAGTGTGTACCATGCCACCCGCCACTGCACCAGGGCCCAGGACCTGTGTGCTCTGGTCGAGCAGATCGCGGCTCTGGCCAACGTCACCGACGAGTTGTTTGTGCGGCTGCTGAGCGAAATCCAGGCCGAAATGGCGGATTTCGCAGCCCTGGAGGTTGCAGGCAAGTTCGAGTGGGTGGACGGCATCCTTGTCGATGCGCTGCTTAACGGCCACTGGCTTTTGATTGATCGGGCCAACCTCTGCAGCGCCTCTGTCCTGGACCGTCTCAATGGTTTGCTGGAGCCTAACGGTGTCCTGTACGTCAACGAGGACCCGAAGCGGCAGGACGCGATTGTGCCGCACGACAATTTCCGCATCATCATGGCGGTCGACCCACAGTACGGCGAGCTGTCGCGTGCAATGCGTAACCGTGGAATCGAAATCTGCGTTCTGCCTTCCGAATCCCCCGAGTGCCGCTCTGATGACCAGTCAATGGTCGCCGAGGCCATTGGTGTAGGCTCGAGCCTGCTTCACAGTGACGTGAGCCCGCAAGATAGCCTGACTGGCATTGTGCAGTATGCGATGCAGCTGGCGGAGCGCACGCAGCGCGGAGCAGTTGCTGTAGGCGAGGCTACCGGAGATGCAGCTCTAAGGATCTCGTTTGTGGTGGATCCCGATTGACTCGACAGTCTCGGTAGCCAAATGGCAGTCTGAGCTTATCAGGCATGGACTGAGCAGCGGAGACGCAGTGTTTGGCCAGCGCATGCTGCTGGCAGCCCTGAATACGCTGCCACCCAAGTCGCTCTCCAGATGCATCGCTAAAGGCGATTGTAGGCAATGGTCTGGTCGACGCATTGCTGGATTCGCCTATCTCTGGCGTCTACTGTCGCCGCACGCAAGGCTCTGGCAGGCGAAGCCGGCGTTGACGCACACCTGCTTGATAACAGCCCTCTGTATGACTCCGCTAAACCACAGCATGTTCCGCGTGCTGCAGCAGGACATGCAGATGGCCCTGCAGCACGCTGGCACCAGGCGCTGGTGGAGACACTGATGTTCCAGCGCGAGCGACTTGTTTATGGCAAGCAGGGCGGGCAGGCCGAGCGCGAGCTAGTTCTGCAGCGGCCCAATCTCGACATTGGCTTTATCGAGACAGTGTTTGCGCTGATCGACGGCTGCGACGAGCTGGTGGCAACGTGGGAGTCGTTCATCACCGATGCGTCTGCTGTCGAGCCGATCGCTGCTGCTAGCGACGGTGATTTGGGCAAATATGTTGCTCGTCTGCGGGACCCTGCATCTGCTCAAGCTGCGTACAGGAGAAGCTGCTAGCTGCGGAGCGCGGCATGGCCAGTGAGCTTGCAGTGGCATTTGAGTCGATGCAGAGTGTGCTTTCTCAGCTGTCCTCAATGCCAAGCCCTGCCAATGCGGTGGTCGAGCGCTTGCTCGGTATGGTCAAGGGTTTGGTGCTTGATGCGTCGTATAGTGCCAAGCTGTGGACGCTGGTCCACCCGACGACCCTTGCTGATGAGCAGTCGCGGGAGATCGAGCAGCGGCTGGTTGCAGCGGCCAAGGCTGCGGACCCAGAGCAGCGGCTCGACCATTACTGAGGCCCTGGCGATGCTCTATGCGACCACCACGCGCAAGGACCGGCATCTTGTGCTTGCTGCATTGGCCAAATTCGCTGATTCGCTGGTGGCCGGCGAATCTAAGTGCCACTGCGGCGTCTGCAGAGCCCACTACGGGTGAGCCGCCAGCCTCTGTCGCCAATCGAGATCATCACCGATGTCAGCGAGCTGACAAGCTGGCACGCAATCGCCGATCTGGCCATAGTTGCTGGCAGCCTGTCCAGTGCCATGGCAATCGAGGACTTGCTGCGTATCGTCAAGCACACGAATGTCAAGGACACGTCGTCGTGGGCTTTGCTGTTCACCAGACTCAACTGGGCACTGAATGATGCACAGCACAACATGCTGCCAGCTGTTTTCTGACATCGCCTTTGAGTGGTACCAGAGACTCAATGATCATGCGGTCGATGGGGCAATCAGCGCGTCCAATGTCTCGCGGATCAACTTGCCAGTGGCTACGTCGTTGACTCTGCAGCAGGCAGGGCAGCTTGACTGTGGTATTTCCGAGCGCGAGGCGGTGGCTAAGGAGAGCAGACAGCTATTACGCGCCTTGTCGCGGTTCCGGGCGGCTGCCAGGACGCCTGCAACGGAGCTGGACTGTGCTTCTTGCGCTAGTCATGCAAGGTCGCCAGTGTGCTGACGTCCAAAGATATCGACCAGCTCACCACGACCTCGGAGTCTATTATTGCGACTCTCCAGGCCGGCAGTGATGTCGACCAAAAGCTTGTCGGGCAATGGCACGCCGAGCTCACAGCCATTGCATCGCCTGTCGCTGATACCGTCAAGCCCGCGGCCGACGCCCTGGCTGCTGCACTGGACGGATTGCAGGCCGGAGCTTGTGTACGTGGCGTGGATCGAAATCGGTGTGTGTATGCTCATGGTGTCGCTTCCCAAGCGGCCGGTGGACCCTGCAGCGAAGGCGCAGACACGGTTCGACTGGCTCGGCGAAGACCACGCGGTGACTGAAGCTGACCTGATCGCCTACCGGCTGATCCAGCACAGTATGACCGGCGAGACCGCGACAGCAGCAACCAGGCCGATTTCCGACAAGCTGTCGAGTATCGATACTGAGCGGTCGGCGATTGAGCTTGTGTACCGACCAAAAGCCACCACGGCACCTTTTTCGGAGCTGTGGCAGGAGGCGAAGAACCTGCAGAAGAACGTGCTGGCGCGTGCCCGGGATGTTTACGAGAAGCTCCTGGATCCCAGTCTGACGGCCTCGGGACTGCAGAGTATCCAGGGCTCGGCCAAATCCCTGGATATCACCTTGGAGCAGTTCGAGAGCCGCGTGAAGCGCCGGTATTTCTCCGCGTACCGGGATGTGGCCCAGATCTGGTGCACGTACGTCCACCACATCAAGTATGGTCTATTGCAGCTTGTGGAGCTACGCAAGGCTGCCGTCAATGACCAGATGATGGAGCGCGCGGCGATGATCAACTCGCTGTACTCGCAACCGATTGCCAGCCAGCCAGCATCGCACATGTCCAACGCCAGCATGCAGTCTCTGCTGTCGCAAATCAAGACGCTGGTATATTTCACACCGGACAGCAATCCGATCAAGGTGTATGGCGAGCTGATCGTCACGCTTCTGATGCGGACGACCCTGGGCGTGCAGTTCCGCGGCCACATTGCGCCATCGGACCTAGAGGCCCTGGATATGGTGTTCCGCGACGCCTACGAGATCCATCAGCGCTCCGTTGACGAGAAGCGTAAAAGAGACATTGAGGCGTCCAAGCTGTTCAAGTCCAAGGTCACCAAGGAGCAGACAGACGAGGAGCTGATGGCTGAGATCTTCCCGGCTTCGAGGACCTGTACGATGCCGAGGATGAAGTGACCGCCAGCTACGAGGACCTGTCGGACTCTGTGGTTGGTACGATTGCGGCGTGCCACCAGTACGTGATGCTGCGGTTTGGCGTGCTGAACGGCGCCAGGGACGTGCAGCCGAGGCTCATTGAGGACGCGCAGCAAAGCACGTTCCGCCTGGCCGCCAGCCTTAACCGGATCCGCCCGGATCTCCTGGAGCTGCAGGGACCTGGCATTGATGAGTCGCTGCGTGGCGCTAACCTTTTGTCGCTGGCCGCTGTTGCCTCGGCCACCACTGCCGATGTGTCTAGTGACATGCAGACCGACGGGCTGCGGTTCGTGCAGGTGTGCAATTTCTACAAGGACGCCAAGCCCTCGGAGGCGGATTCTACTAAAGCCCCTTGTGGCTGGCATTGTCGAGCGCATGGAGCAGCTTCTGGAGGAGTGGCCAGACCACGCCGTCCTGCAGGACATCTGCAAGCTGGCCAGGCAGCTCCTCCAATTGCCTGTGACGGCGCCGCTGGCCAAGCTACTGACCGGCCTGGAGATGCTGTACCAAAAGTCGCAGGAATGGCAGGCGTACGCCAGCCGCGACGTGTCGATCGAGCAGCTGGCCGATGTGGCCAGACTGATTGTGCGCTGGCGCCAGCAGGAACTGAACGCCTGGCCGCACTTGCTGTTGTCGCAGGAGCTGGAGTTTGCGCGGCGGCCCAATGAGTGGTGGTTCAATCTGTACTCGTCGCTTCTGGGCGACACTGCGGATTTTGCCGGGCTGGTCAGCGCCATCGACCAGTTCATGCAGGGCAGTCCTGCCGGCGAGTTCCGCGGCCGTCTCAACATGCTTCATGCATTCTGCGGCCACCGCGCCGCCCTACTCTCCGCCCAAGCTTTGCAGGAGCACAAGAGCGTAATGGACCTGAAGCGCTCGGACCCCGTCTACGCCCCGCTATCCAATGCCATTGACTACTATAGCCAGTATGCTGTGGTGATTGCCGAGCATCTAGCAGCTGCGAAGAAGACTGGTCAAGAAGGACCTGACGCAGTATGTCAAGATCTCGTCGTGGAAGGATGTGAACCCGGCGGCATTGAAGGAGAGTGCATTGCGCACCCACCGTCATCTGACAAAGTGTGTCAGGCAGTGGCGCGAGGCACTGAGCCAGCCGATCTTCCAAATCATCCAGATTGCGCAATCCGCCAATATTGCCCATGCCAAGGTGCCCACCGTCCAGCTGGTGCCTTTGCCGCTGAGCGATGCGGGCATTGAGGTTGCGCCCACGAAGGCCCTGGCCACCACCGCTGTTACTGCGCTGCCGTGGAGATGCGCTGGAGGTCGACGGCCAAAAGGCACTGGAGCTTCGCGAAGCTTGCACCCGACAGTCTGGCCAAGGTTCTGGAGCTGAGCCCGGCCCACCTGCAGCAGCTGCACAGGATGATGAAAAGATCCGACATTTTCACTGGCAGTCTCGACGGCAGCTCAAGCCCCGACACGCTCGAGGAATTTGCTCTGCAGATAGTCGGCGACATTAACCACTTCCAGAACGTCGAGACGCCGAAGCATCTGACCAAGAAGCCAGTGACGGGCAAGTCCGAGGAGCCAATCCAAGAAGAAGAAGAAGCTGATTATCAAATCGAAGAAGCAGGCAGAGGAGGAGGAAGAGGAGTATATCGAGGACGATGAGGAGCGGCAGCGCAAGATCATGCAGTTCTGGGGCGAGCAGCGCAATCTGCGCCGCACCCGACTCAAGGAGATCCTCAAGGCCCTGGCGGGACTCGGCCTGAAGCGCAATTTCCGGCCGGTCGCCGATGAAGCGCAGGGCCTGTCTTCGGTCCTGAAGCAGCCACCGCTGGCCACTTCTGCGTGGTCTGAGGCCGTCCACGCCCTAGCCACATGCAACGTCAATTGCGTGCACCGCGACTCGCTGCGTGCCCAGCGGCAATGGCAAGTTGGCAAACACCGCCTTCTTCCGCCTGTCGTCGCAGCTGGCGCAAGCTGCGCACCGTCATGCATGACGAGCACAGCGATGAGATTAACGCACAGCAGGTTCTGCACATCAGCGGACTGATGGAGAGCCTGAACCAGCAGGTTGTGCGTGACCGCACGCAGGCTGCCGAACTGGTCGCATTGGCTACCGACTGGATGCATTTGGCCACCGTGTGGGCAAACGAGCCGGCGAGTGACGCAGGCTGCGTGGATGTGGACGATCTGAAATTCGCTGTTGATGAGCTGGCGTTGCTGCTGACCCAGTGCGTGGTCGGTGTGCGCAAGGTGTCGAATGCCGACGGGTGGGAGCGCGATGATGCGGATGGTTATTGGCCAGATTGCTAGCAAGTTCGACGACGCCATTACGCAGGTCACCGAGTGCTGCCGAGGCCCTAGCAGTCTCCCATGCCGCAATGGCCGCACCAAAACTTGCCTGGACTCGCGGACTCCAGTGTGACTGCTTACCTGGCTTCGTTCGAGCAGTCCATCAGTGCCACGCAGTCTGCCCGTGCTGCCATCGCATCTGTCCAGGACTGTGCTTGATTATGTGGCAGAGTCTGGCTGGGACTCCATGCCAATGCAGTCCTGGCTGGCGCCGATCGCTGCGTGTGTTTCGCGTCCTGGATAAGCTGTTTGACTCTGGCAGTCTCCCGGACCTTGACCGATTTGCCATCGGAGCTTGCCCTTGCAGACCGCACAGTGGGCCACGGCGGTCATGAATGTGTGGCAGCAGGTGCACAAGGCTGAGCAGCAGTTCCGTGCATACGGCGACGAGACCGACATGTGGGGGCTGCGGTCCAAGGAGCTTGTGCACAGAGTCGAGCTAATGCAGGAGTACGTTCCAGGCCCTGCATTTGCCCAAGATGCTCGACCTCTGCCGGTCGCTAGCCTCTCATGTCAGCACGCAGCCGTCCAGCCTGTTCATTTCAGGTGTGCTGCGTCCTTGGGTCACACAATATTCATTGCTAGGTTCAGCATGTCGTGGCATTGTACGGCGACTTCCACAAGACCCTGGTGCAGTTCGCCCTAACCGCCACCACAGTGCTGACATCGGTGATCGTGCATGGTCCTCGGCACCAACGATATCTATCGATTCGGAGGAGACCAATGAATCAATGGAGTCCGGTACCGGTATGGGCGAAGGATCAACCAGTGGCGCCCAAAATGTGTCTGATCGAGATCGAAGGTGAGGATCAAGTCGAGGGAGTCCAGGGTGAGGAGCCCGACGATACCAACGACGCTGGCCGCGACGAAGATGCAATTGAGATGGAGAACGACTTCCAGGGTCAGCTGGGCGATGCTGATCTCGAGACAGACGACGAGGACAGCGACAAGAGCGATGACGAGGATGAGGAGAACGAGATGGACGAGCAGGTAGGCGACGTCGATCCAACCGACCCGACGGCGCTTGACGACAAGCTCTGGGATGACGAAGAGGAGCAGCAGCCGGAGGAGTCCAAGGGACGATGATAGCAAGGTCGACAGCAAGGCCAAGCAGAAGAAGGAAGGAGTCGGATATTGTTGCTGGTGACGACGATGACGCTGTGTCGGATAACGACAAGGACGGCGAGCAGGCTGAGGATGGCGATGATGGGAGCGACCAGGAAATGTCCGACGGCAGCGACCAGGGCGAAGGTGATGAGTCCGATGATGACCTGGACGACCGCGTCAACAACGACACTTTGGACCGCATGGCCGACGTCGAGGACATGGGCGAGCAGCTTGAGATGCCCGATGATCTCGACATGGACGATGATGACGAGGAAGGTGACGGTGACGATGACGAGTCGGATGATGGTCTGGAGGCGGACATGAACGACGATCTGCCTGAAGACGAGCCCATCGACTTGAAGGACGACCCATCCAAAATCGACGAGGATAACGCCTGAGGACGTCCAACAAGGATGAGTCCATGGACGATGCTGTCGATGGCGCCGATGAGGTCGACCAAGACCAGGAAGCTAACCCCGACGACGAGGAGGCTGACAACGACGATGAGATCACGGCCAAGGACACCGAGGAACAAGAGGAGGCGGCTGGTGAGGAGGAAGGCGATGAGGAGGAAGATCAGGAGGGCCACGAGAACCCGCTTGCCGACAAGGAGGACAAGGACGAGAGTGGCGAGCACAAGCCCACAGACGGCATGGACTCGACCATGAACATGGACGGCAATGAGCAGGCCGACACCGACACCATGGCGGAGTCTGAGAATGCGCTGTCCAAGCCTGCAGAGCAGAGCCAGAGCCAGAACCAGCAAGAGTCCAGCCAGAGCGCCATGCAGCAAGAGTCGTTCAACCAGAACACCGATTCCCAGGAGCAGACAGCAGAGGAGCAGCAGGAGCGCCAGGTGCAGCCGGAGAAGTCCCTGGCCGACGTCATTGAGAAGTGGGAGCGCAGGCTCAACATCATTATGCGCCAGGAAGAAGACGACCAGCAGCAGCAGGAAGACGGTGCTGAGCCCGAGCTTGACCAGAACCAGGAGCGGTCGGAGGCTGAGAAGCAGGCGGCCCAGGAGGCATCCGAGTTTGAGCACATCAAGGAAGACGAGGAGCACGACAAGGTAGCCCTGGCCGATGCCGACGACGCCGAGCACCAGCCCATGGACATTGACGACCTCGAGGACAAGGAGGAGAAGCACGACGACGATGGTGACGCGCAGATGCAGGAAGAAGAAAGTGCCAGCCAGGCCGCCAACGCATCAGTGCCTAGCGCCCAGCTGCAACCCAACCAGCCAATGCCGACCGAGCACAAGAACGACCAGTCGGCCAACTCGGCCCAGATGCAGCAGTCCACGGTGGAAGAGGAGGACTCGGCAATGCTGGGCGGCCAGGATATGGGCGATGCCATGGAGGAGGACGCGCCTGCAGAAGACACCGAGGTGGTGGACATTGACAAGCTGCGCGACGAGCTTGAGGCCTTGACGGCCGAATGGCGTTCCGGCGACTCGCAGGACAGCGAGCGCGCGATGCAGCTCTGGCAATCGTACACCAGGCTGACACACGATCTGTCCTTGATGCTGACAGAGCAGCTGCGGCTGATTCTGACGCCGACGCAGGCCACGCAGCTCAAGGGCGACTACCGCACGGGCAAACGGCTGAACATGAAGCGCATCATTCCCTACATTGCGTCGGAGTTCCGCAAGGACAAGATCTGGCTCAGGCGCACCAAGCCGGCGCGGCGCGAGTACCAGGTCATGGTCGCCCTGGATAACTCCAAGTCGATGGCGCAGAACACACGCGCGGTCGAGCTTGCTTACGAGACCCTGGCGCTGGTCACCACGGCGCTGAACCAGCTCGAGGTTGGCCAGCTGTCGGTCGTGTCGTTTGGCGAGCAGGTCAGTCTTCTGCATCCGTTCGAGCAGCCGTTCGACAGTGAGGCCGGAGCACGTGTGCTCAGCCGGTTCTCGTTTGCCCACGACAAGACCGATGTTGTCCAATTGATGGATGCGTCGCTTAAGCTGTTTGAGGAGTCGATGGGCGGCTCAGGCGACCTGTGGCGGCTGCAGCTGGTGATCTCCGACGGTGTGTGTCAGGACCACCCGAGGCTGCTGCGGCAGGTCAGAGCGGCCATGGAGCAGCGCATCATGACGGTGTTTATTGTCCTGGACCGCTCGGCTATTGCTGTGGAGGGCGACAATGTCGACCCCGAGAAGGACTCGATCATGAACACCCAGCATGTGTCGTTTGTCAAGGGCGAGAACGGCAAGATGGAAATGAAGGTCGAGAGGTACCTTGATACGTTCCCGTTCAAGTACTATGTCGTGCTGCGCGACATCAATGGCCTGCCGAGCGTGCTGGCCGAGACCTTGCGCCAGTACTTTAGCTTGGTCGGCTCCGAGTAAGGGAAATACAATGCTACCCAATATATCCACTAACGCCACGTTTTCTTGGTACTGTTAACAGTTGTGTGGCGTGTGAACTGAACGTGAAAAGGGGGATTCAGGGGGATTGGAGAGTACAAAATGCTCGCTCTTGGAGACATCCTCACAACCTCTTCCCCCTTTCCTTCCATATCGCTCACACACCATGACTCAGACAGGACACTCCTACCATTTTGACACGCTGACCGTCCACGCCGGGCAGACGCCTGACACTGCAACCAATTCCCGTGTTGCACCCATCTACCAAACGGCCAGCTTTGTTAACAAGACCGAGCACTTTGAGCAGATATTCAAGGGTCAGAGGAAAGGGTACGTTTACTCGCGCACTGGCAACCCAACAAATGAAACATTCGAGAAGCGCATGGCCATCCTGGAGAACGGCTATTCAGCGATAGCAACCTCATCTGGCACGGCAGCCAACTTTATGGTGTTCACTGTGCTGTGCTCGCCAGGCGACAACATCGTCATGTCGAACTTTGTCTTTGGCGGTACGCTCATGCAAGCACGTACCTCGCTGCCACGTCTGGGGATAGATGCGCGGATGGTGCCGAGTGTCGACCCTGAGGTACTGGAGGAGTTTGTGGATGAGAATACCAAAGGCGTGTTTGTCGAGTCAATCAGCAACCCGATGCTGAGTGTGCCGGATTTTGAACAGCTTGCCGCTATGGCGCATCGTCATGGAATCCCGCTGGTTGTCGACAACACATGTGGGATGGGCGGGTATGTGGTACGCCCGCTAGACCATGGTGCCGATATTGTCACCCACTCAGCCACCAAATGGATCAACGGCCACGGAACCACCCTCGGCGGTGTTGTCATCGACAAAGGCTCGTTTGACTGGGGTAGCGGCAAGTTCCCGACGCTTAATGAGCCGTCCGTGTTCTTTGGCAACAAGGGCGCTGTGGACTTCGCCAACGACAAGGGCAGTAGCGCGCTGACGCTACGGCTGAAGGCCGAGGCGATGCGCGATTTTGGCATGTGCATGACGCCGTTTGCCGCGTGGAACTTTTTGCTTGGGCTCGAGACGCTGGTGCTGCGTGCCGAGCGCCAGAACAGCAATGCCATGGGGCTGGCCAAGTGGCTAGTGGCGCGCGATGAGGTTGCTTGGGTTTCCTATATCGGCCTTAACTCCCACCCGTACTACAAAAATGCAGCAAAGTACCTACGCAACGGGTTTGGCGGTGTGCTGTGCTTTGGCGTCAAGGGCGGGAAGCAGGCCAGCGTAAAGTGCCTGGATGCCCTGAAGCTGGTGTCTGTGTTGGCGAACCTTGGATGTGCAATGACCATTGCTGCCCTTTCAGTCAGCACATCCCACTATGGACTTACCGAGGAGGAGTTGGAGCAGTGCGGGGTTAGAGATGACCAGATCAGAGTGTCGCTGGGCATTGAAAAGCTGGAGGACATCCAGGCCGACTTTGCGCAGGCACTGGAGAAGTCGCAGGTCAATTAGCACATCTCTTTCATTAACATTTTACCGAACATATGCCGCATACCAAATATATAGGGTTCTGCAACCCAAAATAGCCGACCATCTGCCAGCGCATTGCCAGATTAGAGCAGCTGGTTGATGAGTATTAGGGTCGCGAAGAAATCACGGATACTGCGCTGCATCGCCATCAGCTTTCATCGAACGAATGATGGCATGCAATCTGAGTAGGAAAACTGAATAGAGCTATAAACACACATATTTGTCATGACGCATCGGATACAACGAGACAACCCTAGCAGCATGACAGTTTTACTGCTCTATGTCGACTTAAGGTGTTGGGTCCAGATATCTGCTGGAGCAAAGACCTGTCCACAGTTGCTGCAACAGTTGTGCTGTAAATGCAAGCAGATAGCACTGATACACATTCGATACCACATGGAATTGGTATTAACTTTAACAATGTCCACCAAAGAAGTTAATGAGAGTCCGCGTTGTTTATACTGTAGTTAGACTTGCTTGTGGGCTTGAGCGGGTACCTTCTCATCCGCAAACTCTGCTTTATTCTCGCCCATGCCACCTTCTGCCGAAAACTCCTTTGCAATGCGCTTCTGGGTAATTGTATAATTCATATAGATAATGAGCCCCAAAATAACTAGGTCAACAAAAGAAGCTGCAATAGCACTATAGATACCGAACCCCTCATCCAACCCCTTATCTGCAACTGGAAATACCAACGACACTGCAAGCAAAAGCCCGGTACCAAATGGTCCAGATGCTTCACCAAAGTCTAACCCCCTGAGACAGATATGACGGAGGACTTTGCTTTTGATATTTTCTTCAATAGCCTGTCGGTGGGAACAGTATGCCTTTACATTCAGTGAAATGGCATGGTCCCCGATAACCAACCAGAAGATAGGGTTCATGAATGCTAAAAAAAGCGGGCGGACAAAATATGACGAACGTATGAGCGAAAGATATCCTGCTTTCGGATGGAGAATAAAGTAGGAAATATAAAATACAACAACACCTGGGTGGACAAAGCGACTAATCTTTGCTATGCGAGTGAACTGTCGTTCCTTGTCCAAGGACAGACTCAGGGTTAAAAATGCAGCCACCATCGGTATCCAGCCAACATATTTCAGTCGCTCAGCGACAAAGTTAACAATAGTGAACGCAGACTCGCTAAAGAAAGGCATCATAAAAGCAACAAATGTGAGGAGCGGAGCAGAAAGGTATTTGGCAAGAAAAGTGACAACGGAAATGGTCTCATTTGTGCGATTCCCGCTCATTTCAGGTTTCCTTGATTCCCGAACATTCTACTGAGAATTCAGATATCGGTGATGAAGCCTTGTTTATTGCTAAATCACTTCCTATGGTGAGAATGACGCTGGACAAGTAGACTGGTGAGGTCGTTGGCGGCGTGTAGTGCCATCTGACCTGAAGAAGTGCAAACTTTGAGAAACAGGGTCTGACATTCCAGTGCTCTGTTGCAGACCTTGTGAGCTATCTGCTTGCACGGCCTCATCAACACTGAGCTCATATCCAGATCCACTATGATACCTGGTTCGCTAGGTCTACTATGTCTTGGGCAGCCCTCTCTACTTTCCGTTTCACTCAGCCCATTCCTCACTACAACTCTCAGTCTCACTCCTAGCACCGTTGTGGCATCCTCTTTGTCTATGTGGCATTCACATCGTGCTTTCCAGTGTGCGAACACTGCCGCTGGCAAAACCACCAGGCGCTCCGAGGGGTTCCTGAAGAGGCTTCCATTCTAATTTGTGAAATTGTTTGAACATATATCTTGTTTTGTAGGGAGTGGGCCCTTCCTTTTAGCAGCCCTCATGTTGGTCCGTAAAAATAATAGAATAAACGGTACGTTCCTAAGAGATCTCGGTCTAGATTCCTGGGAAATGCACTAGGTAGCGTGTTCTACTATTAGTAAAACTATGCATGTGCTGATGAAACCAATCTTAAATGCTCACAAAATTGTGTTGGAACCCCCAGGAGGAACTCCTGCTGCTAGTTGCTATCAGGAGATAATTAAGCAAACGCCGAGTGTGCATACGGAGCCCTTAGCTAAGCCATGCGCGCCTCTGAACAAATTTTCATCGGTCTTAGTGAGTGAGCCGCATTGGGTACAACATAACAACCCTAACGGCATGGTATATGATCTAGTTTTTAGTTCTAAACAATAATACCAAACTATCTACACTACACTCGTAGAAGTTGGGTAAACCCTGTATCAGTAGAAATACTAATCCTCAGAGCTAACCCTCGCATACGATATTCAAAGAACCTATAAACACAGCCAGAAAACATGATCGCCATTCATTTGGGGTTTGAGAAATGTTGATATTGGAGATGAAGGGAAGAAAAGATAATTACACAGATATTTTTTGCTCACGAGCAGTTGGGGTAGGCCTGGGCGTTGGTGGGAGTCTGGGCAAGCTTGACCTCAGCATTGCGGCGGCGCGTCAGACCAGACAGAACACGGCCGCCAGCCTTGTTCCACTTGGGCAGCTCACCAGCAATGACTGTGTTTGGGCTCTCGCCAGTGTTCAAACGCTTGACCAGGTTCGATGACTTGGCTCCGCCGCAGCCAACATTGAACACCCACGACACCAGCGCACCCCACTGGTTCTGGTTGAGCTTGACCTTGCCGTTCAGGTAGTTGCCCAGGCAGGTGTACTTGGGGATATCGGTCTTGAGCAGAGCCTCAGCGGTAGCCTGGGTCAGCGGGAAGCCGTACTTGACCTCCTTGCAGCCCTTGGTCTGGCACAGGTGGCCGTATCCAACGGTGGGCAGACCGATGGGATCGGGAGCCGGGCTCTTGACGAAACCTTCAAACTCCTTGATCAGGCTGAGCCCAGCAGCGTTGACGCTCTTGCAGTATCCGCTCGAGGAACCGCCACCAGTAGAGCCACCGCCGCCGGTGGATCCGCCACCAGTGGAATCGCACTTCGTAGTGACGTAGCCGCTGCTGCCAGTCTTGACATAGTAGTCGGCGACATAGCAGCCGTGCTGGGTCTTGTCCCAGAGCGAGTCGCCCTTGATTGTCTCGCCAGAAGTCTGGCACGAGAGAGTGACGTCGTCACTGCTGCTGTATGAGCGGACGACACCGTAGCTGGTGCCAGGTCCGGAGCGGCAGTTGACACCGTCGCTCTTGATGGCGTAACCAGAAGCGAGCTGCGAAGTGGCAGCAAGAGCAAGAGCGGTGGCTGTGAAGAGCTTCATCTTTTCGATGTTATGTGTGTAGTTGGAGAAAGAGTGGAAGGTGCTGTTGTCGTTGTTGATGATGGGTCGATGGAAGCTGGCTGCAGCATATCCCTTATATATGCAAGAAATTTCGAGATTCAAATGTGAAGTGGGCAGTCCTGGTTTTACCTTGTGTGGCAGAATGTTCTAAAATTAGCAGATGGGCGCACATGCCATCTGTGTACAGTTTGACATGTGTTGCTGAAAGGTGTAGCCACCATAGAGCAGGAATCAATGCACCACACATACTGCTGGTGCTAAAAATAAACGATGGTCTAGCAACTTTTGATAGCCTGCTTACAACAGCCAGAACTTGTTCAAGGAGCTACCGGTTTGAACAAGTATCTAAAAATAAATTGGCAAGCACAAATCACATAGAGCAAATTCCAGGCAAATCGCATGTAAGCGTGCATGGTTATGCAGACACATACCATCTAAAAATAAATTCACCGCTTGGGTATTGGTGTTGTGGGGATGCTAAGCAGGTCGTATATAAGCATGCATGGATATGCTGGAATGCATGACCTAAAAATATATCAGGAGTCGGTTGAAGTCTTCAATATCTTGACAAACAATTCTGGTACGCGTTAGCGCATTTGCCAAAAATAGATGCACTCCAATCTCTCTTGAAACTGCACTACCGTCGTAGTATTCTTATTAGCATTAATCTAGAAAAAGCTGATAGAGAGATTTCTAGAATAAAGTTGCATATTGACAACAACAGATGCGCTATGTGTGCTTGGCTGCTAAACAAGCTATTGTTACTTACAAGAATTTCACTAAAAATAGTTTCGTCAAGTGTAGGCTGGAGATTTGTATATAAACCCGCCGGATGTCCTGTTCAAACCCCATTTAAACCATATCACAACCAAAAAACCACAATTACATACTCTTAAAAATGAAATTCGTCGCAATTGCCGCACTTCTACTCGCTACTACTTCCCAGCTCGTCTCCGGCTACGCCATCAAGGGCGATACGGTCAACTGCCGCTCGGGTCCGGGAACCTCAAGCAATGTCGTGCGCACATACAAGAAAGGGGCCCAGGTGACACTCTCGTGCCAGACGCCGGGCACAAAGGTCAACGGCAACGAGCTCTGGGACAAGACGCAGCACGGCTGCTATGTGAGCGACTACTACGTCGACACGGGCAATGGTTATGTGGCCAAGAAGTGTCCTGCGCCCAGCAAGCCAAAGCCCGACGACAAGCCGAGCACTGGCAGCGCGGGCCCGATGAAGGACGACTACCCGTACAAGGGAAGGTGCGACATCGTAGACAAGTGGCGGTACTATTCATGCCAGTGTGTCAGCTTTGTCGCCTGGCGCATCAACTCGCGCCTGGGCATCAACTTCCACAACCGCTACAAGGGCAAGGCATGGGGTAATGCCAACCAGTGGGACGACGCGGCGCGTGCCTCCGGCGTCACTGTGGACAACACGCCGAAGCCGGGAGCTGTGGGCCAGACGGACAGCGGCAGCAAGTTCGGACATGTGGTGTGGGTGGCCAAGGTCTCGGGCAACAGCGTCACGATTGAGGAGTACAACTACAAGCGCCACCAGTACGGCACGCGGACTGTCCCCAAGAGCTCGTTCAAGTACATCCACCTCAAGAAGTGAGCGAGAAAGTGACAAATTAATATCGTATGTACCATATTCCAACAAAGCGAAATACCAAATTGGCTCTAAGCAGAACGCATTGGTATGCGGATGAATGTAGCATGTCACAGCCAGTCTATATTGCCAGGGCCACAGGTCTCGAGCGTTGTGTCAGTAGGGGTAAGCAAGAAGAGCTGTATATGAAACTTCTGTGTTGGACGCAGTGAGTGCCGCTAGGTTCACTTGCACAGAGCCGGATCGGCGTGGTTGGATGGTAAGCATCTGTGCTGCGAGGAAATCGTAGCTGATGTGCTGCATCGCTGCCCGCTTCCAGCGAGATGGCTGACAAAGCCAGAGTACCAGTGATCAGATTTAATTTGTTTCTGAATCAATGCACTCGAGCAAAGGGTCTTGGTCAGAAATTGCCGCTCCCGTGGATCACCATCTAGAGGGTGCGCTCGTGCGACAGCGCTCTTCACCTTTCTCAGTCTCAGACCATCCTTTTTTTTGATCTACTTATACGCACTTTCCGCTTTAGAATGTCTTCTGCTGCTGAACCCATTTCGACGCTTGTTGAGCGCTGGCTGTCTCAGGACAAGGTAAGGAACTCCAGGATACACCCCGCACCTCGCCGATTCTCGTGCCTAATACGACCTCTTTCTACGCTTAGGATCCAAAGACACGTGCCCAGATCCAGGCGCTTGCTGATGCCAACGACACGGAGGCCCTGGAGGCCCTGCTGCGTCACCCGATCGAGTTCGGCACAGCCGGTCTGCGCGCACGCATGGAGGCGGGGTACTCGCGGCTGAACCAGCTGACAGTGATCACGGCCTCACAGGGCCTGGCGGCATATGTGGCCGAGAACGTCACTGGAGCGTGTGAGCGCGGCGTGGTGGTGGGCCACGACCACCGGTACAACTCGGACGTGTTTGCGCAGCTCACGGTGCGTGCGTTCCTGGATGCCGGCTACCGCGTGTATTTCTACCCGGGCATCGGTCTGACACCCGAGGTGCCGTTTGCGGTGAAGTTCCTGAAGGCCGCATGTGGAGTCATGGTGACGGCGTCGCACAACCCCAAGGACGACAACGGCTACAAGGTGTACTGGGAGAACGGAGCCCAGATCAAGCCGCCCCTGGACGTCGGCATCGCCCGCAGCATCCAGCAACACAGCGAGCCGCGCAACTGGAGTGTCGAGGGAGTCGAGAATGACCCAAAGGTCGACGACGTCACAGAGCGCATGATGAACGAGTACTTTAAGGCCGCCGAGCACCTTGTTGCGGACCGTGCGGCTAACGCGGCCACAGAGCTGCGGTATGTGTATACAGCCATGCATGGTGTCGGTGCGCCGTTTGCTGCACGTATCCTGGACACCTTTGGCCTGCCGCCGTACGTTGCAGTGCCGGAGCAGATCGCTGCTGACCCGGACTTCCCAACTGTGTCGTTCCCGAACCCCGAAGAGAAGGGCGCGCTGGATATGGCCAAGGCCTTGGCTGACACGCAGGGCATTGAGCTGGTAGTGGCCAACGATCCCGATGCCGACCGGTTCGCGGCTGCGGAGAAGCAGGCCGACGGCACTTGGCACTCGTTCACTGGCGACCAGCTCGGGTCTATTTTTGCCGCCGCAGTGCTAGAGATGGCACGTACTGACCAAGTGCCAACCGAGAAGCTGGCCATGGTCAACAGCACAGTGTCATCGCGCATGCTCGAGGCCATGGCGGCCAAAGAGGGGTTCAAGTACGCCGACACGCTGACTGGCTTCAAGTGGATGGCCAACGAGCTCGCGGCGCTGCAAAAAGACGGGTACTTCGTGGGTTTCGGGTACGAAGAGGCCATTGGCTACATGATCCACGACCAGGTGCTGGACAAGGACGGTGTGACGGCCATGGGAGTATTCGTGCAGCTGGCAGCGCGCCTGCACAAGCAGGGCCGCCGTGTCCACGACTACCTGGAGGACCAGTATGCCAAGTACGGCTTCTTTGTGTCGAGCAATTCGTATGTCATCAGCAACGATCCAAAGAAGACCACTGAGATCTTTTCGCGCATCCGCTTTGGCCCAACCCAGCCCGAATCCGGCGATGTCGAGCGCACCGAGCTCGCCCGCGCTACCGATGTCCTGCGGTACCCAAAGTCCATCGGTGGCTTCCCAGTCAGCTATATCCGCGATCTGACTGTTGGATTTGAGATGCGCGACGTCGACATCCAGGACGTCAAAATCAGCGTTGCCGAGGACCAGTTCGTCCCGACCTTCCCTGTCGACCACGGCGCCCATATGATCACCTTCGAGACCCGTAATGGCGGCCGCCTCACCATGCGCACGTCTGGCACTGAGCCCAAGCTCAAGTACTACCTGGAGGTCCGCAGCCCGTCCAACGACCGCGCTGCCGCTGCACGCGACCTCGACGTCATGTCAACTGCCGTCTTGGAGGAACTGATCCAGGCCAGCAAGAACGGCCTGCTTTAGTCTAGATAGTTGAACAACGCGCTTTTATTTTCCTATAAACTTAGTACAAAATCAACTGCACTGCCATCACAATACATGCCAGCGACACGTACGGACTGAGGCGCTCGCCTACAGAATATAAGGGGAAAAGGGAGTCAGTCTTACGATGCCTGACTGCCACAAGCCTGGGGCGTGTTTTGCTGTTAAATGCCTTACCTATCCGCGCCGCCTTCCACAGCAGCCCTGTGAACCCTTCTTGTTGCGGTCGATCAGCGCCGGTGCCTGCGCCCGGAGGTATGTGCATGTGCAGATTGTCAGCAGAATCACCAGCAGCAGCGACTGGAACTTGAACAGTGCCGACTACAAGGTTTATAAAGGTCTATCAGTATCGCCCTCCAATTGCCTGACTGCTGTCTTTGTCTCCAGTGCATTCCGCCATAATGTGCCGTACCATCGTCTAAGTTTTGTGTGTGCGAAGAGTAGCAAGAAAATTCGGGACCTGAAAGAGCTGAGGAATACAACTGGCACAGCATCTTGCTCACGCCAGCTTTTTTTTTTTGGCTGCTCGACATGGTCCATTGCCATTGGTCGGCCGTACAATCCACGTGCTTGCGCCTGGGATACCTCCTGGTTGTGGGTTTGGACCCGCCAGCGACGGCCTGGATGAAAATCGTTGATGCCGACCTCACCCAGACACAGTGGTCTCTTCCGGTTTGCATATCAACTGCTGCACTCCAGGTGCATAAGAATTCTCATTAACTCTCACACTGCAGAAAGGACAACCTCGAACCTCCATTGCAGTTCTAATTTGATGCTCCCCAAGCAATTAATGCAAGGTCCTTATATGCCATGGGCATGCGGTGTACCTTGGCCAATATGTACTTTTTGGGAACACAGCCAATGGAATCCGCAGATACCAATTTATTTTTGAATCATAGCAAATATAACCAAAAGCAGCCAAGTTATATGCCTACGTAGTTGAGCGATTCCGTTCCGCTGTATCCGAGATTTTGCTGTGCCACCTTTTCTCACTAGGCATGATTCGGGATTTCAGAAGAAAACAAGCACTCTTGCACGCCAGCCTTCGCAAAAAAACATTCTGACCCTTCGCGGCCGACTTTACTGAACCCCACATGCCAGTGCGGTGTTGTGGTTGGCAGGCTGCTGAACAGACGTGTGGCTGTATGTGCCTGGCGTGGTTGTCCAGCACATATAAAAACAAGGGTGTCTTCCCCTGTCTGTGCTTTTGCGGTATTCTCCATTCCTATTCAGCTACAACAATCACTTTATCTCCCCTCTTTTTAACCACAGCCCTCTTTTTTAGTCTGTCACCTTCGTCGCCCGACTCGTATACTTTGAACCATGTGCTATCGTTGCGCGAACTGCGGATCCTGCTTTGACCTGCGCACTGAACTACGCAACCACTTCCGGGACTGCGAGAGCTAAGGACCTCGCTATCTACTTCCTACACTGCGTCTTATCAGCACTCTCCGTTTCCTCTACACCCACCCTCGCTCCTAAAAAAAAACTAGCCCCTCCGTAAATAGCTTCTCCTGTTTGACTCAAAAGTCTTCACACAACCACGCCAACACAATAAAAACCCGTCTATTCAACATCCCTACTACTATGCGATGCACTTTGGACGCATGCTCCAGGGTATGATCTCGGAATGAAGGACCCGTCAGGAGGCAGACGCTGTGTGTCAGCTGAGACGGAGCCTGTGCAGGTTGAACTGCCGGGCTTCGGCTCCTCCAACCCGCTCAGCTGACCTATGCACACACGCCTTTTTAGGCTGCAGTTTGTCGTGAATAGTGCAGTGTGACTCTTTGTCTCTTACACTCGAATTACTGGTATTTGGATGGCTATTATTTGAGCTTGGCACATGTACCTGGCACCCGTAGAGAGCTAAAAGGCACCACTTCCTTGACTCATCCCCGCACTGCTTCTAGCAAGTGGTGCTGATCAGGCACAACCCATTAGCTCTTTGCGCAAATGTGCTCATAATCGGACTGCCTCCTTCTTTAAACGGTCAGCGCTATAAACTTCCATAATTTGCACAAAGGGACCACAAAGAAAGAACCATGGGCCTTGATGGCCATTTATTCCTAATTGCGTGCTGCATCTAGCAGCTCTTCTAAAAGCTGGCCCCTGGTTGCTGAGCAGCTATATGTGGGTTTTGATAGAGCGATTTCTTCTGCATATCCTCCTTTTACCTTTGCAGACATGCACTCTCTTGTTCTTTATGCGTGCAAGAATTTTAAGCCCCTTCATGGATGGAGCAGCGGCATGGTTACCCCCATCAGCACGGTCTTTCAGGACCAGGTTAACTCTTTGCTATTCGTTTCCTGTTGGAAAAGATACACTGATTTCCTCCGATTGATTCAGCTCGTTATTTAATGATACCAATGCCCTGCCCACAGGGCTACCAAGCGCTTGCACTTTATATTGTATACTCGGTTCCAAGGAACAACTGCATAGTACAACTTCAACAGATATACTATGTAGCAACACAGCAGAAAAGCAGGGTGCACGGCATTTTTGCGCACTAGTTGGTATAGAGCCCGATCCACCAGCGCTATCAACGAATCAATGTCTGGAGCAAATACCTCATTTGCATATCACTAGTTCGTCCTTGAGTTTCGAAAATAAAATATATACATTTACATGGTGTCCATGATCAAATACAATATATCGACAGCAAATAGTCTAGTGACAGCTGCAGCTCGGAACAGGCCCGTCTGGTGCATACCCATCAAAGGCTCTGATCATACACGAGCAGTTGCTCTGGCATGCATACTCTCGGTAAAACCAAAGCACCCTCTTGCCGCATGTCCAGATCATCTTGGATGATACGCGGTCTGGCAATCGTATTGTCCACCACCTACATACCAGCCATATGAGAGTAGCCCATGTGGGGGTGTATCGGCCACCTTCAGCGAAGCAGTCTTGGCGTTAACATGCTGGTAAGGAGATGCGGTGTGCTGAAATGTGCACTGGAAGTTTTTTTGTCGGATGACCCGTCTGGGGGAATAGATGAGCAGGGGTGCGACATGCGCGAGCGTTTTATGTCATAGCGATCACTCGGCCATCTTGACGAGGATACAGTATGGCCAATTTGATGTTGAGTGCTAAGAAGTAAGCATGAGGAGCAGGAGGGAATATTTTGTTGTGTTGATGTGTCCGTCGCCGGGAAGCAGCGTTCCTTGGGACTTCTTTTATACTCGGCAAAGGCCTGGGGTTGCAGCACCAGAGTTCCAGGGTTAGGGAGGAACTGCCACAGTGCCCTTCTGGCCGGTGAGGTCTGTCATTTTGTAATTGTTTCTGAGCCGAAATCAGGAGCTCCAGACTTCACACAATGCCAGCTTTTTCCTAACCAGGCCGGTTATATATGCAAGCGCATACCGCGTGGGCGGGATCTGCCATTGTTGTGAGACTCGGTCCCCAACACCAGTTACTGCCCATCTCAGCACTCTTCAAACATGTGCTCTTTGATCTGGTAAGCCAACAATGGTGCGGTGTGTCTGCAATACTGATACAAGAGCACCAAACACTGGTGTAATTGTTCTTTTGCTAATGCCACACCTGTCATCGTTGAATGGAATACAAACCAACCTATGACCAGATGGGGTTGCGGCTCGGAGTGTTTTTGAGTGCGTTTCTGCACTGGCTAGGGAGCTGCAGAAACAAAGTGCTTTACTCAGTGTCCCTCATCAGCATCCTGTCGGTTGGGAAGACTTGTGAAGAACGTGTAATGGAAGGGACGACTCATCTGAAGTCCTGACCTGGCGACTGTGGTGTCTGTAAAATACAGTTAGGGAAGGTGCAGAGATACAGGAGGACCATATCAAGCTATCACCATGTCGAAGTAAATTGGGAGCGCTGGGTGTTGTGTTAAACGGCTTACAAACATAATACTATCACTTACACTATGTAGTTCGGCAATATCCTATGAAGCCAACGTAAGAGAAATCAGCTGCAATCACTGACTGGGATTACCTTATCACCGGTGCTGATAGCAGGTACACCGCCATACCGCTCCAGGGAAAGATCAGGTATGTACGGATTGGAGACAATAAATCTGCTCTGACTAACATTGTTCCCACATGGCCGCAACCACTGTATGAAACAATAAAATTGTCTTTGCAAAGTCCTTCGATCGCCACCAATGCCATCATGCGGGCCATGCTTCAGCGTGCAGCTTGTGTGGAGCCTCCTTGTAATTCCGGTGCTCATCCAATTGACTGAATAAGACTGTTCAATTTCTCACTGAGACTTGGACCAAGATGCCCATCAGACCATTTTTAATTGGAGGGGCTGAAAGCACATCGAACATATTCCCTGCCCTCCAACCTTACTTTCATTTCTGAACTGAATCAAAAGACGTGAACAGTCCATAAAGCCGTGCAGATCTCTATTGGCACAATAGGCATATATGCAATTGGGGGATATGTACTCTGGTTTATTGGCCTTTGCGAATGCGTTTCTGAACCTTAATAGACTGATATACATGCAATCAATTGACGCAATTACAGTTTTACAAAGACCTCTCGTATATTGCAAGGATAATAGCATCATCCTCTGCCCATATAAAAGGCAGGCAGCCCCCAGGGACTTGTTGGCTCACCAGATACTTACAGTCCTCTAATACCCAGCCAGCCTCAATATATAACAAATGAACACCTACTCGACTATCCTCGCAATTGCCGTCGTTGCTTTCGCTTCAGCCAACGCACAGGTTTTTTGGATTCACTAAGGATACACAGCTCTGCTAGTTGAGCGTTCTTAGAAAGTCCCTGTATTTAAAATAATAACCTATTTTAGTCAATTCCAGTTTTCTGCAGTGACCACCATGAGTTAGTGTTGTAATTGTACTATAGCTTTCCAACATTCTCATTGTACTGCGCAAACATAAGCTTTTCCAAGGGACCTGATACCAGCCGAATCGGGTACGGATATCGATTGGGAACTCGTGGCTAAATTTGTCGGTGCTACTGAATTGGAGTGCATGGAGTGTAACATGTATGACGAAGGGAAGCAGCATTGGACGTACGATCACCAAACGCATACATGGGATCTTCCTAACCGGATGCGCGACTTTATCAACAACCAGTATCCACAACAGCTGAAGCCCAACTTCACTGCAGTATCTATTCATCTGTGGATTTTTCAGGAGGACTGCATTGATATGTACCGACGGACACATGGTCCGTTCAAATGGACAAACGAGCTGGTCACTAAAGTGAAGGAAATAAGAACCCGAGGATGCTCCAACAAAGAAATCGCGCAGTATGTGTCACCATTGCTGACTAGTCGACACATATCAGGGAAGTTTTCTTGTCTACAGCGACGTAACGCAGGCAACACGATTTCGGACCAGCACAGGAAGGATATACGGGCATTAGTGGATGCGTTTGTCGGGATAATTCCATGCAGGGATATGCCAACTACAGTCAAACTGGCGTTTCCTAGCATCCCAGCGGCATCATTTCATTGTACTATTCAGGGGTATATTGATTCTCACAAGTTCTATCAAGACAAGTTCAAGGGATACGAAAACATAGACCTTGTTGCCCAGATGGCTGCCAATGGGGAGACTGCAACACAGATGGCAAACAAATTTGATGTCCCGCTACGATTTATCCGCAGCATACTTGCTAGAAAGCCGACAAATACTTTTTCGAAATGGTGGACACAGGAAGAAACTAGCAAGCTGATGGAATACACGTCTTCCTCCAATGGGCGGATTGATTGGGTACATTGTGCATCGATCCTCGGAACGAAAAGCTCATTGCAATGCTGCAGGAAATGGCACAATATGCTGAGAAAAGTTAAACGATCACCTTCAATAAATTAGAACATATTTAATCGTCACGCAGTCAGCATAACTGTGGATGAAACGATAGTCTTGTAGTGAATAGGTACTATATGCGAATCTATGTAGAACTAACGTCTTTCCTATGGCATAGGGTTTATCTTTTATGCTCTACTAAACCAGCTAAAACATTGATGCCACCAAAGGGCAGTGCTGCTCTGCAACGAATACGACAATTGCGAATCAGTAAGCATCTCACGCTCGTCCAGAAATCAGAAACAACATGCCGCTATGTATAAACGAGCATTTCGTATTTCACATAGGCCGTGTCTTTCTTTCCTTGGCACTTTCAGCAGATCCCTATCTACCTATAGACTTCACAGTTCATCAACGCAGACTACGTCCCATACAACCTCTGCGTGGATGGGACTCTCGATCCTCCAGTCGAAATGTGGCTGCGACCCATGGAAGCGAAATAGTCAATGCGGATGGGGTGTTACGCATGGTCAATACTGAAGTGGTTGGTGGGATGTTGGACATGGAACAAGCTGGGTCGGAAACGAACACCTGGACAGATGATACAGGTACAGATACAGAGCCCGCTTGACTGGCTCACCTTCACGAACGCGGCAATAGCTTTGATTTTATGGCTGCTGTTGAGCAGGTTGGTCGTTTTCTAGTACCATGTATAACTCGCGTTCACACGATTAACCACATTACTGGTCCACATGAGGCTGAGGATCCACACATACATGTCGGTCTGAAGTAAAACAACTGGATCCAAGATCGTGTGTCGACTGGGCAGCCATTGCAAAGTTGGTGGGAACTGCTGGGCCAGAATGTTTGGAGTGCAATGCATGTGACAAAGGGAAGCAGCATCAGACATACAATCACCGAGCGTTTACATGGGATTTTCCCAACAGGATGCGCAGCTTCATCGAAAAGCACCACCCAAACATGCTGCTGCTCAATTTTATTGCTGTATCGAATTACATGTGGATTGCCAAAGACGAGATTGCTGGAAGGACGTTTGCGCATGGAGTGGCTGCAGCTAAAGCAGCAAGCGAGCTCGATATACAAGACAGCTTTGCTCATAAGCTTATCACTAGGATAGCCCAAACTTCCTTTTTCTCTCGAGAGAATGGGCTGAGGATACACCTACAAAGCTGGTCGATTATGCCACTTCTGCCACCAGTGGAACGAGTGGATTGGCACCACCGCATCCCTTACTGCCACTAGGTGTTCGAGACAGTGTAGTAGCAAGTGGACGAGCCTAAAATGCCGGTACGCCTGATTCGCAGATTGTGAATCCTACAGACACATTGTCTGGATCTCTTGAACCAGATCCGCTTGGCGTTGCTATGGCAGGAGCCTATAGCTGGTGTTGGCTGCAGCACATGCCCGCTAACTGAATCCAGAGCAGATCCACTTGCCTGTTCAGGATACCGCGGAACAATACCAGGCGTATCCTTCGTCTTTAGGACCGCCAAGGTATGCCAAGCGCCGGTCCGGGAGGTCTCCTGGCGGACACGCTCCTATTTTTAGCCGGCCAGAGAGAAGGATCACCGCTGCCTGGAAAACAAGGCAGCTGCAAAACCTGGCTGTGTGGCAAATCCGTGCAGCCAAGGTCTGCTCAGCTGGATATCCCAACCGTTTCCAGAAACCGAGTTTCTTGGTAGTTGGTGCCAGAAAGCCCGTCCTGGTCTTTGAGTCGGTTCTTGGCTACCGGCGGTGCACTCAAGCCGTGTTTTGAACACGCAGTCTGAATCGCTGGGTATAAAAGGCAGGCTGCTGGCTGCAACTACCACTACATCATCACAACACCAGCACAACACCAGCAACCGCCTCACACACCCATTCTACTTCAGCAACAGCACTAATAAGCCATGAAGTTCACTGCCACCGCTCTCGGCCTCCTTGCCACCATCGCCACGACCAACGCCGCCATGTCAGCCTGCTCCAAGAAGATCGCTCTGGGTCTGACCAACATCTACGAGAACGGCGACACCGCCTTCCACTACGACTACTGCGAGAACCTCAAGGACGGGCGCGGCTACACAGCCGGCATTGCTGGGTTCTGCACCGGCACCTCAGACGCCTGGGTCGTCCTGCAGGAGTACCACAAGATGACCGGCGGCAAGGACGCATTCAGCAAGTACGACGCGGTCATGAAGAAGCTGGACCAGTCGAACAGCGGCTCGGTCAGCGGGCTGGACGGCTACTGCTCGGTGTGGGGCAAGCTGGGCAAGTCGGACGCAAAGTTCCGCGCGGCGCAGGACAAGGTGCGCGACGAGATGTACTTTGACCCGTCGCAGAAGCTGGCGGATAAGCTGGGTGCGCAGCTCGACGTGACCCGTGCTCAGCTGTACGACACGACGATCCAGCACGGCGATGGCTCGGATCCCGATTCGGTCGGCGCACTGATCAAGAAGACCAGCGCGTCGTTCAAGGCCGATGCCAAGGGCTCGTCGGGCAGCACGCTCAAGATCAACGGCCACAATGTCGACGAGATCGTCTGGCTGACCAAGTTCCTGCAGGTGCGCATGGATGACCTGAAGAACCCGCACAACAAGGAGACGCAGGAGGAGTGGGCAGACAGCATCACCCGCGTCAAGTCGTACCAGTACGTGGTTGCCCAGAAGCAGTACAAGTGGGGCAGCTCGATCAAGGCTCTGGACAACGACGGCAAGACCACCACTGTCAAGTGCTAAGGTTTCACTGCTTTATTATTCAATACACATCCAATGCTCACATACATTCATATGTGCTTTAATCCAGATCAATAATCTCGCTGTTGGCAGGTTGCTCTCTGACATCATAGAGGGATGGCCGCTTGGCAGCCTCAGGGCTCTCGTCCTCCATCTTTCGCTTCACTGGCTTCGTCAGCACATCCTCTTCTATAACAACAACGTCGTCGTCGGCCTCCACCACTGCCACGATCTCCTCGTCATCGGACTCCTCGGGGGCGGCCTGTTCCAGCGGTGGGAAACCCCTAAAGTCCTCAAACCCCTCGAAGGTGATTGCACAAGATATATATGTGGGCCGTGCAATGCTGATCACGACTGGAATCGCATCGTCGTCATCCTCGCTAGTCAATGTCAGCATCGAGCCTGGGCCCAAGCCCAGCTCCTCAAAAGATTTGCTGGCGTTGTCGTCAAAATCCGGGTCGTACAGGATCCGGCTGCCTTCGACTATTGAGACATCTTCGCCCAGCCGCATATCCTGCGACGTCCCTATCCCGTCCGTCACACGTGCCAGCAGATCGGCCAGTGTTGTGCGCGCTGGGTCGGCCAAGCGCATAGTCAGGTAATGGCGGCGACACACGGAGCAGCGCGGGTTGGGTGGCGGCAGCCTTTCCTTCATGTAGTAGCGGTCGTGCGACGACGAGTACGTCAGGTACACAGTGAAGCAGTCCTGCAGCCGGTGATCCACCACATTGACGGCCTGCAGTGCCATCATGCCGGCCACAATCGCATTGGTGGTGGCTATGGCCGGGATGATGTTGCCGGCCATTGCCTTCACTGCAAACACCGACGTGGGCGGGATCCCAAAGGCGTATGCGCGCAGGTTCGCCGCAGCCGCAACAAACTCCAGCGCATCCCGGTCGTCCTTATCGAACATAAGTAGTGTGCGCTCCGAGCGCTGCGTAGCGCGGCACGCCAGGCGCTCGGCGCTGCTCCTGAACATCTCCAGAGCCGCGGTTGCGCTGGGCGGGGATTGATCGTCGGGCGAGTCCAAGGCGCCAGCCGCCAGGCCATTGTAATTCAGGACTGTGGGCGGGCGGCGGTTCTTCCACATGTCCTCCATGCTCAGCAGGCGCTCGATATCCTGCACAAACACCTTGTTGAACACCTGCCAGGCAAAGTCCGGGCAGCCCACGGCCTCGCTCAGGCGCTTCAGCGCACGGGCCTCCTCACGCAGCTGTGCCAGCTCCTGCATATCGCCGTCCTCGTCCATTTCGATCTCGTCGGTTTGCTCGCCAAACAGCTGTGCAAACAAATAGCTCTTTGCCCACACAATGCAGTGGATCGGCGATGATGGCGTCGACCGGATGGTACACACAGGAAAGGTCTTCTGCTCCACGGGCTTTGCCTTGGCAGTCAAAGCACTCGGTCTCGCCGCCCTTGATCACAGTCGAGTGGCCCAGGTACCCGGCAGTGCCCGATTCAATCAGGGGGACTTTTGCTGCCAAACACTGGATGTTCACATGGCGCCGTGCCTCCAGGTTGTCCAGCGCATTCAGGACCAGATCAAACTGGACGGAACCAATCCACGTCGAACTGCGGGTCAGTGATATTTGCCTGCTGCGCGTGTGCATTGATGCCTGGGTTGAAGGCGCTGATGGCCTGTACGGCCACCTCGGCCTTGGGCCGCTTGATGTGCTTGCGCTTGGAACAGGAACTGGCGGTTCAGGTTCGACAGATCAATGGTGTCCAGGTCCACCACCTTCAATGTTTCGGAACCCAGACATGCACAGATTCTTCAGCAATTCGCAGCCAATGCCGCCAGCGCCGACGACCAGGAGTCGCGCCTTGGCGATTCGCTCGGCGGTCTTCTCGCCGTAGAGCTGAGCTAGCTGGTCGGTCCGCCTCATAATTTAGGGCTGGAAAAAAGGTGCAAAATGAGAGGGAGCAGAAGAAGAGCTTGGCGCGGATATTTAAACCCCCGAGCCGTGACGCTTGAAGAAAATGCAGCATTTTTCCGTTGTGAGTGAAGTATGGTGTAAACAATAAGAATAAAAACACTTAGCCAAGACGGGTGCTGCGCGACAGATTCGACTTGATACCAGTGGCTTCTCCGCCATAGGAACCCTCCTGCTTGCGCACCTGGGCGACAGAGCTCTTGAGCTTCTTCTTTGCCTGCTCGAAGCGCATGCGGCGCTTGACACGCGGGTTGCGCTGCTCCTTTGTGCGCCTGGGCATCATGCCCTTGTTCTTGAGGATTTGGTAGTTGACATTGCGCTTCTGGTCCATCTCCACATCCTGCTCCTCGGCGCGATTCGCCTCCACCATCATCTGCACCTTGGCCTGCAGCGCCTGCTCCTTGGCCTGCTTCTTCGCCTGCTTCTTCGCCTGCTGCTGGCGCTGCACCGCCTGGTAGTAGTCGTCCTCGGGAGCCTCGCCCAGGTCCTCCTCCAGGTCCGATCCAAACTCGTCGGCCTGGGCACGTGCCGCCGCTGCCGACGCGTCGTCGTAGCGCAGCTTCTCCAGGCGCTTCTTTTCGCGGTACGGCAGGTCCATGTCGCCCGACAAGGTGCTCTTGTTGCTGCGCTTCGTGTGTGCCTGTGCTACGCGCTTCGCGTGGTGCCGCAGTCGCCGGATCGCCCGCGCCTTGTCCTCGGCATCGCCCTCCTCCAGGTGCTCCATCTCGCCATAGTCCTCCTCCACTGGCTTCTGCTTCTTCTGCTTCTTCTTCTCGCGCTTCAGCATTGCCTGCAGCTCCGCGTAGCTGTCGGTAATGGGTGCTGCCTCCAGGAACACCTGCTGCTTCTTTTGCTTCTTCTTCTGGGCGCTCTTCTTGGGCTTGGGCAGGGGCTCCGACATCTCCGAGTCACTGCTGGGCGATGCGGCTGCTTGCATGGGCTCTTCTGTATCGTCGATAGCGCCGGATGCCAGCTCGTCGGCAAACAGACGCAGCACAGGCGCCAGGCGCGTCTCCAGGGCCTCCATCATTTCGATGCGGCGACGGAACTCGACCAGGCTGGCAATCACAGGGTGGTCGCGCACCGGCACACCGCCGCGGGCCTCAGACTCCGACGCCCGCAGCACCAGATACACAGCAACGTTATTCAGGTAGCTCATCAGTAGCTGGTACTTGGCCATATAAAACGCCAGCGCCGGGTGCTCCCCCACGCCCAGCTCCTGGGCGCGATCCAGCCTGGGCTTGACACTGCGTACCTCCTGCCAGTAGCTCTGCACGTCACCGCACAGCGCCAGAAGCTCCGGGGCCTCGGCCTGCAGGATCTTGAGCTTCTCCTTCTCAGACAGCTTCAGCAGCGCCGCACGCTTGGCAGTCGACAGGTCGTACTGTCCAGAGACATCCAGAGAGACGCGGTCCAGGTCGATCTGCGCGTTGCCATCGTCCATTGACGAGACCAGGCGCGACTCGCCGCCCATGTCCACGCCCAGCTCGGCTCCCAGCTCGTCAATGAAATCGGCCTCGTCCAGGGCCTCGAGCTGCTTCTTCTGCAGCCGCAGCGCCTCCTCCTCTTCCTCCTTGGCCGCTGCCTCGTCGTCGTCTGTGTCCGTGCCGATGTCGTCGGCGTCGTAGTAGTTGTACTTTTGCTTGCCCCACGCCCCTTCCTCGTCCTCCAGCTCCTGCTCGGCGTCCTCACCGCCGCTGTAAAAATCTTCCTCGTCCTCCTCGCCCTCCTCGGACTCTTCAGAAGACGACAGGTTGGCTGTTTTCACTGCCATGACTTCCTCGTCCGACTCGTTGTCGTTGCCGCCATCGTGCCGTGCCAGCCGCCGGTCGTGGCCCAGAAGCACCTTGTCGCGCGACGCAATAAACTCGTCTTCCGAGTCCTGCTCCATGATCTTCGTACCGATCAACCGCATCCAACGCGCGATGCCTTCCGGATATCCATGTCGGTCTCTTCAACAGCATTTGCTGTGCGCCTGCCCGAGCGCTTCTTTGTGTGTCCAGCCATGAAAAAAACGTGGTAAGGGGGAGGTTGAAAATTTATAGTGCTGAAGAAAGGAAGAAATGCAAAAGGAAAAAAATTGAGGGATCGTTAAAATTTTAGCCTCTCCCGCTTTAAAAAAACCCACCGATTTGATCGGCTGATTCTCAGGCTAATTTCCCCAGCTCAGTGCTTTTTCTGCAAAGCGCGCTCGGTGCGGAACACGAACCCGTCGATGAGCCGCGCCACAGTGAAGATACCGCCGATGATGGCACACACGCCGGTCAGGAATGAGCCCAGCGAAGCGCGCATGCTCCGTGTAGATTACACGCATGGGCGAGATCTCAAACATAAAGAACACGCCCGGGTTCACCCGCACATGCATGTCTGGCTGGTCGCCGCGCGCAAACTCCGTGGCTGAGTACTGGTTGGATTTCAGCACGGTACCATTGCGGTAGCGCACTTCAGAGCCGACGATCTTTGTGAAATACTGGTACTGCATGGCCTGCGTCTTGGCAGTCTTCACAACGCCATCCAAAGGGTTGCTCTGGGCCTGAGAACTCGCGGCCGAAGCTGAGTCCTATGGATGGTGTGCGAAAAGTCAAAGTCAGGTTGGCATATAGTCGTAGCGGCTGTGCGAGTGCTCGCCGCCGCGCTTGATGGTCTCACCAGCCAGAATGTGGAAGTTCCCCGCCACCTTGTTGATTTCAATGAAGCCGCGCATCCTGCATCCCTCGCCCTGCTGCTCCTTCATGTGTTTCGTGTAGCCCTCACGCACGCACTGCTCGATCGACTCTGGGTCGGTGAATGCCCACCCGCGCTCAATATACGCCTGGTGCACCTCACTGCACGTGTTGCAGCAGCCGCTGGCTGGCGGCACGCCCCCGTAGCAGCTCCCGCAGTACGGCTTCCCGTCCGGTCCTGTCTCCGGCGGCGGCGTGGCCTTGCTGGCATTGAATCGCGCCGAGTCGTCCACGCCCAGCTCTGCTCCGGTCTTGCTCAGCCGTGTCTTGGTTACGTGCTGGAACAGGTTTATCTGCTGCTCGCCCGACGAGTCCATTACGTCCAGACCCAAAAGTACGCATGGCGCCCGCGGGAAGCTCATGTCCAGGTTTATCTGCATCTTTTCCATGCGCTCCTTGTCCACCACTAGCTCTGGCTGCATTTCGACCCTGCGGTATGCGGCGAATTCGTGTCCCACCAGGACAAAAATAATCAAACCTGTCAGTACTGTCAGGATGCCGCCTGAGCGCGTCTTGATGCTAAAGTCGTCCATTGTCTTGGCATACGCGTCCAGGCTCTGGAACCGCGCTGCCAGCCCGCCCTTGCGACCCATGGTTTTCAAGTTTTAAAAAGGACAAATGCTGCAATTAGCGACAGATGAGAAGACAAAGTGCGCGTGATCAGGTTTCATGCAGCAGGACTGAAATAGCTGGTCCGTAGTTTGAGCTGTGGGACTGCCGGCTTGCATTTTTGCAAGTGAGCCGCGGGACTGCCTGGGCTTTTTTTCATATTGTGTGCTGACTGACGGCTCACAACCCCCTGCCAAGCTCCTTCGTGGCTGCAATTTGAGCCACTGCCACCGCCATACGTCACAAATACACCACCATCGAGCGCTGCTCATAATGCTGAAAAAAGGCCCTACTGCGCATCAGAAGCCGCATCAACAGAAAATTAATCGGCCGCTTGCTCAATCGATGGCGGCTGGACAGTGCCACCTCCCAGTCACACTTTCCATATAACTCTTGCGGGATAGCGCATGGGCCCTCTTTTTAACTGTCTCCCGCTCTCCTTTTTTCTACCTAATAAATAAACAAATTTTTTCTCACCTTTCCCTCCCCCACCCAAACTCCCACCTCCTTTATTACAATTATCGATGGTTGTGCAGTATATCAGAAAGACGCAGACCAAGAGCGGCCAGCCGGAGCCCGACCACTTTGGTGATGTGATGTCGCAGCGCGAGACGTCCTGCATGCTGCCAGCGATCTTCAAGAACCCGGTGCAGCGCATAATGCTAATGGCGAACGGCAATCTGCAGCGCGTTCTGAGTGCCTACTACAACCTGCCGGTGTCGGTGGAGGTTCTGGTGAACGAGCCGGAGCAGCCAGGAGCAGCGCACGCTGCCGATCCGGTACTGCCGCACGATCAACCTGGTGTGCAATGGCATAGTGGTGTGCACGGCGCAGAGCACAGGTGGATCTGCTGACGAAGAAGGCGGCGGATCTGGTGGTGAACCAGGGCGTGGGCATCGGGCAGCTGTTCCGCTACATGAATGTCCTGCCGACCTTTTGCATTGATCGAGGCCCACCTGAGCGAGTATGACGGGAGCTTTTCGCGTCTCTACGATCTGTGCTCCGAGGACGTCGCATGCAAGGATCCGCGAGGACTTCCCCGATGGCGTGCTGTCGCCGGACTTTTGCCTGCAGCCAAGCCAGGCGTAAGCATACATAGCCCTTTTCCATATATTGTAAGTTCCTCCTTGTTCAAAATACCTCTCCTTCTTATCCCATGGTGCCATTCTTTCAGTAAGCCATGACAAAATGATAATCGGCTAAATGAGATGCCTTCGATTATTTGTTGCCATAAACCCTTTGCGGATTTCTAAATGCAAACTTTCCGTTATCTTAATTTACCCCAGTGTTTCTTGAATAATTTGTTTGTTTTCATCCCGATCCCTTATTCTTTCTTTTGCAGCCATCCAGGAAAATATGCTGGCCCGCACTCCCCGCTTCTCTGCGCTCGCGCGCATTCCCCCAGTACACTCCCGTCTCTTCAGCTTGTCGCGATCGGTCCAAGGAGACTGCCGCCGAGACGCTAGCCAAAAACAAGGCACCGCGGATCAAGCGGTTCTGGCGCACCGTCGGCGTGACCTGCACGGCCCGACGGGCTAGCCGTAGAGCTGGACGGGCGGCCAATCAAAACCCCCGACGGCACATCCGTGCGGCTCCCGCCCACCCACGACATCCTGGCGGCCCTAGTGGCAGGCGAATGGGAGTCGCAGCGCGAGTTCCTTGGCGCGCACGCCCTGCCGCTGACATCCCTGGTATGCCGGTCAATTGACGGGCTCAGCGACGCTAATGTGCGTGGAGAAGTGGTCTTGAAGCTGCTCAAATACCTGCACACGGACTCGGCGTGCTTGCACGAGGAGTTCCCGCAGGCCCTGGTTGAGCTGCAGGAAAAGCATTACCGTCCGATCATCGACTGGGCAGCCAAGCACTATGGCATTGGTATTAATGTCACGGCGAATCTGTTTACGCTGCGCCAGGAAAAACATGCCGAGGAGGTCCTGCAAAAGGGTCGTCGCTGGGTTTTCGCCGCTGAAGCTGGCTGCATTCGAGAAGGCGGTGATGACAGGCAAAGTCGTTCCTGATCGCGCTGGCGCTGGTTGAACAGCGGAATCTCGCCCGAGCAGGCTGCCATGGCCGCCCAGGTCGAGGCCTCAGCGCAGACCCAGCTGTGGGGCGAGCTCGAAAACGCCCACGACATCGACAACGCTGCCATACGCCAGATCCTCGGCGCCTGTGCCTGCGCCGTCCTCGCAGAATAAAACAAAATGAACCTGGTCTCTTTTATAGAAAACAAACAAAAACCCTTTCAAAAAAGCACCTCTTACTCGCGGATGTTCGTGCGGTGGCCCACCAGCCGACATGTCCACCTGCGTGCCCACCGGCGTGCCCCAGGTCGCCTGGCGCTTCTGGTAGATCAGCCGTGTCCATTGCCGACACCTCTGTCGCCTTCTCCTCCCACTGCAGGATGTTGAACTCGGCACGCTTCGCCACCTCCTGCTGGTACTCCTTGAAGGTCTGCTTGTTCGCCACCGGGTCCGGCATGCTGCTCGCAATCAGCTTCGTAATCGGGTGCACCCGCCCGGACTTCTCCACATAGTCATCGTACTTGGACACCGACGTACAGGCCAGCAATTGCGCCCAGCGTGTACTTCCACACTGGCGACGTGAAGCCCTCGTCCGCGGTCTGCGAATCCGCCTTGTGCTCCTCATGGTGCGTCTCGGTCGACGCAAACCGGCGGGGAAGCTGACGCCAGCCGCGCAGCAGTCACCGGCCGCAGAGTCTTTGTAGCTGTAGCACGCAACATTGATAAATAAGATATATGTGGCAATTGGAATTATAAAGCGGCTGAATTGAAGAAATGGGAAACAAAAAGGAGGGCTGCTCAATTCAAATCTCGAATTTATTGTACCCAGGCTTAGGAGCAGCCTAAAAATCTCAGATTGGTCGGGTTTATCTCTCGGCCGGCTCGATCACAGCTCGACTCGATGAGAAACAACGGCTCGGCATCTGAAACCTATTGCGAGTCCAGATCGCCAAAGATCTGACTGTCCCCTCGCATCGCCAGCAGCACGCGTAATAGCAGCTATTGCCCATTGTGCAAACGACCTGGGGTCACAGCCTATTTTGCTTCCACGCCGACCACAGCAGACTGCACCATCTGCATGTGTGATGTAGCACTTGCTTCACCTATCCCTCCCTACACTATTTTTTTTTGTTAATCGATAACAGCACCACGCAGCAAAACACGCAGCAAAACAAAGCCCATTACCACGAGGAAAAATGATCAGCACATGCATTAATTTCGTCAAGATGCTTTTCATTTTGCTTTTGCGTTCGCGTGCCTGGGACCGCGCTTATCGCATGTTGAGACTGCTTGCCTGAGACTGGTCTGCCACGCATTCTCCTTTGAACCCGAACTAGCAACTGCCATCTCATTCGGCTAGAATAGCCGCTCCCCTGAGGTTCCTCACACGTTGATGGGCGGACGATCATGTCGTTTTTTGGGGGTGCTAGCATTCAATCCAGTCCACTAGCGTGGAACGCGTTAAAAAAAGGAGCAATGCTATAATAAGCAGCTTCCCATCAGCCTTTCCCTTCAAGGGAACCACATGCACTAAGGGGGCAGAGGGTAGCTGTTGCACTAACACCAGGCCTGTTGCTTCATGTGCACTCTCGCTGGCTGATTTTTTGGCCGGTCAAAAATTTTCTGTATCCCCCAAAAACATGCCTTTTTGCTAATGTCGCCATACCCGTGTGGGATAAAAGGCAGGCAGAGTGCACACTGGAAACGCATGTTCCACGCATTTCTGCAAACTCCTCCTTCCCCTTCTTCACTTTTTCTTTTGCTTTCTGCCTCTTTTCTAGGCTTTTGCACGAGCTACTTGGTTTCGTCATTGGCAATACCCTTCATCACCTCCTTTCCTTGTCCACTATTCCATACCGCAGTCCTCACAAAAAAGAATCAGTCGTTTTACTTCAGAAATGTGCAGTATTTTAGCCACCAAGCGCAAGGCGGCACTTGATTGTCGCTGGTCTCGTAATTCTCGCCCTATATCTTGTCCATAACACCGTACAAGATGCAGTGAAGTTCCGTGCTGAGGCTGAGCAGCGTCTCCACACCGCCCACACCAAGCCTGCACCAGGGGAGCTCGGCGGCGAGATGCCCAAGGACCAGCCGGCGCCAGCAACAGGCCGCAAACTCGGCTTCGAGCACATCTACGTGATCAACGCCGAGCACCGCACAGATCCGCAAAAAGACAATGGCCCGGCTAATGCGCTACATGGACATTGATTTTGAGTTCTTCCGCGCAACAAACAAGACCGAAATCGACCACCCGGAGCGGCGGGTTTTTGGCCCTGGTGACGAAAAGTGGCCGCAGGTGCCGCCACAGCACCACATCCGGTCGTTGGAGCTGGCGTGCATGCGCAGTCATATGAATGCCCTGAACGATGCCGTCATCCACAACTACAAGACTGCGCTATTGCTTGAAGACGACATTGACATGGAATCCGATATTAAGCAGCGCCTGGGCGAGCTGCTGCCAGCCATGCCTGGCAAGTGGGATGTGCTGTATATTGGCCATTGCACAAGGGAGGCGTTTGACAAGACCGAGTATCATCCGCATTTGTTCCGTGCCCGCCGGCCGTCGTGTACTCACGCATATGCAGTCACCTTTGAGGGTGCAAAGCGTCTGCTGACGCTGCTCCAAGAGCAGTGGCCGAACCCCAAAGGCCCGTACGATGTTACGCTGATTGATCTTATCAGGGGGAAGAAAATCGAGGCACTCAGTGTCGAACCACCCTATATCATTCAGGTCCGCGATAATGTCGCCCCAGGTGATGTCGCACCTGACACGAAGATCCCGAAGCAGTGGCTCGACCACTCAGCACTATACGAGCTTGGACTGCGCCCGTACGTTTACGAGCTCGATTAAAAATAGCACCCTCTGCCCCGCCGCTCGTATTCCCATCCCAGAGCGGAAACCCCAATGACTGAGTCACGCCATTACAAATCACAAATCTCCAGCAGCTTGTAGAGGCCGGGTTTGTTGCTAAAGGAAAGGAGCTTTAGTTGCCATATTTGTCTTAAAGAGTATTTATTGTTAATATTATCTTCCACCGATCCTGTTTATGTGCTAGAAAGAACATTCGCACAAAGACACTTTGGCAGATCGGAGGGGGTGAGTGCCTAGCTGCAAGGTGTGGATCATTGTTTCAAGGTGTGAAGAATCACCCATGCATGCGTCCTTGCGTTTTGGAAGGCATATTTCACCTCAGTTTCATATAAATGTTTTGACAATGATTACCAATCGCTGATTTCGCTGATTTAAATAACCCAAGGATAGAAGCACATTAACTGCCAGGTGAATTCGAGTGACAGTTGTTTAAGGCATCAATGATGATATCTTGCAGAGGAGTACAGGAGTGCGTAAAAAATTATTGGCTGTTGCCTGAGGCAAAAACATATTACGCAAGTTTAAAAATCACTTGCTTATACACCTAAAATGGCTAGCGATATTGTACAGTTTAAGCAGCTGACAAAGTGCAGCGACACATAGCCGGTACTTACACTGCACCAGGTGTCTGTTGAAATTGACATCGTTTCGCTTCACGATTCATCTAACACACGCAGCGCTGGATCATGTACGATGCTATCAGTGTTGTCAGATCTGTAACTTTCCAACAATCAGAGAACCACGTTTGTTTCCAAAGATCACCACCTTTCTGAACTCTGTTTTACGCCAAACAAAGAGCAGATTAGCTATCGCTAAGCACGAAAGTGAGTGCTCCTTATCTTCACCACCTTTCAGTTATTTGCCATGGGTTTCAGTGGATGACTGGTGGAATGATCGGTTCAGAATAAAAACGCTGGTATCCCAGAGGTTTGCCTACATACACAGTTGGTGACATAGCACCTGAAGAACACAAATGATAGACTGTCGATTCGTTATTGAGCCTTTAGGAAGAAATATACTGATGATGAAAAGTAAGGAATACTCCAAAAGCCTAGTTGCTGTCAGTACTCAAAGGAGTAGCAAGCTCAGCGAAGTGCTTGACTCTCATGAGGTCTGAGCGCGATATGACAATATCATTACAGGAAAATGAGCGAAAAGTGCGGACTGTTGGGCACCGTAACGCTAGACTGATTGTCAGCCGTGCAGACTGTACATATCCTTCACACTCGCTGGGAAAGATGGTAATACTTTGCAAAGTCTTAGAGATGGGAGAACCAGGTAGAGCTGCACTGCTAGCACTGGTCATAGCCCGGCAAATATGGCCAATGAGATTGACGGCGTCGTTTTTTGCCAAATCCATATGTCGATAATAATTGACCACATCTGGCAAATCCGTCGTATCCCACCAAGCATCAATCCGGATACATGTTACCAAAAGCTCGCGAAGGAATGGTAGTGAGCCAATCAAGTGATAGATCTCTTCAGGAGTGCACCACATAAAGCGGAAGTCCAGAACACGGAGGGTTGGGGCAAACCTGTCGATGTGTGGCTGAAGAACGGCGTAGTCAAAATAAAAACCATTGCTGACCTCGATCACTGGTGTCCGGCGAAAAGCACAGAGTATGACCGAAATATGATCTTCAGTAATTGTGCTGGGGCTAGAATCTGGAGTCCTTAGTCTCAAAAACTCCAGTGCCCTAAACTGTCCCTTGTCCAGTAAATTGGCCCGGATGAGTGTCTCGGTAGTACTGTTCCATACATGCAAATCCAAGAATATAAGCGAATCTTCTGATCCACGGAGAATGGAGTCGTCCAAAAATGAATTCCGCCCATGGATAACCAAAGTTTTAAGTGCCGGGAATGGCACGCCCGCAGATGAAGAGCGTGCTGCCACATTCCTGGAATTGTCCATAGTACATAAACGAAGATCATAGAGTTTGGGATACACAACCACTGAACCGTCGCTGTCAGCCACGATGCGTCTGATCAGAACAGCCTCACTCAGCCTTAGGCGTAGTTGTTGTAGAGACTGCGAGTTTTGACGGATAAGTGCAAAAGTATTTTCCATTTTACCACAAGCAGAGGCGACGAAGCTCTGCAAGGGAGTGGTATCTACAGGGAATGGAAGTACATAGGACAGACAATTCCCGCCAGCAGTAATGGCAGCTCTTCCAGCGAACAGACGTTTTAAGAGATCGACTATATAAGAAGGAATAATATAGCGCGAGAGATCCCAGCTGTACTTCACTACAATGTGCGAAATGGATGGAAATATGCGGAATAGTTCATCACCGAATTGGCGTGAATGTAGTTTAGCTGATTGGGGGTTTACCCTGCTAGACGTTCCGTTAAAGATGAAAGTGAGACTTCTAATGCTTGGCAGCGTGAGGTCGCTTGGTACATGCTGCCTTAACAGGGCTGCTTCTGGATTCTGGAATATGTTGTTCGTTTGAAGTTTAATCGTGATTCCCTTAATCAGGTCACAAGCACCAAGTTTATGAGCCCAGTTAAGTGACGGCTGGGTATTGGTGCCTACATAAACACAGCGGAATATATGGCCGAGGGAAGTTTGTCTCCATGACTGGCAAACATGAGACACTGGCATTAGGATCGCATATGCTGGTTTCAGACCATGCTGACCAACACGTATGGGTTTTCCGGGCTTAAGGTAATAAATAATACGGTCCAAAATGATAAGAGGAGGGCGTTGTGCAATAGACTCCATTGCAGGAAAATGAAGGAATGAGGGTTGAAACGAAAAAGTGGGAGCTTGAATAAACCAATATGCTTGAGGTGAGACACAGGAGATATTGGAAGAAAGGCGACTAGAGCAGAAGAAAAGTGTTGTCGGGAGGAGGAGCCGAGGCATTTCGCTGAATCCAGCAGGCTTATAAACACACTCGTTGGTGGCATTAGAAACAGGCGCTTTCCTAAGTTGTCATCTTCGGCGGCAGCTCTAGCATGCTGCTTTTGCCAGTTCCTGGCCTGGCTGCGTATGGTTTAGTATCTGGCCATCTTTGAGAGCGTGAGTGTGAGAGTGAGTGAGAAAGCCTCTTGTTTCAAATCCACATGGTGAGCTGCGTACCCCCTGTTGGGGCACAGTCATGGCAAACAATGGCCATCATGTCTTTTTATCAGAGCCAAATATATTGCTAAAACGACCTACATTCCAAATTTGTAAACATTTTGCTGCAACATATACTGCCGCGCGATGTGCTGCCATTGTTCAAGGCAGCTCCTAAATATATTTTTAGGTTTTCCTCATCGGCGCAGATTCTTGTCATGAGCCGCCTACAGTGGAACTTTGGCCCCACGAGAGTGAGGAGAAACAGGGTGAAGAAAAACCACTCCTGACTCATAAAAGCAGGCCAGATTTCGCCCTCTCCAAAACTCCTTCTCCTCCTTGTCCTGCAAATAAAATCTCACTACATGTAATACTCCCTCTGTTCGCATATTTGCACACCCTCTCTTTCGTGGTATTCACCTGTTGCATCAGCCGTGCAAACTCACCAACTATTCTTCTCACAATACTGCTGCACCACCACTCGCTGCCCCGTACCACTCTCTGAACAGGCAAGTGCTCGATCACAACTGTTTGCTTCGTATTCTGCGCTAACCATTTTTATTGTCGTTTTCTGCTAACGCACGCTTGTCAATATAATGGAGCTTTGTTTATTGTTTTTGCTCCACTTGTAATTCGCAACACCGCTACACATTTGCACATCATGCTTTGGACCTGCCCTTGCAGGTTTCTGGTTGCTGTTCGATCTCTCCTCTCTCTTGCCTTTGTCTTCACTCTGACTCGCAAGTCTGTTCTAGTCGATGTGTGGTGTTTGAATCGATCCGGCTTTCCATGCTCGTACACTCACCCACGAAAGTATTGTCCCGTGCTGTCCGGTGCTGGGTAATGGGGGATCGTCACCTGGTGGTGTCACGGGAAGGTGGTGATAGTTGGGATTCCATCAGGCCCGGTTTAAGGGGTGCTGTGAGGCCCACGTGGCAATGGCCGTAGTGCAGGAGTTGTATGGGTTTGGTAGGTCTGGTAAGTCATTCATTTTCGCTCAGCTGAACTTTCTAGCGGGCCAGTACTGCATTTGGAGTATTGAAGGCGAACCAGGGACTGAGAGGCAGTGGCGACTAGAGATCTGCAAGCGCTGGTGCAAAATATGCTGTACAATTGTTAGCGACAATGTTGCTACTCCTTCGACCCAAGACATACATAGATATATCAAGAGCCTATTCAAGACAGCAGACGGTTTCTGGCAGCGCTACCCTGCGTATAGACTAGAGGAATAGCAAGGTTCAGCACGTCAGTAGTTGCAAGTGTAGTTTTCAAATAATCTGTAATCGGATATATTGCATAGTTTTCAATGGATATCGCGAGACACAGATAATAAGTATGCCATGTACACTTCAAACACGTGGTGAACTGCATAGAAGTGTTTCATAAAACTACATGGTAGCCTAAGATGTCCAGCACTTGACAGTGGAGGATGCCCTTTATACACCAGGTTTGGGTCTGAACTAGTTCTCTATTTGACAAAGTGATTCCTTTTCCGCATGGCGCCTACAGAATTCACTGTGCGTAGACATTGCCTAGCTGCAAAATCACATGAGAGGGTAGTAAGTGAAACCATTCAAGGTGCCGAGAAATTACATGGCCGCTTTTTTATAGCCATTCACCGCGATGCGAGACACTGCCACAAGCAACGCTACCGGCATTAGAATATAGCATAGAGAGACACAGTGAATCTGGGCTGTCGTATTGACAACAGTTGATATCGCTGTACAAGTGTTTCGATACTGCCTTGAATCAGCAGTGCCAGATTTGGCGATTTCCAGGTCGGATAAGCACATTCGTTACATTGGCTCCTTCTCCAGTTGGTATGGGCAGACGATGACTCAGGAGGGCTGAGTATCGACATCTTGCGTGGCTGAAAGAGGCAAGTAATCTGATATAGCTGATAAAAAGATCCTCGTTCTGCAGCCCACTTGAAGTTGACCTTTCGAAGCCATATATCATTTGCTTAACAACTGATACGAGTAGCTACTATCAAGGTCCAAAGTGCTATGCTGCGCTGCGTGGTACTTGTAGACTGGTGATCAAGTCATTGAATGACTTGAACCTGATGAGACCTGGTTGCGTGATACCGTATCGTCCAAGCTGTTCGTAAAAGTACAAGTGCTGTATACTAGAGCAGAGGGCAGACAATATCACAACCATCCGACAGGCCGACAGCTGGTCAAGTGGCCTGCGCGAGTCGACTCCCAGCACTTGAAGTGTTTCAGAGAGAGGATAATATTTCTTGTATAGGTCGTCCAGAATGTCGAGATCAGCGCATATTGGGTCAACATGACTGAGCAGAACCATCGTATATGTATCGACATAGTCGGCTGTCTGTTCACCAGTCTCGTCATCATCGCCTTGGTCGTCATCCGATTCGCTGGTGTAGTCGCAACCACCCATGCACCGGTCATGCGTACGATCCCTGCCCCGCAGAGAATCGGTTGGCTGGCATGTAAATCTCAGGCGTTGGATAAATGGGAGCTCCTGTATAAGCATGATTGCATCTTCTAATGCACAGAGCATGCTAGGAAGTTCAAGCACACGCAGAGTGCTGGCCATGTTGCTAACAGGTGTCATTAGATGAGAAAAATGGGTATATCCACCGCCGCTGTATGTCAGAATTGTGGCATTCTTGCCGATACGGAATGCCAGATCAACCACTAAATTGCATGATATGTCATCAGCACTATTTGTGCTGGAGAGGTGAAGGCAGTCGATAGACGCAAAGTGCCGGCTATTATAAAGGAGGATATCTTCTAGAACCGCAAGCGTAGCCCGATCAACAGCGATATTCAGCATTCGAAGAGTTTTGCTGTTACCGTTAAACATTATATCGCTTTCGAATGGAAAAGCAGATATGCAGGTCAGCGTCTCCAGTAGCGGAAACTGAGGCCTTCCAAAGTGCTCAGAGTGGCTGCTTAGCTTTTGCTTGGAGAGCGAAGCGAGTTTAAAGTGCCTGAGCCGCTTATAAACGACTGGGTCCCCATTATGATCGAAGAGTATGCTGTGGAGCTCTCCAGATAACGAGTAGCCAATTTCCACATACTCCAAGGTGGATGAACTGCGAGATATGAGCTGAGCACAGTGGGATGGCGAACTATAGCTGCCAAAAGCCAATTTGCGAAAGGGTATTTCGGGTGATATGCATTTGCTAATATCACAGACGCAGTGCTCAGCGAGAATCCCTGTCGCTCCCTGCACTAGTCCGCGAATGAGGCTGGTTACAAACGGGCTCGAAGCATACTCAGAGAAATAGCCTAGCCCATGAAACGAACACTCCGGATACTAGGAAACAGCCGGTATACAATACTGCAGAATGTATCTGCATGTTCTGTAGCCTCATATAGTTCCGGGTTGCCCCGGAACCAGACACCAGTGAATGTGATAGAGAGCTCGGTAACGTGCGAAAATGAGATGCTGGAGTAGAAGTGCAGGTGGGGTGCTGCTAGATGGCGACCCTCTAACACATCAGCACATCTCAGCTGGGCCGTTACAGCTCTGACGTTATTCTCTGTTCCAAGTTGTGCTGCAGTGTGGAGCAGTCGTGGAGATTTGGATGCGAATTCATCGTGTTGCAAGGTCCTGCTGCCCTTATCAAGGTCATTCCACAAGACATGGCTGTGCAATACAGTCAGAGCTGCCTCCTTCCACCACCGACACACGCGTATTATTGACCATGACGACCGCCGATAAATCTCCTTCTGGTATTTGAACACATAGCACCCAGTGTGGGGATGCAGGCAGGCATATCGGACGATAGCTTCCAAGACAAGCGTCGGTAGATTCTGTGCAAGAGAGGCCATGAGAAAATAGAATGTGAGAGTAAAGAAGAAAAGCAATGAAGGTGCGTGCAATGTATGCATATGTTTTTGTGGGCTAGGATGCGTCTGCTAACATATGGAATCAGCTGCGGTTTGCACGAGTGAATCACTACTGAGAAGGCATGCAGTTGCGGATTCCGCCGCTATGACCACCACACATCTGGGCTCGCATAATTGATGACACCCTATTCCCAAAACGCGCTGATTTATTGTTAAACCTATTTCTGTTGCTTTGGCAGTGCTTTCACCTCGGCTACTTTGTGTACATTAGCCTATTCAATTATCCCACATACACATTTACAATGAACCGACAATTGCTATATTACTTTGTGTTTCTTTTCCTCTTCTGGGCTCTAATGTCATGGCGGGACAGCACACGGCCTGGGCACAGCAAAGACGAGCGAGACCTGTTTGAAAAAGAGTGGTGGGAGTCCTACCGGAATATGACGTACCAGGCGAATTCAACACATGCGCAGCTCCCGATCACGGTGCGTGCAGCTGTGGACAAGCTTGTCCTGCCTTACTTGGAGCGGGACGAGGAGAAAGCCGAACCGATTGAAGGCGTATTCTATCGCAACATCAGCGGTATTTACCACAGCGAGTGGCTGTCAGCATATGTTAACGAGACAACGCCCTTCTGGAACGGCACACTGCCTGAGGGGTATGATAGACCGGACAACAGCACCATAGGAAAGTTGACGCTGGTCCTGGACACAGACCGTTCGGTAAACAAGTCGGTTGGTCTGCTCAGTGGCATCGCACGGTTGCGCTCTGGGATATACTCCGCCAGTCTACGACTCCAGGGCTTGTACTGGAAGGATAATGGCACTGCTGTCATGTATGGCACGCCTAGCGAGAGCGCCCAGACGGTTGTAGACCTGGTCAAGTCTATGCCCAACAACCACACGTTCGCTGAGGCAAAGGCGGTATTTGACGAGGTGTACCAGCATGACCTGGCGGACTACGAACAGTTCAATGACGTCGACCACGGCTGCGAATACCAGGTCTTTCTGCAGTTCACGCCAATTAAGGGCTTGACCCACCAGGAGCTAGAGGAGGTTGAGCAGGAGCTGGAACACCCGACAGGTCGAAGCATACCCAAGCCACCGGCTCTGCAAGCACAGGCCATTTTGTTTTCGACGAACTGTAGTGTGGCTGTGTCTTCAACAGGCGCCCATGTCGTTGGCACACGTGTCGAGCCGTATCTGACCAAGGCTACCCACTACGCACTGGCATCGTTTGTCGTTCTGCTGGCCCAAATGGTGCTGACTATCCGCCAGATGGGGCACACTCCTACGCCGTCGAGCATCTCACGGGTATCGTACTACACGGTAGCCATGATGGCTGTATTGGACAGCTATTTGTGCATGCTCCACCTGACCGGCGGTGCATTCTACAATGAGATCTACAACGCCTTCTCTGGCGTGTCGTTCATGTCGTTTGCCTTGCTAACAATGTTCGACATGCGGTATCTGGCCATGATCTGGAATGTGCAGCGGCCAGAGGCGGGCGATGCCAATACGCAGGAGGGGCGTAGAGAAATGTGGCTCATTTACTTCCGCTTCTATGTGGTGCTGATCATTGGCCTCTTTGTCATCTATATGTACACCGAGAGCATCCGCCCGGTTGCCAGCGTCCTGTTGGCAGTGCTGCTGCTGTTGCTATACTCGTACTGGATCCCGCAGATATGGCGCAACATCAAGCGTGGTACCAGCCGCGGCATCCGCAAGGACTACGCCATCGGCACCACAGTGCTGCGGCTCTTCTTCCCCGTGTACGCGTTCGCATGCCCCGACAACATTGCCTTTATCGCGCCGACCAAGCTGGTGTGGGCTCTTGTCATCTACAGCATGTCGCAGCTCGGCTTTTTGCTGCTGCAGGATTCGTTTGGCGCACGGTTCTTTGTGCCTGCGTACTTTTTGCCGCCGACATATAACTACCACCCAATCATTCCACCTGCGGACGAGGAGATCGAGGCCGATGATGGCGATAGCAGCGAAGCCCGGCCCGATGACTGGGAGCACAATGCATCGAGCGCATCTAACCGTGTGTGCGCAGTGTGTATGCAAGCCGTCGATGTCGATGTGCCGACCGGTCATGTGCTGGGCCGGGCAGCCTATATGGTAACGCCGTGCCACCACATCTTCCACACCGATTGTCTATCACAATGGATGGCAATCAAGCTGGAATGCCCAGTGTGTCGCGCGCCTCTGCCGCCGGTTTAGTTTTTTCTTCTGACCGCTTTCCCAGCAAGCAGTTCCTGATTTCTCCGAAATAGAGGAAAAGCGTGACTGTATCTGCCTGCTATTGTGTGGCCATCAGATGGAGGCGATCCCTTGTTGCTCAGGTGCGGAGGTTGTAAGCGCAAGGGAACTTTGCTTTGGGAGGTCGCCATATTTTCAAATGTGACATGAGCACCTCTGAGCCAGGAGCGCGCCCAGCCATTCCTGGAAGCCCAGGCAATATGTTGTATCGCACTACATCGGCCAGTGGTCATCTGGGCTGTGCACAGTATGCACCTCATTAGTCGCGTAAATTAAACAAAGGGGTCTTCAGTGCAGCTGCTACGCTGCTGGAAGGTAGACAGTGGAGGGTTCTACAGGTGCTTGGATGGACGCATTGATAGGATAAACTTTGTAACGGCAGGCAGGCTTTACCAGGCTGAAACGTCTCCTCAGCCGATTAGCAGCTAGCGTTTCATATGAAAATGGCCTCCCTGTAACTTGCTAGCCGACCCTTGGGCGATTTTACTCATCGCCATTTGCGAGCTGATGACGCTATCGATGGACCTCGGAAGCGCAGAGAGAATGGTCACAGTGCCTCTGCCTGCCAATGCCCAGCCGTGTTGGAATGTGCCCTGTGCTGCGTCCACCCACGCCGCCCTGTGCCGCCCAGTAGCACCGGCTGCTACTACTCACTACGACATAGCCGTTGTGCAATCGATGGCAGCGCTGATGGACACCAGATAAGGCTTCACAGTGCTAGCTGGCGGTGCGGATGCTGCGTCCAGAGTCAACGTGTGCCAGGAGTATGGTTATCGCTGCTCCATCACGCATGCCAGAGCTAGAGAAAAAGCCCAGAGCGCAAAAAAAACTCGCCGTGCATTATCGCGCCAGGATCAGTCGTGATAGCGGCTTCTGCGGCGCCTGCCCCGAGCGGGAGGGTCCTTGACACATGTCCGGCCGCGGAAAATCGAGGAATGGGCCGGGTCGCCTGCCACCCCCCTGCCCCCGGCTGCAAGCGCAGGTTCTCCATCAGCGGCGGCATCCGCCCAATTGCAGCGCGGCGATCTGTTCCTGATACGCTATCAGCGGCCATCAGCTGGCTCGTGCTTTCTCTTCTAGCAGCCGCCCGCACGCTGCAGGCCACAAAAATCCCGGGGCGTGTTCTTGCTGGGCTGCACGAATTGCAAGACTTTTGGCGCTTTCTCTCACACTGCATATGGCCGCACCGCGTGCTCTATAAAAAGGACTGGCGCTCGGGACTCCAGCGATATCTTTCCTCCGAAATAATATAGTCAGACTTTTTTCCTTCTTGGTCCTTTGCCAGCAGCCTGAGCACATTAAAATCACAGCTCCAGACACAGAAAACATGGACGTCTGTTCTCTCATCGATACCCACACCCACACCCACACCGCCGCCGATGCTGCCGCCGACAGCTGCTGTGCCGACGCCGCGCCGGGCAAGTCGTTTGTCTGCTCGTGGCACGACTGCGACCGCTCATTTGCGCGCAAGTCGGACCTGGTCCGCCACTTCCGCATCCACACCGGCGTCAAGCCATTCGAGTGCCCATGGGCTGGCTGCGAGAAGCGCTTCATCCAGCGCTCAGCCCTCAAGGTCCACTACCGCACACACTCTGGCGAGCGCCCGCACACCTGCGAGGGCTGCGAGCGTAGCTTCAGCGACTCGTCCTCGCTGGCGCGCCATCGCCGCACCCACACCGGTGTTCGGCCGTACGGCTGCGAGCACCCCGGCTGCAGCAAGCGGTTCACCCGCAAGACCAGCCTGCGCAAGCACATGCAAACCCACGATCCGGCCTACACCAAGCCGCGTCGCCGCTCCAGCGTGGAGACTGTTGCTGCCGGGTCTCCTATGCACTCGGATATGTCGTCGCCGCAGACTGCTCCGGTCAGCCGCCAGACCTCGCCTGCCTTTAGTGTGCAGTTCATGACCACTCCGTCGCCCCGCCCTGCTCACCGCGAGCTGGCTCAGTACCACTACGAGCCCCAGATGTACACTTTCAAGCAGATGAGCCCGGTCTACGCTGCCGCCCCCAGATCGCCCTTGGACAGCGGTGCCAGCTCAGCCTCGACCGCCTGCAACAGCCCAGCCATGTACGGCCACCCGGGCACTGTGCTGCCGCCGATCAGCTCTCTGCTGCACTAAATCCCGCCATATGTACATATCTTTTCTATGCGACTTGTAAATACACCACACCAATTCCACTGCCTTTCACCAATATACGCGTATGCACATACAGTTAGCCAGCTGATTGGAAATGGTGAGCGAGCAGGCCAGTGCGCCATGGAGGCTGCGTGCTTTGTGGACACGCTAGCGTCATTCAGCAGGCCACGGAAAATGCCCCTCCCCACCTGCTCGCTGTCAGCAATGCGGAGATACTCTGCATTTCAGATGATTCATTCCGACGATTCCCGCACATACCACCGCCCACTCAAGGATTCATCTTCCAGTGACCTATATCGATTGTTGGGGAGACTGGCTGGCCCTCTGGGGCTGCAACTCTCTCCTCCTGATGGTTTTCACGCTCTGGCCCCTGGGTACAGGCGTCATTGTTAATAAGCATGCGTGCGCTATCTGCGACATCCCATATCGGCACTGCCTGCCTCCCAATGGCCAAGGCTGTTCCTGAAAGCAGAACACAGATCCGCACGATGATAACCAATTGTGACTATTATCCGGAGGTTAACCGGCCAATTGTCTATGCGTGGTGGTCTCAGCTCCGCCCCTGCTCCAGACCCAAATGAGTCAGATCCTATGCGCACTCAGTGCCTGCCAGAACGTTGGGGTGGAGTGAGTGCTGAGGGTATTTCTGCATGATAGCAGCTATGCAGGCGGTGGGGAGGCAAATAGTATAAGGCGCAATTGATCGATACCATCGCGAAATTCCCAGGGGGGCACGCTGCCGATGGGAAACGCACGCAAAACAATTTCCGTGACGGGTCGCTGCGCACATAAAGCATTTTGGCGTCCCGGAGGGCGATCGCGGGAACGGACCACCCTTCCCATCGATCAATAATGGATGCTGGCAATCTTCGCTGCTTCGCGATCGATGCGGCAGCTCGCTCACGACCGTGATTAGATCAGATCTGCTAATACTAGGGGGCTTGTGTTCGCTTGAGCTGCAGACACGCTTAGTGAACCGATAGGCGATTGGGCTGCTTCCTGATGGCACATGGAGGTCGGACGATTTCACATGTGTGGAAATAAGTGTTGACTAAAAAGTCAAGCGAGTTCTGGATGTGGCTCCCTAAAGTTCTGCCTGGCATCTGCTTGTTGGGGGAGCAGGTAGCCCAGAAGCCTGCTGATTGACCGACATGGCCTATAGCATGTATGTTGTTGAAAAATTCAACATGCTGCCTGCTGTATACAAACATAGGGCAGGCCATTAATCAACATCACGATTATTTCGCAGAATCAGCAGATAGTCTCGCTGTGGTCATAAGCCATGAGAATCTTCCAAGCATCCATGGACTGTCTAGGAGAAACGAGCAACTCTATACCGAGCCAAACTGAACTCTGGCTGAGACAGTCCTCTCCGGCTTCCCGAGCGATAACGCTGATATTGTGGACGCAAATGCTCGACGAATCAATAGCTGTCGGCAAGCAAGCAGGCCAGTAGGGTACAGCGAGATGGACACGAGCCACCTCTCCAATAGCGACAGCGAATCTGCTGCGTTTCCCTGGCTATCACGACAGACTATCCATGATTGTCTCTGCCGTCCCAAATGGTGAGTAATCTCTAGAGAGCATGTGGGAACATAGTGCCAGACCGTTGAGACAAATGCGCCAACCGGTCCTGGACCGCATAGCAATAGGCTACAAAAGGGGGTCCTGGTCCCCAAGACCCGAGCCAAAAAACAGATTTCTCAGACAAATATGCAAATGTAGGTTGTCGATCGTACGAGGTTCCTTCAGCATTAAAGCCTCAACACTGGATTCGCTGTGGGCGAGGAAAAGTGGTGCGCAGCGAAGGGTGTGTGCAGGCTCGGATGCTGCTGCTTTGGCGATAATGGCCAGTATTCCGACATGTCATCTGCCCTCCGCGAATGGCCAGGAAGGATCAGCACAGACTGCTGGTGCGCTAGCGATTCCGTTGGGACGCAAAGCACGCACTTCGTAAAAAGACCCCAGTCGCACTCCGGTATTGCGTTGTTTACGCCTCTGCTAGTCGCATCTAGCTGCATGTTGATGACACGGAGATGCATAGGCGGTCTGGATTGTTTGCTAGTTTTTCAGGGAGCCTGCAGCATGTGCGGCACATTAGCAAGCCAAGGCAGCAGTGGCGGTTGTGGCAGCTGCGGCAGCTGCGGCAGTGTGGAGCCGGGCGATTGTAGACTGTGGCAAGCACCTGGCCTGGCCTAGCTTGTCATAGTTCCTGTGTTGCACGGCCCGTGACTAGCTATAATTGGAGCATCACGTTGTCTGCGACCAGTCTGGACCGGTCCGGAGCCTTGCTGCAGCGCACCAACCAAGCGGCACCTACTCACTCGAGCCGGCGAATGGGGGCCATTCTCCCCTCTGCACAAGCAATTGGGCGACTGCTAGCAGGTAAGGAAATCTGTTCGGTCTGCCATTTCGGACCGCTAGGCGGAGTTGGCGCTGTATGAGGGAGAGGGGCAAGCCAGCAAGCGCCCAACGGTCCTCTCTGGCTGCAAGCCTGGGTCAAGCAAGAAAACAACAACATCCGACTGCAACGAAGGAGAAACGCGAGATCTACATTGGGCTTGTTTTGGTTTTTTTCGCATTCCAGATGTTGCGGCTCTCGCACCTTCTGCATTCTACAATAGCAGGTAAAGAGAGGGAGCCAAGGGAGGATGAGAAATTGCGCGGAGCGGCGATCGCCCTTTGAGAGGCGAAATTCAATGTACGAATTGTTCATCCTTTCTCCAAAGTGACACCACCACCGCTACCAGAGCTAGTGGCCACACCGGGTGCTTTTCCCCCTCCCCAACCGGTCTGAGTTTGACATTGCCCTCCTTCGCTGGGCAGCGCGGATTGTATATAAATGCTGCCCGCCGCCTGGGATGTCGAGGAACCGGCATAATACCTTATTACTTCCCTTCGTCTCACGCACTCCCTCCCCCCTCCACCCTATCTACGCTCTAGATTACAATATCATAATGCAGATCTTCGCCGCCATCGCTGTCTTCGCCGTCGCTGCTCTTGCCGCCGACTCCTCCGCCTCCACTAAGGCTTCCGCTGAGGCTTCCGCTGAGGCTTCTGTTGAGGCCTCTGTTGAGGCCTCTGTTGAGGCTTCGGAGGCCGCTTCGGAGGCTGCCTCGGAGGCTGCCTCGGCCGGCTCTGTCTCGTCTGAGCTTGGTGAGCTCGATGATACTGAGTCGGCCTCCGGCTCCCACTCGGGCTCTCACCACTCTTCCAAGGGTGCTTCCAAGTCCGCCTCGAACGAGAAGTCCACCTCGGGCTCCTCGAACGGTGCCGCCAAGGTTGCCGGCTCTCTGGCCGCTGTTGCCGTTGCCGCCGCTGCTTTCTTCTAAGCTTTACCTGTGCGCATTTTAGATTTATTCTACTAGATGTCCTGGTATCTCTTTCGCCTCCCCGTTCTATAATTACCAATTGTAATCTCTCAAAACAATAGCCTTGGGGCTTGTGGATAAAGCAAGTCGTTTTGTAATCGCAGACTTGGTGACCCGGCACGCACATGAAACAATATACCGCCGCTTGAAATGGCGGCGACGCGTTGGAAAACCAGGTCCTTGTTTGTGGGGAGCCAATTCACGAGGATGTAGTGTGCGACCTGGCTCCATTTTTTTCGCTCCGCTTCATCTTATCTCTGGAGACGGTACCGTGCTCGCCGTATTGGGGAGCGGTCTTCTAGACAGTCTATTTCGGTCTACAGATTTGGTTGGGTAGGCTGTCCGACTGAGAGATCTAGCTTCTCACAAGCGGATACTCCTGTCGTATTCCCAGAGCTCAGTGCAGTCGAGCCTAGTGGGACCAATAGTCAGCCATGTTTTTTTTTGGCTCTTCCAACCACACTTCTCAGTCTGCGTGCGTGCCACACGCCTGCAGACTGCCAGGATATTTCAAAGAACTGCAAGGGGTGTGAGGAGTCATGCATTAGTGCCGGTGCCTATTTATAGCTACATGGCCAGTAGTGGAGGATGCAGCATGCATGAGTGGAGAGGACTAAAAGTGTGTTTATTAGTGTTTGAAGAATGAAGAAATGGATAGTAGCCCTCTCCAGCCCCCGCCATCGCTTCCCTCTGCACTACATCAGTGGAGCAGATGCACACGGGGAAAGGCGGGGGGCATTGGAGAGACATGGAAGGAGATCAAGTGCGGAGAGAATAGGCGGGAAAAGAAGAGGAAAGGGGGCATCTACGCCTGGGCCATGGTGGGCTGGTGAGGGAGCGGGACGCTGGGAGCGGGCATGCCCGACTGGCCAGCGGCGGCAGCAGCGGCCTGCTGGGCGCGCATCTCCTTGATCTGCCTGAGCTGGGAGGTTCTGAACTGCTCATAGTGGCGCTGTGCAGTGACCTCGACCAGGTCCGACAGGTGGGTGCGCAGCAAAAAGTTGCGCAGGTGGACAAAGTCGCTGTGGCCCTCGTCGAAGATGTTGATGACGCCCCAGCCGTGGCGGCGCCCGCGGATGGACTTGCCATCGATCTCAATGATCTCCTCGGATCCGACAACAGCGAACGGCACCAGCTCCTTGATGCTGGCGTTCAGCGCGCGGTCCTCATCGTCGTCCTCATCGCTGGCATACGGGTACACGGAGATGCGGTGGAAGGCAAGCTCCTCTTTGATGCGGCGCTTGAAGACAGTGCGCTCGTCGACGGTCATCGAGTCAGACTTGGCAATGACCGGGATCACGTTGGTGACCTCAGTCAGGCGCTTCAGCACCTCGACATCCAGCGGGCGCAGGCCGCGGTTGCCCGGGTTCAAAAAGTACAGGCAGGCGTGCACGCGGGTGTCGCTGATGACGCGGTCGCGCTGCGGCTTCAGCTCGCGCTCCAGGTACGCCGCATGCTGGTCCTTGATGTACTTGATCACAGGGACCCAGCAGCCCTCGTTGTTGCACTGGTCGCCAAACCCAGGCGTGTCAATGATCGTCAGCTTGACCCGCACGCCGTTCTCCTCCAGCGTCTGCGTCACAGGCGAGATCTCGGTTGTCTTGCGGATCACCTCCTGCGCCGTGCGCCGTCCCTGCGAGTCAACCAGGTGGCTCGAGAAAATGCTGTTCACCAACGTCGACTTGCCCATGCCCGACTCGCCCACGAGAATAACGTTGAAATTGAACCCGCGCTTCAGGAACTTGCGCTCCATCTGCTGAGTAATTGTGTCGAAGCCGACATAGGTCTGGTTATCCTATAGTGCAGTGAGAAGGAAGACAGTATTGCACATACTCTGTTAGCCCACTTGTTGTGTACGCTTAAATTCGCCTCCCTGATGAAGAGCGTCTCCAGTCGAAATTGCAGCACTTCAATAGGCGTCTCCTTACATTCGCCGACATTGTATTTTGAAGGGGTTATTTTGTAGGAAGAGAATAATAAAATAGGAAAGAGAGTTTGGTGTTGCAAGAGGTAGAGAGAGCAGAGGAGAAAGAGGGGGGAAAACTGCCCAGTGTTGGGTGATAAGTGTGCAGGCTAGAAAAAATGCATATTTCTGCGGGCATTAACGGGCGGTGGCCAAACGAATTGCAGTAGGGCGAAAAAGAAAAATAGCTGGGATGTTTTTGTTTTGGAGTTTTCTGCGCAAAGAATGCTTGTTTCAAACGCGGGTGGCGGAAATAGGGGCGGGCGCGAAACATAGGTGCTGGCGCCAGACGAGGCTTGGAGACAGGGTGCCAGCATTCCCAGCCGGGGAGGCAGGCGAGAACGTTGTGCTCGGCCAGCACACCCCCTCGCTGGCCCTGAATGCCGGTAATTGCAGCGGGCAAGAGACGACGCTGCCAACCCCCCGCGAAATGAATAGGAGGCCGATATATTGCTGGAGCATTCTCCACATACGCCAGATACAGCGGTCGTTTTTGTCCGCTACCACCAAGGATGCTGCTTAGGAAAGCCACAAGCTGAAGGCAGGCAGCCGGCAGCAGAACCACGGTCCTCATACGGTCCTCATGCTTTGGCTGGTCCCAACTAGCGATCTGCATTCTTGTTTTTGTGGGCAGGTGTGCGCCATGCGTCTGTCAATCAGACATCCAATGGCGGGCTTGGGAGCGCAGCGTCCTGCCGGCTCGGCTCGCACCATAAATCTCCCCCGCCATCGCTGGGGCTATGCCATGTGTGAGGTGGGCAGACGCTCTCCGCGGAATCCTACATACTCGCCAACGTCTCCACATACACATACGTTATATTTAGTCTCCCCGGCCTCCATTGCCAGTCATGTGCAAGCATATTCTGAACGCCCAGGTGTCGATTCGTGCCCCGTGCTGCAAAAAGTGGTTCGACTGTCCCGAATGCCACGCCGAGCAGACCGACCACTCTCTGAAGCAGTCGGACGAGATGGTATTCATCTGCAAAAAGTGCAAAAAGGCGTTCCGCAAGGACGTGCGCGACTATGAGCCTGAAGACGAGTACTGCCCGCACTGCGACAACCACTACGTGATCGACGCCAAGACGCCGCGCGCTGCACTGGGTGTCGAGGGCGAGGATGCTCGTATGGACAACCGCTTTGTCAAGGACGACCGTGTCAAGGGATATGAGAAGAAGTCCATATACGCCCAGGACAACCTGGACGAGCGTCTCGGTTAAAACATTCTGATTAGACATGGGGAGGGGAAATATTAATTGATTGCTATAACAATTGTTAGCAGTGGCAGTAGGAGCGTGCCGGCCAGCAACAGGCTCGTGCGGGTGGCAGAGTTGGCTAGCCGCGAGTATTCTGCTGACCACACGTCAATGCTGTCGGAGGATGAGTCGGAGTCGAGACCAGACAGCTCTTGCCCTTCGTCATCGCTGCTGCTGTCTGCTGGAGTGGACTCTTCTGCCGACAGCCAGCCGGCTGATGTTGACGATGTCGCGATCCATAGCCCAAACGGCAACTCTGTGCCCCGTGAACGGTGTGACGTCGACGATGGGCTGTTGCTCGGGTCGGTCGGCACAGCTGCCGCAGTAAACAGCAGCTGCAGACTGCTCGTAAGCGAAGTAGCAGTCAAAGCAGTAGGTGGTAGATCGGAGGTGGCTTGTGGGGACAATGTGGTTATGATGCTCACAGGTTGCTGCGACATGGGCATTGCTGAGAACAGCGGTGCTGCCGGACTAGCAGGCTGTGTTGGTGCTGTGGCAGCCTGTGGGCCTGCGGCAGCTGGTGACGAGGCGATGGAGGCGGCCAGTGGTTGAGGCACCAGGGATACAAATCCTGCGGCAGGCATTGTTGTCTGGGCAGCAGCAGGTGTGGGAGCCGGCTGTGCAAACGGAAGCTCCAGTGCTAGCCGCTCGTTTCCGCTGGTGTTTGCGAACATATCTGGCGACAGCCGCTCGAGCTCTTGGACAAGGCTCTGGATAGCGTGCTGCTGCTCGCTGTTGTGCGGCTGGATCAGACGGAATGGTGCTTGGCTCTGGAGTGTCTGCGCCATAGCAGTGGCAAACAAACATGACGAAACGATGCTGCTGAATAGCATTGGGTGTGCTTTGTGAAATGGCAGATGTTTGTTGAGGACCAGAATTGTTGTTGATAATTGAACAAGAAAATTTACAAAAGCATGCTTGGAAACGTTTCTAGACCAGCTGAATGCCTTGGCCAAACGTTGCTGGCATATATACCAGGCGAGATATGTAAACGGAAATCTGCTACTGCGCACTGGTCAAGAAGCGTGGCAATAATGTCCAAGCGTCCTAGTGAAAAAAAAACCATCTGCCCTCATCTGCTCCCTCATCTGCTCCCTCGCCAGTAACGCTCTGCGGACACTACATGAAAAGGACAATTGCTCCTGGGTCGAGCAGTTAATCGGCGCGTCTCTACCACCGGAAGCAAGGAAATGACGGAGGGAACGGTGGCTCGTAGCCAGTAGCTGCAGTCCTGCAGTGCAAAAAAAAAAAAAACTACCAAAGGACGTAGTGTGGTAGCAGCGCAGCCTCTCATCTGAACCTGCCTTTGCTGCAGTTATATGGTGTGCCCGGTTACGTGCTGGGAGGCAGGAGCGCAAAGAAAAGCAGTGGTGCGCGTGTGGCGCTGGGCAAAAGAATATTGGAGGGGGCCAGATTTTTTTTTCGAAGCATCTGGATAGTAACTCGCCATGTCTTCCGGGTACATTCCCTTTTTTTGTCCCAGCAAGCACCTATGCAATATTCTCTTCTGTTTCATATCTCCTAGTCAACCCTCCCCCAGATCCAAGCATGTCCAGTATCTTCCGCCGTCCGCAGGCTCCCTCCCGACAGCTTCTGACCTGGGAGGAGCGTGCACACGCGGCATTGGCAGCCGCACGCGAAGTGGAGGAGCTCTCGGGCGAGTCCGGTGCCGACCCGGCCCTCGGAGGTGTCTGTCTCCCGGCGCCTTTACCACGGCCCGCGCTATGCTCTCCCAGGCAGCGATTCCAGCACACCAGGCGGCCAAACTCCAGACGCGCGAGGAACCCTGCACAGTGACCCAGGCGAATATGAACCTGCGCACGGCATCCCTGCACCTCTCGTCGGTGGTTCTGGAGACGCCCGAAAAGGTGGATTCGGTGACGAGCTCGCCATACTTTTCTCTATCGTTTGTTGTGGACGCGCTGGTGCCGCTGACGATAAACTGCTACTGGCTTGCGACCGAGGAGTGGGGGAATGGGCCGTGCCCGAGGTTTGTATCGCGCACTGACCACCACAGGAGCTACCAGATGGAGGCGGGGCTCGACCAGATGTTCTCCCTGCCGCGTGCCGACTGGCTGCACCCGAGTGAGGACCCGTACAAGACACTGGCGTCGTCCGACTGGCAGGCCCGCAACGCCGCCCTTCAAGGCAACCAACGGGTCGTGTCCGCCGGCCACTGCCCCACTCCCCGATAGCCACAGCTCGGAGGCGATCGAAACTGCAAGCGATGGGCGGCAGCGAGATCCAGGAGATTGCTGATGGCGACGCACAAAAGGCGCCTGCATATGGCCTGGTGGTCGAGCTTGTCGACAAGCGACCGCCCTAATCCTGTCGAGCGTGCGCGCCAAATATCGTTTATTGAGTTCTACCGCGACGCACGCGTTCTGGTGCCGCGGTGCGTCAAGCAAAAGGTGTTTCTGGACGGCATGCTGTATTTGCAGTACGAGATCTACGGGCTTGGCGACGCGCCACCGCAATCGTCAATGATGCTGGGGAATGGCGAGGAGGAGTCGGTCCTGCAGTGCGCCATTTGCCTGTCGGACGAACTCGACACGGTTCTTCTGCCATGCAGGCATTTGTGTATGTGCAGGGATTGCGCGAATACGTATCGGCAGCAGAGCAACAAATGCCCGATTTGCCGCAGAGTCGTTGACACGATCCTGAATGTGCAGAGTGTGGGATGAAGAAAGCAGTCTTGCATTTAGAAAGGAAAAGAAAATAACTGGTCACACACAGTGGTGTGCGCACAATATACGACCACTTGCGCACTGGACCCATGCTTAGTCAATAATAGGAATCACTGCTCTCAGTATAATGAACAAGGCTGTGAACCAGTATCATGTCTTCCAGAAAAACACCAATGTGGCGACCTGCGGGGTGGGGTGGTGACGGCTCAGGCAAAGTCGACTCCTTGCATGTGCTGTTCGATCCAGCAGACAGCAAACCACACCGACTGCTCGATGCGCCGCACTGACAGGGGGCGGCTGGAGGAGACCAGTGGACTGGGATCTGATCTGCACATCGCATATACTGAACCACACGGCATGCGTGGGGGACGGTGGGTCGCCGCTATTCATCCGCACAGACACGATGCCCAGCCGGTCGCCAGACGAGGCGACTTATGCGATGCTGGGCGTGCTGAGCTCCAAGTCCTCAAACACCGTGCAGACGTCCAGCTGCTACTGTCAGGACGGGCACGATGTTTACATCAGTTTGCTGTATTTCATTGATTGGATCGCAAACACCACCGGCATCGAGCGCATGGCTTTGGAGGTCGCCGAGCCGCATACCGGCGCCAGCACACGATCGATCGCTGCCGAGCTATCTTCTGCACTGCTAGCTTTGACTGCATGTGTCTTAATATAACATAAGAAGCCCTAGGTCGCATCCATGCTTACGTCGGTGCCAATGTCCATATCAATAAGGTACTGCAGATCGGCATCAGTCAGGCCATCCTCATCCTCATCCATCATCATCTCCTCAGCAAGCATCTCCTCGTACATCTCAAACTCCTCTGCCTCCTGCTGCTGCTGCCTCTCCCTCTCCTGCCTCGCCACCTCCTCGATCTCCGCCGCCATCTCGGCCTCATCAAAGCCGCTACTGTCGCTCTGCTTCTCCATCTCGCTCTTGAACCGCGCCCACTCCTGCCGCACGATCTCGTACATTTCCTGGTCGGTCAGCTCCTTTGGCCGTGTAAGGCGGTTGGCCATGAAGGACGCCTCGCGGGCTTTGCTCAGCCGGTCTTTGCACTGTGCGCGGAACCGCGTGTGCCAGGATTTCTCTGTTGCGCGTGAGTGCCGCGAGGACTGCGACAGATTCCGGAAGGACGGATGGGCGGGGTGTGTGGCGGCGGTGGGTGATGTGATCGCCTGCTGCGAGTGCTGCTGCGGTGCTGAAATCGTAAAAGAATGCCTAGAATTGTTCATTGTTTTTTTTTTGGGAGGAAAGTTGAGCAGAGTATGATAGGTATTAGTACAGTATGCAAGAAGAAATTGTTTGAATTCAAAGCGGAAACAAAAGGAGGAGAAAGGATGTTGCGCTCTTGAGCCTCTTTTTGGCAGCGTACTGCGCAACGCCAAGGCGACGCGAATACGCGTGTGGGCCTTGTGCTTGCTCTCGCGCCGAATCACAAAATCGCAGCTCCTTTGATCATGGATGAATCAGCATTGATTTCATTTGAATGGGTTGAGAATTAAAGATATAGGCACAGGGAAGGTAAGGAAAGTTAGAGCTTGGTCGTGAACTGCTCGGCCGACTGGGCCGGAGCCCACATGCGCTTGGAGACCTCGTCCAGGACGACCTGCGAGTACGACCATCGGGGATCTCCGAGGTGGCCGAGGGCGCCGGGTTAGCCTTGACCAGGTCAACCCAGTACTGGTCCGTGGCCAGGCCCTCGCGGACAGCCTGGTGGATGAAGGCGGCGGTGATCTGCGCCGAGGTCTCGCGGATGCGCTCGATGCGCGGGTACAGCTCGCCACGGGCGACCTCCTCCTTGGTCAGGGTGTTGGAGAGCGCAACCGACACGGCAAAGATCAGCGAGTCGGTGATGCTGGTGGGCTTGGCCAGCTTGGCTCCGAGGCCGATGGGCGGGAACACATACATGTTGTTGCCCTGGCCCGGCACGCGCGTGTCGTCGGTGCCCGGGATAGTGTACGACGGGAACGCGGTGCCCGAGGCGAACAAGACGCGGTTGTCCGTGGCAACCATGGCCTCCTCGAACGTGCACTCGGCCTTGGTCTGCGGGTTCGACAGCGGGAAGATGATCGGCCGGTTCTTCTGGTTCAGCTCGTTGACGCGCTTCAGGATCTTCTCGTTGAACGCCTTGTAGATGGTCGACAGCCCGATCAGAGCCGTCGGCTTGACGTACTCAATGGCCTCCTCGAGGTTCTTGCACTGCCTGTCGCCGTTGTCGTGCCGGGCAAAGTAGATCTTGTGGTCCGCCAGCTTGTCGCCGCGGTTCGCGTTGATGATACCGCGCGAGTCGACGAACCAGAACATGGCCTTGGCCTGCTCCTCCGGGATCTTGTGCTCGATCACAAGGTAGTCGACAAGCTGCTTGGCCACACCGACTCCGGCCGAACCGGCTCCGACAAACATGATGCGCTGCTCGCGGGCGGGGATACCAGCGAGGCGGATGGCGTTAATGAAGCCAGAGAGAATGACCGAGCCAGTGCCCTGGATGTCGTCGTTGAAGCACAGGATCTTGTTGCGCCACTGCTCAAGAAGGCCAAAGGCGTGCGGGGTGTTGAAGTCCTCGAACTGGATGAAGATCTCGGGGAACGCGCGGGTCAGGCCGTTGAGGACCTTCTCCGTGGCCGCGTAGAACTAAAAGGAGGAAATCAAATGTCAGCATGTGAGGTTGCAGGCGGTTGTGACTAACAAATTTCTCCGAGCAATAAAAAAAAAGCAGTCACACGGGGCAGACAGAAAAGCCTGGGATGCTGCATGGTGATCCGCACAGACCCTTCTGCAAGACTGCATGGTTTATATCTTGCCCGGGCGTGAAACACCGCCTATCTGCCCGGGGACGAGATATGCAGCCGTCGGCCGACCCGGAGAATAAACAAACAATCATGTGATGAGACTTACCTCCGGATCCTCGGGACGCTTCTGGCGGATACCGAGGTACAGCGGGTCCTCGAGATACTTGGGGTTGTCGGTACCAAAGTCGAGCACGATGGGCAGGCAGCGGGTCGGGTCGAGTCCGGCGGCGGCAACGTACAGCTGCAGCTTGCCGACAGGAATACCCATGCCGTTCATGCCCAGATCGCCCAGACCCAGGATGCGCGAGCCGTCGGTGATGACGGTGATCTCGGGCTGCTGGCCCTCGGGAATCGACTCCTTGTAGTTGTTGATGATCTCGTCGATGTTGTCAACCTCGTTGAGCGGAATGTACAGGCCGTCGACAGCCGAGGGCGGCGCCAGGAACGGGTAGATGTGCGAGAACTCTTGGCACGCCTGGCCGACCGTGGGCGTGTAGATGACCGGAGCAACCTCCTTCAGGTGCTTGAGCACCAGGCGGTAGAACAGGTCGAGGTTGGTGTTGCGCAGCCACGACAGGAAAATGTACTGCTCCAGAGGCGAGCCCTTGGCCTTGAACTGCTCGTACGCGCGGGCCTCCTGGGCCGCAAAGTTCTCGACCGCCGATGGCACCAGGCCCTTAAGGTGCAGGGCAGTGCGGGTCGCGTACGGCAGGGCCGTGCCCAGGCTCAGGGTCTTCTGGGGAGGCGAGGACGGAGCAGAGTCGTTCTTGATTGCAGGAGCCATTGTGCTTTGTGGCTATTTTGGTTAGAGTACAGGGGAAAATGAGGTACAGAAATATGGATGTCAGTGTCTAGTCGGGATTAAAAAACGGCCGGCTTGACGACCTTTTATAACCACACAGGTGGGGGCAGGGGCGGCGAATTTCATACTTGCACCGCAACAGCAAAAAGATGAAGAGCTCTGCGTGGTCGGAGGGCGAGGAGGCGATCACAAGGAAACGGTGTTTGGCCAACATGTGGAACCGCTTGCCTTCTGCAGCCGACTCCACAGAAGGGAAAAATTGGCCACAAATCTCCGCAGAAAAACCCATTGGTATCGACCACAAGACGAATGCAGCGGGAGCGGTGCCCTGCCATTCGCTGAATAAATTGCGCCTTGCTCCCGTAGGGCTCGTAGGGGCCAGACTATGAAACGTCAGTGCAGATCGCCCGCCCGCCCGAAGCGCCCAGGACGGGGGAGAGCGCATCGGTCAAAGTTCACATCTGCAATGCCTCGGGCTTATTCGGGTGCACTCCTTTTTTTACACGGGGGTGTGTCTGCCTTACCTTGCCAGCCAGCCTGTGGCCCACGATCGCTGCTCGGTGCGTGCGGACTGCGTTTCCTTTGCTGGCAACAGCCAGCAGCGAGCGGCGTGTAGAGGCAAACATTGTGGTCTAGGCTGCTGATTAATAGTACAGGCTCAAAAGGGGGTTGCGAAAAGGACGAGTGGTAGGGGAGAGAAATAAAAGAAACCCAGACACACTGCTGGCCGATAACGGTAAAATAAGGAGGCCTCAAAAAGACCCCGCCGTGTAACGGGAGAAGGCACGCGAGGAGTGCAATTTTTTGTTTTTTGGGGGGTTACACCTTCTGAGTCACAACGCTGCCTGTGAACCGCCGCCTCCCGGTGGCGGGAGGTCCGTGGACTGCAAAACCGGCTTACCTAGTATGTGTATATGTGGGGGGAAACGAAGATGGAGGTTTGCTATTCGCGAAGCAGATCGGGGACAGCGCCTTCCCCTTGCGCGCCCCTTCTTATGCGTTTCCTCAACCGACACCCAACTCGGAGAAATACAGCACCAAAAAAACCTGTTCTAAAAACAGAAGCGCTGCCTCTCACACAGACTCCACTTTTTTTCATGCCCGCCTTGTTCAGGAAATGGCTTTCTCACACGCAAGTGCATCTGCGCTGCTGCCCGGGTTTTGAACACATGTCATGGTGTATGTTTTGGCCTTTGCTCCCAGATCACACAAGTGCTGTGAGGATCACTTCCCAGAGCAGTGCCATGCACAGCCCACCATGCCTCTGTGCACGAGCCCGGGGGGTGCGATATCCCTCGATCGATACTTTAAAGCTCCTATTGTCCGCACATCCCGAAGTGCAAATGAGAAAATGGGCGAGCGCTATTGCGTCTTTTTCTCCATTAGATAAAGCTGCAGCGGCCTAAGCGGGGGATCGCGGGCAAATTCGCCGCCATCCGTTGCTGTGACTGCGCATATTTATTGCCATGATGTCCTAATAAACTAAACGACCGCTCTCCTCAACTACTAGTCTGTGCCCGGAATCAAGATGCTCTTAATGAACAGGTCGCTCGCCAGCTGTCCGATGCTTGCGGCCTCTGCCGCCAGCGACTCTGCGTCCACTGACAGCTCAGAGCGCAGAGTGTTGATGTCCATCCACGACTGCAGCTCATTGGGCTGCATGCCCACGAAGCGCATCTCAGGGTGCACCCCGCGGAACTCGGACCGCACCTTGCGCGTCTCAACCGCCTCCAGGATATCAGTTGCCGTATCAATGCTGGGAGTAGGGAAAATGAACTCGTCAGAGATCGAAGTGGCTTCTGCGGTGGCCGAAGAGAGAGCATCGGTTGAAGACTGGGCGTCGGCAGCGGCGGCTGTGGCTGTGGGTGTAGTCAAGACATCTTCGGCAACCCGTGCGATTGCTTCATCGATCGATACCGAGGTCTGAGCATCAACTGATGACTCGGCATCAGCCGAGGACTGATCGTCAGCCGAAGACTCATCATCTGTGGAAGACTCGGTATCATCTGCGAACCTTGCTTCAGCTGTAGCCGAGGACTGGGCATCTGCCGATGACTGAGCGTCGGCCGACGACTGAGCATCAGCCGATGATTGGATGATGTCCTCAACTCTCGCGTCAGCTGTAGCGGATGACTGGGCGTCAATTGACGACTGGGCGTCGGCCGAGGACTGGGCGTCAACCGAAGTCAAAGCATCATCTGCGAATCTTGCTTCAGCCGTAGCCGAGGACTGGGCATCCACGGAGGACTGGGCATCAGCCGAGGACTGGTCGTCAGCCGAAGACTCATCATCCGTAGAAGACTCGGTGTCATCTGCGAACCTTGCTTCAGCCGTAGCCGAGGACTGGGCATCCACCGAGGACTGGGCATCAACCGAGGACTGAGCGTCAGCCGAAGATTGGATGACATCCTCAATTCTCGCGTTAGCCGTAGCGGATGACTGGGCATCAATGGACGACTGGGCATCAATGGACGACTGGGCGTTGGCCGAGGACTGAGCATCAACTGAAGTCATGGTATTATCTTCAACCCTTGCATTTGCAGTGGCTGACGACTGGGCGTCAGCAGACGACTGGAAATCCGTGGCATCAGCTGTAGCCGAGGACTGGGCGTCAGCCGAAGACTTGGCATCATCTGCGAATCTTGCTTCAGCCGTAGCCGAGGACTGGGCATCAGCCAAGAACTGGTCGTCAGCCGAAGACTCATCATCCGTAGAAGACTCATCATCCGTAGAAGACTCGGTATCATCTTCGAACCTTGCTTCAGCCGTAGCCGAGGACTGAGCATCAGCCGATGACTGAGCGTCGGCCGACGACTGAGCGTCAGCCGAAGATTGGATGACATCCTCAACTCTCGCGTCAGCCGTAGCGGATGACTGGGCGTCAATGGACGACTGGGCGTCGGCCGAGGACTGGGCGTCAACCGAAGTCAAAGCATCATCTGCGAATCTTGCTTCAGCCGTAGCCGAGGACTGGGCATCAGCCGAAGACTGAGCGTCGGCCGACGACTGGGCATCAGCCGAAGATTGGATGACATCCTCAACTCTCGCGTCAGCTGTTGCCGACGATTGGGCGTCAACAGACGACTGGGCGTCTGCTGAAGATTGAGCATCAACAGAGGTCAAAGCATCCTCAACAAGTCTTGCGTTCGCTGTAGCCGACGATTCAGCATCAGCTGAAGACTGGATATCGATCGCATCCGCGGTAGCCGAAGACTGAGCATCAGCAGAAGACTGAGCATCAGCCGAAGACGTAGCGCCCTCCACAAACCTCGCATCAGCTGAAGCCGACGATTGGGCATCAGCCGATGATTGAATACCGGTAATTTCTACAGTTGCAGTAGACATCGCATCGGCAGTAGACAAGGCATTTGCCGCGTCCACCGGAGCCGCAGGCAGTCCTACCACCATAGTGGTGAATGCCAGGACCAGAAGTGCCGATTTGCTAACGGTGCAGCGCATTGTTGAGATTAGGGCTGAGGGTGAGGTTGAGGATGAGGTTGAGGAGGAAGATGCGTTGATTCGAAGAACCAGAGGGTGAGGATGATGATTCTGCATCTCCCTGCCAACACACCCTGTCTTATATACGCAAATTCAAGGACTACAAAAAAAAAGGATGTCTATATTGTTCTTCGCATATCAAAGGTGATGGAGAGTCTAGCCTATAGTTTTTCTCACTGGCAGCTCAAACCTTGATCGCCTTGTTAAACAGCGCCAGCCGGCTCCAAACGATCGGCAACATGTCTGACCCTCCCTTGGCTGCTTGCGAGACCTTGGTCCAGGCATCCAGCGAGTTACGCAGCTGTTGCTCAGGGTAATCTGCAGTTGGGATTCCGCGCTCCTGGCACGCCCGATGCAGCTCCGTCAGCCCCAGAACTCCTACCAGCGATTCGTTTGCCAGCAGCTGATCGTCATGATGCAGATAATCAAGTTCCAGCCTCAGCTTCGTCTTCAGCGCCGTCGCATTGGCGAACAAGCCGCCGCGCACGCCCATGTACCTGGCAATCAACTGCACATCCTGATCTGCTAGGGTCTCGAACTGGAAAATCTCGTGATCAAGCTTCCCCAGCTTGCTGGCGACCGCCAAATCACCAGGCTTGATCCCAGCCTCCGCGATCCGCTGAACAGCCTGTGCGTGCAGCCGTTGCCGCACCACGTCCTGCTTCCGCCCCATCTTAACCGTCTGCCCGAATGTCACGCATGTGCTCGGACACACACCGGGGAACAGCCAAATTGTCAGCGGGATTAGCTCAGGGATGATCACTACAAGGAACCCGAACGGTACCAGGCGCAGCTTGTCGCCGGGTGTGCGCCGTTGGATTTGCAATTCTGACCGCGTCAGCTCTTCGCCATTCCGGACTTTAACAGCGATTGCCTTGGCTGCCTTGTTGTTTTGCAAAAGCTCCTTGAGACCGCCCTTATAGAACGACACAAACCCCTTCACCTTCTGGATAAAGGTCAGGCTCTGGCCAGGAAGGGTCGGGTCAGCGCGCTCGACGGGCTTGGCCACAGCGGCTGTGTGCTTGCTCGAGTACATCCGTGTGCCAAGAATAATGCCCGTAGTCCTGCTACAAATGGGTACAGTTTAGTCTACTGTCTTTGACATCACAAGTACATGTGATTAGTGTCATGCTTACATAATGCACGGCGTCTGGATTCCCGTCCCGGCCAGCTGCATGCGAGCGCATGCGCCCACCGACTGATGCGCAAAGCGGTATCTGAGTGCCATCGCTGTGATATGAGAAATAGGTGAATGAAAAGCTAGTGCTGAGGAGAGGAAGAAAAGGGGCACGGATGCTGTTCCTTGCGATCAGTCTTCATGGTATCACGAAAGCGAGATGGTGGAATTGCGGTCTGTGACTGGTCCAGCAGTTGCGCAGATCGCCGATATAATCGATTAAAGCGTTTAATTTTCCCTCTTGTTTGCCCGTGTGCCTGTCCAACAGCAGTTTTCCCAAAGTTCTGCGTTAGTGTGCTGCGCAGAAAAGAAAGCCAAGTACTCTATTGCCATGTCAAAAAGAAGAGCCAGCCCTAAGCGGCTACTGAAGTACACATATATTTAGGAATAGGTGGTGTAGCTCCACACCTTGGAGGCTTCCTCCGGCGCAGACGACGCATCCCAATCCTCCGGGTAGCTGGGCTGCGGTGTGCCCGTGTACGTCTCCGGATCATATGTCCAGGGCGTCCAGGACGTCACTGGGATCCACATTGTCTCATATGAGCAGGACGTGCCACTAGTGGAATCGTAGAACCCGTGGCACATGGTATGCAGGGTCATCGCAGTCGACGTCGGGGTCTCTGATGTTGTTGTAGTGTGCTGCTGACTGCGAGGAATAAACACGTAGTTGTTGTGGGAACCGACCGGAAACTCGACTGGTGCATCAATACCAACAACCAAACCTGGCGGGCGCTCAATCGCTACCGTGTTGTTGTTATTGTCGACGAACGTCCCACCACGGTAGTTGATGCATCCAATTTGGTACGTGTTGTAGTCGTCCTGCGTGAAAATTTCGCAATAGTCAGCCGGTGGCCGCTTGCGTGGGTCGAACGTGTTGCAGAACTGCAGCATGCCGCCACCACCGAGGTTAGACAGTGACTGGCAGTTGGAGTTGTGGAAGACGGTTGGAATCGACATGGCGAAATTGACGGAGGCTTGGCTTGAGTGGGTTGAAGGGGTGAGTGCGTATCTGCGCAGATGTATCAGGACTGCATCCGACATTCGCTGCTTAAATACTCGAAAAGCAACCCCAGCAGCGCCTGCAATTCAATAGGTGTTCTGGAAATCCCTCATAAGAATTCGAAGGGTGCTACCGGAAATGGACCATTACCCGCAGCAGGTATTTGGGTTGTCGAGATTTGCTGGGCTATTGGCAGGAGCTGTTTACAGATTTTCAGTTCCTTGAACCTTGGCCGCAGCCCAGGCAGACGCATTTGTTGATTGCGTTGATTTTTAATTCAATATTTGTGGATATATTCCGATGAGGGTGGCAGCGGCTATTGCAATGTAGGCTCTCTAAACAAGGAGCAACGACTATACACGATGTGTCGAACTTGCAATACGTATAAGGTATGGCTGCAAGGACAGAAATATATCATTTGTTGTGTGATTCGAGTTGCTCTTTTCGGCTACGGGCGTTATACAGCTGGTCTCGTGGGCTTTAACCTGCAGTGCCTTCCTCTAGATTCGGTGTGGCCAAACTCAAAGAGGGGTAGATGTAGCCCTGGTGGGTACCGCTGTTGCTTTGGTAGAGGACCCTGATGAGCTGTGCGATAGCTATTCGGGGAGGTGCGGTGAACTATACTCTTAGCGATGCGGGCAGCTACAGCGGCAGCGGTGATGATTAGTAAGATTTTCGGACACTTCACAGCAAATGGTTGCGGATCTCAATGACAAGAGTAACCAGTACGTAATAGCTTATTCAAGGAAATGGAAAATAAAAAGCGAAGAGTGGAAGTCGCCAGAGCAAAAGGCCTTTACTGCTGGGTGCCATCAAGCCAGTTGTTGTTCTCCTTGAAGGCCTTCTCGACATCGCTGATGTCGTCGGCGCCGCCGAGGAAGATGGGGCAGCGGTCGTGGATGTGCTTGGGCACCAGGTCCAGCACACGGGTGGTTCCAGTGGTGGCCTTGCCGCCGGCCTGCTCGGTAATGTACGCCATGGGGAAGGACTCGTAGAGGATGCGCAGCTTGCCCTGGCGCGACTTGCGGTCGCTGGGGTAGGCGAAGACACCGCCGTACAGCAGCGTGCGGTGGACGTCGGCGACCATGGAGCCAATGTAGCGCGACGAGTACGGCTTGCGGCCGGATTCGGGCGTCGGGAACTTGAGCGACTCAAAGTAGGCCCTGGTGGCTGCGTCCCAGTACAGCGAGTTGCCCTCGTTCACCGAGTAGATCTTGCCGCGGTTCGGAATCTTAATCTATAGTGGCTTCCCACACCAGATAATCACATGCAGAAAAAAAACATGGGCAAGTTAGCATTGGCTGGAGAACTGGCACGCGATAAATGCCGGACAGTCACACTTTTGTTTTGCGGACAGCCGGAGCGGGGAGGGCAGACAGGTTCTGCTCCGCAACTTAGCAGGCAGACAGCAAGCGGGTACTTACATCAGGATGGGTCAGGATGAATTCGCCTAGGGCCGGGTCCAGCGTGAAGCCCTCGACCTGGTTGTTGCCAAAGGTCAGAATCAGGTTGCACGACGAGCCGTACATGCAGTACCCGCCGACAATGATCTCGGAGCCAGCGACCAGAATCTCGTCGACGGTAGCCTTGGGGCCCGACGGCAGGCGCCAGATACCAAAGATAGTGCCGACGTTGACACCGGCGTCAATGTTGCTGGAGCCGTCGAGCGGATCAAACGTAATGCAGTACTTGCCGCGCAGCTCCTCGGGCACCACCACGATATCGTCGACCTCCTCGGACACCATGAACGAGAACTTGCCCGACGCCTGCAGGGCGTTGACGAACATCTCGTTGGACAGCACGTCCAGCTTCTTCTGGTCCTCGCCCTGCACGTTCTGGTTGCCGGCCAGCCCGACCAGGTTGATAAGCCGGGCCTTGCGCACGCACGCCTCGACGAACTTGCAGCCCACCTGGACCGCGTTCATGGCGATGGACAGGTCGCCGGTCGCGTCCGGGTGCAGGCGCTGCTGCTCGAGCACGTAGCGCGTCAGAGTCATGATGTTGGTCTGCTTGTGGTCTGTCATGGTTTTTGCTGAATAAACGAACTAATGTGTGTGTGAAAAAAAAAAAAAAGAAGAGGTCGTGTGGGAGTTGGTTTTAGCAGAGAAGAGATTGGCCATGCCTGGGCTCTGGGCTATTTATACAGGGCCCTTGTCCTGAGCGTCTTCTGATAAAAAAAAACGCCCACCTGCCAAAATATCCTTGCGTGCGAAAGCATTTGTCAAGCGCGGCGCTAAAAACGCCCCTTCCACTGTGCGGTCACTGTCAAACGACCGGACAAGAAAACCGGCCCTAGTGCCTCCAAGAGATAAGAGGGCAGCAGCGCGGGAATAGGGGACGCAAGAGGACATGTTTCCGTATTGAGCGAGTTCCCCCCTTGACGCGGTTTTGCCCGAACAAGAAGCAGGGATTCACAGTCGCTTGCATTGTGCCCTCGAACCCGGGGCAGAGCTGGCCCGTGCACGGCTTGACTGCTTTCCGTAATTAAATAGTCTGATCTAAGCATTTACTGCAGGCTCTTTTTGATTGCGGGCGCTCGGGTGGCCAATCAAGGAGCGCCTGGGATTGTACAGCGGCCCGCCGATCATCGACGGCTTCGGGTGGTTCAGCGGCCCGCCGATGTCCTCGTCGAACTCGAACTTTTTGTAGTAGATCGTCTTCTTGACAAACCTGTCGTTGCCGATGTCTGCAAACCTGGCGACATTGCGGTATCCGCCAATGGCCGACTTGCGCTGCACGTCCTGGTATCCGCCGAGCCCGCCGTTTGGGTGCAGCTCGGGCTGGATTGTGATTTCGTCGCTGATGCGGTAGTGGTCGCCGCGGAGCGAGTCGTGGCGGCGGCCGTGGTACTGCGGCAGATGCAGTCTGGACTTTGAGGCCGAATGGCGCCGGGCCTGGCCCATGTCCAGGGACCGTGCGTACTGCGGGTCGTCGCTGCCCTTGGGCCGGGCCACGGAGATTGAAAGGCGGCGCGGACTACCTGCATACATGCTCACGGCCTCGTTGCGCGGAATGCCGCTGTCCCTCCGCTTCTCCTGCTTGTTCGCCTCCCCGACGATCTGGCCCAATCCCCCCATGTCTGAGCCCGGCGACTGGCTGATGCCCATCATTGAGAACGACCCGAGCACCGATGAGGCATCTGCATATGATGCCCTTCGGGCAGCGCCGGTCTTGCGCTTATAGTCTAGCGGAATTTTGCGCGACGTCTCCGGCTGCACTGGCGACTGCTTGGTCGGCGAATTCGCGACAATTGTGTAGTAGTTGTCGGGCAAGCCCGTGTTTGTCCAGCTAACCTCGCGGTACGGCTGCCGCTTAAGACTGTTGTGTCTCGGGTACGATACACTTGGATAGACAGCCTCCTGCAACTGTCTAGAACACGTTTACTTTTCGAGCACCTTTCCACGACGTATATTGAACGTATGAAATATGCTGTATGAAAGAAGGAAGGAGGAATCACCAGGTGAAAGGGCAGGTGCCCGTCTAAGTAGTGGCGCCGGTCGCCCAGAATAGTATGGCCGGCCATTGTGGCCTAAAGGTCTTGATCCATGGGTTCCTAAGATCATAAGGATTTGGAACCACAAAGACCATCGTGCCCGTAGGGCCTGTTCTTGAGGGACACTGTGGGCTGCGGCACGTCGGCCGTACGGTAGGAGTCCGAGGGCCGCCGGGGAGCTGGTATGCTGGATGAATTGGTCCAGTTGGCGGTGGAGGCTGGGGGTCGGGCGGTCTGGCGTTCCTTGGTGGTACCAGGAATGGCGATTGGGAGCGGGTGGTCCTTGGGCTGCATGGGTTCAGGGCTGGCTACCTGGACCTTGACTACCTCAACTTCCATATCCTCTTCCTCTTTCTTTGGGCGGTGGTAATGGCGGAAGATCGCGCTGATGCTAAAATGACGTGGCATACTGAAGGTACAGTATTGTTTTGAAGGGCGTAGGAATGAAACGAAACAAAAAAGAGGAACGAGCGGCTAGAGTGTGGATTCCAAGTTCAATAAAAAGTACCGAAGAACTCAGCATTTGTTTGCACATGTGCGTGAGGCCCACCATACCGGGCATATGCATAGGGCAGACAAAATGGTCGGTAGATGTGTTTGTTTGCGTGCTGGGCCGGTCAAAGGCCAACAAACACATTTCTAACACAGTTACGCAATGGGGCGGGGTGACACCAATCTGTCCCCGCATCATGCACGCCATTCCTCGACAATATCCGCAACGCTTTCGATCCGCTTGTCCTCGTCCGCATCCACAACCTTCAGGATCTTCTCCTTCTTTGGCTTCCTGTCGCCGTGCTGCTTGTCCTTTGGGCGGCTGATCCGCTCGACGCCCGGGTAGAGCACCGGCCTGCGTCTGCGTCCCGAGTCCTGCCACTGCCTTAGGATCTTCTTCTCCACCGCCACCATGGCCCGGTCGACCTCCAGGAACAGCTGGTCCCTGTCCATCCGCGCCAGATCCGCGTGCGCGAAAAACAAATAATCGCATCTCTTCATGCCCTTGTCCGGCAGCACCATCATCGCCGCCGTCCGCAGCAGCCGCGCAATGCGCCAGCGCGGATACACCTTCTTGAAGTTCTTTTTGGTCACCATGCAGGCCACGCGGTAGTCGCGGAACCGCAGCCCGTTGTGGTCGCGCGGGTGCTCGTCGGCGTTCCAGGGGCTGGCGTAGAGCGTGAAGCCGCAGGCGCTCTGCTTGGTTACATATTGGTGGTTGGTCAGCATGAACGGGAACATTGCCTCGCGGTCCAGGCCCTTGGGCTTGAAGTACTTGGATGCCGGAATCATCGGGTCGTTTGCGTAGGGGACGACGCCGGAGGAGAGCACGCCGGTGGTGCGGCCGGGCAGGGCAAATTGCATTTTAAACCTGTCCGAGATGCGAGACAAGGCGGGGCTGGTGCTGAGGGCACGGGAAAGGAGCCGTGCGGGCTGCTGGAGCATTCGCCGGAGAATCATTGAAGAAATGGGAAAGGGAGAAGAGACAGGATTGATGAGGTCATCGGGTATCCGCCGACTGTGCTTCGCAGAAATCTGCCTGGATTCGGAGACTGTTACGGGACCAGCGGGCGTGATTGGAAAAAAAATCCCTAATATAAACAACAACTCGCTTCTCTTCCCCTCTTCCCCCCCTCATTTCAACCACAGTAAACAATGCCCTTTGATTTCGCAGGCAAGTTGCGCATTCAGCGAATTCCCCAACCACCAAGGGAGGCAAAGCCCCTTGTGAACGTGCTCTAACACTCCCAGCCGACGCGTAGGCGACAGAGAAGCCCGGCGGAAAGCCCGCCAGCGCGGCAACCCCGCGTACCAGCGGTACCGACGCGAGGAGCAAGAGGAATTCGTCATCCGCGTGGAACCCACCGGCAAAGAGAACGCACAGCGCAGCGCCGACAATGGAGCGAAGGCGCCCACGCATGGTACGCCAATAGGTGCAGCGATACAGCGCCCGGCAGCAGCTATGCGCACTGTGACGCACAACAATCCAAAAACGCCAACGACGCCAAAAAGTCTGAAGAGACAAAGACCTGTTGCCAGCGATGCGCTGCCCATTCGACGAACGCCCCTAAAGAAGCCCCCCGTGCGCAGCCAGATAATGCCCGAGTGGGAGGGCCTGAGTATGGGCGACGAGGAGCCTGAGCAGCATATGGCTGAAGTCCGCCGGCCCAGAGTCAGCCATGGGCAGGCGAAGAAGTCAAAGCGGCGACCCCACCGGAAGCCAGCGATCGACACCGAGGGGCTTGATGGCGTGCTGGAGCAGGCGCCGCAGCGCATGACGCGCTCGCTGGCCAGGAAAATCGGCGTGCAGCACGGCAAGCGGCGGTACGGCGGAGGAGTCCAGGCATCGCAGATTCTGAGGCCCGTCAACGCAGCGGGCGTTTAGGTTGCGGGATCACTCCAACAACCGTCGGCAAGAACCACCGTCGGCATATTTATTTTGGGGGAGGAGAGACGGTGGTGCAAGCCATTGTCAGAGTCTAAAAACGCCAGTCCCATTGTGGGCGACCCCCAAGTGCCGTTTTAGCGCAATTTTCTCGCTGCCCGCCAAGGCCACACATGCTGAGTCTGAATAGTGGCCAGAGATGCCACACGTTTCTCGTATGTCTCCCTCCCCTCCCTGCCTTTCCGGCAATTGTGTCATCACCAGAAACACATAAAACCTGGTGTTGGTCATCCCTCCTTGTTCTCTATCTCTGAATATATTTTTCTCTTTTTGCTTGGCTCGATACATCTCGTACTCTATTCTCCACACTCGCTCTACTGCCACGATAGACACATATTCCAGCCACCATGATGCAGCGGGACTCGTTTCACACCAATAAAAGCCTACGCTCAGCCACCTCAGGCTCGGCAGACTCTGCGTATTCTACACACCAGTATATGCTCAACATTATAAACCAATTCTCCAACAGCGGCTCGCCGCAGGCCAGCACGGCAGCCGCGGCAGCCCCACCAAGCGAGTCGCTGGAGCAGATGCAGCACCAGCTCTACGAGCTGCAGTTCCAGGTCGACTACCTCTCGGAACAAAACAAGCGCCTGAGCCGCCACCACAATTCCACCGATTCGGCGCGCACCCTGGACGGGGACATGCCGACCGACTCTTTGGGCGACCTCGACAAGCCGCGCTTCGATTTCTGCAAGTGGTTCCGCACGCCGGGCCCGAAAACCGAAGTCCTGTACCGCCGGCACCTGAAATCGGTCACTGAGCCGATCACGTCGCCGCTGTTCCGCCTAACGAAGCCCGCCAGGGTTGCTGACCTGCTCGACACGTACCAGCAGCACGAGGCACCGATTGCCGAGTTTATGAGCAATCACAGGGCCGTTGACGTATTCCAGAAGTATGTTCTGGAGGATGCGCGCAGGCTGCCAACAGAGCCGCAGATCGCCGACTTGCACGACCAGACTACTGAGCATCTGCCGCCCCTGGCTGCTGAAGAGTACCGTAGCCATATCTCGCGGCTCTCTTACCTGATGCGCTCCCTGCATGCAATCGAGATTGCCGATCCAGTGTTCCTGAACGACCCGCGCACTCACCTCCTGCTTGACCTGGTGTTTGATCTCGAGCAGGCATTCACTCTGCCGCGCATCGACTTCTTGCGCTGCCATGCCAGCACCATCCGTGCCATGAACGAGACCAGCCCAGTGCATCGCCACAGCTCGCGGCTGAGGTTTGGCTATGCTGCCCGTGATTGGGACTACAGCGCCGTCCCCATGCGTCCAGAGTTTGAACATATACGACTCAGAGCCAACGCCATCCCACGCTACCCTGATGACCTGCGCCTGGACTCCATAGCAATGACGATCAATTCGGATCTTTTGCCGCAGCCACAGCCCCCGCTACCACTACTTGGGCGCCATGACAGCGGGCTTGACTCCACAACAGAGGACTGCACAGGAGGGATACGTCTGGCGACTGAGATTATCAGCGAGGATGATGAGACCTCGTCCGAAAGCAGCTTCGATCCGAGCGCTGCAAAGAACGCGAACCCATTGGCTCCGTTGACCGAGAAGCGCAGCATGGCCAGCGATTTTCCATCCAAGCTGCATCCTGTCGTCAGCCCCGAGTCAATGGAGGTTGGACCGCCTCTGCACTCAGACAAGCAGATGTATGGCCTGGGCCTGAGCAGTTTGAGTACCAGCCAGCTGATTCGCAGGTCACTATCGCATAACCAACAGCCGTCGCCACCTGGGTCAAGCAGGACATCAGGTTCAAGACTTAGACGAACACAGTAGAATTTTTGCATATCCAACATTAGTCTGTTCTAAACACATCATGGAAGGCTCTGTGAAGCCCATTAAGCTGCTGAGTCATCGTCATCATCGGGCATGAGTACAATTGCTTCCAAGTCATCCGAGTCGATGATTATATCGTCATATTGCTGGGCCAGGCTTGGCGGTGCATTTGAGGTGATCTGTTGTTGGGTAGCAGCGCTGCTCACTTGTCTGATAGGCACTTCTACGCGTTTTTCGCATCCGACTATGAGCAAAAGAAGCACTTGATGCGCATTAACGAACTGTTTCAGTTTAGCCCTCAGCTCAAGCATATATGAAGCTCCACTTACCGTGCCTCTCGGATGCTACCTCTACTATCACCGACGACCCTGGCGATGGATTACACAGCCCTGCCTGTGTTGCATAAAATGCTGACGCTGTACCGAAACTAATAGCCTCGTACTTGAGTAGGACACCGTCAGAAGTATGAGCGAGGACAGTTGCGCTGATCTCATCGTTGCCATGCCGATTATCAGTGCCTGCTACCAATCGTTGCCGGTACTCGCAACCAACCTCGATCGTAAACACAACAGTGTCCGCATCTATCCAGTCTAAGAAGACCTTGGCAGAAAACGACGGTATACTTGCCGCTGCAGACAGCACCTTGGTGCCAAACGGGGGATTCCTTGTTAGCAGATACTCAATCTGCCAAGCGTTTGTTGACAGCAGACTTGTGACAGACTGGATATTGTTGCTCCACATTATCTCTGCATAGCGGGGTCCGACTCCATCAAGCTGCTGTAGTACTGCTGAGCAGCTCTCGAAGCATCGTGCCGAAATCTCGCGCGCACTACGAAGGGATGCTGTTGTAGTAGCCATATGTACACCGGAGGATATTGGTATACTGAAAAATATATGCTTCGTGCTTACATTCTCACTCCCATGAATGATCCCATCTCTGTCCCGCTTGTCTGCATAATAGTCACGGATGCACTTTGCTGGGCCAAGAGCCATCTGGATGGCTCTGCTCATATCACGAGATAGCCCGGCCGAGTACTTGGTATACGGGATATCCTTGCCCAGTAGCCGATACTATGCATCCCAAACACGAGGTCAATATCCGGTGTATACTTGTCACATACGCCATACGTACAGTTTTCCAATTCATACCTGCAGTAGAACAAGGACTTTGTCTCTGATATCCTGGATGCGTCCCTTTAGCCTAAGTGGGAGCCCAGGTGCCTTGCTCATCCCGTTGAGTACGCCTTTCTGCCCAGCTGTGATCTTGAGGTCATCGAATACATCACTACCGCATATTCCTTCAAACTACAAACACCTATTTTGGTTATCTGTAGGCTCATTTTATTGCGCAATGCTTTGCTCTCATCACTTACAATTTGCTGGTAGCTGGGCTCCTCTGGCATTGCCTCTAGCATCTTCGCCATAGCTATTGGGTTGACTCGGTACTTTGCAACACACTTTCCGATATCTAGAAGCAGTTTGTGAGCAAAATGGATATGTAGGAGTGCTACTACTCGCCTTGCCTCTTACCTGTCAGGCCGATCCCACCGTCAACTTCTGTTAGCAAATTTGTGCGCGTAAGCGCTGAGATTTCTTGTTTGACAATCCCTACATGTTTGTATATTAGGAATGCTATACCAGCGCAACAGTGTAGTCGCAGGTAGATACTTACCATGTATAGCTCCTTCTGGGAATTTCTTTCGTATGCGCACAGCAAAGAATGTCTTTGACAGCCTAGACATATAGTAAGCAATATATACTGAGTCCACTCTTACAATACGATATATGTCACTTACCACTCAACAATATCAGATGCCGTCTTGAAAACCTGTTTGTCGCAGTTGCAGAGAATTACTTCTGCTAGCTTGCTACGAAGACTATTTAAGAGTCCTGGTTAGTACTTGCTATAATTTTGCAGAACTGTCGGATGCGCAGAATACTTGCCAACTTACTTGCTCTCAAGAACCTCCTGGCCAGTCACCAAATCTCGATATTTATCGACATTGAAGCTCTCGGTAAGAATGATCGCTTTGCCACTGTTCCCAAACTGAGGCCGCCCCGCACGGCCAATAAACTGGAGTATCTCTGACGCACTGTATTCAACGTTTCCAGCGTCAACATAACCTAATATGACCAGATGTTAAGATACCTATGATATTCTTGAAACTAAATTGTCCCTTTTTGCTTACCTTTTGTCCCTTTGACAATGACCATGTACGCTGGCAAATTAATTCCGATTCCAAGCGTGGATGTTGAACCTACACCAACATCATCGATGTTAGCTGAGACTAAACAGCGATCAGAGAGCAAATGCGGTGTGCTACTTACAGAGAATATGGATCGATCCGCTCTTGAATAGTTGCTCAGAGTCTGGCTCGATCGCTAGCAGAGAGACCAGCATGATGGAATGCAATGCCATGCGGTACAATATCTATACTAGGTGATTAGTAATAGTCATAACAACTTTGCATATCGTAGAAAACTGCACCTACCGTTGAGGATCTGGTTGCCTGAATCGAGTGGTCAAGTGTATCGGCTGGATGCTGGTTTTGCAGCATGTGCTTGTTGCGGACAAGGTAGCGACAGGTCTCTTGAGCAGACCCACGAGTGTAGCAAAATATCAAGGTTGGTCGACCGCCACCATGCTTATTGACAAGGCCAGGTATCTTGAAATCGAGACTTACGCTGAAACCTGTAGTACGACACGTCTGGTTTGAACCCCAGCACGACCCGCTCCAGGGGTGCAGATCGGTATTTCTCACCAAATACAAGCGTTTGCGCGGGTACTCCCCTGCTTTTCTGCCAGCCATTCGGCAACATCACCTATATTACCCACTGTAGCTGATACAGCGATGGTTCGGAAACCAGGGTTCGCGTGTCGCAACAGTGCAAACAGCTATTTCAAGGGATGCGACCCCGATTGCCTCCGACAGTGTGGCATTCATCTATGAGAAGCCAGCTTGAACGAGCTCAGAAATTGGGACTTGGGGCTGATGCTACGTGCGAGCGATATCCACTTTTCAGGGGTAGCACACCAAATGTTGTATGCGTCTGACGCACGTACTGATGAACTGAACGAGTCCTCATCCGAAATCGTCGCCACCGCCAACCAGACTTATACTCTTCAATCCGCTAACCTGAAACCGCTTGGTCCACTCGCTGGATCTCTCCATACATAGCGCCCGCAACGGCGCCAGGTATAGGACCTTGTCTATGGATTTGGAGGATTGGCTGCCAAAGAGCCGTGCAACAGCGATCTCCATGAGGAGCGTCTTGCCCTGATGCGGTCGGCGCACTGACAACCAGGATTGATATCCGAGTTGAATATATGCGCAAAGCATTCAGACTGCATGCGATTAAAGTGCGTGAATTCTGCATATGCTACCGCAAACTTGGCTGGCAGCGCAGTTACTGGAATCTGGCCTGGCCACGCAGGTACCCCGGATGGCGGTGATCCGGTCTTGGGATTGCTTCAGAGTGATATTTCTGGGGGCTTCAATAGGATGAAGGCAGGGCTTTGCAGGCAAACCGGCACTCAGGCGTTCTACCTTTGATCGTTTGAGGGTGATTGCCATCGGAGGCTGAGCAGACACAGCTGGTCGCTTCTTCTGGAAGTAGGGGCTAGTGGCAGCAGATATAGCCTTGTCCTGTGGCCAGTGCACCGACCGATGGTTGCTGCCATCACTAGTTGTGCTGCTGATTCCAGAAAAGAATGTGAGCACGTCGTCGAATCCGTCTGCGCACAGGTCGCTATCATCCGTGCCGTGCATTGTGCGAATATGTTTTAGAGCGTATATTCAAAGGAGAGAAGAAAAGCACAAAATAGTGGCAAGCCACAGACGCATACACGTATCTAGTCGTCGAGCGAATCCTGCTTGACTCGGCGAAGGTTCAATGCACCTGCAATACCTGTGGTCCACGCAAGCCCGGCGAGTACAGGGCGACTAGCTCCAGCCAGCGATAGCAACCCGTTCACGGCCTCAAGGCGCCTCCTCCGATACCAGATGGCCCACGCCGTTGCTCCAAATAATGCTACTGTTGCTGTGTTTTTTACCCACAGCTTTGTCGGCTCGTACTCGACGTCCATCGTTTTCGGGTTGACCCGCACGGCGATGCGCGGTGCCTCTGTGATCCCGGCCAGGGCATGGTTCATATACCGAATAAACGGGCTGACAGTGATGTAGTCAGCTTCATTGTTCGCTTCAGCTTTCGGTTCTGCAGGCATAGCGGGTGCTTTTTAAGGAGAGAGAAGGGGTTAACAAAATTGTGTCGTTATCTCCACCAGCTGTGGCCAGTGGTTGGGTGGTGTGGACGGGGAATGATTGCAATAATCACTTATGGCCGTCGTAAATTTCTGCGGCATGGACAGCTGGGCACTGTCCGCCCACTCCATTCCTGACAAGTGTGGAACACATACTCGCCAGACCATTCTGATGTCTATGTGCCTGTCAAGGTTTTCATTGGAAGAGGCTACAGGGTAAGACCTCTAGCTGGAGGCGTTTCGACTAAGCTTTCTCATATACCATTCTGTCAAGGTGTTCGCTTGAGTAAGCGGAACACACTCATACGTAGAGCGGGTTAAATCCATACCATCCTCTATGACTTGCTTGTGACGAATATACGCTGCAATAACCTCAGGGCTGCGGTTCACTGCCTCTTCCCTTCTTTCCATTCCTATTTCCTGACCAAGTTTATCCGTGGCAGTCCTACGAGCGGCAAAGTATCCTAGCATTGTTCTCAGTGACATATTAGACAGACGTCTGAGACCTGCAAGCTCATCAAGTAGTCTTGCTGACACATGCGGTGCAAGGTTGAGTGACTGCACAAGACCAATTTCCTCCTGAGTATTGGTTTGTTCAGACTGTGCACTGGAGCTCGGGGCTGACATGGTGGTTTATAGAAAAGGATTGAGGATGGTTACTAGGTGTGAGCATGGCTGCAAACATTTCCATTAGCATATTGCTAGTTAAATAGCCTCGTGAGTTGATGACGCTCGTCATGCTTCCTTGTTCAAAACTCAACGATGCGCGTTCATTATTAGTCTGGAGACAGCAAAAGAAAGGACTTGTGAATGAAAATGGTACCTGGAGAAAAGGCTGCTAATGTGCTCAGTGAGGGACACTAAAAGTTTGCCGTTTCCAGGGGGTTATAGGGGTTGGCATTGGTAAGGAGCTTGAGCCAAAACACTTTGCTCTCCATCTCAGACCCGGCAGGGGATGATTTGTGAATGAAGCTGACGCATCCAGCTACTTTCTTGATGCAGTCCTTTTGGTCCTGACCGCTTGCATTCATAGCTGGGGCTCTCTTCAATTAGCCCACACTCATTTGCACCAGCCATGCATGACAGCTCATATTCCCTCATAATGAAGGCGAACCTGCTAATAGTATGGTTGGTTATAATGTGGTTCAGGATCTAGGAAATGTCGAATATGCTCCTGATCACAGCTCTATTGCTTGTAATAGACAGCTGGATTTGACTGGTCTGCTCGTGCCCGCGCAATTTCGGGCAGCAGCAGCAGCGGCCTAGTACTCACGCTATGTTTTGGTCGATGTTTGAGTCCCCAGTGTGGCTTATTGAAAGTCAACATCTAATCAAATCTAAATTACAGATCATAGTTCTCATCTAGAGGCAGTCTAAGACACATGCTAGTGCCTCACAGGTAGAGCCTCAATACATTCTTCCATGTCAATGATGTCGCTGTGGTTCCACGGGGAAAACTCATCGCTTGCAATGTAGTCAAAGTAGTCATAAAGGAACCACTTTATGCAGGCGATCTTGCTGGCTGGCAATAGGTAGCACAGCTCCTCGAACTTTCGCCTAATAGTGACTACATACCATTCTAGAGCCCTGCGATACGCGGCTACAGCTGGGTCGGCCAATATTCTGCTGTACAGGGTATGTCGGTCCTGGGTGTGGGCATTTTCCTTTTGCATCTTCCACGAGATGAGCGACTTGTACGTAACCGCCGTCCCATGGCCCTCTTTCAGCATCGATGTCATGTATTCCACCCTTGGTTTAATTGTGGCTACGTCGCTATCTGTAAATTGGAAGAACGCCATCCTGTATATTGGGTTCGCGTCGAGCATCACCATTGAAACTACGCAGCGAAAAATCATGAAAATGAAGAGGGGAAGTGTTGTGTGGAGAAGAAATGAGTGTGGCTGAATGATGGGCAAAAAGCCCCTTTAATCGGTCTGGCCAAAGCAGGGTGTGGCGTATGTTATTAGGAACAAGCATTTGCTATGGACTAGCGCTGTACCGTGAATCAGTAAACCCTGGTATAGATTCTTCGTCAAGGATATGTGGAGATATAGCTAGCCTATTATCAGGAGCTGACTTTCAGTTCTTCCACTCCGCAGCAGGCCACACCAATATGCCTATATTTTTGGACTGCTATCCGATGCTGCGCTGGAAAGAGCGTGTCGGCTTAGGCAGTTCTTATTGATGGCACCTAATGCTTCTTTGTATGGCATAATCGCTCTTGAAGTCAACATTATTGTATGTATATTCCAATTTCCTTGTGACCGTTGATTGACTAAATTCCTCACGTATAGGGAACATGCTTACGCTTTCTCAGAAAATGGTCAAAGTTGTATAAGGTTTAGAGCCACCACACTGCCACAACGAGGCTTTTATAGTCAGGTTGATCTGAAATGACCTCAACGTCGTAGGTAAGCCGAGTGGCGACTCTACGCTTTCATCAAATAGCCAAGGCATCGCGTTACGTGGTTGCATTATGGTACTACCTGCCCCACGGGAATGACATGAAATCCCTGTACGCAACCATGAAGCAATACTGTCAGCATCCAACTCACTGCTGAGATCGCGGCAGTAGCGTTCCCCTCAAACGGCAGAGTTCCTAGCACAAATTGCTGATGTTGGCCAAAGTTGCCTTATAGGGCTCAAGTGCATCGGACCTGACCTTGTACATCAACTCCCACCTGTACGCCTCGATCACAGTATGTGAAAGGTGGGCAGACCTAGCTGACTCTGAATTTTGCTGGGATCCACACGAGCGGCTTCTGCCAAATCTAATTCTATATTAATATCTAGCTTTATATACCGGCCATTATCTATAGTTCTTACAGCATGTGAAGGTCGATGATGGCGAGGCATCGCTACTAGATGATGCGCATAAACCAGTTCATCTTGGCATTGCCATTGGCTTTTTATACCCGAATTTGTAATACCTATTTACCTCTCATCCCTAATAGCAGCAAATGGTTTCGATGAGGAATGTGGTGTGTATTATAATAATTGTGTATGTGTTGATTATCTTTCCGGCTTATGCTGGCAGATATGATAAATATATTGTGTCTTCTTGTAACGGCAGTCTGATGTGGTCAATATCACATCCATCAGTGTTTTGACAAGAAGTGTAGCGGCGGAACCGAAACAGTTGTTGGTTGGGGCATTCTCACGCAGATATTATGATAGTGGTCAATACCCTCATCATCGCGTAAACATTGTCGATATATCCAAGAGGTATTTTCACTCAGTCAGATATCTACCTTCCAAAGGTTCTGCAAATATCTAGTCTGTGGCTGGGGACGAGGTCACCTCAGCAGCTGATGGTGTCATGATGAATATTTTCACAGTATAAGCAACTCCAAACATATTGCTCAAGGATGGTATGTGGCTGAGCCATGTTGTGTTCCCAAGTAGTAATCAAATTAGATATGTAGGCTCATATGTTGACATAGTAGACGACGAATAGCTTCCTATAAGTCTTTCTCTGCTTATATATCGGTATTCTGAATGGCGCGGCGGCTGAGTTTGCCAGTGCAATATGAGCGCTATTGAAATCACGGTGAGTAGTAGCCATGTCAACATCTCTTACATTCACTGTCTCGATGGTTGATTTCATATCTATTTGGGTGAACAGGAATCGCAAAAAAGCTACTCGTCCAGAGTGAGTTAGAGCTCCATCGAGTCAGAATCAGCAGGAGCCGCAGTGCTGCTTGTGGGCAGGGGGGCCGGGATCTGGGTCTTCAGCCTCGGCAGCTCCGGCAGCTTCGACATCTCGTAGTCCATAGCCAAGATCTTTCCAATCTCCGACTCGGGCGGGATCTCAATCGCCGACCGGACATTGGGCATAGGCAGCTGGGGCGTCAGACGAATGGGGCCGGTGTAGTGGCACATGACAGTGAGCTTGAACTGGGCAACAAACGTATCGCCGTGGGTCTTATCGACGGTGACAGTGAACGGGACAAGCAGGCGCGCCCTCAGACATTCGTTAATGCCAGCCTTCAGGGCCGGATTGGCACTGGTAACATTGCGCATCAGGAACGGGAACACCGAGTACTGCTTGCAGACCTCGGAGAACAGTGCACGCGACGTGCGCAGCTTGAGGTTGTACATCTGGTTGACGTCGCGCTGGAACACGGTCGGATCAATATCGGCGCTGCGTGCCTTGCCGGAACCCGAGCTCAGCGTGCAGTCGATGGTGTAGATTTCGCCGGTCTCAAAAGTCAGCTCGGGCACCAGCAGGTCCGGGTCAAAGCGGTTGCCGAATGAGTTCTTGCCGTTCATCACGAACCGGTCCACCTGGCATGTGAACGTCTCCTCCGCCACATTGCAGTTGAAGCCGCCAGCCACCAGTCCGATCGCCTTGACCACATTGCGCGCCGTCTGCCCCGGCCGGATCATCCGCGCCGCCACCTCGCCTGCGTAGTATGCGGCGCTGATTGCGTCCGCCCGGCGGTCGGTGATAGTCATGGAGGGCGAGTTTGTCGCCACCAGTGTGTGCGCGGCCGAGGCTATATATCCGTCGATGTGCGCTGAGATGTCGATCTTGACCACGTCGCCGTCGCGAAGAATGTAGTCAGATTCGGGAGACGGCGAAAAGTTCTGGATGATGTTGTTCACAGAGATAGTTGTCGGGAAGGCCACGCCGCGCTCAATTTCGCGCTCCTTGCGGAACACCGAGGATGACAGCGCTGTTACGAGTGAGTCGCTATAGGCACACAGAGCCGCGACCGATACGCCCGGGGCGGCAGCGCTGATCACCTGCTTCAGGACCTGGCCGACGATGGCCGACGAGGTCTGGTACCGTGCAATGCTGTTGTCTGCGCTCATCGTTTGCTGCCGTCGTTTTATTTTGTGATATATGGGGAGGAAGAGGTGCTGAACTGAAGAAAGATCTGGCAATGGAAAAAAAAAGTGAAAAGAGCGTTTTTCATGGCAAATCCAATGATTTGATCAGCAATCACATCTGGAAAAATATGCGTCCGGATTGCTGGGGGCTGCACTTTCAGGCCAGCAGCGCTTCTCTATTCCTTCCCGCACCTCTAAACCTGGAATAATTTCATACAGAATGGACGACAGCGCAGAGCGGCCAAAGTCGCTTCGGTTCAAGGAGCCGGTGATTGACATTGCGTTCAGCCCAACAGACAGCCTGGTGGCAAGCTCGCTGATCACTGGGCATGTCTTCATCCACCACTACGCGGTCGCAGGCAACGAGCGCAAGTACCGGCAGCGGATCCACAAAAAGTCGTGCCGTTCCGTGTGCTTCAGCGGTGACGGCGCGTCGTTGTATACGGCATCCAGGGACCGGTCATGGCAGACGCTCGATGTGGCGACGGGGATGGAGCGCATGCGCATTGAGGCAGCGCACGAGAAGCCGCTGAACCTGGTCAAGCACGTGAACGAGCAGATAGTGGCGACCGGTGACGAGTCGGGGGTGGTGAAGCTGTGGGATGTGCGGCAGAACAAGGCCGCGTTCATACACAAGGAGCACGTGGACTACATCTCCGACATGGTGTTCAACGAGGCCAAGCGGCATCTGCTGGTGACCAGCGGTGATGGGTGTCTGTCGGTGTACGATACGCGCAAGGCGAAGCCGTTTATGGTGTCTGATAACCAGGAGGACGAGCTGCTGTCGGTGGCGGTGATGAAGGAGGGCAAGAAGGTGGTGGTCGGCGAGACCGACGGCGTGCTGGGGATTTTCACCTATGGGCAGTTCAGCGATGTCACGGATCGGTTCCCGGGCCATCCGCAGAGCATTGATTCGATCTGCAAGCTCACTGAGGATCTGTGCGTGACGGGGTCCAGCGACGGGCTGCTGCGAATCGTCGAGCTCTTCCCACACAAGCTCGTGGGTGTTGCAGGCGATCACGAGTCGCTGCCAGTGGAGAAGGTGGTGTTGAGCTACGATAGGCAGTGGCTGGCATCAAGCTCGCACGACCAGTCGGTGCATTTCTGGGACATTGGCTATATCTTCAACGAGGACGGCGAGGATGAGGACCGGGAAGACCGGGAGGACCGGGAGGATCAGGAAGAGGAGCTGGATGCGCAGGCCATGGCGATCCGGATCACAAAGGAGATCGAGGACGAGGAGGACGAGGTGGATGTGGTTGGCAACGATACAGCATCGGAAATTGTTGATATCGTTGGTATTGATGACGATGAGGATGACGACGATGATGAAGACGAGGAGGTGGAGGTGGAGGAGACGAAGGCCGAGGGGGACATGGAACAGAAAGAGGAGGAAGAGAGCGAGAATGAAGGCGACGACGGGTGGGGCAGCTGGGGCGATTCTGACTCTGACTCGGGCGACACGAAGCGCAAGGTCAGCAAGCGCGACAAGGTCAAGGCCAAGCGCAAGGCTAAGCGCGAGCTGGCGCAGCCCGAGGCAAAGAAGAACAAGAAGCCCAGCAAGTCGGCCGCATTCTTTGCGGATCTGTAGCGGGAGACCCGGGCGGGCGGGTTCCAGGCCAAGCGGAGGGGGTTGATTTTCGAGTGCCACGGACACTTTCCCCTCGTTTTGCGTAATTTGGCTCTGCCCCACCACAGCTCCCTTTTCACGATCTCTTTCTCTTTCCTGCTCTCCAAACCTTAGACATTTATTTTTCCATACTCGCTTTTGTACCCCCCTCTATTTTCAATTCAAAACCCTTTCCGAATGGGACCAAAACGTATCACATACCTGTATGACGATGAGGTGGGCAACTACAACTACGGATACGACCACTGCATGAAGCCGTTCCGGATCCGCATGGCGCACAGCATCATCACGTCGTATGGGCTGGACAAAAAGATGAACATGCGGCGGCCGCCGCGGGCGACGGCGGAGCAGATGACGCGGTTCCATACCGACGACTACATCACGTATCTGCGGCTGGTGTCGCCGGAGCTGGCAGAGCTGATGCCGACGTACAACGAGCGATTTCTGCCGCCGATGGACTGCCCGCCGTTCGACGGGCTGTACGAGTTCTGTTCGATCTCGGCGGGCGGGTCGATCGCGGGCGCAAAGAGCATCAACCAGGGCGAGTCGGACATAGTGATCAACTGGGCGGGCGGGCTGCATCATGCCAAGAAGGGTGAGGCGTCCGGGTTCTGCTACGTCAACGACATTGTGCTGGCGATCCTGGAGCTACTGCGATATCACCAGCGCGTGGTGTATCTGGATATTGATGTGCATCACGGCGATGGCGTCGAGGAGGCGTTCTATACAACTGACCGCGTCATGTCGGTGAGCTTCCACCAGTTTGGCAACTTCTTCCCCGGCACCGGCGACATCAAGGACGTCGGGGTGGAGCGCGGCAAGTACTATGCGGTGAATGTGCCGCTGCGCGAAGGAATCGACGACGAGACATACGCTTTTGTGTTCCAGCGTGTCATGCGCAATGTCATGGAGACGTACCGGCCCGGCGCAGTGGTGATGCAGTGCGGCACCGACTCGCTGTCGGGCGACCGGCTCGGGTGCTTCAACCTCAGCATGAAGGGCCATGCCGCCTGCGTTGAATTCATGAAGTCGTTTGGCGTGCCGCTGTTCTGTGTGGGCGGCGGCGGCTACACGATCCGCAATGTCGCGCGCACGTGGGCGTACGAGACCTCGGTGCTGGTGGGCGAAAAGGTCAGCCCGGTGCTGCCCTACAACGACTACTATGAGTTCTATGGACCCGACTACTCGCTAGACGTGCCTGCCAACAACATGGTCAACCATAATACGCGCGAGCAGCTGGAGAAAATCGTGGCCGATATCCACGACCACCTGCGGCATGTGCCGCACGCCCCGTCGGTGCAGATGCACGAGGTGCCCAGGGACTGGCCGTCGGATAGCGAGGAGGAGAGCGACGGTGATATGGCGCTGGCAGAGAAGCGGCGCCAGCAGGCTGCCAGCAGGGAGGCCGCTGGCACACACAGGAGCAAGCGCGTCAGGGCCCGCCGCACCCGCCCGGCCGAGGACGAGCCCTTGATCCGGCGCGAGCAGCAGCGGGCCGAGGACGACTCGGGGAGCAACTACAGCGAGAGAGATTAAATGGGCTCTGGCACTGCTGCTGGCTTGGCCTGTGCTCGTTGCAACGCAGCCAAGCGAGAGCCCATTCCCTCCCACCCTTCATCGCTGCTGATTTTTCCTCCCACTGCTTGTGATCTAAATATCAGCGAGTTCTGTGTGGGCTTACAAATAATGCTAGGCTGGAGTGTGGGTTGCACGCGTCAATTTTGTTTTTTCTCTTTGCTCAGCCTTTTTTTATTATATACAGTTTTTCTCTAAATCCAGATTCCACAATGGAGGCCGAGTACTACGACGACGAACTCCCCTACGAGTACGACGAGTACGATGAGGAAATCACGCAGGAAGACTGCTGGGCCGTAATTACCCGGTACTTTGACGAGAACGGGCTGGTGCGCCAGCAGATTGCGTCGTTCAATGAGTTCATTGAAAACACGCTGCAGGAAATCGTCGACGAGAACCGCACGCTGGTGCTGCAGACGTCGATCCAGGGCAAGCAGCGGCAGGAGGTGTTCAAGCGCTTCCGCATAGAGTTTGGCCAAGTATATCTGTCACAGCCAGCGTTTACGGAGAAGGACGGAAGCTCAGCGGCTTTGCATCCGCAGGAGGCGCGGCTGCGCAACCTGACATACGCGGCGCCGCTGCTGGTGGATATCTGCCAGGAGACGTCGGTGGCTGACACGCTGAACCCGCGCAACGCCAACATCACGTCGGTGGCCGACATGGAGATGGATATTCTGAACCGCGACTGTCAGGTGGACGAGGACGGCCGGCTGTTTGGCGGGCGCAAGGTGTTTATCGGCAAGATCCCGATCATGCTGCGGTCAAACTTTTGTTTGCTGCATGGGCTCAGCGACCACGACCTGCACCAGCTGGGCGAGTGCCCGTATGACCAGGGCGGCTACTTTGTGATCAACGGCTCGGAGAAGGTGCTGATTGCACAGGAGCGCATTGCCACCAACACGGTGTTTGTGTTCAAGAAGAACCTGCCGTACCCGCACTATACGGCGGAGATCCGCAGTAGTGCCGAGCGCGTGTCGAAGCAGGCAAGCCCGCTGTTCCTGAAGATGTCCAACAAGGGCGTCGAGAAGGGCTCGGGCCACACCATCCAGACCACGATCCCGTATATCCGCTCTGACATTCCGGCCGTGGTGGTGTTCCGTGCGCTGGGCATGGTGGCTGCCAAGGACATCCTGGAGCACATTGCCTACGATGTCAACGACGCGCAGATGATGGAGATGCTGAAGCCGTCGGTCGAGGAGGCCTTTGTGATCCAGGACCGCGACGTGGCGCTCGACTTTATCGGCAAGCGTGGAACCACTGTCGGTGTCAGCCGCGACAAGCGTGTGCGGTATGCAACAGAGATTCTGCAGAAAGAGTTTCTGCCCCATGTCGGCACGCAGGCGCACAATGAGACGGTCAAGGCGTACTTCTTTGGCTACATGATCCACCGGCTGCTTCTGTGTGCGCTGGAGCGGCGAGAGCCCGACGACCGTGACCACTACGGAAAGAAGCGCATGGACCTGGCCGGACCCCTGCTGTCGATGCTGTTCCGCAACCTGTTCCGCAAGCTCACCAAGGACGTGACGCGGTACCTGCAGAAGTGCATTGACTCAAACCGCGACTTCAACCTGACCATTGCCGTCAAGTCCAACACTATCTCAACCGGTCTCAAATACTCGCTGGCCACCGGAAACTGGGGCGACCAGAAGAAGGCCATGCAGGCGCGCGCTGGTGTGTCGCAGGTGCTGAACCGCTACACGTTTGCGTCGACGCTGTCGCATCTGCGTCGCTGCAACACGCCCATCGGCCGCGACGGCAAGATCGCCAAGCCGCGCCAGCTGCACAACACGCACTGGGGCCTGGTGTGCCCGGCCGAGACGCCCGAGGGCCAGGCGTGCGGACTGGTCAAGAATCTGGCACTGATGGCCCACATCACTGTCGGCTCTGACTCCAAGCCTGTCAACCTGTTGCTGGAGGAATGGGGCATGGAGAACCTGACCGAGGTGCAGGCCTCGAGCATCCTCAATGCCACCCGCGTGTTCCTCAACGGCATGTGGGTCGGCATCCACCGCGAGCCCGAGGACCTGGTTCGCCCCTTGCTGGCTGCGCGCCGCAACCTCGACATGTCGTTTGAGGTGTCGATTGTGCGCGATGTGCGTGAGAAGGAGCTCCGCATCTACACCGACGCTGGCCGCGTATGCCGTCCCTTGCTTGTGGTCGACAACCTGCAGCTGCTGCTGAAGAAGACGCATATCCAGCAGATCGAGGCCACGGATGTGCAGGAGGAGAACGCCTACAAGTGGCACGACCTGCTGGCGGACGGCGTCATCGAGTACCTGGACGCCGAGGAGGAGGAGACGGCCATGATCTGCATGACGCCGCAGGAGCTGGGCGAGAGCCGGCTCTTTTTGCAGAAGGGAATCGAGCCGATGCAGGAGAGCGACCTGGCGTCCCGCGTGCGCTCTCGGCGTAACATCCACATCAAGACGTGGACGCACTGCGAGATCCACCCGTCGATGATTCTGGGTATTTGCGCGTCGATCGTGCCGTTCCCCGACCACAACCAGTCGCCGCGTAACACGTACCAGTCGGCCATGGGCAAGCAGGCCATGGGCATCATGCTCACCAACTACCAGCTGCGCATGGACACGCTGGCCAACATCCTGTACTACCCGCAGAAGCCGCTGGCCACCACGCGCTCGATGGAGTACCTCAAGTTCCGTGAGCTGCCGGCCGGCCAGAACGCGGTTGTTGGAATCATGTGCTATGGCGGTTACAACCAGGAGGACTCTGTCATCATGAACCAGTCGTCGATTGACCGCGGCCTGTTCCGCTCGCTGTACTTCCGCACGTACCAGGACGAGGAGGACAAGCAGGGCATGTCGCAGATGGGCACGTTCGAGAAGCCTACGCGCGACACCACGCTGCGCCTGAAGCACGGCACCTACGAGAAGCTGGAGGAGGACGGGCTGATTGCGCCTGGCACGCGGGTGACCGGCGACGACATCATCATTGGCAAGACGACTGCGATCCCGGCCGACTCGCTGGAGCTGGGCCAGCGCACAAAGAACCACACCAAGCTGGATGCATCCAAGCCGCTGCGGTCGACCGAGCACGGAATCATCGACCAGGTCATGATCACGACCAACTCGGAGGCATACAAGTTCGTCAAGGTGCGCATCCGCTCGACGCGTATCCCGCAGATGGGCGACAAGTTTGCGTCGCGACACGGCCAGAAGGGCACTATTGGCATCACGTACCGCACCGAGGACATGCCGTTCTCGGCCGAGGGCGTGGTGCCCGACATCATCATCAACCCGCACGCCATTCCGTCGCGTATGACCATCGGGCATCTGGTCGAGTGCCTTTTGTCGAAGCTGTCGACGCTGCTCGGGTCCGAGGGCGACGCGACGCCCTTCACCGACGTCACTGTCGAGGCGATTTCGCGCGAGCTCCTGGAGCACGGCTACCAGCCCCGCGGCTTCGAGGTCATGTACAACGGCCACACCGGCAAGAAGCTGGCCGCCCAGGTCTTTTTGGGTCCCACGTACTACCAGCGCCTGAAGCACATGGTCGACGACAAGATCCACTCGCGTGCCCGTGGCCCCGTGCAGATCCTGACCCGCCAGCCCGTCGAGGGTCGCTCGCGTGACGGTGGCCTGCGTTTCGGTGAGATGGAGCGCGATGTCATGATTGCCCACGGCGTGGCTCAGTTCCTGAAGGAGCGGCTGTTTGATGCCTCCGATGCCTACAGAGTGCATGTCTGCGACAGGTGCGGCCTGATGGCTGTCGCCAGCCTGAAGAAGAACCAGTTCAAGTGCACAGCCTGCAGCAACAGCACGCAGATCTCGCAGGTCCACATCCCGTATGCCTGCAAGCTGCTGTTCCAGGAGCTCATGGCAATGAACATTGCCCCGCGCCTGATGGTCACGGCACAAAACTAAACAAAAAGTTTCTATATAAAAATTTGACGTACTCAATATTGCCCCGCAAACAACACAACATGCAATCTACTTGGATCCAGCAACAAACTCGCGCTCCAGCTCGCCCACGGCCTGCTTGAACTCGCCCACCTCCTCCCAGCAATCCAGCGTCCGTCCGCCCTTCTCCCGCAGGCACGCCGCCACCGCATCGCGCTTGGCCAGCGCGCTCTGGAACGTCGGCGACTTCTCTCCCCGCCGCTCCCCCAGCAGTGCCGTCGTATCGCGGATCTCATTCAACAGCTCCGCCGTGCTCGCCTGCCGCTCCTTCGCCTGCATTGCCGCCAGCTGCGTCTGCTCCAGAATCCGCGCCAGCTCCTGCGCTACCCCTTGCTCCACCTTATCTGCGATCTCCTTCTCCGACAGCTGCACACCCGAGGACTTGGTCGGCGCCGCTGGCTGCTTCTTCTTCGTCTGCGCTTCGCGTACCAGCTTCTCGTTCAGTCCCGGCGAAAACTACACGGATGGTATTTTAGAAGGACCGGTCTGTATTGGCTGCGTCAAGGGGGAGTTGTACTTACGCCAATGGGGACCTCGTTCGCGTAGATAACTACGGGCTCCTGCTTGGAATTTGACGCGCCCATTTTACAAAACCGTGACTGTGAATTGGAAATAAAAAAGTATGAAATCGAATTAGAGAGACGAGGGGAAGGTGAATTGGAGCTCGCTGCAATTGGGTCCAGTTCTAGTGGGCTGGCTTTTTTCTTTTGCTTCTGAGCCGCTTCATGTTAGACCAGGCAGCTTTTTGGAGACACACAGAGATAGCAGAGGAATTAATCTGCAAGTGATCGATCAGAGCTGATTAGCATTTTCTGGAGACCGTCTATAGACTTTACCGATCGTCGTACCAGGCTATCACGGCAGCTGTGGAGGCTATTTGCAAAGACACGCTTTTGCAGTCTGCTTTACACATACAAATAGCTGGCATTAACGACCGAAAATGCGATAGCGTATACTTGCCCAATTTCTACACATACCTGCAGCACTGCGCCTGTGATTTTTTGTTAGTGGCAGGCATCTGGAGTAGCTGGAGTAGATGGCTGACATCTTTTATGTCTGGAGCTTTTACTACGCAATACGATATATATCAAACACAGTCTGTCAGCCGTGTATTTGTTATAAAGTTGGACCAGTTGAGTAGGGGTTATTGTTCTTCAGAGTCATTCAGGCCATCATCTGGGTTCGGGCTCCATGGCTTTCTGTAGTCGGACGCTTAACTGTACCAGACGCAGCCACTTCTTCCTGCACCACAGTATGCACCGAACCGGCAATATTAGGGCCCCCACCGCTGAATGCAGCATGGGGAGCATCTTGGGTACCACTATCAACTGCAGGTAGCGGTTCGCCAACTATTTGCTGGCGTAAGGCAGCAGTACCAGTATGGCCGGTAACTAGAAATAGTTCGGGTGGCCACTCCGACACTGGCCTACCCAAAATGGCACACATTCATTGCCTAAATGCCGGGTCGGGGATCAAACTGATATGTGCTTTTACATGCTCAGTTCAGCTTTCCAGGGATTCGCTGCCTATGCTGTTCTGCAGCTGCTCATCAACACGAAGGGGGTTGGAACTTGACTAGATAGGGTCGCTCTGATCGTCACTGGCGACATCGCCTGCGTTTCTGCGTCCAGTGCTGCTTCCCTGAATATTGCCATTTTGTATCTGTGGCACTCTTCCTACGGCCAAGCCTGTCAGTGAACCAGCTAGTTCATCCATGCCCGAAGTATCCACCTGGCTGCTCTCTTTGGCATGTTGTTCCACGACATCTTGCTCGTCCACCTGTCCACGAGGCTCGCCTTCTTGTGGAGTCGCTGGAAGCGCTGGTAGTCTGTGTTTGAGGTTATGAGGTATTGAGTTGGGTCGGGCTGTAGCACCCTAGTAAAAGAGAATATATTGAGAAAAGACAGACCAATGCAGTCTTAAAGAGATAATAGGGAGCTTGCGGAAAAGGAGAGAGAGACCAGATCGGTGACTGGATCGATTCGAGAATAAAAGAAAGAGTAAGAAAAAGATTAGTCCAATTTTCTGATAAATACCATACCATACTGTGCTGTGCTGCTATTTGTTCATCGTTTCTCTCTGTCATATATATCAGAGTGGGTGGTCCTGCTACCTGGTGTCCACACATGGAAGTGATCTCTAAAAAAATAGCGCCCACTGCCTGACTAGGACCTTAGTCAAACGATTCTTTCGCAGAGCATACCGATTTGCACTAAAAGACTCATTGTACTGCTTCTGAAGGGCAGCAGCGGCAATGCATGCATTGCAGTCTATGTGGATCCGGAGCTTGGACTGAAAGTCCCGAGCAATAAAAGTTTGGCATCGCTCGAATTCCACACCGGCAGGCCAAAAACAATGTTTAGCACTGAAGCATGCGGAGATGGAGCAGCGAGAATGAGTATGAACAATGGCCGTGCATGTGGTGTCAGTCTGCTCCAAAATCAGGGGCTATTGGCATGAGCAGAACAAGCATTTTTGGTTGCGCAACAGGAGCTTAATTAACCGAAAATGGCAGCTGCACAATGATCCGCAGCAGCACGCAGCGCAAGGCCATGTACAAAACACTTGATAGTGACAACCCGCTGCTCTGCTTTCTTCGAGCATGCAGGGGATGGAGGGGATTTTGGCAGTATAGACTGTGAGCAGCATAAAAGTAGGCGTGTATTTCCAGCCAAGACACTGTGTAAGCTGCATGGAAATAGACAATGCAAATGGCACTGCAAGCCTTTTGAGCAGGGCAGGATGCACTCCTTATTCGCTGTGGCAGCACCCAAGACCTATATGCGGAGCGGAGTTGCAAATAAGAAACGTCACCATCAACAACTACAAGCTAACTGAGTAATGACTATTTTGTCTGGAAAAGAGGGACACAGCGCAAAAGGACCATGATTTGGCAAAACGGCTTTACCAATCGCTCATGCAGCCTGCCGGCATAAGTGCCATTCAGCAAAAACCGAGCAGATGGTATAGTACACAGGAGGAGCTGCACGCACCTTCTGGGGCTCAAGAACCTAGCCCCAGCTCTATAGCACAGAGAGGGTGGTATCTGGGGCACCTTAAACCACCCCTGGATCCAAATATAGACAGCAGCTCATTTGCTGATCACACGTGTTGCCGCACTCTTTTTGTGTGGGTAGCAAGTATCCCCGACCACATTTGTGGCCAGATGTCACTCTCTTGGGGAAAGGTATGCGGAGGCGATGTAGGTAGGCGCCCCCTTACTTGCCTGTGCAGCCAGGCTTGACGTTCTCCATAGCTGATCAGTATTTCTATTCCAGAAAAGGAACTTGATGGCACTGACGCCCAGAGGTTTGCAGATTGTCAGTGACATTTCTGTGGCCTCTACGGAATGTTGGTGCCGACCTGCGTCCATGAGCATTTGGATATGTACACATAGTGAATTATATATAAATGAATACATTTGTCAAACCGTAAATGAGCTAGTATTCACATAAAAGAAATGGGTATGCAGAAACGATGGATAGAGGCCAGGGGAAATGGGGAAATGCATCGATAACCTGAACTGAAGCAGGTACAATGGCTAATTGAAGTGACAAAAACCCATCGGCAGCTTAGTCGTGCACCGAAATACGGCACATACACAAGCCACATCTGCCTGCATGTGCAAAAAGGGACTGCCGACAGAGTGAGTTCAAGCAAGTACAGTAGACAGTGCCGCTGCAGTCGCCGTCCTACAAATCCTGGCTGCGCAAGCATCCTATGTGTCCTGTACTTTTGCCCTTTGGACATTATTTTTTACTTACACCTAACATTTAAACCATGTCTGCCAAGCGCACAAGCAGTATCTCACTCAAGAACAGTCCAGGAAAGCGCCTGAGAGGGGGCGACGTGAGCAAAGCGCTCAGTCACTCACCGGTGCCGTCAGCGCCAAACGACAACACGTTGCAAAGCGGCAGCAGCAGCAGCAACAGTAAGTACTGGAAACATCCTCGTACGTTTTTAACCAAAAGAGCATGTCTACTAACACAACACTTGACAAATAGGCAGCAATCGAGGTCAAGAGAAGAGACAGCATCGTCGTCACCGGACAGACCGAGCTCCTGCAAAGGCCTCTGGATATAGACCAGCTGCCAGAATCGCTTCTTAACCAAAAAAGAGATCCAGGCAGAGCGTGAGGAGCTCGCCGAGAGTGTTGTCTCTGGCCAACTCATCGAGGGTACCGACCAAAATCCACACCTATCATAGCTCCGAGGGGAGAGGCGGGTAGTGTTTCTTCATCCATAGCCGTCATTATCCATCCTCGAGCTGGAACATTTGCTGGACCCCAATCACGGATGGTTCCGATGCGAACAAAATACTCACTCACACCATGAACCTGTTGTACAAGGACGCCAAAAACGAAAGCCCGCGCTCGCGTCGACTTCGAACCAGAGGGTATAAGGCTAAAAGGAGGGAGTTCCTCGAAAGTCTGCGAGGAATCCTGGAGGAGCTGCAGGTGTGGGTCCGCCACCACAACAAGGGCAAGGCCGGCGGCAAGAAAGAAACGAAGTTGTACGCTCCCTTCCAGTCCTTCGTTCACTTTGTCGCCCCATTTGTCAAGTTCCTCTTTGACAAACTTGGTCTCGGTATGCTTTTCCCTTCTGTCGTTCATCAGCGCTGCATCATCTGCTATCCGAAGACGAACAGAAAGCCCCTATGTGGCGACGACGACCGCAAGATTGACATCGGGTTGACCACCTGCCGACCTGGCGATTTGGAAGAGCAGCTGCCTGATATGTCCTATGCAGATATATTCGCCATTGTCGAGGCAAAGTACTCAAACACCCGCAAGGACAAGAATGACGCATATAAGCAGCTTGTGGACTACTCGCGCCACATGTATGCCGCCCAGCCAAATCGCCGCTTTATTCTGGGACAGACCTTCCTGTGGAACCGAAGTGCGGGTCCTGCTTATTCTCAAATGACTGCATATTTGCAGAGCAACCCCATGGACGTATCAGCAAGTGCAGGTCGTCGGGAGTACATTGGGCTGCTAGTGAACCTCTCGCTGTGCGACAAAGACCAGCTGGGGTATGATCCGACGATGACCTGGGATAGTGAGCACGAGTACTGGACCATCGAGTGCCCTGACACCCCAGGCGAGTCATCAGGGCAGCCAGGCAACAAAAACGTACTACTTCAGAGATGAAGTTGCCAAAGCCGATAGCCTTTTCGGTCGGCACACGAGGTGCTTTTTGGTAACAGATGAGGACCCTGCTGGTGACAGAATCAAGCCCAAGTTTGTTGTGCAAGGATGCATGGCCGGAGGTTCTACAGAACCATGACGACACGCGGGACGAAGGTGATGTTTATGCGCCAGAATCACAGAGGAACTTGCGAACTCAAATGTCGAGGACCTTGGTCTATCCGAAGGCTCGAAGCCGGTGGTCGCGTTTCGTTCGATACTGACAGGGGTCCGATTTGAGGACAACACGAAAATGCACTGGGATCCGCTCTACTCGCTGCGCAAGCCAGACAACACAGCAATTCCGTTCCGCGTCCACAAGCGTCTGGTTATGTCACCGATTGGCGAGCCAGCTGGAAACCAGTCGAGTCTGTCCACGAGCTCATTGTTGTGCTAGGCGATGCGATGCGCTGCCACACCGAGGTTCTGCAGCGGTGCAACATCCTCCACCGCGACATTTCAGACAACAACATCCTTGTCGTGCGTGAGGAGGGCAGACCAGTACGCGGGCCTATTGGTGGATTTTGATAATGCCCTGGATCTGGAAAAGGATAATGGCGCAAACCCGCTACTATTCAGTCAGGATCTCATATCTATAGGAGCATCAACAATCTGCTTGGATCTGATGTGGAACGGACAGAACTGGACGATTGGGAGTCACTTCTCTGTCTACTATGTCTCTGTGCAGCAGTCGGTATTGGAGAGAGATATCAGCGGTCACCAGAAGAGATAAAGAAGTTGCCCATTAAAAAATGGTGCACAGCAGATGCAGAAATTGTTGGGAATTCAAAGACGGTACAGCTCTCTTGCATCCAGGTGTTCGAGGATAAAATCATTCGCAGGTTTCAACCAGGCCCAGCCCGATATCGAATATTTGCAAAGGCTTGCAAGAGGCCTGTACACAGGCTTGTGCAATAACCAAACTCTAAACAACCCTCGGTACAAGGGAACAGGCCTTGTGACGGTTGAAGGAGAGCCTGAGGGTGTTAATCCATTTGCAGAGCGGATAAGCATGAAGGGCACGATTGTTTCGGACTTGCTTGAGATCATGGAAAAAGCCTGGAGGGACTCGATGATGGTGGTTAAAGCACTGGCAGATTCAGATGCTTGAGTTTTTCAATCATTTTCTATTAAATTACATGTTTATTATTTTTCACACTACATTGAAACTCAGGTACTGAGGACTAGAGTATAGTTAGATCATGTGCCATTATCGCAGCTTACAGTAGTATATATCACATTGATGGTACACAATACCTCAATGGCCGAGAGGTGGCTCGCTCACCTGGTTAGCTTAACCTTTGCTGATTTGAGTGTCAAGAGCAATGACTATTATTGGAGAGAGTATGCGTAGCTCAAGTTTGTCGATTGCAGCCAATGTCTCGCTAGTAATAGTACAGCATTCCTCATCATCAGCCACATTTCGGGTGACAGATGCCTGGCTGGATCAGATTCGATTTGCTCAAGCAGTATAAGCAGCCTGATCTTAACGACAACAACCACATAGCATCCAAAGCAAAAGCCACACTGGTAGACACACCTGCTCAAAGAGCTGAGTTGAACTGTAGACTGTTGACGGCCTCTTGATCTCGCTTATTTGACCTCCTAGTTTAACATTTTCTGCATTTTCCCTAATTTCTTCATTTGTAATGAGCAGCAAGCAAATTCCCGCACAGCAACAGCAGGTACTCGAGGCGCACACTTGTGGCTCCATAGTCTGCATCGGCACCAAGCGGCCGCTTTCGGACCCCGACCAGCCAGGCATCGACCTGCAAATATACCCACCCAAGAGGGTGTGCACTTCTCGTGTGTGTGACACCAGCAAAACGCTCAACCCCAGCACCAAGAGAAAGTTCACAGATGATGACGATTCGCTCGATGATGACAGACCATCGCCTGCCAAAAAGACACGCACATATGGTGACGCGGAAGGTATGTAGGATATTCGCATTGTTGTGGCAGTAGGCATACTGACACCTCAGATACTAACCACACGATACATGACATTGTAGATGACTCGTTGGTGTTGCGCACCCGGATCATTGCCCGCAAAACTGACAGCAAATTATGCGCAAAGAAGCGCCAGGCCACAAGAAACAAGACTGTGGGCAGACGAGTAAGCGCTCACACCAAGCGGAGTATTCAGGCACTACTGGTGTGCCCTATCAACATTTCGTCACCGACAAGCACAGGGCAGGCTCAGACTTCAACTGGAGGTAAGTGTATGCTAGTCGTAGTTGTGCCTATACCTAGAACACCATACTAAAGTGAGCTGCTATTTATTTGTCACTGTAGTCGTACTATCAGCAGCAAGAGTTCTGTCTGCCACTGAACTGACTTCCAAGGCAGAATGCTCTATCACCAAGAGAAAGATGGCCGATGATGAGGATTCGTCTGATGATGAAGGACCATCGCCTCCTAAAAAGGCACACGCTTCAAGCGATTTGGATGGTAAGACATTGTTGTCAGTAGCATGGCATGTGCGTTTGCTTTTTAGATACTAATCACACAGTATAAAACTCAATAGCCGGATCGCTGGTGTTGCGTACTCGGATTGTTTCCAGGAAGGGTGTCAGCCAACTACGCGCAAGGAAGCGCCAGGCCACAAGAAAAAGGGTTGCGGACAGACGAGCAAGCGCCCACACCAATCAGAGCATTCAGGCACTACTCTCACACCCTATCGACATGCCATCGCTGGCAAGCTCGGAGCAGATTCAGACTTCAACTGGAGGTAAGCCTATGCTTGTGGTAAATGTGATGGCATCGAGAACACTGCATTAAAATGAACCACCACCTATTTTCCATCGTAGTCGTACCATTAGCAACAGGAGCTCAGCCCGCTGCTCAAACGACTGATCGGCCGGTAAGCTCTGGCGTCAAGATGCATCAGACAGACAAGAATCTGGTGAAGAAGAACAGGCTATCGCCAGCAAAAACGGCGCAGGCAACAGTTTCAAGTGAAGGTAAGGGCATGGCGTATGTTTATAGTACGAAGGGAGAGTGGTAGTGTCGGATACTAATCGATCAGTATATGGAAGTGTAGGCGAGTCTTCAATACCTAGCTCCCGATCATCTGCCAAAAAGGCTGGCAGCCAGTCGCGCAAAAAGAAGCATTTAGCAGCCAAAACTAAAGGCACTGACACGCAGCCCAGAATTCGCACCAGACAGAGTGCCCATGCACAAGTTTCAAGCTCAGGCAATAAATTGCTGTCGCCAATTAACTCACACACCTCAAGCCAACCAAAAGGTAAGCACATGGCTGTCGTCCTTGCAAGTACATGGATGTTTACTACATGATGACCAGCTAACATTTATGGAACAATGTAGAATGGTCTCCAGAGTCCAGCAATATTAGGACCGCTGCCACGTTGAACGGGTCTTCCAGTTCCACAGTATCCTCAGCACCGAGTATGGCATCATATACAGCGGAATCCTCGCTTGATAGCAGGTGGTGTAGTGATGACGACGACGAGACAGACACTGAGGCAGACATGCGGGTCAAGACGCGGCTCATCAGAGATGCAGATGCAGTGCTCGACATCGCAAAACCGCGGAGTGCTGCCGGGAGAGTGCTTGCCAGCAACATTTCCAAGCACATCTCAGCCGAGATGGAGCATCGGCTCAACACAACTAGCACATACGCAATAGCTGACACCAGCAAAACCCAGTCGGCTTTGGAAGCGCCCATGCAAAACAACAACTATCGACAGCTGCTGCTCTCCGACACAGCATCTGCCATGAGCAAGGATGAGCACAGCGCAGCCACGGCCAATGCATTTGCAGGGTTTCGGGAGTGGATTGCACCCGAGTCGATACAGCATCAGCCTATTGGAGCACCATTTACACCACCAGACAGTACCTGTGGTGACAATATGGACGATGCTAAACAGATACACACATCCGTGCAGTCATTCATTTATTTCGTCGCACAGCAGATCGACAGTTTCATTAGCGCACTGGATGCAGATGCGCTTGGGGAGCATCGCACATATCGCCGTCTTCTACCATGCATGAATCGAGAGTGCCATCCCAGCAACACAGGCAATGCTCCAACCATCGAAGCAGGCATCACTACACAACACAGAGACAGCAGTATTGAGCCACTCAACAGCTTCTGCTATGCTGATGCATTCGCTGTCATCGAGGCACGACCAGGCAAAACTCGGCGCATCATTGACAAGGCGTACGCACAGCTGATGCAGAGCACATGCAACATCTATAAGGCTCAGTTCGACCGGCGCTTTGCTTTTGGCTTGACCGTCTGCGACAATGAGGTGCGGGTGTGTCTATTTTCCAACGATGTGGTCTTCTCATCCAGCGCTCTTGACATGTCCACTGCATTTGGTCGCCAACAATTCATCGAGCTGCTAGTCAACTGGTCTCTCTGCGATGAGGACCAGTTGGGATTCGACACAACAATCCACTGGGACAAGGATAACAACTGCGGGACCATCGAGTGCCCTGACACAGCAGACGAGTCATCATGCTCTACAGCCACAAAAACGTACTACTTTGACAAGGTGCTACCAGGAGCAGACAGCCTTTTCGGTCGGCACACGAGGTGCTTTTTGGTGACAGACGAGAGGCCTTCTGGCGACGAAATCAAGCCCAAGTTTGCTTTGAAGGACACATGGCCGGAAGCCACAGAGGACCCCACCAGAGACAGACGAGACGAGGTGATGTTTATGCGCCGAATCACAGAGGAACTTGCGAACTCAGATGTCGAGGACCTGGTCTATCCAAAGCTCGAAGCCGGTGGTCGTGTTTCGTTCGATACTGACGGGGGCCGATTTGAGGATAACACAAGAAATGCACTGGGCCCGCTTTACTCTCTGTGCAAGCCAGACAACACAGCAATACCGTTCCGCGCCCATAAGCGCCTAGCTATGTCACCGATCGGCGAACCACTGGAAACTGTCGAGTCTGTCCACGAGCTTATCGTTGTACTAGGCGATGCGCTGCGCTGCCACTCCGAGGTGCTGCGGCGGTGCAACATCCTCCACCGCGACATCTCAAACAACAATATCCTTGTCGTGCGTGAGGAAGGCAAACAACCTCGCGGACTACTGATAGATTTCGACTGCGCAGTGGATGTAAGTGAGCGTCAGGCGCCGAATTCAGAGAATGTGGGGACATTCCCCTACAGGAGCATCAGCAACATATCGGATACAGATGTGGAACAGACAGAGTTGGACGACTGGGAGTCGGTACTCTACCTACTGTGTCTCTGCGCAACAGTCGGTGTCAGAGAAGATTATGAACAAATACTCATAGATGCAAAGGGTTGAGAATTAGGAAATGGTACACTGGAGATACTGACGATGCTGCGTGTTCAAAAGATGGTGCAATGTTCTTGCATCGAGGTATTTGAGGATAAAATCGTTCGCAGCTTCAACCAAGCCCAGCCCGATACCGAATATTTACAAAGGTCTTGCAAGAGGACTGTACATGGGTTGTTCAGTAATCGGGCTCTAAAAAATCCTCGGTATTGGGGGACGTTAACGCGAAGTATTGGAAGAATGTCCGAACCAAGTATCCCTTCCAAGGAGCGGGTGAAGATAAAGAATAGTGTTGCTGATACCCTGCTGACGACGATGAGTGCTGCCCATTTAAAATCAGCTAGTATCCTTTCCGCATCTATGAAATAAATGTTTTATTACCGTCACTTGTCGACGCTGTCTGCTACAATGCGTGTCTGTTGCTTAAAGGGCTGTAGCCGTTAGGTGCAGCGGGCCACATGATGACGAGCACCTGGCGCATATGGAAGCAATATAGTTTTATGACTAAATTTGCTTTGTATTCTGGGGAAATCTCCGCCATAACGGCACCACATTTGCCTGGGGGTATACTCGCCGATCGCCCCAGCCTGGAAGCTGCAGAAGCCTTATCGATCTTTTGCCGTACTCTTGGCAAGCCCGTCACTCTCTGCCCCATGTTGCTTGGAGGGATTAGGTGCGCGGCTTGCGGGAGAGTTAGCCCGGGAATCGACCAGTCGATAAGGACACGGGTTTTTGGTCAATGCGGCTAGAGCATACCCAACAATGCCGCATGCCAAGGGAGTGTCGCGCTTCTACCAAAGCTGGACGTGACAACAGGTCGTGTGGCAACATCAATTTATTTAAAAACATCTGAGGACTGAGTTTGGTTAGGCGGAAGTGGTCAGCAAGCAGTGCATGGCCCTAGCCAGGCCGCCTTGGGTAATGTTGAAGATCCCTTCTTTCACCAGGGCTTCAACAATCACTTGTTGCTGAGCCACGGTGCAGATGCTCGAAAAGATGTTGACCTCGGAGCAAACGTTTCCATACTTCATTTTGCGAAGCTTGAAGATGCTGTTGCAGTCGACGAAGCCGGCGACCTCATTCCTTTCTTTGATGATCGTGTCAATTGCAGCAGCACGCCTGAATGCAGCACGAGCCTTTTTCGTAAAGCCGTCCCAGCTATCAACAAAATTGACCTCATTGGACAAAAAGTACCTGAGCAGAGGAGGTGAATGTGAAAGCAAAAACGTGTGCTTGGCAGTGTTGTCCGCATGAGGGTCCTTCAAGCCTGAAGCAATAAACTCGTTGATGTAGCCATCCGGGCTGTGGGCAAACTTGACTAGGTCAAAATCTACACTAGGCTGGATACTCTTCACGGTGTTCACAGCTGGTACGTTCGTGTACGGTAAAGCACATAGGGCAGCTTGGGCCTGTGACCCGTCCTTCTCAACCGGATACTCACCGTTCAAAACCGACGTGTACAGGGCGATAGCCTCGTCGAGGTATGGAACAACTTTCTCAGTCAGCGCAGCTACTGAGGCAATAGCCAAATGATGCTGAGATATCTGCTCCTGCATGCGGTTGATGTTCTTCCGGCGTTAGCGGCGTTATCATTTGCACTGAAATGAGTTTACTGACCAGCTCGCCTTGTGCGAGACCCAGCTCGGTCTTGCAGGCACCGTCGAATGAGGCCCTCATTTCTTGCAGGAGCTCAAGGAAGCGGTTGGCGTGGCCAGAATGGACAGGCGCAACCAGGGCTGGCGGCTGAGGAGGGCTGACATGGACAATGTCGTCAACGTCATCGGCAATGTCGAGACGGTCATCGACGTGAAGAGGGGAGGGGGAAGAGAATACATCTGGGGAAACACCACCATTTTCAATGACGAGTACCTGCACAAAAAGAACGAGTAGACAGTGGGAGGAAAGTTTGCTGTTTGTGCTGAACGCTGAGAAATGAAGGGCTGGTCTTCGGGCGAGATGTCTGTCGCTCTTTATAGTCTTTGCACGGTGTTTAGATGAAACGGCCCAGGTGCAGGAGAGGCTGGCGAACATGCCTTACCGGCGATGCAAAAATAGCTGCTGTGCCAGAAAAATGATTCGGTTGAGATGTACTATGTACACTCCTACCTTCATTGTACAAGTAGACCAGCCTCTGAAGTTGGTGTATCAACAGATATTGATATACGCTGTTCAATGGCATCTTGCACAAGCTGTATTCATCTAGGGAATCTGAACAAAAGCCCCACGTGCTGAGCACGATGATGAAGCTGATTTTCGGAGACGCTGACGAGTGACCCTCGCTGGCGCTTGTGATGAGGCCCTATACATTAGCCTCCATGATGGCATCAAGGACCATTGCTTCTGGTGCGCAACAACTGCACTGATGGGCATAGTAACTCTATCTACCATCAATATATGGCTAGATACACAGCGACCACAAATATGATTATGTTGAACTTGAGCATCAGTATGTGTGAACACATGACTGCATACTTAGCATATTCAAGTGAATGTCGTGGGGGTTAAAAGAGACATGTCAATATAAAATAGCGAGAGAAAAAATGAGAAAATTTGTGTTTTGTGTTTAGTTGGCGGCAGCAGCGGGCTTCTCGGTCTCCTTCATGTAGGTGTCGAGGTCGGCGTCAAGCGACTCCTTGGTAGCATCCGGGCGCTTCTCGCGGTCGCCACCACGACCGCCCTTGTGGCCGCCACGGCGACCCTTGCCTCCGTTTGCAGGACCGTTCTGCTGCTTCTGCCGTCCGGCGCCATTGGCTCTGCCACCGCTCCTCGGCGCCTTGCCGCCAGCCGGCGATCCCTGCATCACAGCGCCGGGCATCATGGTGGGCATCATCATCGGCACAGCCATCGGGTTGTAGGCGACCTCAATCTTCATGGTGCGGCCGTCGAGCGTCACGCCATGGTAGCGCTCGACTGCCAGGGCCGCGTGCGCCGACGACCGGAAGATGACCTCGCCGCTGCCCTTCGACCGGCCATTGGGGCCAAAATTCAGCGTGGCACGCTTGACTGGGCCAACCTGGGTGAACAGCTCGCGCAGGTCCGCCTCGGTCACGCCATAGTCCAGGTTGCCAACCAGGATCTTGCCGCCCTGGCTCTGCTGCTGGGTGTTGGCAGCGAGGAATGCAGCCTGGTTCATCATCATTGTCTGCGCCGCCAGTGTTTGTTGCTGCTGCTGCTGCTTCTGTCCGCGCTTCTGGACTCCGCCGTCGCGGCGGGCGTAGGGCGAGCTGCGGTTCGACTGATGGCCGCTGCTGTTGTTGCTGCGACGTCCACCGCCGTTGCGGCGGGGGGTCTCCGAGATGATCTCATCGAGCGACTTGTCGAGGTTGGCGGACATGGTCTGACGTGTTGATAGACGGTCTATGTTCCACACGAGGCAGAATCCGATGCATGTGTGAGTGGGAGAAATAATTCAGCGAAAAGAGCGAGGGAGTAAGATGACAGTGGTTAGAAGCATGTGTTAGCGTGAGCAACGCGAGAGAGCTGGAGATAGAGGAAGAAATCCGACAATAATTGCAAAACACGAGCGGTCCTTTCGAAATAAGCACTTGCGAACGACAGTTGGGCACGGTGGCTCCGAGTAAACACGCGAATGAGCCAGAGGTGCCTAGTCGGCAGCAGACTGAAGGGGGCGATGAACGGGGGATGCTCCTGTTGGCCCTGGTTTGCTCAGCAGGCGAAAGCGAGACAAGCTCCAGTCCGCGATCCACTCTGCGAAACCAGCCAAAGGGGCCGAGCCAAAACGCTCAGTGCTGCTACGTAGAGCAGGGGACAGGGTCAAGCCGAGGGCCTGCGTAGGCTCTACCAAGTAGCTCGCCACTAGGCACATTCTCGCTGCAACTACGCTTCAGAGCCTCCACTGGCGTCCGCATCCCCTTCGCCCCAATCGCGCCCCTCTGCAGCTGATCCGCGCCAGGAGTTTGTTTGCGTAACCGGCGAACTGCGGCCAGCAGAGCAAAGAAAAGCGCTAGCGCTCTCAAGAGCAGCCACACCGCCCACGCTTTCATTCTTCGCCATTTGCTGCCAGTTACGCTCGCACGTGTGCCCGCCAGCCCCCGCCTCAAAGCACGGCCACCACCGCTGTTTCCGACCGACCCAGAGGGAAGGGGCTATCTCCAGACAGGAGAACGCATCGTCCACCAGCCACGAAACGAGTGAAAACGCGTGCGCGCAGGGCAAAATAAAGCGACAGGACAAAGATACCCAGGCTTTCACAAGCGTGAACAGCGGCTCGCTTGGACTCAAAGACCACACATTGCGCTGTCTTGAAAGAATAAGGACAGAACACCGGGCGACAAGTACCTTAAAGCGAGCAGGAAAGAAGATAATTGAGAACGACAAGCAGAGATTGTCGAATGGGCGCTGGTAGAATAAAAAAGAGTACAGAGAAATGGCTAGAGAAGAAAAATCAGGAGGCAGAGTGTTTCAGGCTCGCAAGAAAAAGTGGCACAACGGAGCTGGCCAACAGCACATCCAATCACGATCGGCGAGCGCAGATGCGACCGATTGCGGCTTGCGGAGCTTGGCACACTGGGCTTCAGAACCACTGTCCATGCCATGGTTCGGATTCTATGGCTGCTGAGTATCAGTAAGCGCATCGTCTGAGCAATAGTGGACAAGATGAGCGGACTAATACGGTACTGCTTCATTTATGAGTTGGAGGCTGCAAGCATGGTAATAATAAAGGCTAATGATGCCACATACCAGGCAGCGAGCATGCCAGATACTTGGAACAATTGTAGCAGGCACATAGCCGCAATATAGTAGTGTCTCAACCGGTTCGAGTGCTGGCCATAGCACTGCCCACTGAACCTCAAAGATGTTCAATTGACAGCATCTTTGCGGCCAGAAAGCGACATGGTATTTGTACTCTTCAGGCTCAGCTTACACACAAGCCCTTAAACATGAACAGACTCGCAGCTGCACAATGCCTGCCCGAGTTAGTTATTACGCGGATCATATCTTGTCTCCTGCAAATCTTGGCCAAATCTCCTCCTCGCTACATGATTGTCAGCAGTCTAGGGTATGCGAAATGCCCATCACTTCTGTCCCTTCTACAGGTGCCCCAGACCTGAAGGAACGTAGCCGCTAAGGAATTCTACAAGCATGCAAGTATATTCCTTGGCCTGAAATGAGACCTTTGTGCAATCTGCCTCCAAATACTAATCATTGAACTGGCGGCCGAGGAAAGCGTTCTGCGCTTTGTTAAGCAGGTAACCGTCCGTGTCAGATTCGATTGTATCTTTAATGGTCGGGCTGCTGACCCACTGCAACAAGCAATCAGTCAGCGTGCATCGCATGCAGAGTTGCCCCATCTGGAACACCACCACATCTTCGGTATTCAGATGTTCTAGCTTGACTCAGTCCATTTTCCAAAGCTGCCGAATTCAATTGCCAACTGAGCAGTGATAAGATCCAGGTGATGCTAACCATAGCGAGCGGGTGTAGTTATTGCACATCCTGACAAGTCGAGTCCAGCAGACAAAGTCAGCTACTTATCAGGCACAACCCCCAAATAAGAAAAAAATCAGAGAACAAACCGGCATGAAAGCCTTGGGTACAGCGTAAACTGCTCGTCTTCCCTTATCGTTTGCCTTCTACTTCCTCACCACTCCCAGTTTTATTGTCCTTCTCATAGTAATTATGGCGAGTTCTACGTATGGTTGCCCCAAGTGTGATGAAGTATTTACATCACCTGTACAGCGGTGGTTTCATCGCGAAGTTCACCGAAACGTGGTGTTCGCAAAGATCCTGGGCCAGGTGACACTTGAGTTCCCTAAAGTCGACGATAAACGAGCGCATTGCCGATGTGGAAAGTTGCATACAGCGACCAATCTCAGGTATCACCACGCAAAAGCATGCCCGGAATGCATCGCCGAAGCCAGAGCGATTCTTGCAAAGCAGACGGGCAATGTAGAGTTGGAGGACCTGGTGATCGATGAGTCTCGTGATTTCGAGTTGCAAACCCCGGTGGCGATCCAATACGACGAAGAAGCGGTAAGTAGGATGTATTATGAATACACCAGGTGGAAATATGGTGACTGTAATTACTAATTGCATTACGCAGGGATAGGCTTTGCAAACTGGCCCAGCATTGGACAACGTCGGATTTGTTATCCATCGCCCCACTGGGCTGCTTATTTGCCGCATGTGTCGGGCAGCAACAGTCAATAGAAGGCTTCGAGATCACATCACGATGTGCGCACAGCAGACTACATCTGAACGCAAACAAGGAGCCACTGTTGAGAGCATCCAGGCAGCATGCAGCTACCTAAAGACAGTTGGGTGCCTGATAGGCGACAAGATCACTGCTCAGAAATGGCTTGGGTCACTAAGGGGCAAGGTATTTGCGCGGATTCCAATTCTGCCAGCGTTTCCAGCATACAAGTGCTCTGTCTGCGGGTTTATTGGCAAGACCGAGTCTGCATACAGCAGCCATTTCGCAAAGTTCCATAAGGGACCCGCACGTTCTCGAGCTTTTATCAAGGTCCTTGCGCAGCAGCCGTTCACAGCGTCACATTTTTGCACGATACTCGAGATCAGCGACGCATCGGCAATGGCTGAAAACATAGACAATCGGTACAGATATTGCGATTGGTGAGCTTATTGAACCGCAAGGTGCTATTCTCCTGCCATCGCCACCAGCAGGGCTGGGAAGAAGACTTGGTACTGATCTCCTGGGCTGGAGCAGTATTGCTCGGAATTCGATGTTTATGGAACTGGCAGCGCGAATGTGCAATAGTGAGGATACTTGGTAGAGTCTACTCAAGGAGCTCCTCATGCGTGCAGTTGACAGGGTACGTATGGATTATGTACCAGCTGCCAGAGACGACGCTGGGGTCTTGTTGGCTGGTCTCAAGGACTCGCATATGTCTGATTCTAGTAGAAGTGAGCTGCTTCCGTTGGCGTGCAGATGTACACCATTATACTTGTTTCATGTGGGAATCCAGCATACCGGTGGATGCTAGGTATGACAGAGGAGCAAGTCAACGCAGCATCCGCATTAAAGCAGTCCCTTGAGCATGGCACAGGCTCAGGTATGGCCGATATTCAACATTGGAATGAGATGTGGTCGCTATTCAAGGATCTTAATGCTGCGTTGTGGATGTACGCGCTACCAGAGTACAGTGAGTCGTGGGCAGACCACTTTGTGTACAGGGTCCTGGGTTTATTTTTGTGGAAGGAAGGCAATCTCCTAGAGCAGCCGTTCATTGCCGATAGTGTACAGGCGACAATACTCTGGACGCATATTGCACTTCATTTAGTGCACCAGTCTGTAGTTGGCGACCTTGACTACCCGGATTCGCAAGGGCTCCTTAACCTGTTCCACTATTATCTACAGCCCGGACGACAGACGCCGTATGGGGTTATATCTGGTGTTGCTTGTGTCCTGGTGTGGGCGGCTAGATGGGATGACACATGTAAGGGTATGTGGTGGGTGCAAGACAGCGGGTACTCTGAGATGTGCTACCTGTCACAACACATTCGCCTTGCAGATATTTCCCGCGTCTACCGTTGCATCCTTGATTGCCTCGAGTTGAAACAAAACCGGATCCTGAGCGGCATTGATTCAGACCAAGCATTCGGGTTTGACACCAACGATGCAGTGGGTTCGGACAGCAGTGGTAGCAGCACTCTGGCATCTATTCTTGGATGTAGCGAAGCCGAAATTGAGAGACAGTCGCAGCTTCTCTTTTCATACAAGATCGAGCAGCAGGCATTTACTCAGCGTGGAATCGACACGCCCTATGCGTGGGACTACACACAGATGATGGCATGGCAGTCTGAGGTTGGCGAGCTTGTAGACTACCTGATAGTTGCTTTGTGTATGGTAAGCGGCGCTGCTACAAGTACGACTGGTCTTGCCAGTATCCAGGTGCAGGACATATCTACTTATCCGCCCGGTGAGTTATCCGGCGACAACACACTGGTGATTCTAATGGGGCTAGAGAAAAAGGTACCGATGGCTCTGCCGCACCGGATAGCCAATGTGCTGTTGCATTACCTGATGTTTATTCGGCCGTGCGAGCAGGCGGTTGCCGGGGCATTGGTTAGCAGCGAGGAGTCGAAAAGTTGGGTCACGCAGAGGCACCAGCAATATTTGCTGATTAAGCGAGGCATGCAAGTTGGCGAAGGCGATATTTCCGGCATTTTTGCGCGTGTGTGGAGTAACGAGAGCCGATTGAGACTCCCATTAGATGACTGCTGGCGTGTAGCTTGGTCGTTTGCTGTAGCGCTGCTGCACAAAGAGCTGTCGCTGGAGCGGGTCGCCCAAATCTGTGGCTCGCTGAGCGGCAAATTCCAAAATCCGGCACCTGAGAGGGCTGGATTTTATGAAGAGCTCTGTGTATCCAAGCTCTGGAACACACTTCTGGAGTCATATTCGGATCAAAGATGAATCTATGAACTTGACATGCAACATCTGGGTATTGTGATAAAGGGCCATAACAACACGATGTGTAAAAATAAAAACTTTTTCAGAACGTTGCGTTTCCTAGATCCACCACACCCCTGTAGACGTTAGATCCCCTATTAACAAAAAACTACCACATAATGGCTACATCACAGTCGCAGCAGCAACAGCAGCAGCAAACTGGGCAGCAACAGCTCGATGCAGCGTTCCCGGCGCCACCCGACTACTACCAGCACTTCACCGACGCAAATCTCGCCAACCCGTCCGACAACGCCTATCTTGACCCGCCGCCGCCACTCACAAGCGGCGACTACTCGATGTTTGGTCGCACATATAAAGTGCACGAGCAGCTGCCGACGCTCAGCGAGCAATCAGCTACGCAGCTGTACCCGGAGGGCGCGATTGACCGGGTGGTGGAGCTGCGCAAACTGAACCATAGCGTGTTGTTTGAGTTCCTCGAAATGGTCGATATTTTGATCAAGGACCCGTCGCAGTTTGGCGAGCGGTCGGCTGGCGTGCACAACATTTTCGTCAACATGCACCATCTGATTAACGAGTACCGCGGGCACCAGGCAATGGAGACACTGAAGGTCATGGTGGCAGGGCAGATTGAGAGGCGGCGGGAGGCGGCGGAGAGAGTCAGGGAGACGTGCGCCGAGTTGGAGGAGAAGATCCGGGGGCTGAAGGAAGAGGCGAGGAAGAAGGGCGTGGAGCTGGCGGCTGCTGGGGTGGAGGCGGAAGTGGATGGTGTGAAGGAGGAGCGGCCGGAGAGGGACGTGGAGATGAGCGGGCTGCGGAATCTGATTGACGCCATCAGCCAGATCCAGTGAGAGCTTTTGGAAATGTAGGCTTCATTTAAACAAAAAAAAAAAAAACAAAATACGAGAGCTAGCTTGTTATAAGTTGCCGTTGGTCGCAGGCTCCTGCAGTGCAATCTGGTTGAGGTGGTCGCAGACGCGCCAGAAGAACAGGCTGGCGGAGTCCTGGGAAAACGACATGGTTTCGCGCAAAAAGTCTGGCAGCACGTCCAGCTCGGCGGTCTCTTCGTACGGCGTGTACTGGAATTCGTCGGGCAGATCGTCGAAAACCGTCAATACGTAGCCAATGGTTAGGGTGGGGCCGGCCTGCAAGCATTTGTAGGACATGCCCTGGTCCTCGGGCACCACCTCCTCGATGGTCAGGCCGGAGATCATCTGCAGAATGCGCAGGCTGTCGCGCAGATTGAAGTCGACGCTGGTCTCGGCCAGGCGCTGGTGGTGTTCGAGCTGCTCGATCTGCGCATCCTTGGTGACCAGGTCCAGCGACAGGGTTTCGACCTGCTGCTGCAGCACCTTGACGTCCTTCTCCAGCGCCTTGCGCGCCTCCAATTCGGCAGAGTCTTGCTGCTTCTCGCCGTCCTTCTTTATCTGGCGCCTGAGCTCCTCGTTGTCCTTGCGCAGGGTGCTGATTACGGCCTCAGCGCTGGCGGTCTGTTTATGGGCAGACTTTTGCAGCTCGGCCAGGGTTTTCTCGGCCTGTGTGACACGCAATGCACTGAGATCTTCGAATTTCCGGCGCCACCGCATGGTCTCGTCGGAGTCGGCGGAGCGCATGCGCTCAAGGGTGGGCACGGCAGCGCGGGCCTTGGCGAACCGCGCTGGCGAAACAATATCGACTATTAGGTCATTGGCGGGCGGCTCGGTGCGCGCGCGCTTGGCCTGGGAATGCTGGGCGGGCCGCGAATCGACGTCCGACAGCGACTCTGCGACCGTGCGCTTCCGCCTCGCCGGGCTGGGCGTCGGGCTGCGGGGCTTTTTGGCCCGGCCCGCTTTCCGCACAGGCGTCGTCAATGGATCAGTTGGTGTATCGGCGTGCTTTCGAGGCCGGCCAGGCCCACGACGCACGGGCGTCGCCAGCGGATCATCAAGCGGAGGTTCGCTGTGCTTACGAGGCCGACCAGGCCCACGGCTAACTGAGGATTGGGGCGACGCAGCACTGGCTGCTGGGCTGTGCACCGGCGTAATAGCAGAACCGTCTGGCGTCTGATTCTTCCTCGGTCGGCCTGGTCCGCGACGCACCGGCGTTTCTGGCTGAGCTGCCTCTGGGTTCTTCTTTGCGCGACTCGATTTATGCTGTGCAGGCTCGTTGTCAGCGCTCTTCTTTGGCCGTCCTGACCCGCGCTTTACAGGCATTTCTGATGCGTCTAATGGCTCCTCTGTGGTCTTCTTGGGCCGTCCCCGGGGACGCGCTGGTGCGGGAGCGGCGGCCTTTGAGCGGATTTTGGTCCCGGAGGGTCGGCCACGGCCGCGCTTTGCGGGCTCAGCTGCGGTGCGTACGCCTAGGGGAGTGTCGGGCGGGGCTGCGCGTTTGGCGTTGGGCGGCGGCGTCAGTTTGCCGGCCTTCGCGGCTACTGCCAGGTCGTCGTCAGGAATCTTCCGAGGCGGCATAGCCCGAGGGGGTTTTTGTCTGTACAGAAAATAAAAGAAAATGGAAGTGAGCACAAATTGGAAAAGAGGAATCCGTACGCGTAGAGTAAAAAAGCGCGTTGTGAGGAGAAAAACAAAAAAATCGACAAGCAAAAGCACGGGAATTCAGGGGTTCTGATTGGCCAATGCATATTTACGGGCACCTCGCTTGGTTTTGAGAAAAGGGAATAATTTAGAGGTCGGTCTCGTCGTCGACCTCGGATGGAGCCGTGGTTTCGGCAACCACTTGCTCGCTCTTGGGCGTCGCAGAGTCCTCCATCTTGACATTCTCTATCTTGACGTCATCCTCAGACGCTGGATCGGCTTCATTCTTGGCTTCGTCGTCGTCCTTGGTGTCTTCGGGCTTGACCTCATTTTCATCATCATGCTCGGGCTCTACTGGCAGCGGGTCCGAGTGATGGTGTAGCGGGCGCAGCGTCCTGCTCACGCTGCCAATGACCGATGCAAGCCGCGCGCGCAGCACGTCGCTCTCGGTCTGGACCTCCAGGGTCTCCGCATCAACAGTTGCCCTGAGCTCATTCAGCTCGACCTCGATCTTCCGGCCCTCGGCCATGCGCACGCTCGAAAACTGATGCTTCATAAACGGCACCAGACGGTCGGCCACGCTGCTCTTCACATCAACACGCAGCCCATCGTCGTGGGCGTGGGCACAGCTGGTCCGCGTCATCTTGACGGACGCCGGGCTGCACTCGATATTCAGCACCACAGCAACCACCGAGTCGGCCACCATGTCGCTCATGGCGCTGCCCTCCCACTCGATCTCGACAAACGGCTTGGCCGTCGAGTGGGTGATGTTGACTGAGTCGTAGGCGCGCAGCACAGTGGTGACGTCCGACTCGGATTTGATTGTGGTCAGCGTGAGCACCCCAAACATGCGCTCCAGGTGGTGCAGCAGCAGCGCCAGCGAGGCCCGGCACGGCACAATCTGGTGCTGCTCGACTACGACCTGCTCGATGGCGCTGACGTCCGCCAGATCCGCCACGTCCACCAGCGTATACTTGTAATCGCGCTGCACCAGAATGCCCGCGGCTCGGTCGCCGTCACCTGGCACCTTGCGGGCCAAGGCGCCTATCACACGCGCCATTTTCTCGCCGCGGAAATGCAGCTGGACGGTCTCGGTGTTGCGCGGGGTGTGCAGGTGGATGGCGTAGTCGCTGCCCGCGTACTTGTCGGTCAGCGCCGAGCGCAGCCGCAGCATTGCGTTCTGCTCGCCATGGACCAGGATCACGTGCGGCGCCCGGATCTCGTCCACAAACGAGCTGTTCTGCGTGTAGTCTACGTGCGCCGAAAACGACACGTAGCTGACCGACATGCGGCGCGGGATCCGCTGCCCGGCCAGCGTCATGACCTCGTCGGGCTCGTTCATAATCGTGCGTGCCAGCGTACCCTCCACCGAGTACCCCGTGATTAGCAGTCCATTGCGGCGGTCCGGCGCCCACCGGTCAAACAGCTCGCGTGACAGCCCGCTCTGCAGCATACCGGGACTGGCCACCATCACGCATGCGCTGGCGTCGTCGAACCCGCCCAGGTTCTTGAGGTTCGAGATGTGCTTGAACTTGAACGGGTTGCTGCCGGTCTCGCGCGCCTGCGTCTGGATCCGCTGGTTCATCATCAAAAGATATGTTTCGTAGAATGTCATGCAGCGGCTGGCCAGTGGCGATGCAAAGTAGATTGGGATGCCCTCGAGCTCGCGCGCATGCCGCTGCCAGTACTCCTCCAGAATCAGTAGCAGCTCCTGCGTGCGACCTAGCGCAAACACCGGCATCAGGCACCGCCCGCCGCGCTTCACAATGTCGCGTACCGCGCTGGTGAACCGGGCCTCGCGCTCTACCCGCGGCTCATGGCTCTGCACGCCATATGTCGATTCGGTAATCAGCACGTCTACCGGCACATGCGGGTTCTCCGCCGCCATCAGATGCCGGTCCTCCTCGCGCGAGTAATCTCCTGTATACAGGACCTTGACGCCGGCTATCTCAATCACATACATGGCCGCTCCCAATACGTGTCCGGCATTATATGCCGTGAACTTTATGCCGTCCACGTCGATTTGCTGGTGGATGTCGATGGCCTCGATTTTCCCATACGCGTTGTCCATGTCCCGCTGGTCGTACAGCGCCCCTGAAGACGCGTTGTTGGTCACCCGCACATAGTCCGCCACGAGCCATTTGAATATCGCCTTTGTCGGGTGCGTCATGAAGGTCCGGCCCTTGAACGCCGTCTTTTCGATGTAGTACGGGACCGCCGCTGCATGGTCTACGTGGAAGTGCGTCACCAGGAGCACGTCCACTGACGCCGGATCCACTTCGTCTATAAACGGCAGGCTGTTCTCGCCCTCGTACGCCGGGTGCAGCCCGCAGTCCAGCATCACCGTCTTGCCCTTGTACCGCAGCACTATGCACGACCGCCCCACCTCCTGACCCGCGCCCAGCGGTGTTATCTGCAGAAGGTCGTCCTCGTCCTCAATCGCCACCACGATATCCGCCTTGCGTTTTTGTGCCATTTCTCAATTGCTCTGTTATGTGGAAGGTGCAAAAAGTGCTGAGAGAAAACAAGCGTGCCTGCCAATTCAAGGTGCTGCGAATTGGGCTCTGCTTGCTCGTTCCTTGATTTAATCATCTGATAATAATCCTTCCTTGGTCTCATGCGGAGCACGCCCTTGGCCAAGCCAGCGGGCAACTGCAAATCATACGCCAATGCTCTTGGCGTGGAATTCTGCCAGAGTATTTATACACCAAGACCGTGCGAGTCCTGGAAGCGCCCAGCGACGCCCCCCAAATGTTTTCCGAATCGAATATGGCCGCCACGCAATGTTCCTGGTACCGGACAACTCACACTGGCTCCACATCTCTCCGCATCTCTCACGGGAGCTTACTTTTGCTGCCCTTGGCACTATACACAAACAATGATAGGTGGTTGATCCCGTGCCGCCAAGACACCACACATACAAACCGGCTCCAGAGCGCACCATGCAAGTGTCGTAACGATGACTGGCCTATTTTTATCGCAAAATCAACGCCGTCGCCGGGTTGGGGTGGCACACAAAGAAAGCCATTGTCGCATCGTCCTGAGCAAGAGTGCAACGTCCCTCCTGGCTTAAATACCACGCGCAACGGGGACGGTTGTCCTTCTGACTGTTCCTATTCATCGCTTTTTCGCTTTTCTCTTTCTAGGTTATTACTTCAGCAAACTTCCAACAAAAAACAAACACACCCACCACCAATGCTGCGCGGATTCCTGTTAGCACTCGTGTTCTTTCTCCTGGCCCTCCAGGTCATCTCTTCGCTATTCGAAACCGGCCTATACGCTGCCGAGAAGATCTATTTTGACCAAAACGACCTGACCTACACCAAGGGCTGGCTGTACTACTTCAAGTGGGTGGTGAAATGCCTGTCCTTGGGCGTGGCGCTGGTCCTTCTGGTCGGCAGCCTGTGCTCGTGCTGCTGCGGCGGACCGAAGAACTCTGGCTCCGGCGGCCGCAGGTTCCCGCGCGCCCTGGGCTTCTTCTCGCTGGTCCTGACTGCCCTGTGGGCGGTCGTGGTGGCATTCCAGGTGCGCAACAATGACAAGACCAATGTCATGTCGATTGTCTCGACCTCGATCCAGGCACAAAAGTTCGTCTACCCGCTGGGCGACGGCTTCTCGCTCAAGAACGACTGCAGCGCGTATCCCTTCACCTCGATTGACCACGGCACCACTGCCTGCAAGCTGTTGCTGGCAGAGTCGGCCGTGGCCATTGCATGCCTGGGCCTGTGGGCGCTGACCCTGATCTTCTCGTTCTTCCTGTGCTGCACGGTTAGCCACACCCAGAAGAAGAACGTCCAGCAGGTTGCCTGGGCGCAGCCCCAGCAGAACTACTAACTGGCTTCTTTGTAAAGCCCCCATGTAAATTTTTTGTCCCCTCGTTTTACTTGCTCTCATTTTGCTTTTGGCGTGCGTTTTAATTTAACCACTAAAATGTTGTCTGGATATTTGGCTTTTTTGCTCCCGCTTTTTTGCTCCCGCTTTTTTGCTCCCGTTTTCCTGCTTTGTAGAGTTACCCGCTGCGCAGCGCGGTCCTATTTTTAGAAGAGCGTAGATTTCTGTGAAAATCTGCAAAAGGGCATGGCTGCTTGGCCAGAAAAGTTGTCCGTCTTGCATATTCGCCGACAGACATCAGTGCATCGCTGCCATCGACTGTCTGGCACAACACATCATCCTCTGCTGTCATCGAGCGCACTACGCCAACGATGCCTAAATCCGCCAGCCACTATACTGCAATGCCCTGCCAAGCCCGCAGCTGGCATCCAGTCAGAGGGCACTGATCAAAAATAAGCTCCAAAACTGTTTCTAATTCCAGAAAGCTGCACTGGACAAGAGCTGTCGACACATGCAAATCCAGGTCAAACAAACCGGCTAGTTTTTTCTTTGTTTATGAGAAGCGACAAGAAATCAATCGAATTTCGTCTAAAGGATGAAGCAGCAGATCACGCAGCACAACGGGGCCTTGCTGAAGATAGTGCCAGCTCTTTGTTTCCCTTCTTCTTGCACTTTACCTTCACTTTATACATTGTTAGCGCCACTCTTGGCCTTCTACTCCTTCCTCGCACACTTTAATTTTTTTTGCCTCACATCCTATGCTTCGCACCATCCTCTACCCAATAATCATTGCTCTGCTCGGTGTGCAGACAGTGCTTTCGGCCGTGCAGGTCGGATTCTACGCGACCTACCGCATCCAGTACAGCCGCCACAGCCTCCGATACTACACTGACTGGCGCACATACTACCGTTGGGCCGTGCTCGGCACCTCGCTCGCCATCGCCTTCTTCCTGATGATCGCCAGCCGCCGCGCGCCCTTTGGCAACGACCCGTACCGCAAGGGCTGGCGCCGCGGTCGCACCTACCCGGCCGTGGTCTCCGCATTCGCCTTTCTCTGGACCGCCCTGTGGATTGTCATTGCTGTCCTCCAAGCCTACGACCACCGGCAATCGGATTATAGGAGAAAGAAGGCTGATTCGACCGATGTGAAGGACTTCGTGTTTCCGCTGGGCCAGGGTTTCTCGCTGCAGAACAAATGCGAGACGTTCCCGTACCCAAATATGGACCGCGGGAAGACAGTCTGCAGACTGCTGTATATTCAGTCGGTGCTAGATATTGTTGCTGTGTGCGTGTGGGGGTTGGTGTTTGTTGCCGCAGTGGCCCTGTTCTTTGCGCGGCGCCAGAAGCGTACACCGTCGATTGATGAGACTGTGGCTGCCGATTTTTGAATCATGCGTCGACACACACATGATGCAGAATGTGATTCGATAATGTTATTTGTTTTTTCTTCGCGATATATAATGCAACTATTTCTATGCCTTGTAAGGTGCGTAGAGAGTTAAGTGATATGGGGGGGCCTAGCAATTGCCCAAATTGCCTTCCATGTCCATGTTGAACCAATGCCTTGGCCACGGATCTTTTGCTGGGATTGGAGATACTGGTCGTCTGTCCTGAACTTGAACACGGACAGCTCCCTTTGTATATTGACCAAACGGAACTTTAGGTCGCAGCCAGGTGTCGTTGTTTCATGTCTAGCAAGATATCCACCCTCAACTGCGGCATTGAATTCAGTGTTGTCGACCTTGAGTTGGCGGATGACCTTGGGCAGTTCAGCAATTGAATCGACTTTCTCATCATGCCCTTGGTTATGTACCACGGCCAGTATCCCACTTTCGTTGCCAATGACCCTGAATTGGCTATATACGTGATGTATTCTGAAGAAACCACAAAAGCTGGCCGATAGATGCTAGCATGTGGCTCGTGGATAGATATCCCAGGCCATCGCACATACCGACGTGCTCTTGTTCCACGATGATATGTGGCTTGACCGAGATAAGTAGATCTTAGCCATAGTTCAGGATTACGAGATCAAAGGCTGTATTTCCAAATAAAATTGCTGCATCATCGATTCGACTCACGAGTCGCCCGTCGATGCTGATGATGTCTGCTAGTAAAAGTACCCCATGTTGTCGCGGAAACCAAAATGGATAGAGACACCAATGCCTCAGGTAGAGCAGTGGCCTTTTATATTGCTTCTTTGCATGTCTCGATGGTGTCAGCAATACCTTTGATGGCCTAATTCCATAGCGCCTTTAATGGCATAGATAGTAACGTGCAATGAATCCGTCCTATACCACATGCTTTTTTGATCGCAAAGCGATGTGCGATTGTTTAATATTGCTTTACAGGTCTCCCTTTTTCCTCTGTCGTGATGTACGACTAGCAAGCCGAGTGGAATTACCTTCGTGCCTGCAACACATATCAGGTTAAGGGGTACAATGTGTGGGCAGCTTCTTGGCAGTCTGCGCTAAATGAGTCTGCCAGCTTATCCAGCCTTCCAAACCACAATTTGAAGTGCGCGGATTGATCAGCAACCTCTCAATGCACAGATATGCACATCTTGCATAGTCTATATTTGGATTTATAAAAATACTCATTCACCGAGGCTTGACGCTTGGTGAACTGCAGCCAGTATCAAATATCTTGTCTAAAAATAGATTGGCTCACGTAAAGTGCAAGAGCAAGAGCAAGAGCAAGAGCATTTCTCGTTACATCATGGGCCAGGTCTTTGATAGACGCAGGCTGCCACCCCAGTGTCATGCATAGTTGACATGTCAGCTGTCTGTTATCTTTAAATAGACAACAGACAACCCCCTGCTCGCCGCGGTCCTCACTTCAATCACTCCAAGCTCCATTTCTTTCTCCCATCCCTTCTCGTATAATTTCATTCCACATACATTTCGCTTCCTATTTTTGCCATATTAAACCCACATGTCACGTCGCAGCTACTCGATCATTCTCTTCGTGTTTATCCTACTACAGGTGATTGTATCAATGGCAGAATTCGGCCTGGTGGTCGGCAACCGGGCATACATTGGCAAGCACCTGCCATACACATCCGGCTGGATGAACATATACAAGTGGGTGATATCCCCGGCATCATTTGCAGCATCCATAGCCCTCCTGTACTTTAGCAGCAAGTCGTTGACCGGGCGCACCGATGGACTTGGCGAAAAAGCAATTCAGCGTAACAGCTTCACAAACCGCAAGCGCAAGCGCAGTGGCCGGTCAGTCGAGTTCTACGCTGCTATCGTCTCCTTGCTGTTTGTTGGCGCTTGGTCGGTTGTTCTTGCGTTCCAAGTGCGCTACAAGCTCGATGCAACTGCCGGTAACGACTTCAAGTATCCATTGGATACAGGTCTCTTCTTGAACTACAAGTGCAGCGAAGCGCCATTCTCGCTCAACAGCCATGGTACGAATGCCTGTCGGCTAATGCTGGCCGAGTCAGCTAGTACACTGGTCTGCCTGGCCCTGTGGGGAGTGATGTTCATTGCTTCCATGTTGCTCGGGTTGACAGCAGCCCGCCGTCGCTCGCGGAGCGTCCGGAGGATGAAAGGGAAGATGGTGGACAACAGCTAAATTAATATTAACAGCTGCTCAGCGTGTCAGTTTGTAAATTCCAACATAAATCTAGCTGCCTTGCTCCAAAGTCGAGCATGGCATAACGTTCCTGTCACGAGCATGTGGCTTCATTGGAAGGTTGGTTAGAAATAAATGTGTAGCTTAATCTTTACTCCTTTATCTTTCTCTACATATATATGATTTTATAGTCCATAACATGTGGGGCTGGGTCGCAGATTTAACATCAAAGCGATTTAAGGAACATTGTGATAGAGGATTCCACGGAATGGCAACAACAGATGGTATAACAATATGCATTTTGTTGCAAGACAAGGTATCCAAGGCTGATGGTGCAGTAGATGCTGATGCTGCGGGAGGCGATGCTACAGCTGACTGTCGCTATATCCACCAGATCCCACAGCCATAGCTGCAGAATCTGAAAGGCCGCTGTGTATTCATCGATCCAGGTCGGGGCGATTTACTGTACATGATGCACGAAAATAGCAGCAATGGGAAAGAGGGTGAAAAATGCTCTACCGCTACACACGGCAGCAGCGCAATAAGGAGCTCAAGCTGCGCCACTATGATAGGATTCGTCAGGCTACAAAGGATCAAGTCCCAGAAGATGCTGTCCGCAGAGCAGAGGCGGAGCTTTCCAAGCACTGCTGCCGGACCCTTAGCCCAGCAAAATTCCGTGCCTACGTTGCTGCCTGTGCATCTGTGCGGTGTATCCTAGCACCGTTTTATGCCAACACGATGACAACACGAAGGTTACCAGAGATCGAAGAACCCAACTGTGAAGTGCCATGGCCTTCTCCGCTGTACAAGCGAGTCACGTAAGCGGGCCATGGCATAATACAGGCGGGCCTATTTGTCTCGACTCTTGAACCGCGATCTCGCAGCAGCTCTAAACTTCAGACTCATTTTCCAGTCACTCTGTGATTCAGGCAGTATTCCTGAACGGTTCCGTCGTTCTACGGCCATTGCTGCCGATGCTTCTGGCACCACTCCAGCTACAAAGAACCCGCGCAAGAGGCATGCAGCAGCAGGGGATTCTGCTACCAGCAGCAGCGAACCAGCGCTGAAGCGCCTGCGCTGAGCAGGCCACCAAGGTGGGGAAATGTCCATGATCGACATTGCACCAACAACCATCCGACACGTTCAAATGACCGGTTCGCCGTGATGTTTGTATCGACATGTTAACCCATGCTGACTAGCAGCCAAGCTCGCATAGCGAGCAGAGTAATTCTAGTACAGAGATAATATCAATTGAATGTGCTATCTAAACACAGCCCTTGTCGCCGCCGTAGTAGCGCAGGTATGAATTGTACAGAATGTACTGCATGGGCTCGGACAGTACACGCTTCTGTTTCGGCTTGGCACGCTGCATGCGGCTGCCGGCAGACTGGTGCCGACTGCCGTGCAGTGTGCCAGCAACATCCTCAAACCGGTCATCCTCGTCGCTGTTAGCGTCGTCCTCGTTGCGATAGCGCTGCTGGCCGCCGGCCATCTCCTTTAGCGATGACAGAGCCAGAGCCGAGGTGGGCCGCATCGGGCAGCGACTGAGGATATCCCAGTAATCAGCACTCTTGCTGCTGTTGCTACAATCGCGCATGCCTCCATCGCAATGGCCCCAGGCAGATTCAGGGCTGCTGGCAGTGGTGTACATGTCCACATCATACTTCGCTTCACATGCATATCCGCCCATCATGCGGCTAAGCTTTGGCATGTATTGCATGTTGTGCACCGGCAGTACGCGCTTGGGCCACCACCGCCGCACTTTGGCCGTAGCCGTCTGCAGCTGCGACTTGCCGCACTTCACTGTGGATCCGCGCCCGATTCCCTCGTCATCATCGCTGCTACTGTTGCTATCAGACGAGACCCGCTGGCCCAGGAACACCAGGTCGTCGTAGTCAAATACGTCGTCATCAACGCCGTGGTACAGCTGATGATGGTGCTGGGGTGCACTGCCCATGCCCTCTGAATATCCAGGCGAGTCGAGTGCATCGAGCAGACTGTGTAGGTTCATCTCTACAGACTGCTTTTCGCACAGCGACGATGGCTCGTGACCGCCCATAGAGCCAGAGTCAGACAGAGTAACCGCTGATGACCCAGACGAGATCGTCGAGCTTGATGACGAATGGCCAGAACCTGATGGTGGCAATTCGCCCCTGTCCATCTCTGCGCCATCGATCCGGGCACCAAACATGCGGTCGATCGACTCAGAGAGCAGCCCGCTGCTGTCCTCGCCCATCGTCCAGGCCTCATGCAAACTGTTGCCAGATGAGCCCGACGACGAGCCCGACGACAGCGACGACGAGCTGGAGCAAGCCGTCCCCGAGTACTGCTCGTGCAGGTCCTCGAGACTCAGCAACCGGAAGCCGGCCGACGGAGAAAGCGACGCACTGCCATTCGCCAGCTTCTCGCTGAAATCATTAGCCATGGACTCCGTAGTTGCCTGCTCAACAGCCTCCGCACTATTCTCTGCGACAGGCGGGGGGTTCGATCCCGCACGGTGCTTCCCACGCTGGCTCTGGCTCTGGGCCTTTCGCCCACGTGCACGCGATAGATGGCGCGTAAACCGGTGCCGGAAATCAAACAAGCCAGCGTTGCTCCCCTGGGCCAGCAGCACCGTCTCGTTCTCGGTCTTCTCAAGCCCGCTTTCCAGCGCCGTCATCTCCTCAGCTCCAACTACTGATGCATAGTTGATGTCTAGCGACTGCAGAGACTTGCTAGCCATCGGCAGCTCATCGCTGCCGACCGCCAAAGGCGCGGTATAGGTTTCTGCGGATGGTAGATTGGCGCATGACGACGATTTTTTAAACAGCCGGATCCGACCACTGCCACTGCTGCTGGCTGCCTTGTGCTCGATAGCGAGCTGTGACCGCGCCAGCATCTGCGACATCCCAAAATCGTCGTCCTCAATGACTATCGAATCACCGTCATCCATATCATCAGTGCTCAGGTCGAACTCCACAGACATGGGGGCTGACAGTGCCTGCGGTGGGCTGCGCCGGAGCAATGAGCCGCGCAGCAGATCTCGCGCTCCCAGCCCGTGCTGGTGTCCATGAATTGTTGATCTTGAAGAGGCCGCTTTGTCGCTGCCGGCGCTGTCAATGTTCTGCATATGTTGCTCTAGTGCAGTATAATGGTCTGCTGCCATTACCGATTCTACCGTGCCCATCTGTGCTGTGGTTCCTGTGCTCGTTGCTTCGGGTGCAATGCTTGTTGTGCTGCTGTTATGTGTGCTGATGGCCGTAACCGGTAGGAGTGGCCACGCAAGGTCAAGCGAAATGTAGTCAAACTATATCGTGTAAGGTGGATAAAGGGAGCTCTGAGATACCGTGCAAGTAAGGTATGTAAAAGGAGGGGTATCAATTAGAAATGTGCAGCGGGCACAGAGGAGGCATGAAAATGAGGAGAAATAGAGTTTTGCCTGTGCGTTTCAGCAAGTCAGAACGAGCCGCATGCTCCTCTGGACAGCAAATAGCTTATATAAAGTCAGCAGCGTTCCTTAGTGTGGAGAAGCAGGGAGGGCCACGACTCTACGCTATCAGCCCAAGGGTTAATGGCCTCCTCTCTAGTTTCCAACACGCTGAAAAGGGGGAATGCGGGGAGCGCAGCGAAAGTTTTCTGTCAATTTGGACATTGCGCCCACACCTCCACTTCAATAAAACAGTTACTTCTCGTCTGGACAGCCTGTGCGGGGGGAGAGACAAGAGTAGACGGATCACTGGTTCGTATGAGACAAACACTAGTCTCACACAAGCTGCTGCTACGTTTACTATCTCTCCTGCCCGCCACCGCAGAAACAAAATGTTCTACCCTCCGGTAAAGTAGCATCTGAACACAGCCCTTACAGTCACGCTGAGAACCAGTATATAGCATGCAAGCAGATGGTTAGCAGTCTGGGCGTGCCAGCGACTTACCTGTTCAAAATGCATGTCGATGATGTCCGCTGGAAGCTCGATTACAACATGCTCCTACAGCATGACGGAAAAAGGCGGAAAATGCGCATGCACACCAAAGCATGTGCTTTTCGTATTTAGCAATTAATGGTGTACGCGTCGCCAGGTATTGCCCATGAGGACCTGCATGTTGCACAAGCATGACACCTACCGGTGGACCACGTATTAACAATCTATCGCGCCACGGCAGCTACAAGAACAAAAGGCGTTAGGATTGAGACAAACACGCAGGAAAAAAGGTCGCTTGTTTCGAGGAAAGAGCAGGGAAAACAAGTAGCCCTCGGCCGGCTGTCCAGTCCAGCCAATACAGCTGAGGGGTGTTGCAGGACAGGCAAGGCACCAGTTACTAGCTCTACCAACACCACCGGCCCTGCCAGACTTATTGCCTAGCTGGTAATGTGCTGCAGCCAGCCTCGGTATCATTCACTGGCCAGCTGCCTTCCGCCACACATCGGCAGCAAATATTAGCGAAATAGCTCTCAGCTACTGCGCGGGCTTGCTCTGGCCTCTTTCCTTCTATCTATACACATGCTGCATGCCGCCCTTACCTTCTTCTGGCCAAACTCTGCAATAGCCGATATAACAAATTGGTTGTACACGTCCAGCAGGAGCCATATCAATGACCTCCGCTTATGACGCTGTGTGCTGCTGGACGACCGCCATCCCGGGTCCAGAACAGATATGCTCCACTTTCGAGCCGCGCGCTCCACCATCATATACAGCGACCAAGTGCACACCGCCGATATGTACAGCGTGGCTCGCAGAAGCCATATTCGCGGCAGCGACGTTCCCCCGCCCGCACCGCGCCCGCCGCCCATCCCCGGCAAGTAGTCGCCAGGAAGTATTGTGGGCATTTCGAAGCCAGTTAAAAAAATAAGGGTCTCCCGGAATTAAGGGGCAGAAATATTATAAATTAGAAGCTAAAAAGTATACAGGAAATTGAAATTGGGAAAAGAAAAAAGGTCCAGGTCCCGCGTTGCTCCGAGCGCTTTTGACCAGCAAGGGATTCGCCTTTTTGGGTTCACAATGAGCAAGCGACCGCGGCTAGTTTCACATATTTTTAGGCTGCGCCTGTGCGACCCAAGTCGACCCCTCCAAGCGGTACACTGCTATAGACTGTGCAAGGCGCTGTAGGGCGACTGCTGAGGATTCGAGTGCACAGCAGATAATAATAGCTGCGGACTTTGGCCAGTGTTGGGGCTAGCGCATGTACTATTGGGTGAGCTCACACATAGAACCTGCTTGGAGATTTCGCCACATTGTCCCGCAGTACTTTCTAGTCCGAGCACCTATTGCCTGGAGATCATTGCGTTGACAGCATGCGCATACGACTGGCTGAGGCGGGTGAGAAGGAAATCTACTGTGACCTGGCCGTTAGGATCTTTGATGGCCTCGGCGCGCGCCTTGGTGTTCAGCCCCTCCATCACCTTGTACAGCGACTCGCGGTAATCGTACTCGGCAAAGTCGTTGTTGAGGCCCTTTGCTGTGTCCTTGTCTTCCAGGAACTCGGCCAGCTTGATGTAGATGGTGCGCTCGTTGGGTGTGCCAGTGTTGGCTTTGGCCAGCTGCTGTCCAAGCGTGTAAAACAGGACCTTTTGCTGGAGCGACCATGTGGCAGCAGTCAGTTGAGTAAACAATGCGAATAGCGCTACAGTACGAAACCACATAGTGTTGAAGATGAGAAAAGGTACGATGCTGGCTGTCTGCAGAAATGCCTTTGGGTATACCATGTCGTTTATATAGCAAGGCTAGGGTGGGAGTGTAATGAATACATGTGTCAGATGTGGCTATTACTGCTCCAGTGCGGGATAGCCATTGACAAACAAATAGTGTGGAGCAGCTATCACCATTGAAACATGAATAAAGGTGAGAATGAAGTGAAGAACCCTCGCTTGGCAATCGATAAACGGGATTGAGGGATAGTGCTTCTTGAGGCCAGCGATTGTTTTCTGGATGCTATAGAACTACACCTTAAATGGCAAGCATTTATAGACAATGTATACCATCGGCATCTCTTGAGGTCTTACTAGAAATACTCTGCTCGCGATGCGAGCTCGGCTGCTAGTCAGCATGGGTTGACACGTCGATAAGGGCATCACGGCGAACCGGTCATTTGAACGTGTCGGATGGTTGTTGGTGCAATGTCGATCATGGACATCTCCTGTCTTGATGGCCTGCTCTGCGTAGGCGCTTCAGCGCTGGCTCGCTGCTGATGGCAACAGAACCGCCTGCTGCTGCACGCCTCTTGCGCGACCTCTTTGTTGCAGGGGTGGTGCCAGAAGCATCAGCAGCAATGGCCGTAAAGCGATGGAACCGTTCAGGAATACTGCCTGAACCACAGAGTGACTGGAAAATGAGTCTGAAGTTTAGAACTGCTGCGAGATCGCGGTTCAAGAGCCGAGACGAATAGGCTCGCCTGTATTGTGCCATGGCCCGCTTACATGACTCGCTTGTACAGCGGAGAAGGCCATGGCACTTCACAGTTGGGTTCTTCGATCTCTGGTAGGGCCGCGGGTTGGGAACATGCCGGAATGTCTGCAGCGACTTTTCGCAGCAGAACGGGCACATCGACGATGTCCGGAATTCGTCGATCAGATAGACTTCAAAGCCATGGTGCTTGAACCTGTCGTGCCACCCCTTGCCACGAATCGGCGCATGGTGTCGGGCCATTGGCGCACTCCAATTGCCCATGATCAGCACTGGATCTGGACCGAACTTGCTCCGGAGTTTCGCAGCAAGCCTGTGGTCTGCACGGGCCTGGTTCATGAATGAATCAAGGCGCAGCTTGCGGTGAAGCGGGTACACCTTGGGACTGGTACTGACACCTGGATGGGCCTTCCAGCGCCTTTGGTGCTGCTTGTTTGACTTAGTGAGTTGCTGCTCTGGTAACCTTCGCGCTGTCATCGTGCTGGCATAAAACGGTGCTAGGATACACCGCACAGATGCACGGGCAGCAACGTAGGCACGGAATTTTGCTGGGCTAAGGGTCCGGCAGCAGTGCTTGGAAAGCTCTGCCTCTGCTCTGCGGACAGCATCTTCTGGGACTTGATCCTTTGTATCCCAACGAATCCTGTCATAGTGGCGCAGCTTGAGCTCCTTGTTGCGCTGCTGCCGTGTGTAGCGGTAGAGCATTTTTTCACCCTCTTTTCCATTGCTGCTATTTTCGTGCATCATGTATAGCAAATCGCCCCGACCTGGATCGATGAATACACAGCGGCCTTTCAGATTCTGCAGCTCTGGCTGTGGGATCTGGTGGATATAGCGACAGTCAGCTATAGTACTGCCTCCCACAGCATCACCTCCTGCAACATCGCCTGTAGCATCGCCTGTAGCATCGCCTCCCACAGAATTGCCTCCCGCAGCATCGCCTCCCGCAGCATCGCCTCCTGCACCATCAGCATCTACTGCACCATCAGCCTTGGATATCTTGTCTTGTAACAGAATGCATATCGTTACACCATCTGTTGTCGCCATTCCGTGGAATTTTCTATCACCATGCGCCTTAAATGGCTTTGATGTTAGATCTGCGACCCGGCCCCACACATCCCACACAGGTTGTGTGATCCCTTGGACCGGGTCGTGTGCACAGACTGGGGGTGCTGATGCATATGCATTGTTAAGTGCTGCAACAGTGTCTGCTGCTGCTGCCGATGCAGCAGCAAGTGAATCAGCCGCTACTGCTGCAGTTGCTGCAGTGGCCTCTGTTGCATCCGATGGCATCTTCGCTGCTTCGCGTGCAGCCTTCTTGGCCAATTTTTTGCCCTTTTCTGCTGCTTTCCTTGCCTCTGTTGCTGCCCTCTTTGCGGCGTTGATCTGTGTAACCTGCTCGCATGTCTTCGAAATAAACACCTGCTTGATTATTTGCTTGTCCAAACGCACATGGCCTGGGATCCATGATGTCCGCAGAGGCAAGCATTGGGGAGGAGACTTGCCAAGCTGCTCATTCTCGATAAGCTGGCATAGGCGAATGTATGCACGCAGATGCTTAAGTGGATTTACCTTGGCATCATAGTATCGGCTGTCTTTGGCGAATCTGTACTTGGCACCATAGGCATTAAGGACTGGTGCCAGCTTGTTGTAGATTGCAAGCATCGGTGGGGTGAGCACACTGAGATCAGGGTGTCTAGAGGCAACTGCCTGGCGGAGCTTCTGTGCGGGTGTATAGATACACACTTGACATGCATTATTGAACTCAGCCTTGGACACATTGCCCATTGTACTGTGCAGTGTGTTTTTGCGGCTGCGAATATCAATCAATTTGGCCAGAATCCGCTGTAGGCAAGTGCCATAGTGCAACACAATGTTGTTCTTGTATGCTGTCATCAGCTCGGTATCCACGTATGTCGCTACCTGATTCATTTCACGTACGCCATGTAGCTCGATATCGCCATTATGTAATAGATAATCATAAATATGATATCTAACTACATCACCGAAATCTGCGCTCGACAGTTCTGACCTGTCCTTCCGGTTAACGAAATCCTCGGCAGATATGACAGTCTTCGCCTTCAGGTTGCGATAAATGAATAAATAAATAAAACGAAAAAAACCCTTTTTCACAAATGTTGCTGGGTCAAAGGCATCATCGTAAGCTAGCTGATGGAGTAGTATCCATCGTGCAAGCATGTATGTATGCTCTTTGATGATATTGACGCTGTGTACAAATTGCTCTAGGCGGGGCAACATAGAATCACGGAAGCCAATACCACCAAGTGATGTCTTTATGACAGTAGTGCTGCGGGTAATATTCATTTGAGAAATTCAATAGGCAAGTAAGAAGAGAAATGATGCTGTTCAGTTTTGCTGTATTGCAGATGCATAGCATTAAGAACTTTTTATTAATAATGATCTGGCTTGCATGGTTCTTGGGGCTCTTAGCACTGATACAGTCTCTTGAATCAGTCTATACAGACTGGGTCCATTGTGACCCAAATACTACCGCTTACGCATGTTCATAAGACAAATTAATTTATAAAATAAACCCACAAATATTGCATGACCGCTAGAAGAGCTATATGGCCTCATTCAATAGGTGCTCATAAATAAATATCCTAAGAGTGTTGCGCAGCCGGTGATGACCACCATGATGACGCCATAGAAGTTATCAGGCTGACCGACAATGAGAGCAGCTCTTGTGCTGAACCAATGGAGATATCCAGTGGAGACCTATGACCACTACAATAACAACTTGTCACCCTGGTTTCACCGATGAGGTCAGATGCCGCACAAGATCAAAAGGAGTTTACAGAGCAAGTCACTCAAACCCGTGTTGAAGCTTAAGAGTTTTTTTTAACCAATTAAATAATTTCTAGCGGACGGTCGGACACTTTTTGGACTATACAATCTTATATATAGGTAAAGATATAAGCATGTCTTGGGAAAAATGCGCGCAAGTCCACAATCTGAACAAACCATATCCATCACAAGTACATGATCTGCCATGGCTAGCAGATTCCACACAAAGGACACAAATTTTATTTTCGCTACTTTTAAAAAGATCAACCTCACCTACCTCAATATTCACCTACCGCTTGGTTGTCGATATGGACTCAACGCTGCCTTCTGCACAGAACGCCTTGCCTGACATTCTTGGTCTTATTTTCGACCGCATCGAGTATGGCAAGAAGCTGAAGAACGAGTAGGAAAAGTTGGATCACAGAAGAGTGGTTGATACCACCAAGTCGCTTCTCTCAATTGCGCAGGTCTGCCGCTCATGGAGAACTGCTGCGCTGCCTTACTTCTACCAAAGCGCTGAGATGCTTCTCATGCCTGTATCGGATGAAACCCGCTATTATCCAGAGATGGATTACCCAGAGCTCTCTATGGCAGCCGCTGCTGGGCACAGCCAACTTGTCCGCTCAGTATACCTCTTTCTGTCGCTTGACCATATTGTTGACGGCATCTCCACCACTATGCTGAAAGCTGGCGCTCTTTCTGCGGCGATCTTCCCAAATGTGACTGAGCTCGTGCTCTATTTCAACAGAAGCAACGTCTTTATCCAAGGAAAATAATCGGAAGAAGTCGGCTCTTTCATTGAGCGTATCCACCAGCTGTTTCCGAATGCACAGGACAGCTCGTTCGTTATTAATCCAGGCGTGTGGGCCGACTATGGGGGCATATGCCAAAACTTGATGGGTATTATTGCCCCAATGCCGAGAACCTTTCTATTCCGCGGGCTTGCAGATGAAGGTACCGAAATTCAGGGAGAATTTGGTACTGGGATTCAGCGTATGTACCTTGAAATGTATCAGATCTCCGCATGTCAGCTCGCATATTCTAATAGGGACACTATCAAAGAGCTGGTGCTTCGTCTAACACCGGATGCCGATGACGAGATAGCCCTCGGAGATATATCAGAGGACCTGGAATCGCTATTCAACTGCATCTATCCGAAACTCACCAGGCTATCCATCGAGACAGGACAGGATGTGGTGGGGTGTTTTAGCTTGCCTGATATTAACCTGTTTCCATCGCTGACCAGCCTTTCTCTGAACACATACTGTGACTTTGACATTGGTTTTTTTGTTGACGACGCAAGCGATAACCTAACATCTCTTACGATATACCTCACCAAACCCATTGTGAGATCGCTTCGTGGCCGCGTGTTCCCTAACCTCGTTTGTGTCCGTATTCGGAAAACTGACATAACGATTGGGCTCTATGGTATCGACGCTGTAATTGAGGCGGCACATCTGCCTTTTTTAGTCGCGCCAAATGCCGAATATATCGAAGCCTACTGCCATTCATTGCGCTACCGTCAGTCTCCCCAATCTTTCATCCCGCAAAACCACTCGAATCCGCAGCTTCGCCATCTAATTATCAGCCAAACTACGCTTACCCTCAGCGTACTCCAGCAGGTTCTGGCTCATTTCCCTGGGCTGATTAGGATTGGAGTTGACGGGATCCAATCCGATGAAGGAGTCTATCTTAATACGTCGGACAACGAGGTTAGCAGGCTGCTGACGGAGCTCCCAATCCTCAGTACTAGTCTGAGACGGATTGATTTTATTACCTCGTGGACTGTCGATTCGCTGATGGTCGTCGCTATTGCGAAGCTGCCCTCCCTCAGGATGGTCACTATCAGAGCTGCCAGTGAAATGCTTGATGAATATAAGGAAGAAATCGGCAAATCGGTATAGGACGAGTATCGCGATAGCTTGAGCAGACCGCTATTCAGTGGAAATCACATTTGGTAGTTGCGACTTCATCTCCATCTGCAATATATTTGTTTAGCCTTTAGTGCTTTCATATCTGTGAGTGCTTTATGATGTGTTGACATTCGGGCAACCCCATGCCCTTCGTCACCATGTGCAGATCCAAGTCCCCACCTGTATAAACACTGTGGGCCGGAACGGCCCCATCCTCCCTTTTTTCTTCTCAGAAAATTTCCAGTTTATTTCATTCCATAAAGCTCATAACTACTGGATTCTCTAAAGGTTGACATGATGTATCATTGTCATTAGACTTGAAGTATCATATTAAAGCCTGCTGCTACTAAGTGAATCGGCCAAGATAGCCTTGTAAGAATGCGCAGTATCAAAAATTTTCTGGCACTGAAATGCAAATGCCTGTGGTTCTCGCCGTTGAGTTCCAGACTAGTGGTGATATAGCGCTACTGGACTTGTCCACACCCAGCCCCGTGTATCGCAGCATTAATGACCTTCAGTTTCGGTCGTCATATGCTGTTTACTTTTTTCATACATCGATATACTAGCAGATCTTGACTTGCTTGGTTTGCATTTGCCTCAAAACAATGACATGTAAGACTGATGGTGAGAGGTTGACTGGCCATCTCATTTCTTGGCAGGAACATCCCGCTTGAAACTGCGTATGGGTAGTAAATCTGTCAAGATATGTGGTTTTCTGCTGCTCAAGAGGTCTCTTGGCCGAAAATAAGCTGCAGTGGATTGCGGGCTATCCATACATGCTAGCTTCCAACGCTGCTCCATTTTAACGATGCTATGAACATGGTATTCAAAAATACGATTGGCCTGAGGTTTTGGCAGCAGACCAGTGTGTTAGAATCTCAAGATCCGATTACTGTGAACTACATAGTTTTTCATCCAGTTGTTCATTTTTCATCTTCTTTTTGGCTGTGCCACCTGAGCGATGGTATAAAAACTTTGCGCTCACCTCTCCCTTCCTACTTCTCTTTAGCTTTCCTCATCAATATATATTTCTTGACTCTGTCGCTTTCTATTGCTGATATGGTCACACCGCTTGCACATCTCTGGATTAAGATACCATTGCTTGACAGCTTGTTCAGAATTTGCGCTATACGAAAGCTACACACATACCCACATATATGGTATCTTTCATTACTCGTTTCTTATTTCTTTTTCTTCTTGCCCTACACCACCCACCGTGTGCTCTAGACCTACAACACGCTCTGCTGCGAAAAGTCGCTGCAGACATTCCAGCATGTTCCCAACCTGCGGGCCTACCAGAGATCGAAGAACCCAACTGTGAAGTGCCATGGCCTTCTCCGCTGTACAAGTGAGTCATGTAAGCGGGCCATGGCACAATACAGGCGAGCCTATTCGTCTCGGCTCTTGAACCGCGACCTCGCAGCAGGTCTAAACTTCAGGCTCATTTTCCAGTCACTCTGTGATTCAGGCAGTATTCCTGAACGGTTCCGTCGTTCTACGGCCATTGCTGCCGATGCTTCTGGCACCACTCCAGCTACAAAGAACCCGCGCAAGAGGCATGCAGCAGCAGGGGATTCTGCTACCAGCAGCAGCGAACCAGCGCTGAGGCGCCTGCGCTGAGCAGGCCACCAAGGTGGGAGATGTCCATGATCGACATTGCACCAACAACCATCCGACACGTTCAAATGACCGGTTCGCTGTGATGTTTGTATCGACATGTTACCCCATGCTGACTAGCAGCCAAGCTCGCATAGCGAGCAGAATAATTCTAGTAGCTAATAATGAACAGACCCCCGCTCCCACCAGGGTGTAGCGCAAAAATGTTTTTTTTAGCAGAATAGCCGAGCATTGGGTACATTTGCGCCAAAATCAGTCACGGTCACAGCCTTGTCATGCGAACAAGACACAATCCTTGAACGGTCAAACATGAGCTTGAAAACCCTGGACGTGTGTGCAGTCTTGATTCGATGTAGCAGCTCGCCAGATTCAAAGCTCCACACCTTTATAGACTCGTCATACGAGCCCGACACAATGACGCCCATTTCGCGGTTGAACATAATGGTGCGGACCAGATCGGTGTGGGCGTTGATGATGGTGCGCTCGCACTGGCCAGTCTCGATATTCCAGATGCGGATTGACCGGTCGCTGCTGCCCGAGGTAATGTATTTGCCGTCAAAATCCAGACATGCGACGCCGCGGGTATGGTCGGACAAGGTTAAAATGCACGAGCGCGTGCCCAGGTCCCACACTTTTATTGTGCGGTCGCCCGAGGCCGACACCAGGATATCGTCGACCAGCTGCACGGCATTGATGGCCACACGGTGGCCGCGCAGCTCAAACGAGCTGGCGTAGGCAGAGCCACGCTCCCACACCCGCACAGTCCGGTCCTTGGACGACGTCACCAGCCACTTGTCGTTGAACCGCAGCGACAGCACCGAGTCCGAATGCCGCAGCGTATGTAGGACTGTCTGTGTTTTCAAGTCCCACACGCAGATGGTCGCATCGGAGGATCCCGTAATCAGCGTGTCCCCGTCGACCTGCAGCGTGAGCACAGACCCCGTGTGGGCACACAGCGTGGCCAGCGGCGTGATCTCACCGTTGTCAGCCAGATACCACACCTTGACCGTGTGATCGCGACTGCCCGTGAACAGGCGGTTGTGGCGGTCAAACTGCAGACAATAGATGCTCTCTGTATGCGCATTCGGCCACCTTATAGTCCTACAGTCCCCATGCGCCCAGTTCGACTGCAGCAGATGCTGGCGCTTGTACATGTCGAGCCAGTCCACCGGTGCGATCGGCGGTGCGCTCTCGTGGTGTGCCAAGGCTGTGCAGTTAGCCGGGATATTGGTAAGTGGGGGCAGGAAACTGACGTCAACAACCGCCTGCCGCCGGTACAGTTTGCCACGGACCCGGCGCTGCTGGATAGATTCGGTGCTCGGCGACTCGGGATAACTGAACAAACCAGGGCCGTTCTGCGACGGATTGTAGTGACGTTGGGTGGTGGCGCGGTCTGGCGCCGGCTGGAACATGCCCGGCAGCGTAGGCATGGGCTCGGCAAAAGAGAACTCTCCACACAGCACATTCGATTGTATGCCAGAAGGGCTGCGCTGGCCGCGCTGCGAGACGTACGCCTGGTCGACCTCTACCGGCGGCTGGCTCAGCACCGAGGCAAACCGCGGCGCCGTATCCCCGTAGAACCCACCTGTGGTCTTGGTGGCCGTGCCGGGGTTTGGAGAGAACGACATGCTCGCCAGCTGCTGGTTCAGTGAACCAATGCTAGGCAGTGGCTGGCTGGCGAGGCTGCCGGCGTTACTGCGGCTGCGCTTCAGCGCCACAAGCTCACTGTACGGGTTCTCGATTTCCGGCAACGGCTGTGTGCTCCACGGCTTGGGTGCCCAGGCATGTCCACCCCTTACCCGGCTGGCGGCCTTCTTGCGGCTGGCCATGGCAGTGCCGTAGTTTATCGGCACAAACGAGTGCTGGGTGTCGTCCGAGTACTGCTCCAGCATCACCACGTCCGGGCTCATTTCGACCGGCAACGTGTTGTAGAATGCCCACCGGTCCATGTCGATTTTCCAGCCTTGCCGCATGAACAGCGAATGCCACAGAGAGCGGCTGCGGGTCACGGACCACCACTGGCGGCTCACCAGCGAGACACTCTGGGTTATGTCGGTTAGCGGCAGGTAACTGAGGATCCGTGTGGACAGCTCGATCGGCAGATCGCGGATAAAGTCTCTGCGCATCATAGCGTCGAGGCGAGCCATCAGTGTGGTGCGGTGCTCCAGTGGCAGGCGAGTGAACATGGCCTCTATCAGTGCTGTGCGCAGTTCGTCGGTGAGTGGCACACCCGTGCTCTCAATAAGCGTGTCGAGCCAGTCGTGGTGCACCATGGCTTGCCGGGTGGATGGAGACGTGGTCGCAGAGCAGTTGTTGTGTTCGTCGAAACCTTCGTCCTGAAAGTCATTCATTTGGGGGAGAGTCGTAAAGAACAAATATAAAATAAGGGAGGGGGCGATGGAGGCAAAGGAGAGCAAGCAAACAGAAGGCGCCCGAGTGCAAGGAATAAATTACGCGAATGAAATACGGATGATTGTTAGAGACGAAAAATGATGTGGGGTAGCGAGGAGCCAAGAGGCGAAGAATGGCAAGCGAGCAGCTGCCTTGGGCCGACAGTTTGCAGATAAACGGCGAGAATATTGGCTGGATGCGCTTCCCATTTGATATCTTCAGGTGCCGGAGCGGGCGAGGGGAGTCTGGGGTTTAGAAAGGCTGCTGCAATAATGCGCAGGTGTCACAAGCACCATCGGAGGCAGCTGATCGAAGCCAGCGCGCCTCCCAGTCTACCAGCAGCACCAGAAGCAATGGCTGCTTCCAGCGCAGTACCACTTTGCCGATCAAGCCCGTACGACCCAACGAGTGGTCTTCATAGAAGAACCGCGAACCGCGAACAATCGGCGCCAACTTTAGTTTTTTTGGGTGCCTTCTAACAGCGCTGATTTTCTCAATCGTGAATGCATATTAATCCCGACAAGCGGCAGAGACAAAAATAGCTCAGTTTGCAGCGGGCTCGGGGCTCCAATACCGGATCTTGTGGTCAGCGCAGCATGACATAAATGCGTGGGCGTTGGGTGCCGGCTCAATCCACGTCACCGCTGCGTGGTGGTGGGCCGACCGCTTCAGCAGCTCGCCCGACTGAGCATCCCACGTCACCACCGAGTTGGATCGCTCATCGGCAGCCATCACAAACGCCTCGTCAAACGAGAAGACCGCCCTCGCGCTCAGCGACTCCAGGGCCGCGCCCTCGTATGCACATGCCAGGCGCCCGGTGCCCACGTCCCACAGGCACGCGCGGGAGTCAAGCCCGGTGGACAGCAAGTATTTGCGGTTCTTGGAGAAGCTGACGCCCGTGACCGCCCGCCCGCCGTGTGCGTCGGCAATCGTCCGCACGCATTTGCCAGCCTGGCCATCCCACAGCTTGACGGTTCCGTCGCTCGAGCTGCTGGCAACCAGCGAGCCGGTGTTCGAGTACCGCACCTGCGTCACGCTCTTTGCATGCGCATCTCCGCCCAGCAGGTATCCCTGCGACGTCTTCACATCGTAGAGGCGGATCTCGGGCGCATCCCCGCCAGCGGCAATATACTCGCCGCTCGGGTGGAATGCAATCGAGCGGTAGGCGAAGTTGTCCTGGATGGTCTTGAATGCGTGCTTGCCGCGCACCACCGTCAGGTCAAACAGCTTGATTGTGCGGTCCGACGAGCACGACGCCAGCACCAGCCCGTTCGGGTGGAACGCCAGCCCCGTGATTCCCAGCTCATGGTTGTACATGGCCCGGATCACCGGCTTCTCGTCTGGACCGGCAGGCTCGGCCGACGGCCCACGCAGGCGGTCCACCTCGATCAGCTTCAGCGACGCATCCATCGAGCCCGTCGCTATGTACCGGCCGTCATTGCTGAACCCGGCGGTTGTCGCTATGCCCTTGTGCGTTGTCTGGTACCACAGCCGGTAGTCGGGCACGTCGCTGGCCGTCAGCCCTCGCCGCGGCGCCTCCAGATCCAATGCTGTGCCTGTAAACGAGTCGTCGTCACCAGCCATCGATTTGTCATCGCCCTCGGTCTCCATGGCTTCCTCGGTGCGCGCATTGTCCTCGGCGGCTGCCTGGCCCTTTTCAGCACGCAGGCCCAGCGAGACCAGCTCCTCCAGTCGCGAATTGCTGTCAGCCGTCATTGGCACGCCTGTGTGCGTAGCAATTGCCTGGCTGAGGCTGGAGAACCCGTATGCCGACAGCTGGCACAGAATCAGCCGCAGCACCTCTTCCCGTCTGACGCCCGTGTCCATTTTGGAATATAAAATGCTGAATTTTGTGAATTTGTTCGCTCGGAATCAGAAAAAGACGAAAAAAAAAAAAAAAAAAACTCAGTCGCGTCACTCGAGTGACAGAACACGAGGAAATGGGGCTCACTGCACGTGCACTTGCTGGCCTTGTACTCTTGTATCTGAGCCACTTTGCTTTTTTCCTCTTTTTTTTTCCTCACCCTTGAATTTCCATTAGCACACTCTCGCGGCGCTACTCCAACTTGCACACCCACACACATCCCGGCTACGACCTTGGATAAAACGACGGACCCCTATTTGCCCTTACACCAACCATGGACGACGACGATGGCAGCGATTCTGACTCATTTTCATTACCTCCAGCCGTGAGTTCCGTGAAACCCCACGAAATCACCCAGCTCGCCCTGCGGGTCGCCCGCCAAACCACTCCCCACCACCTGCACCTCGAGGGGTCTCTTGCCCAGACATTGCACTGGACCGCGCCATCGACTTTGTCTGGCGTCTAGGCGCCGAGTACCCGGAAACCCAGCTGGTGCCAGCCGGCGACCATGCGCGCATCTACATGCTGCAGTTTGTCGGTCTGTGGACATCGAGCGTGCTGCCGGCAGTTATCAGTGGCACCAAAGTCAACGAGAACGACTTGGTTACGCTGGCCAAATGGCTGAAGTGGCAGAGGCACGCGAACCAGCGCAAGGGGCCGTTTTGGCTCGGCCGCCGCATCGCTCTGCCCGAGGTCGTTGTAGCGCCGTTTGTCGATGAGCTGCTGTTTGATGGCCGGATGCCGGATTCACCCGAGTGTGCTGCGCTAGCCGCTTGGCTGGCTGCTATCCAGGCGTCGCTGCTCATTGTAGCCTAGCAGAGGAAGTGCCGGTGTTCTCACACTTCCTTCTCCCGACCGCCCACCTATTTCAGTAGTCTCCAAATGTTTTCCAAACAAGATCTTCCACGATTGCCTGGAAAGTGTGACCCTCTCCATGCGGGCACGATTTGCTTCGCCTATGATACCCTGTCACCATGGGTTTCTGTGTCCAATGCAAGCTGTGTATCGAAACATGCTGGGAAGCTGCCATGGTCGTACGCATGGGGCTTGCCTAGAAAAAAGTATACCATATAGGAGTGCGTAGATGATTGGTATTTTCCTGGTCCATCTAGGAGAGCAATTTGCTGTTGGCCATGGGCAGCAACAGCGATTTGAATGACTGAAGCGTTGGTACGGTATATGCGTTGTAAAAAGGTGTCGTACAAATTGTTGCTCTGAAAACACAAGTCATATTTACCCCAACCTTTACCAGACCAATATTGCCATGGCCTTATGACATATACAACTACACCTAGAAACATTGGTTATATCTGCAATTTTCTCTCTGCCACCTCGAAGAAAGTATTTTCTTAGTAGTCAAGCAATGCAGGAATCTTACTATCCGATTTCTGTGAATCAAATAGCTTTTCATTCTGCTGTTCCTTCTCTTTTTATAGATTTTTTGTGTTGGCTATACCACCTGAGCGACAGCATAAAAGTTTTATGCTCACCTACACACTTTCCTCTTTCTTTAGAATTATTTACTTCAATATAATCCTTGGCTCTGTCACTTAATGTTGATACTAGTCTTACACTACTAGCACCCTTTTGGACTTGTTCTAATTCATAGGGTTTCAGGAACCCATGAATCAAACCCCCTAGGCCACAATAGGTACTCATACTATTCCAGGCAATTAATACCACTACTTAGATGGGAATCCACCCCTTCACCTAACGATTCCTCCTTCCTTCTTTCATTCAGCATATTACATATGTTCAATATATATTATGGAAAGGTGCTTAGATAGTAAATGTGTTTGCCCTATAGAATAGTATGGCTGGCCATTGTGGCCTAAAAGGTCTTGATCTATAGGTTCCTAAAATCATAAGGGTTTGGAACCACACTATTTACACATATATGAGGTTAAGGGGCTAAGGTTGCTAAACAATTGGTAGGCTTTGTCTGCCTACTAACAAACTACCAGAGATATACTATTAGTAAACTTTTCATCATAACTGATCTGTGACAAAGAGACATGGGGCCTGCCCTAGGAGGCTCATAAAAAACCAGCCTGCTTCACTAATTGCTAATAAAGGCTTTATAGTCGAAGTTCTAGCTCTGGTTCCAAATCCACAAGAGTTTAGTAATCCTATATATCAACCCACTAGCCCACATTGACCATTCATACTATTCCAGAGGGACTAATACTACTACTTAGACAGGCACTTACCCTTTTACCTAATAGCTCCTCCTTCGTTCTTTCATAAAGCACATTCTATATAACAAATATAAGTTATAGAAGGGTGCCTAGAGAGCAAGTATATTCCAAACAATTGCAGTAAATTTCTTATCTAAGTTTATCACAATGGAGACATAATACTTAGAAACCACACATATCTAGGCAAAATGAAAGGTCCCCTGTTCTTATAGGAATAGGAGGCATCTACATTCCTGGATCCTGATGCAAGGGACAAGTTTGATTTGAAAACGAAGCAGTACACATTCTGACCAGGTACATGAAATATCCAGGTAATGCAAGCTCGATTTTATAGTCTTGTTGCGCGCCCGCTGCGGCTGTCCCTGACGTCGACATGTCAGCCGAATCAGGTGACAGAAATCCAGGTGCCAACGAGAGCCCCGCTACAGCCTACGATATGGAGGTAGAGTCTAGCCTCTGATAAGTTGCACAGACGGCGTATTGAAACACCCTGCGCAACTCGTCTATTCCCTTTCCTCTTTTCTTTAGTATTAAATTTACCTTTTAAAAATCTACACATAAACAAACACAACAGTGTCAATAATTATTTTCAATTGTCCTTTTAAACAGCAGCAAATATATGCAGGCTAGCCATAAATACTGGGCAGCCCAGAATCTGATCAGGAAGCATGATTAATCTTATAATTTGGATTACAGGCAATACAAGCTGTTTTCAAACTGTCCAAGCACGATCAACAGCTGATATCGAGTTTAGCAGCCCGCCTATGTCCGTCATTTCATGGCATAGCGCCATTCCAAGATCCGATTGCATCGGGCCTACATAATTGCATGACTTTCCCATTCTGCTATCTCGCATGTCTGTGGCCGAAGAGCTAATTAGCCTCCATACCACCGCCGGCAACTATAGCGCGATTAGGTAGTCCGCTGTCACTTGCTGCAGCTCCACTTGGATTGACACCAGAAGCAACCCTGCTGCAGCAGCCTAGGGGGTAGCCTAGGGGGTAGCCCTAGGGGGCAGCCAGCCAGAATCGATAGCGCTGGGATCAAACAGCCAACTAGAAAATCCCTGCACGTCGGCGACGTCGTGCCAGCATATTCACGTACCCCTGAACTGCGTCCAGAGTCAGGCTGGGTCTATCTGTTCTATCGTACGTCATCTACTGTGAGCATAGTGTGTATTGAAAAACTGAGCCATCCGCACAGCTTTGGAGAACTCTTCTATATGCACCTCTCGAGGTGACAAGTGGCTAGCTGGAGTTCATCGATGTGGGAAAAAAAGCTCGGAGAGACGATTTATCACGCTAGGCTGAAACGTCTCCTCAGCCGATTAGTAGCTAGGCGTTTCATATGAAAATGACCTCCCTGTAACTTGCTAGCCGACCCTTGGGCGATTTTACTCATCGCCATTTGCGAGCTGATGTCGCTATCGATGGACCTCGGAAGCGCAGAGAGAATGGCCACAGTGCCTCTGCTTGCCAATGCCCAGCCGTGTTGGAATGTGCCCTGTGCTGGGTTCCACCCACGCCGCCCTGTGCCGCCCAGTAGCACCGGCTGCTACTGCTCACTACAACATAGCCGCTTGTGCAATCGATGGCAGCGCTGATGGACACCAGATAAGGCTTCACAGTGCTAGCTGGCGGTGTGGATGCTGCGTCCAGAGTCAACGTGTGCCAGGGGTAGTGGTTATCGCTGCTCCATCACGCATGCCAGAGCTAGAGAAAAAGCCCAGAGCGCAAAAAAACTCGCCGTGCATTATCGCGTCCAGGATCAGTCGTGATAGCGGCTTCTGCAGCGCCTGCCCCGAGCGGGAGGGTCCTTGACACATGTCCGGCCGCGGAAAATCGAGGAATGAATGGGCCGGGTCGCCTGCCACCCCCCTGCCCCCGGCTGCAAGCAGCAGGTTCTCCATCAGCGGCGGCATCCGCCCAATTGCAGCGCGGCGATCTGTTCCTGATACGCTATCAGCGGCCATCAGCTGGCTCGTGCTTTCTCTTCTAGCAGCCGCCCGCACGCTGCAGGCCACAAAAATCCCGGGGCGTGTTCTTGCTGGGCTGCACGAATTGCAAGACTTTTGGCGCTTTCTCTCACACTGTGCATATGGCCGCACCGCGTGCTCTATAAAAAGGACTCGGTGCTCGGGACTCCAGCGATATCTTTTCCTCCGAAATATTATAGCCAGACTTTTTTCCTTCTTGGTCCTTTGCCAGCAGCCTGAGCACATTAAAATCACAGCTCCAAACACAGAAAACATGGACGTCTGTTCCCTCATCGATACCCACACCCACACCGCCGCCGATGCTGCCGCCGACAGCTGCTGCGCCGACGCTGCGCCGGGCAAGTCGTTTGCCTGCTCGTGGCACAACTGCGACCGCTCATTTGCGCGCAAGTCGGACCTGGTCCGCCACTTCCGCATCCACACCGGCATCAAGCCATTCGAGTGCCCATGGGCTGGCTGCGAGAAGCGCTTCATCCAGCGCTCGGCCCTCAAGGTCCACTACCGCACGCACTCTGGCGAGCGCCCGCACACCTGCGAGGTCTGCGAGCGTAGCTTCAGCGACTCGTCCTCGCTGGCGCGCCATCGCCGCACCCACACCGGTGTTCGGCCGTACGGCTGCGAGCACCCCGGCTGCAGCAAGCGGTTCACCCGCAAGACCAGCCTGCGCAAGCACATGCAAACCCACGATCCGGACCTACACCAAGCCGCGTCGCCGCTCCAGCGTGGAGACTGTTGCTGCCGGGTCTCCCTATGCACTCGGACATGTCGTCGCCGCAGACTGCTCCGGTCAGCCGCCAGACCTCGCCTGCCTTTAGTGTGCAGTTCATGACCACTCCGTCGCCCCGCCCTGCTCACCGCGAGCTGGCTCAGTACCACTACGAGCCTCAGATGTACACTTTCAAGCAGATGAGCCCGGTCTACGCTGCCGCCCCCAGATCGCCCTTGGACAGCGGTGCCAGCTCAGCCTCGACTGCCTGCAACAGCCCAGCCATGTACGGCCACCCGGGCACTGTGCTGCCGCCGATCAGCTCTCTGCTGCACTAAATCCCGCCATATGTACATATCTTTTCTATGCGACTTGTAAATACACCACACCAATTCCACTGCCTTTCACCAATATACGCGTATGTACGTACAGTTAGCCAGCTGATTGGGAATGGTGAGCGAGCAGGCCAGTGCGCCATGGAGGCTGCGTGCTTTGTGGACACGCTAGCGTCATTCAGCAGGCCACGGAAAATGCCCCTCCCCACCTGCTCGCTGTCAGCAATGGGGAGATACTCTGCATTTCAAATGGTTCATTCCGACGATTCCCGCACATACCACCGCCCACTCAAGAATTCATCTTCCAGTGACCTATATCGATTGTTGGGGAGACTGGCCAACGCTCCGCAGCGCCAGCTAATTTTACTATCGTCAGCACATATTAGTCCTGTAAACGTGCCCCATTGGCGACGTGCTTATTCGGTGCCGCCGGCTCCCCAAAGGCTAGAGGCCCAACTAAACCCCGGCGCACAGATCCGCACGACGATGACGAGCTGTGACCATCCCCGGGGTTAACTGGCCAATTGCCCAGTGGGGGGGTGGTCAGCGCATGTGCGTCTGGTTTCATATGAGTCAACTCTCTCCGCTTTAGAAGCCTAAACCTTTGGGGAGGGGACGCATTGCTTTCCAAAGCGGCCCACAGGCGAAATTCCGCTAGCTATCAGTGCAGCGATCGGGGACAGCGCCAGCGGATTCTGGTTGGGCATTAATTGTCGACACACCCGCCAAACAAAAATGGCGAAATATCCGGTGAAACAATCAGTTGAGTCCTCCCCAATGGGCTGTGGTCTGAGTGTCCACCCCCACAGTGCTCAGGCCTAGCCGACACCCGTGCGCAATCCCTTCGCTCAGGCTCTGCACTGGCCGAAGATGGGCCGGCGATCCGCATAGGCCTGGAAATAGGCGATGTGCCAAGGGGGAGATGATGCAATGATGTGTCTCGGGGGTTGCATGCATACTAGCGTTAATCCCAATGAGGAAACGTGGGCATGACACGATACAATGCGTGCGGGAGAGCATCAGTTTGCCGGACAGGCGTAGGGCAGAAGCTAAATCTAATTTTTGAAGGCACCTAGGTAGTATCTAAATTATTAGACCTAGCTGGCATGTAAGCAATGGGCGTGAAGGCTGTTTGGGGTGCACTGGGTGTCGTGCTCTTTGCTACATGCAATGAGTTGTCCCCGAAGCCATGGTCATGCAGCGCTGGTTGGCACCACACGCAACAGTTGTCCATTTGCCGCTGATGCAGTGACGGATGATCGACTTGTTTCCTGGAACGCACTGTGCTTGATTGCCCCTGCAGGACTGGCAGAGCGTGGTTGCAACGCAGGAAAAGAGCACAACGATGATTCCGTTCAAAAGATGCATGCTTGTCTTGACGATCTGAAGGAAAGGAGTCAATGAGGTGCTTTTGCCTATCCCACCCACAGTGGGCTATTTAGCCAGAATCAAGTATGTCTGCAGACCAGGGACACTACTCAGTTGCGCCGGCTGCCATACTGGCCAGAATCGCAGATAGGTCTGCTGTAGGTTTGTAGTTAATATCCGGTCATTAATGCCCCCAGTGCCTACGATTATCCTGCCCAGACCACTGCCACCATATATCGAACTGGACATGTGGCCCAAATCGCCATGTGGTCAGCTCATTGCATGAGGGATTTTTGCTCATCATCTGGTGATGGATTACCACTGCTCAGTGCTGCTGCTGATTACATTACCCAGTCCTGCACTTCTGGCGGACAGAGTGGATTGCCATGCATTTGCATATCCGCAGCCGTGCCTTCCTCGAGCTTGATTTCCTGTCGCATGCATTTGCGTCATCAATTAAGAATACCGCAAACCCAATGGAGTCGCTTGCAGTCTAACCTAATTTGTCTCTTTTACATAGGCGCCATTCATATTCAACCACTTTTTCTGGAAAACGGCACCATGTAATGACACTAGTCTAATATTGTGGAACAGTGAAGCCTAGCAGGCGCAGCGTTGCGCTTCCATTAATAGATACAAAATCACATGAACGTGAATAGAATAATGAGCCAAGTCAGTTGCCATCGATATAGCGGCAAAGTATGATACCTAGGGCACTTTTTTCTTTGCTCTTTTTCTATACAGTTTTCGTTTTTGCATTTCATTCTCACTGTCTTTCTATATATGCCACAAAGCACAACCATGCCCACAGGCAGTCATATCACCAAGCCGCGTTGGCTGCCAAACGAAGCGGACAGGACGCTTCACTTGCTGAACAAAAATATAGTCAGGGCAGTCAACCTTGCAGAGCTCCGCAAAGGTCTGGAAAGCGAGCTGGAACGCTATACTCTCTTCCCTCAGCGATCTACCTATCAGCTGCGGATGAAGGCGAGGGCAGATCTTACGACTATTCGTAAGAGCGAGGAGCGGATCGTTTTCGGTATCGGTATGCTCTGCGTGAAACTTTGCGATAAAGTAGCAGATAGTTACCATGATGACAAACGGAAAAAGCAACTTCAGCGAGTTACTGAGTGGCTGGGTAGGGAGATTGATGACCAATTCAGGCATGCTATGAGAACTATCTGGCCTGCATATGTAATAATGCCATGGCTGTTCACTGAGTATAGTGAGTGAAGCAGTAGCAGCCTATTGCAGGCGATCCATCTAGCTCTTGCATTGTGTTTCTTTTAATTCACCTCACTAGCACTTTATAGTTGCTGAACACCAATGTAGCGTTTGCTGTATGCCTGTGTGCATCATGTGAAGGGGCGGTAAAGTCCCAAAACCTAAGGCTTTTTACCTGAGTTCATTTATAATCGCCCTGGCAGGTTGGGCCATGCAAAGACAGTGTACAGCACTTCAATTTATTTCCCGAGTTCAATTCAGCCTTGCTCCTAGTAGCTTTTCGCAGCGCTTTACCGCATATTAGGGTAGTAGATATTGTACCACATGGATTTTGAGGATACGCTCAACTTTGAGAATCTATCTATCTCGGAACCTGGCCCCATCACAGCGCCTGGCTGGTATGCCGATGACTCGGGTGGTTTGCTTGCCTAAGGTCAACCTGCAACTGCGGGCAACCAAAGATGTCATTAATCGCTGTAACTGGCTACGCAATATGATTGAAGAAGAGCTGCACAGCTGGACTGAAGACTCTCTAAACATGCGCGAGGATCTGGAGCGCAGGCTGAGGTTGGTTGAGCAGCGAGAGATTGCTCAGTTTCTCGAACTCGGCTGCGCATGCTACGAGCTGTGGGGAAGTTTTCGCCCACCTGACGAGATGGAAAGAGAAATGTACACTCAGCAGATGATGGATACCTGGTTGCGCAATGAACTAGAGATGCAATTCCGGGACTATCTGCAGACAACCCGCAAGGTCAGGACTTTTGTGCATTGGATATATGAGGGCGTGTAGTAATATTTGTGATGTAGGGTGAACGATTACAGAACGAGCACTTGCCAGGAATTGGGCTGTGGGGGTTGGGAAAGAAGCAGCACTTGTGCAGCTGGTTCCGATCTTGTCGCTTGTTCTGTATTTGCAGTCTCTCCTACAGATATAGCTCTTGAGCTTGGTATATAATAGGACGAACAAATTTATTGATTCCTCGTGTAAAGCTTGTTTCGAGAGTTACATGCAATGGACCATCCCAGGCATCATTGTCATGCAGTGCTGGTTAGTGCCGCACGGAAGAGTCTCCCACGAGCCATGGTTGCAGTGCAGGAGCACCCTGTCATTGCCTGGCTTGCACTGAACTTCGCTGCCCTGGCAAGCATGGGCAGCAGCAGCGAAAGCAAAGACGGAGGCAATGAGGGTCTTGATTGAGAAAAGCATAGAAAAATATAGAAGTAGTATGGAAGTAGCGTGGAAGTAGTGTGGAAAGAAAAGCAGCTTGTTATGAGCAGATAAGCCAATGCGCGCAGAGGGATCCCTACTTATACCCCTTCCATGGCAACTCCAGAATTCGGGCATTTTTCCATCAAGGGCCCCTGTACTGAGAGCGGATGTAACGGCCATTGAGTATTCAGCACATGCAAATGCATTTGGTCTAATACCCCCCAAACACCTGAGTCGTGAGAATTGGGGATCAACCCAGCGAATATGGCAGTGATCCTCGTCCCTCCCTCTTGTGAAGTACCACTGCTTTCTAAACCTCGTGGGCTTTTATATATGGTGCTAGCTACTGGCTGCTGGCTGCTTAGCACTCTTACAATGTGGAGTATCTATGATGTGGGCAATATCCAGACGAGTGGTGGCATGATTGGATTTAATTAGATGTATGCACAGACGACGATTGGTATGTAGACGCTGTCAATTCTTGCATAGCGTGATCACCGCCTGGTGAGAGGCAGATATCGTGCATCTAGTCCCACTTCCCATAGCAGTCTCAGTATGTACTTCTTTCTACAGCAATATGTATAAGGTATCCCAAAGCAGACCAGTTCTGATGAGGGTAATCGATATATTCTATTACGACTGCTACCCCGAAGATGAGTATCGGATGGGAGACAACAACTTGTGCATATGCCAGCCAATAGGCTTGCGTGTGCACTCCTATGGAGAAAACCACAATTCCACTGTACCATTGAGCTCCACAAGGAGCCATGTGAAGAATCTACTTTCAGTTCTACATCTAGAAACTCTGGTGAGGTCTCTTTTGGCGACTGCATTGTCAGTTTCTGCCACAAGGATCGATCTTATTTGTGAGCCAAACAAGTATAATAGCAGGGTAGCCATTGAAACGCTAAACACCCATAAGGTCGGACGATGTTCAGGCTGTGTTTGAGGTGTCTGGCCTTTTTGAGCTTTGTCTTCCGCGACTACACACCATCAACACAAGCATATTCAGCGGACTGTACAGTGACCCGTCGGCTGAAATCATGAAGCTCCCCAGTGCTATTGACCACATAATATGCAGGCATCTACACGTTGACGATGTGCAGACATACTATCTGCAGTCGCGCATCCCCTAGATTCGACTACGACCCGCATGAGGCATTTACACAAAGGCTACCTGGTCTACGTGGAATTTCTCTCCTAAGATGTTCTGGTAAACGACATGGCATGGACCTCATTTCAATATCAGAAATCTCTTTGTATTGAATACAAGGGGTGTCCCATTGACGATCTACTGCCCAAGGTGAACATGGACGTGGTCCAGAAGTTGGCGTTGGCGGGATTCGTTATTAGCTGCTTGTATTCATTATTCTGTGGCCGGTATGAGCAAGAGGCTCATCTTCCGCATCTGTTGGAGCTGAGAATAGAGCGAGCAGACTGGGATGATGCAGTGGTGGCGCCAGAGAATACCTAATACATAGTGGTTAGGTGTCCTATGATGCAAAGGGTGGTCACGGATGCTGGGTGTCTCCTGGCATATAATCTAGTGAAGTAACTGTACCCTGGACTGGCGATGTACGACCTCACTGACACTGGAACCATGGCTGAGTACCGTAAAGATCGTTTGTGATTTGCTTGATACCGTGATGGAACCATCCGACCCCGCTAGCTCCTTGGTCCCTCTCCTGATCAATCGCCTGATCCGAACACTAAAGTCTCTGTCACTGGTCCCGTTTTAAACCGTTTATTCAAATTTCGCCAGTGACAAACCAGCTCTCTTTCATTACGATACAGAGCCTTCGCTACTTCAAGGATAAAATTAAGTTTGTGTAGCGCTCTACATTTTATACCTGCGAGGCGCGCAGGGCTTGCTCAAAATCGTCCTTAATGTCATCGATGTGCTCAAGGCCGACCGACACGCGGATAAGGTCGGGGGTGACGCCGGAAGCCAGCTGCTCCTCGTCCGACAGCTGCTGGTGCGTCGTAGCAGTGGGCTGGATGGCCAATGTCTTTCCATCGCCTACGTTAGCGAGGTGGGACGTCAGCTTGAGCGCCGAAACGAAGGCGTTAGGCAGCACTAGCGCCACCCTTGACGCCAAAGCTCAGCACGCCGCCGAAGCCGTTGACCAGGTACTTCTTTGCGTTCTCGTGATACGGGTGGTCCTCCAGGCCGGGGTAGGAGACCCAGGAGACCGACTCGTGCTGTGCCAGCCAGCGCGCCAGCGCCAGGGCATTGGTGTTGTGACGCTCGCCACGCAACGGCAGCGTCTCGAGGCCCTGGACGAACAGCCATGCGGCGAAGGGCGTGGCACACGGTCCCAGGTCGCGCAGGATCTCGACGCGTGCGCGCGTAATGAAGGCAATGTTGGCCTTGAACGGGCCCTCGGGACCGAAGGTCTCCCAGAAGCGCAGTCCGTGGTAGCCGTCGGATGGCTCGGTAAAGGCGGGGAACTTGCCGTTGTTCCACGGGAACGTTCCAGCGTCAATGACGACTCCGCCGACAGTGGTGCCGTGGCCGTTGATCCACTTGGTGGCCGAGTGGGTGACGATGTCAGCGCCGTGCTCGATGGGCCGCGCCAGGTACCCACCCATGCCAAAGGTGTTGTCAACCACCAGCGGCACGCCATGCTTGTGCGCGACGTCGGCAATCCGGCGGATATCCGGGACGTTGTACTTTGGGTTTCCGATGGTCTCGATATACACGGCTCTGGTGCGGTCGTCGATCAGCGCCTCGAGCTCGTCGACATCGTCGCCCGACACGAACTTGACGTTGATGCCCAGGACGCGGGAAGGCCACCTTGAACTGGTTGTACGTGCCACCATACAGGTAGCTGGTGCTGACGATGTTGTCGCCGGGCTCGCACAGCGTGGCTGCCACGACGAACTGCGCCGACTGCCCCGAGGACGTCGCCACAGCACCCACGCCGCCTTCCAGCGCCGGCAATGCGCTGCTCGAACACGTCGGTGGTCGGATTGCCGATGCGCGAGTAGATGTTGCCCAACTCCTTCAACGCAAACAGGTTGGCGCCGTGCTCGGCGTTGTTGAACACGAAGCTGGAGGTCTGGTAGATGGGCACTGCGCGGGAATTCGACGCCGAGTCGGGCGTGTGCCCGGCGTGCAGCGCCAGTGTCTCGAAGCGGTGCTTGGGTTTCTCGGACGACATTAGTACTGCTGGTATAAAAAAGTAATTGGGTGGAGGCGAGTTGCTGGTTGATGTGAGGGACAGAGAGAGTGCTGCCGCTGCCCTCCCCTTTTTATTGCTGCCAGGTCTTGTCGCCTGTCTGCTGTTGCTGCTGCTCTGGGATTTCCCTGAGTGAGGATGAGGATAAGGGGGCTGTTGCTTGCGTTATCTGCACGGATGTGAGTTCGATGTGAGCATTGCATGGGAGCTCGCCATTAACTCCGCAGCCTATTGGCCTGTGGCCTCTCGGTCAATGTTCAGGTGGTTGCCTGTTTGGAACTTCTGCGCGAATCCTGGTAAAGTACCAGTGACTCTATCTCCCGGCCAGCTTTGTGAAAACCGAGGGCATGACATGGTTAGTCACCAACCCCGCCAGTGCTTGGCTGGTCCAGGTTCCGTTCTGCGAGAGCCACCCCAGATCTACCTCCGGAACACCGAATCCCATTCTGTTCACTCCTGGCCGCTTTCAGTGACTTTAATCTGGAAAAATAAAATTGTGCGATCCCAAGCGAATTATTTATCCCTATCTCTTCGCTCTCGCCTCGCTGCTCAATGTATTTTTAAAAAAATGGACATGTCCAATGTGCCCAGCACCACAGACGCCTCGACACACGCGCGCATTCCCTGCGAATGGTACAATTGCCCGGCAGACTTCCCACAGCAGTACGAATTGGCCGCGCATCTTCTGGCCGACCATGTCGGCAAGGGCAAACGCAGCGCATATTTCTGCGCCTGGACAAACTGCGAGACGCCGTTTTCCGACCGGCGCCAATTAATCGAGCATCTGGCGGTGCATACCTGGCAAGCGCTCCTACCTGTGCCCGGCAGACAACTGCGGCAAAGTCTACAAGCGCGCCGATTTTCTCCAAAAGCACATTCGCGCTCACGACACCCGCGAATCCCGCGCTGCCCGCAAGCGCGCGCGCATTGCACCCGATAATGGCTCGGAGTCTTCAGAGGACGCGCCACTGGCTGTGGTCGCCAGGCAGGCCAACCGGTCGGACCACGAGGACACCGAGACTGAGGATGAGGAGGCTGTGTTTGCGAGGCCGCAGAGGGAGGCCGAGCGCCTGCTGGAGGCAAAGCTGAGTGCTTTGAGGGGCGAGGTCGAGCAGCGGCAGCAGCTGCTGGAGGACATTCGTGTGAAGACGCGCCGTGTACGCTTGGAGAATGATATTATTATTGATGCCCTGGAGCGAGGGTAGCCATGTAAAAGCTCGTGCGGGGTTTTCAATAGATTTTACCCATCCTAGCGCTGTTACTTGCATGCTACGGACCTGTAAGCCACGCAGGCAGGTAGGGCTGTGATAGTGCGTTTTATGCATTTTGAAAAATTCAGATTCCGAAAACAGAACGGATTTTAGTCTGGATTCTGGGTATGCCCTATTAACTCAGTCGGTTAGAGTGTCGTGCTTATAGCTTAGCAAGAGCTATGTTTGAGTCACGCGATGGCCGCCAGTTCGATCCTGGCATAGGGCATTTTTGCCTCCCACCGAAAAACGTGTGGCTTAGCCAGTGCCACAATAGACGATTCCAAGGACAAAGGAGGCTGTCAAATGCCTTTTTTTGTCGTTTTTAGGGAGAAAGGGTTGCTAGTCCCTTCCGCCTCCTTTTTTTACACACCGCAGCGATGCCATCCGAGACCGAGGACAATACCACGATCCGATTGCCGGCGCTTCCGTGTCTCGAGCTGCGCACGCACGAAAAGCGCGGACGCGGGGTGTTCACGCGGCAGCCAATCGCCAGGGCACATTGGTGCACATATCGCCAGTGCTTTTGTTTGACCACAGCGAATACAATGCGCACGGGCAGTACACGAAGCTCGACGACTACACGTACAAGTGGCCAGGCGGCTTTGCATTGGCGCTGGGCCTGGGCAGCATGTTCAACCACGAGCCGTTTGGGCACGAGAACATTGGGTTTATGCGGGACGTGGAGCGCGGGGTGATCCGGTATACAGCGCTCCGGGACATTGCAGCAGACGAGGAGCTGTGTATCTGCTATGGCTCGCACGTGTGGTTTGAGGTCGAGACGAGGAACGCCGAGGCGGAGGTCGAGGAAACGGAAACCGATTTGCTTGCGTGCTTTGACCTGTGATAAATAAATGCGGTGCAGCGAGCAAAGCATACCCAGTGACTGGACACATGCGCAGTGGCGGTGGTTAATTAACAAAAAACACACCAGGTTTGACTCTGCCCGCACGGTTTCTGCGCTATTTCATCTTTCTCCCTTTGCAGCTTTCGAATTTCAATTGCCAACTTTCTTCCTCACACGCTTGTACATTACTACTCTCTTGTTTTACACGGCACATATATGAATGCAGGACAGGTTCCGTCCACCATACACGCACATATGACTCCAACCATCAGCGACTTTGATGCGCGGCCGCGCAGCTGGTCAGCACAGGACGCCGACTACATACACTACCTGCGCCCACAGCCATCGAATCTCTCGGCCAAGGGCGCCCACACACTGCGGCGCAGCACATCAGTCGGCCTGGGCCGCTTTGTCTCACAGCCGTCGTCGCCATCGATAGCTCCAGCACGGGCGCCCAGCGTCCGCGCCCGGACATTCACTGGGCGGCCAGGCACACCGGTGGTCGGGGAGCAGGCTGCTCTGCCCAGGCCACGCCATATCCGGAGGCACCGCAATGCCAAGACCCTGGAGATGATGCGGCCGCTGGTTGCGTCCCATGGAGGAGGAGTGTTCGGAGGCCACGACGGCGCGCAGCGTGTCGGCTGGCTCAAGCAAGTCGCTGGAGTCGAGCATCTCACGGGCGTCCGGTGTATCGAAGAGCTCGGACGGGTCGGTGGGCAGGCTGGCAAAGCCTGTGGTGTCGGCCGAGTCGCCCGGAAGGGTGGCGGGCGAGCAGAACGTGTCGCTTTTGTGGTCGGCGCTGGCTCGGCTGACGATTCGCAGGGTCAAGGCGGAGAGCGCGGTGGAGAGGCTCAGGGGCATTGAGGCAGAGCAGGCGAGGAGGGAGCCGGGTGAAGGCACTGTGAAGGAGAGGGGAAATCTATGCAGCAATGGCGGGGAGAGTGCCGAGGATACTTCCACGGGGCAGATTGCTGAGGCTGCGCCGCAGAATCAGCAGACTGGCAGGCTTGCAATAGATGACCCGGGTGTACCGTCGAGTCCGAGGTCATACTGGGGGCTCGGGTGGTGGTCTGCACCGACGACTGCTGCGACGACTGCGACGGCGCCCGCACCTGAATCTGAAGCTGCCGAAGCTGCCGAAGCTGCTGTTGCTGATAACTCTGAGACTGCTGAGTGTGAGCCCAGGCGCGAGTCAAGTGACCAGCAGCAATTTGCGGATATATCTGAGCCTGAGCCAGTCACAAGCCAATCTCATCCGGCAGATCCCGAGCCTCCACTACTGCCTGATGAGGATTCCCTGCCCAGTCCCGAGCAGCACAACTCCGGGTCCAGCTGGTGGTGGCCACTGCTCGGCTCACGATCTGCTGACCCACAAGCTCTGGCTGCCAGCGAGGTGCTGCCAGCGGGTGTAGATAATACCTCCACTGAGCAAGCGTCCAGTGACGTCATCATCAGATACTAACCGCAACGGATATGCATCGCTGGGGCATAACGATGGCGAGCAAGCGCAGGGCTCCAGAAATACTAGCGTGGACCGAGCCGACAGCAGATAGAGCGAGTCAGAAAGCATCAGAGCCCAAAATCAGCGACAGAACTGCGAGCGGACACAACGTGCAGCAGCAGCAAAACATGCTGTTGCCGGCGCTAGAGTTCGCTGATGCCCCGCCAGTTCCTGAGCCGACTCCGCAGTCACCGAAGCGCAAGAACAGCGACACGCCAGTAACTGCTGATGCACCCATTTCCAAGCGCCTACGGGTATTGGGCCGCAACCTGTTTGACTCTGCATACGAGATCGCACCAGAGTGGGCAGCGCACCTTTGTCGATGGCCCAAAGCTGGCAGACGCAACCGGCCAGCACCATGGGCCCGTCCACAACGACCAGCTGGCGCCGACAGCCAGCGAAATCAACGCTGCTATGGGTTTGGGAGCGCGTAAACTGGGTAAGATCGCTGTGATCGGTATTCCACGGCTGGTTCCCGACGAAGATGCTGCAGATGGTAGCTGGCGAGCCGACCGGCAAGTCGGAGAAGTTCTGTGTGATGATGCGCGAGGCCCTGCATACGTATCTGACGGAGAACCACAGCGTGGATGTCAGCGACTCGGATATCAGCTTGTTTCCACTCGTGGGCGAGGGCCGCATCGAGGATCGTGTCGATTTGCTTCTGTCGCAGATAATTGACCCCGGACCGGTCCCGGCGGAGATTCGGGAGGCCCTGGAAGGCCCTGACGACAGCAAGGCGGACCAAGAAGAAAGCCAAGCGGGTGGAGATCGACCCATCGCTAGTGGCTGCCGAGATGCTGATGCCAGAACGCTCCCAGCGTGCCGATGTGCTGGGCGCGGCAGACACAGTCTTTGTGGTGACGCACTCGCAAGGCACGCCGGTGTCGGCCCTGCTGCTGGAGCGGCTGATGGAGCTCGGCCTGGTGGTGCCACGGCGGCAGCGCGTGTGCATGCTAGCAATGGCTGGTATCAGCCATGGGCCAATGCCGTATCTGCGCGACAACGTGGTGATCCGGTACATCGAGTCGGAGGCGGCGCGCGAGCTGTTTGAGCTGATGGACCCGAGTTCGCCGCAGAGCCAGCGATACGTGGCCGCGCTGAGCACGATCCTGCACAAGGGTGTGCGGCTGATCTGTGTTGGCTCGTGGGTGGACGAGGTTGTGCCGCTGTATTCGGGCATCCTGCAGGGAGTGTCACATCCGAATGTCTACCGGGCCGTGTATATTGATGCGCCGCACTACCTGGACGACTTTCTGAGCAACCTGATAGTGTTTGCCTTGCGCCTGCGCAACATGGGCATCTACGACCACGACCTGCTGATCCATCTAAGCGAGGTCGTGGCGGGCTCGCTGTGGGGCCACTCGGGCCACTCCACCGTGTACGGCGAGCCGGACGTGTACAAGCTGTCGGTCAAATGGCTATTGTACTCGACGTCGGCTGTGTCGCAGTCAGCGATCCAGAGCGGTGGTGCTGCGGTGAGCCGGGCCAGTGGCGAGCAGATCCACATGAACTACCGGCCATTCAATGCGGCCGAGAAGCTCAACCCGTTCTACATCCCGTGGATCATGCGCACGCTGTGGGACGAGCCCGAGATCAGACAGAACTCGGTGCTCAGGGCCGAGCTGCGCCGCCTCATTATGCTGTACGACAAGTGGAAGCCAGAGACCAAGGCAGGCAAAGAGCTAAAGTACCGACTGGAGCCAGTCAGGGCTGCTATCTGAAGTTGTGTTTGGTCTTTTAGACTAGAAACGTACGTATAGACTACTTTTTAATTTTGTAAGCCTGTCAACACTACTTGTTGGTGAAATAGTGTCTTTTTTTTTGAAACGGCTACATGCTGCAGTGAAGCGGCGACATGGGTGTCATATTTGTATTCAGGGATTTCCATCTCTCAAGTCCTATTTTATCAAAGCACCAAGTAAAGGGTATAATAGCCACTGCCTGGCGTGTAAGTGCAGACCCTCCGGATCTCTTCATTCCGGTGCCGCTATTTACATTCTAGTGCACAACATAGGGAAGACCCATTCAAAAGATATGATGCTGAGTGGCTTTGAACTTTTCCCACCGCACAGACGCAACCCACCATACAAATACATACACTATTTGCAAGAGAAGATGCATGGTCGCCAAGCCACTCATTGTCAACTCCCAATTGTGTCTCGTGTGAAGGATGTTAGATATACCCCCTACCACCTCAACTAGCCATTTCTTTCCTTGCGCCAAAACAAACCGGACACAGTATATATTCGGATGTTTTTTTTGGCTTCTTCTCAAGTTTCCTTATCCACATTCTACTCATTGATTTCTTGTTGACATGCACTACTTTGCAAACAGCGTTGAATCCAAAGCCTACCGGCTCAGCAAAGCAGGGCGCTACATGGCCTGTTTCTAATACGAGGTTGTCATATTTTCTACGCCAATACTGACAGGTCCGCTAACTTTCATGCCTGCAAGAGAACTCGAGGAGGCGTTCTACCGGACCCTGGTGCATTTCCCGCACATGGCTGGGTATCTCAAGCAGACCGGCTACGATACCATGGACATTATCGTGGACAAGACCAAGCTCAACTTGCCTGACTACCGTGAGTCGCAGTCCGATATCCACTATCAAGACATTGAATCCGCCAACTTTGACCCTGCGACGTGGCCCAGCGACTTGTCACCTGTTGGCAATATTGCGGTTCCTGATGAAGGACACCAAGCTGATCAGACTTGCCAATTTCCATGTCGTTCCGATTGAAGGAGAACAGCGGTATTATTATTTCATCCAAACATCAACCGTAGCATTGCTGACGCGTACAGTACCTGCTGAGGTTCTCAACCGCTGGGCTGAAGAAACACGGGCGCTGCTCACTGGTGTGCCGGCGAAGCTGCCCAACTATTGCCTTGACGACCGGATTACCCTCAAATACTTGCCAAACGAGCGAGCTGAGATTGGTGATGAGTTCAAACATCACTATGGCACTTACAGGAACGCTCGATACTGACTGACTGGTTGAAATGGCTGTCACCCTAGCTCGCGCGGGAAAGTGATGGGCTACGTATCCAGCAAGCAGCCGCTACGCACCCATCTGTTTCGGGTTCCGGCGCGAGAAGCTGGACGAGCTTCGCCTCGAGCTGCTGGAACATGTGCCACCTGGAACACGCTTATCCGACCATGATATCCTCTGCGCGATTGGATACAAGCTGAATGGGCAAGCGAGCTACGATGCAGCAAACAAAAACCAAAGTTGGCTGGGGAAGCTCCTTGGGCGCAAACCGCAGGACCACAGGCAATCACTATATTTTACTCCCATTCAGCCTTCGCCATCGCCTTGGAATGGAGCATCTGAATTGCATAGGCAACCCGCTGCTGGGTATGGTGGAAGTGCTCCCAGTCGGTCATGCACAGTCTCTGATTACCAACCAATCACTTGCGGAGGTGGCAAGTCGCATCCGAAAAACCACAGACAGCGTCACACCAGCAGCAGTTGGGACAGCAATGGACATCATGGAAGCCGATACATGCGATATTGGCACCTTCTTGAGTGGTATGACATTCGATGTCCAAAGCATTACCTCGGACTTGACTCGGATCAAGCTATATGATGCTGACTTTGGTAGCGGCGTGCAGGCGTTTTCAACATTGTGTCCACCATTTTGCATTGGGCACAGTTTCATGCCTGCCATCACCACCATCAAGTACTGATTGCATCGTGTTTTTTACAAACTCGCCAGATGCAATGGATAGCATCTTGAACAACAGATTTTGGAAAGATTTTGCCACTGTGATTTTTTAATTACTAATTTTCAATATATTTTGACCAACAACAGGTCATATTCTATGTTAGTCCTGAGACGTGTCTACCTTAAAGAGAGATGCTATGAGTGCAAGGCAATTTGAATCATATGGATAGGAAATATGTATAATATTTGTTTTATAAAAAGCCTTCGTGGACTTCAATATTGATATAATGTTCATAGTGTGATTGTTCACAATATTGTAAAACTGCAAACATGAAGAGTAATGTTACTGGAAAGCAACAGAATAATGATACACCATGCTATATTGGAATAATATGGATAAACAAATAATAGGAATGTGATAAGAATATCTTTCACCACTCAATTGGTATAGTCAAAATCGACTATAGAAACTTAAAAGGAGAGTGCAACATATTGTGTATCTGCCCTGGGTGTCCCTGATATCGGATGTCAGCTAAATCAGGTGACTGCAAGCTGGGTGCCAACGAGAGCCCTACTACAGCCTACACAATGGAGGTAACATCGAGTCTCTGATGAATCGCACAAACCGCCGCATGGAAGATACGTCCGCGCAACCCGTCTTTTCTCTGGTTCTCTTTTTTCTTCAGCATTAGATATCACTTTTAAAACCCCTCCAATGATGTAGCTCTGGTTAGCAAATTTTTGCTAAATTCTGAATATACACGTATGATATGGAGTAGTACACAGACAGTACTGTTTACCTAGGTATTCCTGTCATATCTCCTGAGGCTGTTCCCAATTAAGTATGCCCATATCAATTTCAGTGAGCGGTCCAAATCCTGGATTAATGATTTTGGCGTGTAAACAGCCTCCACGTAGACAAATGGCCGAAGGCACAGCCACCGCGTTAAACAATGCACTATTTCAGTTAATATATTGGCCAATTGTTTTGAATGACTATACTACATGGCTGGTTCTCACCAGAAAATCCGCACTACGCATTATGATATTTGATGTTTCCGGTATAAGTGGTGGAAGTACAACTCTAGCAAAAGCCTTTTCATCTTCTCATTCGCCATTTACATTTCTTACTCTCTTTACTATGGACCACTTTGTAAACAGCGTTGAATCACAAAAGTATGTCTGCAGACGGCATGATATGCTAACTTCGCTTGTAACTGTACGCATTTCTTTTCTTCTATGCCAATGTCGCTTGTGCTGATGATTTCATGCCAAGGGACAAGCTCGAGGAAGGATTCTATAGGACCCTTGTCCTCTGTCCCTGGTTCGCCTGGTGATCTTAAACAAACAAAAGGTTGTGGAATGGAGGTTATCGTCGACAAGGCAGTCTGAACATGCCTGAATACCGTGAGTCGCAGTCGTTAGGTGCATTTCAGCAAGATCCAGTCGTCTGGGTTCAACCGCGCGACCTGGCCCGATGGTCTGGTTCCTGTTGGGCCGGTTCCTTGTCCCGACAAAGCTACCGGAAAGATCAAACTTCTGCATATTCATGTCGTGCGACTGAAGGACAACAGCGGCATGGTTATTTCGGTCAATTTCAACCATGGCGTCGCAGATGGTACCACGCATTATGACATTCCTTCAACCGCTGGGCAGATGAGACGCGTGCGCTAGTGAACGGTGTATACCTGTAGGCAGAAACAACCTTTTGCTTTGGTGCCGATATACTCAGGAAGCACCTGCCGAGCGAGCGCGCATCCCTCAGCGAAAGCGTCCTGCAAAGCAGCTTTCAACAAAATCCCGCGTGGCGGATTTTATCCTGTGGCTCTCGCCTAACAAGCGCACAAGGTTGGTGAACCTATTTGACCAATTCTGCTTCACCACGCGGGCATCAATTCCGGATTCCGCGTTCCAAGATCGACGGGCTTCGCAGCCAAGTACTGGAGCATCTGCCGCATGGGACACGTCTGTCCACTAACGACGTCATTTCTGCAGTCTTACACAGAGTCCACGAGCAGTCTGTGGTAAGGAAGAGTCAGGGCTGGCTGGCAAAACTAATTGATCGGAAAGAATGGAGCTGCAGGCGAACATTGTACTTCAGTCATCGTTGATCATCCGTCGGTCACCTCGGAATGACAGAGATGAATTACATGGGAAACCCGGTATTTGGCGAACTTGTTCTCACCCCGATGCATCCAGGCACATCAGCCAATTACTGCCAAGACTATCTCTGTGGTTGCTGGACCAGATTCGGATCGCTGAATATCGGCGCTTACCCATCCACGCATTGGGACAACTGTTGACATGATTGATTCCGAAGAAAGATACGCCGCCAAGTTTCTTTGCCATTGCTAAGAACTATAAGCTTGTGACGACAACTACTAATACGGTTGCTTCTGCCAAGATGTATGCTGCAGACTTTGGCAATGGGGTGCAGGCGTATTCGACGACACATCCTGAACTCAGCATGGGCGTATTTGTGATTCTTCCTTCACCACCTCCAAGCAATGACATTCTTGTCAACATCTGCGATGCGTCTTCAGTAATGGACGGTGTCCTGAAGAACGAATTCTGGAGCGACTTTGCAGAGATGATTTACTAATAGATATATACGCACTGCTTTCTAATGATCCTGTGACATGAAGCTGGTGGCTCTATGACTTGGTAGGTTTATAGATCAGCAGCAAGTGGTCTCAAACCAGACTCGCAGGACTTGGAAAGAAGCAGGTGTCGTGAAGCAGGTGTCGTGAAGCAAGTATCCACAGCCCTGAATTCTGGCCTGGCGGCATCCACATGCTGCTGAAGACCATACCAGTCTACTTTTCCAGTATCATCTGCACAACGAGACGTGGTTTATTTAATAAATATGGCTTTATCACTAATCATTCTTCGTGGATGCCCTTTACAAACTGACCGATGCTTTGAAAGGCATCCTTGCACTTCCTTACGGTACCAGAACAAGTGATGGAACGCATGGGGCATTCCATCATAGACTTCCAGCGTAGCTACCTCAGGCTTCCCAGAGTTCTGGGCGTTAATCTTGGCTGCCAGTTCCTTCACGTCATCCAAAAGTATTTCGCCACCGCCTGCATGGATTAGAGTAGGTGGAAATCCTCCAAACGACCCATTGATCGGCGAAAGTAGCATCCCTTGCATATCCTGCCTCATCTTGTCAGTCAGCGGCTTTCCAGGCGCAAGCAATAAACGTACGTAGTTGAATGGCGATTCCAGTGGCGGGATTACAAAGAAATCATGCAGCCGGTTCGATTCCATGGTGGGTTTCGTGTCAAGCCAGGTCAGCCCACGGCGACAGCAGCACCAGGGCACCAGGCTCAGCAATTTTCATGTGCCGAAGCAGATGCGTCAGAACAAGCGACAAATGTGCGCCCATGCTATCCCCAGCAACAATAATGTTCTCGGGCTTGTATCCCTGCTGCAGGAGATACAAGTATGCGATGAGCGTGTCATGCGTCTGGGCTGGGAATGGGTGCTCGGGTGCCAAGCGATAGTCAATGGTTATCACGCGCACCTGCCCCCGCTGAGAAAGCTCGCCGGCAAATGAACGGTGTGTATCAGGGCTGCCGGTCAGCCATACACCGCCATGGAGCCCGAGCATTATCCTCTCGCCCTCAAACAGCGGCTGGATGCTGCACAATCGGTCGGTGTCAGTTGCATATGGCTCCAAGGCACCCATGGCTGCAGTTCCCAGCACGATCTCATAGCCAATTGCGCGAGGACTGCTCGGCTGCTCTGTCCTCCTCCGTCAGTCTTACCAGGTCGTCTTCGCCGACACCCACACCAGCAAACCTGGTCGTGTCGATGTCAACAGATTTGGTGTCGATAGTGTGCGCTTGGTAAATACCCTTGTCGATGGGCCACGCTGTGCTCCTGTCTCTGTTTTTACGCACATCCCTCGTTATTTGGAATACATCGATATTCTCGATTTCGTCATCATTGGTGAGCTGCGGCGCACTGTTGTTGATCATGTACCTCATTACATCTAGGGTCACCTGTATACGCAGGTCCCAGTTGGGCAGGCGTGGACCATGCCAGTAGTAGTCAAACGAGGACCTGGCCGACACTGCAGTCATAGAGTAGAGTAGGTGTGCTTTATATGCAAGAGAAAGCATTATTGAAAAATACAGCTGATGAGATTAGCAGGGAATAGACAATATTCAGGAGTGAAAATGCGAAGCATTAGCGGCTTTTTAACAGCAATTGTGAATGGTATATTGGCGGGACCCACGTGTAGGTCAGTTGATGTGGTGCGAGGTACGTGGAATTATTATATTTATCATTTGTACCGAAATTACTCTGCTCACGATGCGAGCTCGGCTGCTAGTCAGCATGAGTTGACACATCGATAAGAGCATCACGGCGAACCGGTCATTTGAACGTGTCGGATGGTTGTTGGTGCAATGGACGATCATGGACATCTCCCATCCTTGGATGGCCTGCTCAGCGCAGGCGCTTTCAGCGCTGGCTCGCTGCTGCTGGCAGCAGAATCGCCTGCTGCTGCACGCCTCTTGCGCGGCTCTTTGTTAGCAGGGGTGGTGCCAGAAGCATCGGCAGCAATGGCCGTAGAGCGACGGAACCGTTCAGGGATACTGCCTGAATCACAGAGAGACTGGAAAATGAGTCTGAAGTTTAGAACTGCTGCGAGATCGTGGTTCAAGAGTCCGAGACGAATAGGCTCGCCTGTATTGTGCCATGGCCCGCTTACATGACTCGCTTGTACAGCGGAGAAGGCCATGGCACTTCACAGTTGGGTTCTTCGATCTCTGGTAGGGCCGCGGATTGGAAACACACCGGAATGTCTGCAGCGACTTTTCGCAGCAGAACGTGTTGTAGGTCTAGAGCACACGGTGGGTGGTGTAGGGCAAGAAGAAAAAGAAGTAAGAAACGAGTAGCGAAAGATACCATATATGTAAGTATGTGTGTAGCTTTTCGTATAGCGCGGATTCTGAATCAGCTGCCAAGCGATGGTATCTCAATCCAGAAATGTGCGAGCGGTGTGACCATATCAGCAATAGAAATGGACAGAGTCAAGGGATATATATTGATGAAGAAAGGCTAAAGAGAAGTAGGAAGAGAGAGGCGAGCGCAAAGGTTTTATACCATCGCTCAGGTGGCAGCAGCCAAAAAGAAGAAGAAAAAAAGAACAACTGGATGAAAAACTATGTAGTTCACAGTAATCGGATCTTGAGATTCTAGCACCTGTGGCCACTACATTAACAGCTTGTCACCCTAGTTTCGCAGATGAAGTCAGATGCCGCACAAGATCAAAAGGAGTTTGCAGAGCAAGTCACCCAAACTTGCATTTGAGGTTTAGTAGTTTTATTTTTAACCAATTAACAAGACTCTGGCGGACAGTCCGGATCACTTTCAACTATAAAATCTTATATATAGGTAAAGATAAAGATATGGATAGCCGACGGCGAGTTCCAAAATAGGGTATGACTGTCTACAATTCATATCCTACAATTTTCAAAAGAGGCGAACCAAGGGCACATGCAGTCCACTCTAGGACATTTGTTTTCAGGGTTTAACTGAAGAAACTTAACATCCTTGCCATGCTGTTAGTTTGTATACGATACAGGTCAGTATATTGTGATAACTTCATCAAAGGCAGGCTATGTCTATTTGCGCTCAGTTGCCTTGTAATCGAGGAATGCCCGGAGATTCTGGACAGCCAGGTCCAGCGCGAGAACGCAGCTCGCGGTGCTTTCTGCGGTCGATGGTCTTGGCAAACTTCTTTGCCGGCAGATATACCTGGCGTAGTCTTGCCAAAAACTCGCCCTTGACAAACACAGGCTCGTCATAGTCGTAAGCCATATCGCTGTAGATATCAAAGAACAGATCCAGTGCCTCGACGATGGGCTCGGCAATAGCCGCCGGGTCCTTGGTCGGCTGCAGCAGCGGTTTCACGATGACGTTCTCAAGCAAGTAGGCGCCAATGCGGCGGTTCAGATCAACGAAGCCTGGCTGGCGGCGGGCAATGTTGCCCAGAGCACCCACCGCGCGTACACGCAGATCGCTGGTCGGGGCAAACTCGCAGATCTGCACAAGCCCCTCGATGTGCGGGCCAGTCACAGGCACACACCCCTCGACGCCGCGCGTCAGCGTCCACATGCTGCCAACAGCCGACTCGAGCACCGAGCAGCGCAGTGCCATGTCCTTTTCGGCCAGCGATGCATCTGCGGGCCGCGCAACACCGACGATGTGCTCAGGCAATCGCAGTCAGGTGCGCCCACCAGAGGTTGACCAGATCAGTATGCTTGCGGAACCAGGGCTTTAGGGACTCTTCGACCACCAGCAAAAAGTTGTTGAAGCAGGCCAGTGCGCGTTCGTGCAGCACGACAAAGCTGTCCACAGCTGCGCTGACCGCGCGGACCGCGTTGGGGTTGTTCAGGGTGTTGCTGGCCTCCAGTGCGGTGCTCAGCGACGACATCGAGGTAGGCTCAGCAAGCTTTTGTAGCTGCGGCACAATCGTGCCTGATGAACAGCCCCAGAATCGAGTTCTCGACGACCTCGTCGGCCTTGTTGGCCAGGGTTCCCTCATCAGCCAGAATGTCGACCATGTCGCCCTCGTCAAAGTCCTCCTCGTCATTGTTGCCAAAGTCGACATCGTCAATCTCGTCCTCGCTGTTGTCCTCGCCGTCATCCATCTCGAGATCAGCATCCGAGTCCTCGCCTAGCAGATCGTCGTTCTCCTTCTTGGGCTTCGGATTGGCCTCCTCGGCTTCCTCTGCGCCTTCGTCAGTAAAGATATTGGCTGCCAACTCCAGCGCCAGCTGCAGGTGACCAAGACGCGTGCTGATGTTATCGAGCTGGATCTCATGCGCCGACTCTGACGCCGACTCAGCTCCATTGGCAACTGCCTCCGCCTGCTTGCTGATCAGGCCCCGAATGGCCTCAGCGGCATGGCCCGCAGTCTCGTTGAGATCCAGCGACATGAATTGGGAGATTACCTGCAGCAGGTTGCGCGACAGGTCCTCCCAGGGCTTCAGCTTCTCCTCGATCCCATCCTCATCGGTGCCCATACGCTCCGCCATGATCTTGTCGATAGCCATAGGCTTGATGTTGAGCAGGATCCCGCCAGCCAAAATGCGCACCACTGCCAGGCCCTCGGGCGTCGTGTTCTCGACGCTCTCGGCGGCCAGGATCTTGAACATGTTCGGGGCAGCGTTGGTCTGTGCAAGCAGCGCGCCATGCGCATGCTTATTGCTGTCTGACAGAGTGTACAGGAATTGGCCGGCGGTCTGCACCAGCGACGTAGGCAGCTTATCGACAACATTGAAGAACGAAACCAAAAAGGGCGTGACTCCCATGTCGTTGATCGTCTTTAGCGAGCTCGGCACGGTCTCACACAGCGCCCACAGGACGGAGATCAGATTGTCAGCTGTCAGGAACACAACCTTGCGCTCCTCCATATCTAGCTTCTGGCCTGCCTCGTTCTGCTTCAGAATGTCGTCGATCGACTTGGCAAGTCGCGGGATCACCGAGTGAATAGCCATAAACACATTGCTGCGAACCATCTCCTCGGCCGCGCCCTGGTCGACTGCAGCCAGATTGCGCAGCGCTCCGGCGACCTGAACCACCACATCGGCTGAATCGTCCGACAGACGCTCGATCAGAAGGCTGATGGCGTTGTTGGCGAGCAGCAGCCGCCGCACATTGGAATCGTCAGAAGCCAGTAGGTTGCTGGCGCTAGCAGCGGCCCATACGCGCTCGTTGACCTCTGGCGAGTTCAGCTTCTTTAGCAGAACAGGGACCTCTTCCTTGCTTTGTACGGTGGTGACGGCACCCTGAACAGAAACCGCGTTGATCGGGTTCGCCCTCTCCTTGAATGTGCGTTTAGGAGCCTTGCCCATTTTTGAATGTAGAGAAAATAGTGTAGAGAAGTGTGGAAGTGTATGCGTCAGAAGGGAAAGCGGCTGAAAGCAGTTGGCGTGCATAAGGATATGGAAGCGCCGAATATTTTTTGTGGTAAAAATTTCTTGATCATGGATGTGGTGATCGATCCGATTCATGGGCGTTACTGTGATTAACGGCTGTCGAGTGATCAGTGGCATCATATGCAACATATACCAGCTTGTGGTCCAGGTAGGATGAGCCACAGCAGAAAGGATCTTTAGTTGCAGCTCACAATGTTTCTGCTGTTATCAGGTGTCGCCCTAGCCAGGAGCGTACAAATACCATTTGATGACAGTTACAATGCTGATCATTCTCAAAATACCTGCTATGGATGTAGAGAGTACAGACCCAGGTGTATGTATGCCACCCATGTATTTCTGCAAAAAAACATGAGAGATAGGATGAGCATATGAAAATGGTTTCAAGCACCAACGGCTCCAGGTGCCTTCTTCTTGCTCTTCTTCTCCTCGACCTGCTCGATGTTGTCCTTGGGCACCTCGGGGTGCATCTTCAAAATAAGCTCCAGGATCTCGTCAGAGAAGTCGCCCTGCACGACAATCTCGTCTTGGCCCTGCGGGTTCTTGGACACGGAGCCGCCGCAGGCAAAGTGGTTGGCAAAGTTCTTTGCAGTCTTCTTCAGGTCGACGCCGAAAATCTCGAGGCCCTGGACGCTGGTCACGCACTTGCGCTTGTTGCGCTCAACGCGCTTGATGACGACCCGCGAGGACATCTTCTTTTCGAGCTCGCGCGCCATACGTGCCTCCTCCTTGCTCATAGCCTTCTCCATGCGGGCGGCCTCCTTGGCCGCCTTATCCTCGCTGAGGTTGGTTTGTGCCAGCTTCTCGGTGATGGCTAGTGGTTTTCCATCTGGCGTGTTAGTCATGGGTGAAAGGGAGAAAACGCTGTGCCAGCATTTTTAGGGGGCCGTGCTTTTGCTACTTACCGGCATCACCATACAGGCGCTCGTGCTCCTCGGGGTACTTGCTGGAGAGCCACTCCTGGCACTTCTTCTTGGCGGCAGAGAACTCACAGTACTACACGGCAAACAGCAGCTGTTAGCCAGGGCTGTCTTTTGCACCATCTCCACATGGAACTGGCGGCAGTGTCCTATTTACCTCTGGCGGCATTCCACAAACTACAGCTCACGCTTAGTGCAATTTAGATTAGTGGTATCCTACGCATAAGCACCGTGTGCGCTGATCAGTGACAGATGTTCCTATCGTACCTCCGCAGTACAAAACAGTCTTCTTCGTTGTGGCGGACATGCTGAGGCTTTTTGAGTGACGAGACAAACGAGAAATGAATGGACAGTTTTCAGACTCCGCCGAAAATATAACGATCAGCAAAAGAACAGCAGCGATATTCGAATGCGTTTATGGTCAAAATTTCAAATTGTAAGAATTCACTGAGGTTTATGCCTTGGTGGCCTCCTTCTTGGCAGCAGCTTCCTTGGCGGCCTTCTTGGCCTGTCTCTTGCTGACCTGCTTCTCCTCGCCCTGCTTGCCGCCGTACTTTGTGCGCCAGGACTCGATCTTCTTCTCGTCGATACGGGTGAACAGATACTCGGCCTTGCCAATGACAGTGTCCGGGCTTGAGCTCAAGCTCAAAGGTCTCCGTCAGCAGGCGCTCGGGGGCGTTGAGCTGGCGGGCAATGCTGGCCGCAGTGGCAGGCATGAACGGGTGGAACACGACGCTGAGCAGGTAGATCAGGTTCGTGGCCACAGCCAGCACGGTGTCGCACTGGGCGCGGTGGTCGGCAAACAGCGAGTTGTCCATCTTGGACTCCTGCAGGTACTGGTTTCCGCGGGCCGAGATCTCCATGGCGGTCCGCAGACCCGAGCGCAGATGCACGCCGTCCATCTGCTCGATGTACTTGGCCAGAAGAAGCGTTGACATCATCAATGAGCTTGCGGTCGGCAGGTGTCGGCGCCAGGGGCAATAAGCGACGGGATCGGCCTGGGGGAGCACGCCGGCGTACTTGGTGTTGGCATCAAGGAACTTGATGACACGGTTGACAAAGTTGCCAATGTTGGCCAGCAGCTCGTTGTTGTTGCGGGCGACAAAGTCGGTCCACGTGAAGATGGTATCAGCGGTCTCAGGACGGTTGGCCAGCAGGAAGTAGCGCCAAACGTCGGCCGGGACGCCGGTCTCCTGGGCGTTGTTGCCGAAAACGCCGACGCCGCGCGACTTGGAGAACTTGCCGGTCTCGTAGTTGAGGTACTCGCAGGTCGAGATGTGGTGCAGGAATGTCCAGTTGTCGCCCGAGGCAATCTCCGAGCTCGGGAACACGACAGTGTGGAACGGAACGTTGTCCTTGCCCATGAACTGGTATAGCTTGACGTTGTCGGGGTTCTTCCACCACTTCTCCCAGTCGTCGGTGTAGTTGGCGGTGATCGACGGATATCCGACGCAGGCATCGAACCACACGTAGAACACCTTGCTGTCAAAGCCCTCGAGCGGGACCGGCACACCCCACTTGAGATCGCGGGTGATGCAGCGCGGCTTCAGACCCTCCTTAAGCCAGGTGTTGGTGATGGTCACGCCGTTCTGCGACCACTGGCCGGCCTCGGACGACTTGCGCACAAACTCTTCGCACTGCGGCTGCAGCTTCTCCAGATCCAAAAACAGGATGCTTCGAGTCGCGCACGACGGGGCGGTTGCTGTCGAGCTTGCAGCGCGGCTCAATCAGATCCACGGCATTGATCAGCTTGCCGCACTTGTCGCACTGGTCGCCACGGGCGTCCTCGTAGCTGCAGTACGGGCACACGCCCTCGACGTACCGGTCAGCCAGGAAGCCGCTCGCACTTTTCGCAGTACAGCTGCGTCATCTCGTTCTCGATAATGTACCCGTTCTTGTGCGCCTTCAGGAAAATGTCCTGCACAATCTCGGTCTGCTTCGGCGTCGACGTGCGGCCAAAGTGGTTGAACGACAGGTCGAACCACTTGTACACCTCAGGCGTGCAGAGGCGATGGTACTTGTCGCACAGCTCCTGGCAGGACACGCCCTCCTCCAGGGCCTTGGTCTCGGTCGCTGTGCCGTATTCGTCAGTGCCGCAGATGTAGAGCGTGTTGTTGCCGCGAACGCGCGAGTACCGTGCAAACACATCGGCGGAGAGCGTCGAGCCGATGACGTTGCCCAGGTGGGGCACATTGTTGACGTACGGCAACGCCGATGTGATCAGAACGTTCTTCTGGTCATCCTTTGGCAGCACAGTCTGCGACTTGTCGAACACAAACTCGATGGCAGTGTTCACATTGCGGTTCTCTAGCGTGGGCTCCTCGCGCACCAACACCTTGACAACCTACCGAAGTGAAAAAAGAAAAAACAATCAGCACGAGTGTGAATCATCAGCATAAATAGCAATTCGTGCGTGTGAATCTTTGTGATTGCGACACCTGTATGTAAAATGGCGCACATGACATCCATATATGCAGCAATATAAAATCAACGGGTCTGCAGAGTAGCAGCCGGCTATGATGATGATGACTCACGCTCTCATTGTACTGCGGCAGGGCCGCAATCACGGCCTTCTCGCTGCTCTGCTTGGCAAACCACGCCTTCAGTTTCGGGTACTTGTCGACAACCGCCTCCTTGGCGTTCGCCAGTGCATAATACAGGGCACCAAGCAGTACGGTGGCCGCAGCGCCCTGGCTAAATGCATCAACCTTGGACTCGGCCAGCGCCAGCACCTGATCCACATCCTTGTCAACCGGCAGCTGGCTCACCTGCGTCTCCTCCCACTCAAGCACCTGCTCAACGGCCGCCCGATCGCTGGAACCGTAGGTGTTGTAAAGAAGGCGCACGGCGGCATTCATGTCGTAGAGGATTGTGTCATTGACCGTGATCCAATACGGCTGCTTGGACTTGGGCGTTGTTGCGGGTGCTTGCGAGGTGGAGACGCTGGCGTTGTTGGCGTGCGCAGCGACGAGCAGCTTGAGCAGACCGGCGGCGGCGGGCGTGTTGGCGGGCGGCGCAGCCAAGTTGTTTACTAGCGTGATTTGTTTGACGGACATTTTAGCAATTTCACTTAATAGGTGGGTTTGGGAAAAAAACAAAAAATTTGGGTGAGAGGTGATTGAGACTGATGGGCTGTGAAAAAGGAACTCTTAAAGCACGACATTCCTTTTTTTTTTTGTAAGCTAGCCGAGGATCGGCTCGGCTCGAGTTTCTGGACCGGTTCCTACTATCGCAACTGGCTTTTTTTCGCTGCCCGATAATCGTCGCTTGCTCACTTCAGCTCTACATTTTTCTAAACCCCTCCAATTTGCAGTCGTTCAAGCATGTTTGCCGGTTTGTTCGGAGCAGTCCAGTCGATCTCGCGGCCCGCGCTGTTTGGCCCGCAGACATCTGCAGTGCGCACCATGGCCAAGCTGAAGACGCACAAGGCCTCAGCCAAGCGGTGGAAGGCGGTCGCCAACGGCCTGTTCCAGCGCCAGCAGCAGGGCCTTCGCCACTTCAACCGTCGTCTGACGCCCGGTGCCCGCCGCGCAAAGCACGTCCCCATGCTGTGCACGCCGGCCCAGAGATGGCACCTGCAGCGCCTGATGCCCAACGCCAAATAAAATAGTACGCTTTGAATATATCTTTAGCTGTTGAAGATGCGAGAGTACAGTCGGTCGTGCATGCCCTGATACAGCTCCAGCATGGGATCAGTGTACACAACCGATTCGCCAAAGATGTCCTCCAAGGTGCCGTTCCTTGGCGCGCAGCCCAGAATACTGTGCCATTAGGTCGTCGACCAGCGGAAGCATGTCGCACTCGAGTGTCTGCGCGCGCAGCGGGCCGATCAGATTGAGTCTGATCGCGGCCGAGAAGATCTGCCGCAGGAACTGGAACAGATACAGCTGCTGCATCCGCTCCAGCCGGATCTCCAGCGCTGCACACACAAAGCCAAACACTGTAGGGCCAGTGCATCCGCGTCATCTCCAGCCGCGACTGCCTCTGCAGCTCCTTGGCTACCCGGATGCACGCCTGCCCGCGCCGATTTGTATTCATGAACTTTGCGTGAGCGTACCCGCGGTTAAACAGGCTCAGGAGGCCGCCGCCCTGCGCAATCAACGCCCGCATTGCCACCCGGTTAGACGACACCATGGCATGGTGGTAGCTGTCCAGCGATGCTAGCTCATCAACTAGCTCTTGAATCACCTGGTCCTCGCCCTTGGATTCCAGCTCAGAGTCTGCCAGGCGGCTCGACACCAGTTCGTGCACGCGCGCGCAGAACGGCACGGCGAATCGGGCTTGGTTGTGGGTGCTATCGCGGATAAACGTCACAAATGAGTCACGGTCCTCCTCGCGTGCTTGCTCGCGCACCAGTCCGCCCTGCATCGCTGCCTCGAGCCCAGCCGAGGCGACGAATCCGCCTGTCGGCAGCTGCGAGTCTGCTAGCATCCACAAGAGCCATGTCTCCTTGTCCATTGCTGTGAAAGAGCGTGGTAGTATTAGTAGGTATAGTGAGGAATGGTGTTGAGGAAAGAAAGGGCTGTCAAGCAGCATCGGGGGCGGGAGGAGTGGCGCCAGACGATTGCTGATCTCACGGCAGTCCCGAGCTTTCGTCTCGAGCGGCTCCGACACCCGCACTAGCTCGGAAGCTCCAATCCACGGCACGTGACAATAGCGTCGATCTGAAAGTGCCAGATCATGGCACGATCGCGATTAAGCAAAAAAAAAAAAGTTCCTGTGCTCCCACTTTTCCAACAAACAACAAAACTTTGACTGGCAGCGAAGGCTAGAAACAGGCCTGTTTGCTAGAGCTAAGTCAAACTTTTTTCCTCCGTCTCTCTATCCTCCTTCACCAGCTTGTTCTTCAATTCTTTTCTTCTATAGACACTTGTAGCCTCGGCACTCTCCTTCCTCTCTACGACACAGACCAAAGAACAATCATGGCTAACGCAACCACTAAGGACAGCGGCATGACTAGCAAAGACTACTACTTTGACTCGTACGCGCACTTTGGGATCCACGAGGAGATGCTCAAGGACGAGGTCCGCACGGTCTCATACCGCGACTCGATCATCAAGAACAAGCATCTGTTCAAGGACAAGATTGTGCTTGACGTGGGCTGCGGCACGGGTATCCTGTCGATGTTCGCCGCCAAGGCCGGCGCCAAGCACGTAATCGGTGTGGACATGTCGAACATCATCGACAAGGCCAAGCTGATTGTGGCCGAGAACGGTCTGTCAGACAAAGTCACCCTGCTGAAGGGCAAGATGGAGGAGATTGTTCTGCCGTACGACCACGTCGATATCATCATTTCCGAGTGGATGGGCTACTTTTTGCTGTACGAGAGCATGCTGGACACGGTTCTGGTTGCGCGCGACAAGTACCTAAGCCCTGGCGGCATGATCTTCCCCGACACGGCGACCATGGTGATCTCGACGATCGAGGACGGCGACTACCGGGAGGAGAAGCTCGGCTTCTGGGACAACGTCTATGGCTTCTCGATGTCGTGCATCAAGGAGGCTGCGCTGAAGGAGCCGCTGGTCGACACTGTTGAGTCGCGGTTCGTCAACTCGACGCCCATGGTGTTCAAGACTATCGATATCCTGACTGTCAAGAAGGAGGATCTGACGTTCCAGGTGCCGTTCGAGATCGAGGTGTCGCGCGACGACTACGTCCACGCGTTCATCTCGTGGTTCGACATTGAGTTCCGTGCCTGCCACAAGCCTGTGCGCTTCTCGACCGGGCCATTCGCCAAGTACACGCACTGGAAGCAGACTGTGTTCTACACTCCCGATTCGATGACCGTGTGCAAGGGCGACAAGATCTCGGGCGAGATCACATGTGCGCCCAACAAGGAGAACCCGCGCGACCTCGACATCATCATCAGCTATGAGCTCGATGGCAAGGAGGCCAAGGCCAAGGACAGCCTCGAGTACCGGATGTGCTAGTAGGATAGAGTTATATAGTTGATGCTGGATTGGAATGTTCAAAAAAAAAAAAACTAAATGAGGTAATGGGGCAATATTGACAGTTAGCTGCTGCTGCCCTGCGCCACGGTCACGTTTTGGCCGCCCTTGAGCTCGCGGGCACACGACAGGCCTGATCGAGACACTTGCGGAGGTGCCTGGGCCGCTCAGCAGGAATCTTGCTGCTGATGCCAATGCTGCCATTGTTGCCATGGCTCTTGCGCACATACTCGATAGCCTGGGCCAGCCGGGACAGCGCCGGGTCGAACATTTCGGGCTCAACCAGAGCAAAGGCGGCACGCAGGATAGCTCTGCTCGTCGGGATGTGCGTCTCCGGGCATGAACGGCACGCCAGGAGCCATCATGACACCGCATTTCTTCATGGTCTCCAGCAGCATCGCCATAGCGCCCTTCTGGTCCGAGCCTCCGAGGTCGATGCGCATCCACAAGAACATGCCTGCGCTGGGAACCGTGTACTCCACTAGGCCCGCCAGATTCTTTTCGACAGCAGCAACAAAGGCGTTGCGGCGCCTTGCATACGTTGCCCGCAGGTGCCTCAGATGCGACTCCCAGCCTGCCATGCCCCACGAGTTGTTGAGGATCTTGGAAATGACGCCCTGCGACAGGCCCGACGGCTGCAGGCTGGTTGCCTCGATTCAACAGCTGCACGCGGTCGAGGATGTACGAAGGTGCTGTGACCCAGCCGCACCGCAGGTTGGGTGCCAGGATCTTGCTGAACGAGTCCAGCCGGATGACGCGCCCATCGGTGTCCAGCGACAAGAAGCTCGGCACCAGTGCCAAATCACTAGTCGACGGGCTCATGCAGCTTCGGGAACTGCATGAAATAATACGGGTCGTCCTCGACGATTACGAGGTTGTGCTTTTTGCGCCACCCTATAGATCTCGGCTTCTCCGGCTTTCCGACATTGTCGACCCGGTCGGGTTCTGCCCCGTGGGAATAATGTACACCACGCGCAATGGCTTCTCGCCCTGCCACTCGCGGCACGCTGTGTCCAGAGCTTGCGGCACCATGCCCTCGCTGTCCAGCTCCACCGGCACAGCCCCAATGCCTGTATTGTTCAGCACACCCAGAGCGCCTGGGAACGTCCACTTTTCAACCAGCACTGCGTCCCCCGGCTCACAGAACAGAGCGACCACTTTGCTCAAGGCATCGTTGTTGCCGCACGATGCAATTACGTCCCACCCGGTGTACTTTAGCGGGTGGAACTTTTGCCGTGTGCTGGCGGAGGAACGAACGATAGCTGTCAACGCCACATCCGTCACCGTACTGCAGAAGCTCATCGATGCTCTCCACGATGCCGCTGCGGCATGTCTTGTCCAGAGTCACAGTCTCTGTCTGCGAGCCGCCCGGCATGCGCACCTGCACCGACATGTGCGCGATAGGGAAGGTCGAGGGATCAGGCACACCGCCGGCCATGTTAATCATCGACAGGGTCGGGGTCCCCATGACCGCCTTGAACATGCTCTTCTTGGAGCCCTGCATCCCGGGCACAAAGAGAGACGTCAGGTCCTTGGGCTCTTGCTTGTGAGTGCTTGATGACTGCATGATCGAATATGAGATATGAGATTCTCGATGAAGATATTTGAAAGAACTGTATGCCCCTGCAAAGGAAAAGGGCTGTTTTATATCCAAAACGTAGGTGTCGGTGCGTCTGGGTGCCAAAATGGGGGAGAGGCAGTACGAATAGATGGCACACCTATGGCGGAGAAAGGACGAGGCGCTGGCCTGCTGGTAATATACACAAAGAGCTAATTGTCTGGAAATTGGAGGAGGCGTGCGAGGAGAAAGCGAAACAAACACCAGAGCGTGTGCAGTGGCCTCGTTATAAATGGCCGAGTAAGAAATCAGGCTTGGCGCAGAGGATGGAGCATCAGCTATCAAGCCAAGGACCTGGAGGATGGTGGCAGCGTCTTATTCTTTGGAGTGTGGGCAAGATAGCGGTACACTGACTAAATGATGGGGATGAGAAAATGCAGCTCACGGAAATGGAGGGAGAGAGGGAGAGAGGGAGAGAGAGAAGGCAAGCTGCTGGACGCTTCAAGCAGCTTGTGCTCCCCTTATGATGTTTTGTTTCAGTATTTTGAGCACTGACAAGATTATTTCTCTAACCTAGTCCAAGGAGCTACTTCCTTCTAATGCCCATGTTTACTCATGTTTTGTCAGCATCGGGCATACTTTTCAGCGGATATGCAGCGAAAAAAAAACACCTGCCACTCTAGCCTCGCTGCAAGGCTATAAATAATTACAATTAGTATTGTGTAGTGCCAATGTGCCTAACCCTCAGTCGCTCGGTGGGCATAGAAGCTGCCAAGTTTCCGCAAGGGACACAGTTTGTGGAATAGCTAATGTGCCCAGTATTCACTACGGCATGTCGCACATGACAAGCGGTTGTTGCTTCGTCTGTGCCTGGACGAATGGGGCATAGAGCGATGTGACCTTCTCATTCCCTAAAGAAGAGGGTCCCGTCACCAATTGCACGGCACACAGATCACTTTTTTATAGCCCTGGCTGCTTGAGCCCAACTGGGGAGCTCCATTTCATCGCGTGTGAAAGGCGGAGGCACGAGAGGTTGCAGGGGTTACATCTGGGTATTCCCTCAATTCGCTGCTCTGTCGCACATTTGGGATCTTCGTAACCAGACGCGGGTCTTGTTTACATCCGCAGTCCAGTGAAGACGTACAAGCTATCTCGGCCAGATAAAGTGTATTCTACGTAGCACGGCTACACCTGCAGCATTACTTTTTCTGAAGGAACGGCTTTTCAAAATCCGATAACGTACATCAGCGTTCATCGCTAGGCTACAATATCTCGCACTAGCAGTCATGTGGAGGAGCGGATGTTGCAAATGATTGGATCGATGATATTAGGTAGATGGAAATGAATGAACGGTGAGGCATTTGCTCGCTACAAATAGAAGTTAATGAATGAGTGGGATGGGTGCGGCGTGAGACGAATTTGGAAATATGCTAATGTGGTAGGGGGTAGCGAATGGTTCTACGGAGCTTGCCTAGCTGGCAGACGAGTGGTGGCCATGGATAGTTGTGGCCGAGTCGATATATTTTGGCGACGCACCGCACACCATGCCGCTATCGGCCATGGCCATCTTCTCTGCCATGGTCTGCTGCTGGCTGTTCTGGGGCGTGTGCTGGCGCGATGACTTGAACCATGTCGAGATGGGCTGCAAAATCCTGCTCTTCAGCTGCCATCCCTGGCTCGGCGGCTTCCCCTCCGAGCTGGCCGCGTCATCACGCTGCCTGGTGCTATAATGGTGCTTCTGTGACTGCGACTGCGACTGCGACTGTGGCACCGACAGGCCATTGGTGTCCCCGATGGACGGAACAAACATCGGCGCAATATCGCCAGGTGTTGTAGCCTGCGATGCGCCCAGGATACGGCCTGCTTGCCGCCGACCACTGCGGTACCCGGTAGTGGCTGGCGATTGATCGTACACAAGCGTGTTGGCCGGTGATCCGCCGAGGTCGTATGACCCAGTACTGGCCAGGCGCGCCATAGGCGGCGGCAGAACCGGCAGCAGTGTTCCAGCAAACGTCGCCGGAGTGGTTGCGGTTGACGCCGACGAGCCCTTACGCATAGTGCTGCTGCGCCCACCCATCTCAGGTAATGTCGACTGGTGCCTCAGCCTGTGCTGATGCTGCCTGGGGTTTGCTCCGCTGCTGCCAGCGGGCATTAGCAAAAGGTCTCCCACAGGCGAGATATCGCGGAATACTGGAATGGATGACGTGGCTCGGGGCTGCTGGCTCTGCTGGTGATGCTCTGAATGGTCGGCACTGCCACCCGGCTGTCCTGCAAACGGACAGTGGTACACAGGCGAAGGGTGCGGGATATTGCCATGATGCCCGCGCGACAATGCACGCTTCTTTGATGTGGGACGCAGCAGTGTGATCCGCTCTTCAGCAGGGATCCGCGGGGGCTGCTGTTGCTCCAACTGTTGCTGTTTCGGCTGCTCCTGCACTGGTGTCTGTTTATGCTTGACAAGATTGGGTGGCGAGGGCTGCGTGTTGTGGTGCCGCTTGGTCAGGCTAGGCAGTCGCATAGTCTGAGACAGCTGCTTGCGCACGGCCAGAGTCAGTGCCGAGGCTGCTGAGATCGTCGCACTCTTCGTCGAGGTAGCTGTGGTTGAGGTCTGGGCTGTAGCAGCAGCGGCGGCCTATACTGGGGACGGGTAATATAAAGATGGGTCCGGCGTTGGTCCAGCCCCGAACGACCATGGAGAGTTTGGTGGGATTTTAATAAGAGGTTTCAGAGTTAAGACAGGTACGAAAATAAAACATTTTAGAAGAGACATCCGAAGGTCTAGGGGATATGCTCCTTTGTAAACAAGAACAAGAATACAGTGTTGTTTCGTTCAAGGGAAGGGTGTGAGTTGGCTTGAAAGCAATGGCACTGACAGGGGACCGGGGAGAGCTGCACAGACCTCCATATTGGATGTCCATGGCTAAGTAAAAGGAAAGGGGTGGTGAGGAGAAAATTGTACAAGGTGGTTTGGTGGCGTGGTGTATGGGGGAGAGGGAGTGGGAGCCATTGGTGGCAGTGGTGGTCCCTTCAAGTATAGCGTGTGGGAGGATGGGTTTGGCTTGACCAAGGGTGCTCACTGAGAACACCGTCTTGACTCGCGTGCGCTTACCATATCGATCGATGCGACAGAGTGTGTTCTTCCATGATGCCGCTGATAGTGCTCGGTCTCGCCCCGCACCCGCTGCATCTCCTCGGCAACCTTCCTCGACGACGCATCCTCTGTCGGCGGTATCATATTGTCCATTGCATGGCGGTGCTTCACGCTATCCAGACCCAGCGTTGGCGGGTACTGTTTCGTCGGCTGCAGCCCAGAGGTAGTCGGGTGGTGGTAACCAGCGGAGTCCTCACGCGGCTGAGATGTGACGATCGCAGGCACCGAAGAGACCTCGGTGACCGCACTGCTACTGCTGCTGCTGCTGCTGCTGCTGTTGGTAGCAGTGGCAGTGGCAGTGGTCGTGGCGGCGGTGCCGCCGAATGTGGGTGTGGTCGGAGTCAGCGGCGCAGATGCCTTGGGCGGGCCCGGAAGGAAGGCGGCGGCAGCGTCATTCAGATCGTTGTTGTCGATGCGCAGGTCAAAGTCGAGCAGGAACAGCAGCTGCTTTTCCATCAAATTGACCTCAGCAACAGTAAATACAGTAGAGTACCGTGCCCAGTACTTGTTCTTGGGCGACGAGTCGTTTAGGTATTTGCCAGCCACAATCAAGGTGGCCAGGAAGATCCGATGGCAGGTGCATTCCATGCCTACAGAAAGCAAAGGGGTGTTGTGTTTGAGCAGGCCATGATGTTGGTGCAAACTGAGTGGAGCACGCGGTTGCTGGTCATGGTGATGGTGGTGGCTGTGAGCAGTAAGCAATCTACCATGGGGACTGGTAGAGGGCGACGACGACCAGCAGTAGCACTGGGAAACAAGAACCATTGCTGCAAATGGTGGTGACATTACCCATCCCTCATCACCGCTACCAATTGTTGTCTAGTTTCTGAGATAAAGTGCCCATCGACAAGGCCCATTTGGCCGTGCGCAACAACAACAGCAACAATGAAAGGAATAAAGCCTTGATGGTCCCAAGTCCGTGGCGTCCCGTTCATAATGGGCAAGGACCGTTCAGATGCAGAAATAACTGCGCAAAAAACGAAAGCAAAGCTGATGGCACCATGCCCGGCCACTAGCAGATTCAAGCCAAGACGAGGAAGGGGGATAACGGGAATAAAGCAGAAATCCAGAACCAAATTGCAATATGTTTTTGCTCTTCTCCTGGCCCCCTTTGAAAATCAACCCAACCTACGACAACAGCAAAAAAAGCTGAGCAGCACCACAGGCTAGATTGAGCAAGTAAAAAATAGTGCTTACCTCGTGCCTCCTTTGGCAGCCGTCTCCGCAATCTCTGCAGGTACACGAGTGTGCAGATCAGTGTGCCAGCCTGCACCCTCGACCGCAGAACCAGATTGGTAATAAACAGATCCAGCGGCGGGATCGTTGAAAGACCCTGTGCTGCTTGGCGTGGCAGGCGGCGAGGGCAGGCGGCTGCCATTGCTGGTCGAGGGACGCGCTGACGACTGCTGCCCGCTATTGCTGACCTGTGGCGGCGGCGAACACGGAATCACGTTTTTGGCGTGCAGCGCAATGACTCCGATCATCTCCTTTGTGATCTCGCACCGGATCGTGTCGAGCGTCTGCGGCGTGAGCGGCGTCGCCATATTCAAATGCAGCGGACGCGTCTGCATCTGGTGGTGATCGACCTGGGTAGCCATGGTGGTGGTGGGGAGGTTGATTCGAAAAGAAACCCGGGGGGTCAAAAGATATATAGGAGGAGAAGATGTCGAGGTGAGGTGAATAGAGGGTCAAGAAAAATAGCTTTATGAGCTAGATAGGATGTACTAAGAGACCGAGAAGGAAATAAAAAGAATGAGGAGAGTGAATAAAAATAGTGCCGCGATGTGGAAATATGAGGTTTTGCGATTCTGGGCTGGTTGCTATATACAAAAGACCGCCAAGCGATATTTGGGAAACCGAAGGGGAGGGGGAGAGCGAAATAAAATCGAATGAGCGAGAGGGGACCACAGAAGAAGAAAAGGTTGCTTTCAGTCAAATAAAGGCCGCCTAGAACATCCGGAAAAAGCAGTTGTTTGGGATCTTGTCAAGCAAGCAAGAAAGCAAAGAGCGACGGAGCAAACAATCTTTGTATTTCGTTGCCTTGTCGAGTGAGGCAGTAGTAGGAAATAAGGAGTGAGGCAAGGGGGATGGTGTTCTGTACGAGCCACAGCGATAATGAGTATGTGAATGGGGGGAGAGGCCAATGTACAAAAGCTGCGAAAAAGATTTGGCAAACAAGAGGGGAGGGCCAAAGGCGTGGTGAATCGAAAAATATATAATACCGAGCGAAAAATATAGTAGCTCGCGTTCAAAGACTGTAGAATAGAGCGGTAGTAATCGAAATACAACAAGAACAGAGGTACATGAATTGGTCTGCCCTCAATCGACTTCACCCCCGCTGTTTATAAGGCAGTTCGATTTGTATTCTCGTCTGAACAAGAAAAAGCGTCATGCCCAGTGGGCTCGAGCAGCAAAAAAGCATATCCAGCATAAAGGCAGTGTGGCACTCTGGATAATAAAAGGAGCAGGCAGGTCCCATTCACAAGGCGTGAATGAGACCATTCCACGCCAGTAGCTGGGCCAAAAGCCGCACAAAGTAAGAGAGAAAAAGATCGGGTGTCCACGCTCCTTGCAGCGACAATTACTGTGAGAGTGGTACGAGGAAACAACAAAATATATCTTTCTTTCCAATGGGCTCTAACCATCCCACGCCAGGCCGCTCTCCAGAGAGACAGCACACATCGCAGCACCCACCACCCATGGGCGCACACTGCTGCAAATTGCACATTTCGCCCTATGCGATCGGTAGTCCCATGCGGTATTGTGTAACCAATCTTTCGCCCACCCACACAAGCATAAATAAATGCGATCTCGCACAAGAGAACATTCTCCACAGCCAGGCTTTGGTCGAGTTCGCAACAGCCCAGTGCCATAGGCAGGTCTGGTACTTACGATTTGTCTCTCCCTTGCCCAGTTAATCGTTGTTGGCGTGCGGCCCACAGGGTAGTTTTGCCCCCGATCGCTTCTTCTGTCTGACTGGCTACAGAATACTCAAAAAGGTGGTTTCGGCAGGCGTGTTGAACATCAGGTGCCCAGGATAGCAAATATGCAATGTGAACACCGACAAGGCGAATTGGCCTTGGCTCGATTCCTGCCCCACTTTTGCCGTCTGGCAGGGGCCGGGTGCATGTCCTCTGCATCCACCTGCGGAGGCAGCTGTCGGTTTGTTGCAAACATCCGAGTTACTGCAATGGGGGCAGTGGAGGAAATCAGCAGCACCACTAGCGAAAGAGAAAAGGGCTGGCAGGATACACGGGTGCAAGTATTTTTGTTGGGACCCGAGTAAGCCAGCAACAGGAGTGAGATGGGGCAGCCTGTCCAATGCGGGAAAACGAAGGACTGAGCTATGTCCCCAGGACTGGGCATATTGGGGCGTGTCAGGAGCACAAGCGACCGGGCGGGTGCGGTGGCTCTATCAGTCTATGCCAAGGATCCAAGCAGCGATCCGAACAAGCCCCGCCGCCTCCTTGCAAGATCTGTGGTCCACCCCTATTTACCCACCGGGAATCCTGTCTATTTTTGAGTCCGCCTTTGTGGCAAAAAAGAACGCGTGGATTGACTAGAATGCCAGCTAGGTGGGCTGCGGAATACGAATATCGCGCCATTTTTGTCGCAGCCAGGAAATGTGCGGGTTCGGAACAGCGCCAGCGGATCCCAACAATACTCAGCCGTTCTTTCAAGATGCAGCAGAATCGATGCTTACCTTCCTTCTGGCACAGCAGCAAGGGCAAAAGACAGCAAATGCAAAGGCGTTAGGACTCGAGGTGAAAATTGCAAAGAGGGAAAAAAAGAGCTATGTTGGAACCAGGGAGCATCTTACCTTTAGCCTTTGCCGCGCGGGCGAGCAATATACAGGTTGGAATTATTTAAACGGGGGGTGGATGTATTTGTAAAGTGGAGTAGGAGATGTGGAGGGCAGGGTGGGTTAGAAGAGGAGCGCAATATGAAAGGAACCTCCGCGCACATTCCCCCTGCTCACTAAAAGACTAGAAATAATGCCAGACATAACCAAGGGCATCCACCCCGTTCTAGGCCTTGGCCGCCCCTTTGTCCAGGATTCACGCGGTTTTCTTGCCGAGAGTCAAGGATATTCCGGGCATGGGGGGTTCCAGAGCGCCTGGAATATTTGGAGTATCATTCATGGTCATTCTGGCGGCAGCCAAAGCAACAGGAAATCTCAAAAAAGGTATTCTGTGAGATCCAAAGAGGGAGATGTGTGAATGAGCATTTACAAGAGCATGTGTATGACTGCCAATAGCAGAGCCAGACTGGCCCAGCCAAGATATTCGCGGCCAAGCAGCATATATGCGCAGTGCAAACGGGGAGGACCGTGGTTGGCGGGCCGAGCCTATTGTCTCTGCGTTGGGTTTGCCGGTGATGGATCTAATAAAAGAAACACAACAGAACCTAGTATTGTATCGGTTCCCGGGAGCAGACCAGAGCCAGGAGGCTGTCCTGGTCTATATTTAGCAACAAGCGCCGCATATTCAAAGTGCTCAGGCAAAGCGGGGGAATGCCACACTGGATCGGAAGGAGGTTTCCAGCGGGAGAGATATAGACAAATCCCGTTGGGAGGGCCATGGGTGCAGTGACAGGTCAGCGCCGACTACTATTGCATGCCCTGATAGCACATTCAGCCAAAAGCGACAGTATGCGTTGTGGATTTGAATATTCGATAGTACCAGAACTAGAGAAATGGAGGCTTAAATAAACCAAATGCTCAATGGGGGCGGGGTGTCCGGCCTACGAGTAGTGGTCGATCAGCGAGTCGCGCATCTCATTGACAATAGCCGTGGGCTGCGAGTCCTGCAGCTTGAAGATGCTCTCGACGACGCTGAGCTCAGTCGAGGTAGTGTCCATGCCGGCAAACGCAGTCCAGTCGTTGACCACCAGCCCGGCGCCAATGACATCCGATCCGCGGTTCACCGTACCCGCCACCAGCGGCACCTGCAGAAGACTCGACAGCTCGTCCTGGTCCTGCACGCTGGTGCGCGGATGCACCAGACCGCCCTGGTTCGAAATCGCACAGTACGAGCCCACCAGCACATTGTCCGCCACCGTCTGCCTAAACACCTCGACGCCCAAGACATCAGCGATGATCTCCTCGGTCTCGCGGTCCAAGTCCGGATGCACCAGGGCCACGTAGTCATTGCATGCGATCACGTTGCCCAGGGCGCTCAGGCGCTCCTCCACGCGCTGGATCGCCACCGCGTCGGGCAGCGAAGTTGCGCAGATGCTGCAGCTCCTGGTCGGTCGTCGAATTCGGCACCAGAAGGCCGCGGCGGTTGCCCGCAGTCAGGCGGCCGATGATGCGCGTGCCGGCGATTGTTGTGTGGATCACCGGCAGCACGTCGCTGAGCTCGCTCTCAAACACGCTGTAAAAGTTCTCCGACCCGCCCAGGGCGACCAGGCAGTAGGAATTTGTGAGCTTGGAGAACACTCCAATGTCGTTGTTGTTCTCGAACTGCGCGCGGACTGCCATTTTTGTGTAGGTTTGGAATGAAGATGCTGGGGTCTGGGAGAGCAAGGCTGAGGGGGGAAAGGTGTATGAAGGGCGCGTAGTGCAGGAAATAAAAGATTGCGTCGCTGTGGAAAATATTACAAATACGAGAGAAAATTTTTCTTGATGGGATTAAGCTCAGAATCTCCCGCCTCGGGGGCTTTTAAGCGCAGACCGCGGGTGGCCGCAGCGAAGGACGGCGTTGGGTCCTTTTTGCCCAGCACCTCCCCTCGCTGCGGTCGCTGCGATATGACCGTCGGGGGACGGGCGGTGCTGCGGTCCTAGGACAGCCTAATTTGATCGCGCTGATTCTTCGGCGAATACTCGCGGAGGCTGGCGGGCAGATCAGCGTTGCCACGTGGACTCGGCAACATCGATGCTGGGCAAGGGATGTACTACACATAGCCGTTATGCGCCTTGTACTAGTGCGTGGGGCAATCCCACAGGGCCATTTTCGCGCTGAGGTTTGCTGCAAACAGGAAGGGAAGGGAGGTGAATAAGCTCGGGGGAATAGAGTTTACGACATCCACCAGCCGGGCTGGCATGGGAAATAGTGGCCGGGTAGTGCGTCCGAGCGGAAGAGTGTTGGTATGTGTTCCTGGAAAACAACAAGGGCTCCCCCGCCACTGCTCTTCCATATTGGCAAAGCGCTCGAGCAGTCTGTGAAAGTCTGAATGCAAAGGGGGAGTAGTGGGAAGCAGCCTCCCCAGTCAATGTAGTGGGTTGTTTTATTTCAACTCTTGTTTTTCCAGTATCCTAGTTTTCCTTTTTCTATACCGTTTGATACCTTCACACACATTATTTTTCATCTATTACTGCCGCCCCACATAGGACTATTTGTAACCAAAACAGCTGGACACCAATATCTGGAGCCAAGACCGTGTGGAAGCAAATAGAGCACAGGAATAATAGCAACAGGGCCAGCGAATACTCACGGTTTGCGGCTTGGTGGGACATCACATTGGGCGACGCACCGAGCAGCCGCCCCTTGAGAAGACAGCAGAGGCCTCCCCTCTTCATTCTTACTCGTAGCGTGTATTATCTAGCACAAAGAGAACAGCGTTTGTACATATGACGAAAAGGTAAAGGCCAGCGATATATACAGTCATAAAGTTGTTCACAGAGGCGAAAACAAACTCAAACGCCGGATGGTACTGTGTAGCACTAGTAACATGATGAGCGACAGCGACTCAGACTTCCGGGTGACGAACCCAGGAATGCATGCAATGCGACTACTGACACGCAGCGTATCGCGTCACACGCGACGGATCCTGCAGGCAAGTCGCGACAAGCCAGCTGAGGAGGAACTGGCGACGGGCGCCGGATACTATACATATGAGTTCAGCGAGCAGCAGCAGCAGCCGCCGCGCGGGCCGCCGCTGCCATCGGGGATTCACCGGCGGTCAATGAGCTTCGACAATCTGGTAGTAGGGACGTTGCCGCGGCGGTCAACGGCACCAGTGGCCGATAGCCCGCGGACGATGCCCGGCGACGTCGCGCTGCCGAGCGCATCGACGTGGAACTCGGGGTCGACGATGACCAGAGCCATGGCGGCATTGGCGCGGCCGCTTAGCCAGCAGGCTGGCGGCGAGCAGCGCGCGCAGTGGCTGGCAGCACTCAACCACCCATTGGCCACCACCATCGACTCGGAGTACTACCGCACCAGTCTGTCGGTGCCCGCCAAGGCACTCACGATCGACACCAGCGCTTTCGGCTCTGCTCAGCCGGCGGCATACCGCGAGAGCTTCTCGGGCCCGGCGCAGCTGGACGCCGAGCGGTCCGAGTCGTCGCGCAGCTCGCTGTTCCAGGCGCCGCCATTCCACGACCGGCGGGCACAGCTCAGCGAGTCGGATATTGCGATGGCGATGCGTGACTCGCCGACGGCGGTGGCACGTGGGTTCTCGTTTAATGGCCAGGTGGGGCAGCACAGCCCCATGGCAGACCAGCCCAATACAGCACCCCCCACCAGCGCATGGCCCGCAGTCCGTACAATCGAGGTGCCGGCCCGCATGGCAGACGACGATTTGGGGCGGAGGGAGTCGCGTCGGCGCGGGCACATGCAGCGGGTAATCGATGGGATCTCACGCGGATTCAGTCGGATGCGCACGCGGCGCAGCGCCTCGCAGCCAGCGACAGGCGCGCGAGACCCGGCAGCGCATTGCCGATGCAGTTCAGCGCGAGATGGCCCAGCTGCCGTCACCGCAGCACATGTACTTCCGGTACAATGTCGACCCGGCGGCACCGGTGGCCGACCGCACGAGCATCAGCGACTCGCCGATGGTCAACACGCCTACAGTCAGAGCGCCGACGCACCGCCGCAACCCGACGTTCCCGTCACGCACCTTCGACGAGATAGTGCAGTCGGTGGAAGAGCTCCCGCATGTGATCAAGTCTTCGCCGGTGTTCAGCACCGAGTCGCTGGCGCGCCTGTACGGGAGCGAGTCGGCTGGTGACATACCGCAGGTATTCCCAGCATCAGCTAGCCACTCGGCGGATGGACTAGCGGGCGGCGTGTCGGTGGCGGTGGAGCAGAAGCTGACTGATGCGTTCATGCAGAGCGTCCACGTGTCATCGCGGCTGCATCGGAAGGTTAGCCCCGAGACATCGTACGGGACGTTTGTGCGGTTCCATAGCAGCGGCGAGCTGACGGGCATCCAGGTAGCTGGGCAATACGTGAGCATGGAAGATATGGACCAGCCCGAGCACCTAGAGTCGTACGCCAGTGACTTCGATCCGGCAGGCTGAGCCGGTGGTGCAGCCGATGGCCAGCTACCACCGCAACCACGCAGGAGTCATGCGGTTTGTCGAGACTATGCGAGCCAACCGCCAGGCCAGCGCGCGGCGCCGCACCGCAGCCGATGCAGAGCGCGTGCTGCAGCATAACCAGCAGGCGATGCTGGATGCAGCCCTGCATATCGAGCAACAGCAACAGCAACAGGAACAGAGGAAAGAAGCAGGAGGAGCCTGGAGCAAAGGAAGAAGCAGGGCCAGCAGCAGCCGGCCTGTCTGCCGCGGGCTCGAGACGCGCGGCAGCGCCGACACAGCGTCTTTGGTATCTTCTGCACGCCCGGCCATGGTACACCGTCGCCACCGGCGTCGCCTGCACTGCTGCCCAACCGCGACAAACCGCTGCCATTGGTACCCGACGCACATGTGCTGACGCGCAGCCGGTCGTTCCCACACATGGCCAGCGCGCGGTGGACACCAGACGGCACGCATGTGGCATGGCATGACCGCGCAGACCACCCGCTTGGGAACACGCGACCCGCAGCGCACCGAGCGCATCAGCTACCCGCTGGGCTCGCAGCCGCGCATTATGGCTCCGGTTCCCGACGAAGCTGGCCGCGCAGCCGATCCGCTACAGATCCACTGGCATCCTGGAGTCGATCCGGGTGCCTCTGGAGCAGGACGCGTCCAGCGAGCACAGCCGTCGTGGGTTCCTCTCGGGGTTGCTGGAGCAAAACTGGCTGGACATCCGCGTCGCAGGCGGCACACGCGGCGACACACCGTGGCTGCCATTGAGGAGCCCATGCTGCCACGCCCGCCGTCGCCGCCGCCCAACGTCATGGTGAGCATCCCAGTGGCCACACTGTCCGAGGATATCTGCGAGAACATCGCCAACACGTCCATTGACAACGCATTGTCGTCGACACAGAAGCGCATGTACGCAGCAGTTCTTGAATGCCCTGCGCGAGACTGGCTCGCAGCTTGTGCCGCGTGACCCGGACCACGACTCAGGTCCCCTGGGCCACGAGTCGGTGGTCAGCCCGCCGCAAGACAGCTCTGCCTCCACGCACAGCAGGGACTGGGATTGGTGGGCCGCAGCCCGCAGGCCTCCGATGAGCAGCCCGACGGTTGGCGTGACTCGGCCATAGCCAGCCACTGGACGCCGACGTCGGGTGCTCCCCTCGGGTAAGGAGGCGGGGACTGGCCAACGCCAGCAACGACGCGCTGGTATCGATGCCTCGCCGAAACCTGCGGAAGCTCCAGGGAGCACAGTCAGCGCCTGCCTCGCACGTGGTCTCGGGGCCTGCCAGCACCACCGGCTCGTTCACCGATATGTTTACGGGCGACCACGAGATCCTGCGCAACCACGCGTACTCGTTGTTGCCTGGCCTTGAGGGTATCGGCTCGCCCAGCACCCAAAAGGCACAGTCGCCTGCTGAAGAACACGACCGCCAGCTCGGCCTGCCGCCAGCCGATTACCGGCCGATCAGTGCCGGCAGGCGTTTCCAGCACGAGACCTTTGCGTCATACGAGTCGCCAGTCAGCGACACGGGCACTGGACGCACACAGATTCTGGACTTTGAGGAGCAGCATGTGAGCAAGGAGCCGGTTCATAGGCGGCCGTCGGCGCGTCCGGCGATCAAGGAGGTTGGCGAGCTGATCTGGGGCGACTCCAACCCGACCCACGCGGAGTCCCTGGAAACTGCTGATGCTCAGGATCCCGCTTCTGCTGGCGTGTCGAGCTCGGTGCCAGTGAACAAGACGCCCGGCATACTAGTTAGCTCAGACAAGGAGGACGAGTCTGCCGAGGACAAGCCGACTGATCCCGAGACATTGGCCAGGCTTGTGATGGCGTCGCCGGATCCGCGCAATCTGATCTACGACTCCAACTCGCGCTTTGGGTCCATGGGGTCACCCGCTTCTAATTCCCAGGAGCCTGCGCGCCACATCGACTCGCTGTTTGCCGATGACGGAAAGCCGCTGGCAAATGCCAGCTTCGAGGTAAGTGTTTACTGCGTGTTTGTAACTCTGGGTGCACAAACAACAGCTTGTCGCGCCTTCACCTGGTCCATTGATCTGCCCACAGCCAGTACTGTTGCTGTTTCTTTGTTACCGCCCTCCTTCACCTCACACACTAAGCACTTTCTCCTTCTTCTGCTCTTCACATTAGACATCCAACCACATAGCCGCCACCCAGACCAGCGCTAGTGTCCTGGAGGGTATCCCGCTTGGCGACAGCATTGCAACTGCCGATACCGCCTCCAAGGATTCCGAACGCCTGCCGGTAATGGACGCCCTGCACATCGATACTCTGGCGCGGGTAAGCGTGCAGGCCCAGGCCTCACACGTGTCGCCGGCCACACAGAAGACCCAACTGACTGACTCGCCCGTCGCCCCACCTGCCCAACTCAATGGCTCGCTGACACTACACGACTACGTGCAGCAGCAGAAGACGCGTCCCGACGATCTGACGCCCGAGCAGGCCCACCGCCAGCTGGACTTCCGTGTCAGCCTGCTCGACCACGCCTCTTCGCCGAAACCACGTGCCGTCTCACTGCCAGTACCGCCGCCCCAGCCAAGCACCCCTGGCATGCGGCCGCGCTCCGTATTCGCGAGCCCGCCTGTGGCAGCCGCCCTGGGAGCGCGTAATCTGCCAGCGACCTTCCAGTCCCTAGCCATGGCGTTGAACGAGGAGTTGGCGGATCGCGTGCTCTTTGACGCCCTGCTGGGCGATGGCGGTGCCTTGCAGCAGCCGGCATTGCAAGAGGTGCAGCGCCAGAGTCTGCCGTCTGCCCAGCCACTGTTTGATCCTGAAACAGATACCGGCGAGAACGGCGTGCCTGAATCAGTGGTGCAGGCGTTCATGGCCGGCGATCTGACGGCAATTGATCGGTTTTTCGCCCACGTGATGAAACTCACCGCTCCTGCGTCGGTCTTTGACGGGGACTTTTTCCGATAACGACGACTGGGTTTACGGCCTTGACGGTCCGCCTGCGGAGACCCGGGGCCGCAACCAGAAGAACGTGCAGCCGATGGACATCACCGTGATGCCTGTTGCCGCTGTGGAGTCCAAGGAGATCGATCCGCCGCCGAACAACACGCCGATGCAGGCGTCACCGCCGAACAACACGCCGATGCAGGCGTCACCGCCGAACAACACGCCGATACCGGCGTCACCGCCTCAGGAGGAGGAGTCCAAGGCAGCCTCAGAGAGCTCGTCAGGACGCAAGATCGCGGTGCCCAGGTCGCGCATTGCACGTGCTGGTGGTGCATCCCGCTCCAGCATCCCGCTGTCGCCTAGTCTATCGTCCAACCTGTCACCACCTCCGGCTGCCTCGCCACAGCAGCCTGCCACGCCGCAGCAATCAGCCTCGCCAGTGACATTAGCCTCTCCTGACAACTCCAGCTGGGTCCAGCATTTTTATGCTGCAACTCCGCCGCCCACGCAACCGCAGAATCCACCGCAGATCACAGTCGTCACTGAGCGGCCCGATCCGCCACCAACCCAGCCCACAAGCGACCCAGAGCGTGTGCGCAACCGCAAGCTGCTGTTGACGCGGCTGCGCGTGCTGGAGGGCCTGATCCAACGCAACAAGCTGGAGGAATCTCGCTTGCAGCCGCCTCCTACATCGCCGATGCGCCCGCCGCTCTCGGCCGAACTCGAATCCATTGCATCCATTTACGAATCGAGTCTGGACATAAACGTCGATAGCTGCGAGTTTGCGCCACGCGCTGTGGAGCCACGCACTGTAGACAAGCCCGTGCAGCGCCGCCCGACCATCGACACGCGCAGGGTGCCTGGCAATGAGGTTTTGCGGAGGCTAAGGCTGAGTGCCGGGTCGCGTCAGACTAGGCCGTTCCGCGCCAGTATGCTGAACCGCGCGTTCCAGCCACCCTCCGAGCATAGCGAGGAGAGAGGTGTAGCTGCGCGTGGAAACCAGCGCCCAGTGGCTGGTAAGCAGCAGAGCGTGTTTGCTGCTTCGGGCCGGTTTGCAAGAACTGCAAATCTGCTTGGATCTGGGTAGAAGACAGTTTTCCATTTATTACCTTGATATATTTGAAGTTCTTTCAGCAGTATATTAGAAGTAGCATTTGCCGTCTTGACTTCCCTTGAACATCTCAGGTGCCATAGAAAATTCCGAGTCAACATTAGACATCTCGCCTGACTGCGGCTCCTCCAGCACAGACGGCGTACACGACTCCTCCGGGTAGGTGGACTGCGGTGAGCCCGTGTATGTCTCCGGCTGATATGTCTCAGGTGCCGACGATAGCTCAGACTGGACATCCGACGTCTCGCCTGACTGGGACTCCTCCAGCACTAACGATGTCTCCCAACCCCCTGAGTAACTGGCATACGTTGAGCCTGTATATGTCTCCGGGTCATACGTCCAGGGCGTCCACGACGGCGTCACCGGAATCCACATCGTCTCAAACGAGCAAGACGTGCCGCTAGTGGAGTCAAAGAACCCGTGGCACATGGTATGCAGGGTCATCGCCGTCGACGTTGGCGTCGGCATCTCGGTTGTGGTTGGCTTATTGTAATCGAGCGGCACAAACACGTAGTTGTTGTGCGAACCAATTGGGAACTCAAATGCCTTGTCAACGTACGCCGCGCCCATGTTGAATGTGCGCTCCATATCAACAGTGTTATTGTTGTTGTCTATGAACGATCCATACTTGTGGTTGATGCACCCGAGCTGGTAGATATTGTAGTCTTCCTGTGTGAAGATCTCGCAGTAGTCGGCTGATGGCCGCTTGTTCGGGTCAAACGTGTTGCAAAACTGCAACATGCCGCCACCATTGAGGTGCATTGGCGTCCTGCAGTTGTTGTTGTGGAAGACGGTAGGAATCGACATCAGAGGGAAACGCTGCAAAATGGAATTTAGAAGAAGCAGTGCTGGTTTGTGTGGAATGAAGGTAGATGTGGTCGGGTTTTTATAGTTCATTTGTCGGACCGCAGCCCAACCAGAGCTGCGGTCTGTGTAACGCAATTTGTATTAGGGTCATTCTCTCTGGTAGAGATTATCTTTGTTGACATTTTCAGCTTATCAGCAGGCTCTATAGAAGCCGCTACTTCGATAAGGACTGCGGTCTGGACTGATTTCGCTGCTGAGCACATTGATTGCTGGAGCATCCGTCTCCTTTTACAGCCAGGGGGGTAGAACTAGAGCGATCTTTTTGATGTACCTGCGAAACCAGTTAAATGGCGTGGCTTCTCACTCCAAACCTTTCCGACATGTCCTAGTCAAGACTGTGTTGCTGCTCCAGTAATTTTAAGCTTGGAGAGAGCCGTCTACCGGAAATAATAAGCGCCTGCTGCTCCAGCCAGCTTCTCGTCTTCCTGTAAACACAATCAAGGTGCTCAAAGTTGAAAAGCCCCACTCACACGCCTCACTAGCATGTTCACAATTTGTTTGGTATTCGCATAGAGAGCTTGACAACATGCCCAATGCAAAGCGCACAATAGTACGGTCCTATGAGCACTATCCGCTTGCAGCTTGTTTCTTGTCTCAAATAGCAGAGAGCCACCCTGCCCTTTAGCGATACCAGTTTATTTCTCTAATCTGAAATACATATTTTTACTATGCTTTCAGCCTGCCCAGCTAACCACCAGTCACCGCCCCTATCGCATCCCAAAGGTACTAGCAGTCCTGGTGCTGCAGATTTCTTTGTCATTGTCGTCGAGAGAGGCAAGCAGCTTGATAAAGATGGCTTCGTCGTCCAGGTCTCCGCCACGGATACTGATTTGGCACTGCTTCGTACCAGTATTGCTAGTCACGCTGCAGGAATCGCTATCCTGCCTGAAGCCATTGAAATCGAAGACAGCGAGGGAAATGCGCTTGTTTCCATTGACCAAATCCAGCGCAGCAGGGTCGTATATATCGCCACGCCTATTACCGGCCGCGAGGCCGCGTTCGTCCCTGGCCATCCAATCTTCGGGATAGTACTGATGGTCATGAAGGAAATGCGTCAGAGCACGAATGAGCTTTTCAATCAATATGGCGACACATATCAGTCATATTTCTTTGGCATGAAGAACATGTCGACTCGCGACCCTGATGTATTTCACGCGACAATCAACGACGGTGAGTACTTCCTAAAGTCCATGGGCTACCCGTGGTCCGAGCTCCATGAACTGGCTGGCAATGGGCTTATCACCTCGTCATCAGACCATCCGGACTGGAAACTGGCACACCGCTTGCTTGTTCCTGCATTCTCCGCCAGCGCCATGAGGTTGCATGGGTACAAGATGATGGAGATCTCTGAGCAAGCCTGCAAATGGCTCGACAGCCGTATTGGCAAGCATTTCGATATGGTGGATTTTACTACTAGTATCACATTCCAGATGATCGGTAATATCGGATTCTCTTACGACTTCAACCTACTTGACCCAGCGGGGGCCGCTCAGCATCCGTTTATCATTGGTATGGACTACTGTTTCAAGCAGATTCAGCAGCGGTTCTACCGCACCCCACTCTGGAAATATTTGCCCATCGCTGCTAACCGCATGTTCGCCGAGCACATGCGCAATATGAGAGACACTGTGCAGCAGGTCATCGATGAGCGCCGCAACTCTCCGGACGCCGCGAGTATGAAGGACCTGCTTGGATTTATGCTTAATGCGCGCGCGCCTGACGAGGATGGCAACCTGGTTGGGCTTAGCGACCGGCTGATTCAAGATGAGATTCTTACCTTCGGAATTGCAGGCACAGAGACAAGCAGTTCGACTATTGCCTTTGCACTGCAGCTCTTGGACAAGCACCGCGACGTTCAGCATCGGGCGCTACAAGAACTCGCTGCCGCTGGGATCACTGCTGACACATCACCGACAATCCAGCAAACCAACAAGCTGACCTACCTGACACAGGTTATCTACGAGACACTGCGCCTATTTCCACCGGTGCCTGGGTTACAACGTGAGTGTCTGAAGGATTGTATCCTGCCTGGTGGCATCATTATCCGCAAGGGTGATACATTACGTCTCAGCATATGGAGTCTTCAGAGGAACCCCAAGTCATTCCCGAGCCCGACTGTGTTTGATCCAGACCGCTTTTCGCCTGAGAATATCAAGAATATTAAGCCTGATGCGTGGGTTCCGTTTGCATCCGGTAGTCGTGCCTGTATTGGCCGTCAATTTGCCATGATGGAGCTGCGGGCTGTGCTAGCTCGCTTGCTGTCGAGATACGAGTTTCATGATGTTGGTGATGGTGAACTTCGGTATTGGCCAGGAAAAACCACCACAAGTCCGATGGATCTCTTCATGACTGTCCAGAAGCGCACGAGTCTTCCCGATGCCGACACTCCATTGGCAGCAGACGCTGCTGGTACTAATGGAAATCACACCGTCGAACATGCCGTTCTGCACCCACTTACTCACACCATCTCTGCTGACAGGCTGCCGCGTACATTTGTCGTGTACGGATCAAACATGGGCACCAGCGATGACTATGCGACGCAGATGGCCGAGCAGCTGAAGCGCATGGGGTTTGCTGACATTACTCTGGTGTCGCTGAATGACTGGGACTTTGCTTCAATGCAGTCTGCCGATGGCAGGCGCTCCCTGGTTGTGGCTATTACCAGTACGTACAACGGAATGCCGCCCGACAACGCCAGAAACTTTGCCAAGCTGCTCGACCAGGAGACCCGCGCCGACATCCTCAAGGACGTCGACTTTGTACTGTTTGGTTGTGGCAACTCGCTCTGGCATACGTTCCTGAAGTTCCCGCGCCATCTGTACCAGCGTCTTGATGATCTTGGTGCCACGCCACTGACGGAGTTTACAGCGGGAGATTCCAACGACGATCTCGACGACGAGTTCATGAAGTGGTCACTCCAGGTCGGAATGATTCTGACTGATCACTACGGCTCCAGTGTCGATGCCTACATTGATGTTGCCACGGACAAGTCGCTGCCGTACTCGCTAAAGTACGTTGACAACAGCCCTGCTGCCCCGTTCAGATTGTTGCTGGAGAACGCATCAGTCAAAGTCAACCGCGAGCAGCAGGACGTCGAAAGGAGCGGTCGCAGCACTCGGCATATCGAGATCACTCTGGATGACACATCGGATATCTCGTACACGACTGGCGACCACCTCAATATCTACCCAGTCAACGCGCCAAGTGTTGTGCGTGAGGTTTCCGCGATCCTAGAGTTCGATCTGGATACAGTATTCGAGCTGGAGCAGGTGTCGGACGCTTCGCGCTTTGCCCGTTCTGCTGCAGCAGTTATCTATGGCCACGCATGCACCGTCGCTGATGCCCTCCAATATGTCTGCGACTGGAAGGAAGCACCTTCACGCGAGCTGGTTGTTGCGCTGAGCGAGACCTCAGGCAATGAGCCTACCTATGATTCGCTACGCAGGGCTGCTGAAGACGTCAACACGCTAGGCAAGCAGTCGGCTGGCTGGAGTGCATTCACGGCACAGAATCGCACTGTTCTGGATGTGCTGCGCACGTATGCACCCCTGGTGCGCCAGATTCCATTTGCAACGCTGCTTCACTTTGTGTCGGCCATGGATCCCCGGCGGTACTCGATCGCCAGCTGCCAGTCGGTTGTTGGCAATGAAGTCCACATCTCAGCATCCATTGTCAACGATACCGTCAATGGCCGTTCCTACGGTGGTCTGGCAACCGAGTATCTGGCATCGTTGGAGGCGGGTGCTCGTGTGTCTGTGTCACATCTCTCAGCGCAAGACGTGTTCCACCTGCCACCTTCATCAGATGTGCCTGTAGTGTTCGTCGGCGCCGGTACTGGAGTTGCTCCGTTCCGCGGATTCCTGCAGCAGATGAAGCTTGCTGGCATTGGCGATGCTGCCATGTACTTTGGCTGCCGCAGCCCCGAGTACGACTACCTGTACAAGGACGAGCTCGGGCAGTATGTCCAAGACGGCACGCTGTCCAAGCTGCAGACAGCATTCTCGCGGGTCGGTGATGAGCGCAAGTATGTGCAGCACCACGTTTCCCAGGATGGAGCCAAGATCTGGTCGCATCTGCAGAACGGTGGGCGCATCTATGTCTGCGGATCGGCTGATAAGCTGGGCAAGAGTATGAGTGCAGCCATGGTTCGGATCTTTGAAGAGCATGGCGGCCTATCTGCCGACGAGGCGAGCACGTACCTTTCCGACCTGATCTCCAATGGTCGCTACGCCCAGGATATTTGGTGACTAATATTCCAATAAATTGCAAGCTGAACTCTCACTCCCGCTGAACAGCAGGCAGTGCTTTTCAGCGCATCATGATCCAAGACTGCTAACCATGTCTAGACATGGACACACTATTTATGCCTCGTCTAGGAGAATAGCTGGAGATTGTCGCTACTTCACGAAGTAAACAAAAATATCGGAAACGACGCTCAGGCGCCAACTGATTTTCGGGCCATTTCTTCGCGCCCTTCTTGTCTCCACAAATATACCCATTTCTATTTTTACCTCATACTTTTTAACCCTCTTAGAGTTTTAGAGATGTCAAACTACCGTGGCTACAATTCCGGCGCATCTGGCAATGATGGCGGCTCATATGGAAACAGCGGTCGTGCCGGTGGCTCCTATGGCAGTCCCAATAGTGCTGCTGGCAGCTCTGGCGGCTTCCGTCGCTACGGAGGTGCTAGCTCCCGCTACAATGCTAGTGGCGGTGGTAGCAACGACAGCTACGGCGACAGCAGCCAACAGCGTCAGTATGACGATTCGGACGAAGAAGTCGACTTCATCAAGACAAAGATTACCAAGGCCAAGCAGGACACCTTGGACTCGACCCGTAATGCGCTGCGCACACTGCAGCAGACTGAGGATGTGGGTGTCAAGACCCTGACGAAGTTGGGCGAGCAGACGGAGCAGCTGAACCGCATCGACCGCACAATGGAGATGACTAGCTTGCAGGCCGAGAGCTCGGTGGAGCAGACAGGCAAGCTGCGCACACTCAACAAGTCGATTTTCCACGTTCATGTCAAGAACCCGTTCAGCGGCAAGAAGCGCCGTGAAGCAGAGATGGCAAAGCTTGAGGCCGAACAGGAGCGTGTGCGCCTGGCCGAGGAGCGCAAGCTGCAAAACGACCACGAGTCGCGTAACCGGATCGGCCAATTTACGAACCCGAACGGGCTCCGGGCCGCCGGCCCACCAGGCCGCATGACGGCCGATGGCCACACCATTGTGTCAGACACCGGTATGTCAAGGTCGGAGCGCTCAAAGTATACCTTCGATGACAACGAGGATCCCGAGATTGAGAACGAGATCAACGATAACCTGAATGAGATGAGCTCGGCGCTGGGTCGCCTCAAGGACCTGTCTCTGGCCACGCAGCGTGAGCTGAATGCCCAGGATGACCCGCTCCGGCGTATCACTGATACAACTGACAAGACCAGCGACAACATCGGCGTTGCTCGGTACCAACTCAGCCGCATCAAGTAGCCAATGTAAGGGGGCTTTCACTTTATTTTCCTTTTTCCTTCCAATATACTACCACCATTACATTACCTGGAATCTAGACGAACATTCCATATTATCCGTTGCTCTATGTAGTGGGATAACGTTATATTCATTCAGCTAGAGATGAAGAGAGGAAAAGATTTTTAGCTGCACTTTCCAATGCCAGACGAGGCACTGGCTACCTTGTCCGCCATGTTCTGGCAGCTGTCCGCCGAAAGCCAAGAAACAGGCGCCTGCTTTGGAAGGTTGCGGTGCCAGATGGCCTCAGTGGTGCCATCGTTGGCAGCATGGATGCGGATGAAGTCGGCCAGCAGCAGATCAGGCTGGATCTGCAGGTGCTCGTTAAAGTCAGTGGCATTGTTGACACTGCTGATGTGGTCAGTGCGGTAGATTGAGTTGTCAGCGACAACGCGCAGCTTCTGGTTGTCATTGAACTGGTAGCCGTCAACTAGGTTGTCCCACAGGGGGATAGTCGCGCCGCCGCGCTTCAGGGGCTCAGTGCTCATATCGATCAGCACATCCCAGTCACCTATCGCTTTGTGGAAGCTGTCGACGTTGCTGTACCCAGTGACATCGCCTGCATGAACAGTAAGGCCAGCATCAGCCAGGCCCTGTACGAACCACTGCTGGCCCTGGTCAACGGTCCAGCTGGTGACAGTGCCGTTGGGGACCCGGTTGTAGCGCGCAAAGCCGACGGTTTTGGTCTGCTTGGTCAGCCCCGTAGACTTGGCGTGGTCCTGCAGGCAGGCATAGCGCGACTCGATGCCCTCAAACAGCTTGTTGGCATCAGCCTCGCGGTTATAGAAGGCGCCGATAAACTTTATCCACTCTGCCTTGCCCAGCATATCGGTTGCGCTCTCTGGGTTGACAGCGACTGAGTACGGGTCACTCATGCCATAGGTGGTGAAGGTCCAGTCCAGCACGTTATCGCCAAGGTCATACGACACACGCGGGGTCAGGATTGCGCGGCGGCTGTTTTTGGTCTTGGGTGTGCCAAAGTTCTGCTGGATCCGGGGGAGTCCATCCAGCCGCTTCTGCATGCAGGGTGATGTCACCTCCAGGAACCTGTACGAGGCACCGACCGAGTCCTGCTCGCCGAGCAGCTCTAGAATCGCGCTGGCCGGAGCCGAGTCCAGGGCAACCTTCTTGGCCGGCACGTCGAAGACCTTTGTCCAGTCGCCGACTTGAGTGCTGGTTGCATCGGTAGCTGGGTGATCGGCCGGAGCTGGGGTGCCGCACTGCACCAGGATGTAGTTTTCGTCCGACACAAGGTTACGAATGACCTTGTAGTTTTTGTTATAGCTGATCTCGAATCCAGCCCCGTACTTGGTGGTGACCTTGTCTGGGAAGTAGTCTTTGCTGGGATCGAACTTGGTGACGCAGCCAGACTCGTTGGCGATCGCTGGTGCAGCAGCCAGAAGCGCCGCGAGGGAGACAGCAATGACGTTGATTCTGAAGAGCATCTTTTGGGAATAGAAGGAAATGGTTTGGCAGTATGTCGGCAGTGAAAGCAAGTCAGCTCGTGCGACGATGAACTTTTTAAATTGCAATTTAAAAGAAGGTGCGACCGCTAAAGATTGATGAATGTTGTAGTGGCTCGAGGCTTGATGAGGTGAGAAGGCAGTTGTTCGGGCAGAAGGGACAAGTCTATATATATGTCGCCTTTGATCAGCGTCCACCGTCTCCAGCTTAGCTCCAATACATGCCAACCTCTACTCAAAAAAATAAAAAAAACTTGACTCGGTTGACGATGGATGTTGGGCCTAAAAATTATCCAGCTGCAGACGAGTCGTAAGCCTGATTAGTTCTTGACATGTTGCCCAGCATGTCCATGCCCAACCACTCTTGAGCACTGTGACTATTGTGTCCATTGCTATGGGTGCGCTCCCGCAGATATTTTTAGATTCTAAAAACTGCCAAGTGGTGCACGGCGTGACCTCACCTGCTCCCTCCTTCTTCAAGCGATGGGGGTCCTGGGCAAGAGACCTGCATGGTGTGGTGGACGCAGAGACTCTGCATTGTTGGTGGCCGACAGGTGCCAGGATTGAAAGCTGTTTGAAGGCGGCCTGCGTTTGTGTGAATTCCCAACAGCCCATGTTCTCAGGTTGGACTTTTCTGGATTGGCCGCGCAGCATGGGGCACCGGGGTTTGCTCACTCGAGCATCATGGATCTTGGAAGGGGGTGCGGTAGGCAAACGTGCAGGGGGTACGGGTTCATGGCTTTTGCAGTTTCTTTAGATAGCTGGTCCCAGTGTCGCCTGTCCCAACATGTATGCCCGCAAGAGGCCCCTCTTTTGCTATCTTTACGGCTCAGTTTTTGGGGCATGGGAAGAGCAGCCAGCCAGAGATGCGTGGCGTGGTGAGCATGAGGTAGGCAGTCAATGGAGAGAGAATGCTCGCCCAAAAATACCACATCTAGTCTTCCTATTCGGGCATTGCTTGGCCAATATCCTATATGCCCGAAAAAATGGCCTTGACTGGCACACAGCACCGAGCATATGCACAGATAACGCACGACCCCTTTGTAACATCTGCATCCACCCTCCGAACGTTCCATTTTTTCTTTGTCAACTGAGAACACCTTTCCATCCAGCGAATAATCCAGCACAGCAGCTGCAGTATCTTTATTAGCGTCCACCAGCCTGGGTTGTCCGGGCGCTCACTGCATTGCGCAATTATACGTGCATTGTTGGGTGCCTCAGTCAACAGCACCCTCTACTCTGAGGCGGGCAGATCCGCAGCTGTCCCTACATGTCGCCATGCCAGGTCCCAGCCATCACTGATCTAATTCACCACGATCCACAGCATGGAATCAACGCCGCCTAAGCCTTTTGGTCGGAGCTGCGACAGGCGCTTCGGTTTCTCCTCCACAAATTTTGTTTGGCTTTATTCAATTCTGCAGGCGCTCGAAAAGAATGCTGGGTGACGAATGCTTCAAGCTGGCCAAGGAGGCCAAGGATGTGACGCCGGACCACATTCCTGCCTATAATGAGGAGCTGGTGCGCCTTGTAACTCAGGAGTCGCGATATCTGTGGCGGCGCGTCGTCGAGCTTATCCAGGCGACAGAGTCCTCCAGCCAACAGAGCTCCTCGGGCGTGTTTAGTCCCAGCCAGTCGACCAGCAAGCCGGACCTTTCTTCGCAGCCTTTCAGCAACGACCCCGCAGACGTGAGCCGCTCCATGGAAAGCGAAAACATGCAGGGCCAGGTCGCGCTTTACGTGCACACGATTGAGCGCAACAAGCGGTGTCTGATGGCGTACCACCGGAAACGGGCAGAGTTTCTGCAGTCGTTGCTGTGGGCAGTGCATTTAGCGCCGACGATGGTGCCACAGAATGTGTCGCAGAGGCTGGCGCCTGAGGAGCAGAACTATGCAAGAGAGTATGCAAAGCTCAACATGAAATACAGAGATAGCGTGGAGGCCACATTGTGCCCCAATGATTCGCTTGACTGGGCCTTGAATGGAGAGGTACCGCCGCGCGATTTGCTGATCGAAGTGCGTGTACACAGAGACTGCGGTGAGATTGTAACCCAGTCTGGTATCGTCAACCTGCAAGCCGGCACCCAGCACTACCTGTGCCGCTCGGATGTCGAGCACTTGCTGACCATCGGGTATCTTGAGCACATCAATCCGACATAGCAAATACTATTTAATCAAAAGTGTAATATAAACCTCAACACATACTTGTGGATGGCAACATACCAGTGATCAGTGGATGTCGCATCGCATGATATATCGAGAAGTGGTTACTAGTGCATCTGAATATTAGCCCTGTGTTGCGCTCCGCCGATACCAATGCCTCAGGGCAGGCGCATCCCTTGCATCAAGCCGATGGTGCAGCGCTGTCCCTGGCGGGGATTTGGCCATATACCAAATGCGTACAGCCTCCATTCAGTTATTTTCTCTTTCGTTTTCACTCGGTAAGGATCCTTCAAAAACTCTGGACTACTACCAGCTCCTTGACAGATCATTCCTACGTAAACCAATTGCTTCTAATCATTTTTATTATATTTTAGTAGAGATAGCTGACATATGGAAAAATTTTGTTTTGCGTTCTTCAGCAGTCCTCTCGCCTAAAGGGCCACAGGCCATGTAGCGATATTAGAAGTGTCAAATAGAGGAGAGAAGTTATTAGGGAGATTTGTTGGAATGGCGTGGGGAAAGATAGTGTGGTGAATAGTAGAAAGGTAGTAAAAGGGATTTCAGCAGAGCTGCCAGCTCTAAACAGCAACACCAGGCGATCTCTTGGGTACAAACAGGCTCTTTGCACGAGTCATGCTGTTCCTAACAACAACGCTGGTCGACCGCTTTAACGTGTTCAGTCTGCCGCTCAGGGTTCCGAGTCCAGCACGAGCAACAGCCGTACTGGTGACATTCTTTGCACCCCTATGCATGGCGGCCATCTCTACCGACATCTTGCCATCAAACCCATCGTGGTCAAAGTCCGACCCATCGATGTTTTTGTCGCTGTCTTCGGATGCCAGGTACCTAGGCGGCGCATCATTGTCGGCATCCACGCGTGCGTCTACAGTCTTGGGCCGCAGATTGTCGGCTGAGCGCTCATTCCGGGGCGCAAAAATCGGGCGTGCAGTACGCCGCAGAACCATCGAGGTTGTGTGCCGGACAGACTGCATTCTGCGAGACAGCCCGCTCAAGATGCGCGACGGCTGGCGCTGCAGCCCTTGGTTGGTGTGGCCAATTGTGCCGAGCCGCGACTTTGCGGTCTGCGCGCGGCGCTCCTGGGCGGCGGGCAGGCGCTCGGGCCTCGCTTGGACGGGCTCGCTTGCCCCGCCAATACTTTGTTTTGGCTGAGTTGCGGTGGGGGCTGTTTCAGAGATAGTCTTGGGGGCCGCTTCGGGGCCCTGTTCAGGACTAGCTTCGGGAGTGGTTTCTTTGGCAATAGATGTCTTCCGCAGTTCGTTGCCACTCAGCGCCTTCTGTAGCTTGGTTTCTGCATGGCGGCTACCCTCCCGGGCCAAGGCACTGGCAAGGCTTCCGCGACGGCTCCTGGCACGCGATCTGTAGCTGGCAGGCGATGTCGGCCGATTGCCATCTGGCTGTGGCGACACTGGTTGAGAGCTGGGCATATCATGCTTTGGCTGCGCAACCTCGCAGCCAGCTTCCTCCTTTCCCTGGTCATCCTTCGCCTCCTCTTCCTCCTGGGACTTTTCAGCCTCATGCATCGAAGCGCGCTTGGATCCGGATACTGGGGCGTCAACAGCCGCTTCAGCAGGGATTGTAATGGAGAACATGTTGGCAGTGGGATCAGTAGCCATCGATGTGCTGTTGTCAAAGTTGAATATATCGAAATCGGCAAGCACGCTGGTGGCTGGCTCCGGCACAGCAGCCGGCGGTACTACAAGGCTCTCCTCGCTGCCCGACGTAACCGATGCAGTGGCGGCCTGGACTACATCCCCCGCATTGCTTGGCGCCTCCACACTACTATCGCTGGAATCACTAGCTGAGTCTGAGACCCCACCGGGCAGCACAACTGCAGCCGTGGCATCCTGGGGCTCTGCACCGGACTCATCAGCCACTGGGGTGGTTTCGATCAGAGAAGCACGCTTTTCGGTATCAATCGGAGCATCCTCATCCGACTTGGTATCCACGGTCTCTTCCTGGACGGGTGGCTGGTCCTTTGCTTCTACAGGCGGCTCCGCTGCAGCCTCACCTGCCGGCGAGCTTTTCAGAGCGGCGTACGAGAAGGTAATAGAATCGTAGTGGTGGTGGGACTGGTCAAAGCCATTGTTCTCGGCATCTTTGGTCTCCCTGGCGCCTCCCTCTGGCTCCTCTGGCTCCTCTGGCTCCATAGGCTGCTCTGGCTTTGCCACAATAACACGCGCTGGCGCGGTAGCCACCAGCTCAGGCTCCTCCACGGCAATTCCCTCCGAGGTGGCCTTTGATGACGCGGTCTCGGTGCTGGCAGCCGGCGACGGCTCGGTGGCAGTAGAATCAATGGCAGTGTTCTTGCATATAGCCGCTTGCACTATCGGCGTGGCCTCGGGCTCCTCGGAATCCTCAGAATGGGCGTCACTGGTCTTGTCGGTGCGCGGGTTGCCGAGATCCGGGATGCTGAGCTTGGAGGAGCCAAAGTCTGGCATCATCCAGTCGAGCCCCTTGCTAAGACCAGACTCGCCCTCGAAGCTGAACTGGTGCGTGGCGGCGGTGTCGCCATGCGATGCAGCGCTGCCAGAAAGCATGCTTTTTGCAAGGTAGGAATAATAAAGAACGTGAACGGAGGAACTTGAGGAATCCCAATGCAGATCGAGATCGTCAGCAGTGAAGGGGCTGTGGCAAGTGAAATCGTTAACCGAATATGACCAAGGGGGGATTCAATATTAGCCTCAAAACCCCTATCTTGATGTCTGTGATATCGGAATACAGAAGAGTTGAGAGCAAATTATGTAAAACTATAAAGCGAAAAAGAAGAAATGGCTAGGATATTGCTGAAGAGAAAGAGGGAGCGGACGGGGTTGACTTCTAGGATGGAAAGGTGGCAATGGGCTAAAGGGGGTCAAAAATGAAACAAGGTGGTAGCGGAATGCTGGGAACAATCGGTATGGACGACCCTCCTTCTATCTCCAAACAGGGACTAGCCGTTGCGCAATGAGGAGCAGGGGGTACTCTAGCCACCATATTCGCTGTAAAATTTTATTCGATCAATATCACGCTTCAAGCCTAGAGGACATGTCTAATCCTCTTTTCTCCTCCCTGTTCTGTATTCTTGGGAGAAGGGTAGAGGGGGAGGGTGCTGTATAGCAGTATGCTACTAAGAAGGCTAGACCAACTCTTATTTTCCAAAAAAAAAAAAAGAAAAGCGTCCCCTCTCTCCACGTTCCCACCCAATGGCGAATATGAAATGGGCACAAAGAATGCTATACAGGAGTGGTGGCATGTTTTTGCGCTTTAAAAACGTTTATACATTGCAATCTACTGTTCCCAAGAGAAAAATAGTCTAGTACAGGAACTCCATCCCATGTTCCATTCCCAAAAGTCTCCTCATGGGGCGTGACCGCATCGCACAGCGCCTGAACTCGTCGTCGCTGGAGCAGGCGCCAGCGCGAACCAGCTCCCTGACGATCTCGACCCAGCCGGCTCTGGCTGCCGCGCGCAACGCCAGGATCCCGCTCTGGCCCGACACATCGGCGCCCTCGCCGATCAGCAGACGGACAACATCCAGATGGCCGCCACGCGCAGCATTCCGCAGCGGACATTCTTCCCCCACATGCACATTCGCCTGGGCATTAACCAGTAGTCGTATGGTCTCCAGGTGCCCGCACTCGGCAGCCTCGCACAGGGCCTCGTCCTTGCTCACGTGTGCGCCATATGCAAGCAATATTGCTGCAATCCGGGTGGACCCGCGCGAGCACGCGTAAACCAGGGGACGGCCGTTGCGCGCATCTGCGTTGGCTCCGCGGGCCAGCAATAGCCGCACCAGACCAATGTGTGTTGTCGGAGAAGATGGCGTCAGCTTGTCGTGATAGCTGGTTGAGCCACTGGCGGGATTGGTAGGGGTTGCCACTACCGATGACATGGCAGTAGCAGCAGGCGAGAGCACGCTGCCCGACTGCGAGGCATACCGCGAAGCTTGCGCCTGGTTACGGTACCGGCGCGGCTGGCGCGGCATCATTGACGGAGACAGAGGGCCCGCATTTCTGATCGCTGGCGAGTCATACAGCGGCCCATTGCTGGGCACGCCCGCATAGGAGAACTTTAGTAGGTGCGCACGCGACATTGGTCTATCTAAATCACTACAGTAGTCTCTCAGCGGCGGCGGCTTTGGGAACTCGCCATCGCCCTTGTAGCATGCCGTCAGCAGGCTGCTATTGTCCATGGCCTGCGGGTCGGCACCAGCCTCAAGCAGGCATGTCACACACTCCATGTTTGCGTCGCCGACCAGCACCGCCGACCGCAATGCCTTGACGTGGTCGGCCATGACGCTGGCGCCATTAGCAATCAGCATCTTCACCACAGCCGTCTGCATATGCGTCGCCGCGAGCACCAGAGGCTCGCCATCAAGAACATTGACGTCAGCACCGGCCTGCAGCAGCGCACGCACCACGCCTGTGAACCCCATGCCGCAGGCAATTCTCAGGGCCTCATCGTCATCGGCATGCACATCGATAAGGTGCTGCATGCGCCTGCACAAGTGCTCACTCCGGATATTAACTGCAGCTGACCCGCGCCAGTTCTCCAGCCCGCCGCTGCTTTCCTCAAACAGCATCTCGGGGCATTCCCGCAGCACCTGCCGCGTGCCGTCTGCCGTGTCAATGCTGTGCAGACACATTCGTAGGACCTTTTGCACTATCACTGTCCAGCCGTGCGAGCACGCAAACCGAAATATCCACTGGTCGTCGGCTCGCGGGTCGGCTCCCAGGTTCAGCAGCAAAAGCACGATGTCCTGGCGTATCAGCTGGGGGCGCCGGCCATGCAATCCCAGTTTGCCATCCAGCACGCGGTGGCGGCCAAATTCTGCCAGGTAGTAGTGCGCCCGTACCGCCATCGATTGCGACACTTGGTAGAAACATCGCGAGACCTGGGCCAGCGACGGCCACTGCGCGAACACGAATATCTGGCACAGAATGTCAAATGGCAGGGCTTTGTCGAGGGCTCTACTGCCTGGGGAGCCGCTGTATTTGTAGGACATTAGAAATTCACAAGGGGCATTTGGAAGGAAGCAGAGTGGAATTTACAAAAAGGGCAAGACAAGAGCAATTAAATGAGCGAAGGAGATAAAAGAGCGGGAGGGCATGGCTGCAAGGGAGGGTGCGGGACAAGGCTGATTGGCGTGCCTGCTGGAAGGCGTAGTGCCTTCACTCATCATCGTCAGAGTCAAAGTCACACAGTTCAAAGTCAATCCTTGTTCGGCCCAGCGCACGAGGCTCGGTCTCCATGCTGGCCCACCAGAACGGCTCCTTGTCGCCCACCACCGTGCTGCTGCTGCTCGCCGCCCGGACACCAGCAGCCGGCTTTGGGATAGTCAGGCTAGGCAGACCCTGGCGTCCATGCTGCAGCTTCGCCGCGCTGCCACCACCAGGCCGGCTACCCGAAAACGAGCCGGGCCCCGCCAGCAGCTCGCCCGCCTGTTTCCCCACCGAGCTGACCATCGGCGCAACCTCCGGCGGCGTCAAGCACACCTTGACAATGGTCCGGTCGATCCTATTCGCCTGGCGCTCAATGTCCACCAGCGAGGGCGCAGCCGCGTCGCACTCGGCCATCTTGCGCACCCCTGCCGTATTGGTCGCAGCCGAATAGTCGACTACCTCGTAGATGTGCAGCTGCCGGGCTCCCTTGGCGGATGCGCGCACCAGCGCCAGAAGCAAATACGCCGGGGCTTGGCCGCCGTCCCATGTGGCCGACGGCGGCGGGCTCAGTGGCGATACCGGCGAGGTCGGCGCACTGCCGGGCTGCAGGAACTTGAGCTTGCCCGTGATCTGCCCGAAGAACTTGCTGACCATGATCAGCGGGTCGGGCGACTGCGGCTCTGGCGATGCCAGGGTTGTGGTTGCCAGGCTGTTGACCAGCGGAGCCAGCTTTGCTGCCTGGCTGTCGCTGCGTTTCCGCGGAGCCGCCGACGCCAGCACGCTGCGGCAGGCATGGACGACGCGCGCCGCCGCCCTTCTCTGTCTGATCCGCGTCGTCTCGGCAAGCAGCTGCGGCATGTCGAGCTCCTCGATGTGTCGCGGCAGACATTGCAGGAAGCCAATGCACTGCTCAAAGTCCATCGACAGAAGCCGCCCCCGGACCGCCAGCAGCACGGCGGTGAAAAAGTCAAACAGAAAGCCCAACTCGCTGCAGTCCTCGTCATCGCCCGATGCGCTCTGCTGCACACGCACATTGCAGTCAAGTCTGCCTGCGGAAAAGTTCACCGACCGGAACTGCTCCGGGTGGATCAGCTCCTCGGTCCCCTCGCACGCTGGCTGCAGTGCTCTGGTCACCTCGCGGTCGAGCAGAAACTCGGCTTCGAGCCTGCTGTCGTCGCTCTGGCTTTGGTCGGCTTCAGGCTGCTGCTGGGCCGCCGTCAGCCGTGCCCGATTCGACATCAGCGCATCCCACAGCAACAGGACATCGGGCAGGGCAAACTCGCGCGCCCCCCACACCAGCAGCCAGCGCAGCGCAAAGTGCTCGGGCTGGATCCCCAGGCCCTCCAGCTTTGCCCACAGCTGCCGGTCCGCTGCCCGCACGCAGCTGACCCACCAGTACTTTAGTGTGTGCTGCAGGCCGCCGGTACCGCCTGTCAATAGCATCGGCACCTCGGGCGACGTTGGCCGCGGCGGACTGCGCATGCCTGCGTTTTGCACCGAATGCATAGCGGCCACATATGACACAGCGCTGCCCGCCATCAGCGCTGCCGCCAGCACGTCTCCGTGCTGCACTTTTTGTGGCCGGGCTTCCTCTGTCTTGGGGGCAGCCAGCGTACTGTCCATGGCAGTAATAAACATATCCAGATGCACACCGCGCAGCGCCAGAATAAACAAATGGAACGCATCCGCCTCGCAATCGGCATGCGAGTACCCAGAGACCTTCTGCTGGCTCCCCGCCAAGACATAGTAGAGCGGCGCCAGAATCTCGTTCATGCCCTGCGCGTAGCCGGCGCCGCGATTGAACTTTGCGTGCACATATAGAATCCGCGCCATCGCCTCCTCGTGCGATGCTGCGCTCCGTCCCAACCACCCACTGCCATCTGTGTTGCCACTGACCGTCGCGCTGCCCATGACGTTGGCGACCTTTTCGCCCAGCGACTTCTTCAGATGCTCGACCTGCCACGTCAGCGAGCTCTGCACCGAGTCGCTGCGGTAAATGCTGCCTCGAGGCATCCCGTCTAGCGACTCCGAGCTGCTGACTGCTGTGCGATCACTGATGTTTGTCCCACACCGCGAGGTATTGTCTGCCGGATTGTCCATACTGTTGTGGAACAGCGCAATGTCGGGCATCGTCCGATCCACGTCCACGCGAATCTGCGCTGCCAGCCGCGCTGACTCCTCAGTCGAAGCAATATCTGACATGACCTCGTAGTAGGAGCGACGGTGCTCGCCAAGCACCTGGGTCCACCGTGAACGCTCGCGGGGAAGGTACCCGAGAAGCAGCTGCCAGCAGAGCGCACGCAGCCCAGGCACCTCGGGGATGCCGCGGAAGCACAGGCTCGAGAGCTGCTGCAGGTCCAGGCGTGGCTTGCTTGAGCTGAACAGCACGTCGTCAAACTCGACAAGCCTAAGATACATGGACTATTATAAGCGTGAGGGATGTGCGTGTAAAAAAGCGGTGTAGATAGCTAGTGAAGAAGAGTGCCCAAGGATGTCTGCAAATAAAAAGGAGAAAAAGAAAGCGCAATGCAGCCCTGAGAGGGGTTTGTGCAGAGCGCTTTGCTGGGATAAAAGCATTCCGCCTTTCAGGGACCACGGGCCCACTGTAAACCGGTTTTCACTATATCGCCTACCTCTTTTCAAGCACTATTGATGTCATTGACGATTTGTGTGTATAAAAGTACAATATTAGAGACGCGTGTAACTGCGAGGAGTAGAAAGGGAAGGGGATAATGGCTGTTTTTAAGCTTGTCTAATAATTGCGGTGGAGGGAGGAAAGAAAGGGAGGAAAACCACAAACTGTCCGCCATCAGCGCAAGCTGCGCCTCTGCCTGCACGGGCGTCTGGCAAAGAATATGCGAGGCAGGCAGCGCAGCACAGTCTGGTGCACAGCAGGCAATGGCTGGCACTCTGTTGCAACCCCACCTCCACTGGACCCCTCGTCACGTGTCGTTGTGACCACAACTGGCAGCCCAAGGGACCAACCAGGGGAGCCTCTTTTGCTCTTTGACTCTTCACTGCCAAACCTTCCACTTCAGGCCTTCCTGTACATAAATTGTTGAAGATTCCCAGAATGCCGTCGCCAGCCACGCTCCAAAACACCCGCCCGACCGCCGCCAACGAGCACGCCAGCAGCAGCGAGTCCAGTTCGCGCGCCAGCCCCGCCCTCAGCAGCCTGGCAGGCTCCCGCACACGCATGCTGGGCGGCCCCGGTACGCCCTCGCACGGGTCGCGCACAATGGTTATATCGACGAGCTCGCGCGAGGAGTCGCCCGAGGGGATCCTGCATCTGCGCGGCCACGAGCGACGTTCTCCGGCAAGCAACCGGGTGCAGTGGACCGACGACACGGTTGACAACGAGCACATGGGGAAGAAGAAGTCGAAGGTCTGCTGCATTTTCCGGAAGCAGCGGCAGTTTGGCGAGTCGGACTCGGAGAGCAGCAGCGGCGAGTCTGATGACGATGGGCCGAACGAGTACGAGCGCATGCCCAGGCACAAGCCCAGGGGCAAGCACAGCCACCATCATCACAGCGGCGAGTGCCAGCACTAGCGCGTGATCACGGCAAATCGATTAAGGGAATCTGCACTCGACAGTGTATGGCTGGACGACTCCGTCTGCTGCATGCGTGGAAGCCTTCAGCAATAGCAGAATCGCGATGCCAGCCTGATTTGTGCTGGCGTTAATGCCCAAGAATAGCTTCTTAGAAAGCGCCAAAACTGCCCTCCCCAACACCAACCAGGAAATCACCTTGCATGCACGACAGATGCGCATACGCACGCAACTAGTTGGCTCAAGCTGGCTCGTAAAGCAGCGAAATAAAACAGCAAAGAAAACAACAAAGAAAACAGCAAAAAAAAACAGCAAAGAAAACAGCAAGTTCAACTGTATGAATGATCCGCAATGTACATGCAGGATAATGGCAACTCCTTCACCCTAGCTGTCTTTGTAAGCTGCCTTTTTCTCGCGATTTCCCGAGTGTCGCGTCTCTCGCTAATGCCAGCGCAAATTGGGAGGACTGTCCTCGAATGCCAACAGCTGGTGATCCCCTGTCCCCCGGCTTACGCAAAAGGGTGCCTCACAACCCCGACTCGCACGCTCCCCCGATGTCCGTCCGTAGCCGCTCTGCTGTGAGCAATGTCCGACCAGTTCTCTGAGGCATATTGTCGTGCAGCAAAAATGTCTCTTATAAAGCACATGGGTATCCTGCAGTCCATTATTTCTGCAACATCCCTCTGCATCCCCACCCTCCTCCCTGCTATATCTCCGCCTATTACCTACTACCTATAAATGCGTCTTTCGAGCTGCATTCTCCTTTTTGCTGCCGCAGTGCAAGCAAAGCGAGTTGTCCACAACTGGGACATCACCTACTTGAACACCAGCCGCGGCCTGGACCAGGCGCCGAAGCGCGGCATCACTGTCAATGGAAAGTTCCCGCTGCCCATTGTCGAAGCCGAAGTCGGTGACCTTCTGGTGCTCAATGTCCACAACTCGCTCGACGTGCCCACTTCTCTGCATGCCCATGGTATCTACCAGCATGGCACCAACTACTACGATGGTGTTGGCATGTTCACCGAGTGCTCAATTGCCCCCGGCAGCAACTTCACGTACGAGATCCCCCTGAAGCAGTCAGGAACCCATTGGATCCATGGACACACAGCCGAGCAGAACTTTGACGGACTGCGCACGCCCCTCATCATCCGTGACCCCCGGGAGCGCTGGGACTACGATGACGAGTACTTGTTTGTGCTTGAGGACTGGTCGCCATGGACCATGCAGCAGTCAATGGATTTCCTGCTGAAACCGAACCTGGCCGGCCTGCCCCTCAACCCGCCGCCCCACGGCCTCATCAACGGAGTCAATGGCACGCTTACCAAGCCCATCAAATTTGAGCCTGGAAAGACCTACCGCATTCGCCTTCTCCCGATGACCAGTTTCCCGAACCTCGAGTTTGTCATTGACGACCACGACCTGATTCTGTACGAAATCGATGGCGTGCGCACAAAGCCCAAGACGCTGAAGACCATCCGTGTTACCCCTGGACAGCGCGCCTCGGTGCTGGTCAAGGCAAAGCGGTCAAGGTCGAACAACTACTCGTACCATGTCACCATGAACTCGCCGGGAACGCCTGTGCTCGCTGGTGCCCTGCCATTCACATTCAATGGCACTGTCGAGTACGACCCCAAGGCGCCGCTGGCTCCCACCACTGTGATTCCGTCTGAGGAGTTCGATGAGCTCACCGCCGAGTCGCTCGACTACCTGCCAGCGCTCCAGACCGACCGCTCACTCTTCATGAACGCCACGTGGGGATTCACGCCAGACGTCGTCCTGTACGATACCTTCGACTATGTTGAGTTCCGCGCACCCAAGGTCCCAACACTGTTCAGCGCACTGACCATGGGTGACAAGGCCAAGAACCCGCTCGTCTACGGCCCACAGACAAATGCCAGGGTGCTAAAATACAACGAGGTCATTGAAATAGTCCTGTTCAGTACCTCGATTGCACCCCATCCCATTCCACCTCCACGGCCACACGTTCCAGGTCATTGAGCGTGGCATGCTTCATGATGTCAACGGAACCACCCGCCGCACCGTCCCCAGCTATGGCTTCTCGCCTCTTCGCCGCTGATACTGTGTTCCTTGGTCCATTCCAGTATGTTGTGATTCGCTTCCGCGCCGACAATCCGGGTGTGTGGCTCTTCCACTGCCACATGGACTGGCACAGCCCGAATCTCCGTAGTGTATTTGTTTCTGCGCCTGATGTCATGCAGAGGACACTGAGGGTCCCGCAGTCAGTTCTTGACCAGTGCCGCATTCCAGGGTATTCCGACCAGCGGAAACGTGGTTGGTAGAAATGACTACAACATCGACGGTGCGCCAATCCTTCCTGCACTCCTAGCCAGCCCTCCTCACTAAGGGCGCTGGCCTCATTACAATAGACGCACACATTGTTGATTAGTGATTGCAGATGTGATACAAATGGCAATAAATAGCAGCATCACAAATAATCTATTAACGTATTGAGTATATGTACCATGTACCACACGAAGGTATTAGCTCCTCAAATGCGCAGATCTCTGCTGCAGACTGATTCCATTTGGGTGAGCCATCAACCAACATACTATAATATGATAGAGCTGCTGACAATTCTGCCATTTAGATATGTGCATTGTCCATTTTGTTGTCTGTCTCTTGCCATTTCTGCTGATGCATTGTGCTTGTATTGAGTATGTTGGGACCAATTGTCAGCTAAAAAAGAATGGCACGGTATATGTGATGCAGACACCTGATACACAGTCTAGCGGCATCAGGCGTAGTCATTTGGCGGAGTTGCCGACTGTTGTCTGCAGCCAGTAGTGGAAAATGTTGAGTACAAGACATTTGTGAATGCGATAAGCATGATGTGCCCAACACCATTGGACACAAGAAATGCCAACCACATTGATGCAGACCGAAGCACAATTCTAATCTCAACCAAACCAATGCAGCGTGGCGATGAGTTCCTTGGTGCAATCTATCGTGCCATTTCTCCCTCTGCCTTTTTGTGTTTTCAATTGTTCTAAGCATGCCACCAGAATTCTGCAAGGCATGGGCTGGGCCCGAGATAGGGTATATAAAGCAGCAGACATCTGACATGCATTCTTATTTCAACGCATCTCAGACCCACACTTTCATTCGTCTACTTCATTCATCTCATCATTCCTGTAATGCGTATTTCAAACAGCATTGTCCTTTTCGCTGCTGCTGCTGCTTGTGCTGCACAGGCCAAACAAGTTGTCCATGACTGGGACATTTGCTTATCTCACTACCAGCCGTGGCCTGGACCAGGCGCCTAAGCGTGGCATCACTGTCAACGGAAAGTTCCCTCTGCCTGTTGTCGAAGCTGAAATAGGTGATTTACTTGTTCTCAACGTTCACAACTCGCTCGATGTGCCCACTTCTCTGCATGCTCATGGCATCTTTCAGCGCGGCACCAACTATTATGACGGCCCCTCCATGATCACAGAGTGCTCAATTGCTCCAGGAAGCAACTTTACGTATGAAATCCCCCTGAAGCAGTCAGGAACATACTGGATCCATGGACACACAGCCGGGCAGAACTTTGACGGACTCCGCACGCCCCTCATCATTCGTGATCCAGCCGAATCCGGGGACTACGATGGCGAGTACCTGTTTACGCTTGAGGACTGGTCGCCGTGGACCATCCAGCAGTCACTGGATTTCTTGCTGCAGCCCCGCCAAACTGGTCTGCCCCTTGATCCGCCGCCCCATGGTCTAGTCAATGGTTTCAATGGGGAATCAGACAAAGCCGATCAGATTCGAGCCTGGAAAGACCTACCGCATCCGCCTTGTCCCGATGACCGGCTTCCCAGCCATGGAGTTTTCTATCGATGACCACGAGCTGATACTGTATGAAATCGACGGTGCCCGCACGAAACCTAAGACTCTGAGGACTATTCGTATGACTCCTGGCGAGCGTGCCTCGGTGCTGGTCAAGGCCAAGGAAACCAAGGACAGAAACTATTCCTATCATGTCAGCATGGTTACTCCCCGTGCTCCGGTAATTCCTGGATCCTTGCCGTCTATCTATAACGGTACTGTTGAGTACGACGCCAAGGCGCCGCTAGTTCCGACCACCCAGGTCCTGTCAGAGGAGTTCGATGAACTCACTACCGAGTCACTTGACTATCTGCCAGCGCTTAAGCCCGATCGTTCGCTTTTCAAGAACGCGACCCTGGGGTACACCTCAGCTGCTGTTGTCTACGATACTTTTGATCTCATTGAATACCGCGACCCCAAGGTCCCAGCAATTTTCAGTGCCTTGACCATGGGCGAGATGGCCAGAAACCCGCTCATCTATGGCCCGCAGACCAATACCGAGGTCTTCCAGCTGGATGAGGTCGTCGAGATCGTCATATTTAGCACGTCCAATGCCCCACACATGTTCCACCTTCACGGCCACATGTTCCAGGTTATCGAGCGCGGTCAGGTCAATGATACCGCTGGAACCACCCGCCGCACTGTCCCCAGCCATGGCTTCTCACCTCTTCTCCGTGACACTGTCTTTGTGACCCCATTCACATATGTGGTGATTCGCTTCCGTGCGGATAACCCAGGCGCCTGGCTCTTCCACTGCCACCTGGATTGGCATACACCCAACCTTCGTAGCGTGTTTGTCACTGCGCCCGATGTCATGCAGAGGACACTGAAGGTCCCGCAGTCTGTTCTGGACCAGTGCCACATCCAGGGTATTCCAACTAGCGGTAACGTGGTTGGAAGGCCCAGCTACGACATCGATGGTGCACCTGTTCTCCCTGATCTCCTGCCCAACCCATCCTCCGCTTTAGTGGCTTGACAGACAGGCCAATTGTGATCTTTAGGGATACTTTCCACACGCTGTTTTGAAAACTAATTAGAGAAATATGATGCGGTTAACCCAATTTCTATATGGCATAGCTGCTATATATGAATTACCAGAAATCCATGGCCCAACCCATTTCCTTAATGTATCACATGTAGTGTTTATCAATCAATAGTTGAAAATTGCAGCTCAAGCTGTTGGAATCAAACGCGCACTTTTCTCGAACACACAAATTGTATCAGAATAATGGATGTTGACATAGACGATAGCGAGGCAATAGCCCAACGTCGGCTGCTGCGGCAAGATTACCGCAATCTACTGACCAGTGCAACTGCGCGCAAGAAAGAGTACCTTGAAGGTAATACGGACCTTCTACTGCAGGACCTGGAGCGGGCCAATATGCTATTCGGCACAGTCAACAGCACCAGCGAGGGCGTCCTGGACTCGCAATTCCTGATCCTGTCTGCTGACATCAGCGCGCAGAAGGCACATCAAATGCGCATCGACAGCGCCGCATTCGACTCGCTCGAGTATGTCGAAAAACTGCGCGAGACATTGTACGGCACCGACGCTGACATGCAGCAGATGACCGGCAAGCAGCCAGATTGGGCGAAACTAGGCGAGGTTGCTGCCAAGTTCACACGCAAAGCCCCGCGGTTCAGCTATATTTACGGGCCGCTGATGGCTGAGGTTAAGCACAGGAAGCGCACAGTGCAGCAGCGCGGGCGTCGAAATGGGCGGGCCGACCAGTCACAGGTGGCGAGCATTGAAACTATGGAGGCCGGAGACATCAAGAAGCAGGAGAACCAGACGACAAAGCTGGTGCGCAAGGTGCACAAGATCTTGACCGAGGTTGGGCCCATTAATCTGTTCAAGCTGGTCATCAACCCACAGTCGTTTGCGCAGTCAGTGGAGAACATATTCTATGTGTCGTTTCTTATTCGCGACGGCAAGGCCTTTATCGACGACCAGTCGGGCCAGCCCATGATAGAGGCGTGCGAGCCGCCACAGCAGAACGACTATGAGCAGGGGCTTTCCAAGCGGCAGCTGATCTTTAGCCTGGAGTATGCGTCGTGGAAGGAGATTATTGAGGTGTACAAAATCGTCAACTGCGCCATTCCATCTCGCAAGACCAAGATCGGTCCCGACGGGATGTCTCAGATTTCGTCGCAGGTTCCTCTGTGAAAGCCAGTGGCCCGATGCTGTCATTAGCTGTTGAATAAATGTTTGCTAGTAAACAAATTCGGCAAGCTGCATCCAGAACCTGTCCTTCAAGATGCATTCCTTGACTTGCGGTGAGACGGTCAGGTTGACGAGAATGTCACGGCTGGGCGGGGGTGATGGCAAAAAGATGACCGTGCCTTCGCCGAAATCAGGCATGACGGTGGCAAAGCTCTGCACGCCGCTGCCGAAATCAGCTTCGTAAAACTTGAACCGGATCTGGTTCGATATACCAGTGACCATCTTGAATGACATCAGATTGGCACTAAAGTTGCCCAGACTAATGTCCTCTGTTTCCAGCACATCGTACAGGGTGCCAATACGCGGCGGGGTCGCCTCCGATACAATCTTGCGCACCATGGCAGCAATGTCACCTAGCGACGTTGGTGTGGTTGGCGTACCAGCATAATCGATTGGCTTCGAAAAGTATACATGGTACATGGGATTGCCAATATAGTTGATATCGGTCATGTCGAGGCGGTGACGGATATCACAGGGGATCCCCAGGCAATGCTCGTTCCTGATGCCCATAGCACGGCTGATGGTGCGTGCCAGCCATCCCGGTTCCCCATCTGAACTCTGTATGTTCGCTTGCGTAGTCACCTTATAGAGAACTGCTGAGAGCAGGTCATTGTCAGAGATCCGAGTTCCATATGGCACGTGCTCAAGCAGATGGTAGCGGAGCTCCTCAAGCCTATCGTAGTTGACTCGGAACAGGCATCCTTCCATAGGAGCCATGCCCTGCCAAATAGCTCATCAGCTTGCCTCGCGAGATTGGCGAGAGCCAGGTCAGAAAGTCAGCAAACCACGACTTGTCTGTGTACGTGTTGCGGGTCATGTCGCTGATCGGTGCACGCTCGGCAGGCAAATGGCTGCGGATCGCAGAGCGGTCAAAGCAGAACACCCAGTGCCTTGCCGGCTCGCCAGTAATAAGAGCGCGGGTCTCTTCGGCCCAGCGGTTGAGGAACTCGAAGCAGCCATAGCCGTCGGTGGTGGCATGGACGAAGGCTGTAGAGATAATAAGGCCAGTGTTGTTCTTCATGCGCACGACATGGATGTCTGCAAGCTTGATGCGGGCTGAGTTTGCGTCTGGACACGGGACTTTGCCCACTGTCTCCAGATCACTGGGCCAGGTTTTTTGGTTGTACTGGGCTGACTTGATATCGCGGAAATCCACCTCCGACTGCGACTCGCGGTATCCAGGCATGTTGAGATCGTCCTTATTTACGACAATCTCCAAGTGCCTGTCGCTGCGCTGCGTGAGGTCGCCGACAAGCAGAGGAAACTGTGTCAAGGTCTTGTAGAACGCCGCCTCGAGCTTGTCGGAGGGCATGAAGCTGCAGGCCGCATCAGTATTAGCGTAGAAATTCACATGGCGGATGTTGACGTACGAGAAGGATTCGTCCGGCACGCTGAGGGCGTAGGTCTTTGATTCGATGTTTGCAAGCAAAAAGTCCATAGTCAGATGGCAGAGAATAGCGCAGTATTGGGTGCAGGCGTGGTATGATGAAAGGATACAAAGTCTCAGGCCTGTCTTATAAGGAAAGCGCAGTGGTCTGTATGCTAAAGTGCTACTGCTGCGGCCAGACATGAACATCCGATTATCCCTAACCAGCCTAGGGCTCGGAATTCCAAAGGGGCAGCTTTGGAGAGCGGGCCAGCACTGGCCGCAGTAGTGTGGCTTCCAGGGATCCGGCAAAAGCCGCATTGAGCTTATCAGCAAAGCGCAAAGGGAAATGTGCCGATCAGCGATCGAGATGCTGTTGCTGGTGGTGATGCACGATCACCTGATGAAATCACCCCTAGCCACGCAGCACGGCCCTTGTTTCCCAGCATACTCTATTCTCTTCTAGGGCAGAGCAAGCCCACCCTGCCTTCACGACTATACAACCGCCTTTATTGTTTCATATACACCTAAAGCTCTGTAATTTCTACCCTCCTAGCTACGCACCTTGTACCAAAACTGGCCTAATGGAAGGACCAGCAACGCCTGTAGTCGACCTGACAAATTCGCCCCAGAGCGGCCCAATGCAGCTGAAAACATTGTGCTGCTCTCAAGCGACGACGAAACTGCGCCGCTTCCAAGCACTGCAGCACAGAATGGTCGGAATGGGCGACCATTGAGGCACTTGGGTTCCAGCCAGCAGCGACATCCTGAAGCGCACCGGTCGTTTGCGTCCTGGGTGGCCCCACAGAACATGGTCAGCCGTCTCTACCAGTCGTCGGCGTCTACGCACACCACTCGAGCCGGCATGCGGAGGCCGCCACAGGTACTGGTGGGGCACAACCGGCTGCCACCAATACAGGGTAGACAGGAGGGCGAGAACCGTGACTTTCAGCGGGTCAATTCTCTGCGGCATGTGTTGCGCATCGACTCGGCACGGCGGCGACCGCGGCTCTGGACAGACGCTCAGCGTAATAACGGGCCCGAAGGAGAGACAGGAATCCGGCCAATCCGTGCACAGCCGTTGCCAAGACAGAGCCGTACCTGGAGCCGCGCGCCCGAGCGGTACCGGCCGCGGGCAGCCACTGTGGGCGAGGAGACCGAGGACGGAGCGATTGATGTGGAGGCTGTCGATGACTCGATGTTTGAGGAAAGCGCGGGGCGGTATGCGGAGCAGGCCAGGCAGGCACGCGGGGACATGACTGACGAGGAGGAGGCGTATGAGGACCAGGCGCGGCGGTACATGACCAGAGCGATGGCTGCGCGGTTTGCCAGCGAGAACCTGCCGATATTCCCGTTCCATCCGGGCCTCCAGATCCACCATTTTGCGGGCAATCATGACATTGGGCCGTCGCCGTTCGACTTTTTTGACGGTGACGACATGGCGGATATTATTTCGTTCATCGAGGCCAACGCTCCTCCAGCGCAGCCCAGCAGCAGGCGTGGCCGGGAGATGCAGCCGCTGAAGCTGAACTCGCTGCAGCTCGATCTGGCCAAGCTGCCGGAATACACGAGGGCAGTGCCCGAGCCCAACTTCCGCGATGCCGACATGGACCTTGTCACGTGCGATTCCAGCCAGATCGTCTGTGTCGAATGCAAGGACGCTCTGTATGCACAGGATCCGATCTGGGCGCCGTCCTGCGGACATGTGCTCTGCAATTCCTGCTATGACGCGTTCAAGGGCCAGTACAAAAAGTGCGTCGCTTGCGGAAAACGCACAGCAAAGAAAAACCTGGTGCACCTCTTCCCCTGAGCTAAAGAATATAGATTACAGCCCCCTTGGTGCCTGTGCACTGCGGAAGGCTTGTCCGGCACATTTTTGAGGCAGTAGCTGGAGCTGCCCGAGATTGAAGAGTGTCGCTTAGGCGTGGGCGTTGCACTAGCTGCTGCAGCACCGACATCCCATCAGCATACTCCGAGAAAAATGTGTATTTTCAAAAACGCGGCAGATGCACGTGATGTCTAATTGCTTCCCGAGTCCTTGGGCTTGGCTTCGCTCGACTCGGCCTTGGCAGCCCCCTCTTCAGCCTTGGGCGCCTCCGCCGCCTCCGCCTTCGGCTCCTCCACGGCCTTGGCCTCCTCCTCCTCCTTCTTGTCCTGCTGCTGCTTCTTCTTCTCCTGCACATCCTCGTCCTCAATCAGCTCCTCCTGCTCCTCAAGCACCTCGAGCTTCTGCTTCTTGGTCGCAGTGCCGCTGACCTCCGCCAGACGCAGCGTCGCCTCGTTCACAAGATTGTCAGGCAGCGAGGTGATGGTAGCCTGCAGGGCCTCGGCGCTGAACTTTTGCGACTCGGGCTCGCCGGCGGTGATGATCCGCGACAGAATCAGCAGAGTCGCCGGGATGTTGTGATCCAGGTGCAGCTCCAGCCACTGCGCCAGCTCCTCGCGCATGCGGGCCGGAGACACGCCCAGGATGCGGATTCCACGTGTCTGGCATGCCGACTGCAGCTCCGGCACCGACAGCGACTCGATTGTCTCAGCCTTGATCATCTTGTCGTCCGCGCGAATGTACCGCATGCGGTTGTTGATCTGGTACTTCAGGTAGTTGTCGGTACCGAACGCATTGACGCCCACAAACCGCGCGATCGACACCAGCTGCGGCCGCGACAGGTTGTCCAGCGTCAGCTCGTCCTCAAACACATGTGCGACCTTGAGCAGATCGCTTGTCGACACCTGCTCGCCGCTCGACCGCATGCGCGCCAGGAACTCGCCCGTCTCCTCGCTGCCCTCCTGTGCCAGCCGCTGCTGCACCTTGGACTGCTCCGCCAGCGTCTCCTTCAGGTACCGCGTCAGCTCGTTGCGCACGCGCTGCGTCTTCTCCCGCTTCTTCTCCATCGACGCCTTGTCCTCGTATGTGCTCGGCAGCATCCCCGGGAACAGCTTCAGGGCCACCGGCAGCAGCAGCTCGGCAAACGGAATAATCACAAACATCAGGAACGGCACCAGCCGCACCGTGTCGCTGAACGTCCGCCGCAGCTGCCGCTGCTCACGCCGTGTCAGCGTCCCGCCCCACGCCACCTTGGTCACCAGCTTCGACGACAGCTTCATCTCCTTTGCAAACAGCTTCGTCCCGTGCCAGTAGTGCAGCGCCTCGTGCTTGATCTTCTCCATAAGCGTCTTCTTCTTCGCTGGCTCCGTGGCCTTCACCACCGGCTTCTCCTCCGCGCGCAAAATCTTCCCCGCATACGACCCCTGCCCGCGTTGCGTCGATAGAAAACCCGTCTGGAAAAACAGTGCGCGTGGGAGAGCTGGCTGGGAAAGCACAGGCAGCGTCCTGGTGCTGTTGGCGGATCCGCCGCGCCGCACTGTGCTGCGGGACCACTGATCGGGCAGCTACTGAAAGTGACCGTTTCGCAACGAACGACAGCCCAACTACTCTTGAATTGGTTAATATCGAAATTCCCTGTACTGAATTCGAAAAAAAAAAAAAAGAGACTGCTTATCACAGCGGTTCTAGAGTGGTTCCTTACCTGTGCCGGCACGAAGAACCAGCGGCTTGGCCGCGAGTGACAAGGACTGCTTTTGCACAGCTAGCATTGTTATCTACTAAATGTGTGAATGTAAATGGAAAAAAGCTGAGGTCAGGAAAGAAAAAGTTTGTTTGCGGACTGGGATGGAGGTCGGTACGAAGATCAAGCCTGGCTTTAAATCCAAGCGCCAAGCATTTCCTTGTAAAAGGCCGTTACAGTAATCACTACGGCCAATCGAACACATCGCCGCAAATTTCCCCGGTTTGCTTCTGGGCCGATCGCCGAGGTCAATTATATCACTGCGATATACCAGTAATCAGCGGATACTAAAAAGGCTACCAGATATCCTGGGCGTAGCGACCATTCGGAGATCAGGTCGGAAAGGTACGTGCTCGCCTCGTCGGCAGATAGGCCGCCATGCTCTTCAAACATCCGAAGCCATGGCTGCACTCATACTCTTGCCCAGCTTATCAGCCGATCCGCAGACGTAGATGCGCCCACCGCTTCTGCAGATGCGACCAGATCTTGGCCCATCCTGGGAAACGTGGTGCTGCACATACTTGCGACTCATCACCGACCCGCGAGAATGCTGTCTGCAGCTTGGACAGCGTGCCGTCTTGGACATACTGCTCGAGCTCGTCCTTGTACAGGTAGTCGTACTCGGGGCTGCGGCAGCCAAAGTACATGGCAGCATCGCCAATGCCAGCAAGCTTCATCTGCCTGCAGGAATCCGCGGAACGGAGCAACTCCAGTACCGGCGCTGACGAACACCACAGGCACATCCGATGAAGGTGGCAGGTGGAACACGTCTTGCGCTGGGAGATGTGACACAGATCACACGAGCACCCGCCTCCAACGATGCCAGATACTCGGTTGCCAGACCACCGTAGGAACGGCCATTGACGGTATCGTTGACAATGGCAGCTGAGATGTGGACTTCATTGCCAACAACCGACTGGCAGCTGGCGATCGAGTACCGCCGGGGATCCATGGCCGACACAAAGTGAAGCAGCGTTGCAAATGGAATCTGGCGCACCAGCGGTGCATACGTGCGCAGCACATCCAGAACAGTGCGGTTCTGTGCCTGTGAATGCACTCCAGCCAGCCGACTGCTTGCCTAGCGTGTTGACGTCTTCAGCAGCCCTTGCGTAGCGAATCATAGGTCAGGCTCATTGCCTGAAGGTCCTCGACTCAGCGCAACAACCAGCTCGCGTGAAGGTGCTTCCTTCCAGTCACAGACATATTGGAGAGGCATCAGCCGACGGTGCATGCGTGGCCATAGATAAGCTGCTGCAGCAGAGCGGGCAAAGCGCGAAGCGTCCGACACCTGCTCCAGCTCGAATACTGTATCCAGACTCGAACTCTAGGATCGCGGAAACCTCACGCACAACACCTTGGCGCGTTGACTGGGTAGATATTGAGGTGGTCGCCAGTCGTGTACGAGATATCCTGATGTGTCATCCAGAGTGATCTCGATATGTCCGAGTGCTGCGACCGCTCCTTTCGACGTCCTGCAGCTCGCGGTTGACTTTGACTGATGCGTTCTCCAGCGACAATCTGAACGGGGCAGCAGGGCTGTTGTCAACGTACTTTAGCGAGTACGACAGCGACTTGTCCGTGGCAACATCAATGTAGGCATCGACACTGGAGCCGTAGTGATCAGTCAGAATCATTCCCGACCTGGAGTGACCACTTCATGAACTCGTCGTCGAGATCGTCGTTGGAATCTCCCGCTGTAAACTCCGTCAGTGGCGTGGCACCAAGCTCATCAAGACGCTGGTACAGATGGCGCGGGAACTTCAGGAACGTATGCCAGAGCGAGTTGCCAGCAAGCCAAACAGTACAAAGTCGACGTCCTTGAGGATGTCGGCGCGGGTCTCCTGGTCGAGCAGCTTGGCAAAGTTTCTGGCGTTGTCAGGTGGCATTCCGTTGTACGTACTGGTAATAGCCACAACCAGAGGAGCGCCTGCCATCGGCAGACTGCATTGAAGCAAAAGTCCCAGTCATTCAGCGACACTAGAGTAATGTCAGCAAACCCCATGCGCTTCAGCTGCTCGGCCATCTGCGTCGCATAGTCATCGCTGGTACCCATGTTTGATCCGTACACAACAAATGTACGCGGCAGCCTGTCAGCAGAGACTGGTGTGAGTAAGTGGGTGCAGAACGGCATGTTCGACGGTATGATTGCCATTGACACTAGCAGCGTCTGCTGCCAATGGAGTGTCGGCATCTGGGAAGACTCGTGCGCTTCTGGACAGTCATGAAGAGATCCATCGGACTTGTGGTAAGCTTAGTCGGGTGATACCGGAGCTCGCCATCACCAACATCATGGAAACTCGTATCTCGACAGCAAGCGAGCTAGCACAGCTCGTATCTCCATCATTGCGAACTGGCGACCCAGGCATGCGCGATCTCCTGTCGAAAAAGGAATCCATGCACCAGGCTTGATGTTCTTGATATTCTCAGGCGAAAAGCGGTCTGGGTCAAACACAGTCGGGTTCGGGAATGACTTGGGGTTCCTCTGAAGACTCCATACACTAATCAGTGGGACATCACCCTTGCGCATAATGAGGCCACCAGGCAAAATGCAGTCTTTCTTGCATATACGAAGCAGCCCGGACACCGGTGGAAACATGGCGCAGTGTCTCGTAGATAATCTGTGTCAGGTAGGTCAGCTTGTTGGTTTGCTGGATTGTCGGTGATGTGTCAGCAGTGATCCCGGCGGCAGCGAGTTCTTGTAGCGCCCGATGCTGAACGTCGCGGTGCTTGTCCAAGAGCTGCAGTACAAAAGGCAATAGTTGAACTGCTTGTCTCTGTGCCTGCAATTCCGAAGGTAAGAATCTCATCTTGGATCAGCCTGGTCGCTAAGCCCAACCAGGTTGCCATCCTCGTCAGGCGCGCGCGCATTAAGCATAAAGCCAAGCAAATCCCTTTTCATGCTGGCTGCCTCCGGTGAGTTGCGGCGCTCATCGATGACTTGCTGTACTGTGGCCTTCATATTGCGTATGTGCTCAGCGAACATGCGGTTGGCAGCGATGGGCAAATATTTCCAGAGCGACGTACGGAAAAACCGAACGTTCATCTGCTGAAGACAATAGTCCATGCCCTCAGTGAACGAGTGCTGACCAGTGCCAGCTGGGTCAAGTAGGATTGAAGTCGTAAGAGAATCCGATATTACCGATCATCTGGAATGTGATACTAGTAGTAAAATCCACCATATCGAAATGGCTTGCCAATACGGCTGTCGAGCCATTTGCAGGCCTTGCTCAGAGATTCTCCATCATCTGTGACCCATGCAAGCCTCATTGGCGCTGGCGGAGAATGCAGGAACAAGCTAAGCGGTGTGCCAATTTCCAGTCCCGGATGGTCCTGATGGACGAGGTGAATAGCCCATTTCCAGACAGCTCATGCAGTTCAGACCATGGAAAGCGCATCGACTTTTCAAAGTATTCACCGTCGTCAATCATCACGTTCGTCACATCAGGGATCTCTGGTAATGATTCCCTTTGTTCCAAACATGTGGAATGAGAAGGTGTCATCGTACTTGTCGAAAATGTCGACGTACCGCCCACGCATGTCGTCCATGATCATCAATGCAATCCCAACAACTGGAGAGCCTGGGACATATGTCACTTCTCGACCAGATATTGGCTGGGCAAGATAAATCACCCTGTTGCGCTGGACTTGGTCAACAGAAACAACTGCATTCCCTTCGCTGTCCTCAAATGCAACTGCGTCAGGGATAGTATCGATTTCGGAAGAGCGTCTGGCGACATTGCTGCGAAGTAGTGTCAAATCGGTGTCCGTAGCGGAGACCTGGACAACAAAGCCATCCTTATCGGGCTGTTTGCCCTTCTCGACGACGTATGACGAAGAAATCCGCATCAGTAGGATAGGAATCCTTAAGCTTGGATAAAGCCAATGGCTCGTGGTTAACTGGACAGGCTGAAAGCATAGTAGGATGAGAGAATATGTCAATAGGTAGACTGATGTCTGTATAGTTGAAGTGCTAGGCTGCATTCGCTTCGGCTCGAAAAGAGATTAATATGCCCTAGGGACGCAGTCGCTCAGAGGGTCTGGTGCGGAAATTTGCCGTGTGAGCCCATTCACACAGCAGCATGCACTATTCTCTACATGTCCTCATGGCGTGTGAGTGGAAGCCAAAACAATCACTCTCTGGCTGACCCAATTTCAACATTGTATGTAGGAGCCAACCCTTTCCACGCTATTCGACTATGGCATATTTCATGGATAAAGAAACGCACAGAGATATGATTTCTAACCTACCAAGATAGTTATATATACTCCACAAATGCGATAGGTCGAATGATCAATACAGCAAACATTACCTTGACTTTGCTATGTCCACAGCTAGCCTTTACTTGCTATCCGAAAAGAGGAACCCTATTGGACGCTGCGCTATTTTTTCTAGGACAAACACATGGTCGAATACAATAGAAATCCACACATGATGGCGCTCGGACTCTCACGAATCCTCATAAATCTATACATTCCGCTATGTTTTGTTTCTGTTTTTGGTGGCTTTATGCTTCCACCATGCAGCGGAAGATGTACAGGAAGAAAAGTGGCTGAATTCCAACAATCATTCAAGCGGGAAAAGAGGCTGCAGCTAACAACCCAATGTCACAAAAATAGTGCCAAAGCAATGCGACGTGTAAAGTCGCTGGCAAGCCTGTCTTACTACAATGCACTTGGCTCCTTTTTTGGAGTTCCAGTCACTTTTCCCTAATATCTGGTGCTGGGGGCTTCAGCTCATTTTGATGTCCATATCTAAATAGTGTAGGGAGCTGATGGGAAAGTGCTGTACGGGTTGAGGGTGAGCCGTGCCAATTGTATGTGAACTTTCGTGTGTGAGGATGATGTTTGTCCATGGTGTCTTCCCATGCACAGTGCAAGCACTCCGTTGCCTTATCCGCTTGCGTAAAGATTGGCTCTACGTGCACTGGTCCGTTCCTATATCAATCCGCTGTTGTCAAGATACTCCAGAGCAACACATACAGGATTTTATTCTCCCTCTTGACAACATTTTAAACAGCACTTTCACCTATAGTTGACTACTAGCCTCCAATGGCTCACTACCCTATTACCATCGTTGGGACCGTAATTAACGTCTCTGGCAGCCTTTCTGCCCAAGCAGAAGTCCTTACCGCTCGTTTTCCATTCAAGGATTCCCCCACCGAAATTGAGACTGTTGCACGCTTTGTCAACTTTGCTGCAACCGAGAACGCCGATGTCGCTGTCGCTGTCTTCCAGCACCTTCACCAGAAATACTGCTCGACTGACAACATCCACGTCGTTGTCCAGCAGCTCAAGCTCACCACCGAGCAAGCACAGTCTGTCCTCAAGGGCTACTACTCGGTCTGGGATGTGCTTGAATCCCGTGAAGATGCTGCCGGATGTTCCTCGCCCTGCACTCTTTGCCAATGGCAAAGTGAAACTGACTGCCATGTTTGGCGGTCAGGGTGGAATGGACAATTACCTGGATGAAGCTACCTGGCTTCTTGACGTCTATCGTCCGCTTCTTGCTGGCTACGTCACGGAGATGGCTGCATTCCTTCTTGATACTTCAAAGGAGGATGTCTTTGCCGATGTCTACGAGTATCCGGTGGATCTTCTAGACTGGCTTTATCGGCCTGAATCCCGCCCTGACATGGAGTATCTCTCGCTCGCACCAGTTGCAGCGCCTATTCTGGCTCTAATCCAGCTCATGCACCTGATGGTCTTGTACAAGACACTTGGGCTTAGTCCTGGCGAACTTTCTCAGTCATTCAAAGGTAGGTGGCATATTGACTCTCTACATCCGGGGTGCATCGTAAAAGTCATACAGAGTACTAATTTTCTCCTTTCTATTACGTAGGTGCAATTGGCCATAGCCAAGGTGTTGTCCTTGCGGCGATGCTACCGACGCTGACTGATGAAAAGTCATTCTACGACAATTCAAGGATTGTCTTGGGAATTCTTATTGCGGGTGGTTCCAGGATCCAGCTCGATGTCCCGCTCGATACAATCGATGTGAGAGATGCTAGCAACAGTGACGATGGGGGTAGCAAGCCGTCGCCGATGGTATCTATCCGTGGTGTTCCTCTTCCGGCGCTTGAGAAACTGATTGCTCACTTTAACTCGTGCTGCCTCTTGCCGATTGACCACGTCTTTCTCGCTCTCATCAACAGCTTTGACAGTTTTGTTGTCACTGGCCGTCTGAAGGTTGTCATGCAGTTTGTCCAGTTCCTCCACCAGCATTGTGCGGAACCCGGTGCCGACCAGTCAAACACCCCATTTTCTGTGCACAAGCCAGTTGTGGACATGAGCTATGTGAACTCAAGCATCGTGACCCACTGCCCCCTCTTGCAAGATACTGCTGATTGGATTTACGCATTCGTCACTGAGAGAGGGTGGGTTTACAAGTCGCGAACTGGTACCGGTGCAGACCTAGATACCACTCGTATGGTCATCGACAAAGTTTGCATTCTGCGCGTCGACTGGCCAGCAACAGTCAAGGGAGCGGATGCAACACACATTGTTGACTTAAGCCCTGGTGGGTTCAGCGTCTTTGCTCGACTGGCACGCGGTATCGTTGATGGTGGCGGCGTCAACATCATTAGCTGCAGCTCGTTCATCCCTCACAAACATCGACTTCTGGGTTCCAAGGCTGACCTTTTCCAGCGCAACATTCGCTTGGTGATCCAGTCTATGGATTGGAAGAGAGCATTCAGCCCCAGGCTTGTCCGAGTCAAGAGCACTGCGCAGGTTCACATCAACTCGCCGATGTTCCATGCGCTGGGGCGTCCGCCAGTGATGGTGTCTACTGTTGAACCGAGCACCACTAGTGTTCAGCTGGTTGCGGCTGCAATCAACGCCGGCTATCATGCCGAGCTCTCCACCACTGGGATTACAAGTGCTGGCCAACTGCAGAGACGAGTGGCCGACCTAGTCCAGCTCATTGAACCTGGCCAGGGCATTACCCTTTGCTGTGACTATTCAAGCCAGGAGCAGTGGACAACCTTGTTCCCAGAGATTCTGCGCATGCGCCAAGCAGGCCAGCCGATCGTTGGACTGAGTATTTCTGGCTCTATTCCATCAGCTGCAGCAGCGACCGACATTATTGCCGGTATACGTGACGCTGGTCTTCGTCATGTCACTCTCAAGGCTGCAACTTTGGCCGACATTCGTGCTACGATCGCCATTTCGAAGGTGGATCGCATGTTCCCTGTCATCCTTCAGTGTATGGGTGGCCGTAATGGCGGCTACCATTCGTGGGACGACTTTTACCAGCCAATTCTCGATACCTACAGCCTGCTCCGGTTCCACAGGAACATTGTCCTTGTCGCTGGATCCGGTATTGGCGATGCGGACACTGCGATGCAGTACATGTCTGGTAGCTGGAGTGTGCCATTCGGACGCCCACCGATGCCATTTGATGGAGTTGTGCTTGGCTCTTGCGTGATGGTAGCAAAAGAGTCTGGTCTGTCAGATACTACCAAGCAGCTCATCGCTGGCACAGCTGGTGTTGGTCCAAACGAGTGGATGGATACGTACAGCGGTGTTGTTGGTGGTGTCACGTCAATCGCTGGCGAAAATGGCAAGCCGATGCACGTTATTGCGACGCGCGCAGCTCTATTCGTCAAGGAGCTACAGGGCTCTATCTTCTCACAGGCGGCTGACAAGCAGACTGAGCTTCTCCAGCAGAAGAGAGACTCCATAGTCCAGCGGCTAAACTCTGACTACATCAAGCCCTGGTTCGGCCAAAAGGCAGACGGCTCGGTTGCTGAACTGCAGGATATGACCTACCTGGAGGTCATCCATAGAATGATCGAGCTCATGTATGTCGACGACAGGTCGTGCTGGCTGGATGATTCCTACTGCAAAATTGTCGGTGATTTTATAAGTCGGACTGAAAATCGCTTCTGCAGCCATGAACGAGAATGCATCTTCTCCAGCTACTACGAGCTAATGGATGACCTGCAGTCTCCTATCCAGTCTCTACTGCAAACCTATCCTGAGCTTGGTACACAGACAGTATCCGCAGATGATGTTGCGTACTTCCTCATACTCTGCTCTCGTTCTGACCAATATCCAGTTCCATTCGTTCCTGTTCTCGATGGCAATCTAGAGACGTGGATGCTGCAGAGTGCTGTTTCCTTGTCGGCTAGTAGTGGCTATATCACTAGTCATGATGTTCAGCGTCAGCTGGTTCCCTATGGGCCAGTTTCAGCCGGATACTCGTCTACTGCCAACGCACCTGTGAGGGATATTCTGGATGGTGTATACCACGCCATGGTTCGCGGCCTATGCAAGAACAGTCCAACTACGATACCAGCAACGGAATATATTGGTGCTGAGCCCAAACCTACCACCATACAGTCGGTTATATCCAGAGGCATCATGGGCACAGGCCGCCTATATACCCTTCCATCTGACAACGGATCCCTCCCAGACACTGACCCATGGCTAGAATTGCTGGCAGGGCCAAGGAAGAGCTGGCTACGCGCACTACTGACTTCACCAGCCATAGTGCAGGGGACCAAGTTTGTCGCTAACGGCGTCAGGAGGATCATGCGTCCCATGTCAAACCAGTCGGTGTCGATCTCAGAGTCGGATGGAATCCCACAGCAACTCGAGGTATTCGACAGCCAAGGGGAGCTTAATATAGTATTCGAGTATGCTGCGCCCAGCAACATCACGGCCAAAGTTATTCTGCCAGTCAATGGCGAAAACCGTGAACTGGTTCTCAAATTTCTGTACTGCCCGACACGCCCTGCGATGCCAATCACAGAAGTGAGTGATGGCCGTGATGGACGTATCCACGAGTTTTATTTTGGCCACGACAACCCACCTCATCCCACTCTTGGAGACATGTCTGTTGACTCAGACATTGAGTCACCAGTAATCCGATGCCAGCCATTTGGTATTACCTACGATCACATCCGTCAGTATTGTAGAAATGTTCAAAATAAGCAGAGATGCTACATTTCAGATACAAGCCACTACGGATATGCCCCAATGGACATGGTCTTTCTAATCGGATGGCAAGGGCTTATGGCGGTGCTAGAGAACCGACAGCTGAGCTCAGGGTTGTTAGACATGGTTCACCTGGAGAACAGTATGGACTACATCGACAGTGGTTCACTGCTACGTGTTGGCGACTCTATTACCTCAGAAGCTGAGTTGGTGTCTGCTGTGAATTCCGATGCGGGAAAGGTGCTGACCATCAGCCTAAGGTTTTTCAGACAACGGACGTTGATAGCTCAGATGGCGACTGTCCTCCTGTTCAGAGGACACAAAATCCTTCCGCCACTTGCTTTCAGTAAGGAGAGCAAATCAGCATCACTTGTTGTTTTGAACTCTGTAGCTGACGTTGCAGTGCTTGAAACTAAAGACTGGTTTGTCTACCTGGAGAACTCGCCAGCAAAGCTCACTGCAGGGTCAACAGTTGAGTTCGTGCTGGACACCAGATGCAGGTTTAGACCTGACGGATACTATGCATCTGTGTCAATAGCTGGCCCTGTGTTTGCTGTTTTGGATGGAGATAAGCGTGTCCACATTGCAAATGTTGACTACCAGGCTGCTGGTGTAAATGGAAATGCAGTTGCCGCATACCTCGCTAAGAGTTCGGTTGATCAACGGTCGGGCAGTACCTTTGACAATGGAGGACATAAGGTTTTGCCGATGCCTGGGGCTACAGCACAGTTCCGCGCCCCATCTGGCTGCGGAGAGTATGCGCGTGTATCTGGAGATTACAACCCGATACATTTATCTTCACAGATTGCGAGCTATGTTGGGCTGTCAAGACCAATTGTTCACGGGATGTGGGTTTCTGCCGCAACACGGGCAGTTGTCGAAAGATATGCCGCAGGCGGGGATCCGGCAAGATTCCGTTCGTTCAAAACAGAGTTTGTCGGAATGGTGTTCCCGGGTGATGCGCTGGACGTGGAACTGAGCCATGTGGGAATGAAAGATGGGTTCATGCTCTTTGAGGGCAGGACTGTCAATCAGCACCACGCTGCTGTCATGACCTTCGCGGCAAAGGTTGAGCAGCCCAAGACTGCATATCTGTTCACTGGGCAGGGTGCCCAGTTTGTGGATATGGGTATGGATTTGTATGCAAAGTCTCCTGCTGCCCGCGATATCTGGGACCGAGCAGAAAAGCACATGTTTGACAAGTATGGAATATCGCTGCTTGACATCTTGCACCGCAATCCAAAGAAGTTCCTTGTTCATTTTGGAGGGGCCGCCGGGAAGAGAGTGCTTGGCAATTATCTCAACCTGTCTAGCGAGACTCAAGGAGCGTCGTCTCAGCTATTTGCGAGGATTTCTCCTAAGGCTACAAGATTCACATACCATTCAGCCAGTGGGCTGCTGGATTCATCGCTTTTCGCGCAGCCTATTCAACTGGTACTAGCGCTTGCGTATATGGCAGACATGGAATCCTGCGGGCTAATCCAGCCTGCAACAGCATTTGCTGGCCATTCACTTGGTGAACTTTGCTCGCTAGCAGCTATTGGAAAAATTGTCTCTGTTGAGGCTGCAGTCGAGCTCGCATTTTTCCGTGGACTCATCCTACACACATCGGTTGACCGCGATGACAATGGACAATCCCAGTATGCCATGATGGCTGTCAATCCATCAAAAGTCGGCGAATGGTTTACCCTTGACATATTGACTAGTCTTGTCGAGCGAATCCAGAAGCAATGCAGGCAGCTGCTCGAAATCAATAACCACAACATACAATGCCAGCAATATATTGTGACAGGGCATAAGACTGCGCTAGTGACTCTTACTGACGTTCTGAATAAGCTCTGTAATGATGAGACGTTCAGGTCCGGATGCTCGAACGAGAGTGGTTTGTCCGGTTTCGTATCTAGCACCTGTCTTGCCTGTAAGGATCGTGGTGCTGAACTTGCTAATGGGACAGCAACCACTGTTATAACGGGAGTTGATGTCCCATCTCACTCCAAACATCTTCTGAGCAGTGTTGATGTGTTCAGGAACATCCTGCTAAAGGCGATTTCCCCTACTTCTGTCGATGCCACTAGGCTTGCTGGAAAGTATATTCCAAATATAACAGGCGTGCCATTTGAGGTAACGAAGAGGTACATTTCGCTTGTTCACAGTATCTGCCAGTCTCCTGTTCTAGCCAGCAAGATTGAAGCACTTGATGATAGCATCTCGACTGATTCAGTTGCAATGGATAACCTTGCCTGTATGCTGCTGGTTGAGTTGCTTGCATACCAGCTCGCATTCCCAGTACAGTGGATAGCAACCCAGCAGTCACTCCTCAACAGCGGCGACATTCGAAGAGTGGTCGAGATCGGGCCCGCTCCGGTACTGGGCAAGATGATGAGGCAGTCAATGTCTGGCTCTACAAATCGTCGCTCATCAATCGAGCTCCTCCACGTTTCCGATAATAGGAAAGCAGTGTACTTTTTACCGCCAGAAGTCAACGATGTGTCGAGCGTGGCTACGGCTGATGAAGTCCAGAGTGAACCTACGACATTGGCAATGGAAGTCGATGAAGACAGGGATGTATCGCTGGATCATGAGCAACTGGTAGAAACTATATCCAAGCAGGAAAGCAGTTCTCAAATCGTAAGCCAACAAGTAATATCTGAGAAACCAGTTGACCAGGCCGATATTGTTCGCGCAATAATTGGCCAGAAACTGAAACGGCTGTCAATTTCAATTCCTGTCAGCCAACCCATTAAGGTCATAACGGCAGGCAAGTCAACAATTCTGAACATGATTGCATCCGACTTGCAAAAGGAGTTCGGTCGGCAGATACCAAGTACTGCAGAGGACATGACGATTGCTGAACTTGTTGGGCGGCTTGGTCCACATGACGGGAAGCTTGGAAGGCATACGCAGAATATGATTGCCAAGGTCTTTAGTTCCAAGATGCCTCGAGGTTTCTCTCTAACTTCGGCATATAATTATTTGAACGACAGGTATGGGCTTGGACGGCAGCGCCAAGAAGGTCTTCTCCTGCTGGCACTTACAATGGAGCCGACTGAGCGCCTGACCAGTGAGCAGGATGCCAGGCAATGGCTAGCGAATATTGCCCAGCTGTATGCTAAAAAGGAAGAAATTACCTTCACCACACATACGGCAGGTCCAACTACGAGTCCCGCACTGTCACAGTCCAACGCTCCAGTTGTCAACAGTGACGTGTTCAACTTGTCTCAAGAGAAACTGAACATGCTAGCGACTCGGCAGATCCAGGCCTTGAGAGAGTTCACTGGGACAGATACGCAATGTTCAGATGGCCTGCTGGACACGTTAAAACAGCAAGTCACCGCCTACGCAAAGGAGCTGAGTGATTTGCAGCTAGAACTAGGAGGTGATCTCATCAACGGTACGAAACAAAAGTTTGACCAGAAAAAGGCACGGCACTACAACTCATACTGGAATTGGGTGCGCCAGGATGTGATGCAGTTGGTTGCAGACATATTGGTCAAGGATTCATTTGACCCCAGCGATGTGTGTGTCAGGAAAAGGTTGCAGATGATTTCCAACCGCTCTTGCCCCGACCTTTTGACACTAGTCAATGGATACCTGGCCGTTCTCGCTAGCAACAACAGTCTTGCTACAAAACAAGCGACGCGTGTTTTAGAGGATCTGCGCCAAGTTTGCATCGATTCAAGTAACAATGCACCAGTGTATAGGGAGATATCTCCACCCCTCCGCCCATGCACAGTGGTAACCAGCAAAGGCGATGTGGTATATTCTGAAGAAAGACGAGAGCATATGCGGACATTCAAAGATTATGTGAACGATGCACAGCAGCGTACATCCATGAATCCACACCTTCTATATATATCTGAAAGGCATGATAATGGTTCATGGGCGTATAGCGCTGGCCATACTCGACAATACTTTGATTCCCTGAATGAGATTGTGGAGAACGGTCTGACATTCGAAGGAAAGGCTGCACTGGTCACTGGTTGTGGGCCTGGGTCAATAGGGTCAAGTATTGTTGAAGGGCTACTGACAGGAGGCGCTAGGGTCGTCGCAACAACGTCAAGCTATGGTCTGACTACGATTAGATACTTTGAAAGGCCTGTACAGACAGTTTGGTGCGCGTGGAGCAGAACTAGTTGTTGTTCCATTCAACCAAGGATCTGAGCAGGATGTCAACATGCTGATCGAGTACATCTATGGTACAGGATGGTCTGGGGTGGGATCTGAGCTACGTCTTTCCATTTGCTGCTTTTGCTGAACGTGGTGGTGACTTGACGAACATTGATTCGCGCTCAGAACTGTCATTCCGCATATTGCTCACCAATGTTTACCGAATGATTGGTGCTATCAAGATTGCCAAGGAGGCTCATAAGTACACCCGCTCACCAACACTGATCGTTTTGCCTAATTCCCCGAACAAAGGTACAATAGGCAATAGCGGGCTGTATGGTGAGGCAAAGATGGCGCTGCAATCACTTTACAACCGCTGGCACTCAGAGTCATGGTCCGAATATATCTCGCTCACTGGCGCGGATATTGGTTTTGTTCGGAACACAAGGATGACGAATGATCACTCTGTCATCTTTGAAGGAGTGGAGCATACAGGAGTGCGTACCTTTTCCCGCGAGGAAATGGCGTTCAATCCTTATTGGGCTGCTGAGTCCAGACACGGTGGAGCAAGCACAACTATCGCCTGTATGGGCTAATTTTACTGGATCAGATATTCCGTACTATGAATTCAGTACAAGGATATTTGGCTTGCATCTAGCACATTCCCAACTGGTCGCAGTCAACAGAGAGGTCCATTTAAGCAATATTAGCGACAATGTGGTTCAGCATCAATCCCGGTCTAGTCTGTTCAGGGAGTTTGACACAACCTCACCCCTTGCAACCCATCGTATTTCCTTCCCACCGACTCGCTCGTTTGACCAGCTCAAGCCACTACATTATCTCCAGGGAATGATAAATCTTGATAAAGTCGCTGTCATAACTGGGTTTGGCGAAGTTGGTCCGTTTGGAAATGCTCGGATGCGCTGGGAAATGGAAGCATTTGGCGAGCTTTCCATGGAGGGGTGCATTGAGCTGGCGTGGATCATGGGTCTAATCAAGCACTTTGACGGGCAACACCCACTGACAATGGACCATTATATTGGATGGGTCGACGCAAAGACGGATGAGCCGGTGAGGGACATGGATGTCAAGAAGGCTGTATGAGCCTTACATTCTCCAGCATGTAGGCGTGCGGTTCATTGAACCGGAGCTGCATGATGGCTATGACCCACACAAGAAATCGTTTGTGCGTGAGCTGCAAATCAGCCATGATCTTGAACCATTCGAGGCAACTGAAGACGAGGCAGCACATTTTAAACATGGAAATGGCGACAGAGTTGAAACATGGGAGAATTCCAACAGAACATGGTCTGTCAGGTTCCTAAAAGGTGCAACGCTGCTTGTTCCAAAAGCCCTTCGATTTGACCGCTACACAGCTACCCAAATTCCAACTGGCTGGGACCCTGCCCGATATGGCATTCCACAGGATATAATCGACAGTGTGGATAGGACTACATGCTATGCGCTAGTTTCTGCAATGGAGGCGCTGGTTTCATCTGGAATCACTGACCCCTATGAACTCTACCAGTACTTCCATGTCTCTGAAGTTGGGCATACGATCGGTTCATCAACTGGCGGCGTCCGAAGCCTTCGGGATATCGTCGTAAACAGGTGGGTCGAAAAGGATGTACATTCTGGGGTACTGATCGAATCACTAGTTAATAGTCCAGATGCATGGATAAACATGCTACTGCTATCATCTGCAGGACCATTAAAACCTACATCAGCCGCATGCGCAACTGCACTGGTGGCACTAGACGTAGCAATCGAGACCATCCAGAGCGGGAAAGCTAAGGTTATGCTTGCTGGGGCGGTTGAGGATTACACGCAGGATACAGCCTATGAGTTTGCGCAATTACAGGCAACTGCTAATACAGTTGAGGAACTTGCCAAGGGTAGAGCACCAGAGGAAATGAGTAGGCCATTCACCGATACTCGGTCTGGGTACATGGAGAGCTACGGATCAGGCATATTTGTTGTCATGTCAGCCTCAGCAGCAATAGAGATAGGAGCGCCAATCTATGGTGTTGTCGCTCTGACGGAGACGGCCACCGATAAACAGGGACACAATATTGGGGCCCCTGGCAGAGGCATCCTGTCTACAGCCCGTGAGATCCATTCCCAACCGTGCTCAGATATGCTGGACTTCAATTATCGGAAAAGAGGTCTTCAGCAGGAACATATGCATATCGATAGGGCAATGCGCTATAAACGCCAAAAACTGAATGGTTGTGGCGCGAGTCCCGGCAATCAGGTTGCCCAATCAACTGGTGATGCACACCGTCGACGGATGGCGGCCACAGACGTATGGAATACCGAATTCTGGAAAGGCTGCTCTGACATATCGCCTGTTCGCGGTGCGCTGGCGACATGGGGTCTAACTGCTGATGATATCGGCATGCTCTCTTTCCACGGTACTTCAACAAGGCTGAACGATATCAACGAAGCAAGTGTTATTAACAAGTTACTGGCACATTCGGGACGTACACCTGGCTATCCTGCACCAGTCGTAAGCCAAAAGTGGCTCACAGGGCACCCAAAGGCTCCAGCAGCAGCCTGGATGCTTAATGGAGCTCTGCAGGCAATCAGCTCTGGAATCATTCCTGGGAACAGAAATGCGGATAATATCGATCCAGAGCTCAGGCAATACGGCCATCTTGTGTTTCCATCTTGCCCCACTACAGTATCCAATCTGAAGGCAGCCTTACTTTCATCGTTTGGCTTAGGTCAAGCCGGCGGCATCATTTTGGTTCTTAACCCGGACTACATTCTGGCAACACTGTCAGCTGATGACCTGGAAGGCTATCAAGGCAAGGTAGAAAAACGGAAAATCAAGGCGAACAGATATTTCCAGGAAGCGCTAATTGGGGCTCGCAATCTTATTAGCGTGAAGACTGCACCACCATTCACCTCTGAGCAGGAGGACGAAGTGTATCTAAATCCGTTAGCCCGCGCATCGTATGATGCCACCACTCATTCATATCACTTTTAAAGTGGTTTTATCTAATTAGGCTGTTGGTAAAATATACAGGTTTTTTTGTGAGTGGTTGTATGGCTTTAGATGGTTTATATAGACTTTGCATGTGTTGGAAGGTCATGAGTTTAAACGAGTAGTTTGGACTGGGCCAGCCAGAAAAAAGAAGAAAAACTACGAATAAGAAGAGAAAGTGGAGGATCAGAGACGTGGTTGTAATAGCACATGGATCCAGTGAGGAATGGAAAAATGTAGAAACCTAGAGAATCACAGATTCTGAAAATATGCAATAGCATATATCAAATACACAACTTCATAAATATATAGTCATCGAAATAATAAAATCAGGCAAATTACAGTTATTTTTATCTCGGGCAGCACTGCTAGGGAGGTCCGATTTTTTTTAGTTATTATTAATACCGAATACTAAAAGCTCAATACATCTGTGTGGCAAACTCAGTCCAGAACTTGTTAGTCAAGATGCAGTCCATTACAGAAGGGTCTTCCATAATATTGACGAAAAAGTCCCTGGTTGACGGAGGCGAGGGCACGACAGTGAAATTCAGACTTGCGACATCCGGGTTAATTGTTGAGAATGATTGCACGCCATAGCCAAAGTCTGCATGGTACATTCTCGCATGCTCTGCATTAGTCACGTATGTAATCAGCTTGAACCGCATGGAGTTTGTCATGAATGTTCCAATATTGAAGCCGCTGGTCTCGATGGTTTCAAAGTAGCTGCCGATAAATGACGGTGTAAGTTTTGCGATAGATCCTCGTACCTGAGTAGCAACATCTGCAAGTGCATGGGGTGTGATCGGCGACTGGGCATGTTCAATTGGGATTGAGACAACAGCATTGTATAGGGGGTTGCCGATGTAGTTCAAATGCGATATTCCGAGGCGATGACGAAGATCGCACGTGAACGAAAGGCGGTGTTCTCCGCTAGATTCCTCCCTGCGACCTGTCAGCCACGATAGCCAGCCTGACTGTTTCTTCTCAGCGTCGAGTCTAGCTTGTCCATGGACTTTGTAAAATACAGCGTTAAGAAGGTCGTTGCTGGACATGCGTGCGCCCGGTGGCATGCACTCAAGTACTTTGCTGCGTAGCTCGTCGAACTTGCTGCGGGAAATGCGAAACAGGTGTCCTTGTGCTGGGGAGCGACTATCCAAGTAGGTCATTGCTCTCCCACGCGTGTTGGGCGAAAGCCATGCAATCCAGTCCCCCAAAGTTGAGCGTCGGCTATACGCCATACGGGTTCCCTCATCAAGTGGGGTGCGTTCGCTAGGTAGCTCACTGGTAATAATCTCACGATCAAAGCAGTAGACGACCTCTTCGGCTGGGCAATCTGTAACCAGCGCCTGAGTTTCGGCGGCCCATCGGTTGAAGAACTCGAAGCAGCTCGTGCCATCACCAGTCGAGTGGCAAAAGTTGGCAAAGAAAATCACACCACTGTTCTGCTTCAGACGAGCGACATAGAAGCTGCCAAGCTTGATCGTCCCTGCATCTCTGTCTGGGCACGTATATTTGCCACACATGTCTTTAACATGTGGCCATGCGCTGGGGCTGAAGCCAGCTTTGCTGATGTCGCTGAAGTGTATGTCTGACTGGAACTCGTGGTAAATGGGCATGTTGAGATTATCTTTATCCACAGCAATCACCATTTGACCCTCATCGGTTTGCTGAAGGTGGCCGGCAAGAACCGGGTAGCGGGTGAGCGCCCGGTAGAACCCTTGTTCGAGTAAGGTAGAGAGCATGAAATCATCTGAATAGTCGCTGTTGCCATAAAAGTACACGTGGCGAAGATTGACTAGAGACAGCAAACTATCGTATTTGCTAAGTTTGTAGATGTTCGACTGGACGTTGCTTTTGAAGTAATCCATTAGTTAAATGAGTTGACAGGTGGTTGTTGTGAAAGTCCCAAGAATAGCTTGTCTGGCGGTCACCCCTGGCCACATATAGGGTCGCAGCCTTTGGGCTCTGCCCTTGGAAAAACCAGTCCATTCGTTCCTTTTCCATGTGTCTGTCTCAGCTCTGCGTACCAAGCAATGCGATATAGTATGAGAAGAGATGCATTGGTGAGAACTCCAGTTGTTAACAAAAGTTTATGGCGTTGAATCACACGACACACTTGTTCAGGCCATGAAACAAGTACCAGCCACACATACAGGTAGGGTCATGTCTGTACACATTGGAGCTCACCACTCTGGGTCCTAATCCGCCAAAGATAAAGTGGTAGTACCTATGGAGTAGGCAGCGGCTTAAGGAACACTCCTACTATACCAATCGAAGAATGAACTCGCCCATGTTGCTCGTGCGAAGGATTCCGCATACACTGCAGAAATGTGTATTGTCTAGAAATGCTGTATGGGAACAGCCACTAGTTCCCATGTCGCCTATACCTTGCCCAGCATACTCCTTGGCCATTGGGAGATGGCAGACTTGTGTATTTGTTAAAGTCCCAGCATGCTCCTCCTTAATCTTCATGGCTTTTCCTTTCTAAACCGCACTGCGTCCGCGACATCTATGCTTTTGAATCGTTTATCCGGACAAGAATCACTTGTCAACCTGGTCGAACCCCTTGCAGAGGCTGGCGTAGCTAAGGTTGCAGCAGCCCTGGTTTCCAGCATAATTTGCTATCGAATTGTATATGCGCTTTTCTTTTCACCCCTCCGCCATGTTCCAGGTCCATTTTTTGCACGCATTACCAGCATGCGCGCAAACATCATTAACCTTTGTGGAGGTATGAAGCATGCTGCACATGCAGACGGTGAGGCGTATGGCGACATCTACGTGCTTGAGCCGAATTCCATCTCGATTTCCCACCCGGACGACGTGCGCACAGTGCTGCGCTCGCATACATTTGTCAAATCAAAATTCTACCAGTCTCTCGAGACCGTCGGAACCCCGCACACCTTTAGCTCAAGCGACCCTGGGTTTGTCAGCATGCGCCAACGGCAGATGGGACCGTACTTTCAGCCATCGTATTTGAGCCTGATGGAGCCTAAGATTCTGCGCTACAGCTGCCTTGCGCTGAAAGAAAAGTGGGGGCGGCTGCTGGACAAGAGTGCGGATGGCAGGATTGAGATAAACTACAGCCGTGACTTCTCACTAATGGCATTCGATGTTATTGGCGTGCTGGCGTTTGGGCAGGAATTCAACAGCCTCAAGAACGGCGACGAAACCGCAGCTAAATGGGTAGACAGCTCGACAAAGTATCATGCAATGCTTGCAATGTTCCCGGTAACAAAGTACTTTCCATTCTCGCTTGCCATTAGGCCTTGGGAGAGCCGGTACCGCGAACTGTCCGAGTTTGGCAAGCAGTCGGTTGCCAAGCGCAGGAAGCACCTGGAGAACGGCGGCGAAAAGCCACATGACCTTCTGCAGGCGTACGTCGACGCCCTGGATCCAGAGTCCAAGGTCCGTATGAGCGACAATGAAGTCCGGTCTGAGGTCAATCTGACCTTGCTGGCAGGCGCCGACACTACATCAACCACGCTGGCATGGACCGTCTCCCTCCTGATGCTATACCCCAAGATATATGCCCAGGCGGTTGACGAGGTTCGTAGCAAATTCGACACCAACCACGTCATCACGTTCTCGGAGGCGCAAAGGTCGCTGCCCTTTGTCGAGGCCTGTCTTTTCGAGTCGATGCGGCTGTGTCCTGTAGTTGGGGGACAGGTGCCGCGAGTAAGTCCTCCCGAAGGCGCTACGCTGCGTGGCCATTTTATCCCTCCAGGCACTGAGATTTACGTCAGCTTCGCCGGGGTTAGCGTAAGCAAGCATATCTGGACCGACCCGCTGAAATATGACCCGACGCGCTTCCTCAACTCCCCCGAGGCCCGCCGCAATCTCTTTTCATTCAGCTACGGCGTCCGCATATGTCCTGGCCGCCATCTGGCTAAGCTGCAGATGCTTGCTGTTCTGGCAAACATGCTTAAGGACTATGACTGGTCGCTGCCCGATGACTACACCCACCTCGGCCCGCACGTCCTTAACGAGCATGGCTATCCTAAACTGATGAAGTCGATCCATCTACTTACCAGTGCACCAGAGCATCCAGACCGCGACTGCCGCCTCATTCTTACGAGGCGTAGATAACATTCGTAGCTGCTGTCCTTTCAACGGGCACTGCCGATATCATGATTATAAATGTCGGATTAAACACAATGCCAGCAGTAGCTCGACGCTATACTTTTTTCTTTCAGGGTTCTTCGTCCTCGTGCTCCTTGGCCAGGCTAATCGCATCCAGATCCATATCGCTCTGGGACCCGCCATCAATGCCAAGGGTCTCTTGGGTGAGCTTATCATGCATGCTCATCTTCTTTGCGGCGGCCAGAACCCGGACATTCTTGCGCTTCCTTGGCGGAGGAATCTCGCGGAACGACAGCGACTCGGGGTTGTACTGAATATAGATCTTGCCCAACGTGCCGTCGAACCGGTTCTTCAGCACATTCATATAGCGGATCTTGCTCTCGGCAGCGCCGTACTTTTGCAGCACCACTACATTGTCCGCCTCCTGCGTGACCTTGGCGGACCCAAAGATCGAGTTAATGTCAATGTCGGCCGCCGGCTGGTCCTTGCGCAGATGCGCGACCACTGTGATATGCACGTTCTCCTCGGTTGCAAACTGGCGGAAGGTCGCGATCGCCGAGTCCTGCGCCTCGTACTTGTCCATGCCCTTCGCCTGCATGCTCATCATGAACTGCAGGTTGTCGATGATAATGTGCTTGACGTCGTACGCATATACCGCATGGCGCATCGTGTTCAGCACCGTGCGCGGCTTGGTGCTGCCGTGGAACTTTAGGAAGTACATGGGCATTTGCTCAAACCGCTGCGACCAGAACTCGACCTCGCCCGGCGACTTTGTGATATCACGCTTCGCCAGCTGGCTCATCATCCGCGTTGCCAGACGCACATTTGGGATCTCAAAGCTGCCCCACAGTGTGCTGACATTGGACTTGCAGAAATCCAGCGACATCTGCGACAACACGGTGGTCTTGCCGCAGCCGGTCGGCCCGCTCAGAATCGTCAGCTCGCCTGGACGCAGCCCCTTGAAGCACGAGTTCCAGCCCGGCAGATCCGTGCTCTCGACGCCGCGGATCAGATCCGGATTATTGACCTCAAACTTGACTGCCTCCCGCAGTGCTGCAAAGTCCAGGACCTTGTCGTGCCGCTCGGGACGTGCCTGGTCAATCATCTCCTTCAGGTCGTGGCCGCGCGCCAACGCAATGCTTGCGGACTTGGGGCCCTGCGGATTGTCGCCCCGCGAATGCACTGTCAGGCACCGGTCGACGCCCAGCTTGCGGGTGATCAGCCGCGCTGCCTCGGCGCCCTGGTGGTCGTCGTCCAGCCACACGTATATGCGCTCAAAGCGCTCCAGCGCGCGCATCGCATCCAGTGGCAGCTGGTAGGCGTTGCGTGGCAGGGAGACTGCCGGAATGCCGGTTTCCTGGTATGCTGCCACGGCGTCCAGCTCGTGCCCGGTCAGAATCACCTCCGAGCTGCCTGACGAGTCGGCGATGTGGAAGCCAAAGAGCCCCGGCTGCGTCGCATCCACTGGGTAGTACATCTCGATGTCGGCTGTGTTCCAGCCGACAATCTTTAGCTGGACTGTGTGGTATTCCGACTGGGCCGATTCGCCAGATGCCCCGCTCGAATCGGCTCCAGCATCGCTGCCAGCAATGTCCTTCAGCATGCTGGACAGTGCTACCGAATGGTGCTGCTGCTTGCCGTTTGCTGCCAGCCCGCCCATCTGCTCACCGTCCTTAATAAAGCTGTTGGTGCTGTATGCGGTGCGTGGGAACACCAGGCACGGTACAGAGTTGTCATTGCCGTCCACTAGTGAGCCCACCCTGTGCAGAACTTTCTTCCCTGGATCCACATACCCCAGAGCCACGCCAAACTCGCGCAGCGCCTCGGGCTTCAGCCGCAGCTGCCCCTTCTCAGTGCCCGTCAACGTCCCATAGATATGCTCGTGCCTGACCAGATTATGCTGCAGCTTGGTGAGCAGATCCTCGGCAAAGTAAAATGGGGCCGGATCAGCCGTGTTGCGCTTCGGGATTGTGTTTTTGAACGGCCGCCGGTTGGCCAGCTGCACGTACTTGTCCCAGGAGCCTTGGTCGAAGCAGCTTGTGCAGACAAACGACCCTGTGTGTGTGTTCAGATGCGCGCTATATGCTAGCCGCGCCGGCTTGCCCGGGGAGCACGACGGACACTTCACCATCAGCTCGTCGGCCTTCATGCCTGCCCGTGCCCGCTGCCGCGTCTTCTTTAGAAATTTGCGGATCTGCTGTGCCACCTCTGCCTTGGCTTCTTCGTGCTTGCATGGGTCGCTCTGACAAGTACTGCTGCCATGAGACGGCCCGTGCTTGCTGGAGTCCGATGGCGAAGAGGCAGAGGCAACCTTTGTCTGGAATGGATCCAGGCTGCTCGCGGGCTGCCGGAATGGATCGGCTGACTCCTTCTGCTCTTGCTCGTCCGCCAGCAGGTCGTTTGGCCGGATGGTTGCCAGCCCGCGTCTGGGTGTACTGCTGTATGAAAATCTTTGCCGGCTGACTCCGAGTGTGCGCACCGAGCTATCGATCGACTGGCACTGTCTGCGGATCGCCTGCGACACGGTCCTTCTGAGCATTGTGTTGGATTTCTAACCCTGGAAATATGCTGCTGGAATACAAATGAAGAAAAGAGAGGTGGTGTTGGTAAAAGAAAAAAGCAAGGAGCTGGCTGTAAATCAACAAACTTTTTATTTTCTGATGCAAGCAAAGCCAGGCTGCATTATTCCTGCAAGAATCGCGCGGTGATCTGCCCACAATCGCTTCCTACTAATTTCATGATTCGCTTTGGCCGCTCTGTGGTGCTTGCCTTCGCTGCACTAGTCACCAATTACTGGGCTACCCGCCCGCCACACCCGCACGTCTACTTCGAAATGAGGAGCCCGGTCCATGCATAGTGTATACAAGAATAGGCTGCGGCTGTTGATAGGAATGCCGCTCAATGAAAAGCTTGGCAATGTCGGGAATGTTTCAGTGGCAGCCCTTTTGTTCCACCCAACATGTGGGGTACACCCAAGCATTAATAAAAATATTGCAAATCTCATATTGAACAAGTAGAGGCTATATATGACAATGCCTATCAGCGTATTGCTGCTGCTGCTATCCCAGAATATATTACAGTGCTCATATCTCATGACTAGATACATGATTTTATAGCCGAGAATGTGTCTGACCGTTGGCCTGCTACGAAACTCCGGAGCAAGTTCGGTCCAGATCCAGTGCTGATCATGGGCAATTGGAGTGCGCCGATGGCCCGACACCATGCGCCGATTCGTGGCAAGGGATGGCGCGACAAGTTCAAGCACCATGGCTTTGAAGTCTATCTAGTCGACGAATTCCGGACATCGTCGATGTGCCCGTTCTGCTGTGAAAAGTCGCTGCAGACATTCCGGCATGTTCCCAACCCGCGGCCCTACCAGAGATCGAAGAACCCAGCTGTGAAGTGCCATGGCCTTCTCCGCTGTACAAGCGAGTCATGTAAGCGGGCGATGGCACAATACAGGCGGGCCTATTCGTCTCGGCTCTTGAACCGTGATCTCGCAGCAGTTCTAAGCTTCAGATTCGTTTTCCACTGACTAGCAGCCGTGCTCGCATCGCGAGCAAAGTAATTCTAGTAGCAGCTTCATGAACATAAATCGTATCTGTTAATATGCACTTGCCACCGGCGGAAGCTGCCACATAGTTCAGTAACACATGTATTTTTTTCATGGTGCCGAGTCCCACCTCCGTTCATTATAAATGCAGCACGAAATAACCGCAGCAAGCATGAACATTAGCCCCCAATGCTCGGTAACAAACGGCCACAGAACATGCGGATTCTGTTCATGGCTATCCAGCTCCCACAGACGCAAAGTGCCAGACGCCGATAGCGCCAATAGCCTTGTGACCTCCCTCGGTTTCTCGCTGCCGTCATCCTTGGCCGGGGTCATCTGCGTCGAGTCGAAATGCAAAAACCTCAAGCACGTGGTCGTCGACTGCTGGTGCGTCGAGACCGAGAACCTCTGGGACACGGCAAACGGATTGTCCGGCGTGACAAACGTGTCGTCCCAGTGCACGCCGGCTGCCAGGGCGCTCGGCTGCCAGGTAAGCTTCAACTGCCACTGGAATGCGTCGGTCTCGCCCTCATTCAGCACATCAATCGAGGACTCGGGCTCAGTAGCCACAAGCGGCAGTAACGCGCTATCACGGAAATAGCGGCGGTAATCCAATATGCGCTTCGACGACGGCACCTGCACGCGCGAAAATATAAACAGCTCGTCGTCTACTGTGCTCATTGCCAGCATGGCGCCGCTCTCATCCAATGTCATGTTCACCGCCACCGGCGAGTTCAGCGTGCTGACGTACGGCAGGCGCGACTCGCGCATCCGCTGGAACTGCAGCACATCGCTGCTGCCCGTGTCCTGGAACCACAGCGTGTCCACCGCCACCGCGATATCGGTCGCCTTGAAATACAGCGCCGTGGTCAGTCCGGCCTGCTCGCAGAGCGGCGGGTCATGCACGATACGCAGCTCGTCGCGCGACAGACCAGAGAACTGCTGGTGCACTGGCAGCCGGTAGCGCTTCATCGACCGGGCCTTCCAGCGGTACGCCTTGGTCGAGTTCTGGATCAGGCTGAAGGAGAAAAAGAACGTGTCGCCCGAGGTCGTGCCGCGCGCCAAAAACACGTCCACCGAGTGGCCAGGCCGCGTGGAATGCAGCAGCAGCAAGTGCGACTGGTGGCCGACATCGCGCTGCAGCTCGCGGATCTCGGGCCCGAGCGTCTGCACCATCTGCGAGCCATCTGCCACCAGTGAGCCATCCGCAGCCGTGGGCAATTCGAGCATCCGGAATCTGACAATATCGTCCAAGCGTGAGTACACGATCGTGCTGCCGCGCAGCGAAAACTCTGTCACGTCAAGAGTGCCTGGCAATGTGTAGTCGACGGATTGCATCATCTGGCCTGCCGGACCCACGCAGAACGAAAAGTCCTTGCTGGAGTAGACTGAATCAGCAAAGTCGTTGCCGTCGTTCGGACACAGATGCAGGGCTACCGCAGCATTCGTAATGTCAAGGATCTCGTTGGCACTCACGGGCCGACGGCTCTTGTGCCACCAGTCCTCGCCGACCTCCCTCATCGCACCGTCAAAGAACGGCGTGCGCTCAAGCCTCTCCAAGTCGTATATCCGCGTCTTATACGAGATCGTCTCGTCCCTGGGTATGTAATACAGAACAGCCAGCCTTCTCGGCGAGTACTTGCTGTCGGCGCCCCTCAGCCGCGTCCGATCAAAATGCACCAGCTTCACAGGGCCCCGGCAGCCTATCCGCAAACACCAGCTCCCAGCGTGCCTCGTTCCGCATACCGCCAACGAATTCTAGCCGTTTCCGATACACCTTCAACAGCCCGGCCAGGGGCTCGCCGGGCCGCGTTGTCTTGAACTCGGTGTGCAGGTGAATATGCAAAAGGCCGTAGCGCAGGTCGGTGACACCCGGGTTCTTGTACCCGGTCGTGCTTGTCAGGTATTTGCCGGGCTCGAGCCAGTGGTGGTCCTGGTTGCGCTCGCCAGGTGTGTTGTGTTGGTTTGGCGCAGCTGCAGCGTATTCTCCGTCTCATGCACCAGGCGTGTGGTTGGAATGGGCTGCCGATTAAACCAGGCCAGAATGAAAATGTATGCGGCACCCACAGCCAGCAACAACGCTTGCCGTGCTCGCAATCCAAGGGCCATTCTATTATTTTGGTCGAGTGTAGAAGAAAAACTAAAAGTACGGAATGGAAATAGAGATGGGCTATGAGGAAAGAAGAAAATGGCTGCCAAGAACCCTGCACGCCGGCTTCCGACCAAAAATATTATTACGGGCTTTGGCCCAGTGGGAAAAAAAGTATGAGCACATAAATGGCGCCATATTCACAGCGATGTAACGGCTTGCGGTTTGATCGTTGCAGACTCAGGACGAACGGTAGGTGTGCGCTACATGCAGCGCGTTGGATAGAAGGGCCTTCTGCATGTACGAGGATAGTGACCAAGAGGCATTTTGACAAGGCAATTGGTAACTCTGTGTCGTCATCACCCGTATCCAGAGAGCCAGAGCCCTGCCGTTTCATGTTCAATTTCAACGCGCCGCCGACCAATTCCCCCTGCCCGATGACACACGCCATGGGCACATCCTACTTCATGTATCTGGGCCTCACTGGACACTCACATGCCGCCACGACCAGGAGCGGGCTATGCGGCGATCACCATGGCAATCAAGGATCAGGGCGGGGAACACGTGATCGGCACCAAGCTTGCCGATTGTTTTAATAGCAGCCCCCACACAAGCCTACCTGCAACCACTATTTCCCCTTCTCCCTAATCGGCTCCAGCGTGACGCATCCCACATTTAAATAGCACGAAAATGTCAGCGCATTCCCGAGCGTTCGGAGCCTCCACACGCCTAGCGAACACGAGAGCAGACGGCCGACGAGCTGTACGGCGAGCCAGAGAACTTTTTGGAGGTGGAGGTGCGCAACCCGGCGACGCACGGGTCGGGCCGCAGGATGTTTACTGACTACGAGATCGTGTGCCGCACCAATATCCCGGTGTTCAAGTTCAAGACGTCGGCGGTGCGGCGGCGGTACAGCGACTTCGAGTGGTTCCGCGATATGCTGGAGCGGGAGTCGTCGCGGGTCAATATTCCGCCGCTGCCGGGCAAGGTGTTTACCAATCGGTTTGCCGACGACGTGGTGGAGGCGAGGAGGGAAGGGCTGGAGCGGTTCCTGCAGATAGTCGCGGGCCATCCGCTGCTGCAGACCGGGAGCAAGGTGCTGGTGGCGTTTATCCAGGACCCGAACTTTGACAAGGAGACGTATATCATGTAGCTGCTTTTCTTTTACCTTCTATTCAAATTAAACCAGACATGTTGGCGACCGCGCTGGATGGGCGCTCCATGGCCGCCTGGAAGACAAGCAGCAGGAACTTTTCCCAGGACTCGGAGCTATTGAGGAATTGCGACATCAGCGCAGTGTCGTGGACGTCGTGCGTGGGCAGAAACTCGACCTCGCTGAACTTTAGGTCGTCGACCATATCCCAGGTTTTATGCACGTGTGCAGAAAAGCCGCTGCTGAAATGTCTGTGCGTCACGTCCACCAGCTCCACAGCCTGCAGGCCGTACATTGCACCTGCAATCTCCACCACCTCGTGCCGATGCGGAGTCCGGTGTGGGTCGCGCGGACCGCTCAGCCCCAGCCTATGCAGCAACCCCGAGACCACCTCGGCGGCCTGCGGCGTGGCCTCGATAGTCTGGCGGCTGTCGACGGTGAACTTGGAAGTCCTGCAATGACCCAAGCACCGCTACCGTAGCATGGCGTTCGTTGCTGGTGCGCTCAATTCCCAGGCGTTCTCCATCTGCAGTTTGCTGTGGGCCACAGGAATACGCACAGTCACTGAGTCGCTGCCAGTAGACGGGCACAAGGCGCGGGAGGCCCTGGCTGGTGGTGTTTTGCACTGACATGAGTCGCTAGGACCAGCTGGGTCTGCGCGAATGCTGCAGGGCCCTCGAGCCACCGCAGAGGCGGGGCGTTGGTGGAGAATCCAAACTGCGGCTTCTGCCCTAGCCACTGCATCCACCAGCTGGTGCGGCCGCAGGAGTGTTGCCCATTAGCGATGCGCTGTCACTGTCACTGTCGCTGTCAAACATGGCCTTGCCCAGCCGGGTCTTCAGGCAGATTGACTGGCCCGGTGCTGGCTCCTGCATATTGACCCAGTCCTGCAGAGCGCTGACCAGATTTTTGGTGTGCGCGGTCACTTTGCCCTGGGCAGAGATCTCGTACAGCGTGTGCCTGGCTAGGGCTACCACCGGGGCAATGATCTCCGATGGCATCTGCGCAAACAGCGCCTGGTCCAGAACGCTGGAGCTCGGTAGCCCCACCGGATCTGCTGCTGGGATTGACAGTAGCATGCCAGTGCATCCTTTGATCTCGTCGGCTGCCACTACCAGCACCGTCTGGTGCTTCGCCTCCACCATGGCCTTGACTAGCGCGTGCTGCAGATCCACTGCATCGGCTGGGCTGTCGCTTGTCACAAAGTACTCGCCCTCTGATACCGTGACTTTTCCGTTGGCTTGTCGCCCGATCTTGCCGACAATAGCCTGTGCGTGCTGCTCCGATACGCTGCAGGGGCCTGCCGTATTTCTCCAGCCTTCACCTGCACTGTGGCCTTGGCTACAATGCGCTCGCGCAGCACCGACAGCGCTGCACGGACATTGTGCATGACGCCTGTCACCCGCAGCTTATCTTGGCCGAGTACGATCCTAACATTAAACTCCCGCTCGAGCTGCGCAAACACGTCGCCCTCCAACTCCCTGACCGCCTCCAACGACGCGCTACTGAGTGGCAAGGTCAATGCCATCCTGCACTGCCTCCTCCTTGGGCTTGTTGAGCTTGAGCTCCTAAGGGCCGTTGGCGAAATGCCCCATACATCCGTGATAATCCGGTTCACCAACTTGCCCTTGCTGCCAGATACCGGTTTGCCGTGCCGCTCCAAGTACTCCTTTAGCTGGTCGACCCGGAACGCACCCTTGATTTTCTCTGCTCTGTCTACCCGCAGCTCGATTTAACAGATCGAGCGTTTCCTTGCGGTTCGTCGCTGCCAGCTCCGCCGGGCTAATCGATACTGAAGCGTCGCTGGCCAGTTGTGTGCGGACTGCGGGCAGCTGCCGGATCAGGTCTTCGCTAGAAAACCGGAATGCGTCGAGCTCTGCTACTATGTCGAATGAGGGTGCAGCCTCGGCAAACGAGTCGGCCATGCGCACGATCGCCGGCGACTCTGGCCGCACCCCCATGTATTTGGACCTTGGTGTCTTTTTGCGCCCATCCTTTGCGGGCGGCTGTTCTGTCGACATGTGCCGAGCAACTGGCTGGATCATCCTAGCAGCCTGTGCTGCCTGTATGCGCTGAACGCCCAGCCGAATCATTGTGTGTGATATAAGAGATATAAAAGCGAATGCAGACTGAGGTGCAGGAGCAGAGCAGGAGAAAGCTGTCTGAGATCAGCCTTCAGTAAGCACTCACTTTTTTTTGCCGGCCGGTTCGGCTCGGCTCGATCAGTGGGCTATCTGGCCGGCTCAATGTTGGCCTGTCTGGCACTCCGCTTGCCCATGCTGCGTTCGGAGAAACCCTGCTGGCATCTCACCTCCACTTTTTGGCAGGTTGCCCGCCCATCCACGGCCCTGCGCACTCGCTGGTTTTGCCAGCGATTACGACCTTCTGAGGAATGAGGGATGCAGGGCAGATGGCTGCAAAGCAATAATGCTAATAGCAAAGCAGTAAAATAAAGCACGAATTTAAAGTCCCGTCCCTCAACAGCAGCATTGCGAGTCTTCTTGAGGCTTAAGGAATAGAGGCATATTTCACTGTGGCTGTCCATCTTGATACTGGGGTCCAGGGCGCTTTCCAGCAGTACCATTGGATCCGACGAGCTTGCAATGTGCTGTTTTCCTTAGTCATCAGCAAGGTCGCATAAAACACAAGTACTTTCCCTGCTATCACCCGTCAAAGCGCACATCCAGCCCAACAATTCGGGATGGAGGCATAAACAAGCATGCATGGATTGCGACATACTCGCATTGAATGACTTGATCTGAATGGCTTTGCGAGGAAATCTATGAAGTCTGAATACCTCATCAAAGAGCACTGAAAAACAAGCCCAAGCACCCCTGGGTGATCTTTACGCCTGTTCTGGTACCATGCGTAGAGCAGGACGCCCCACCCTCCACTCCTTTGCTCAACATCGTCATCCAAAATGGGACCGCTGACTCTTCAAAGTGCACCGGATCGGGCCTGTAGATACACCAGATCCAGCCTATAGGCGCACTGAATATGGTGATTGCCCCTATCCAGGATTGCGCAATCCCTTTCACATCAGTCGTTCTCTTCGCTGTCTCCTACAGGCTGTCCAGTGCTGGTGCTCCCGGATCCGGCCTATGGAATACCTTGTTATTTCACGTAGCGATTTTCCTGCTTGCACATCCCCTTTTTATACACACTCTACAGGCAAATACACCAGCTGGAATTGGCTATATTTCTCAATGCTCAAGACCCCGGTGTTTGTCACACTCAGGGGAGTACAGCTGCGGGTTGAGTTGGATATAAAAGCAGGGAACTCTGGAGGGAGGGGACATATTCGCTAGCCAGACGCCAGACTCACAAAGTCCCCTGTATTTTGCTCTCTTTCAGATATTCTCTGCTACTATTTCCCACAAGCCAGCATTCGCATTCTTCAATCCCCTCCCCCTTCGCCACCTCCCCTTTTCATACTATTCTGTTTTACTATAGACAACTGCACTAATAATGGCAAAGCAAGAGGAAAGCACAAGCGTCAGCTCCTCTGTATCATATCCCGCTGAGAAGGAGGCCGTCGGCGAGCACGCCAATGGCGATGGTACCAGCCAGGCCGACGATGGTGACAAGTACAATCACGCGGTCAAGCGCAGCGGCTCGTGGATCGGCGCTGTCTACAACATCATGTGCATTAGCGTCGGCACCGGCACCATGAACCTGCCTGCTGTTGTACGTCGCAGCGGCTGGTTCGGCGTCATCCTAATGGCGCTAATGGCGTTAATCGGCTGGTTCGTGGGCATTCTGTTCCGTCGCGCCATGTATTCGCGTCCCGGAAAGCGCTTCTTCAGTTTCTCGCATGTGACGCAGGCCGCGTTTGGCCGGTACGGCAAGATTGGATTCTGGTTCGCCACCATCGTGACGTACGTCACCTGCTGCGGGACAGTCATCTCCTGGATCATCATCTGCGGTACGCAGATCAGCCGCCTACTCGGCTTTGCCAACGTGCACCTGAGCGAGAAGATATGCATGACCATCATTGCCATTATCATGTGGGTGCCGTTTGCCATCCTCAAGATGGTCAGCGAGATCACTATTTCGTCGCTGTTTGGTGTGCTCACTGCGCTCTTCACTGTCATCACGCTTGGCGTCATGTCGATCAAGCACCGGTATACTGACACCTTACTATAGCCCGAACTTCAGCGAGCCCCCTACCCACCAATTCATTATCGGCAGCGGCATCCCGTCCGCTCTGGCCTCCATCGCCTTCATGTACTCGAGCGCCATCTTCTTCCCCCACATCGAGGGCAACCTGAAGAAGCCGCATCAGTTTTCCTGGGCCCTGGGCCTGGCCAACATACTCGTGTGCGGCTGCTACACAATCGCTGCTGCCACCGGCTACAGCGCTTTCGGTAGCCAGACCGTCTCGCCCATCCTCAACAATCTGCCCAACATGGCCATCATCAACGCGGCCAACATCATCATCATCATCCATGTGATTTTTGCCTCGCCGATCGCCCTCGTGACCACGAACCTGGAGCTGGAGATGGCGCTGGGCGTCATGCCAGAGATTATTGGCAAGAAGAAGGAGCTGTTTTGGCGCCTGGTCATGCGCACGGTGACCATAGGCATCCTGCTCGGCGTCTCCATCGCGATTCCGTACTTTGGCCAGTTCATTGACCTCATTTCGGCGCTGTCCTGCACTGTTGCATTCTTCATGGTCCCTATCTTCTGCTACGTCAAGCTCATCGGCTGGCGCAACATCCCCAAGTGGGAGCTCGCTCTGTGCTTCATCCTCGTCATCATCGGCATGATCGCCTGTGTCTGGGGTCTCATTGATGCTGTCAAGGGCCTGAGGACTGCCATCCAAAATGGTCGTGGATAGGAACACGGTATGTGGGCTACCTGCTATCCTTTTCCATTTTCTCCTCACACCTTTATCAGTCTTTTTGTATTCAAGTGTAAATACAGAACTACCTATTACGTTATTCATTTAGCCACCGGCCCGAACATCGCCACCATCGAGCTGGCCGACCGGCCTACCGCTCCCTCCGCTGCATAGGCAATGATCAGGTTTCGCGGGTTCCATGCCATTGCCGTCACCAGCCCGTTGATGTGTATCGACTTGACTTTGTCGCCCGAATACACGTCATGAATCAGAATATCGGCGTCATCCGAGGCGCTCGCAACGAACTTGCTGTTCATGCTAAAGTCAATCAGCCTCAGCGGCGACTCGTACCCCTCAATGGCCTTGTACACTGATAAATCGTCGGTTCTCCAAAACTGCATCGACGAGTCCGCACCGCCAGTCGCCAGAATATCTCCGCGCGGCTCCACGCCCAGGCAGTTCAGCGACGCGACGTGCGCGGCGACAGTATGCACATGCTCCACATTTGGCCACGAATACACCTCAACTGCACCATGGTGCGTCGCCAGCAGCAGCAGCTCCTCGCGCGTATCCCACCTCACCATATGCACTGTCTCCTCGGTCTCCAAGGTCACTACCGGCGCCTCCAGGTTGGCTGCGTCAAAAATCTCTATACGCGCATCACGGCTCAAGACTGCCAGGTACTTTCCTGACGGGCTCCACACTAAGGCTGTGTTTGCCCCGCTGGTTGCTATCGACGACGCGATGCTGTTGGAGGTGCTGTCCCACAGATGCACGGTCTTTTCGAATTTGGCCGCCGCTAGGATGCCCTGCTTGCCAGGCTCCGTGCACCATGCTACATGCTCGATGTCACTGCCCAGGGTGCGGATTTCTTCGCCTTCTTTGTGCCCGCCGCGTCCCAAGCGCCATGTCCGCACGTGGCCCTTGGATTCAGCTGCTGTCAGCTGGCTGCCGTCGCTGCTCCACGACATGTCGATGACTGTGCCTCGTGTGCCATTGAGTCGGCTCTCTTTGTGATTGTCAAACGTTCTAGACATGTGCACTGGGGAAACTGGTAAGAATATTATATGGTTTATAGGTGTGCCGCAAAATCAGCTCTGGCACTTGGCCAACATTTGGAATATCCGCTTTTTGTTGAGCGTGGGCTGATATGGGTTAGAAACAGTGTTGATGACGTCACTATTCTCCTGGTCTCTTCCATGGCTGATCAAATGGCTAGTGTGGGCTAACATTGGCACACTGATATCAGATAAGCTTATATGCTCGCCTCATACAGTCCTATGACAATTTATATTGAAGAATATGTGAGAGAATAGTATTTAGGTGTCCAAATCACTTGCCTGTAGCCTTTGGCTCTGGTAATCGACCAGCGCATGTTGCATTAACATACTAACATTTGGTAATACCACTGGGATGGTGCTCATTACCTCTTCCTGATTATAGCCAGCAAATAGACTATCTAGACCAGCACTGTAGGCATCAGCTAGCAAGTCTGGCTCTATGCCAAGTTGCGGTGTGTCCTCGTCGTAGGACATTATTGCTGAAACGATGTTCTCCTCCTCCTCGTCTGCATCATCATCATCATTCCCATGGTCATTGGCATTATCACCATTACCTGCCTGGGCCAGTACTAGTGTGCCCTCGGGTCCATTTTGAATGTGTACGACCAGATTCCCACATGATGAGGAGTCGCGTCCATTTCTGGCAATGTTAGCTGGGCTAGTATTCTCCGACTGATGCTCGCCATCATCGACAGTCCACCCTGGCTGGTTATACTGGCTGGTATAATCACCTTGCCGATATGGTTCCTGTGGTGTTGGAGTCCGAGACCAAGCAAAGCCTGGCATAGCTGGGTCGTACTCAGGGACATTCGTTGCCTGCGACATTATTTGCACTGGCGGTGTGCTGCCCCTTGTAATGCCGCCCCTTACTCCGGTGACACTATAACTTTGCCCCCCACAAACCATGCTGAGTCCTGGCAGTGATTGGCGCAAGAGTACAGCTGACTGAGATGGTGGTGGGGCTAAGAGCAACTGTTGGGTAGGGTGTGCCGAGTACCACGAATGACTCAAGGCGACAGGGCCAGGGGCTGGCTGCTCTTGGTGTAGCGGGTTGGGCCTCTGTCCATAGATGAACCATTCAGCTTTAGAGAAATTGTCATCTGTAGTAGCGCCATATGTTGATTGGCACACATTGCCAGCTGCTGGAGATAGCAGCCTGTGCTCAGCCATATCACCCTCACTGATGTCCATTGTATCGCCAGTATCTTGTGGGGTATTAGTATAGGCTACTCCATGTTCGTCAACATCTATTACATACCCGGACTCAGCATTCCCCATATCGACGTCCATAGTATATGAACTGCTGAAGGATTCCGTGTCAACATCCATGAAAGTATCGGATAGCCCAGTTGCATAGTAATCGCCGGTCGCATAGAAATTTCTAGGTGCGGGGAACCCCTGCAGAGCATGGGCATTAAAATCGTCAAGCCGGTGCTCCGTAGCATTGCCAGTAACACCGGAGAGTGACTGGAGCGGAGCCAAAGCATTTGATGGCCATTGCTGCTCCAGGAAACTGACATGAGCTGGATTTCGGTGCATGGAGTTGGCGAGAATAGGATATTGGGGCTCGCTGACGTGATCTGCAACAGATGTCGGCTGAATGGGTTTGGAGATGGTTGCTGGCGGGCACGCATTATCCTGTTCAGCTAAGGTCAAGTCCTCTTGAGGTTGGTCCTCTGTGCCTGCAAAGTGGTTGCTCGATGATTCTGTCTCATTTGAGGAAGGCACATGATCTAGAACAGGCTGAGAGTTGGGTATCTTGTTCTCCCAGGGCGTCTGCATCTTATCCAAAGCTTTTTCTCCACTAGACTTCTGCCGACACAGGTCGCTATATGCAGCGGTCGGTACTATGATTGATGGATGCATATGTTTGATACGCCTGGTGTCTGCATTCCGAGCTGCCTGACCTGCGGTAGGGCCACTCTGGCTGGCAGCTTTGAGCAGAGCGTACCGCGAATCTTGCTGGTTGCATCTGCAGTAATTCTTGTTGTCAGCAGAGCCAGCTGCTGCACCAACCTCAGATGAGCGAGTGATATTACTACCAGCGGTGTCAGGTTTCTTAGTTGGCTGGTCCTGAGCTTTCGGCATGCGCAGACTATTGGTACTGCTTCTCACTGATGGTTTGGAAGCCGCTTGTGCCGTTGCTGGACCTGTTTTCTTCCAAACAACACCACCCGCTGTGATTGCTGGCCGAGCTGTGTTGCTATCGCGCAGGTCTGAGACAACTATCTGTACCTGCTCGGCATTTTCAAGGTGATGACGACAGGAGCGACTCGTAGTGCATTCTGTAATCCAGGCATCGGCTAGGTCAGCAATCTTCTTCATGGAAGAGCCCGATAGTAACACAGACTCCTTACAGACACTCTCCCCAGATGCGTGGCTGACTGCGCTGTCCATAGCTGCATTAACTGCAATTGAAGCTGATGTCGATGCCCCTTCTTCTGCTGTTGCTGTTGCTTCGGTATCCATTTCTTCTGCTGTTTTTGCTACTGCTACTGGTTCGGAGGTTCTAATGGTGTCCTCGGCTCCAACGGCTGACCCTGGCTCCTCCCACAGCTCCTGAGTAGCTGCTGAATCCATTGGTGCGTCGAGTACCTCTTTTCTGCATTTTGGCTTATACTGTGGGCAGTGCAGTGGACAACTATGCGTACACTGTAGGTGGCATATGTCACCATCTTCACTGAGCGCTGTGTATATGCGGTGCAGTTCATCAACTATGCAGGAGAGAGAGCGGGGCAAAGCTTAGTTTTGATGTTTAAAGCGCTGTATACCCAGAAGTCATTGAGCTTTCTTTCTCCTACCTGGTCCTGCCAGGAGTCGAAATACCAGTGCACTGCAGGGAACACCATCACCAACATCCTCTATGGGTGATGGGTTGAAATCTTTATCTTTATCTTTATCTTTACCTTTACACAAGATTTTATAGTCCAAAAAGTGTCCGACCGTCCGCTAGAACCTTTTAAATTGGTTAAAAGATAAAACTCGTAAACCTCAAAGCGAGTTTGAGTGACTTGTTCCGTAAACTCCTTTTTGATCTTGTGCGGCATCTGGCCTCATCGGTGAAACCAGGGTGACAAGCTGCTATTGTAGTGGTCACAGGTCTCCACTGGATATCTCCATTGGTTCAGCGCAAGAGCTGCTCTCATTGTCGGTCGACCTGATAACTTCCATGGCGTCATCATGGTGGTCATCACCAGCTGCGCAACACTCTTAGGATATTTATTTATGAGCACTTATTGAATAAGGCCATATAGCTCTTCTAGCGGTCATGCAATATTTGTAGGTTTATTTTATAAATTAATTTGTCTTATGAACATGCGTAAGCAGTAGCATTTGGGCCACAATGGACCCAGTCTGTATAGACTGATTCAAGAGACTGTATCAGTGCCAAGAGCCCCAAGAACCATGCAAGCCAGATCATTTTTAATAAAGAGTTCTTAATGCTATGCATACGCAATACAGCAAAACTGAACAGCATCATTTCTCTTCTTACTTTGCCTACCGAATTTCTCAAATGAATATTACCCGCAGCATTACTGTCATAAAGACATCACTTGGTGGTATTGGCTTCCGTGATTCTATGTTGCCCCGCCTAGAGCAATTTGTACACAGTGTCAATATCATCAAAGAGCATACATACATGCTTGCACGATGGATACTACTCCATCAGCTAGCTGACGATGATGCATTTGCCTTCAGATTGTGATATATAAATAAATAAATAAAATGAAAGAATCCCTTTTTCACAAATGTTGCAGGGTCAAAGACAGCCATATCTGCCGAGGATTTCGTCAACCGGAAGGACAAGTCAGAACTGTTAAGCGCAGATTTCGGTGATGTAGTTAGATACCATATTTATGATTATCTATTGCATAATGGCGACATCGAGCTACATGGCATACGCGACATGAATCAGGTAGCGACATACGTGGACACCAAGCTGATGACAGCATACAAGAACAAGAATATGTTGCACTATGGTACTTGCCTACAGCGGATTCTGGCCAAATTGATTGATATTCACAGCCACAAAAACACACTGCACAATACAATGGGCAATATGTCCAAGGCTGAGTTCAATAGTGCATGTCAAGTGTGTATTTATACACCTGCACAGAAGCTCCGCCAGGCAGTTGCCTCTAGGTACCCTGATCTCAGTGTGCTCACCCCACCGATGCTTGCAATCTACAACAAGCTGGCACCAGTCCTTAATGCCTATGATGCCAAGTACAGGCGGGCATATTCGTCCCGGCTCTTGAACCGCGATCTCGCAGCAGTTCTAAACTTCAGGCTCATTTTCCAGTCACTCTGTGATTCAGGCAGTATTCCTGAACGGTTCCGTCGCTTTACGGCCATTGCTGCCGATACTTCTGGCACCACCCCTGCAACAAAGAACCCGCGCAAGAGGCGTGCAGCAGCAGGCGGTTCTGTTGCCAGCAGCAGCGAGCCAGCGCTGAAGCGCCTACGCAGAACAGGCCATCAAGACAGGTGATGTCCATGACCGCCATTGCACCAACAACCATCCGATACGTTCAAATGACCGGTTCGCCGTGATGCTTTTATCGACGTGTCAACCCATGCTGACTAGCAGCCGAGCTCGCATCGCGAGCAGAGTATTTCTAGTAAGAAGAATCAAGAAAAATATGACGATGGCAAAAACACAACCACCAACGCCAGACTCGATGAGAGGTAAAAGAAAAAGTGCAAATATAAAGCGCAACAACGAATAAAGAATTTGGTAGAAAGAACCCTTATTGTTGGACCGACCATGGGTCGCTGCACTAGTGTGTGTGCGATACATAATACCAATGTGTATATTATAGCCTGTGAAGCGAAGAAGAGAGAGGTCGGGGGAGAGCTTTAGCCAGGATGCTAAACTACCCCTTTTGACAAGTCTTGGAATCTAATATCCCTGATGTTCTTTGCCCATCAACACGGAACGCTGCAGAAAAATGGACAATTTTTGTGATGAATGACCCAGGGTTGTCAAACTGCAAAGAGCTACTTTCACTACTTTCTTTGGCATGGGCGGACTCGAGACTCAACCTCATCTGAATATTGGCATGAGGTTGTTTTTCTTGCAAAACAATGGATAAGCCCGAGTCACAGCCCTGCTCAGACAAGACGCCTGTGTGGTATGTCTGTACATCGTTTACGTTGTTAGATATGCTTCATTACAACAAAACAGGCGACCCACATAAACAAAGCCATGATCTGACCGGATTCCCATGGCATCGCTGCTTGTAGAGTGCAGGTACATAAAAGACACTGTTGTCAGGGACAATATGATGTTAGTTATATGAACACAGCTCACGACTATAGTTCGGCAAAGTGTGCTGCTAACACACTATCTCTTGGTTGCATGTGCAAGGCGACAGTGCGATGTTGATTAGCCAATACGTGATCAGGTGTTGGGCTGAATAATATACAGAATTTATTGAATCATATATGTATCAACATTGCTGGCGTTGTTTACAGCTTTATGTACAGCTCGCCTCCTATTCAGCACTAGAATGTTTAAGCCACACCCACCGAAACGCAGGCCAAAACCACAGGAACCAGCATCTTGTGAAAGCAAACGACAGCGGACCAACAGGCAGTCCCCAGTATTAGAGGAAGCCACCCAGACTCGAAACCTACTCGCCTGCAGCGAATGCGGATCAGAAGAAATCATCGATAACGACAGCGAAACATACTGTGGAGAGTGCGGCACAGTAATAGATGACCTGCTGCTGACTGCTGACTACTCGTATGAAGCTACCGGCGAGCAGATCAGTCGAGGAAATTATGTATTTCTTCCGCGAGTCATTGGCGATAGCGGTGAAGCCAAAGACCGACTGAGCAAGTATATCAACAAGGTCAACATGTCGTTAGTGCGCGGACGCATTGCCCAATTGTCAGCACTGCTCGGCTTGCCTGGTCTGGAGGACCGTGCCAAGCATCTGTTTGAGGATACAGCGGCCATTCTGGCGAACAGGGCGGAGAGCAGGATATTTGGGAAATTCGGCCATGTTTATGCAGCAGCATGTGTGTATATTGCGGGCGTAGAAGACGGCCGGCCGTTGACGCTAGTTGATTTGGCAGCCCATGCACACCTGAGCGTTTATGTGATCGGCCGGGCAGTGAAGCAAGTGTGTACGATGCTAAAGCTAGCACTGAGTTTGAAAGACCCGCTGCTGCTGATTGAGCGAACGGCCAATCGGCTGTTTGGCCAAGTCATTCACTCTGGTGCCAATCCCGACACCCTGCGCACTCTCGAGGCACAGATTTCTGTCAACTACAAGGTGGCCAAGGAGTTTCCTCGCGCTATAGTGGAATTCCTTTCCACACACGGGCAGCTGCGACCCAAGATTATCGAGATATCGGGCCAGGTCATGAATTTTGCTCGATCATGTTCGCTGGATACGGGATGCAACCCAGCAGCTATTGCTAGTGCTGCGGTAGTGATCGGTGTTGAGCATGCGTACCTGACGGACGATGAAACTGAGGTACCAGATTTGAAACGTGCCCAGCGCGACGTAATCAGCAAGCTGCTGGCAGCTACCAGCGGAGGCAGCCACCACACAACTAGCAAGCATGTCCTAGCCATTCAGCGGTCGCTAGTCCCGGCCAGCCAAACGGTGCCATGGTTGGGCGACCTGAAAATTACTACCGATACAGCTGCACTGCATGTTGCCGACATCGTGTCATGCTTCCAGAGAGCACAGGCGTGGGTGTTTTCTACAGCCAATGTAAACGGAGATGAGCGACAAGATTTTTCACTGGTCGCTGCAGATATGAGGCCAGCGACCAACGCTGGAGATGAAAGCGACGATAGCAGGCGTCTATCAGGGCCACCACTCGAGTTGGATAAATTAATCGCCGAAATGCGAAAGGCGCCTTCATTTAAACGTGCCGAGCAAACGCGCAATAAACGCGAAGCAGTGCTGGGTGCCCTGGGCGATAATGCTGAACTTCCAGGCAGCATTTCTGCTGAGGACTTTGCCATTGCTAGTCTTGCTAGGCAAGGAATTAATCGTGAAGCACTGCTGTCATTGCCTTTGTCCACATTGGAGTTGCTATCGTCCTCGATTCAGCGACAGGCAGATATTGGTGGGCAGGCACTCGATTCTGTGGATGTTGGGCCGAACGATATGCCCGATGAAGAGCTGTGCCTATATCTAAAATCCCACGATAAGGAGCAGCCGTAGACATTGGTAAATCGCTTCGTGCACTTTTCAGCAGCCATATTGATACTACGTTTTCCAAACCCTTGATGCTTGTCGCTCATATATAGGCGTAGGCTGGATTAATTGAGGTGAAACAACCTCAACTACTTCACCCAAGGATAGTGGCCCCATTGATTTGTGTATTGGACCTTGCACAGTGAAATGAATTCTCAATAGCACAGTCACAAACGAACAAATATATATAACTCTATTCAGCATGTAATCACAGTCGAGTGGTGGTCATTGTAGCAGCTTTTCATAGCAACGGTACTGTAATATAAAGCCAGCAACCACCCTAGCAACAGTGACCATATTAACTGACTCCTTCATCAATCTCTGCTTCCACCAGCACTCTGCCATACGCAGTACATTCCAAATGAGATTCCCAGTCTACTTCTTCTTCGTTGCCGTTGCATTCTTTGGCGTTGTCGCTCAGGCCATACCAGCCACTCCTAGTGCCCTGCCGCCATCACAGAGTCGGGCCAGGGTTACTATCGGGCAGGTCGTATCGGAGTTTGTCATTGGTATGGCACAGGTCCTGGAAGCGACTATTGAAGATTATTTGCCTCCTTTTCTAGTCAACATGTTCGACCCAGGATATTATGGACCAGCACAGCCGACAACCCTCGCTGCTCCATCTCCTCATTAAAACCACTAAACTCTAGATACCGGGTGACAGCGAGGGTGCAAGTGGGGGCGCTTAGGCTACTTCCATGTCGAAGCAGACAGCGATATGTGATCAAGAAAAGCAGCTCGGCTCATCGAGAAAACGAGGGTGGCACTTGATGAGCTGGCACGCTCAGTTTCGTTTTTGCACTCTCTTCGCTTCGAGCTTTCTCTTCCTGCCTCATAAAATACACTTCTTGCCAACCACTTCAATGGACGCATTTGTCGCGCATCTAGTACATAATGGCGAGCAGACGAGCGGCACGGACCAGCAGCTGCTGGCAGGAGCTATAAGTCTAGAAACGGCACAGCAGCTAGCCAAGACCCTGTCGTCGCGGTTGGATTCGGGCAAAGAGAAAATTCGTGCGCATTTGCACCAAAATTACGACACATACCTGAAGACAGTCACTGAAGCTAGTGAGACGCAAGCAAAGGTCTCTGAGCTGCTCTGCGGCATCGATGAGCTGGAACTAAGCTTTGGCGACGAGGAAACTGGAATCCGTACGCGCCTGCTCGGGGCCATCGACAAGCAGACACGGGCTGAGCAGCAGCTCAACGAGAACCAGACAGTGCTGGAGTGCCTGCGCGCATTGGCAAGCATCAATGGGCATGTACACATACTGGACTCGCTGATAAAAAGCAACGACTATCTGGAGGCAGCCCGGGTAATTAAGGAGATTGGACATATGCTGGACGAGACAGAGGCCATAGAAGGGACAAGGATCAAGAATGCGCTGTTGGAGAGGGTGGAGCTAGCGCAGCTTAATGTCAGAGAAAATGCGTTTAAGGCTGCACGCAAACTGTTGGAGATCAGCGTCGACAAAGAAAGTGCTGCGATTCGGGTCTCTGGAATCGACGGACGGGAACCCGGAGACCTAGTGAAGGGTTTGTTTGGTGCTTTGGAGATATTAGATGCAGCTAGCGAGCTGCGTGAAGCTATCGGAGAACACTTTATCAAGTCATTTGTGCGGCCAGTTCTTTCGGTGCAGTCGGCATCGGTAGCAGACAGCAGCCACAGCGAGCTGCCAGAAGCAGCCTTTGTCGCTGACCTCGATGACACAGGCAAAAAGAGTTCGACAGCAGCGGAGCTCTGTGGTGTAGTGACCGGAGCGATATCTTTCATCAACAAGGCATTCGGGGTCGACAGTAACCTGGCACTGTGGGACAACCAGTGCGGCATCGATATCTGCAGCCTTGTGATTGAGCGGTGCTTCCTCAATACCATTCCTACCAAGCGGTGTGACTTGGCACAGTTCAGCACTGTCACCGACTCGTTGGTAGGATCTGAGAAGCAGCTTGCTGAGCTGAGACTGCTGGGTGACGAAAGCCGCCCGATATCTTTGGCAGTGGGCCGGCTTGATGAGATATATGCAACTCGGCGCTGCGGCGCGGCGCTAGAGCTGGCACGGACTCTGGCAGAGAGTTCCAAATTCGCCATCCACGAGCTGAGCCAGCACGAGATTTGGTCTGCAGACTTTGTCCAGGCGCTAGTCGATGATTCTGACTGCGAAGTTGCACCGCGGCTTGCTGATGCGGCAGGCAAGATTGGCTCTGGGCATGTGTTCCCAAAGTGCACAATCTCTCAGACCATGAGCCAGCTGGTTGCAGAGGCCTACAGGCTTGTGAACGAGGCAGCCCAGACCCGGCCAATGGCTGACGCAGCTGTAGTGCAGTACTGTTTGGCAGCCTGCAACCTATTCGATCTGTATCGCCTGCTCTACCCTGTCCTTCATCGGGCTGAGCTATCGAAGATCCCCTCATTGGCGTGGCAGTTTTTCAGCGACTGCATGTACGCGTCGCACCACGCGCGGATCCTACAGCGCTTTACAAAAGAGCTGTTCGGTGATAGTGTCGGTGATGTGCTGCCGCTGTGGCAGACTACGTCCACCCTGTACTTTGACGTCGGCAACGCGCAGATTTCGGCGCTAGTGCAGCGTGAGACAAAGGAGATCCGGTCGATGGTGGATGCCAACAAAGACGGGTTCTTGAATGCCTCGGATGAGCTGCAGAAAGGAAAACTCGAGAGAATGGCTAAGCAGGTCAGGCTAGTCGTCACACAGCTTGCCAAGGGCATGCGGCCGCCAGTGACCACGCCTCACATATTCTACAGCACACTTGGCCGTTTTGTTGATGCTGCTTTTGGCGAGATTATCGACAACATTGTCGATATTCGTGATATCGGAGTCGACGACTCGCAGGTGCTCAGCGACCATTGCCGCACAATCTATGCTCTGACAGGCCTGTTCCAGCTTGATTCCACGGTCCTGAGCCAGTATGCCGACATTGCTAAATCCGAGGCGCCAGCAGAGCATGACGAGCTGCTTGATTCTGACGATGAGGCGGACGATCCGGTGGACGGCAGCTCGAGCAGCGCCAAGATTGCGCTAGAGCACTGCATGCTGGGCAACAAACTGCTGCAGCTAGCAGATATTCTGCTTATCTCGCGCGCTGACATTCTCGCGCGGCGGCGAGCCGGGCTGCTGGCGCAGTTCGCCGTTGACGACCTGGTGAATCTGATCCGCGCCCTGTTTTCGGAAACGCCCGAGCGCGCCCAGGATATCGAGGCCATCAGGAACATGTAGAAGGTATCGATAGAGATTGAATTACGTACGAAACAAATCGAGGCATAAGCAAGCTAGTGTGTGGTTGAGATAAAGTATGTTTACTTGTTCTCGTGGCGATAGAGCGCCTCCTGGGTGACCTGGATCTCGTCAATCTCGGGCGCCAGGTCGCTGAGCAGCGAGGCTGCGGCCTTGTGGTACTCCAGCTGCGCGTTCACCAGTTCCGACAGGTAGCGCAGGGGCTCAGGCGACCCGACCACCGCCCGCATCAGGTTCATGGCTTCCTCAACGATGGTCACGAAGCGGTCCTCGGCGGATTCGACATCTCTGCGAGCCTACTCAAGTGCACACGTGGTTGATATGAGTACGCAGCTCAAGCATGGCGGGAAACGGCACAATACACCAGGACATGCTACTTACCGCATCAGCCCGGCTAGGCACGGAGTTCTTGAACGTCGATTTTGCAGCGTCCAGAGTCAGGCGGGCAGCCTGCACCTCCTTGCGCGCGTTCTACATAAAATGATGAGGAAAAACATAAGCATATGACGAAGCCTACAGCAGCACGAGACCTCATCACTGGACCACAAACTCACCTGCGCCAAGGCAATGCTCGACTCGATAGTGGCCATCATAGGCGCAACAAACTTGTCCTGGATCGTCTTGTCCTGGGCCAGCTTCCCGTCGCCAACCTTCTCTTCAATCGAGCCGAACTTGAACAGCGCTGCGCCCAGAGGCTCCTCCAGACCAACCTTCTCCGACACCTCCAGGGCCGTGCGCGCCATCGCATGCTGGTGCGTGTTGGGCGTCTGGTCCTCCTTCTTTGCCGCCGCCGCCGCTACGCTCTCAGCGTCATTCTTGGCGCCAATCTTCACAGTCAGGTTCGCCAGCTGGTTCTGCAGAGTCTGCACGTCGTAGTGCGTGGGCGCGGCAGTGTAGGATTTGGCCAGCTTTACGAGCGACTGCGTCGCATGGCGCACAGCCTCGTAGCGCTGCTCCAGCTGGACATAGTCGTTGGGCAGGCTGGTGACCTCGGCGTTGTTGGCCAGCTTCTCAGTCGCAAGCTACAGAGGGGTGTTTAGCCACAGGCGTGAGGACCGTTGCTGGGCCTGGGGGTCTACCGGAACTTACCTGCTTGTACTGCGTGAAGCTCTTGCCAACCTTGTCGGCGAACGGCGTCCAGTTGGTGCTGACCGACTGCGTGAACTTGTTGAACGACTCCATTGTGCTGGAAATTGATTTGAAGTAATTGCTGAGGAAAAGAGTGGAGAATGGCCAAGATTGCTCGCAAGCTTTGACAATAAGCTGAAGAATTATGCAGTCGACATCACTGCCTCACTTCTGTGCAACGTGGAATGGTGCCATAACCACCGACTGGCATTGAAAAACGCCTGCGGCTCGCAGTCGAGGGACCGGCTTTTGTGAGCCGGCTCTCCATATACCGCTTATTTTTATTCCCAAGAATGGACTCACAGAACGAACAGCGCCGCGAGTTCCTGTACAGCAACCTGAGCAAGCAGCTGGCCCGACTCAACACAAACTTTGAGGCGCTGAACAAGAACATCTCGACCATGCGCAACCAGGCAGAGCTGACGCAGCGGCTGACCGTTTCTCAGGCGGCGATGTTCATGGGCGCCAAAGATGTATTTATCCAGGCACCTGCGAGCAGCTCCCCCGAGAACCAGTGAGCTTAGCCACTCATATATGTATCTGTTAATATATCCCTTCCATTCTTGAACCGCCCACTGCAGTTGGGCATTAGGGCTCTGCTGCTGTGGATCGCAGAAACGGAATGGCCAGTAGCAGGAGCCCCAAGGGGACCTACTGGGTGTTGGCCATGGCCCCAGATTTGGCCATGGAGCCGTAAGCGCTACTGCGCCAAAGAGTGTCTGGGGGATTAAGGTTATTTGAATCAACTAATTGTCCACTGGCGCGCCACGGCTGGAACCAGGCAAGGGCAGTGACTCGATGCCATTGGCTGCAATTGTTTACGCAAAACAGCCAGCATTGATCTCTTCCATGGCTACCCAAGGGCTGATCAATGGCCTTTGGGCACTCGAGCCAAGCGGTTCCGTAAACAAGGCATCGGAGGTGGCTCATGTCTGTCTCGTAGCCTGGACTTTTCCTCCCTCCCTTCCTCTCCCTCTCTGTGCTCTCTATCCTTTTATCCCCACTCCCAGCTACTCTCAATTCAGCAGAAAAATATTTCCTTTGGGTCTTTTCAATTTACATGCTCGATTTGCCTCTTTCCAGCTAGTCTCTCTTGTCTCTTCCTTATTGTTTCTTGTTTACTTCTAGCCTAGACTTCCCGACATACTGGCGTGTGGGGTGCACGTTTGAAATTTGCTTAAATCACATTATTATTATCTTCACACACATACATCGCATCGTTCGCACCAATGTTCCAAAACAAGGTATGTCTATTTCCAAGCTAATAGTTTGGATTCTACGCGGAAATCGGCCCACGGAAACTAGCAAATTTGCGTAATTGCGTGCAACACTAACCATTGACCTAACAATACCCACTATCATAGAGCTCGACGATGTCGCTGCGTTCGCGCATCCCGACCCGCCGGGCAGCAGCTGGCGCCGGCAACGAGAACAGACTTGCTGGCGGCATGTCTGCGGCGCACGCTACAGGTAAGCACACCGAGGCGACCAAGGCGAGCTTGCGGCCCCGTGCGGCGTCAACAATCGGCGCTGCATCGGGAAAGAGCCTGCATGCAGCTCAGGCCAAACCTCTCAACGGAAAACCGACGGCGAGTGGCGCGCTCGTTCGCTCGCGTAGCGCTCTTGGAGAAGTTAGCAGCAGTGCAAAGGTATGTGTTTACTTTTTTCCTTGCCCACCGTGCCTGCTACTACGCGCATCATAACAGCAGTACCTTTTCGTGTACATGTGGGAGGGCCATTTTATCGTAAACAGATGGTCTATGCCTGCGGCTGATTTCTTAATATTTTTCTGATGCTGTATATTCCTTGGTAGGCCCTTGATAACACCACGACAAAGATTGTGAAGCCTGGAGAAATTGCTGCCCGCCTGCATACCCTGCGCACATCTACCCGGCTGGCTCGTCCCCGGACAGTCTAGCCTGCCCAAGCCGCCACTGGGCAACGGTCCGCGTGTGCGGCAGGGTGGTGGCCCCATGCGGCCCTCGACTGCTGCCCCGCGGCCCTCGTCGATTGTGGGGGCGCGCCCAATAAGCAAGCCTGTCGGAACATCCAACTCGCGGCGGCTGCGCACCACCAGCTCATCGTCACTTGATGACGGACTGCCCAGCAAGCGGGTCAAGACTGATGAGGCTACACGGAACCTGGTGCCATCGGCGAGTTCTCTCTTGGGCAAGCATGGTCGCAGTGGAGTGCGCACTACCGGTCATCATGTTGCAGCAGCGACCAAGTTGATCGAGCGGGCACATTCAGAGACATATGAGGAAATTGAGGAGCTCGAGCTGGAGCCGGAGCGCGCGCGCAAAATCGGTAACTACGGTCAGCAGTACCACCGCCGCACGTACTCGTCGGATGCAGAGATGGAGTCGGTGGCTACGACTGTTAACAGCAGCTCAGCGAGCCACTCGGATGTGGAGACGTCCAGCGTCCAGAGCGCTGCGACCAAGACAGCCTCGCCGGCAGGTCGATGCCTAGCCTGACGGATCTCAAGTTTGTCGATGAAGACGCTATCGACTATGCGCTGGTGCACACGGGTGAGCTGAACGAGCAGCCGATAACAATGGAGGAGATCAATGGGTTTGAGGCTGATGTCGATCCGCATGACACCTCGCTGATTCCCGAGTACGGCGACGACATCTTCGGATATATGCGCGAGCTCGAGGTCAAGCTGATGCCCGACCCCAACTACATGGACCGCCAGCACGCGCTGTCGTGGTCGATGCGCTCGATTCTCATCGACTGGCTGGTGCAGGTGCACGAGCGCTTCAATCTGCTGCCCGAGTCCCTCTGTCTGAGCATCAACCTCATCGACCGCTTCCTGTCTACCAAGGAGGTGACGGTCAACCGCCTGCAGCTGGTTGGCGCCGTGAGCCTTTTGCTGGCTGCCAAGTATGAGGAGACGCGGGTGCCGAGCATCTCCGACATTATATTTATGGTCGAGAATACCTACTCGGCAGATGAGATTAAGAAGGCCGAGCGCTACCTTCTGCGCACCCTCAACTTTGACCTCGGATGGCCTGGTCCTCTGTCGTACCTGCGGCGCATCTCCAAGGCTAACGACTACGACGCGGCTACGCGCACTCTGGCCAAGTACCTGGTCGAGGTTACACTGATTGACGAGCGGTTCATCGGGGTCCCGTCTTCAAAGGTTGCCGCTGTTGCGCACTACCTGTCCATGCGCTTCCTGGGCCAAACGGACTGGTCGCGGGCGCACGTCTTTTTACGCGGGCTACTTCGAGTCCGAGCTGCTGCCGCTGGCGCAGATCCTGGTCGACCTTCCTAATGCACCCGCGGCGACACAGGTCGATTTATGAAAAGTACAGCGAGCGGCGGTATATGCACGCGTCGTCGTTCGTGTACCAGTGGTTCACACTGCACGAGCCCGACACGCTGCTCGTGCCACTGAGGACTGACCTCAAGCCTTCGAAGCCCCAGCCTGGGGACAAGAAGTCCAAGTGAGGTCATGCGCCCGGACACGCCGCAGCCCTAAAAAGGCAGCGACAGCCTCGCTTTGTAACTATTCTTTTCTTTCTTTTGCTTCAAAATTCCATTCACTTTTAAATCTCCCTCCGCAAATACTCGTATTGGCAGCAACACAAAAAACCGAAAATACAACTGCCTTCATTAGAGACAGCGATGTGTATATCATAACACGCTTGTTGTGTAGTCAGCTGCTTCAGCTGATCAGTCCTTTATCGGGTAGGTTCAATTTCCACTCTCATAGCTGGGTTGATGTATAAAAGAACCAATTTAAGCACTCTTCACATAAAAGCTTTAGTTATCACAATACTGGGCATATCTACTAGTGGTGGTGGCTTGTAATCGTGATGGCCATGATGTCCGTGGCCATGAGTGCGAGTAGGGGTAGGAGTGGGAGTGGGCTCAACAGACTCGACCGAATCCATCGACCATCCATCAACATTCTGGGAAATAGTACAGGTGGCCATTACGTGCAGCAACATCATCGATGCCAGCCCTATAAATGATATTGTTAAACAAAGGCGAAGGCAGCGCAGTGACCAAGGCATCAACAAGCGGCTTGTTATATGTCTCCGTAATCGCTGTCCCATGGATAACCGAGGTAACCCTTTTGTAAATAGAGGGAGCACCCGCTTGGAGAAGAGGCATGTCTTCGTTTACAATACTAGTCACCGCCGGCCAGTGCTCAGAGATTTCTGAATACGCCTCAGGGGCATCAATGATAGGCGTAGGGAGCCACACAAAGCTTGATTGCGCACTGCTTTTCATCGGGAGTGCCAGTAGGCGTGTTCTGTGGGAAGTTGTGGTTGGAGACTGTGACGCCTGAGACGCCGGCACGGGTCAGGACATTGTTCATCATGGCGTCGGGCATGGACATAGGCAATCGCCATGACAAAGGTAGGCTCGTACGTCTGAGTGATCGCTGGGCCACGGAAGATGCGATGTCAGGCGGGCATAGATTGATGGCTGGCCAGCTTGGAGGATTGGCATGTCGCCATTGATAACACTGGTGTAGCCGTTCCAGTGAGACGAGACTGAATTCAATGCGTCTAGCTCAGCAGCCAGCGAGCGTAGCCAGGGCAGCGACGATGGAGGCAGAGACGAATTTCATGGCTGTTCTTATGGTGCGTTGAGAGGTAACTCTAGTGAAGCAGACAAAGTAGGATTATTCTTGGTGTCTTGAGTTGTGGATAGTAGAATAAACCAGCCGTGTATGGCTGAGTATCCTGGCTATTTATATGCACACCCACAGTGTGGCACTGTCTTTCACTGGCATGTGTATTAACGGAGAATGAGCTTCAACAATCGGATTTGTTCCTTTTTCACACGTTGCCTGGCCATTTTTTTTGGATTATCACACGTTCCGTGCTGAATGTTCGAACTCGGAGTCCCGCAGCACTGGCTGGCTATGTCCTTGAGGAAACTGAAAGCTGATCTCCAATCACTCATGCACAACAGGAAATCAAGACAGGTACTGGCACTACACCTGGCCACATTTCATTCTCATCTCTTTTAGCAAAGTTTTGGCATACATAACTGCCACACCAATCAGCACGAATTTCACTCGCGGGATTCAGCAAACATCTAGTAGTTGGATTATCGGCAGAGATGCAGTATGTCTGGCATTCTGCAGCGTCTGTCTTGGCGCAGATTCGAGATATAATCCTGAATAATGCTTGTTTCTGGCCAGAAGGGCATGCTAAGTTTCAACCGACACCATATCAAACCCTGGTTAGTTGGAAGCAGACCGTTGCTGCAGCCCAGGTAGAAAGGCAGTGTGTTGGGCAGGACAGCAGTAGAGTTATACATGTTTCCAAAGACCTTCAAATGGCTTGCTAGTGGTAGCAAGCGGTATGCAGTTCTTGGTTCACACACACCAGCGATGGCTATTGCTCATGGTCATGCTGCCAAGCTTGCAGGATTTTCAATCAAGTGTGGCAATGAGGAAATCAATGCATGAATTGACAGCCACATAGCTCGTGATAAGTGCCCGAATAATTTGTGAAGAGCAACATCTTGGCGTATGCGCATATCGTATCATTGCCAAGAAACCAGCATATCTCTGGGCGTGAAGCCACTTCGCTGGTTTCCAGAAAAGCGAGTGAATTTATTCCACAACTCGCTCTGCTTTGGCGTAAAATCAACAGCTGTCTCTAGAACGCTACATTATCACGCACCTTTTCCATGGCTTGTTCTTGACAACTAGTTCTTGGCAATGATGATCACGGATATCCGAAATGGGGGACACGGCATATATACAGGCCAAGAAATGCAAATGTGGCGATGAATTAACAAGGATTATTACAAAGGGGTAGGCATGGGAAAGGCACGTGGTCCTTGTCGGGTTCGAAACCACAGCTGCCTTCAGTAAAGCGACAGGTGCGCCTAATTGCGAGTGGCTACATTGACTGTGTTTTGTGTGTTGTATTCGAGTCAGACACGGAAATACGGACTGGTCATTAACTAATGGATTCGGCGTTAAAGGTCGTTAAATAATGTCCACTTTGCCACGCAAAACTCACTCACTGCATGATTGCGGTCGGTGTGGCAGTCGGTGTAGCAGCCGGCGTGGCAGTCGGTGCAGAGCTAGTGGGACCAGGCGTAGGGGTCGGCACAGATGCAGGTGCAGACGAGGGTGCCATTGTAGGCGAGCCTCCAACAAAGCTGTGGTTGCTGACGGTGACGCCAGTGATTTGCGCACGCATCAGCATATTGTTAATCAGTGGGTCGGGCATCGCGTTGGCCATCTGCACAACCACAGTCTCCGCGTACGTCGGCGGAATCGTGGTTGCATGGAAAATCTGCGTCAGACTGCTGTAGATGGTTGGCCTTGGGGCGTTGCTGAGCCAGGGCATGGCGTTGTTGACTACGCTTGCAAAGTCGTTCCAGTGGGCAGAGATAGAGTTCAGCGCATCCTGTTGCGCAGTGGCGGTGAGGGCGAGTGTGGTGAGGGCGAAGGCAGATGTGAACTTCATGATTTCTAATAGGTCGTTATGCAAAGAGGAAGATGCTGATCGAGAGGAATGGATGAGAGAAAGGAGAGTTGGCGGACGCTGGAGCTGAGCGCGTTGGAGCGAACCCCCCTGCTTATAGCGGCATTTTTGTGTGTTCTGATCTTCGCTCTCGCCGTTTAAAGGGAAGCAAAAATGGGCTACAGTGGAGACCGCTATAGGATGCTGGCGGTTTATTGACGGTCCCGACTCCGCTCTTTAATCCATAAATAGCGGCTATAAATAATCTTGCACGAATCCTCGTGCATGAAGTGACGTCTGCAAAGAGATTTTTTATAGTCGTCGCCAGAAAGCCAAACAAACAATCCTGCACCTGGACTCCCAGCAGAGCGCCTTGGCAGAGAAAAGAATGCTCACCTCAGCACCCCTTTTGCGACGAGCGGTATAGGTAAACTACAGACGGAACTGTATTGGCAGGTGGCCACATGCACGCCTCTGTGCTCCATACCATAAAAAGCCAGGGAAGCGGCAGCAGCTATGCCAGATCACAGGCTTGATTGCAGGCAGTTGGGCTCAGTGCTGCCGGATTATAGCAGCCAATAGGTGCACACCAGCACACTGCCACGTGATGTGGTATTGGACCATCACATCTAGCACAGGTGCGCTAGCGTCAACTGCCGCCTACCACTTCTTCCTTTCTGGCTATTGCATTTCTTGCTCAGCTACTCTTGTACTTTTTCTCTTTCATTTACCAAATGGGCAGGCTTGTGGCATTGTCTTTCGCCGTTCTAGCGGTGCATGGTGTCGGCGGCATGGGCGGCCCGTCGTCGTTCAACCCGGGGTTTCTCATGGAAGACCTGCTGTCATACCCGCAGTACGAAATAAACTTTTTGGAAGACCTGTTGCCTGCGTCACAGCTGCAAAACGCCATCGATAGGACGCGGCAAAATAACGAACGGTTGAAGGGCCCCCATGCAAACGATGTCGCTGACAAGGCGCCTGACACGGACATAATCTACGAGCCGATCGTGCTGAAGGCAACCAAGAAATGGAAGTTCCTGTGTCGGGTCCCACAGGTGGATTCAGAGAAGGTGCGGATGGAGGAGCGGGAGCGCGAGGATACAGCTGTGCCTACAGGCGTTGATGCGCGGGAAGTTGAGCGACAATCGATTGAACGCGGATTGCAGCTGCTGGAGCCAATGAAGCCTGGGTGTCTGACATACGTCGAGGGTTGGTGGACATTCGAGTACTGCCATGATCGGTCGGTCAGCCAGTTCCATCGGATCGAGCAGGCGGAGCCAGACGAGTACGAGTTGATCAAGTATCGGCTGGGCGATCCGAGCCAGCGCAAGCCATTGGGGCTGCCTGAGGTGCCAAATGGGCAGACACTGGACGGCGAGACCGAGGATACGCGGACAACGCAAGTGAAAGCGAGTGGGGCGGAAACAGTTCTTGACGCAGACATGGGGCGGAGGCAGTGTTTGCGAGATTACGAGACGGCCCAGGGAAATTGAGGTGCAGTTCCACTGCGATCCGAACATGCCTGAGCGCATTTCGCACATTAAGGAGACATCGACGTGCCAGTACTTCATGGTGGTGACGACGCCGCGGCTGTGCGAGGATGCGAGCTTTTTTGACCCGGCAGGCATCGACAGTATATAACATCACTTGCCAGCAGGTCGTAGGCGACAAGGAGTACCACGAGATCATTGCTCAGAAGGCATCGCTGCCTGAGGCGGTCGAGGAGCAGCAGCACCCGGTAGAACAGGCACCCAAGGACCCGGAACACGGCTCAAAGGAGAGTGCAGGGGAGAAGGAGGAGAGTGGTCCCGCCACAGCTGACGCCAAAGCCACGGCCAAGCCAAAGAAAATGCGGAAGAAGACTGCGAAGAAAGCAGCAGCGGAGCCAGAACTCATCACGATCGACCTGTCTGACCCCGAACAAGTGCAGCTGATGAGGGAGCGCGATGAGGAAGTCCGCCAAATCCTGGCGCAGCTGCTTGGGGACGAGACTCTGCAGAAGCTTCTGCCCAAGACATTTGAAGAATCATCCAACCGAAAGCAGCTGACACAGGATCTGGAGAAGGACGCGGACGCAGACGAGGGCGGAATTCCACAACAGAAGCGGGCGCCTGAGGCTGTGCGCAGGCACGACGAATTGTAGGGCAATCCTTGTCAACTGTGGTCAGATTTTCTAATGCGAATATTCGTGGTTTCCAAATTTGGCCGGTGTCACTTTCCGCGTTGCTGGAGTGCTGATTTCCTGTTGAAAAATATTGCAATAATTGCCCAAACGAAGCGATTTGTGTGCCCCAGCCGCGGCTCTGGGGCAGGCTTAAAAGACGGTGTAGCTTGAACTCTTCTCGAAAGCCGAGAAACCCGTCTAACCCTCGCTTCATTTATATTTTTCTTCTAGATATCTTTTTCTACACAGGAAACTATGCGTAAGCTATTTTTACTCCTTGCCCTTATCTGCCTTCTTCTGACCACTGCTCAAGCCAAGGGCGGAGGTGGTGGTGGAAAGGGCGGTGGCGGAGGTGGTGGTGGAAAGGGTGGTGGCGGCGGTGGTAGCAAGGGCGGTGGTAGCAGTAGTGGTAGCAAGGGCAGTGGTGGTAGCTCTAGCAGCAGTAAAGGCATCGCCGGTGGCGGTGGCTCCTCCGGCAAGGGCTCTGGCGCATATGGTGACAAACCACCCAGCTACGCGTCTCTCTACCCAAATGCTCCGCCCGGCTACAGTGCCGGCGGACGTGGAATCGGTGCTGGCGACGCATCCCGGCCGTATACTCCTCCGCCATCGTATGCAGCCTCAGCCAACTATGCTTCAGTGAACCGCGGTCAGACAGTCCAGCCACAGTCCATCAAGGGTGGCGCGCCGTCAGTGTACTATGCGGCGGCGTCCAGGAGCTCGTATCCGGGAGCATGGGGATACGGCTATTATCCTATCTATCCCTACCCGTGGTGGGCATACGGTGCCGGTGGGTTTATTGGCGCATCGTATGTGAGCCACTCTTACAACCACGGTGTGCACAACTACAAGAGCGAGTTCCGCAACATGACCGTGGTCAATGCCACAAACACGCCTTTGGTTGGCGACCAGGACATCTTCAACAACGGCCACAACATTACGTTCGTGGACTTCAACAACGGCACCATCAGCATTGCTCCTTGCGGCAATTCCTCGAGCACATCACTCGATGTTTCTTCCTCGGACTGCGACGTGATCCTGCTGGACCTACGGAATGGAACGGTACTGCGCGGCAATGCAAAGACCAGCGTGGAGAAGGACATTACGTTCTTTACGCTGAACCTCGGCAGCAAAAGCACTGTGCTGCGGACGCAGACGATTTCGAGCACGCAAAAGAAGAGCCGCGGCGGTGTCATTGCCGGCATCGTCATTGGATCCATTGCGGGATTTGCGCTTATCGTCGGCCTCGTGTGGTGGGCTGTCAGGCGGAACAAGAAGAAGAAGGCTGCTGCGGCTGTTGCTGCCAACCTGGGCACTGTTCAATATTAATATTTCTCTATTCCATTTATTATTTGCGATTCTGTTAATGTATTCCCAACTATCTATCTCAGAACGAAATCACCAGGTGGTCGCCCCTGTCCTCAATCCTGACGTTTGCAAAGTCCTGGATCACATACTTCGCACCGGCGTCCTTCAGTGCCTGCTCAGGCGTCGACGTCAGCACTCCCACGACTGTAGCGCCTGCGGCATGCCCGGCCTTGGTGCCATTAACGGCGTCCTCAAACACCAATGCCTCGCTCGGCTCAATGCCCAGTACCCTGGCGCCCATCTGGTAGCATTGCGGATTGGGCTTTCCCCTGGCGACGTTCTTTGCAGAGACCATCTCGGCAGGCACAGGCAAGTCCACCTGTCCCAATCGGCACAGCGCCAGGTCCTCGGTGGCAGCGGTCACAATGGTCCATTTCTTCGGGTCCAGAGATGCTAGCAGCTGAGGAACCCCCGGCACAGCGAAAACACCGTCGGCGTCGTGCATGATCTCCGATTCAAAGAGCCTGGCGCCCTCGGGGTTGTGGAACTCTGCAGGGAACCAGGTCTTGAGAACATCTAGAGTAGGGAAGCCATGAATGCGGCTCAAAAGCTCGTCGGCGTTGATGTTGTATTGGACGGCCTTGCGGCGCCAAAAGCGCTCGACGCAGTCAATGGTGTTGACCAGCGTGCCATCCATGTCGAACAGGATGCCCTTTGCGATGATTTCGACCATGATGAGCTATAGTTAAGTGTGTATTGCTTGACGTAAAGAAGAGAGAAAGGTGGGCTCGAGGATCGTGGCCCAGCCGCATCTGAATTATATCGCGAGTGTTTCCGGAGTGGGGACAAAAACAGCAACCAGGAGCTGCTGTGCTACGCGGCATTCAGCTGAGAGAAGATCGCCTGAGCTCGTGCTGAAATTTGTCAGCATACGTGGCACTTTCATTCCCTGAGAACAATGGACAAATGCGTTGTGTGATCTGTGATGTCTACTTTCGTAAAATCATCGACGATGTGCTGGGCGCCGGCCTCCGCCAGCCTCTCTCGTGTCGTCGATGTTGTCAGCGCAATCACCGTGGCACCCGCTGCAAGCGCTGCCTTGACGCCATTGACAGCATCCTCAAACACCACAACGTCCTTTCCCTCCAGCCCCAGCGCTTTGGAACCGGCCAGGTACCCCTCGGGGTGGGGCTTCCCCTTGGTTACATCATCAGCAGCTATCAGAAGCTTGGGTTCTGGCAGACCGACCTGCCCCAGGCGCGCCAGTGCCCACATGCGCGAGGCTGCAGTCACCACAGCCCACCGCTCCGGCGATACAGCAGTGACAGCAGGGTGGACACCTGGCACTGGATAGACGCCCTCGGTAATGTTGACGAACTCGTTCTCAAAGTTGTCAGCAAACTGTTTGCTATGGCACTCGGGCGGGAAGAATGTGCGCAGCGTGTCGAGGCATGTGCGCCCATGCATATGCTTGATCAGCTCATCACCGTCTACGCCGTACTTGGCCGCCTTCTGCTTCCATGCGTTCTCGACGCACTCAGTAGTGTCGACGAGCGTGCCGTCCATGTCGTAGAGAATACCCTTGGCTGTTAGAAGTGTTGGCATATTGGCGAGTCAGTATACGGAAGGTGAGGGTCAGTAGGACTGATATGCTGGTTGAGGAGCTGCGCAGATAGTGAGTCAAAATGCGTTCTCTTTAAGCATTTCCCAGAGACGCATCCCCTCGCCCTGTGTCTGAGCCAATGCAACCACAATGTGGAGTAGAAGCACCAAATAGGAATCGAGCAACTGCGGTTGCGTGTGCGGATTCGGTAGGGCCGAAGCCCGAAAAATTGGCCAGGATTACCCCGCATCCTAAAAATACAATCGAATGGTTTTTTTACTCCTTATTCGTAGAAAGATGAATTTAACCTGGTGATAAACAGCCGATGCCTACGCCATCTCTCTACATCAGCGAGCAGCTAGCCAATAGCGCCACAACCAGTGCCAGCACAGACGCTGCAGGTGCCGCCACGCCTGACGTCTTTGTGTCCTTTGTGTGTGTAGAGTGCGAGCGCGACTCGGTGTCTGACTTGCTCGTTGTGGTTTCGTGTGTGGCTCTGGGGGTCTTGGAATTGACGGTTGCTTCAGGACCAGACACGGTGGTGTGTGGCGCAGATACCTCGTTGCTGAAGCGGATCGGCGTCAGAGATCCGACAGTCGGGGCCTGTGCGTGGCTGGTGGCCAGAAGTGCGAGCAGAGGGATGTACTTGAACGAGTGCATGATTTTCAGATGCAAATCGAAAGTGCCCAATGGATGACAGAACGAAACTCTGCGAAATGCGGTGCTGCTGGGCTGCTTTTGGCAGTGTGCTTTTATATGTGCTTGTCCAGCGTACAAGCTAGCCCCCATGGCCACATATTTTTTTTATCAAAGCAACGATGCATTTCTGCATGAGGCAAAAATGACCTCACCACAAAAATAGGCATTGTTCCCTATACGTAACTGCTGCGAAATTGCGTGCAAATGCCTGGCTCTACTTGTTTCCTGGCAAGATGCATCCTGGCCAAGAAACAGCACTGCGCATGACATCATAGACACATTACACCCGAACTGGACATGTAATCGAGAGAACAACGGTACTTTGTGTATTCTGAAGATAGATAACTTGACTAGAGTGCCTGCACTAGTGCGCCAGGCCTGGATAATCGTCGTGGTCGTTTGCTGTCAGCTGGAAGTAGAGGACACTGTTCTCGCAGTCACGACTTTCGCCATTGGCGCCGCAAAACTTTGTTCCGCCCGATGGCTGATACCATACCTCCTGGCTGTGATGCTTGTAGTCGATAGTGGTAAGAAGAAGGCGGGGAACCAAGTCGCGGTGGTACACAACGCGATAGATCGGGAACTCCTTGTTTTGGATCCAGCTCGCAAATGCGCCGTTACCAGTCCGCGGCTGGCCGTATGTGTACAGCTGCACGCGATTAGTCAGAGTTGGGAACATAGTCACAAAATCGGCAGCATTGATGGCAGCCAGCGAGCCACCGAGCGAATGACCGGTAAACACGATGTTGTATGCTGGGTACTTGTCTGCCAGAGTCAGAATTGCGTTATTTACGGCAGATGCGGTCGCTTGGTAGGCCTTTATGAACCCTGTATGCACCTCGGAGCCGGACACATTCGATGGCCATCTAGACCTGGCGAAATTGAGATTCGTCATCCAGTCAAAGAATGAGTGGCTGCCGCGGTACCCAACAACGATCTCCTTGTTGTTGTCGTTATATGCGACGTACCCTATGCTGGCTTTGACCACATTCTCCCAGCGGTAATAAATAATTGTGCCGGCGGTTGCTGCTGTCTGGCAAGCTATCGCACATGTCCACAAGTTGCTGTTCACATTATAGGCGGCAGCAGCATAGTTTGCATACTTGACAAGGTTAGCTGAAGAGGTGGTAGACAGAACCTGGGCTCGCAACAATGCGCCGTTCTTGCTTGCAGTACCTTTCGTGGCATTGTACTTTGCTGCCATTTGGTGGAACAATGCGTCCAGCTGAGGGACCATGGTCGAATTAACTAGCCGATTGCTGTCGATGGTAGCACCAGGCTCTTCCTCAGCAGGAAGTGCAGAGGTATATGCAGCAAAAATGCTGAGAGCAAAATGGATGGCTGGTTTGAGCAGCATTATTTAAGAGCGGCTTCTATCGGCAATAAATGAGTAAAATAGGCAAAGTTCAAATGATTTAAAGCAGGTAGGAAGCGAAAGGTGTGGGGCTGGCTGGTGCACGCTATTTATTATGAATTAACGATAGTATATTCTACGTGTTCTGGCCCTTTCAACAGGATAATGACCTGAAGCTCGTGGTTTTTCAGTTTGCTAAAGCCGCGCGCTGCCCTTTTTTTTTTTTTTTTTAATATTTCGCTTCTGTGCGGTATCTGAGTGCACCAGCGAAACTAGGGCAACAAACGGTGACTGTAGTGGTCACTGGGCTCTGCTGGATGCCTCCATTGGTTCAGCGCAAGAGCTGCTCTCATTGTCGGTCGACTTGATGATTTCCATGGAATCATCATGATGGCCATCATCGGCCACGCAACAGCATGATGTGACACATGTTGTTGGACACTAGTCGATGGACTACACAGTTAGTCCTAAATCGGCAAGTCACTGTGAGGAAAATCCTGACTAGACAGCCCACCAACTATGTGACGTTGAGTTTCTCTCTAAAAGAAGTTTTCTTTTTCTTTCTTCTTTATCGGTTTAGCCGCTTAGTATTTTCTCATTTCTTATTTATAAAACTTTGCGTATAACGCCTCAGTTTACATTACATGTGCATATATTTTATTCAGCTATTTATATATTCAAAACGAGTGGCTTCTACAACGCATCCTTGCTGATGAGCTTGTGCTTAATTAGCAGCGACAGCGGGACGGCAGCGCAAGCGAATATGACACCGGCAATGAACGTCGAGTGCATCGCCTGCACATTAGCATGGATAACTGCATCGCGCACGGTCGCTGAAATCTCTGGCAGCCTGATGACCTGGATATTGTCAGCCGACATCAGGATGTACTTGCTATAGATGACATGCTGCAGTGCGACGGTTGCCAGCTTGGCAATCAGAACGGCTTCGTTGATAATGCTATACAGGGCAATGCCAATTGCCGCGCCAAAGAACTGGAATAAAAACAGCGATGACGTAGCAGCTGCCATGTCGGCCGTATCCATAGCCGACTGGATGCAGGTGACATGGGTGGGCATGGTGAAGCCGGCACCAATGCCCAGGATGATCAGGAACCCGATCTGCGCACCATTGGAAATACTCTCCTTGTATTCCAGCATTAGCCCATTGCCGACCGTCAGCAATACAGCAGAGACGGCAATCTGGAACTTGTACTCTCCGGTAAAGCTCGTGCTGACTCCGGACGCAATAGAGGTGGCCATGGCGGCCAGCATAAACGCAATGAGGTGCGATCCAGCAGTTGCGGGCGACTCGTTTTTAACGATTTCTGACCACTTGGCGACATAAAATACCGGGCAGTAAACGGCAATACCAATGAACGGCTGCATAGCAACAATAATACGTGCATTAGTAGACCGAAGCAGGCCGGCGGGGAAGATCGGGTCCTTGGCGAATTTTGCCTCATAATAGCCAAAGGCACCGAAGAGGACCGCAGCAAGGATCAAAAGCGCAATGACCACGCCCGAGGACCACGCGTAGAGGTCGCCGCCGTAGTTCAGTGCCAGGACCAAAGCCGTCACACAGCCGGCCATCAGAACCATGCCGACATAATCCACATGCCACAGATTCGCTGACCTAGCCGGCGTCGCTGCCCCCATTGCCAGGTAGGCAAGAGCCAGGGCGAATACAAGAATAAAAGCATTCATGTAGAACAACCAGCGCCAATTGTGGCGTAAAAGGTTCCCAGCAACCGCAGGGCCAGCGCCTATTCCCAGCGCCCACGCAGCCCCGAGCACACCGAGAAGTCGCGTGCGCTGCCGCGGCCTGGCAAGGTCAGAGGCAATAATGACAGTGAGGGTGAATAGTCCGCCGCCACCGATCCCCGCCACCGCGCGACCTGCCAGCATGGTGTTCATTTTGCCAGCAGCTCCGCAGATGATCGAGCCAACAAGGAACAGCGTGCTGAATCCGGCCAGCGGCCAGCGGCGCCCGAATACGTCCGAGAGCTTTCCGACCGACGGAATGATTGCCGTGAATGCCACCAGGTAGGTCGTGGTGATCCAAGAGTCAAGACTTTGGTTGTGGAGCTTGTAGCCGAGCTTGGCTGTGATTGAGGTGACTGATGTCAGCGACAGACTGCTGAGGAACATCAGCATTGCCAGTGCGCTGAGAACCGCAAGCTTCCGCGGCACAGTCTGCTGGGCGCTGTGGGGAGGCGGATCCAGGGATTTCGCTATGGGTCTGACATCGCTTGAGGAGCTTGCAGAGGTGTCCATGCTTATATATATATGTAGTATTGCCAGCAGAGATAGGGGAGGGGAGAGACGTTTGACTGCTATTTCTTAGGGTCCGTAGATGGAAGGGGCGGAGGACCCAGCACTATATACGCGTCTACCTGGCTTTATTTCCCATGGCTTGACACCGTTTCCCTTCCGAATGGCACACCTGCAACTGTCCAAAACGGCAAATGCATGGCTGTGGCGACGACCATTGTCATTACCTCACTCACTGCCCAGGAGGTTGCGCGCTTTTTTTTGCTCCGAACCTGGACCCGCCCTGGCCAGGATTAGATCGCGTGGTGATCACGATCACTGGAGGAGGAGAAAAATAAAACTCGACAAAAGCCGACAGTTTCACTTCTTCGCTCTTGGACTTTTAGCGCCAGCTCTTCCACCCACTTTGCCATTTATTCAAGCATACATTACAAATAGAATGAGCTCGAGCTTGCCCAGCATCGACGCAGTGCTGGCCCGGACAGAGATCGGATCGACAGAGGACCTGACACGGGCACTGCGCGGGACCTTGCCTCTGCAGCACCGGCTAGCTTTAGCGTGGGCGATATTCGATGATAGCAGCAAAGCTTTGCAGCGGGTCAGCTCGGTGCTTGTACGGCGCAACGAGCTGCTGGCAGACTGGCTTTTTTCAACAATGCTTCGGGAGCTGAAGGCAAAGGGCAAGGACCAGTACAGAATATGTGGAGATGTGGCCGCGATCCGGCTTTTGCTTGGCGTGCTGGAGCGCATCAACAAGACGATGCCCGGAGACATGAAACTGGAAACGCGCACGGTCTTGCCGGGCCCTCTGATGCCCCTGTTTGCTGCGTCATTGGCGGGACAGCTGGGGAAGGAGCAGGAGGCGCAGGTGGAGGCAGTTGCGGATCTGTGGCAGTATATCGTCGGATCGACTATGGACGGCGCAGAGGCACTGGCAGCACAGCCCGATCAGCTCGCGCAGCTGCTGAAATCTCTGACAGAGCACTGCCTAAATACAGAGAGCGAGAAGCTGCGGGGAGAGCTTTTGCGGCTCATGGAATCTGCAGCCGGAGTTCTGCGGAGCGTGTGCGAAACGACAACGAATGCGCGCAAAATGTTCTCAATGTTCGACCAGGGCCTGCTGGTGCCGCTATTGCAGCTAGTGGGCGGACTGGGAGAGTCATCGGCCAAACAGTGTTTGCTGGACCTGCTCCAGGTGTCGCTGTTTCACGCCGACTGCATGGGGGAGTTTGCGACAGCGCTGCAGGAGCACGCGGAAAAAGGAGCCATGGGCAGTCGCAGCTATGTCAAGCAGTTCTTCGACCTGGTGGCCTCCCCTGAGTGCATGGATGCGCTGCCCGATCTCTTTACGCGCTACCTCCGTGCGTCGGCGCTGGTGTGCCCGGAGACCCGCAGCATGGCCAATACGACACTGGGACTGGCAGCAGTATCAGCGAGCCCATTGAGCATGACGCAGGAAGCGGCCAGCAGCGCATGCATACAGATGTTCACATACGTTTACCATGTGTGTTTGCCGAGGCGATCGGAGGTGCGTGGCATGGGGGCGACTAACCGGCTGATCAACGCCTATTACAGCGACCGGTGCTTTGGTACAGCCAACAACGCCAGCATAGTCAGCCGCGACGTGTTCCGCAAACAGATCGAGATGCTTGAGGCATGGCTGGCTGAGGTGGTGACGCCGATTCTCGCCCGCCCGCCCAGCGACCCGGAGATGACACGGCTGGCCCTGGACGCCATCGACATTGCACTAGACGCGGCCCCAGATTCTGTGCAGGAGCATAGCAGCCAGATCGTGGCGGCGTTTGCGCGTGTGCCGCCGGCTATCGAGGATGCAGCGAATAATGTTCTGGACCACATGGTGACGACATTCACCAAGGCGCGGCAGCTGGATGTGCTGGTCCAGCGAATTGCCGGTACTGAGTTCCACGAGAGTTCCGACTGCCACAATATGCTAGTCTCGGAGCCGTTCATCAAGTCGTTGAATCTGGCAGTATCCCGGTCGATGCCGTTTGCGCAGGCACACGAGTGCCTGGCGGTGCTAGTGGACGCGGTTTCGCAGGCAGCCAAGACAAAGGAGAGCGCAAAGAGCACGAAGCGGCGACGCACCAGCAAGGGTGCTACAGAATCCAGCAGCCCAAACATCTACCAGACACAGGTGGTATGTGTTGTAGCTGCCAACTTCCTGCTTGCCAGTGTGTCATCGGTCAATACCGAGCACCAGCGCGGGTTGTTGCGCGAAGCGCTGGCCAAGCATTACGCAGCTGTCTCAGAGTCCCTGGCAGGTCGTGGTGAGTTGGTGTGCGAATATTTGGTTATGCACTATGCGTTTATGGAAGCAGCTTCGCGGATCGACGGCATGGAGAGGTGGATGGAGGTCAGCATGGATCCAGGCCATGTGTCCGCCATGCTGCCCAGCGACATGACAGGCGCCCGTGTCCGTGCCCTGGCGATGCTGGTTGTTCTGCAGGCGGCTGCCCACTGGTCGGTGTTCATGTCGTCGCTGAGCGCCGGGATTGTGCCGGGCGATGTTGCTGCCCAGATTGATACTGAAGAGGGGTCCAAGGCCGTGTCCAGCATGATTGCAAGAATCTTCGCTAGCGCCGAGTTTGGCACTGGCAACGCAGGCCAGTGGGACCGGCAGCCGCACACGATCACCGAGGCGAACAGCGGCACCGTGCAGTGGTACCTGCTGGTGGACTGGCTGGAGCTGGTCTGCCAGCTCGCCGACCAGGCAGTCATTCAGCGCATTACATCGCGGATCATCGCCGAGATTGCGTTGCCAGCCGAAACCAATTGCTCAAAGGCGCTGCTCAGTTCGGCAGCGTTTTTCGAAGCGCACGAGATCCGCAGCTGCTTTGTGCCTGCGTTGGCCGAGTTCGTAGCCGAGCAGTTCCCCAAGCAGCCAAGTGAGCTGAAGTCGCTGCTGGTGACTCTTGCCGGAAATATCGGAACCAAGTCTAAATGCGCACAGACCGCCAGCGACATTATATCGGCCGCCAGCAACTCCCGTGCCAAGAGGAGTGAGGAGTCGGCAGAGGTGTGGGTCGAGCTTGTTCGCTCCCTGCTGCGCTTCCCAGACGCCTACTGGTTTGCCGATAAAACTCCGGCCTTGTTTGCAGTGCTGCTGGCCATTGACCAGGGTGTGGCGTGCGAAGCTGCCACGGTGGAACTGCGGGTCCTGTGCAGGGCGCTGCTCGAGCGACTCATTCGGACGTCGTCAGGCCTGGTGCCGCTTCTCACGCAGCATGCAGCTGGCTTGGTGAGCCTGTGGGTGGCAGAGGAGCAAACGTCTGAGGAACTGCTGGTCGCGTCGCGTCGCTTGCTGTTTGTTGCCATGGGGTCTCTGGCCCAGGCTGCGTTTGGCCAGGCGAATCTGGCCGCCAACAAGGCCTGTGTGAGTATCGCCAAGACTCTGCTTGGTGAATCGGGCTCTCTGGCTGCCGAGGGCGTGCGTGCCATTGCAGCCTGCGCAAAGCAATATGCGAAGAAGCTACAGAAATGTGAAGTCGCCGAGAAGTGGGCCCATGTTTCAGCCAAGTGCATCAAGAAGCAGTCCAAGGCTGTTCTCAAGGGTCTCGCTGGCATCGACAAGGCCGACGATACTGAGATGACAGCTGCGCTCGGCCGGCTTGCGGCGGCGCAGATAATCAGCGAGTCGGCAACCGGCGAGGCTGCAGACCGGGCTGCACTTGTCGCGGCAACGCTCGATTCGCTGAGCCGCCTATCGGCAGCCACTGCCAGCGAATTTGCGCTAGCGCTAGTCTTCTATGCTTGCCATACGTCAGCTGTGCCCAACGCCGACACACTCCGCCTGCTTGCATCCATGACCCACCGGCTCGCCCACACCAAAGACCATCCCCTGTCGCTGATGCAGCAGTCGTTCATTGCGCTAATCTCTGAGGCCGATGGTTTGCTTGCAATCTCGCTGTCTGATGCCGTAGCGCAGTATGCTGTTGAGCCGCTGCTCCGACAGATCAGCTCTGCGGCATTCGAGCAGTCCCTTGTCGCCTTTTTGAAGATTGCACAGCAGCCGAATAGCGGCGCTGCGGTGCGCAAGGTCCTGGTGGCCTTTATCCGCACGGCCTACAGGCAGTCTGGAAACGAGTCGGTCGAGAAGCGCAAGGCGGTGCAGCGCCGGCTCGGCAGCATTCTGTCAATCATCAGCAGTGGCGTTGGCTCGGATGCCGCGTCGGTCATTGCGTCGTTGAGTGTGGTCAGCGAGCTTGTGCTGGAGCCGTTCATGCGCTTCACCATGTTTGACATCAGCGAGTGCCTGGCGTTTGTTTCCTCGGTCGTGTCTGTGCCACTGGTGATGGCCAATACGCAGGCCGAGGACCTGTTCCGGCTGGTGTGCCGGGTGCTGGGCGGAATCATCCGCCACCACACGAACCAGGTCCTGGACGGAATCTCGCTGCTGGTGAACATCCTGCGGTCGCTCCTGCATGCGTTCGTCGCCCCTGTATTGCCGCGGTCGCAGCAGCCGATTGGCGTTGACTCTGCCCTGACGCCGTGGATCATCGCCTATGCGCCATTCCCCGCCGAAAGCGCCGATTCATATGCCCGCCTGATCTCCGAGCTAGTCCGCGCCCGCCGGTTCTCCAGCGACAGTGGGTCGCAGGCCAAGGAGCTTGTGAAGCTAACCCGTGGCACCAACACCTCTGGTGTGATCTCGACTTTGTCGTCCTTTGCGCCCTACATCCTGGCCGAATACTGCGTGATCCAGGGCGGCGACAGCATGTCGTCCATGTCCCGCGGGTCCGATGATTCCGCTCTGCATTCGTTCCAGGGCCTGTGCTGGCAGCCGCTGCCTGTGCTTGGCATAGGCAGCCATGAGAAGAGCCGCGGAATCATCGCTAATCCGGCGGTTAGGGAGATGCTGGTGCCGGCGTGGCATGCATTATTGGATGTCATGCGGGTTGCTGATAGAGAGTCACTGCTGAGTGTTCTGGCGGGTACGTCTAGGGATGCCAAGCATTCAGGAGGCGCCGGGTGGTCGTCGATCTTTGGACCCGATCGGTATGGTGGGGCGAATGAAGTGCTGAAGGCATTGTACCAGAGCTATTTGGCATTCTACAAGTACACGGGCGAGGTCTAGAAGCATTTTCCCAGTGCGCTATTATGATATACATGAGCACGCTGGCTGAGCGTACATTTTGGTCAGTACAAACGTGCTTGAGGCTACCGCTTGGGCATAAGTGATTGGAATATATTCATTTTGAACTATGCTACATAGACTAGTGATGTGCCGATATTCCCGCCTACTTCTTGAGGTGGATGTACTTGAAAGAGCTCTTGGGAACAGTCCGCGTGCCGTACTGGTGGCGCTTGTAGTTGTACTCCTCAATCGTGACGCTGTTGCCCGAGACCTTGGCCACCCACACCACATGTCCGAACTTGCTGCCGCTGTCCGTCTGGCCCACAGCTCCCGGCTTCGGCGTGTTGTCCACAGTGACGCCGGAGGCACGCGCCGCGTCGTCCCACTGGTTGGCGTTACCCCATGCCTTGCCCTTGTAGCGGTTGTGGAAGTTGATGCCCAGGCGCGAGTTGACGCGCCAGGCGACGAAGCTGACGCACTGGCACGAGTAGTACCGCCACTTGTCGACGATGTCGCACCTTCCCTTGTACGGGTAGTCGTCCTTCATCGGACCCGCGCCGCCAGTGCTCGGCTTGTCGTCGGGCTTTGGCTTGCTGGGCGCAGGGCACTTCTTGGCCACATAGCCGTTGCCTGTGTCGACGTAGTAGTCGCTCACGTAGCAGCCGTGCTGCGTCTTGTCCCAGAGCTCGTTGCCGTTGACCTTTGTGCCTGGCGTCTGGCACGAGAGCGTCACTTGAGCTCCTTTCTTGTATGTGCGCACGACATTGCTGGAGGTTCCCGGACCCGAACGGCAGTTGACCGTGTCGCCCTTGATGGCGTAGCCGGAGACGAGCTGCGAAGTAGTGGCGAGTAGAAGAGCGGCAATTGCGACAAATTTCATTTTTAAGAGTATAGGATGTTGTTTTCTTTGGTTGCGATATGGTTTGAATAGGGAGGGCCGAGCAAGATATCTGGTGTGTTTATATACAAATCTCCAGCCTATACTTGAACCTATTTTTAGTGAAATTCTTGTTTGCAGCGATAGTTTGTTTGGCAACCAAGCACACATAACGTAACTATTGTCGTCGATATGCAGCACTGCAGTTCAGTCCGTTCTGATGATTTTCACGACCACTATCTCTTGAGCTAATAGCTAGTTTGAAGGTTCGTAAAGCTATTTGCAGATCCTGTAGTATTTTCCAGAACATCTATTTTTGGCGGACACGCAAAACACGTACCAGACTTGCTGTTTAAAACATAACATCAAGGCAAAGCTTCTCACGACATTGAAAACCTCAGCCGGCTCCAATTTTTATTTTTAGGTCGTGCAGACCAACATACCGGCGCATGATTACATGCCACTCAACATACCATCCCCACTATGTCAAAATGTAGTAGCTGAATCTATTTTTAGGTGCTATATGTCTGCATATCCATGCACGCTTACATGAGATCTTCCTAGAATTTCCAGAATATTGGTTTTGCTTGTCAGTTTATTTATAGACGCCTGCCCAAACAGATTCCTGGATGGTGGTATGGCTTCGTAGGCCAACTATCGAAATCTTCTAGACAAATGCGTATTTTCAGCAGAACATGTGGTGCGTTGATGTCTGCGTGGTGGTAGCTAAACCCTTCAGCAAACAAACTGGACAAGATGTAAACAACATATAGCCGTGCTAAACTTAGCAGCGATACAAGTTGTACAAGTTACCGTATATGTTAAGACAATGTCAGCTCATCGTCGATGTATAAAAGATTGTGTTTCTGTTCATTTCCATCTGTTCATTTCCATCAAAAACAGTAAATTCACTACTCTTCACACTAACAAACAACAAAAGCATAGTTTGAAAAAGAATGAGGTTCGTTGCAATTGCCGCTCTTCTACTCGCCACTACTTCGCAGCTCGTCTCCGGCTACGCCATCAAGGGCGACACGGTCAACTGCCGTTCGGGTCCGGGAACCTCCAGCAATGTCGTCCGCACATACAAGAAAGGAGCTCAAGTGACGCTCTCGTGCCAGACGCCAGGCACAAAGGTCAACGGCAACGAGCTCTGGGACAAGACGCAGCACGGCTGCTACGTGAGCGACTACTACGTCGACACAGGTAACGGCTATGTGGCCAAGAAGTGCCCCAAGGGAACCGGTGGCAAGCCTGGCGGCTCCTCGAGCGGGTACTGCAAGAGCGTCAACGCCGCCTCGCTCAACCTGATCAAGGAGTTCGAAGGTTTCGTCAAGAGCCCGGCTCCCGATCCCATTGGTCTGCCCACTGTCGGCTACGGCCACCTGTGCCAGTCCAAGGGCTGCAAGGAGGTCAAATACAAGTTTCCGCTGAGCAAGTCCACCGCCGAGGCTCTGCTCAAGGACGATATCCCCAAGTACACGTGCCTGGGCAAGTACCTGAACGGCAAGGTCAAGCTCAACCAGAACCAGTGGGGTGCGCTGGTGTCGTGGGTGTTCAACATGGGCTGTGGCGCGGCCCAGTCTTCGTCGCTGGTCAAGCGCCTGAATGCCGGTGAGAACCCAGGCAAGGTCATTGCTGCTGAGCTGCCCCAGTGGAAGCATGCTGGTGGCCGTGTTCTGCCTGGTCTTGAGCGTCGCCGTAAGGCTGAGGTCAAGCTTGCCCAGGCGCCTTCGAACAAGCAGGCTTTCCCCAAATGCGATTAAGCGCAAAATCGTATGTAAAATATGCTTGGTGTTTTAAATAAAGGAAAGGAAAGGATTGAGCGCGCCGCTGTTGCTGTTATATATATATCCTCGGCTGCACTCTCGGTAGTATTTGCCTGGGCGGTGATGGGCTCAACTGTCTACGCCCATGTACCCGGAGGTCACAACCTGTGTAAGATCCTCGTTGGCTACAGGGCTTGGTCGCTCTGAACTGACTGGCAGGTAATAGTCGACAGCGGGCAGCTTGACAGCACAAAAAGAAGGCCCTTGTAACATTGGGCACTGGACACAAGTCGTAGCCCGTTATTTCTGCCTACCCTCACAAATGCTTAAATCTTGGTGGGGTCATGGTTAATGTACCTCTTTTGTGGGTAAACAGGATCAATACGAGTAGATAGAAACTAGATGTCTGAGCCCAGCTTCTTGAGGGCAGCCTCGACGCGTGCACCGTAGTCATTGTCGATGCGGTAGAGGTGAGTCAGGGTCCGCTTCTGGATGACCACCGGCGTCACCACAAGGGTTCCAGCGATATTGTTGATCAGGTCAGTCCGCTCGCTCTCGCTCAGCAGGTTGTACAGCGCCCTGGGCTGCTCAAAGTCGGCATCCGTCAGCTGGTACTGGTGGCGCGCAACATTTCCTGACACCGCGGAGTTGCTGGCAATCTCGACAGCGCCAGCGCTCTGCGAGGGTCCGCCGAACGAGTTGGGCTCGTAGTTCGGGGCACTGCCGAAATTGTAGAAGGCCATGGGGCCGTCGCGCTGGTGGTGGTTCACATGGTTCTTTGGGCGGTTGATCGGCAGCTGCAGGTAGTTGGCGCCCAGGCGATGGCGGTGGGTGTCTGGGTAGCTGAACAGACGGCCCTGCAGCATGCGGTCGGGCGTGGGCGCAATTCCGGGGACCATGTGCGACGGCGAGAAGGCGGCCTGCTCGACCTCCGCAAAGTAGTTCTCGGGGTTGCGGTTCAGCACCATGCGGCCGACCTCCTGCAGCGGGAAGTCCTTCTGGCTGATGATCTTGGTGACATCAAACACGTCGTACTTGTAGTTGTGGGCCTCCTCCTCGGTCAGCACCTGGAGGTAGACGGTCCACGACGGGTGGTCACCCTTCTCGATGGCGCTGAACAGGTCCTCGGTAGCATAGTCGGGGTTGGTGCCGGCCAGCTTCTCGGCCTCGGCTGCCGACAGATTCTTGACGCCCTGGTCGGTGCGGAAGTGCCACTTGACGTAGTGGGAAGAGCCGTCCTCAGCGACCAGTCGCAGGGTGTGGCTCGAGTAGCCGTGCATGTGGCGGAAGCCGTCGGGTGTGCCGCGGTTGGACATCAGGATGGTGACCTGATGCAGCGACTCGGGCACCAGCGACCAAAAGTCCCACATCATTGTGGGGCTCTTCAGATGGGTCTGCGGGTCGCGCTTCTGGGTGTGGATGAAGTCGGGGAACTTGAGCGGGTCGCGGATGAAGAAGATCGGGGTGTTGTTGCCGACCATGTCCCAGTTGCCCTCCTCGGTGTAGAACTTGACGGCAAAGCCGCGGGGATCGCGCGCAGTGTCGGCCGAGCCCAGCTCGCCGCCGACAGTCGAGAAGCGGGTGAAGATTGGCGTGCGCTTGCCGACCCCGCTCAGGAACTTGGCGCAGGTCAGATGTGAGAGGTCCTTGGTCAGCTCGAAGTACCCGTGGGCACCCGCGCCCTTGGCGTGCACAACGCGCTCGGGGATGCGCTCGCGGTCAAAGTGCGCAAGCTTGTCAATCAGATGGAAGTCCTGCAGCAGCGCCGGCCCGTAGAAGCCGGCGGTCTGAGTAGTCTGGTTGTTGGTGACGGGGTTGCCGTTGCCCGTAGTAAGCGTGCCGCGGTCCTCCCCCAGGGTGGTGTTGGTTGTTGTGGTGTTGACCATGGCAGCGGGATGGAGATTGAGATAGTGGAGAGACTGGAGATAATCTTTTATTCACGAAGGACAGGTTTGGAGGAAAATGCAATGGCGGCTCGGCGCTGCTGTTTATATATGTGCTCGTGTGGGCAGAATGGCCCCCCCTTCCCCCCCCCCGCCAGAAATTTTTGCGAACACCGAGGCGCACATGGCCGGCTGTTTCCGTTACTATTTCGGCATCCAAGGCCAGACTTGCTCTGGATGAGGGCTCTATGTGAAGACAGCTGCAAAAAGAGTGATGCAACGGGCTGCAGCGCCCCTGCACGGCCACATTTGTGCTTGCTATTCCGTCCTGCACGTGACCATTAGTAATGCCCACGGGCAAATAAGTTCGCACTTACTGCTGTCAGACGAGCACTCGCTGTACATGTACCGGATGCTTTGCCAGTCAGAACACAGAGGTCCACAAGTCATTTGTAATCTGGATCGGTTTTGCGGATAATTATATTGGTGGTTACGTCACTTGCTCTGCGTTCCAACATTGCAGTGTAACACCGGTGCCATATATTGGGAAGGCGGGGCTCTCGGGCACTTTTCTGCTTACAATTGCACAGCTAAGCCATGCTTTCCACGGTACTGCTTGCCCCATGTATAACACCGGAGAGCCCGCCGAAAAGCCAAGAGTCTACGATAATGACACAAAGGTATGCAAGCTACCCTGGAGAAAAGACATAGATGTACAAACCACTTTACCTGATCTAGATCGATTGCCTTCGGCCTCCTAGCCATCCCGCCATTTCCCTCACCCGAGCCGAGACGCCTGTATTTTGCACCTTGACTAGCCACGGATCTGTCTAGAACGGAATATTCCCTACGGCCTCAAACACATCCTACATGCCACGTGTCGAACAGCAACATGGCTACTCTCTGGTGGCAGGATCAAATTACGCGTATAGAGCACAGCAAAGGGATACGCAAAAGCTTGTCTGGATAGCGCTGTGTAGGTCTGCCTGCAAGCGAAGCTTCACCGCTAAAAGACTGATATCGTACACCAGTACCGGAATGTATTCGAATTGGACAACATTAGAGTGAGCGGTGCATGCATATGAACCAGGCACATCAATTGCCTTAGCGTGGTTTGGATGAATTTTGTACATTAATGGTATTGCAGTAGCTCGCCTTCTTGCGCCATGTCTGCTTCCCCTTGCATTGCCTGCTCTTCTGTCTCCATCGACAACAAGAACGGATGCCGCCGCAGCTCGTGCCACAGCATCCTCTTTGCCGGGTCCCGCTGCAGCAACCCCTCAAGAAACTCCTTCAGCTGTGCTGGGATCCGCTTCGGCCAAACAATGTCCTCCTCCATGATGTTTTGCTTCAGGTCAGCCAGGCTGGTGGTCCGGAACGGCGTCTTTCCCACAAACAGCTCATACAGCACAACTCCGAGCGACCACAGATCCGCCTTGTTCGTATACCGCTCCCTGCGCAGCATCTCCGGCGCCATATATAGAGGCGTCCCCTTGAGTGTGTGCACGTATATGGGCTTGCCGTCTCGCGTCAGCTGCGTCGCCAGCCCGAGATCGCATAGCTTTACCCGGCCATCGCACCCGATCAGCGCGTTCTGCGGCTTAATGTCATGGTGCACCACCCCCAGCGTGTGCAGGTACTTTAGCGCTGCTACAAGCTGCAGCCCGATCTCCCGCACCTCCTCCATTTTCAGGAACCCTCCCTTGCGCTTCAAGTACACCGACAGGTCACACTTGCAGTACTCCAGCACGATATAGATATCTGTGTCCGTCTCAAAGTATTCGATTAGGCGGATGATGTGCGGGTGGTTCAGGTGCTGCAGCAGGCGCATCTCCTCGCGATATGTCTCGATGTCGAGTCGCTTGCGGTTCACCTTGCTGATGATTTTTAGGGCCACCACCAGTCCTCGGCTGCGGTGCACTGCCTTGTACACCTTTCCGTACTGGCCTTCGCCCACCAGCTGTATCAGAATGTACTTGTCAATGAGCTGCTGTGTCTCTGCAGTTGTCGCCATTGTCCGAATAAGCTGAAATGAGGGTAGTAGAATAGAAATTCGTGAAAGCTGAGCAAGTAGCGACGCAAAAGTTTGCCATTGTGAGACCTTCAGGGAGGTGTTAACAAAAGATATTATGAGACTACCTAGTGAGCCGAGTCGCGACTAGAACAGAGCTGCTACCGCTCCAGCAATGACAACACCCAAGAGGACGGCACCACTGACGCTTCTTGCCCCGCTGCTATCGCCTGCGGTGTCTGAAGATGTGTCGGTGTCGGTATCTGGCCTGTCGCCAGTATTAGGGCCGGTCTCAGATGTAGCTCCAGAGCCCGTCCCTGATCTAGTTCCAGAGCCAGTTTCGGTGTCCGCTTTAGTACCAGTGTCAGACGAAGACTGAAATTTGGTGTGCCATCCATCAATGTCACAGATTTCATAATCAGAAGCCGGTGTGCTCGGTGCAAGAGCAGAACCATTGCCAGACCTACTACCCTGTTCGGAGTTTGTTGCGGTCACGGCTGGAGTAGTGTTCGGTACAGAACAACCACCAAAGACATCACACAGCTCTGAGATCGCCTGGGTCGAGAATGTGGTCGCAGTCGTAGTAGAGTCAGATGTAATTGGCATATTGTCGAACTGGACTGGACATCAGATGGAGTTTAGTCCTGCTGGGGCACATATGTTGCTGGTCGGATAGTACCTGATTGCCCACAGATTTTTGCTCTAGCAAGTCTGGTGTGTAAGATCATCACCACTATTAATGCACTCTGCAGCACCATGGGAGCTCTCTTGGCTAAAGGAAGTCTGAGCGAGGAATGCTAGAGCGTGAATGCTGGCGAAACGAAGCATTTAAATAAAACTATCGAAAATCGAAAACGACGGCAATAAGGGAAAGCGCGATTCAAGGGTTACTGGCGGGTGGCCTTGTCCTTGACAGCATAGACGATGCTATATAAACATCTAGCCAGGCTTTCTAGAAACCTGGTGTTCCCTCTCTTTCCGCAAAAAAAATATTGGGTAGCTAGCACTGTGCCTGTATGGCGTCTGTTCCATGGATATGGAGTTTCAAACTTCCTAGTGAATCGAAAGTAGACGGCGGTTTCATCCAAGACTTGTGGAGAAACAGCTCACCGATCCCAAAGGCCATAAACCACGCCAATCGCAAAACAGGGATTTAAGAAAGAGCCGAAATTTCAGAAAGCGTTGTCCATTTGGAACTCTCCAGCTATATCCACCAAGCTCTACTCTACACAAAAAGAAAATACACCACCGCCGATGGCAAAAGAAGTTGAAGACGAAGACTACATCGATATCGACGATACCGGACCTGAGGGTCTGAAGGGTGCCGATGGCGGGTACGCCTGGGAAGAGGAATACAAGCGCTCCTGGGATGTAATCCAAGAAGACGAGTCAGGCAGTCTACAAAGTGCAGTCCAGGGGATCCAAGAGCAGCTGAAGCGAAAGCGGCGTTTGCGCGACACCACAGCAATCCAGCGCGGCATCATCCGGCACGTAATCCTGGTAATTGACGGGTCAGAAAACATGGGCACTCGCGACATGCGGCCGACACGGATCGCCGCAACCCTGCAAATTCTCGAGTCCTTTGTCAACGAGTACTTCGACCAGAATCCAATTTCACAGCTGGCAATTATCTCGACCAAGGATGGGCTGGCAGAAAAGCTGACGGACCTGAGCGGCAACCCGCTTGACCATGTTAACGCGCTGCGCGATAAGAGCAACAAGGATTTGGCAGGCGAGCCGTCGTTGCAGAATGCCCTTGAGTTGGCCATGCATACGCTGCGGAGAGCACCTACCCATGGGTCACGCGAGATTGTGTGCATTTTTGGGTCGCTCACTACATGCGATCCGGGTGATATCAAGCAGACGCAGGCGGCACTGAAGCATGCCGAGGTGCGCGTGTCGATGGTGCAGCTGGCAGCCGAAGTTCAGGTGTTTAAGCGCATTTGCCAAGAAACCAACGGGCTGTTCGCAGTCGCCGACGACGAAATCCATTTGAAGGATATGCTGTTTGAGTGCATTCCGCCGCCACCTGTTGTCAGCGCCAAGGCTACGTCTGATATGATCCAGATGGGCTTCCCGATCCGTGCCAGCAATGCGCAAGTGCCGACCCCCTGCGTCTGCCACCATGAGCTGTCGTTCTCTGGCTACATCTGCCCGCGGTGTCGCTCCAAAGTGTGTTCGTTGCCCACTGACTGCGATGTGTGCGGGCTACCACTCGTGTCAGCGCCGCATCTGGCACGCTCGTACCACCACCTGTTCCCAGAGGAAAATTACAGGGAGATTGACGTGGAGGTACATAGTGGTGCGGAGCATTCAGGGGCAGGGCTTGTATGCTTTGGCTGCGAGGGAGAGGTGAAGGGCGCTGCTGCGCGGTATCAGTGCCCCAGGTGCAGAAAGGAATTTTGTCTGGAGTGCGATGTTTTCATTCATGAGACGCTTCATAATTGCCCCGGGTGCGTATAGGAGTGAGAAAACAGCTATTATCCAATATATGCGTGGGAAATATCGACTATATTGGCTATGTGGGGAAGAGGACAGGGAAATGTGCACTTGGCAGCGGTAACCGCCGGCTGGAGAATGGCGCGGTTTCAGCATATTCGCAGGTATAAAGTCAGCAATGTCTGGGAAGCATTCCATCACCAAAATGCCTCACATCCTCACATCCCCCTGCATTCTGCATTTAAGCATCTCTCATCCACTCCCCTTTTTCATCAACTTTTCGGTTTCTCCTTGACTCACTCCAGCCCAGGAAATTTCCACATTAGCCCCTCCTTCATATACCAGCATTATAGAAAATGGCCCGCACCTTCTTCAACATCAGCGCCATCGTGTTCATCGCCAGTGTAGTCGTGGCCACAGACGCCCCCAAGCCTGCATCCACTGCCCCGCAAGGCCAGTTCGGCATGATGCTGTTCGATTGCGGCGGCAATGCCTACGACTGCTGCGGCTTCGGCGACGAGGACTGCACATGCAAATGCAAGTGCCGCCAGCCCGAGATCACAGTGCATGTTATCCAGCCTCCACCCACGTACATTTACGATGTCACCCAGACCGCCCGCTACTACGAGCACTGTGATTGCTGTGGACGCAGGTTCGTGTGTGGACCGACGTGCATTCCGCAAGGCGAGGTGCTGGCGCCGGCTAACACTGGCCGCAATGTGGCTATTGCTGCTGCGTCGCCGGTTGCGCAAAAAGCTGGGCATGCCAAGAAGCACACCACCCATGATGACAACTAAACAAAAATTGACTTGCGCGCACATTTACCTCCCACTCCTCGTGTTAGTTTATTTTATCGTACCGCCCTAATGCCTCGTTAGTTACTTTCTCTAATGCTGCCGATATAGATGTCGGCAATAACATCCTTTAATGCCTGCAAGTTCTTGCTGAAGCAAAGCTATATTCTGGAATCTACACACAGCCCGCAGCCTAAATCTCAAACCCCAAGGCAATCAGGAACTTGGGCAGCCATTTGATTCTCTCTCTGACTCGTGGTGGAATCGACTCGTCAATCGGTAGCCCTTCATAGACGACATCGCCAAACCTGTAGGAGATGGTCTGCTCGCGCTGGCGTACCAGTAGACGGCACCCATCGCAAAACAGCATGGTGAATACAAGGTCATCGTCACCATCGCTGCGCCCGCTATTAGCCACAAGACACCATCCGAGGTCATCGATGAACCCAGCGTCGTCGAACAGCTGCTGCGAGATCCCGTCGATGTTTCTCCGGAATCGGTTCGCTGGTGTGCGCAGACATCCAGGCGTCGTCAAGAACCGGTACGGGTCTTGCAGGTTGGGGGTCCGGGTTGGCGAAGTGTAGTCAGTCACCAGCTGCGTCAGCGGACCCATGTTGACACGTCGTGTTGGCGTATCATCTATCACCCGCCTGTCAACCATATTCGTGTCCCAGTGCGGTGGTTTGCGCGGTTCGGGCGACAGGCCAGAGTATGCAGGCGGTGGGCGCTGTCTGACTGGCGGTATACGGCTGCGGCTGTGATGACGTGACAGAATCTGGCGCACCGCACCGCTGCCCCCATTGACGGCCGTTGACGAGCCTGCCGTCTGCGTTGTAGTGGTAGCTGTCCGGTCGACTGTGGGCCGTGTTGAGGAGCGGCGCACAAGTCCAGGCGGCACAAAGTCTAGGTTGCCAGCATCTTGATCCCACCCCAGCTTTACCGGATACTGGATCTCGCCGCGGTACTGCGCCCGCACGCTGCTGTCATCCTCAAACACACGCACCAGCGAATCAAATCCAAGCACCTTGCGCAGTGCCTCCATGGCATGGCTCAGGATCCCCCGCGCCCTGGCTGGGACCCGCGTGTGCCTGTTGATATCCAGAGCGCTCAGGTCCAGAGACAAGTCATCGGAGCTCCGGCGGTGGTCGGGTGGCGATGCAGCAAGCGGAATCTTCAGTATCTCGTTGGGAAGATCCTGCTGAGACGGAATTTCGACGGTGGCAAGGGCAGTCTGGCGCGACACTGTGACCTTGATGCCGTTGAAGAAAGCGAATGCAAAATCAGCCTGCGGGTCGTTCTCGAAAAGCGTGCCTTCGCCTTGCGGTGTTGTGATCTGGATGCGCTTCTGCTGCGACAGAAGAAAGCTGACACAACGGCATGCAATCCGTACGCCCCTTGCCACACGCTCTGGCAGCGCTTGCATATCCCAGGCATATACACGATGTGCTGTCTCGGGCGACAGAAGCTGCAATTGCGCTGGCCGCTTGAACTCGCTTATCTGCTTTGCTCTGTCGTCCATGGCAATCACCGACGGCAGCGTGCTGAGGTCCAGCACCAACAGTCGGTCCTCGCGGATGTACACTTTGCCGTTCTTCATTGCACGCTTCATTTCTGGTAGCCGCCGTATCGAGAACGCCTGCAAATCCACATGTTTCGCTGATGCTGTCCCGGTGTCACCGCTGTTGTGTACCCGTGAATACGACACATCGGCAGAGCGGGGTCGGCGGTGATGGTGATCTGAAGGCTGTTGTTGCTGGCTGTAATCTCTGGACCGCCGGTAAACGTGGCCGACGGCACTATCGTGCTCTCTTGATACTGCTGGCCGGCCATCGAGGGGCGGTGCTGCTAGAGCCAAATCCCCGTCGTCATGCCGCCGCCGATTGAGGATATTTCCTGGCTGCCGCGGCGGCAAGACATTGGGCCCGCCATGGTTATGAGACGTATGGGCTGAGCGAAAACGCCGTTGCTGGAACGGCTCCTGCTGCTGTCTTTGCTGCTGCCTAGCGAGTTCCTCGACTGGCACCAGCCTGTGCTCGGGCAGATGCGATGCAAAGAATGGGTGCTCCAGCAGCCTCTGGGTAGTAATCCGCTGCCGCGGATCAATACGCAGCATTGCACGCACCAGGTTCCTTGCCTCATGCGAGAGGTCGTACGGCAGCCGGATCTGTCTCACCGCATCCTCTGTAATCCGCGACACATTGCGAAACGGCTGCGCTCCGGTCAACAGCGTAACAAACAGGCACCCGAGCGCCCACACATCCGACTCGACGCCGTAGGGCTGGCGGGCCAGGATCTCAGGCGAAATGTAGCTCGGGGTGCCACACATGGTGGTGGTCTCTGTGCGGTCGTTGCGGAGCCATGTGGCCAGGCCGAAGTCGCCAATCCGGACATCCAGGGTTTCTGTCAGCAAGATGTTGGCCAGCTTCAGATCGCGGTGCAGGATTTGGCGCCCATGCAGGTATGCAATGCCCCGGCACACCTGCTGCATCACATGGCGGGCCTCAGCTTCGCTTAATGGCGCCAACTCTGTGGTCAGGGACTTGTCGAGCTTGCCCCGATTGCGCAAGTACCGCCATATGTCGCCATGCGAGCACAGCTCCATGACTATGTAGACATACTGTGAGTCCTCGAACGAGTCGTACAACCGCACAATGTGTGTGTGGCCCAGCGTCTCGTGGATCGCGACCTCTGCTGCCAGCCGCTGCTCCGCCGCGCGGCTCTTTAGCGCTGCCTTGTCGATTTTCTTTATTGCCACCTCACCGCCTGAACTCCTCGCTAGTGGCAAGTGCCGCGCATTGCGGGTCAGCACAGCTCGGTAGACTTTGCCAAACCCACCGCGCCCAATGCGCTCCATGAATGTGAAATCGTGCGCTGTCAGCTCGTCCGCATTGCCGTCCCTGTGGTTCTGCGAGACGCCCTGCCTGTGCAGTTTAGCGAAATCCGTCGAGAGCGGCCGATACACCGGGTGCTGTCGAGCGTACATTTTGCAGAAATGCAGTGAAAAATAGAAATGAGTATAAGCAGGATAGCGCTTTGAGACTCAAGGAGCGAAGAAAACCGCCGCTTGCTTTCAGCTAGCCACACTAAATTTTTTTTGGAGTAAACAAACTCGCCCTCCCACTTGCTGCGAGGGGCTAGATTTATTCTCTATCCAGATTTACTTCTTGGCCCTGCCCATGCCCGAGCGGAAGTACACGACATCACCGTCCTCGCACACAGCGTCCTTGCCGCGGATGTACAGCTTGCCCTGCGCCTTGAGGTCGGGCTCGGAGCCGGCAGCCTTGAGCTCGTCAAACTTCATCACGTCGACCTGGATCAGCGAATCGGCGATCTCGTTATGGATCGAGCGCGCAGCCTCAGTCATCTTGGCGCCCTTGCGGCAGGTCCACGCACGCACCTCAGTGCCATGGCCGGCGGTGAAGAAGTGCTGCAGGTCCAGCGAGTGGTAGCCAGTGGTGATGATCTTGGGGAACGCCGACGCACCCTTGGTCTCGGCCAGGTACGCGTCACGGTCCGCACCCTCCATGGCCTGCAGCGTCGTCTCGAACACACCCGAGAACGGAATCAGCATGTCTCCAGGGTTGTTCTCGTCAATCCACGCCTTGATCTTGGGCAGGAACTTGTTCTTGCGCCGCACATAGTCCTTCTCGCTCACATTCGCCAGGTAGATCACCGGCTTCGCCGTCAGCAGCATCTGCTGGTTGATCACGTAGATTTCCTTGTTCGTCCAGTCGCCCTTGCGCACGTCCTTGCCCGACTTCAGGAACTCCAGCACCTTCTCCAGCGTCCCAAACTCCTCCTTCTTCTTCTTGTCGTCCGCGTTACCGCCGTTGCCCAGCCGCGCAATGTTCTTCGCCTGCTCGTCAATCGTCTTGCTCAGGAACGCAATGTCCTTCATGCGCAGCTCGCTGTGGATGATATCCAGATCACGTCCCGGATCAACCTCGCCCTCGACGTGCACGACGTCGGGGTCGTTGAACGCACGCACAACGTGGAAGATACCGTCCACCGCACGCACGTGCGACAGGAACGCATTGCCCAGGCCAGCTCCCTCCGACGCGCCCTTCACCAGACCTGCAATGTCGATGATCGTCAGGTACGCAGGCACCTTCGACGAGGGCTTGTAGTGCTCGCACAGCCAGTCAAACCGCTCGTCCGGGACTGCAACACGCGACTCCTCGGGGTCAATCGTGCAGAACGGGTAGTTCTCAGCTGCGACTGCCGAGCTGGTGATGGCATTGAAGAACGTCGATTTGCCCACATTCGGCAGACCAACAACACCAATCTTCAGATTGTTGCCGGGCCGTCCCAGCCGGGCCTTATCCTCAGTCGCTTGCTTCTTGGGAGGCATTTTCTTTTTCAAAGATACCGCAGTCGTGGAAAATGCTAGGCGCGAAGTGTATATAACCAAAGGTGTTTTGGAAAGAGTCAAGAGACGAGTCGCAACGAAGCTGGGCTGGAACAACATAATGTGTTATTTTTTTCTTCGGGTTGGAGAGCACAGGCGTGGGTGGCTTCTATGATACGGTCTCAGCAAAGCGAACCTGTGCCTTCCCCCAAAATCCAGGATCAGCGCAAAAAATTTTGCTTCTGACGTAGCTGATTATCGCGGTGATTGGATGCTTCGCATCACGTGAACACACCGTTTGCTGCGTCCGGTGGTCCGGCATACTAGAAACTTCCTGCTTGCGCCGGCGACTTTTCTGGGCTGCAACCACAATGGATGACTGGCCCGACATACCAGACATGCTTATCGATGTCGCAATGTATATGATGCGGTTTTAAAGCACAGATTCATAGTGGTTTGTTTGTGATCTCCATTTGTACCTTAGAAGAGTGCTACAGCAACAGCAATGGCGACTGCAGTGCCGAATGAGCCAGTCAGGACATTGGTGGCGCCACTGGTACTTTTTGAAGCCACTGAGGTGGATGACTTGGCAGTACCTGAAGCTGACGAGCCTGATGATGGAGATTTACCTGTTGGCGAGGCACTTGTTGGCGAAGCAGAGGCAGATAGAGTCAGCCTGGATGGGGCAATTGTCATGGATTTGCTGGCACCAGACGTTGTCGATGCATCTGATGGAGATGAGGTTGCAGATGAAGTTTCACTTCCACCTGTAGGTATGGGCTTGCCGTTGGCAGTGAACCCAGTAATGCCAGCACGCGACAAGATGTTGTTCACAATCTCTGGCGGAAATGCAGTTGCGACCTGCTGGACAAGATCACTGTCGAAGGCTTGGGTGATCTTGGTACCACCGATGACTGAAGTGGCAACCGCATACAGTTTCGGATCTGCTGCCTGAAGCATAGGCAGGCTGTCGTCGATGAGATCCCCTAGATCATCCCAGTGAGCAGAGATCTCAGCGAGCGGGTCGACGGTGGCCAAAGCAACAGAAACCAGGGCAGTAACAGCAGCAATCTTCATGGTTGATGGAGTGAAAGGAAACCTAAAGACCTTGGAAGAGATGTGGTTGGCGGAACGCAGTGGTTTATTAGGCGTGAAGGTGTAGCAAATCCCCAGAACAATGCGTAGCTGCGCTCGGTTTATATACTGGCAGAAACATCTTGTCCACGACGGAACGAAATCAATCCACTTCCAATAACCCCGCTCTGGAAACGACAGAGTGTGAATGGTAAAGCTGACCACGGTTATTTTTACATTGTCAATACGCCACCCACTATGCTATTTCTATAACCTGTACATGTAGTTGTTTCCAGAGATATCATTCAATGGCCTGGGGTACTTTTGTAGCTCTACAAAGACACTGCACTTTTCTTTTGTGATGCTGCTGGACAGATCTGTCGGCTGGGGGTGCATAGCCGTCGATCAAGTTTCCTGATGTCTAAAACAGGTCTCTGGGCTTTCCATTTTCAATATGTACGAATCACATGTGCTCATAAGGGGTTGTGGACAGCAGCATTACATACTCGGCTGACTCGGCTCGACACAATTTGGTGCGGCTCGCTCACGGACAAATGAGATTATCTTCGAGGTGTGTGGAAGATTATCAGGCAAATGTGCCAATCGTTTCTCGGTGTGATGCGCTTACTTTTTCTGCACCGCACATTGCACAATTCCACTTGCTGGCACCGTTTCTTTCCCAATGGCCGGCAGTAAGTGGGATTCTGGGAATAGTCTTGTGGTACTGGATGGGGCTGCCACTGCCCGGGGCTGAATGCGTCCTGGCGCGCCTCGTTCCACGGCAAATAATACACGGGGACAGGCTACCAAAAATAGGCGTCTATAGTGGGAAGAGCAGAGGTGCCCGTGAGCACAAGACCACCACCAGCTGTCATCTATGTACTAAATTGCTCAACGTGTGAACGTGAAACTCGACTGGGATGCGCGAATGACGTACCTCCCTGCTGATGCAATTGAGCTGCGGCCGGATGGAATCCACTTTACGGAATGCAAACCTGCTGCAACTGAGCGTGCGCAGGAACAATGTGTAGTTGGATGTGCTGCTCCCCGAATTCCACCCTGCCCCCAAACTAGCATGTCCGGACGCGTTCCAGGTACAAACAATGAATGCCAGCTAATGCCCTCAATGGAAATAGTCATTCGACATGTATGCGGGAAGCTTGTGTTTTTTGTAAGGTTTATCGGATATCAGGTGGAAACAAACGCAAATTAGGAAATAAGACTCATGCGGGCTTAGAAGAAGGCAGCGGCGGCAACAATGGCGGCACCGAACGAGCCAGCCAGGACCTTGGCGGCGCCGTTGCTCTCGGTCTTCTTGTCAGTAGCCGACGACTTGTCAGCACCCGACTTGTCAGCACCCGACGAGGACTTGGGGGCAGTCGACGGCTTGGCACCCGAAGCAGCGGACTCCTCATCAGCCTCAGAGCCGAGCTCCGAGGTGTGAGAAGCGGACGGCTTGGGAGCCGAGGTGGGGGCAGCCGACGGCTTGTCCTCAGCCGACGAGGACGGGGCGGAAGTGGGGGCGGCCGACGGCTTATCCTCAGCCGACGAGGACTGGGCGGCGGTGGGCTCGGGGCTCGACTCGGCGGCGGTGGGCTTGGAGTCACCAGTGGGCAGGGGCTTGCCATCGGCGGTGACGCCGGTGATGCCAGCCTTCTCGAACAGGTTGTTCAGGATGGCGGGGGGATGGCGGTGGCGACCTGCTGGACGAGATCCGTGTTGAAGGCCTGGGTGATCTTGGTGCCGCCGATGATCGAGGTAGCAGCGGCGTACAGCTTCGCGTCGGCTACCTGGAGAATGGGCAGGTCCTCCTCAATAAGGCTGGTCAGCTGATCCCAGTGCTCAGAGATGGCGGCGAACGGGTCGACGGCGGCGGCGGCGACGGCGGCAAGAGCGGCGATGGCGGCAATCTTCATTTTGAATGTGCTGTGTTTGTTCGTAAAACGAAAGAGGGTATTAGATGTGCGGACGAGATATCCTAACGGTACAAAAGGGAGAGAGGGAAAGAAAAAGATTCTTAGGGCAGTGGAACTTGGTGCATCTGGCAGTGGCCTGCTTCCCGGTTCTGTTTTATACTGCTGTCGGCCCGACATGCCAACAAGGGGCGAATCTGCCCTTAGTGTACGAGACTGAGGGATGAGGCGGCTCCAGACAGCAGCAGTCATTTCTGCCAATAAAGAGGGACGAGGGGGGTGTTGCGAACCTCAATGTCGTCTTCACTTGCACTGGTGGCAAAGGAGAAGAGAAAGGAGGGATTTTCAATATGCCCAATCACATTCGTAGCAAATCTGCAAACATTATCGCAATTTCTGTTGTTGACGCGGCGCTCCCATTGTGCAGCCAGCATTTTCCACTAAAACCGTGGGTGTTTGCGGCCCACAGCCGCCTGTCTGGCAATGGCGTGGAGTGTCAGCAAAAGCATTGGTTTGCGCCCTGTCGCCGCTGTCAAAATGCCGTTTTTCCGTGGGCATATTGGCCAGTTGGCTGTCATATTGAACACAATTGGCCTAGGAGCTGACTAGGACAGGAGCAAAACACACGCCTCTCACTGCCGGCCCTTCTAGGGACACAGGACGGGCAGGGCCAGCAGACGGGGATTGGGCAGAATTTACGGGATCATCTTTAGCCTGAAGCTGGTCGCTTCGCTCAATCCACATTTCCGAGTGGGTTCTCAGTGTATCGCATGCTGCCCGTCGTTGACGCCCAAGGGATGGGACCACTGGCCAGGGCGAATTGCACTGCTAATCATATGTGGCTGCAGAAGGCGTAGAATGGGTTGTCTCTGAAAAATGGACTGCTCCACACGCCGCAGCCTTCCAATCTAAACAGACGCTGCTGTCCGACACGGCATAAGTTTTTTATGTTTTTGGCCATCCCCACACAGCCTGTAGCAAACCGCCATTTACCAGCAACTCGCTGCGAAAGAGGATTTGGGCATTCCGCTTGTGCGACGTACAGTGGTAGTGAGCAGCAATTCTGGCTGTTTTCTGTGTTGCTAGCAAATGGCCAGTCCGCAAGAATGGTCCCACCAGCTGTATTTTTTCCTGCGCAGACCGCCTGGAGGCGGAAGCCACGCGCCCTTTACAGCCAGCCCGCAGGCAGGCGGGCCCAACCGTTTGCGTCGTGCATGCCGAATGGTCCGCACATTCATTGGAAGGGGCAGTCGTAGAAGGGCCTCGCTTTTTGCTGGTCAGCAGCCAGCTCGGCTGCAGGATGGAGGGAAATGGACAGAGACAGAGAGCACGGGATTTGCCGCCTTGACGGGTATCTACAAGGATTCTTTCATATGCCAGTGTCAGGCTGCTTCGCTTATTCCGCTCTGTCCTTCTGGCCGAGCCAGATGGAAACCGGTTGTCATTTCAGAGGAAATGCGTCTCATTATTTTATTGCAGCGAGTGTTTGCCAGCATGTAAAGGGCTCGTGATGGTGCAGACGAGCAAAAGGAGCAACCGCTGCTTCCCAACTGGTTCTCAGACTCTGCGCCCCGCCGATTACTTTGTACAATCACTCAGCGATCTCCCTACGCAAGAGCGTCCGTGCATCGCCAGCTTCTTTTTTGGCCCGCATCGGCAAATCCATGGTATGTTTCGTTTTTGCCTGTTTTGGCGGAAAATGGGGATTATGCTGTATGGAACCTGGCTCCAAGCAGAACGCAAGTGGTGTATGCACCTGCCATGTATAATCATTTTCCCAGAGCCTGGTGGGGAGCTGGTTTGGGGATCCAAAGTGGTCCACTTGCTCCACGCAGTAACCCCGGGTACGTTGGGAGGAGGCAGACTGACAGCCAGCCAGACTACTCATGTCAGGATAGCAGCTCAGCACCAGACATTTTTTGGGGAGGAGGGCTGAGGGACGAGAGGGAGGCAAGGCTACTGCTGTCCGGCAATCAGGTGATACGATTGTGTTGGAGCCGGTGACGACGTGTTGGGCATGGTATGCACCCGCTGGGATTGCAAGCACACCATGCCGCTGAGCGTGAATGCAGCAGTCCCGGACCGGCATCGTGGAGGAACAGATCGAGATAGACGCTGCGGTGTGCTCGGCGCACTTGTAGCCTCCGATGTCTTGGCTTTCCACATGTCGCTGGCCACAGTTATGCGCACCGCCATCGATGTGTGTCCTGCAGATATGCAAATGCACGAGGAGAGCCAGATGAGATCCACATGGAGCGATGCCCTCACATGTATCTGCTTGGCGCAATGGCTTGCAGCGCGCAGAAGGCAAAGCGTATGGTGATTCGGTGATTGGAGCGAAAATGTTGCACAGGGAAGGCCAAGGGGTGGTGGCACCCCACTGGTGACCACCCCCTCACTTTTTTCCATTCGACTAGCTGCAGCGGCTGCCGCTTGCTGCCGCAGCGTGCTGAGGGAATGCGGAAAAGGGAAAGGGGTGGCCAAAAGTAGTGTGGATCCCACTCTTGGTGTATTCTTGGACTTGGACATCCATGAAGCGTTCGGGACAAGCGAATCTGCTGTGCAAGTAACGTGCAATTCATCCTCAATCTCCACTGAGCCGAGCTAGGCAGCGCAGAGTGGGAATGCAAAAGGGGGCAGTGGGAAACTGCTGTATTACGAGCGATCGTCGAAAGAGTACATTCACCCACGATGTATTTGGGCCTCCCCACCCGGCACGCAAACAAAAACGTAAGTTTGCAGTAGGACGCTGGACCAGGGGGAGGGGCTAATGTGGTGCCAGGCGAGCTGCCTGGCTGGCTCATCGCTACATCATGATGGACCGCATCGCAGCGATAAAAACCGATAGTCGGGACCACGCTAGGCGGTCCACTCACCCTGTCTCTCATTGCTCTTGCATAGATTTTTCTCCCCTCTTTTCTGCTGCTCATACTCGTGTCATCTGCTAGTCTATTGCCGCCCACTGACGTATATTTTCACCCGCGCCCAGCATACTGCGTCGTCACGAGCCAATATCTCTTTTTGTTACAAACGACCCACGCGCTCCTCGCCGCCTACCGAAATAAGACTCGAAACACCACAAGGTACGTGCAAAAGCAGCTTCCGTGGTTGCCCAGAGCGCATAAAGACCCATTTTGGTCACTGAATCACGTTCATGGAAGGAATTTCTTACCCGATCCACCTTGACAGCATATTTCACATGCTATATGTGCCTCCGCGTGGGGAGAAGAGGGGAGCTGTGCTTTTCTGTCCTACGGCCGTGTGATCGACTTTGCCACCAAATATGCCGAGACTGCTTGTGCTGCTGTGTATGCCTGGACATGTGCCAAAGTGTGTGCGGGCGGAGAAGGACCTGCCAGTGAAGTCGAGTGTCTAGTGACCGCAAGGTGTGTCCGTGTGTGCGCCCCTAAATCTGGACAAAAATGCGCAAAGGACATGGGTCGGAAAGCGATTGACAGTGCTCGGCACACCAAGCAGCGGTCGGTCACTGCTCCCCGACCTCTTGCCCCCACCTCCACCGGTTGCCCAAAACTCCTGGGTTCTACTGCCGCCTGCAATCTTTTTGGTCGGTTGGCGGAAAATCGCCTTGCAAAATTTGTTGGAGATGCAGTAGAAGAAAAAATGGCGATTCCTCTGGTGACCAATGCTATGCAGGCTGACTTTCTCCCAACCTTTCCCTTCCCGCCTGCGCAACCTGTATGCCCACCTCCTGTCGCCGTGCTCAGGGGCAAGAGCGTCCGTGGGGCATGATCACATATATAAGAACACAATCCCTCTCGTCCGTCCATCTCCAAAGTGGCTCATTGTCAAAAAAATTTCCCTTCGCTTTTTTGTTGCAGACTATCCTAAAGGCGGGTTCCTCTTCTCCTTTCCTTTCCAGTTTGCTCCATTATCTCAGATATTTTTGACACCTTTATTGACCTCCCTATTTCGCTCTCCTTAACGTTTACTTAGACGAACTCTTCTGCCATGTCGGACTCTCCGCAGCGCTCCGTTGAGGCCGCTCAGTCGACGGACGAGAAGAACCTGGGCATTGTCGAGTACGACGTGTCGCGCGTCTCCCGTCCCAAGCTCATTCTCTTTGCCATTGGGTAAGTTGCATAGAATTTTCGGCTCATATTGCGCTGCGACTAAGCCATCCTGCCTACTGCTTCGTGATTGTGGCGCCTCCAGATTCTGCTGGAGGAGTGCGCACACGACAAGGGACAGCTGCAGTGAGGGCCTTGCATGTGGCGCTGGGGTGTCTATGACAGCTGGTTTCTGGGTTCGGGCAGTAGCTCTACGGCCCGCCCGCCCATCTTGTTTACTGCTGCTCGGGATCGCAGGGCGGCATCTGGGATGTGCCTGCCGCCCTCCCCAGGACCGGCAGCACCGATGCACTGCAAAAAGAACCACTGCTCCTTCCCATTTGCGGACCATCCATCCGTCTGCCTGTTAAAATTGCCACAAGGCGGTTTGGGACCTTTGACTGGGGTCTCATTTCCATATTTGCCTCGCAGCCTTTTGGTTTTCTTTTTGGGTTCTGGCAGAATGTCGCTATGCCTCTTGGTTCCTAGATTGTATCACCTCAGTCCCAACAACTCTGGCAGCGTCCTGTTCGGCATCTGGGGAGGTGCCACCACAGAAAGAATAAAGCACGGTGGAAACGCCGATGGCGAGGGCCAGGAGGATGATCCCCGCTTTATTTTGGTCATCAACAGATCACCGCACATCTCCCATCAATTGGCCTACTCGCCCCCACATGTGAAGGTGCATATGCTGCAGCGCAAACCTTGTTTACACTTCGATAGAACATTCGCATCATTCCACCTCGCATCTGCCAGCTAATCCGGATAACCATTGTGTAGTGCATTCGTCGCCGTGTTTGCAGCCAGCTACTCGGCCGTGGTGCCGGCGTCGTTCTTTGTGCAGGCCGCCATCCCGTGGGGTGTGTCAGTTAGCTCCCTGTGGATGATTGCAGCGTACCTCATCGGCTATCTGAGCTTCATTCTGCCAGCGTCCCGGATTTCCGAGTATACCGGCCGCCTGGCGGCATTCTGGTTCGGTCTGATCATGTTTACTGTGTTTGCGGGCGTCGCGGGCCATGCCAGCACCGCGCGCACTTTTGATATTTTGCGCGCATTCCAGGGTGTCGGTGCCGGTTTCATGACGTCCATCAGCCATCTGGTGCTTGCCAGCAACACGTCGGCCAAGAGCCGCTCCATGTTCATTGGCGGTTTGGTTGCCGCGCAGCTGTTCGGCGCTGGCTCCGCTCACATGATCGGCGGTGCCCTTGCTGCTGAGGGCAAGTTCCGCTGGGGAATCTACCTCGGAGCTCCTCTGATGGCCGCTCCGGCGCTGCTGTGCACGCCGGCGCTGATTGCTGACAAGAAGCCCACGCGCACTGAGACCGTGGCCAACCGCGTTATCCACTACGACTACATTGGCACATTCATCCTCATCGGCACCGTTGTGATGCTGACCCTGGGCACTGTGTTTGGTGGCAACGAGCATCCGTGGGGCTCGGCCATGGTCATCTGCCTGCTTGTGTTTGGAGCCGTCGGCATTGCCGTGTTCCTGGTGTACGAGAAGCTTATGGCCAAGCGCCCGCTGATGGACAACCAGTGGCTGCACGTGCGTAATCTGCAGATCTCGATCATCGGCATTCTGTTCATCTCGATGACTGTGTATGCGCTGGCTGTCTATGTCCCGATCATGTACATGACTGTGCGCCAGCTGCCGACCAACAAGGCTGGCCGCATGTCGGCGCCGTACTGGGGCACTAGCATGGGAGCTGCGCTGCTGTCTGGTCTTGTTCTCCGCTACCAGCCCAAGGCCGCGCGCCCGCTGATCTGGGTCGGCCTCACCATCGGCACCATCTTCGCTGGCCTGTACTACACCTTCACGGTCCATGGCGACATCACCAAGGAGCGCGCGTTCCTGGCTCTGGCTGGCGCCGGTGTCGGTCTTGCCTTCCCCGCCATCACCTACATTGCCCAGATCTGTGTTGCTGCTGACGAGGCTGGCTTCGCCGCCGTCATGGGCCACTTCCTGTCGATCATCGGCGGTATGCTTGGCCTGATCCTGTACCAGGCTGGGCTGAAGAGCCAGCTGATCAAGAACCTGCAGCCCATCTTCGTGGCCGATCCGCTGCTTTCCGTGTTCAATGTGCCCAAGATGGATATTGCTGCGCTGGAGGTGGCTGCGCCCAAGATGGTCGCGTTCGTGACCAAGAAGAAGGCTGACCTCATTGCCGACCACATGATGCACTCGCTGCACATCACCTTCATCCTCTCGGTGCCGTTCCTGGGCGCCGCCCTGCTGATCACGCTGCTATACAAGCACCACCACCCCCAGCACTAATTATAATCTTGTCATTATCGTACATTCTCCTCTTTACTTGTCACAGTTAACTAATCTTCCCGACTTTTTTTCTCCACTCCTCCCCCTCCCGCCCATCCGTTGACGTGCAGAGCATTCTCCCACCGCCCATACTCCCCCTTCGCCCTTATCACGACCCGCTTTCTCTTTTCTGTGTTTAACGAAAATGACATTCGCCCCCACCTTGGCCCCTTCAGGATCACTATCTGGTAATTTAATCTTCAATCTGAGGGTATTTGTCATCTCGGCGAATAGAACGCCGAGCCATCGGTGCGAATCTCCTCCCTAGTAGCTGGCTGCAATCAGGTCCTGAGTCCATTGGCTCCTCGGGACGTGTCTGTTGTGGCAGGGGATCTGCTGGGTTCCGTCATTGATGTCCTGTTTTGAAAGGTTTGCCGTTCTCTGCAAGCTGGCGTGGAGGGAGTTTGTGGCAAGACCCAATCGACGGGTTTTAGGCATGTGCCTGAAACAGCGTTTTAAGCTAGCATGCACACTATGAAGCGCTGCAGCAGTTGTTCCTTCGTCTGCGTCAAGCAAGGGCCAGCCGGTCCCCCACTGTTGAGGATTGCAAGTCACAAAAATAAAAGTTTTCATGCTCGGTTGACTTGATTCACGAGACAGGTATAAAAGACCAGGAAGCCCCGCCAGTATCCACCAGAACCCGCTAGCTGCTTTTTTTTACCACCAGGCTCCATTGGTTTTTCTCCTTGTTCCTGCATTAACTCAGTCTACATTCCCCATTCATTACAAAGCTCACTAGCTCTGAGAAATACGCTCGCCATGTCGCCGACTTCCTTCCATCAAGAGCACATCGTCCTCGATCACCGTCCAGTTCTTCACGCAGTCTGTTGCTGAGCCGCAGATCAGCCGCCGCGTTATTGCCCGGAGCCACCAGCAGGCTGGAATTGGCGGATACAGGAACATCCACAAGCCGTCGCATATTGGCGGGCCCACGAGCCGGCGGTACCAGGACAGCGGGATGGGCAAGACTTGCCACAAGCACTAGCTTCTTTCCAGTGTTCTCTCTTCTGTATCATTAAAAGTTCGAGTTTCCATCGTAATGGTTCCGAATTATTTTTTTTTTGCAAGTCACAAAAGCGCCTACGTACTTTTCAGAGTGCTCGTAGTCAGTCAACTGATAGAAAGGTGCTAGTTTCTGCTGGTTGTTTGTTGCATTGGTTGCGGATTTCCATCTTGATAGCCCGAGCAGTTGTCCCCTGGATCGGAGTGCAATGTGGCGGAAGTGATAGCGAGCCAGATGTTGTGTCTGCGGCAAAAGGCCCGCAATAGCCAGGCTCCGGATTACATGGCACGGTATACCGGCGCGAGGTCCACCTCAGACAGCCATCCCCCACACGACCCCTTAGATAGGCAGCGATTACAGAAACACCATTCCGGCGCAGCGGATACAGCCCTTGATCAGGAGGTTTGCCGTTTGATTAGGGAGTGGTCGAACTGGCCTCCATCTCCACATCGACCTCGCGTGGACCGTTCCTTCCTCGCCCCAAAATCCACCAGAGGTCTTGCTGCTGCCGTCTTATCGATCGGGAGACCGAATAGGCAACACTCCAGCAACAACAGTGAACCGGTCATGCAATTGCGCTGTTCCGTGTAATAAACAGGCTGCTATTTCCAGCCACCTGGTGCTACCAAGACAAGGCAGCATTTGGCCACAGAGAGAATGCTTGAGAAACCCACCATGACGAGGGACCGTGTCCCTTTAGAGGCGATAGTGACTGCTTCTGCGATCCACTTGGCGGACCTCGCTCTGAAACATGGTCGCAAGATGCAGGAAAGCCGCGTCAAAAGGAGACTGCGTCAAACCTCGAGTCTCCTCAGGAATCCTCCAACAAGGGGACGGCGTCTAGATATAAAAGGGAGCAGGTGCGGGATGCTCTGACCTTCCTGGCCATCCCACTCATTTCTGTCACATCAATACCACTGTTTACAGGTATAACATATAGTCCTACTGATAATGTCGACTGCGGCCGCTCCCATTGTTATTCCTTCGTCCGACTCTGTCCACTTCAGTGCCATCTTCTAGTCTTGTGATCCGCTACACCACGCCCCAGCCCATGCCATCCTCCCACCGCCGCAGCAGCAGCAACATCGTCATGCCCACTGTGCGCAGTGCCGGCATCGGCGGCTACAAGAACGTCCAAATTGACTCCATGATTGGTGGACACATCCGCGAACGCCGCGATTCCGGTATGGGCAAGCTCTGCATGCCGCACCAGTCGCCTAGGTCTGAGCGTCGGTTCTCTTTCAAGCGCGTCATGTCGTTCAGCAAGCTGCGCCGGGCGTCGGCTCCCGAAACCAACTAAAAAAACTTGTAATTCTGTACTAATAAATCGCGCTTTCTATTTCCTCGGTATCCGCCGCTTGCCCTTGCTCTTGGCTGGCGCCTCGGCCACGCCCACCACCGATGCGCCCTGCAGCGAGCTGCCCGATGCGCTGATTTTCTCCTGCGCAGACACAAAAGAACTGCAGATCCCGCACCTGCTCCTTCAGGTCATCCATGCTGTGGTTCATCTGCGCGATAGTCTCGTTGAGCTTCGCCTGGTTGGCTATCAGATGCTGCGACAGCGCCTTTTCTTCGGCCAGCAGCCGCGCATCGTCAGTCGACTTCTTTATCCACTTGGCCACACTGGACCTCAAGCCGCTTCCGCTCCTCAGCCCACTCGCGGCGCTCAGACTCGGCCCGATCGCGCTGCTTCCCAAGATCCCTCCGGAACTGGATCCTCGTGCTCAGGTCCTGCGCCGCTGCCAGTCCTGTGTACTTTGTCTCAAGCTCGGCAAATTTGCGCTCGAGGTCAGCGTACTGCTTTGGCCACCGCGCATTCTGGTGCTGCTGGCGGGCGAGCTGGATCTCGTAGTGCTCGCGCTGCGACTCGAGCTGCGAGGTAAGCAGGATCTCATACTCTTCGGTCACTGCATCCAGCTTTTCACGCGCCTCAAAGTACACATCCGAGGGGCAACTTGGCACCTGCTGGCTTGTCTTGGAGTCCGGCGGAGTGCTGCGATTAAGCCGCGATGTGCCGGCTTGCGGCACGGCCATTCTTGTGTGTGCTGGCGCCGACAGCTCAACTAGCTTGCCGTCAGCCTTGTTCTGTAGCAGCCGGTGCACATATCCATCCCCGACGTAGTCCCAAACGCGCTGCGATTCGAGCTCCATCGAATACGGGTGCTGTGTCTGGCTGAAGTGGTCTTTGGCATGGCCGTTGACATACCGCCCACACCCGATCGTACCGCAGATAAGACATATCCACAGGTCGCCACCCCCCTGGACATACACTGCACCGGTTATCGCTCGAACGCTCAGTGTTTCCCTGGCGCATCTAGTTCCGACTCCTGGTGTGTGGGAGCGATCAGCCAACCGGATCTGTGGGAAGCTGCCCACGGCTTGCTGGAACCGTTCCTGGTCAACGAACGGCGACGTCTGGCTGTAGCGACACACGGGGCAGTTGCCATCGCCCCATTTGGCCAGACACCGGCAATGGAACGTGTGCTGGCACATAATCGTCAGCAGCCCCTGACGCTGAGCTGTCCAGTCGCTCCAGACATACCGGGCACGTCGGTAGTTCGTTGATGTCATCCACATCCCATTTGGGGTGCATAAACAGATTGCTCTGCAGCTGCCTTTACTCGTCCGTCGCCCTCGATATCATCGACCGCAATCTCAGCATACTCACACTCGACCTGGCTGATATAGACGACATGGCAGTTCTCGGGCTCCAGCGGGCTGAATGTCTTGCCATTGTAATACATGTAGAACTCGTCGGCATCCGCCGCTGCAGTAAGCCGTATCAGTATCATGTAGTGGTTGGGTGAGCGGTCGCGCAGCACACGGAGGTGCTCGATCCTGCTCTGAAACGGCGCCACGAACGACAAAAAGTCCGTCGGCGTCATGTACCCAGGCACTGCCAGAACTGCCAGCACGCGCGGCCGATTCGCTCGGGTGCTCACAGGTGTGCTGCTGCCATGCGACGACGACCCTGAGGCCTCTGCTGAACTATTCAGAGGCTGTGGCTCTGCTATCTGTTGATTGCTGCGAAACAGCCTGAGAATCCCGACTTCGCACTCTGCCGACAGCTCCTGGCATTACCTCGAACACTGCACTCAGCCCAGTCTGCACACCCTGCATGCTGCTGTCTTTCTGGATTCTAAACCACTCGAGCTGGATACGTCCAAACCGATAGTCTACTGCGGTATGCAGGAAGTTTGCCAATTGCTGCGTCTGCTGTGTGAATTCGCGGACCTGGCCGTCTGTGCTTCTTTAGTGTCGACAAGTGCTGGAGATCACCGGCCAGGCTCTGCTGGAATATGTTGATACGCTTTGTCTTTGGCTGTGCTGTGACGACGTTTGTGAGGCCCACGTAGAGCTTGTAAACGTACATTTAAAAGTTGATTTTGAATTTGACAGAGAGCGGGGAAGGAGAAGGTCCAGGAATAAAAACGCGTTGCGCAAGCTTGTGCACCCAGCTGTTGACGTCACATGTCTTGGCACGCTGCGGCTCTCGAGTATAAAAGGCCGGCCAGGGTCCAGGCGACCCGGCGGACAGACCTGTCCTATTTGCCCAATGCTTTTGTCTGCGCTCGATTTATTCACTTACCTTTTGAATTTCTCGCTCTTGGCAATTCTCGTATTCGCAATGTCTAACCAAAACACGCCGCCCGCCTTTCACATGCCCTCGGCCGAGGAGATCCAGGCCAAAGTCGACGAGTGGACGCCCAAGCTGGTCGGCAAGTACATCCACGACGACGTGCGCCAGGAGCCCAACGACCTGTCCAGCATCGCCGCCGACATGGTCGTCAAGGTCTCGGAGCTACCTGCACCCGTACGCGTGATCCGGCCTGGGATGCCGGTGACCAGGGACTTCCGCCCGTCGCGACTCAACGTCAGCGTCGACGGCTCGGGGCTCATCAAGGCGGTCACCTTCCACTAGTCGAGCATTTTGATAACCCCTAAACCTAGATGCTTTTCGTTTGTAAATGGGATGTGCGGCTGCATTTTCGAGTCAGGAGTTGAGAATGATGGTGTGCGAGGTGCGTTCTATTCCTGGGCAGAGCTGGCCGGCCGTGGCATATAAAAGGACTGGCTGTGTGGTCTTGCTGATTGACTATTCCTATCTAATCTCTTGTCTCCACTATTTCTCCACTAAATACACGCCGCCATGTCCTCTAGCCCCGCCCACAGCGCTCTCAAGCAAAAGGTCGACTCTATCAGCGCCGGCGACTCTGAGGCTTCCGTCATCAGCCTGCTGGGCCAGCCGTCGTCCCGCGAGGCCTCTGGCGACTCCACCAAGCTCGTCTGGAGCTGCCCTGGCCACGCCTCCAGCTACATCTATGTCTATATCAAGGACGGGAGCGTCACCCAGTCCGGATGGAGCGAGTAGAAAGCGATAATAGCCCTGCAAATAAATATCGTTTCGACCAGCAGACATGTGCTGGCGGGTTTTAAGAATATTGGTATTGGCAACACTGCACGAATGTATAGGGATATCACCTGCTGCTACCGAAGGTCATCTACTAATAGCAGCAAGGGTGAGGCTGTGCATCACGTGTAGCTCTGTTCAACCATTGGCCGTGTGACGAGCCCCAAATACTGGTCCCAGGTCTAACCAGTTAACCACATATTGGGTTTCTGGATGCTCAAAGGGATTTATCCTCTTAAATCTCACCGCAGAAATGTGTGGCTCGCCTTGCAAGCACGCTGTTGTGGAGCCAAGTCTATGGCAGAAAGCCCAGGCGAGTCAGTGGAGCAGCAAGCTGTCACTCAGGCTCCAAGCATGCAGTCTACCACTGCGTTCACTACTGATGGAAGCTCTAGCTTCTCGAGTCATTTCCATCTTTTATATTACTTAGATATCATCTTACTGCACAGCGCCCTGGACCAGATATGTGGCAATTTGCAGTCTGACTCCACTATAAATACTGGGCAGTTTGACTCAGATGTTTGAGTCTGACAATAGCCTTTCCTTGCTATGGGCATCGCTTCCATCAAACTGGTACCGCAGTATTGGGCAAGATAAGGCTATGTGCCTAACGCCTGCCATATTCCCTTCCCTTCCCTTCTCCTTAATATTCTCCGTGTCTTTCTTCGTTCTCTCTACCACTCTGTTCACTTTTTCTTACGAGCTCTTGACGAATACAGAACTGCCAAGTACCTGCGTTTATTAACCCCCTTCCATTGCATGATAAAGCAACTTGTACCAGCCCCACATTCCAGCTTTTCTTCTGCAAGTTCAAGACTCGGAATCTACTTTGTAAAGGAAACCACATCCAAAGGAAAACACTAATTTTGGCATATGACTGAGTGGTAACCATTCCTGTCTCTCGCTATAACATCTATTGCTTGGATAAGAGTTGACTTCTTCCCTGACTGGGCATTGGGTTCAGGCGGTAGGCTCAGCTGTTTAGTATCTGGTTAGCCCGATCCCAATGATGGCTATGCTCATTTCCTCCTCCATTATACATGTTGGTTAATCGATTAATATCATTCAGTTACTCAAATGAAAGTTATCCTCTACCCCAACTATACTATAGATTCAGCTAGCTACCCCAGCTGCCAAGTGGTGGACATTTTACTTGTTGCCGTTGATCGATCTCTGATGAAAAGTGCAAATGATGACATTAAAAAAAGAGAGAGATCTGACCATTTGGTTATTGTGAGCTGGACTCACCACTCTGTTCAAATAAGTTTTTCCCTATCCTTGCTTCATCAAACAGTAGGTCAAATGGATTTCTCTCTACTCATACATGCCAAGAATGCCTCAGTGGCTGGGATGGTTATTGCCGTATGTACGCTGCATTGTTCTCATCCCGGCCCGACATGGCTGGATGCAAGAAAGGGAGAATGCCTTCGTTCACAGCTAAGCCAATGCCATCAGATGACAGCAGATTGTAGAAAGCGTACAGTCCTTCTACAGCAGTGTAGAATGTTCGGAGATCAAAACACTGCCTGACAATGTAGGAAGGAGGTGTAAACCGGATATCAGAATGCACACGGACAAGTGGTGTTTTATGAGGATGGCACCGTACACCGAGACCAGGTTTGCATCATGCTGTGGCAGAAAGAGAAACGGGTGATTGGAAGGGCAGACATTCCACGCCTCTCATGCCATACGTTTCAAGAGCAAGACATGTTTGGTGGTTCCATCTGCAGACAAGCTTGCTTGTGAAACAAAACTGACAACCCCCACATGCACACACACCTCAATTTTCACAATTGTGCAATAAGGATGTGTTCTCCCTGAGTCTTGTGAAATAAGGAATCGCCAGTTGCTGTGCGTGCCGCTGTATTTTTAGGATGGCAAGTGCTGCAACAGCCAGCTGAATGGCGGGTGGGTGGAAGGGCGGAAGGGCGGACAGGGTGCTCCACATAGGCGCGAGCAATCCGATTCCCCCCACAACATTGAGCCTGCTACCCTGTCCTGGAAATCGTTCTTAATGATTACCACGGCTCCAGCTTTCAGGATCCTCTTGCTCTTTAACATTGAATTAAATACAGGCCCAGTATTACATAGGCAATGCTGGGTTCATTCTGGAGCTACACGCCATGAAAACTCGTTGCGCTTATCAGAATATTTGTGTACGCTCTGTAGACATAGCAGTTGAAACAAGTGCCCAAGGAAAGAGGTGACCTCGTGAGTAAACAGCCGCATATCCTGGCTAGCAGAACAGGATAACTGCTACCCATCCTCACTGCCCTTATGACATCCACATGTCAGAAGTTACAAGCGATACAAATAAAATTGTAGAGCGGGCTGGAACACCCGAAGATAGATATATTGGGAAAGTGTGAGAGAGTGCAGAAAGGCACTAAGCAAGTAGAAAAATATAGAAGAAAGACAAGAAGGATCCGGTCCAGTATTGGACTTGGTAGCAAAATATAAAGAGAAAATAGAACAATGAAATGAGGAAAATCTAATTCTGATACCATATGCATGTCCTGGCCAGGTGAACAGCATACAGGCAATTGTGCGTGCTGTTTTCAAGCAAGATGCCGACTCTCGTCAATTTGCAACCAAGGCATATCCGGCAGATGATGGCTATTCTGTCGACCACTCATTCGTTGGTGGGAGGAGTAGGCAGGGAACTACACGCAGGCTTTGCTTGTTATTTTGCAGGAAACTGGGGTTGCGACTGGCGTGAAATAGGTGGTGTTCAAGACACGCCAGGGTACTGGCCGTCTTTTAAACCCCTAGGTGGACAACTCCCAACGACAGCTGCACATTCTCTCTCTACCACCACTACTCATAAATAACACTAGCTTACACTTGACACTCCTTATCATGTCTACATATGCAGACAAGAGGTATTCTGAATCACCATACCTTTGGTATAGTCTGTTCAACACAAAATTTGTCGTTTTGAATGGTTCTGACTCTGATACCATGAAGAGACGGAGGCTATATATCGCCTGCAAGAGAGCCCAGCATGAGACGTCGACTCTGACTGACTACCTGCCATTTGCTGACGCCTACAAGAACCGCCCTTGGCTAAGTTTATATCAACCCGAGTTCATGACGAAAGCCCCGCTCATACTGGAGTGCCAGGTCGAGTGCTCATGTACTGACAGCAGCTGCAAGAAGAGGCATGGGCGCGTTTGGAAGAGCAACGTCAAAGAGCTGAAAGATTGTGGTCTGCTGCCCTCGGTGAGCGAACTTTGCATAATCCTGTATAAGGACTGTCCGAAGGATCTCCATCTCGACGAGGCTATCCAAGAGCTCGGTATTCCCAGTGGCGCGATTGCCAACACGAGGCTTACCAAGTTCCTAGGACCTGGTTTGTCCCTTGCTGGCAAGGACCAAGGTCCAGAAAACGCGAAAATGGAGATGGAACGGGTTGTCAAGTGTATCCTCGAGCACTGCCCGCATGTCGAGGAACCGTGGTTCCATCCAGAGCGCGTTTGGGGCCCAAACGAGGGAATTCTTTGTGAAATATCTGGTGTCGGAACGGAGATGATGACGATGCTTTGCAGTATGCTCCACCCGCGCCTAACGATGATGCAGGTCACACGGCCGTTCGCAGCCTATACCGACCAGCAATTCTCGCCAAGTCTCGAGTATCTCGCACTGGACCTGAAGCTTGTTTCGGAGCTCGTGCACTTGCCGCTTATCCCAACCGCCAATATTCGTCATCTCGAACTAATCGGAATCTCAAACAGCATCAACTGAGGCATTCTCAAAATGGGGGCAGATGGAAGTGTGCATTTCCCAAATCTCCAGACGCCTGTGTTGTGGTTCAAGACGCCAGCGATAGGCACTGTGCATTCTTCGCTGGACATATCCAGAGTTGTGATACCAGCGACCGTTGATGTCGAGGTTAATGGGATAAACAATAGCAAAGGCACCATCTGGAAATACTTCACAAAGGGATGCCACCAGCTGTCACCCATTGAATATCCGTCGGTGCTTAGAGATATTGAGGTCTACAACCTCCAGCGCTCTAGACATTTCAAGCTCAGGTTGATCCCGGAAGAGGGTGATCACAGCAAGCCTCTCCCGCTTGTGGGGATGAGAAAGTTCTTTGGCCACAGGAACTGCGAAATCCGCAAAATGTCGGTGACTGGCATCAAGCTCATGGTACCTCCGACCGTGAATTTGCACAACGTGGGGGACCTTCATCTGTCTCTAGGAATCGCAGACAGCAACACCATTCTCAACCTGGCACACCGGCTGACGAGGCTGAGGATTCCGCGCATCCGCTGCTTCTCGATGTACCGCAAGGATTTGGACAATCCTGGGTGCAGGGTTCACTTTGTAAACAAGGATCATGAACTGGATATCATTGCTTTGCATGCAAGGAAGGTCCCGATGGTAGCCAGAAAGAGCCTGGTCTGCCTGCACCTGTACCCACGCATGGGGATTGATCCAAACGGGTTCATCGAGCTGGTGACTTGGTTCCCAAACATGGCCGAGATACATGTTAATGGCGAGATAGCCGAGTATGTGGACCGGGCTTTTAATCCTCTTCCTGTCATAACCAGCGCGATTGACCCAAGCACGGTGTAGTTCAGTTTTTCATCCGATTCCTTCTTTCACCTTTTATATCCGTACCTATCCGTATAAATGGTATCTGTGAACGAGCTACAGCGAAAATGAAGCATCGGCTAGAAGCGAACATACAGAGCGCTGCAAAGAGCCCATTGCTGAAAGGGCAGCTGTTATACGACTAGTCACGGGTAGCATAACCCGCTACATTTCCTGGATCACTAGCGTGCATCACATTGCGTATTACATCTTGTGCCCTACCAGCAGCTCCGGGACTGCTAAATATGGCTAGATTGCGGCACACCAGCACACAAGAAGTGGGTTTCTAGAACAAAAGCGGTCACGAAAGTGACATGTAGTTCTGAGTTATTCTGTTTATTGGCTCACAAACAGAGGGCGCTAGCTAATAAAAGGAGGCACGCTTCACCTTTTTGAATTTTATATCTAGTTTCCGTTTGAATACAAATTTGCAATTTCCTTTGCCATACCCATGTTCAACCCTATCGATAATAATCATTTCAGATGCCTTTATGATGGGAAATTTACAAACGATAATAAAAAATCAATGCTTTGGTTCGACCTTGGCATGAGGTTGATAGAATATGTCCACATTTCGTGTTCATATCTGCCCATAGCATGTAGCCACTATAGGATTCAGATTCTGGACGCCCCTGATTAGGCCACAGAAAATCGAACTGGTGTCCTCAGTACTTTGGCTATATACCTTCAATACAATTTTTGAACATCTGTGGTATTCGAGAAACACTCGTGATGGCTTGAATGCCTGGAATAAGCTACACAAAAGCTATTTTAGCAACATTGTACATTGGTGCCTTTGTTTTATTTCTGCAAATGGTAGTGGTTGTCGGGTGGAGCTGAAACCATGTACAATAGTTATCTGCTGGCGAAAATGGGTGGAGTTGATAACCTATTTCCATATAAATCAACAGTCCAACATGGCTGTATGTATTTAAAATCTTTAGTTTTACAAACTACATACGCAACATTGCGATAGTCTAAACGTTATATTCCAAGTGCGGTTAGGAAAGTTAGGAAGGAGGGATGTGTGTTGGTTCAGGCAGTCCAGGCAGCAAGCTACGAGGCACGGTTGCCAGTGTCAGCGGTTCCGGTAGGCCGCTGAAATCGTACCCATTGTTGCCCGCGCCGTTCCCACCTCTTGGCATTCCCAACCTATCGCAGTGCTCTAGCAGCTCCTCAGGAATCTTCTGTCTGTGCTGGAGCACATCTGGTGCCTCGATGATGGTCACCTGCATGCCGCGGAACATATGGTCCATGACGTGGCAGTGCATCAGCCAGGCACCAGGGTTGTCAGCAACAAACCTGATCTTGACATATCCAAATGGCGGTGCCAGCACTGTGTCGCGGCGCATCGGGAACGGCCCAGATCTTTGGAACCGTGGCGGCTCGGCTGGAATCAGCGCAGGCCCAGTGGTAGTATTGAGGCCAAGCAAGGGCCCGTACTCGACGACCTGGAAGTTGTGGCCGTGGAGGTGGATAGGGTGGTCGAGGTTCTTGCTGTTTATGATATTGAACTCGACGGCCTCCAGATGCCTCAGCACAATGGCGTGCGTCTGCGGGCCGTACACCTCCGGATCCATCGCCAGTCTGCCCATAGATGCCATGGAGAACAGCGACGGCGTGCGTGGCTCAATATAGGTGATGTTGTTGAAGCTCGTGTGGGACTGGCCGTTGGTGTACAGCTGGTCAGCGATGTGCAACTCAACGGAGCGAGAGACTTGCAGAATTGGCTCACGATCCTTGGATACCAGCTCAATGTCTTTGACAACTCGGTAGTCTCCTGGGAATGGCACTTTCTTCACTGGCGCACGCTTCTTGTACTCCACCAGTCCCGTATACACCTGTGGGTTTCGGCCATTAACATTGGGCAGGAACGCCGCGTAAAGCGTCGCGTTGTATCGGTAGTTGAATCTGTTGGTGTCGTGTGCCTTCACTAGAACCGAGTAGCGCTGGCCAGGGCCCATGTTGAGGACATCGACAGGATATGGCAGCGAGTAGTAGCCGTCAGCCTCAATCACCTCCAGGGTGTGTCCAGGGATGCTGAACATAAAGCTTTCGGTAGTGCCCATGTTGATAACGCGAACGCGGTATGTCTTGCCAGGTTCGAACCGGATCGGCTCCGCTTCGTTACCGTGGTATCCGTTAATGAGGCCAGTAGGGAACGATGCCGGTGGCGGGAACCTGTTGGCTGGGTCCAGAATTTCCGACTCCTTCTGTGGAAACTCCTTGGTGTACCAGTCCTCAAGCGCGAATGTATAGTCGCCATCGTAATCATATGGCCTGACCCTGTCTCTGACAATAAAAGAAGTGCGTAGGCCGTCGGCATTTTGACCTTGGTCGTGGCCGTGGATCCAGTACGTGCCGGCCTGGCTGGTGTCGATATGGTATGTGTAGGAATCGCCAGGCGGTATACCGCACTCAGACACCATGGCCGCTCCGTCAAGGTAGCTGGTTCCGTTCTGGAAGAACCCATGTGTATGGACTGTGGTAGGCTGGTCTAGCGAGTTGTGCACGGTCAGCACCACGCGGTCGTACTGGTCCACTTCGATAGGTGGGACTGGTGTCTGGCCATTAACACCAATAACACGACGCATCTTGATACCATCGCGGTTGGCCATGACATAGCCGATGTCCCAGTTGATGGCGACATGGGCACCTAGAGAGAGGGAGCTAAAGAGAGATAGGAGAGCCGTTATTTTCATGATAAAATAGGGTGGAAAAGGGGGAGGAAGGGGGAGGAGGAAAGAGGGAAGAGGAAAGGGGATAGTGTGTTGAACGGCGCGAGCCTCAAATGTGGTCTTATAAGCGCAAATCGCTCATTACATGAGCAAAAAACGCGCACTCTGATCATGACTTGCCTGCAGCATGGAAGCCTCCTCTCCATAGCTTTCAGACCTGGTGCCAAGCTATAGGTCTTTGAGGAGCCACTCATGGCTTCCGCAATTCTGCAAGCAGGTGCTGTCTGGTTTGATGTCGCGCCGGTGTCCAAATGTGCCACTGTGCGCAGGACAATGTCTGGTGCGTGAGGCTTGAGTGCTACACCTCATTTTAGATTGGCGAAAACAATATGACGTACAGTAGCAGCACAAGTATATTATATGCTAGAATGCCCAATGCATGCGGCTTAGGAACAATGCTCCCCTAGTGGGCAATCCAGACAATGTGTTGTAGGCTAGAAAAGGGCAATTCAAAATATTGCATAGCGGCTTTGTTTACATATTGGAGGGTATGCACAGGTCTGCTCTGCTATTGCAGCTGCCGCAATGTTCTGCCAAAACAAACCGGGCCTACTACTTTGCACGCTTCTCGATAACACGGTCAATGAGACCGAAGGCCAAAGCCTCCTCCGGGTTCATAAAGTTGTCCCTCTCCATCGACCTCTCGATAACGGCAATATCCTGACCGCTGTGCTCCACATACAGCTTGTTCAGTCTCTCTCGTGTCTTGAGGATCTCTCGTGCGTGAATCGCAATGTCCGATGCCTGCCCCTCGGCGCCACCACTGGGCTGATGGATCATAATCGACGAGTTCGGCAGCGCAAACCTCTGGCCCTTGGCGCCCGCCGTCAGAAGCAGCGACCCCATCGAGCATGCCTGGCCGATGCACAGCGTGGACACTGGGCATTGCACGTACTGCATGGTATCATAGATCGCCATTCCTGCGGTGACGCTGCCGCCGGGGCTGTTGATGTACATGGAGATGGGCTTTTCGGGGTCCTCGGCCTCGAGGAAGAGCAGCTGCGCGACGACAAGTGAGCTGAGGGAGTCGTTGACCGGTCCGTTCAGCATGATGATGCGCTCTTTGAGGAGCCGCGAGAAGATGTCGAAGGAGCGCTCGCCACGCGCGGACTGCTCGATCACGATAGGCACGAGGCCGGACGCAGTCGTTTGGTGCTGTGTTGAGGCGGTGACTGCCGGTGCGAAGCCGAACGGCGACTGGTGGTACTGCCGCAGACCGCCGGCGAGAATGCGAGGTGCCCTGGATACTGTGCAAAGGAGTCGGGACGCAAACATTGGAATGAGTATGAGTAAATTAGCGGCAATGTAAAAAACAAAAGCAAAATTCAACGAGAAATAGATAGCGGCTGTATGCACCAAGCTCAGGAAGGGTGACTTGGTCTGCATTTTAGCAGGTGTTGTGATGGGACACGTAATCAGCCCAAAACCGTATCACGGGCTGGCCGACGCACATGTAAGAAAATCCTCTAGTCACGGGGCATCGCGTTCTCCTCAGCCTTTCCCTCCGAGATCCACAGCATGAACTGCCAGAACGAAGCCAACGAAGACGACTACCACGCCCACGAGCACGGCCACGGCCACGGCCATGGACACAATCACAGCCATGGGCACGGCCACGATCACGACCACGATCACGACCACGATGCCGAGGACTTGGGGTTCGCCGACTCCCTCTACAGCAAGATCCTGGTGGACAACACGACGTGTCTGAACGAGGCCGAGCCCAACTCCATCCACGGGGTCTTCAAGCCGCACCACCTGCGCCTCGACACGCAAAAGTTTGTTGAGAGCGACTGCGACGAGGAGCTGCTTATCCACGTGCCTTTCAATGGCATGGTCAAGCTCAAGTCAATTCTGCTGTGGGGCGGAGCCGGCGAGTCAGCGCCCAAGCACATGAAGGTGTTTGCCAACAGAGACGACCTCGACTTTGACAATGTCAATGACACGACGTGCACGCAGGCGTGGGATCTGGTGGAGGGTGCGCGCCAGCCGGTCGAGTATCCGACGAGGATTGCAAAGTTCAATAGTGTGCGGTCGCTAGCCATCTTCCTGCCAAGCAACTTTGGCGCCGACGAGACGACAGTCTACTACCTGGGGTTCCGCGGCGAGTGGACGGAGCTGAAGGAGAACCCGCTGATCACGGTGTATGAGCTCAGGCCGAATGTGGCCGACCACAAGACGCCTGCGGATGAGCTGGTGGGCCACAACTCTGTTTTGTAAAGGGGGACGATCCTGCCCCTAGTAATAAATTTCTTTCTCGCATTCAGTGGTTGTTTTCGGAAATAGGTTCGCGGGACCGACCTGCTTCTTTCTTTTCTGTTAATATTTTTCTCTTTCCGCATTTCCATAGCGCACTCAGCTAAATGACTCTTGCGAAGCGGGTCACGTACTACTATGACGGTGAGTATGCCTGTGCATGTGCGCGGGGGCTGTGCCTTAGCACCGGGAGGAGAGAAGCGCAACCTGCTCACACGCATTTTATCGCGTAGACGAGGTGGGCAACTACAACTACGGGTACAACCACCCCATGAAGCCGTACCGCATTCGCATGGCGCACAACATCATCACGTCGTACGGGCTGGACAAGAAGATGACAGTCATGCGGCCGTCGCGCGCAACAGCACACCAGATGACGCGGTTCCACTGCGACGACTATGTCAAGTATCTCAGCCGCCTGACCCCCGAGCTGGCCGAGGTGGACCCAATGCAGCTGAACCGGTACATCTGCACAGAGGACTGCCCGGTGTTTGACGGGGTGTACGAGTTCAGCTCCATTTCGGCTGGCGGGTCGATTGCCGCAGCCAAGCGCATCAACCACGGCGAGTCGGACATTGTCATTAATTGGGCCGGTGGGCTGCATCACGCGAAGAAGGAAGGTGCGTCTGGCTTCTGCTACATCAACGACATTGTGCTGGCGATTCTGGAGCTGCTTCGGTACCACCAGCGCGTGCTGTATCTGGACATTGATGTGCACCATGGCGACGGAGTCGAGGAGGCGTTTTATTCGACTGACCGCGTCATGTCGGTGAGCTTCCACAAGTTTGGGGACTTTTTCCCAGGCACAGGCCACCTCAACGACATTGGAGTAGGCAAAGGCAAGAATCACGCAGTCAACATCCCGCTTAGAGACGGAGTCGACGACGAGAGCTACCGGGGGATTTTTGAGCCGATCATGAAGATGGTGATGGAGCGGTTCCAGCCGGGGGCTGTGGTGATGCAGTGTGGCACTGACTCGCTGTCGGGCGACCGTATCGGGTGTTTCAACCTTAGCATGAGGGGACATGCTGCTTGCGTCGACTTCATGAAGTCGTTTGGCGTGCCAATGATATGCCTGGGTGGTGGCGGCTACACGATCCGCAATGTCGCCCGCACGTGGGCGTACGAAACCTCGGTTCTGTTAGGCGAACCGGTCAGCTCGGTGCTGCCGTACACTGAGCACTACGACTTCTTTGGGCCTGATTTCTCGCTCGACGTGCCGTCAAGCAACATGGAAAACCACAACACGCCCGAGTACCTTGGCAAAATACTAGTGGCTATTTCGGAGCGGCTGCGTGAAATCGGACATGCACCAGGCGTGCAGATGCAGGAGGTGCCGAGAGATTGGCCGGAGGAGAGCGACGGAGAGCACGACGACCGAGAGATGGATCGCAAGCCCGAGTCGAAGCAGACGAGGCGCCAGCGGGAGGCGCGGATTGTGCCCATCACCGAGGTGTACGAGTCCGAGGACGAGGACGAATTTGCTCCAAGGAATCTGTCGTCCTATCGCCATACTGGAACAGCGACGCGGCCAGCTCGTGGAGGCGCAAAGTGAACAGAAGCAAGGGCAAGAAAATTGCTTTTATTGCTGCAGACAGAAGCAAGGGTATCCAGCTTTACTGTTATTAGCATGATATAAACCACACTGCCCTATGGCTTGCATGTGTTTAATTTTTGGTGGTCGCAATACATGCTATATAATCCTTCTCGTATCGTCCCAAACCTGCCATTATTTTCGCATATCTCTGGACTGGATAAACCCTTGTATTGATTCACAACAAATGAGACTGTTTGGTGCCTCGTCTTCGCTGCTGCTTGGTCTTAGCGCCATGTGGCCTACCGGTAGTTTTGCGCTGACACCCTCGTCATCTGTGTCAGCACACTCCGCAGCACCAGCACACCCTGTTCTGCCTACAGCAAAGGCACATTCTGCTATCCGCGTACCTGCGCAAGGCGACGAGCTACGGATCCTCTGCCGCCTCAATGCCGACCGCCAACGGCGCCGCCTTCCCTCGGTGTTTCTCCACCGCACGCTGTCCCAGGTTGCTGCCGAGCTCGGCACCCGGTACGCAGACGGCGAGTTCTCCTCCAATGACTTCAGCACTCTGGTGTCGTCCAAGATCTTCCCGCTGGGCAGCTCCGTCAGCACCAGCTACAAGATCATCGGCACTGTGTACTCGGACGCTGAGTATGTGGTGAACCTGGAGACCTCGCTTTACAGCTCTGTGTTTGCTGGCGACCTGGATGCAATTGGGCTGTACCAGGACAAAGGCATATATACACTTGTGCTAGCGTCGGGACTGAGCGCTAAGCCGGCAAGCGTCGAGGCGTGCCCGGTGACACGTGAGCAGTTCACACCGCCCACCACCACGCCAGGACCGCCGGGAAACACTGTGAACGGTGTGGATCTGCTGCAGTTCCTGTGCTCTATCAACAACGAGCGTGCTGCCGCCGGTGCTGCTCCCCTGGCTGTACACGGCGCGTTAACCAACGAAGCATCCGAGCAGGCCCGCATAATGAGTATCCTGGGCAGGTACACGGTTGACGGCCCAAGACATGTCGACGAGGCTATCTATGCGCAGGGCGTCAGCATCGCAAAGCTTGGCTGGGTTGCCGGTGACTCGTTCACCAGCATCAGCTCTCTCACCAACCTGCTGATGGCAACGTACAGCAGCCAGGTGCTGGACCCGGCATTCAATGTCGTTGGAGTTGCACAGGATTCTGGCTTCTGGTCGGTCATCCTGGGCAAGGTCAACCGCAACATCGTCGCTGGCAAAAAGTGCCCAAAGGACATGGGCGAGGTCGCATTCACGAGCTGAGTCGGCAACTCGACTCGGGCGGGGGCAGCTGCAAGGGGTTTGATGGCGAGCCAATCAGACCAGCCCAGCGCTCTGAGAAGCGCTGCTGGGCTTGATGCGGGCAGCGCTGCTTGAATTGTTCAGTAGTCTTCATAGCGTGTAGCTTGCCTGCATTTCAAACCGTTCGCCAATTCGCGCCTTGTGGGCATCTCTTTCTCCTAGCACTTCCCTTTCTCTATTTCCTTCCTGTTGTGTGTTCTAATCCTCAGATTATAAAAAAGAGAGACACAATGCTTCGTTCAGCACTCCTCGTGGCGGTTGTGGCCCTGGCCAATCTCACCAATGGTCTGCATTTCTACCTGCGCGATGGCGAGCAGCAGTGCTTCCTCGAAGAGCTCCCCAAGGGATTCATCGTAACCGGCCACTACAAGACCGAAGAGTGGCGCGAGGCCGATGCGCGGTATGTCGAGAACCCTGCGATCGGGGTCACAATCACTGCCGACGACAACGACGCGTCGCATCGGGTCATGAACCAGAAGGGCAGCCACCAGGGCAAGTTTTCGTTCACTGCCGCTGCGGCCGGCCAGCACACGATCTGCGTGCAGGCGCAGGGCGCCCAGGGCGGCGGCTGGCTGTCGTCGTCGGTCGTCAGGTTCACGCTCGATATGGGACTTGGTGAGGCCGACGATGGTGGCCGGGCGGCTATTGAGAAGATCAAGGACATTTCGCAGAAGATCAACATTTTGAATGCGCAGTTGGAGGAGATCAAGACCGAGCAAAAGTACCAGCGCGAGAGGGAGCTTGAGTTTGACGGCGCCACGGCCAGCATCAAGAGAAGGGTGCTGTACTGGGCGTTCATTCAGCTCGGCATTGTTGCTGCTGTCTGCTACTGGCAGCTGCACCACCTGCGTCGCTTCTTTGAGTCCAAGAAGCTGGTGTAAGCAGGCGTCGCCTTTCTCCATCTTTCTCCATTAAATGCAAAGTGCTCTTTCTACACGCGACATGTATGTATGCATGTGGGTGGGTGTGTGTGTATGTGTGTGTATGTGGGTGTATGTGGGTGTGTGATGTTTCTGTGGCCAAAATCCTGCTAAAATAATCAGCTCGATATCGCTGAGCAGATTTTGCGATCGTAATCATGTGCTCGCTTAGACTGCGCCTGTTCTTGGCACCAGGGAAAAATAGTTAATGCTGGTGGCAATGCCGGCTTTTGGACGGCCTCGAGTACGGCACTAAGTAGATCTCGAATGGCCATGTTTCCCGCCATGTGAGAAGCCGCACCTGGCCCCGCTTTTCTAGAAAAACGAAATCCGGACCGCTGTATGGACCGATAGCGGTCTGCGCGCTAAGCTTGTTGCTACACGCAGCTTGGTCAATCCTGCAGCATGACCTGGTATTCTCCGGCATACTTTGAGAATAAAAAAGAAAGCACCGCAGGAAAATGTCATGTGTTGATCCAAGAACGCTCCGGGATGTCTGTGACCGGGTATGAGCAGGTAATTTGTATTGCTGGAGCAAAACATGCTCAGACCGAAGAGTGAAATAAGGAAAATGCGGTTAGAAATCAGTCATGCACATCCGGTACCTTTCAAGGAAGAACACCGCATGGAATGCATTCCCGCTGCTGGTAAAGGTGCGGACCTGGACCCGCGGTAGTAGATGTGCCTATAAGATTGGTATAAATACCGGTATCGGCTCCACACCCTGCCATGCACACAGCAAACATTTACACGACAGCCTCCTTTCTCCCTTCCTTGCTACTCGTTACACATACGCTGGTCCGTATATCTCCTGCTCTTACCATCTCTCAGTCCGCCGATCTATAATCAATAATGCTTCTCAAGACCGCCGCCTCTCTCCTCACCCTCGCCAGTGCTGCGCTTGCGCATATGGAAATCATCAACCCATGCCCCCGCTACTCGCCTCACTGCGCAACCACGCCCACCCTGCCGCCTGGCGAATCTATTGACTACAACATGAACACACCGATCGGTTCCAACGGCAGCATTCTGGCGCCCTTCTGCCGCCGCACGACCCCGTGGCCCAAGGTCACCGATACCTGGACTGCTGGCCAGGCAGTCACTGTCCAGTTCTACCCTGGCGGTGCCACGCACTCGGGTGGCCACTGCGAGTTCTCCATCTCATATGATGGCGGCAATACCTTTGTAGTGGTACATCAGGAGCTCAAGTACTGCTTCTTCACGGGTGCACCGTCCGCAGGTGGTGTTGACACTGTCAGAAGCTACACCATCAACCTCCCGGCGAATCTGCCTGGCACTGACCGTGCTGTATTTGCATGGACCTGGGTCAACGCTGCGGGTAACCGCGAGTTCTACAACGGATGTGGCGATATCGCTATCAAGGGCTCAGCTGGATCATATACTGGCAAGAAGGTTACCATCGCCAACTACGGCCCTGGCTATCCTGTCATCCCTGAATTCCTTGGCAACTACAACACCGGCCTCGAATACTACACGAGCAACACCACCGCAGTCACTGTCACTGGCCCTGGTTATAATGGCGGCTCTGGCACCACTACCTCGTCTGCTGCCACTACTACTACCTCAGCTGCACCGACTTCGTCTGCTCCCCCTGTCACCAGCACTACCAAGGTAGTGACGACTACTGCTCCGTCGACCAGTGCTGTCCCGACCACATCGGCTGCTCCAGGATCGTGCACAAACTATACCTACCAGTGCACATCTGACAAGACAGGTTATCAAGGTGTGCCTCGGTGGAGCCTGGAGCTCCACCCTGGCCTGTGCTTCGGGCACTACGTGCGTCCAGAACGGCAGCAGCGTGTACTGCGGCTGGGCCTAAACTACACCGTATACAAAAACCACCCAACTTTACGAATAGAATTAATGATACTACTCTTTTAGAGCCGCTGGCTTGCGTCCGCATATCAATGCTACCATTTATCTCACCTTGCCTGTGCCTCGGCTTCCATCAATGGGCCATCCCCTATAGCCTCTGTATGTGTGTCAGGCTCGATTATATCTTGGATCTGGGGACTGATATGAGTGCATATGCTACTTAAGGTTCAACCTTTATTATACTCTCAGCGTGTGCACTCGGGTGGTAGATGCACTGTCGAAGGAAAGGAAAATCGTGAGGGATAGATCGTAAACACTAGGCCGCATGATGCTTGCGTATAGTTAGCTGCAGTAGATGGAAGCTCCGGACTGCACACAGCTGAGTCCGCTTCCACACGAGATAGGCACTGTCCACACGCCGTTGTCACAGATCTGGAAGCTAGACTTATCCGACGTGCATTGGTAGTTGCCCGAAGTGCACGAGCCTGAACCGGAAGTCGTGGTCGGGGCTGCGCTTGTGGTGGTCGTGGTCGGGGGTGCACTTGTGGCAGTTGTAGTCTTCGGAGCTGACGACGTAGGAGCAATGGTAGTGGTGGTTGATGGCGCAGCAGATGTGGTAGTGGTGGCAACAGCCGAAGTGGTGGTCGTGCCAGAGCCGCCGCCGGTAGAGCCCGGGCCAGTGACGGTGACCGAAGTAGTGTTGCTCGTGTAGTATTCGAGACCAGTATTATAGTTGCCAAGGAACTCGGGAATAGCAGGATAGCCAGGGCCGTAGTTGGCAATAGTCATCTGCTTGCCAGTGTATGAGCCAGCAGCGCCAACAATTGTAATGTCAGCACAATCGTTGTAGAACTCACGGTTACCGGAGGCGTTGACCCATGACCACGCAAACAGTGCGTGGTCAGAACCTGGCAGATTGGAGGGAAGTGTGAAGGTGTAGCTTCGGACAGTGTTAACACCGCCTGCTGAAGGTGGTGCTGTGTAGAAGCAGTACTGAAGTTCCTGGTGAAGAACAACAAATGTCTTTCCACCGTCGTAGGAGATAGAGAACTCGCAGTGACCACCAGTGTGAGTGGCACCGGATGGATAGAACTGCACGGTCACCGTCTGGCCGGCAGTCCAGGTGGCAACATTTGTCGGCCATGGAGTCGTGTAGTGGCATAATGGTGCCAGGACGGTGCCATTAGAGCCGATCGGGTTAGCGAGGTTGTAGTCGACGCTTTCTCCAGCCGGGAGAGCAGGGGTTGTGGCACAGTGAGGCGAGTAGCGAGGACACGGGTAGTTGATTTGCATATGACCGAGAGCAGCAACGGTCAGAGCAAGGAAGGCAGCGGTGGTCTTGAAAAGCATGACGTGATTAAGAGGTATACGGCCAGCGTAAGTAGGAATAAGCGGATGGCTGAAGGCTTTAGGGGGAAGGAAGGAAGAGATTGTCTGTTAGCAGTGAGGAATTTAACCAAAGCCATCGATACTCGGCGCTGTTTATATACCTTTGCGGGTATAAAGCGGAAGATTTGTCCGTGGGTAGAGCCCATTTGCCGTACCCATCCGGTATTTGTTGGTCTTTGGTTCTTTATGTTTACCCTGTGCTTATGCGCAATGATTCTTTTTGCTGTGCTTGCTAGCGAAAGTGCAGGCACAACAGATATGTGCCGTAAAGATAGAAAAGATTAGTTAGCTGGTAAGTGTGCACATTGAAAACTACAACGAGCAAGGAATTTTCCGTGCATGCCATGGCTCTTCTAGTTGGATTCGGGTATTGCAAGACCGAAATGGAGAAAAATACGGTTTGGTCCGGTTGATTGCCATGGAATCAAATGCAAGCTTGTCCGCAAAAAACGCATCCATCGGCAAGCTCGAAGGTTGGACTTGCACTTGGCGCTAGCCAGAACCCATTCTTGCTTGGTTTCGCATGCAACGAAGCAGCAAGCAGAGATTGCCTTCACTAGCACATATTTTTCCACGGAAGGAATTAAATAAAGCGAAACGAGCAATAATTGCCACACCTTTGCATGTGAATCTTTGCACATGGTATCTACCAGTTGAAGCAGTGATCAGGTTAGGATGCAGGATTCAATCGGGCTCGTGGTCCGCAATAGACCGAAAAGCTAATCAATAGGTGAAAGCAAATCAATGCAAAGTGAACCGTAAAGAATTAGCGGCCTATTCATATCAATACCATAGCGCAGCCGGTGGTTGACGTGAATGCAGCATATATATTCCGCAAAGATATTCATCAAAGTTAGTTTAACATTGTGTCATGTCTGTCGCACCGAAGTCCGTGTCGGAAAGAAAAGGGGTAGGTGAATGATCGCACAGTACCAGATATTAGGCCTGGCGGCAACGTCCGATAGGGGTGGTAGCAGCAGCCGAGGTGACTGCAGCATCCGAGGTAGGAGTCGAAGGAGTATCCGAAGTAGGGGCAGGAGCAGCAACCGAGGTGACAGCATTAGTGGTGGGATAAACAATAGCTGATGTAGCAGGAGCAGACGAGGTAGGGACAACAGAGACACCTGATGTGGTCCCATACGATGTCGCAGCATGGGCAACAGGAGCAGCTGACGTAGAAGCAGTCGAAGCAGTATACGACGCTGACGAGCTCGAAGCACCAGACGAGCCTGACGACGAGCCATTCCCAGTGACAGTGATCTGCTTAGCCTTGCTGTAGACATCGAGGCCAGTGTCGTAGTTGCCATTGAACTCGCCAATGGTAGGGTAGTTGGAACCATAGTTGGCAATCGTCATCTCCTTGCCTGTGAACGACTTTGAGGATCCTGAGATTGAGACATCGGCGCAATCCATGTAGAACTCGCGATTGCCAACAGCATTAACCCACGACCAGGCAAACACAGCGTGATCGGTGCCAGGCAGATCCGAAGGCAGGTTGAATGTGTAGCTAAGAGTGTTTGCGGTGTTGCTGGATGAAGCACTGCCGACGAAGCAGTACTTCAGCTCCTGGTGGATGACAACAAAGGTCTTGCCGCCATCATACGACAGCGAGAACTCGCAGTGGCCACCGCCGTGAGCAGCGCCTCCTTGAGCGAACTTGACAGTGATGGATTGACCGGCAGTCCACTTCTCGTTGACCTGGGGCCAGGCGGTCTGCGAGTGGCACAGAGGAGCGAGAATATCACCGCCAGAGCCGATTGGGCTGGCCAGATTGTAGTTGAGAGACTCGCCAGGAGGGAGGACCGGAGTGGTTGCGCAGTGAGGCGAGAAACGGGGGCAAGGGTAGTTGATTTGCATGTGCGCCGAGGCAGCAGCAGCAAGAATCATAAACGATGCGACAGTCTTTGCGAGCATTGTGGTATTTCGTGTGTATGCCGAGACGTGAAAAAGGAGGATGGAAGAGGGGCGATGAGAGGATGGAAAAGACGGTAATAGAAGAAGCCAGCTTCAATAGGGATTCTGCATTCCCAGATGGCAAGCGCCTGGTTTAAATACCTGCTCTGACGGTCTTGCTAGCATCAATAGACTAGCTGGACAATTCTCTCACTCGCGCATCCCGGTTCACACTCGTCCACAATAAAGACAATACGTGATCTCCCGCGCCAACCTTGGGCACTTGCCAATAATTGGAGCTCGCTGTCGATCTGACATCCAATTTTAGAAAGACTGTGGGCCAAAGCATAGTGTGAATGCGAACCAGATGCATCCCCATTGTTCCATCTATGTATCCCAGACCCAAAGCAGAAAACGGGGTTGTGGTGGGGCAAAAAATTAGCGGATGCTCAACTTTATGTTTGGAGGAATAGCTCGACCATCGACCGCTTATCCACACTCAGGCTCCAAGCAATGGAAGAGCCGACAACGATTCACAAAACTGGTTACTGATGCGCTAGCCCCAGCATAAAAACATCCAATTTAAAGAGACGGTGCTTTGCAGATCAACTAGTGTGCAAGTTCTCAAAGGGTTTCGCACATCAACGGCTGCGAAGCAAGCGAAGCTAGGTGGGTTTTGTTATCATGGCTATTAGTGAGGAGCAGGATGCCAAACATGAGCTGTGCATCACAATGAATCATGTATGGCAACTAAAAATCAAGGTGCAGCTTTCCCATCCACAGTGGTTGTGGTTGCAGGTTCATGATTTCTAGTAACAGTGATTCGGTATTCACCATGGAAATCTGCAGAGATGACGGCACAATCCACAACGCCATATGTATCCTTGTCAATCTCTGCTTGCAATTGACTGTCCACACTAGATCCAATAACACGAAGGCTGGGAAAACACTCAACAAGTAGAGCTCATAGTCGGAGAGCAACTTTTTGTTTCAAATAGATGCGATAGGTTGGGGTTAGCTAGTAGGTCCAACTATCTGATGGGTGGTGAGCTATTTGTTATAAGTAATATAACGCGGAGATATCTATAATGGAGATACCGCGCTTGACGCACCATATATGATTGCTGAACACCACATACATGCCATATCTCTAGAGTACTCTCTCATTTCCAGTTTTCATTTGGGAGGGGCGTGATAGAATTCGATCAGGCAAATCGACTATTTACTTTATTCATGTCATAAAGTCAATAGTAGAAAAAGGTGCATGAAGAGCATCACAACAAGAGATATCAGAGACTTAAAGGTACACCAGATAGCTGAGGTAGCAATGCCACTCTACTGGGCCCAGCCGCAGTAGATGGAGGTACCGTCCTGGTTGCAAACAGTGCGCGATGGACAGTAGATGGTACTAGACCAGGCACCATTGACGCATTGCAAGAAACCCTTGCCATCCGAGCTGCACTTGTACTCGTTAGCATTGCAGGATCCGCCAGAGGGAGGGGCAGCCGAAGTAGGGGCAGGTACAGCAGGGGTATGGCCGGCACGGATACGAGTACGGCTGTGGATACGAGTCGATGTGCTAGTGGGGACAGCCGTGGGGGCAAGGGCAGATGGGGTAGGGACAGGAGCGGCAGTAGTGATTGGTGCAGCAGAGGTAGAAGCTGGAGCAGCAGAGGACGACGAACCAGGCGAACCTGACAATGAGCCATTCCCAGTGACAGTGATCTGCTTAGCCTTGCTGTAGACATCGAGGCCAGTGTCGTAGTTGCCATTGAACTCACCAATGGTAGGGTAGTTGGAACCATAGTTGGCAATCGTCATCTCCTTGCCTGTGAACGACTTTGAGGATCCTGAGATTGAGACATCGGCGCAATCCATGTAGAACTCGCGATTGCCAACAGCATTAACCCACGACCAGGCAAACACAGCGTGATCGGTGCCAGGCAGATCCGAAGGCAGGTTGAATGTGTAGCTAAGAGTGTTTGCGGTGTTGCTAGACGAAGCACTGCCGACGAAGCAGTACTTCAGCTCCTGGTGGATGACGACAAAGGTCTTGCCGCCATCATACGACAGCGAGAACTCGCAGTGGCCACCGCCGTGAGCAGCGCCTCCTTGAGCGAACTTGACAGTGATGGATTGACCGGCAGTCCACTTCTCGTTGACCTGAGGCCAGGCGGTCTGCGAGTGGCATAGAGGAGCGAGGATATCACCGCCAGAGCCGATTGGGCTGGCCAGATTGTAGTTGAGAGACTCGCCAGGAGGGAGGACCGGAGTGGTTGCGCAGTGAGGCGAGAAACGGGGGCAAGGGTAGTTGATTTGCATGTGTGCCGAGGCAGCAGCAGCAAGAATCATAAACGATGCGACAGTCTTTGCGAGCATTGTTGATGGGATATTTGTAGCGGATGTATAGGGGCTACACCGACAAGGTACTAGGTGCAAGGGACAAAGGGTGTTAGGAACTAAGGCGTGAAGATGAAGATAAACGTGAAGGTTGCGACTTTGAAGAAACCAGCTTCGTTGAGTGAGTACACGATATTCTGTAACGGCAATAGTTAGCTTTATATAGGACTAACTATCAAGTCTTGTAAATGTCTTGCGATGAAGTGGCTGCTTGGAAAGCAGTCGGAATTGACGCATCCATTACAGCGACACCTTTGACTCAACAGCAGTGCAGATCACTTTTCATTCGGTCCGGACACAAGCAGAATAAACAATGGCCCATTGCCGTGCATGTAAAAAAACAAACCGCAAGACCAATCGGGCTACTAAAACAAGTCGTGCAACTTGAGCAAATCCAGTCAAGCTCGTGTGGAAGACAGCCTGACTCAAATGCAGGCCAAAGATCAGTGCTGCAAATCGAGAACTTTTGGCTGCATGTCTGCAAATTCCGCGTGGTCCAAGACCACTGGCTAGAGACAATCGGTTCTAGCGTTTGAAAAGAAAAATGCGGAGCCGGCAGCAATCCTGATAGCACAAATCCGGCACGGATGCCCCGGCGTTTCCTTCCTTAGCGAGTGCCGCTGCCACCACATGGTTGCATGGCGGGCACTCTTCTGCATGGAATACATCTCAGTCCAGAAAGACAATGGCTGAAAACAGGCTTAAACCAACAGCCTGCTCTTCTGCGCGGAGATATCAATAACTTTTACGGAACCAAAGAATCACAATATCCGAATGCTGATTTGCAACCCAACCTACATGCAAAGCGCGCTCGCTGTTCCTTCTTCCTCACCAAGACTTGGCAGATCTCTTGTGCCCTTTCCATGACACATACTGAAATTCCCATTTGCCGACCTGCATGCTATCGAAAGGGTGTTAGAATATTAATAGCAATGGCATGCTTGCATTGAGTTTTGGATCAAACTGGTTGAAGCTGGCTCCAATATCGAGCGCACCGGCAAAGAATCGGCTTTAGTGATTTCAGCAACATTTGACTCAGATTTGCTCTGGTTCTGCCTTGAGTGTCCGATATACAGCACTAAAAATTGTGATATTTGCATGCAAAAACAAACAAGAATACTTCAATATGGCCATTATTCTTATCAGAGAACAGCGTTGTGGTATATCTTTACACAACCAATGACAGTAGGCTGATATTAACCAAGGTTGGCTTAGCGACGATAGCTGAAATTGCGATTATCTGACACGCTTTAACGTGAACTAATTCGTAACTGCAAACATTCTGATTCTCAAGTCGTTCCTCCAGTTTGCACGTCGTAGCTGCATTGTCTGGTATGATTATAATCAATCCTTACTAGCCTTCCGAATGTATATATCTTCGTAACGAAATCAAGAGCAATATGTTTGAAGTGGAATCGTCGATTTTATTGGTATTCTTTACGCCACCTCATATCCAAACCAGTGGACATGTAGGTAAGATGCATCATAAAAATCCTAAAATCAAACAGTCGCTTTACTGAGGAAAACCGCAGTAGATCGAGGTACCGTCCTGGAAACAAGTGGTGCTCGAGGGGCAGTAGATGGTGCTAGACCAGGCACCGTCGATGCACTGCAAGAAGCCCTTGCCATCCGAGCTGCACTTGTACTCGTTACCGCTGCAGGATCCGTCAGAGGGAGGGGCAGCGGAGGTAGGAGCAGGGGCAGCTGATGTAGAGGCAGGGGCAGCTGAGGTGGCAGGGGCAGATGAAGCTGGGCTAGGGGAAGTAGCCGGGGTGTGGCCAGCACGAGTCGACAAGCCAGTGGTGGTAGCAGTGGTGGCAGGGGCAGCTGATGTAGAAGCAGTCGAAGCAGTATACGATGCTGACGAGCTCGAAGCACCAGGCGAACCTGACGACGAGCCATTCCCAGTGACAGTGATCTGCTTAGCCTTGCTGTAGACATCGAGGCCAGTGTCGTAGTTGCCATTGAACTCGCCAATGGTAGGGTAGTTGGAACCATAGTTGGCAATCGTCATCTCCTTGCCTGTGAACGACTTTGAGGATCCTGAGATTGAGACATCGGCGCAATCCATGTAGAACTCGCGATTGCCAACAGCATTAACCCACGACCAGGCAAACACAGCGTGATCGGTGCCAGGCAGATCCGAAGGCAGGTTGAATGTGTAGCTAAGAGTGTTTGCGGTGTTGCTGGATGAAGCACTGCCGACGAAGCAGTACTTCAGCTCCTGGTGGATGACAACAAAGGTCTTGCCGCCATCATACGACAGCGAGAACTCGCAGTGGCCACCGCCGTGAGCAGCGCCTCCTTGAGCGAACTTGACAGTGATGGACTGACCGGCAGTCCACTTCTCGTTGACCTGGGGCCAGGCGGTCTGCGAGTGGCATAGAGGAGCGAGGATATCACCGCCAGAGCCGATTGGGCTGGCCAGATTGTAGTTGAGAGACTCGCCAGGAGGGAGGACCGGAGTGGTTGCGCAGTGAGGCGAGAAACGGGGGCAAGGGTAGTTGATTTGCATGTGCGCCGAGGCAGCAGCAGCAAGAATCATAAACGATGCGACAGTCTTTGCGAGCATTTTATATCGTAGTGCGAGTGATATTTGACGACGAACAAGTGGGCGTGGGAGGCGGGGTGGATCGTGAGCGAGGCGTGAAGAAAAACGTGTAAAATGCGATTAGAAGAAACCAGCTTCTGTAGTGAATCTAACAACCCGGATTGCAGCCAGCACCGGGATTTATATAGCTGCCTGATGCGTGCAACACACAATGCCAAGGGCTCTTCTATGGGCTCGTTCTCTGCATGTCACTGTCGGTTGAAAAACGGACATCGCCATCCAACCAAGAGCCACTCATCCATGGGGGGTTAAATAAATTGTCAATCGCTTGGCTGTATACGCAGCATACCAATAGTTTCCGTCTACATTCTCTAAAACTCAATCTGTTGCCTCCGCTGCCCGGGTGTGCGCAACCAAAGCTGGAAAGCCGATTTGCTGCCATCCCTCTCATGCGCGAGCAATTGGGGAGACGTGTGAGGCTTTTGTGCTCTGCAGGTGTCGGATTTGGGAACGCATGGCCCGGATCTGTTTGTCGCCTGCAGCCTAACCAGCACATCCTTGGCGGCCGATCAACTACCAAATCCTTTTCTGAGGCTGTCCGCCAGGGATTAGACGCAGCAGCGCAGCTACTGTATTTTGATGACGACACGCATGGCGGCTTTTTATACCTGAGCGCCTTGCCCCACCTTGCATATGGCAACTTTTTTCTTGCAAGCGCGTTTAGAAGTGAACCCAGACATCAAAAGGGCTGTGCGCTAGCTAACACGCCTACAAGGAAAGGCCCATCCTATGACAGCAGCGACAGCATTGGGGCTGAGACGTGCCTGCCAGCTTCCACCTGGCACAGGCGCTCTTTCGACACACGCAAACGGCGGTCATAGGGCGGGCGTAAAATATCTCGCCGAGCCAGTCATGCAAATCTCGGCCTCTTTTTCGTCTCTTTTCCGACGCATACCGCCTTCATCCTATTTGTTCACGGGATTCAGTCTGCACAGCACAGTGGCGTTCATAGATTCTACTTCTGCGCCAATTGCCACGCATCCTTGCTGTTCGCAGCATGCCGAGTGGTTGGAGGTGAGGAGAAGGGACACATTCGATTGGGCGGCTTTCTTTTTGTTTTGGGTAGACTATGGCAACAAAGGCACTCACAGAGAGAAGCAGTGCTGGGCCAGCCAGCGTCTACATAAAAACGCATGTACTGACGTGACTATTCGTCAATCATGGGTTTACAGTGGCTATTCGCCGCTATTGGATATAGCGCGGTTGTGAATGCCAGTCCAGTCCTCCACAACCATTCAGGAGCAGCCTTGATTGGGGAAGAGCACCCTGTCAATGGAACACGCAGAGCCCTGCTTCCTTCCCACCTGGTTCATAGTGCTGCCCCACAGCCATCAAATCGGATCCATACCACATTGTTGCTGATGTATTAACAGCTAAAGTCATCAATATAGGCAGTGCTACTTCTCGGGGGAGGGGGAGGCAGTGCTGTAGCTATCCCGAGTATCCAGGGCCAGTGACGGTGACCGAAGTAGTGTTGCTCGTGTAGTATTCGAGACCAGTGTTGTAGTTGCCCAAGAATTCAGGGATGACAGGATAGCCAGGGCCGTAGTTGGCGATGGTGACCTTCTTGCCAGTGTATGATCCAGCTGAGCCCTTGATGGCCACATCCGCGCACTGGTTATAGAACTCGCGGTTTCCGACAGCATTGACCCAGGTGAAGGCGAACACAGCATGATCGGTGCCCGGCAAGTTTGCAGGCAGATTGAATGTGTAGCTGCGCACCGAGTCTGTGCCACCTTGGGAAGGCGGGCCGTCAAAGAAACAGTACTTGAGCTGCTGGTTCAACACAACAAAGGTATTGCCGCCATCGTAAGAGATGGAGAACTCGCAGTGGCCGCCTGAATGGGTGGTTCCGGAGGGGTAAAACTTCACGGTTAGGGACTGGCCAGCAGTCCACACTTCGTTGACCTGCGGCCAGGGCGTGTTGTGGTGGCAGATAGGCGCTAGGATGGTGCCGTTGGAGCCGATTGGGCTGCTGAGGTTGTAGTCGATGGATTCGCCTGGTGGGAGGGTGGGGCGGGTTGCGCAGTGAGGTGAATAGCGTGGGCATGGGTAGGAGATTTGCATGTGGCCCAGGGCAGCAGTGGCCAGAGCAAGGAGCGACAAGGTGGTTTTGAACAGCATTGCGATTAAAGGGGGTTGCACACGGCCAGCGTAGAGAGTAGAGGGGGTGGTAATTGTCGAGGTTGGGTCTTCAAGGGCAGGTCCTTTTTCCGCAGGTATTTATATACCAGTTGTCGGATCCATGACCCGTATATACTTGCAACATCATTAATAATTCATTCTAGTATTGAATTTCCACATACACTCCATGCATGGAATTCCCGGAGCAATGCCATGTGGAGAAACAAAAACCAGCCAACCGCGAGATGAGTATAAGCTCGGTGTTTTGTTTCATGCGTCGGTGGAATATTCCCACCACAAGTCATATGCACAAAGCAGGAATCGATGTTGGCTATATTCAAGCTTTCATGATACGACTTCCCTTAATTCAGAAGTGTAGAAAATATATGCGCCGCATGTGCAGATATCAATGCGCTAGGATGATTTGCAGGCGCCTGCCCACATGATACAAACAAGGAGCCGACTAGCAGAAACCTCATCGTTCCCGCCATCCTGTCTGCTGAAGTGGAGGGGTAAGTGGATCATCGTGCATCATCTGAACCTTATCTATTTACTGCCACGCATTTGCGGATTCAGTGCATATATCTGCATGCCAGCCCACAAAACACACGTCCGCATATTTTTGTACTGATAACTATATAGTATGGTAGGCGATGTGAAAGAAGGACGGCCAGCATGCCTCATGTTTATTCGCAAATACAAATGGGAGCAGGACGGTAAAACAAGTTAAACTCCGCAAACATGACACGATTATCCGTCGAAGCCTGGCCCACTGACTGTGACCTGGGTGCCGCCCATGTAGTAGGAAATGCCAGTTTCGTAGTTGCCAAGGAATTCTGGAATGACCGGATATCCAGCGCCGTAGTTTGCAATCGTGACTTTCTTGCCAGTGTAGGATCCAGCAGCGCCCTTGATAGCCACATCCGCGCAGTTGCTGTAGAACTCGCGGTTGCCGACGGCGTTGACCCATGACCACAGGAAAGTGACACGGGGAGCACCTGGCAGAGTGGCAGGCAGATTGAAGGTGTAGGTACGCACCGAGTCCGTACCGCCCTGAGATGGTGCACTGGTGAAGAAGCAGTAGCGCAAGCGCTGGTACAGGACGACGAAGGTCTGACCGCCGTCGTAGGAGACAGAGAACTCGCAGTGACCACCCGAATGGGTGGCACCACCGGCATTGAATTTCACGGAAACAGTCTCGCCGGCAGTCCAGACCTCATTAGCCTGCGGCCAAGGCGTGTCGTGGTGGCAGATAGGTGAATTAATATTGCCGTTGGAACCAGCGGGTACGTTCAGGTTGTAGTCGAATGATTGACCTGGCGGCAGAGTGGGGCGGGTGGCACAGCGCGGCGAGTAGCGTGGGCAGGGGTAGGTGATCTCCATATGGCCCAGCACAGCTGTGGCCAAAGTAAGGAGGGCGGTGGCGGACTTGAGGAGCATTAAAAAGGTAGGGATGGGTCGTTAAATATGAATATCTGCTGATAGTGTCTGTTTGGTGAAGGCAATTGTCGGTATTTATATAGCCGGGCGATTCTACGGACATACACGGCTTTGCTTGCAGGCTGAGCGGTGCGTATACAAGAGATGGACTTTTAAGGTGGCAGCAAACAAGACATGCAAAATGCATGGAAGGAGGCATAGAATATGGATATGACCTTGGTACAGGATGTCAACTGGGTATTTCCTGTCAGCGGGCAAACCTGCAAGATGCAAGGGGGCCAGGACTCGATGTTGGCAGCAACAATTTACACACCCACCACACATGAGAATATGCCGGCTAGGTACTGGAGTGGTTCGGTTCGAGAATCGCGAGCCGGCAGACCGTCTGCGACTGGTCGTGAGACGGGAATCCAAAAAATTTTCATTCTGCTGGGGGTGGCCACAGGCTCAGGGCATGTCCGATTAGTTGAGCGCAACGAGGCGTCCGTCCCAGCCGTAGCCAGCCTCTCTTTTCTTCCTTGCCTTTTCATTTTCTTTCTTTTCCAAGGGAAAAAACATATTCCATATTCTAATTTCTTCCAAAGCCTCATCTTTCAAGGAAAGCGCTATTGAAAATGACTTCAACCGAGTGGACTGCCAAGCACGTTCGCGAGACGTTTATCGGGTTCTACGAGCAGCACGGGCACACGTTTGTTCCGTCGTCGTCGACGGTGCCGCACGACGACCCGACGCTGCTGTTTGCCAACGCTGGCATGAACCAGTACAAGCCGATTTTCCAGGGCACTGTTGATCCGGCGTCTGATTTCGCCAAGCTGCACCGCGCGTGCAACAGCCAAAAGTGCATTCGTGCGGGTATGTTATGCAAACTGATTTGTTGCTTGCTCGGAGAAGTCCGGGCATGAGTGGCTGCGGGGAGGCAGTAGTGACACACAAGAATGCTATGCACAGGGGGCGCAGGCCGCCGTGGGGGGGGGTAAATTTCTGATTTGTCACCAGGATTGATGTGACTCAGGAAAAGGAAATATTTGTATCATGTAGGCGGCAAGCACAACGACCTGGACGATGTGGGCAAGGACGTGTACCACCACACGTTCTTTGAGATGCTGGGGAACTGGTCGTTCGGCGACTATTTCAAGAAGGAGGCGATTGGGTATGCGTGGGAGCTGCTGACCAAGGTGTACAGGCTTGACCCGGAGCGGCTGTACGTGACGTACTTTGGGGGCAGCGAGGCGGATGGGCTGCCGGTGGACACTGAGGCAAAGCAGTACTGGCTGGACCTGGGCGTGCCGGAGTCGCGGGTGCTGCCGTTTGGCTCAAAGGAGAACTTTTGGGAGATGGGCGAGGTGGGCCCGTGCGGGCCGTGCAGCGAGATCCACTACGACCGGATTGGCGGTCGCGACGCGGCGAGCCTGGTGAACCTGGACGACCCGGATGTCCTGGAGATCTGGAACCTTGTGTTCATGGAGTTCAACCGCGAGTCGGACGGGTCGCTGCGCAGCCTGCCGCGCAAGCACATTGATACGGGCATGGGCATGGAGCGGCTGGTGTCGGTTCTGCAGGGCAAGCGGTCGAACTACGACACGGATGTGTTTATGCCGCTGTTTGCGGCGATCCAGGAGCTGACGGGGGCGCGGCCGTACACGGGCAACGTGGGAGCGGACGACACCGACGGCATCGACATGGCGTACCGCGTCATCGCTGACCACATCCGCACGCTGACATTCGCGATTGCCGACGGCGGTGTGCCATCGAACGAGGGTCGCGGGTATGTCCTGCGGCGGATCCTGCGGCGCGGCGCTCGGTACGCGCGGCGCAAGTTCAACGTGGAGCTGGGCAGCTTCTTCGCGCGGCTGGTGGACACGGTGGTGGAGAACATGGGCGATATGTTCCCGGAGATCACCAAGAGCACCGATCTGATCAAGGAGATTCTGTGCGAGGAGGAGGAGAGCTTTGCGCGGACGCTGGACCGCGGCGAGCGCCTGTTTGAGCAGACGGTGGCGAAGATGGGCGGCAGCAAGACGATGCCGGGGGCGTCGGTGTGGCGGCTGTACGATACGTATGGGTTCCCGGTGGATCTGACGCGCATCATGGCGGAGGAGAGCGGGCTGGTGGTGGACGAGGCGGAGTTTGAGCGCGAGAAGCAGAAGGCGCGCGATCTGTCGAAGCGCAAGAAGGGCAGCAGCGGCAGCGGACAGGGCATTGCGCTGGACGTGCATGCGATTGGCGAGCTGAATGCCCGCGGGGTGGCCAAGACCGATGACTCGCCCAAGTACTCGAGCCGGTCGGTGGAGGCCAAGGTGCTGGCGGTGTTCACGGGCAACGGCTTCGCGGACGCCGAGGAGCGCTCGCTGGCGACCCACCCGGAGGATGCGCCGGTGGTGGGCGTGGTGCTGGACCGCACTGCATTCTACGCCGAGCAGGGCGGGCAGGAGTACGATACCGGCTCGCTGGTGAGCTCGGATCTGTCGTCCGAGTTCACGGTCGAGGACGTGCAGGTGTATGGCGGGTACGTTCTGCATACGGGCTTCCTCAAGTACGGAGCGCTGCGTGTGGGCGACAGCGTCGAGGCCCAGTACGACGTGCTGCGGCGGCTGCCCATCCGCAACAACCACTCGGCCACACACGTGCTGAACTTTGCGCTGCGGCAGGTGCTGCGCGCCGAGGAGCCGGACCAGCGCGGCTCGCTGGTGGCGCCGGACCGCCTGCGGTTCGACTTTGCCTGCAAGGCGGCGATTTCGGCCGAGCATGTGCGCGACATCGAGGCGCTGACCAACCAGATCATCAAGCAGAACCTGAAGGTGTACGCGCAGGAGGTGCCTCTGGATATGGCGCGGCAGATCAGCGGCCTGCGCGCTGTGTTTGGCGAGGTGTACCCGGACCCGGTCCGTGTTGTGTCGATTGGCGCTGACCTGGACCAGGTGCTGAAGAACCCGGAGAACGCCGAGTGGGAGAACTACTCGATTGAGTTCTGCGGCGGCACGCACGTGGCCGGCACTGCCGACATGAAGGTGTTTGTGATCACCGAGGAGTCGGCCATCGCCAAGGGCGTGCGTCGCATTGTGGCCGTGACCGGTCCCGAGGCCTCCAAGGCCCAGCTGCTGTACCAGTCGCTGCAGGCCGAGGTGGCCAAGCTCAAGCAGCTGTCGGGTGCTGAGCTGGATCACGAAATCAAGCGCCTGGCCAAGGAGCTCGATGCGGCAGCCATTGGCGTCTACGACAAGCACGTGCTGCGCAGCGAGTTCGATGCGATCCGCGCGGCGCACGTGGAGGCCGAGAAGCTGGCCAAGGCGCAGGCGGCCAAGCAGGCGGTGGAGCTGGTGCAGAAGCTGATTGAGGAGAGCCCCGAGCAGGACGTCTTTGTGGTCGAGCTGCCGGCTGCTGGCAAGGCCATGAGCCAGGTGGCCACCTTCGTCAAGGGCTTGAAGTCCAAGGCCGTGTATCTGCTGGCCGTCGATGGCGCCCGCGTGGCCCACCAGTGCGTGGTGCCCAAGACGCTTGTGCAGCGCGGGCTCAAGGCCGGCGAGTGGGCCGACGCCGTCAGCAAGATCGTCGGCGGCAAGAAGGGCGGCAAGGACGAGTCTGCCCAGGGCAGCGGAACCGAGACCGCCCGTGTTGCCGAGGCCGTCGCTGCCGCCGAGGAGTTCGCCAAGACGCATCTGAACTAGAAAAGCTAAACATATATTGAGGAAATTGAAGAAACTTTTGTCCAAACCACGCTTTACTCAGCCTTGGGGCTACCGGTGCTCTTGCCCGGCGCATCGTCCAGGAAATGCACGCCATCGTCCGGGTGCTGCTGCTGCTGCTGCTGCTGCTGCTGCTGTGGTGACTTGCTGCCGGTGGCCGGTGTGGCAAAGTCGCTGGTAGCGTCGTCCCAGCTGAAGTCGAACAGCCCGTTCTGCCGCTGCTGCGGCGTCGAGGTGCCTGTCGTGGGCGTCACCGACATGTCGTCTTTGCGGGCTGCCTGCTTGCGCGCTGCCTCGCCGCCGGTGCCCAGGAACTCCATCGGCGAGATTGCATTGAGCTTTGCCATCGTACCGGGCGTCGGCGGATTGAACGAGTACTTGGACGGCCGCCGCTCCATCGCTGGCGGCTGGGCTTCCACCGCCTCGTCTGCCGGCTTGTGTAGCCTGGCCCTGACGCGCTGCCGGATCGCCTGCTCCGCCTTATGCATGGTGTCGTGGAATGCGCTGCCGATGCCCGAGGTCGACTCGTCGGCGGGTGGTCCGCCTTCGACGCGCGTCTTGGAGAACTCGGGGTAGATCTTGGGGCCCAGCTCGTTGACCAGATCCGTGATGTCAGTCGCCAGCTCCTCGCGCTGCCGCACCAGCAGCTCGGTGTGCTCCTGCCCCAGAATCAGCGTCAGGAACAGCGGCCGCACCGACTTGACAATGTCCATCGCCTGCTCTCCGAATATCAGCGCAGTGTAGCTCGCCAGCGCCGCCAGCGCATACGCCGCGCAGTATAGCTGCATGCCGGACCACGTGCCCACAAACGACAGACTCGAGGGCACGTGCTGCGGCGAGCGACGCACATACCACACCGCCAGCAGCGACGCAACCATATACAGGAACGGCACCAGCCCAAGCGCAATCAGAATCTTCCAGGTCGCAATCACATCACGCGCACGCACCTTCACCGTCGATGCTGCCAGCGCCGCCCGCGCCTTGCGCTTGCTGACGATGCCCGTGATCACAAACACCGGGATGTTCAGCACCACGCCCGGCAGCGCAGCCGCCCCCATCAGCAGCAGCCACACCAGCCGCCACAAGAACAGCATCCCAGCCTCCGACCGCCCAATCTGCATTGTCTCCACCTGGTGGTCCCGGATCCCGTAGTACCGCAGCTGCGTGTTGTAGTCCTCCACGCGCTCCGCCAGATCCCGCACCTCCGGCAGGTCCTTGTACACGCTGTATCCCTTGATGAACCGCCGCGTCAGCTCCACCTGCTGCGCCATGCTCAGCGAGTGCTGCGTTGGCTTGTACAGCCGCCGCCCTGCCTGCGTCAGCTTCAGCGTCTCGTAGTCCGGCGTGTTCAGCGTCACCTGCTTCAGGCCCTCTGACACCTCATGCAGCAGCTGGTCGCATGCCTGCCGCTTGGCCTCCCCGCCCTGCTTGTACTTGGCCACCAGCTCCGCCGGCACCTCGATCGGCGTCCCAAAGTCAATCACCGCGCGTGAGCGGAACTTGCTCGGGTGGAAGTAGTTCAGCCCCGTCGGCACAATCTTCAGCCCCAGGTCTGGGTTCTCCGCCGTCGCTCCCAGCGCCATGATCGTCGCCCCCGCCTTCAGCGGCAGCATCTCCGTGCGGTCGTGCGACCCACCCTCCGGGAAGATCCCTACACACTCGCCCTTGTTGAACCGGTCGTACACTGCCCGGTACATCTCGTCCTGGTCGATATGCGGCACGCACTTGTACGTTGCCCCGTCCACCGACGTCAGCAGTCCGATCGCTGCCAGCTCCTTCATTTCCTTCGCGATCCGCACCTGCGTGTCGGAAATCACCTCAACGACCTTTGCCTGCCCTGCATTCTTCGACAGCATAATCTTGTACCCGGGCTGCAGCTCTGATGTGAACCTGGTGCCGATCCCGCTGATCAGCGTCGGCTCCGCGTACCTGTCCTCCAACTTGATGCGCCCCGACCCCGTCTTGGCCAGATCTTGCTGCCGCTCTACCGGAATCCCGCGCAGTGCCCGCCCGTAGAACCCGATAAACTTGCGACGCATTGACGCCGCCGCAACCAAAAAGTACACACGACGCACTGCGTGCATCAGCAGAATCACCGGGTCCACAAACTACATATCTGCCTGCTTCAGTAATAAAGAACACGCAAACCAGCCTACCGCATCCGCTCGTGCTCCACCATGCCTCCGTTTGCTGCAACATACCTGGTTGTGGTGCGGTGCCACTACAAAGATTACCGGCCCCGTCTTTGGAATCAAATGAGCATTGCGCTCTGCCACCTCGCGGAAGAACAGCCCCACCACCCGTGTCCAGAACGCCCGGAACACGTCGTAAACAAAGTAGTTTTCGTTGTCGGCCTCGTAATTACTCGCCATTCCTTTTATGAACAATATATGCGAAAAAGAAAGTAAGGAGAAGAAGCGAAAAAAATGCTGCCACCGTAGAAACAAATAAAATGGAAGGAGAGTAATCCACGCTGCTGGCAGTTTCTGTTTTGCAAGGCCAGCTCGTCGCTCCCCCCGCGCAACCGCTTAAATATACATCTCTCAGTCTAGCGCCCTGCTTGCAGCGCATTCATTCAACGCGCCAAGAATGAATAGAAAAACCACAATCGACCCCCTCGTGTTCGTGATATCACTGCGGCATGTGTTTTTTCAAGATCTTGTCCTCTCTGGTGGCGAACACGCATTTTTATGCAACACAAGCGCACATGAAAATGCCGGTCGCAATAACATTTGGGGGAGGATGCCACTGCATTGCGCCTTTTGGATGGCGTGAGCTCCAGACTAGAAAAGAATCGTACTATTTTGCCGTAGATTCGCAGCTGATAAGCCCGCAAGCCCAACCTCTCCTGATAGCGACAAAAGAAAAGGAAAGCAGGAGCGCTAATCGCTGGGCCGGTCCCATTTTTGTGTATTTCAGGAGATCTAGCATGTGCAAAATCACATTCGGGCCGCCCGTTAGCGCCCGCGCGTGGGATAAAATTCCGTTTTGTGCATCCCGACCCAGTGGAATGCCTGATTTAATCTGCGACTGCTTCCCTGTAGCCAGCGCTTCGTTTATTTCGTGGCCGTGCTGTCAACGGAACAGCCATGCATGTCTCTTCCACACACACAATGCTGGCGAATGCGTGAGCGCAATCGACCCCCAGCTATCGCAACAATACGTTCCCAGTCATCTGAGTCTCTCTCCTTCCCATGGGCGATACTCCACGCCTGCGTCTCCCCTTGTTCTCCTTGCTCTCCTCCTTGCCAGTTCGCATCCAGCCATTTTACTCTTCTCTTGTACATTCGTTTACAGCATGTGCAGTCTCATAAAGATCATCGACTGTCTGGTGATAGTGTCACTCGCATTTAATACCATCGTGCTGCTGATGATTGCCCATGGCGACATAAAGCCTGAGCGCAAAATTTGCCGCTCCCCGTTTGTCGACGAAACCAGCTACCCGGTACACGATGACGACTCGAGTATTCAGTTCCGGTGTTGGAACATTTAACTCCCCTCCCACTGCCACCAATGTACATAGCCCTTTAGTGCAAAAAGCGACCTTCACTGCCTTTCTGTTTCTAACCACGTTTATTGATTAGTGCCCTCCCGGTTGAATCTCGTCCGCTTCGAATGAATTATACATAGCCTGTATATTACCTTAATTCACTGACGCGCACACGCAAAAGTCGTCATTGGTGAATGTTTTTTTTACTTAATTACAGAGACATCACCTTCGTTTACGAGCTGCTGTCAAGCAAGATGGCCACTGCCCGGTTCGGGTCATTGTTGCTCAGCTGCAGCGCCTGCACCACCTGGTCGCGTCCCACATCCGGGAACATCCCCTGCAGCATCGTAATCTGCTCCTCCGACGCCTGCTCCATGCCCGGCGCCAGCTCATTCAGATACGACCGAATTGAATTCGTCGTCGCCGCACGCGAAATCCCCGGCCGCGCCTGATCCGGCTGCACACGCTGCTGTTCTCCTGCACCATTTACCCTCCCAATCCCAACCGACCGCCCCATTGTCTGCGCTAGACCTGCTGGCCCTGCGCTCCGGCGAACCACCGGCACCGTGCCTTGCCCGCGGTTGCCTGTAGGCTGTGCTGACGTCACCACCGGCAGCACCCATCTTCTTGCCATGCTGCTCATCCACTGCGGGAACCGCCAGCGCTTCAGCCCGCCAATGTCGGCGCTATATACCATGCTCGCCAGCACTCCCGCCAGCGCCGGTACCACAGTCTGCGGCAGCCGCAGCACAAACAGATGCAGCGCCACCGCATACACCGTCCATTTGTCGCTCAGCTCCATTCCAAACACTCGGATCCGGTACTTTGCCGGAACAAGCACATGGAACTGATACAAAACAGCGAAAATCAATGAATACGGTCCCGCCGCCACAATATTGAATCGCTGCCCAGTGGTCCGCATCGCCAGCAAAAATAGCAACACTACCTGCAGCGTCTGCCCCACCAGCGCTGTCACAAATAAAAACGACGCAAACTTTAGCGTCCCAAACAGCCGCTCGACGCTACGCAGCTGGTACAGCAGCATCATCGAGGCCATCACTTCCGTTGAGTTTGGGAACGCCGCCAAAGACGTTGCTAGCCGCCAAAACTGCTTGTCCCGTGTGATATATGGCACCAGCCGCAACCGCAGATATGGTTTCCAGTTCATTGTAGAGCAGAGTACTGACGCCCCACCCAACCCCAGCATCCACAGCTTCGTTGCTGGTGCACCAAATAGTCCTGATGCTACCATTGTCGCGAATTAAAATAATATGGATGAGCGTGGCGAAGTTGAATTGCAAAAAGTACAAGCTGAATGGAAAGCAAAGGGCGGACTGTGAAGAGGGAAAAGCGTGCCAGTGCTTCAGACTGGGAGCTGTTGGCTGTCTGCAGACGCTGGCGATGATGATTGGTCAATCAATCCTCGGTCGGATTAGTCCAAATAATCCAATGATTAGATCGGCACATGACGCACATATACGTGTCGTCAGCGGTGATGTGACGAACGGCGGGCCCAATAATAATAACACTGCATCCTATCATGCCTGAAGCGACGATCTCTTCTGTTGTGGTATCTCTGGTCAGGATCTGCAAGATGTGGTTGCTCAAGTATCTTTATGACAGCCTACTATCTATTCCATCCAAACATGAATAGAATATATACCTGCTAACTTCATATCTAAAGTCACGTAAATTATTAGCTTACATTATGTTCTCTTCAATACATTCACTAGTAGATCACTGGTAATGGGCAAAGTGGATGCGCTGTCAAACCCAGAATATGGAACGGGTTCGCCTTTCAGTCAACTTGTGTTTTTTTTCTCTATCCACTCCTCATCAGAAAGCAAGTATTACAGATTTCCTTGACGCACACCAAAAATGCCTTGGTGGCTGGGATGGTTATTGCCGTATGTACGCTGCATTATCCCCATCCCGGCCCGACATGGCTGGATGCAAGAAAGGGAGAATGCCTTCGCTCACAGCTAAGCCAATGCCATCAGATGACAGCAGATTGCAGAAAGCGTACAGTCCTTCTGCAGCAGTGTAGAATGTTAGGACATCAAGACACTGCCTGACAATGTAAGAAGGAGGTGTAAACCGGATATCAGAATGCACACGGACAAGTGGTGGTTTATGAGGATGGCGCCGTACACCGAGACCAGGTTTGCATCATGCTGTGGCAGAAAGAGAAACGGACGATTGGAAGGGCAGACATTCCACGCCTCTCATGCCATACGTTTCAAGAGCAAGACATGTCTGGTGCTTTCATCTGCAGACAAGCTTGCTTGTGAAACAAAACTGACAACCCCCACATGCACACACACCTCAATTTTCACAATTGTGCAATATGGATGTGTTCTCCCTGAGTCTTGTGAAATAAGGAATCGTCAGTTGCTGTGCGTGCCGCTGTATTTTTTAGGATGGCAAGCGTTGCGGCAGCCAGCTGAATGGCGGGTGGGTGGAAGGGCGGAAGGGTGGACAGGGTGCTCCACATAGGCGCGAGCAATCCGATTCCCCTCACAACATTGAGCCAGCTACCCTGTCCTGGAAATCATTCTTAATGATTACCACGGCTCCAGCTTTCAGGATCCTCTTGCTCTTTAACGTTGAATTAAATACAGGGCCAGTATTACATAGGCAATGCTGGGTTCATTCTGGAGCTACATGCCATGAAAACTCGTTGCGCTTATCAGAATATTTGTGTACGCGCTGTAGACATAGCAGTTGAAACAAGTGCCTAAGGAAAGAGGCGACCTCGGGAGTAAACAGCCACATGTCCTGGCCACCAGAACATGATGACTGCTACCCATCCTCACTGCCCCTATGACATCCATATGCATGCCCTGGCCAGGTGAACAGCATGCAGGCAATTGTGCGTGCTGCTTTCAAGCAAGATGCCGACTCTCGTCAATTTGCAACCAAGGCATATCCGGCAGATGATAGCTATTCTGTCGACCACTCATTCGTTAGTGGGAGGAGTAGGCAGGGAGCTACACACAGGCTTTGCTTGTTATTTTGCAGGAAACTGGGGTTGCGACTGGCGTGAAATAGGTGGTGTTCAAGACACGGCAGGGTACTAGCCGTCTTTTAAACCCCTAGGTGTGCAACTCCCAACAACAGCTGCACATTCTCTCTCTACCACCACTACTCATAAATAACACCAGCTTACACTTGACACTCCTTATCATGTCTACATATGCAGACAAGAGATATTCTGAATCGCTATACCTTTGGTATAGTCTGTCCAACACAAAATCTGTCGTTTTGAATGGTTCTGACTCTGATACCATGAAGAGACGGAGGCTATAGATCGCCTGCAAGAAAGCCCAGCATGAGACGTCGACTCTGACTGACTACCTGCAATTTGCTGACGCCTACAAGAACCGCCCTTGGCTAAGCTTACATCTGCCCGAGTTCATGACAAAAGCCCCGCTCATACTGGAGTGCCAGGTCGAGTGCTCATGTACTGACAGCAGCTGCAAGAAGAGGCATGGGCGCGTTTGGAAGAGCAACGTCAAAGAGCTGAAAGATTGTGGTCTGCTGCCCTCGGTGAGCGAACTTTGCATAATCCTGTATAAGGACTGTCCGAAGAACCTCCATCTCGACGAGGCTATCCAGGAGCTCGTTATTCCCAGTGGCGCGATTGCCAACACGAGGCTTACCAAGTTCCTAGGACCTGGTTTGTCCCTTGCCGGCAAGGACCAAGGTCCAGAAAACGCGAAAATAGAGATGGAACGGGCTGTCAAGTGTATCCTCGAGCACTGCCCGCATGTCGAGGAACTGTGGTTCCATCCAGAGCGCGTTTGGGGCCCAAACAAGGGACTTCTTTGTGACATATCTGGTGTCGGAGCGGAGATGATGACGGTGCTTCGCAGTATGCTCCACCCGCGCCTAACGATGATGCAGGTCACACGGCCGTTCGCAGCCTATACCGACCAGCCATTCTCGCCAAGTCTCCAGTATCTCGCACTGGACCTGAAACTTGTTTCGGAGCTCGTGCACTTGCCGCTTATCCCAACCGCCAATATCCGTCATCTCGAACTAATCGGAATCTCAAGCGGCATCAACTGAGGCATTCTCGAAATGGGGGCAGATGGAAGTGTGCATTTCCCAAATCTCCAGACGCCTGTGTTGTGGTTCAAGATTCCAGCGATAGGCACTGTGTATTCCTCACTGGACATATCCAGAGTTGTGATACCAGCGACCGTTGATGTCGAGGTTAATGGGATAAACAATAGCAAAGGCGCCATCTGGAAATACTTCACAAAGGGATGCCACCAGCTGTCACTCTTTGAATATCCGTCGGTGCTTAGAAATATTGACGTCTACAACCTCCAGCGCTCTAGACATTTCAAGCTCAGGTTGATCCCAGAAGAGGGTGATCACAGCAAGCCTCTCCCGTTTGTGGGGATGAGAAAGTTCTTTGGCCACAGGAACTGCGAAATCCGCAAAATGTCGGTGACTGGCATCGAGCTCATGGTACCTCCGACCATGAATTTGCACAGCGTGGGGGACCTTCATCTGTCTCTAGGAACCGCAGACAGCGATACCATTCTCAACCTGGCACACCGGCTGACGAGGCTGAGGATTCTGCGTATCCGCTGTTTCTCGATGTACCGCAAGGATTTGGACAATCCTGGGTGCAGGGTTCACTTTGTAAACAAGGATCATGAACTGGATATCATTGCTTTGCATGCAAGGAAGGTCCCGATGGTAACCAGAAAGAGCTTGGTCTGCCTGCACCTGTACCCACGCATGGCGATTGATCCAAATAGGTTCATCGAGCTGGTGACTCGGTTCCCAAACATGGCTGAGATACATGTTAATGGCGAGATAGCCGAGTATGTGGACCGGGCTTTTAATCCTCTTCCTGTCATAACCAGCGCGATTGACCCAAGCATGGTGTAGCTCAGTTTTTCATCCGATTCCTTCTTTCACCTTTTGTATCCGCACCTATCCGTATAAATAGTATCTGTGAACGAGCTACAGCGAAAGTGAAGTATTGGCTAGAAGCGAACATACAGAGCGCTGCAAAAAGCCCATTGCTGAAAGGACAGCTGTTATACGACTAGTCATGGGCAACATAATCCGCTACATTTCCTGGATCATCAGGGTGCATCACATTGCGTATTACATCTTGTGCCCCACCAGCAACTCCGGGACTGCTAAATATGGCTAGATTGCGGCACACCAGCACACAAGAAATGGGTTTCTAGAACAAAAGCGGTCACGAAAGTGGTATGTAGTTCTGAGTTATTCTGTTTATTAGCTCACAAACAGAGGGCGCTAGCTAATAGGAGGGGTAATCTCCCAAGCCCGAATTGAGCGGCGGCCCGTGGTAAAATCATTTTCCTTCAAGCCCTATCTGAGCAGACAAGGGCATGCTACGTCGTTCGTCTAATCTATAAGAGGTTTAGAGGATGGAACGTCAAGACCCATGTCATTCGTGCGGCAACATCTTTTTCACTTCACATTTTCGAATTTTATATCTAGTTTCCGTTTAAATAGAAATTTGCAATTTCCTTTGCCATACTCATGTTCAACCCTATCGATAATAATCATTTCAGATGCCACTTTGAAGGAATGTTTAAAAACGATGATAACGATGATGTTCAGTATTTCGGTATGTTGATGGCATAAACCCAATAGAATATGACCAAGTATCCTGTTCATACTTGCCCGTAGTATATAGCTGCTATAAAATTCAGATCTTAGACCCCTCAGCCAGGCCACAGCAGATTCAGCCGTTGTCCTCAGTTCAGTTTCTGGTTTGATTCCTCCAATATATTTGTTAAACTCTTTTCACAACAGAAAAGCCACACAGATTATTTTTTCGGGGGGTTCAGCAAAGAACCTGTGAGCAGCAGTGCACACTATAAAAGAGCGTAATCTCAAACCTCAATTGGGTGGATAGGAATACAATGGGTCATTTGTCATTCACTCTGGGGATGGGGGTGATGACAATAGGGTGTCAGAATGTCATAATTATAGTTTTCCAGCACCTCTTTCACTTGTTCCTATATTCTTATGCGAGGTTTCTGTTTTTCATACATGTATGTAGTCTGGTTTAACTCTAGTATTCTTGATCATCACGAGAATATGAATTAGATATGTAATCCTATGGGAACATTTCCAGAGGATTCAGAAAAGAACTACTGTAGTTGTGAATTCTGACACTCGCTCATAAATTACTAGGTCCCTTACTCATATCCGCCCTCACCATGTTGGTTGTACTAGAATCGAACGCTAACCATCCCTGATTAAGCTACAGCAAGTGCAACCGTTAACTTTTTGCTACCTTTTGTTTGGTATTTTCTACATAGTTTTTTAACATTGCTCATGCTTCAGATGCTACATGACAGTGAGTTTTTGGATATAGCTAACACATAGTGTGTGAAATACATTACATTATGCCCATACTAGGTAGGCATATTGCAATGTCTGCTGGCAGAGATAGCTGGTGTAGTTCAGCCGGTGATTATCAACACTTCCTAAGCGACACCATCATCAGTTTAAAAATGGTTTTTCATACAAATGCTGCCAGGAACTTGACGTGTTTGTGTTTTGAGTAAAAGAATAAACCTGTAGAAACAATCTGTATCTCTGTCGCATGCGGCCTTTTATCTGTGCGTCCTGGGGGGGTGTGCTTTGTTCCCTCGTGGCTAGTCTCACGTGCCCATACACTACAAACTTGCGTGCGTCACACCATAACTTTTCTATAGTGTTGCACTACAATATATTATTTTCAAAATGACATTCAGCTAGTGGTTATCGTCGTCGCTATCCTGGGTAGCTACTGGCTCTGCCTTCATGCGTTTCAATGCTGTCTGCTCATCCTCCGAACCGTCCTCTGCGATGCTCTCCTGGTGCTCAATCGGCACACCGTCCTCTCCAGGTCCAAACCTACTCGGTTCTCTGATTGCCTTATGACACTGCGGGCATGCCAGTCCGCGCGACCCACCTGCCTCGACAACCCTGTCTACGCAGCACGGATGTAGAGCAGCTCCACACCCATCGCATACAATCCCGCATGTCGCTATTTCCTTACACAGCGAGCACTCGTGCAGCAAGTCCTGGTATGAGTCGTTCAAAAACGACTGTAATTCGATGGTCGCCCGTGCACCCATGACCACGAACCCGCCGTTAGCGCGGTTGAGCCAGCCGTCGCCACACAGTTTGTCCAAGAGCAAGCCAGCATCGGTTAGCGAGAACCCTGAAGGACCTAGACGTGCAGCCTCGCGCACAGCCTCGTGGTACGTGATGCAAAAGTTTCCCGAGGGTTCGGTGCAAATTTGCTCTATTAGTGCCTTTAGTATCGACAGCTCAACCGGGCTGTACGGGGTCGCCTGTTTTGAGATCTCGTCGGCATTGGTGTTGACAAGTGCCCAGTCGCGGGTACCAGTAAGCTGATCCATGCGGCTGCGCAGCTCGAGCGAGAATATTGATAGCGAGTTGTTGGTACGATCAACAATGTGCTGCAAGTCAATGTCGTCGGTGTTAAATATGCGCTGCATTGCGGCCCGCAGCTTTTCTTCACTAAAGAACTGTGCCGCCATGCACCACTGTGCCAGCATGCGCTGCTCATCGCTGTATGATTGTGACATTGAATGCGTATAGGAGGAAACTGGCGAATGAGGGTAGCCGTCATGCACACAAGGCAGCCGGAGGGTGATGGTGGTGGTGGATGTAGCGGTGATCGAAGGTTATGGAGGACCATGTGACAATGGAAAATATGAGAGATGGGTGTGTGGCGTACATGTTCTATTTACATGACCGCGCATAAACCTGGACAAAACAATAACAACAACAGAAACTCTGCCTTTCTCTCTTTCTCCTCCACTTGGCATCGACGCTCTCTTCTTTGTTCTTGCCACAGTCTTCATCATAGGAACGACACATGCTCGCACATTACATAGTGGCAGTTTTCTTCATACTCTCGCAGGCATTGGCATCTCGCGGCGAAGAAGTGGCCTACACGTGGAGCGTCTCGCATGCAGAGGCGCCGCACTCGAACCGCACGGTGATCAACAATGTCTTGCGGCTGCCGGTGGTAAACGTGACATACAGTGATGTGCTTGTAGTGCATATCACCAACCAGCTCGACACCTCGATCTCGCTGCGGCTTCTAGGTATGACTAACACAACCACCGATACGCTACCATGCCTGCTGGCGCCCGGTGATAGCTCTACGTACCGATTTACTATCGAGCAGAGCGGCACACACTACATTGCGGTGACATCCGTCTCCAGACAGCATAGCTCAGTGCTGATGCGCGTTCCAGTTATCGCAAATGACGCCGATGAAGTGTTTGAGTACCAAGACGAGTCTGTATTCCTATTCGAGGACACCCATGGTATGTTTACAGTTAACGGCGAGCAACGGCTACCGCGGATTTTGATGACGCCATTCTGGGTATATCGCGTGAGACTGCTGAATCTTGGCCACACATCGGTGATGTTTAGCATGGGTCAGCACGAATTGTCTCTAATGGAGATTGATGGAATCGAGTACGAGCCAGAGCCAGCACACTCTGTCAACCTGCTGCCGGGGCAGCGTCTCTCGGCAATGGTCACTGCCAAGGTCTCCAATGATGTCAATTACGCATATCAAGCGACCTTCTTCGACTCGTCCGCATCTCTAGATCTGGCTGATGGCGGCCAGCCAGCCAAATCTGCAGACATCCGAGCAACATACCAAGGCATGCTCGAGTATTGGACAGGCAACCCCACCAAGCCTGTCGGGGACTGGGCAGCAACTGGCACACGATTGCACACGGCGCAGATGACTCCAATGGCGCGGTTTGGGGAATGGGAACCCACGACAATCGTCTCTATCAGCGAATGTGTACGGGTCAAGAACAGCCGCTCTATATCAGGCGCCGATACCAGTGACACAATGCAGATTTCGGACACCACTGGCAAATGGCCGTTATGTGAGAAGAGCCATTCGGTTGAGGTCACACTCAAGTATCAGGAGATTGTGCAGCTGGAGGTGGATTCTGTCGGCAGTATGTTGCTCTGGCTCAACACGCATATGTTCCAGGTGATAACCAAAGAGAAGCATATGGGCGCGTCGCATGCAGAGCTGCGTAGCGTGGACAGGCTTGTTGCTGGGAATCTGACAGTAGTCAGGTTCAGGGCCGATGTCCCAAGCGTGTGGGATTTGCAGATTCCTGGGGCGCCAAGAGTTGTGTTCGTCGAGGCTGCAGACCGCATCTCTGACACCGACTTTTGCTAGCAGCTTTCATGCTCAAAAGTTCCCAGGCCGGTGGATGAAAAAAAATACATTGTCGTAAATAAGGAAAAGCGGGTGGTGGTGGATTATACATGTGCGCGAGGTGGCATGGCCACTATGTCGGTGTCCGATTCGTCGTCGAATCTGAGCAGCGCCGGGTCTATAGGCGAGTAGGGTGGCAGTTCTTCAGACTTTGCATCGAACATGCTGCTTATCGACGAACTAAAGGATCGTAGCGATGCGGCGGAGCTGTGAGTCCGTGGGGGCAGCGGCGGCGCCTGGAGAATGCTGCTTGTCTCGATCATCGGCTCTTCGTCGTCTAGCCGCATGGCGCCCTTTTTGCGCCTGGCCTTGGATTGTTTCCGCATGTACTTGTATGTGAAAACGCTGACTACAATGAATGCAGCAGCAGTGACTCCTCCGATAATAGCCGGCGTGGTCATCGTGGTTCAGTATAGCAGGAAAAGGAAGAGAGAACTGCAGGTAGTGAAATAAAGGGCTGGGAGGGGGAAGCCGCAAAAGAGAAAGAGAGCAAGCTTGAGCGCCAACAGAGGACCGAAGGAAGCACCGTAGTGGTTCAGAGGATAAAGAAAATGTACAGCCTGCAACCTGATACCCACTAGTGTCCCCACTGGATGGCTGCAGGCGTAATATATACAAGAAGCGCTTAAGCTGTTCCCGTTTGTCACCTGTTTGCCCAAGCCCCAGCACCAGAGCTCCGCCACCTTGTGCGGCAATTGGCGAAGAGGAATTTTTTTGCCAAGAATTTTCCGGCCAGTTTTCGGAAACCGCATCGAGCGAGAATTGCCCATCTCCCCTCTCTGAATACCGCAATGTGTATGACACAAGGTAAGATGCACACGGTAGCTTGGGCAAGAGCCTTCTTGGCATGCATGAGCATATTGGATCTTGCTGTCCATCGCCTCGGCCTTCACTGGCAAATGGATGACGGCTCCCCTATCGACACGAAAAACACAACAAAAAGCAGGAGCTTATTTTTAGGCCACTGTGAAGGGCAGCGGTCGGCGGCGATCCTCTCTTGCACGAACCGATCGGTTTGTTGGTGAAAGCGGGCCACAGGTGATGTTCGGGTCGTGAGAAGTAGCAATTCCAGGACCGCGAGCGCAACACAATTTAAGCAACCCTGTTGCCAGCAACCGACATCAACGTGTCTGTGCACACGGGTTTGACCATATAATTTAGCCAGAGTTGGAAAATGTGGACGTTGTGGTGCACATGGTGTGTGGATGGAGCGTACATACCAGCAATTAAAATATAAAAAAGACTATGATTCCACAGCTATTAACCACAGCTACCCACAATAATATGTGGGGCGTTGATACCCGGAACATCGCCATCATGTTTGAGGTTACGAGCTATTGAGTTGGGTCTGGCTGTAGCACCCAAGTAAAAGAGAGCATATTGAGAAAAGGCAGACCAAGGCAGCCTTAGAGACATAATAGGGAGTTAGTGAAAAAGGAGAGAAATGTCAGACTGGTGACTAGACCGATTCGAGAATAAAAGAATAAGAAAAAGATGAGAAGTAATCTAATTATCTGTAGAATATTTCAACTTCTCCATCGCCTCACGGTACATAACACTCCTAGCCACCAAACCCCATGTGATCAAAACAACCTCGATCATCTCCCGATCAACACCTGGCTCTACTGATAAATGCCCAACCCCTGAGTATCAAAGAGCCCAGCGCTGAAAGTCGCCACAATGCCTCTGCTGTTTTGCAACTCCCACTTCATTGTGCGCATATCGACCGCCCACTTGTATTTTGTGTCTGATGCATCAGTGAACTTCCAGCCCATGCCCTTGGCGCGCTCGTTTGCTTCAATCCGTGTGTTCGGCCCGTGGATGATAGCAAAGCTGGTGACGAATGCATCAGAGTTAGCTACCAGAAGCTCTTGGCCGGTCAATGATAGGGGAATGGTGGTGGTGTCGAACAGAGTGCGCTCGTCGTCATCAAAGTCTGCTATGGCGGTGGAGAGCGTGATCTTGGTGGGCTCCGAGCCCAGCGTGTAGCGGAGCTGGCCATACATCCGAGCTTGCGCCACGGTGTCCACGTGGCCGTCAAAGACGTGCCAGCCCTTTGACCCCTTGCGTTTGAAAATACTATATGCTTGGCTGCTCATAATTAAAAGACTAATTATCGATGGTATGAAGAAAGGTGGGAGAAGTGGTGGCCTGTGGTTGCAAGAGCGCTGTTTTATAGTGGCCTTGCAAGGCATAGCGAAGAATGCGCAGGTAGAATAAAACCAGATGCAAGGTTTTGTGTGATGATTCTCCGTGGTGCTGCATTCTTTTTTCCAACGATACCTTCCAGGACGATCACCCACCTCTTGGCATGCGTTATCGTGCCAAAATATCGTGTTGCCCAGGCGACGATCGAGGGTCACCTGTACAACCGCGTGTGTAGCAGATGCGGCTGCACCTGGCTCTACAGCAGCCATAGTAGCCACTGCTATCGGTAAAAATTGACCAGCAGAGTACTGCAGTGGTTCCAAAAAAAAAAAGCCGTAGCTGAGGTTGCAGGCTTAATGCGTCTTGCAAAGCGAGACGCGATTAGGCACTCCCCCTCCTGTTGTATGGCAGTGAGACTAGCCACGAAACAAAGCAAAGACCACAGATAAAAGCCGTATGTGACAGAGATACAGATTGTTTCCACAGTTTATTCTTTACTCAAATACAAACACATCAATCCCCTTTTGCTAATCCCATCATTATCAATTGATCGGCGAATTCTATATAGTTGCATTGGCAGTTCGGCAGTTATGTTATGTTCGTTGAATGTGTGGGGATTTTAAAAGTTATATTCAATACTGTAAGAAAAGAGAGAAAAGTGAATAGACGAGTTGCGCATGAGGAGTCTTTCAATATGGCCGTCTGTGCAACTTATCAGAGGCTAGACTCTAGCCTCCATATTGTAGGCTGTAGTAAGGCTCTCATTGGCACCTGGCTTGCTGTCACCTGATTCGGCTGACATGTCGACGTCAGGGAACAACTGCAGCAGGTATGCCAACAATGTGATAATTGTAAATCATCCTAGCCATGTTTCATACATATATTTCTTTACTTCAATTACCTTCCTACTTTGCTACTTTAGATATTCTTCTTACCATTTACAATTAGGCTTATTTTATTATTGATATATGGCCAAGCAGCATTATAGACTAATATCTATTGTTTAATGATTTAAGGTATTAAAGTCTTATTGCATAGAAGTTAAAGTAAAGCCAGAGGAGATAGTAGAAACTTTGGGACCATGTATATAAGTACCAGCTTCTATATTCAATAAGGTTATAGATATGTAATTAATTCTGGTACTAGTATAGGTAGAATAGATATTACTTGGTCTGGTCATTTGTAGCCTATAGTTACTAAGCAATGCCTATATCTGCCTCTGCTGCTCTCTATTTTGCATAAGCCAATGTTAATAATATAAGTAAGAATATAGTGCATAGGAATTATCACTGAAGTATAGTATAGAGGTCATTCACAATTACTAAACTAGTTTAAAGATAGTTAAAACTTTTAATACTTTTATTCTTTTATTTTTTTGCACTTCTATAAAACCCCTATCAGTATCCTAAAAAATTTCAGTTAATACACAATTAATATGCTTCTACTGAGATAGAGGCTGGGTCATAAGAAATCAACTGAATTTTTTTAGGATGCTAATGGGGTTTCATAGAAGTGCCCTTTCATGCATTTTTGTTTATTATATAGGAGGTCATTCAGAGTTAGTTATCTGCATAACAATTATTTATACATGTTGAAACTATTAGCAATTTTAGTGAAATAAAAATTTTACCTAAACTACTATTGGCATCTTAGAAAAGTTTCAGTGAACATAATTTCCTTATAGTTACTTAGCCACATCTATTGAGATATTGACTTTTGTTGCCCAATGATAATTAACTCTAAATATACAAAGTTTTTTCTTTCTGGTTGAAATTATGTTTACTGAAACTTTTCTAAGTTACCAATAATAGTTTAGGTGAAATGGCAAAAAATATTTGTATTTTAGAAATCACTTATAAGCATAGAAACATTCTGTACACAATAAGTAATATTAACCATAAGAAAAATAACTAGTAGCAAATATCTATTCTGAAAACGATTAATCAAATATCTAACAAAATTGTAATATACTAAAATTTACAAGTCCAAGAATGACCCCCATAATCTAGCTGCTATTATCTTTTTAGCTATTACTAAATATTCTGATTTTTAAAATATTTATTCACTATTAGTACATGATTTATAATTTGTTTATTGGTAATTCTAATATATGATATATAGTTTCTTTAAACTTTCTTATTTGTGAATAGCCTCCTATGTGCCTACTGCAGCTATCCCTGATATCAATATATCAGCCAAATCAGGTGACAGTAAGCCAGCCACTAATAAGAGCCCCGCTACAGCCTACACTATAGAGGTAGCATCTTGATGGGTTGCGCAGGGATATTTTCAATATAGCCGTCTGTGCAGCTTATCAGAGGTTATTCCCTTTTCTCGCTTCAGTATTAAAAGGACCTTAAAAGTCCCCACATATTCAACGAGCACAACAACTGTAAATAATACTAAATTAATTGGGATCACATCTATTTATTATATTAAATTAAAGTGTGACTCAGACACAGTCAAACCGATTTGAATAGGCACTCTATGACACTGGTTGGCGGAGGAGTGTCTAAAAACCATTAGTTCAGATGGTGGTGGCGGCTATTAATTCTGAATTATTGGGCGTTAATACCTGGAATATCGCCATCAAACGTAGAATTTTTCAACTTCTCCATCACCTCACGATACATAACACTCCTGGCCACTAAACCCCATGTGATCAAAACAACCTCGATCATCTCCCGATCAACACCTGGCTCTACTGATAAATGCCCAACCCCTTGAGTATCAAAGACCCAGCGCTGAAAGTCGCCACAGTGCCTCTGCTGTTTTGCAACTCCCACTTCATTGTGAACATATCGACCGCCCACTTGTACTTTGTGTCTGATGCATCAGTGAACTTCCAGCCCATGCCCTTGGCGCGCTCATTTGCTTCAATCCGTGTGTTTGGCCCATGGATGATAGCAAAGCTGGTGACGAATGCATCAGAGTTAGCTACCAGAAGCTCTTGGCCGGTCGATGGTAGAGGAATGGTGGTGGTGTTAAACACGGTGCGCTCGTCGTCATCAAAGTCTGCTATGGCGGTGGAGAGCGTGATCTTGGTGGGCTCCGAGCCCAGTGTGTAGCGGAGCTGGCCGTACATCCGAGCTTGCGCCACGGTGTCCACGTGGCCGTCAAAGACGTGCCAGCCCTTTGACCCCTTGCGTTTGAAAATACTATATGCTTGGCTGCTCATAATTAAAAGACTAGTTATCGATGGTATGAAGAAAGATGGGAGAAGTGGTGGTCTGTGGTTGCAAGAGCGCTGTTTTATAGTGGCCTTGCAAGGCATAGCGAAGAATGCGCAGGTAGAATAAAACCAGGTACAAGGTTTTGTGTGACGATTCTCCGTGCTGCTGCATTCTTTTTTCCAACGATGCCTTCCAGGACGATCACTCACCTCTTGGCATGCGTTATCGTGCCAAGATATCGTGTTGCCCAGGCGACGGTCGAGGGTCGCCTATGCAACCGCGTATGTAGCGGATGCGGCTGCACCTGGCTCTACAGCAGCCATAGTAGCCGCTGCTATCGGTAAAAATTGACCAGCAGAGTACTGCAGTGGTTCAAAAAAAAAGGGACTACCCGAGGCAAAGGTCCACCTGCCTGGCAACGCTCTAACGCACCAACAGCCGGCCCTAGGTACCCTCATGGACATGGGTGCTGGCATTAGGCCGCAAGTGCCGCCCTGTGCTACCATGCTCAAGATTGGCTACAGGTAAAAGGGCCCCAAGCGCCCGACAGCCCACTTTCCCCTCCTCAGTTGGCTCTACAGGTACCTTCCTCAATACATGCCGATAAACACTCATTTGTCTGAATGCTAGCCATGGGGCCAAGGTACATGAGGAAATGTCTGCTACATGCATCAGTGCAACGGGTAATCTAATCAAACGCGCGCCGACGCAAATGCAATCACCGCGCCTCTCTGCAAGAATAGGCCTGGAAATGCCGCACCCCCGCAAGCACAGCAGGAAAAGAAAAAATGGCATAATTTTTTCCCACGTGCCGCATATTTACGCCTCGTGAACTGCACTCCGCCTTGCATTAGCAAAACCCCTCTTACCGCTTTACAGCCTGCACGTTAACAGCACTCCCACTTTTTGCCTCGCTATAAAATAATAATGGATGATTTAGATTTTTACGACATCCTCGAGTGTGCCCCACACTCCTCGCTTGCCGACATCCACACACAGTACTACAAGTTGGCCAAACGACACCATCCGGACAAGACCGAGAAATCCGCGCTCTGGGAGAAGATCCGCGCAGCCCACGAGGTTCTAGGCGACGAAAAGCAGCGCGCGCTGTACGACCGCTGGCGCGCCAGCAGAGTGCCGGTGCCGTTTGAGAAATACAGACAGACGGCGCAGGCACATGCGGTGCACTGGAGCTTCAGTGGCCAACGCGCAATCTCCGATAGCAGCGCCCGCCAGTGGTGGGAGTGGCGCGAGCAGGGGAACCGCGTGCCGGATCTGTACGAGCGGTTCCGCAACTACGAGGTGTGAGGTTTGCGTTGCCCGTAATAGCTTTACTGGGCGGCGTCTGCGGATAATTTTTGCGTGTGAATAGTAGTTATTTAGGAGGCGTAATGCTAAATTCCACTCAGTATGCCGCTTTTGTTTGATCAGATACTCGAGGACTTGAAGGGAGGCGAGCCCGATATGAAGAGCGCCAGGGAGCTCGGTGCTAGACGTGTGGAGGCGGTGGGCAAGGAAGTGCTCGCGGGCCCGGCGCTCAGCACTGCATGCATGCAGAACCTCGATGCGCTGGTCACTACCGTCCACCAGGTCCGGGCCTCCCACCCACAGGTGCAGGATGCACAGGCGCGGATCGGCGACATACTGGCCGACGCCCAAGAGCTCAGCTATCATATCTCCGAGTGAATGAAAATAAATATTATCTCAATGGTCTAAGGTATTTAAAAGGTATGTTATTTTTTGCGGCTCGCCGATCGCCTCGGCACATACTCTTCGTCGTCATCCATGAGGTCCTCGTCGGACTCGTCCGAGTCAAATTCCTCGGGGTTGGTGCTATTTGGATATGTGATGCAGGCGACACGGACGACTTTCAGGTTATTGCTGGCAGGCACACGCTTGCTCGAGGGCTGGTTGGTCTCGGGGTCGTCGGGGACGGGCACGTCGCGCAATAAAATGGGCTTGCCGGGCATTCCCGCGTACTCACCTAGGGCATTGGGTACCGGCAGGCGGCCGAGCAGACGTGTGGCCGTGAGGGTATCGCAGCTTCCCCACTGGATGCGCTGCCGCCGGCGCTGCTTCTTGCTGCCCACATCGACCGACGGCAGGCGCGGCAGTTCGATTGATTTGCGCTTGCTGCCGTCATGTGCATCGCTGCTGTCGCTGGGTTCCACAGGCCCAGCCTCTTGGAACCCCTCCAGTAGTGCCCTGCTGGAGCCCGGCATAGCTGCCATGTCAGTGTCGGACAGGTCGTCGGCAGGCGTCAATGGGCGGGTCTCGACCAGCTCGTGGATCGCGGCATTGGCGGCAATCGGCAGATTGGCCACGCCCAGTCCCACTGTGTCGTCTGGCAGCTCTGCGCTGGCCATGGACACGTCGCTCGCCGAGTCGTCGTCGTCCAAGCCGCTGGCATAAACATAGTCGCCGTCCTCGTTGATCTCACCGCGTGCCACACGTCGCAGCAGCGCGCGCTCCTGCATCATCGACGAGGGTGACGGCGGCCGGTCGCCCTCCTTTTCGACGGTGTATTTCTCGATCTTGCATGTAAGGTACGTCGAGTTGCGCCTGGTGTTGAGTTTCGTCAGCCGGTCCAGCTGCAGGGGCCCCATTTTCGACAGCGGCTTCTGGACTACGTGCTTGGCCTTTGGCAGGGTCTGTGTGGCACGGAACCGCCGGCTGCCGGAAGTCTCTGCATCAGCTGCTGTGCTTGTGGTGACTGCCTGGCCCAGACGACGTGCCCGCAGCGACCGCAGCCGTGCCAGCGCCGGGGTCTCCTCTTTTTCCTCCTGGTTCTCCTCTGCGTCCACTGGCTTCGATGCTACTGATGCCATGCTGTTCGTGTCGTTCTCTGCGGATTTGGGTTCTGGGCCGACTGTGGACGCAGGGGCTGCGCGCGGTCTGTCCTCAGAGTCTTGCAGCGAAGCCTCGGCGCTCTCAATAATGGGTTCAGTGGAAGGCGCAAAGGCAGAGATGTTGAAATTGTTGAACGTCGATGCATTGGCCGATAGCCGCAGTGACAGCCGCGGCGAAAGCTCCTCGCCATCGTGCTTCATTTGCACCTGCTGCGCAGCGGCCATGTTTTCGTCGGCCATCAGGAACAGGCTGTCGATATGCGCGATTGTCGGCGAGGCAGTGGCCGGGCTGTCTTTGAAATCCATGTCGCTGACCAGATTGGCATCGGTTATTTTGCGTGCCTGCCGGACAGGCGTCTCTGGGCCATTCTCTGCCGACTCTTCGTCGATGGCCATGGGCGAGACCGCGCTGGACTCGTTGCTGCTGCGTGCAAGCTCGCCCAACGGCATGTCATCGTCCTCCGACTTGTCTGCCATATCAGCTGCCTCTACATTTGGTGTGCTGGACTTTAGCGGAATGAACGGCATCGACGAGTCCACTGTGGTGCCGTGGGTTGCGTTACATGTCTCGCTCTCCTCGCTGCTGTCGACGGCGATCCTGCTGCTGCCTTGCTCCAGCGGGTCCTCGTCCGACTGCGTGCTATGGACTGGCTGTATTGGCGGCTGCACCCGGGTCTTCTGGAATCCATGGACGTGCAGTGGCCGTGCAGAGTTTCCGGAATGCATGTCGTTGTGGTCGGTTGGCTGGTGTACCGGTGGCATCATGTGGGGCTTTGCAGCAACCTGCACAGACCGTATAGACATTGGCGGGGATTGTGGCAGGCTGATTTCCTCCGACCGCTTGTCGATTTCGACGACCGGGTAGACGCGCGCAGTGACCATCGGGACGCGTTCCGCAGGGGCACTCATAGGTGCATGTTCCGGCGATCTTGGCGACTGCCTGCCCAGTAGGCCGATTTTGGCGCGGAGAATCGAGCGTTTGGGCTTGAGTGTCGTCGGAGACGCTGGCGGGTCGGTGTCGGGCTGCTGTGGGGTGGAGTTTGGTGGTTGGGTTAATAGGGTGGAGAGTGGAATGGTGGCTGTGGATGCGGGGAAGAGCTGGGTAGATTGGGAGTGGTGCAAATGGAGGGTGTCTTTGGACAGATGGATGCTCAGGCGCGGGCTGTTGCTGATTGACACCAAGGAAGGATCATTGACTGACAAAAGTGACTGGCTTAACATGCCGCCGGCAGCCGAGCACACAACCATGCTGCGCTGGCTGCGCGGCGACAGCGCAGCCAGGCGCGTGCCCAAGAGCAGCAGGTAGCGGCGGGCACGTTTCAGGTGCTTCTTCTGCTGTTTGGAAATGGGCCGGGAGGCGGGGCGGTCAAGCACAGTGGCGGCGGCCTCGGCAGCGGCATGAACAACAATATTGACAGTGGTGGCAGCATGGTTGGCGGAGGAGCGCCTGCTGGGAGTTAGTGTGGAGAAGATGCGGGAAATCAATCGCGTGGCGCGATTTGTGGATGACCGGTGGTGTGTGGTATTTACCTGTGGATGGTGATGGTGGTTGCTGTTGTGAATTGGGCGGGCATTGTCGCTGGTGTCGCTAGGTGGCGATGACCGCTGGAACCAGTTGCGAATGGACCGGCCGCGACGGACCTTGGTGGTCTCGATTGTAGCGGCAGATGCGTTGGAGGCGGCGAAGGCCGGTGGTGAGGAGATCATTGGCTCGGACCGCGACAATGGCGGCTCGGACCGCGAATAGGCCAGTGGCGGTGGCACCCACCCCTGGTCCTTGCGGCGACGCGCACTGACCGAGCCCTTGAATGCCAGCTGCTGCAATTCGTGGCGGCGGCGGCGGAATGTGCGACGTGCAAGCGCACCACGGGCGATCCGCTGTATTAATAAAGCGCTGCTGCGCATGCGCATGTACTGTCTCTGGGCCATTATGCTCCTCCACCACGCTTGTAGCTTGACTGCGCTCGCCTACAAGAGAGAGAGAGAGAGAGAGAGAGAAAGAAAAGCGGTGGTGGCAACAATCAGCAGTCAGAGAACACAAAAGGTATGTGAGCGAGAAAATAAAAACCCACAGGCGACAATAGTCGCTCTGCTGGTGATTGTGAAAAGCTGTAATGAATAGAGAAAGTGCGGGTGGGAGGATGTCTGGAATAGGAAATAGCAGAACGGCGTACCTCGTGCTCTGGGGTGTTGAAGTATACGTCGTCCAGCGGCAATAGCATCAACACCTGGGTCCTCCGGCGGTGCTCGTCGTGGGCCTGCATTCTGCGAAACTCTGCATTGGACGCGGGCCCGAATAACGCATCCTCGTCGTCGGCATCGCTGGCTATGCTATCAACATCCGACAGGCCGCTGACCGGGCGATAGCTCATTTCTATAGCAACAAATGCGGGTGGGTGAGGTGTATGCTAGGGTGTTTTCTGCATGCTGCTGGCAATGGAAGACTAGCAATGGAAGGCTGGCAAGCAGCGTGGAGGCAGTGTTGTTACCTTTGCGGCGAGAGGTTGCTGTTACTGGAATGCTCTCAAAGGTTGTCATAATGCACAAAACAAGTAAAAGGCCAGGTGTTTTTGGGTGTGCAGAGGTCGTTAAATTAGCACGAATTGAAGGCGGACGGGGAATAATGATAATAAAAACGCCGTATTTTTAGAAAACAAAAATGCAATAAAAGAGGTGAGGAGGAAAAAGGAAAGAGGAGCTTCTAGGTTTACAAATTTTCGCAATGCATAATGGCTGCAAGACCACCAAGCCGCGAGGAGGAAAGAAAGATCGGCCACATACGACAAAAGAAACCAAGGGAGATGTGGGGGAGGATCCAATCAAGATCAGGCCATGTGCAGCCAATACATGGGTTGAAAAAACCGGTGGCCAAATCGCCGGGATGGGAGCAATGCCGAGGAGAGGGCTGGAGTAGCTGCGTGTGGGGCCCCACATCGCAGCCAGCCAACTCTCGGAAAGACCATCCGAAACCACCACAAAAGTCACTGCTCGCCCTCCACAACGCGGGGGGGTTCGAACTCGGCCGACAGACGGCGCTCCAGCAGCCACAGGGCCTCGGAGCCCGCCACCAGCCGCTTCCCGCGCCGGGCATTCACCGACCCAACATGCGGCTGCGCGGGCCTCGCAATGCCCAGCCCCAGCTCGCCATATGCCCCCGTCGTCCGGATGCGCTTCTGGCCGCTGGTAAACGTCTTGGCACGCGGGCGCCCCGACCCGCTCGACTTGCGGCTGCTGGCATTGCTGTTGCAGGGGCTGCCCAGCTGCGGCGAGTGGTCGCGCTTCAGAGAGCTCTCCGCCGGGTCGGCCACCGGCGGGGCTCCGGCCAGAAGCTCGGCCAGCGCCGGGTCGTGGGCATGGCGCTTGATGCGGCGCCGCAGCGGCTCCGGCAGAAGCTCGTACAGCTCGCGCGTGCGGCGGATCACACTCGCAGCCCGCAGCGGCGGAAACGACCGCAGGAACAGCATCGGCGAGGTCGTCGTGGCCAGGAGCTCACGCATCGACAGCAGCTGGGCCACGATGCAGACCACGTTCAGATGCACACCGAACGCCAGCAGAAAGTCCCACAGCCGCACGACCTGGCGCAGCGGACCCACATTGGCGCTCAGCGTCATCGCTGCTGGGAACGCGTAGATTTTGGCCACTGCGCCGTGTCGCCGCAGATGCGAGTACAGCTGTGGGTCCACAAACGCCAGGCACTCGTCCACCAGCTGCACACACGCATGGACGCCCGGCAGCGACGGCCGCGCGTAAAGCGGACACTCGTTGCGAAGAAACTGGCGGAACGCATAGAACGCAGCGCTCTCGTCCATCACATACAGGAACGGTGCCAATAGTGTGTTCATGCCCTGCACATACCGCGGGGGATCGCTGGCTGACCGATCTACGAGGGTAAAAAAGATAAACAAACTCAGCTTTCAGTGTAGTATCGATGGTTGCAGGCTGCTTCAGAGAAGCCCGCATGGGGAGGCGCCTAGCAATTACGCAAACTCCGCCCACACTACATCCCCCCGGTCCAATAGACCGCCCTGCCCCCGCCTGCACTATTCACTTACCCGGGGCGCTCAGCAGCGCATTCAGCACCCGGACCACCGACTCAGTGGTGACGGTCTTGCGGAACTCGCTGTCGCCTGCCAGCGTGCGGAACGCGTCGTTGTTGATTTTACCCGCACACGCCGACGGGCACAGCCCCAGCGCTCGCTCGTAGCCCTCGACACCCGTCGCCCGCACCTCCAGCATCGCCAGCCACAGCCGCCCACGCGCCTGCTGGTCTACCGCCGGCAGCCCGCCGTTGCTCACCACCAGCACCCGCACCGCCCGCATCGACGCGCCCACCTCGCTCCAGCTCTCATGCACCCGCCGCTGCAATGCCGCCAGCTTGCGCGTCTCTGCCAGCAGCGGCGCCCGCTCCGCCGGCTCGCCCTCGCCCGCCCCCAGCGTTGCCAGAAACGGCGGGATCGTGATCGTCCGCCCCTCTAGCGCTTGCTCCACCGAGCTTATGTCAGACCCGATCGAGTCGCCACCTCGCCGCCGCTGCCGGTAGTCCGACGACTCGGCCGCCTCCCGGTACGTTGTGTCCACGCGCGCCGGCTCCACCAGCTCCAGCCCCCGTAGATCCCCAGGCTCGCTGACTGGTACTCGCAGCCGCTCGCGCAGCCGCAGCCCGCTGTCGTGGCTCACCGGAGGCGAGGCCCTGTATGCCGACGGTACCCGCGGACTCCCCACTGCCTCCTCGCTGCCCACCGGCTCTTTGAACTCAATACCATTGAGCTGCCGGCTCAGCTCCAGCACCCGTGGTGTCAGTCCGCGCCGGTGCGTTGTGGGTGTTGTTTTGCGCATGTACATACAGACTGAATACGAATAAAATAGATATCGGGTGTGCGTAAAAAGGTCGTAGCGTTAAGAGAAATAATAAAACACCTTGGGAAAGGTGCAATGCGAAGAGGGGATTAAGAGAATGTGAAAGGGTGCGAGAAAGTTTGTGTATTTTTATAATTTGAGCGGAATAAAGAGAGGACCTGACTTTTTTGCTGGTTCCTGGAATGTAGCACGCACAATAGACGCTAGCCTTTTATCCCTTTTCTGGCCCCTCTCCGCACGCCAGCCGCTGCACTAGTCTACAAGCGCCCCCTTGGCGTGCGGACAGACAGCTGCGAGAAACTCTGTCATTCTCTGCCCACCCACCGGCCCCGCGCTCTATATTGCCGTGTCAGCCTGCCTGGCTCTGGAGTGGGAAGGAGCCTTTGCGCATTTATGTGTCCATGGCGATCCCCAGCCCTTTTCAACCCCTCTGCGCGCAATTGCCATTCAATTCGCATGCAAGCCCAGCCATGCATGCCCAAACCTGGCTTCCCCTCCATCGCGCCGTCGCGCATTTCCTTTGTCTTTGTCTTTTTTTCGCCAGCAGGATCAGCCTCCCCACCATGTCAGCGCTGGCACCACGCCTCTACGGCTTGATCTCTCAGCCAGTCAGCGCGCTCTGTTTTAGGCTTTTTCCAGCGCTCAATGCAGCTCCTCCCCGGGTGATCCTCCACGCACCCCAATTTTTCAGTTTCGGGACTGCGCCTTGTCCGCAGGCCACGTGAGCCTCGGCCCATGAGCCTACCTGCGCCAACCCGACTCGTTTTCGTGCATTCCAGGATCCGAGTTCCCGAATCCATTGTGATCCCTCCCCAGATCTCCCGCGCCTGCTGCTGCTGATATCTATCCCTTTCATCACGCTTGCGAGGCTGGCCGGTTGTTGTTTCTGAGATGCATCACCCGCTACTGCTCATCATCATGGACAATCCAGCCTCTCCACGCACTATACTGGCTCCAGGATCCTCCCCGTCCGTCCATGCTGCAAATAAAAGAGGGTGCGCCTGTATATCCTCTCCCCACCGTTCCTACATTGCCTTACACAAGCTGCAATCCAATTCCCCATTAGACTTATTTGCATTCGGCCACGCATCCCCTTGAATCCCACTTGCAATACAGGAAATGAAATGCCCCGCCACTCTGCTCTCCCTTGTCTACTTCTCCCCAGTCGCATTGTCATTGAGCCAGCGCCAGATCGCCACAGATCCTTCTGGCAATAGTGCTGTCATCCCAGGATCTCTCCAGGGCGATGGCGCCGGACAGCCACCATTTGACACCAGTGCCCAGCAGCCGATTTCTGATCCTGGCGATGCTGCCGGGCTGTTCCCATTTGACGGCAACGGCCAGTCCCTGCTTTCTGCTGGAGATTTCCAACAGCCCTCTGGTAGCAGACAGCCGCCATTTGGTAGCCCTGGTCAGCAGCAACCCAATGACACTAGCCAGCAGCCTGGAAGCAGGCCCAACACCAATCTGCAACAGCCCACCGGCACCACCCAACCCCAGAGCCAGCCCACAGCTGTCCAGGACTCTGCTTCGTCATCGCAGACCATTCCAGCGTCAATTCTAGAGCGTATGTCGAGCCTGTTCAACTTTGGCCAGGAAGTATCCCCCAACCCTGCTCCATCTGGCGTGCATCCTGGCCAGTCTGTGTCATCGCCTTCCCGGAGCGCTGAGCTGCGGACCGATAGTCTCTCCACGCAGCAGGAGGAATCAGCAGAGACGCCCGGGGACCTCCACGCCAATACGGGCAATGTGGGCAGGTCGGTGGCTGCGTGCGCTGTGGCTGTTGCCGCTGCATGCATTCTTTCTGGATCCATCTAAGAGCCTCATTCGTGTATAATTTGTCCAATCTTGCCACTCATCTCAGAAGTATGAATCAAATAAATACATTACAGCATTATTAGACATGGCACCCAAAAACCCCCAATGCCCTGGCAATGCAACCTTAAATCAGTGCATGTCCCTAAATCGCATATACATATTTGATATCACTCCTGTTCTAGCTTGAGCGATTACCACATGTGTCATGTCATAATTACGATTATGCCCAGCTTTTGTATTTGTTGGAGTTCATTTTTGATTTGCCACCACTCCCTTACCTCGAAGTTTCGATTGGTTTATTGGAGAAATAAAACATGCAAAAAAGAGTTTCTACGTGGAACCTCCAGAGGAACTGAAAATTACTACAAAATTCGGCCAAACCCAGCGCTTCTCCTGCTCTTCTACATAAACTGCCCCACCCCACTGACCTCCTGTTCGTTGGTGTCCTTCTGCAGCGGGTCTGTTGTCGCCCACACCTTCACGGACCGGTCGTTCATGTACCTATGCAGTTCCACGAGCCGCCACGACAGGATTATCAGCGGTAGCTGAGCCAGATCCTCAGCCCGCACAATCTCCACGGTGCCAATACGCCGCAGGCTCGGCCCCACCCGCCGGAAATACGCAACGATCTCGCCCTGCTGGTCTGTCAGCTTCCATGTCCGCGACAGTAGCCGCACGCTCCACTTCAGGAGCCGCCCCCGCAGATCAATAAACTCGTAGTGCTTTGAGGTTGCCTGGAACCACCCGTCGAACCCTGGCCCATGGATATCTGCCACATGCGATAGCAGCACCGGGTGTGCCTCGTATTCTGCATGGTCACCGGAACGTGTGCTCCCCTGGTACAAATATACTGGCAGTGTTTGGCATACGACTGTGTAGCACGGTGTGGTGGTGCTCTCTGCATGTGAGCTGCTTTTGTGTACTCCCGGGTAGACGCCAACGCACTGAATGTCCCCGTTCTCTATCAGCGTATACTCATGTATGGCTGACATGGGTGAAAGTGATGAGGGTGTATTAAGGATGAGGTGAAGAATTGAGGAACAGAAATGGGAGATACTGGTGCACAAGGCGGGGAAAGGAGCAAAAGAAGGGTAACGCCCCCAGCCTGTGATTTCCCCACCTCCCGAAGATCCCAGAGATGTTCCATGGACCGCATTATGACCGGTCCACAAAGCCGTTTCTTTGTGGCACATTTTCAACTGCAGGTCACCGTGATCGCCTGTCAAAGCGTAATAAATCGAATCCGGGAGAGGCCGCTGCATATCTCCAGATCTCACAGCGGAGTAATGTGACAGTGCGTCTTGGCGCCCAACCAGCAGGCACCTGCGCCTTTTGGGTGCAGTGTCCAATGTGGCGGGTATGCCACTGTTCCATCCTTCCGACTGTGCATTATTTTTGTATGTGAATGGTATTGAAGTATGTAGCAGACTAATAAGTGCTCAAGCATTCTGTTCTCCGTTGCACTCGATTCGAGTCACTCCACAGGCAGCCTAATAGAAATCCGGTAGAACATTTTGGTGCTCACGATGCGGTGTATTCGACAATATGTTCAGTACTGTGGTAGATGCCCTGGCCTTGGAGCCATTACCAGGCCTGCTGCCAAAGGTAGTTATCGCACTTAGAGCCCAGGAAAGCAGTGCAAGCAGGCGTAGCTCTTCGCTAACATTCCTCGTCTATGGTTAAATTTGCGTAGCCGCAGTACCAAAACTGGTTGCCATCGAAACCAGCAACTGCATTCCCTCGACGGTCATGCAGCTGCCAGCCTGTCTCCTTGTTTTGAACTATCCACTTATATGCGGCGCCTGACAGGTCAGAAAACTTCCATCCTGTGCTTTTCACTCTCTGCTTGATGCTAGTCTGTTGACCGCTAATCGAAACCCGTACCTCTTTATCGTTGGCACCATTGACGTCGGCGATAGCCAAGGGCTCTCCGCCATCTTCAGTACGGACAGCCATGCCAGGCACAAAGGTTACATCATCAGAAATATCGAATTGCTGCGAGCTGATAACAAGCCGAGGTGGCTTAAGGATATGTTGTAGGTTAGCTCGCCCAGCCCCCGTGCGGATTCGATGCTGTTAAAGCGGCCAGAGTAAACAGAGCAGCTTCTGCGATTGTCGCCCAGGAAGAGCGTGTATTCCTCAATTGCCATAGTCAAAAAGTGCGTAGACGGAGATGCGGTTGATAAAAAGGTGATGCTAGTCTAACTTGTGAAAGCCCTGTCACCCGTGCACATTTTATATGTGACCCACACAATGCGGAGTCCGTATCGGCCAATTTTTTGACAGCATCTTGGCGTGCATGCGTGTTGCATTCTGGAACCAGCCGCCACTGATTTCTCGTAACAAGCCATGTTCCCAACATCCGGGCGAGACAATACCAACCGGCAAACAGTGTACTTTGATTAGTAATGTAGCATAGAAATATGTGTGGCCAAGCCCTTGGTGAATATGGCTGCGTACCTTTGACAGGATGGCGTCTGTTCGCAACAGCAGTGTATAATCCAAGCTGACAGCAAATTTAAACATGCCATGCATTAGTATGGAGGTGCATACTCTTCATGTAGCTGTCGTGCTTGACAAGGCTGATAAACCATCTGTTAAACGATGTATATTAAAACCCACCAACCACTGGCGTTGGTAAATGTGTCGTCACCTCCACCTACACTGTTTGTAGGAACAGTCTTACTCGTAAAAATCGCTTTAGCACTCAATGCCCACGATAGTAGGACCAGCATGCGTAGGTCCTCATCCATACTCTCGTCCACTATGAAGCTGGCATAGTTGTCACTCCAAAACTGCCTGCTGTCAAAGGTAGCAACAGCCTTTCCTCGATACCCTTGCAGCTCCCAGCGCTTCTCCTTGCGCAAGACCTCCCATCTGTATTTAGTCCCATTAGGGGTCGGTGAACTTCCAGCCGACGCCTGCAATCCGCTGCAGCTACTTTAACACACTTTCCTTTAACAGAAACCTGAGCAGACCTACCATTGCCCTGGACTAACGTCAGCAACAGCCGTATTGCCATCAGAATGAACCAGCATGCCAGGCACAACAGTTGCATCATCGGATATATCCAGATTATGAGAGCTGATAATAAGACGAGGAAGCCGAAGAAAAATGGTGTATGCCAGCTCGCCCGATGCCTGTGCCGAAGCAAGGTCAGTAAATCCTCCATGGTAGATGGAGCAATTGGTGCGATTGTTGCTCAGAAATAGTGGTGTACTCGACCATAGCCGGGAACTGTCGATATTGGAATTGCAGGTAGCTGATGTGTAGATTACCACCCAATGAATTGGGCGTTGATATGAATTAAATACAAGTCCGTTCGCTATTGGGACCACACGTGACAACATGTATTGACAGGTTCCTTGGCAAGCAAAAAAGTGCTCTTGGCATGCACACAATGTTTCTCGAATCTCTGGCCTTGCATACGGTTGGGGCTGCAAATCTAAAGCGGTTGACAACCTGCTCGGAAAGCAGCTGTCGCCAAAGGATCGCTATTACACGTAGTTGTACAGTCGACAAGGCGGCAACGCCATGTTCCCGCACATGTTGCTGCGTGCCCCTTGATACATATGGGCTATTGAGGCTGGTGCTGTGTCCAATAATATTTGGTTAAACAATAGTTCAGTGAAGACTACATATGTCGGCATGTGGAATTAGTCAAGATTAAAAACCAGACTTTATTGATATACCGGGATTAACAAATGTGGATATGTTTCCTGCCTGCCTAACAGCAACTGATGCTAAATGCCAGGGAGATCGAGGCAAGGAATAAATAATTGCCTGTCCATGTTTGGCAGAATCTCTAGGGTTCCTTGTCTGTGCTTTCCAAAATGTAAAGCTGCAACGCCAGAGCCGCTGCCATCAGTCAGCTCCCATCTGGCACCCTTGTATTGGAGTGTTCCATTTGTACTTGATACCTTCTGGATCTTTGAACTTCCATCCGAGCTGCGTAGCACGCTGTTCAACATTGAACACATTGCCATTGATGATGACTCTCGCACTTTTCTCTGTACGCATATCAACGATTGCAATCCCTTCAGTGTATTCCTTGGTCATGAGGTTCGGTATGATACCAGCAATGACTGTTGTATCATCGTCCACGATATTTTCCACCGCGCTGAATATAATATTAGGATACTTCACGTAGACCCTATATAGTGGTTCGTGCAAAGTTTCTCCTGCATCGATGGTGTCATAACAGCCGCCGTAGAACGCAACGCATCCTTCATTCTCAGGCGTGGTTGAATAGAACAAAGTGTAGTTACTTGGCAACATGGTGATGGTAGAGAGCTAACAGTGAGTAGAAAAGATTACAGTCAAATGAGTTAAGCTTTATTCGCTGGCAGAGAACGGAGCTATCCCGTAAGCAACCTGCTGCCGCTGCCTTCAACATGGGGCTAGCTTGTGCCAGGATTGCCGTAATGGCATGATACACCATGTACGGTGAGAGCAAAAAGTTATTCTCTGTAGAAACCCTGATTTTCCTAATCAATGTACCAAGGAGTGAAGTCAAGATGCACCATGTGCCAGAATCATCGAAATGTATTGGCGAGGTTACGAGATTTCCAATGAATGTTCTTGACATGAGCATTTCCTTTTTTGGCAAACATGCTATGGAACTTGCAGTAGGGTTGCACACTGGCAAACCCCAGTTGTAGGTCTTCACGGCATCCACAGGGTTAGAGGTCAAGGCTATGTCCATTTACGCCCTATTTTGGTATGCAACCCTAAAGTACACTTTTGTCATAAGAAACAGCTCACAGTAAAATGCGGCAGTAGAGATACATGAATATAAGGTGCGAAATATGGCTCTAAAGGAACACTTGAAACACTTTTTTGCCATTCTTGTAGCCATCTTCAGGATTCCTTCCGGCATAAGGCTGATTTTCGATTAAGCAGCAAGTCTTTTTTGTATTTCTTGGTCTATGTCCAGAAGCAGCCAGAGCATATGAATTTGGGTCGAAGATGATACTGAACTTTTCCAAGATATCCTTCACAATGTCTGCACTACTTAGATACGAGCCAATCCTTGATTGCAACCTTACAACCTCGGCTTCACATTTGGACTGGGTCAACGAATTCAAATCGGCGGGCCGTAGTCAACACTCGGGTGCGTCAAAACCTCTTCGCCTTGCTGTTCGTTCACTATGGCCGTCGTAAGCACGCCTCTCACGGTTTCGAAGTATCGATGCTTCTTGTAGAGTGGGTAGTAGAATGAGAAGTCATAGCCGCATTTTGTGCGTGCTTTGCATGTCACGACAATTGTCCCCGAATCGTATGCGGGCATAGTGGAATAAAGTGATAAGATAAATGAAGTTTGTGTAGAGCGTAGTGCTCTGTCCGAATGGATTCTTGTCTCTCAATTTATAGGAAAAGCTTAGCATAGCGAAGAACTCTGGTATCCCTGGCTCTGATGAGATTCCTTCAGAATGCCAAGAAGCCTGGTGCAAAGTATGGGGTAGCAAATAAGCCAACTATGCAAAGCTGAATATGTTCTTTGCACGGATACTCTGACTTCGTTTCATAGTAGCGTGATGATTTCTGTCTTGGCCTATTTTTAGCCTACCGGTAGCACCCGCTTGTAAACTTGTGCATAATATGCATACAATCCCAAGCTGCGCGTTTAGGTCAACGGCCAGCGTGGAGGTTGCTCTGCCAAGTCTCAGCTTTGCTATAAAAAATGCTATTGTGGCATACCTTGGTCTTAGAATTTAAGAGCCAAAAAGTCAAGGGCTGTCTGTAATCCATACAGCTGGCATCTAGAGCCCTATGCAGGCTATCTTGTTATTTATAAATTCTTGACAGTGGTTAATGGTTTGACTCTGTATTCGCAAATACTATTAAAACTGCCGTGACTTCAGTATAAGAAACTGGTATATCCATGCATCGATGGCTCAAATGTCACTGTTTTGCTAAGGCAAATCTAACAGAAACCCCTTAAACTCTAGGATCCTTCTAAACATAAGGACCTCTCATTACGCACAAACTCAGTGCGACTGCAACACCCATACATATTTAAATGCTTCATTTCTTGCAGAGTGTTCTCAGTTTGCTTTGAGCCGATATCAGGGAAATAGTTGGCACAGGCACTGGCTCCATTGCCTTCTTTTGGAATCGCAGCAATTCACAGGTGTAATTTTACTGCCGACTTTCCTGAGCTTCATAAGTGAAAATATGTCTAGGAAGAGGATAGACCACCGGTACATATTGGTCACCTTCTTTGGGTCGGTATGTATAATGTAGAGCCCTTTAAGTGATGACATTCGTTGTGGTTGAATTGGGCGACACGTATATAAAAGATGTAGGGTTTGAGTAACGGTGTGGAAGAAAGGCTGTCAAGATCTGGTGTCAGCACTTTATATGATCGTTTGGAATGTGGACAGAGCTGCGATCATTAAAACTACAACTCTTGAATGCTTTAAATCCACCTGGAGTCGCATACATCGTTTATTATCAGTACAGGGTTATCCAAAGGGACCAGCATGCAGTAAACACTGCATTCCTGTCACATATGGCAGGTGATTGGCAATACATGTGTCCAGACTTCACGTAGAAATAATAAATAAACACCATCTGACATGTCTTTATTTGCAACAGTCTCAAGCCCGAACTCATAAATATGTATAGCGTTGCTACTCTCTACATCGTATACATACTGCATACAAGAGCTTAGTCAGACTCATGAAAAGTAGTCAGGCGTTCATCACTTGATCATCTTTGGTCAACGACTCCATATCTCCACTCTTCTCACACAGCGTTCTGAACGCTCCGCTTTCCGCCTGAATTAGCTCTGCTGGAGTGCCAAAACTCCTCCACCCTGCCGTTCTCCAGCACAAGAACCCGGTCGTAGTCGATGATAGTGCGCAAGCGATGTGCAATGCACAGAATGGTCGAGTTTTGAACTCGGCTCCGCGGATAGTGCGCTGCATGGCTTCGTCGGTCTCGAAATCAACCGATGCCGTAGCCTCGTCCATCAAAATGACCTTGGACCGACGTGTCAGTGTGCGTGCCAAAGCCACCAGCTGGCGCTGGCCCAGTGACAGATTCTGTCCATTGCTGATGATTTCGTCGTCAAGAGAGTCAAATACAGCGACGCTTCGGTCCCTTGCCGATCCATGGGTCGATTTGAGCAGAAGCGTGCGCTTGAGTGCGTCGAGCAGGATCTCGTCCGGGTACTCCGCCAAAGGGATCCAGGTTGAATCTGATTGTGCCGTTGAATAGAACTGGGTCCTGGGGTACAATCGTGATGCTCTGGCGCAAGTCCTCAAGCCCGATTTTGGATATGTCCACGCCGTCAATCAAGACCTGCCCGCTGGTAGCTTCAACAAGCCGCAGCAGCGACAAAGACAACGTTGACTTGCCAGCACCTGTGCGTCCGACAAATGCCAATTTTCTCGCCAGCACGAACGCTGAAACTCAGTCCGTGCAGCACAGGCTCGTTCGCAAAATACCCAGCGACCAAATCTCTGACCTCAATCTCGCCTCTAAGCGGCCAACCTGGGCAAGGTTTGTTCCCACAGACGATTTGGACGGCGCCTCCTGGTCGATTTCCAGGTATTGAAACACGCGTTTCGACCGAGTTAAAGCCCATCTCAAGATTGCAGTACCGGCGAACAACACCCATGGACTCGAGCCAAAAGTTCACCGCAATGATCATAATGAACCCTGCCAACCGCTGGTGAAATACTCAACCTTCCACAGAATAAAAACCGTTGTGGTGGCTCCAACCAGCGAGCCTCGTAAGCCCCATGCGGCTGCCTAACCAGCGTCTGGTTGACCGGAATGTGAGGTCAGAAGCCACATACTCGGTAAATCGCTCCGTGAATTCGCCATGTATGCCTCCTGCATACCAAACCCACGAATGGTATCGATGCCTTGAATCAATTCGCTGTACAGCGACAAGACCGGTGCAAACACGGTAGACTCTAGACGCTTGAGCTCACGCTGCGACAGCATAAAGTCCAGCGTAAAGCTTGTGTAGGCACCCAGCACAGCTATTCCTACCACTGCAAACAGAGGCACAGCCGCCGAGATTATCACTAGGGTGCTAGATGCAATGACGAGTGAAGTAGCAAAGTCGAACATTGACAGGGCGATGCTCTCGTCGATGACCTGGAAATCCTTGCAAAGCGGGCTAGCGTGCGTCCGATAGGCGTCGTCGTCATGAAGTGTGTGTAGCATACACTACTGCATTGGTAAGTCG